AAAAAAAAAAAAAAAAAAAAAAAAAAAAAAAAAAAAAAAAAAAAAAAAAAAAAGGAAAAAAGAAAGAAAGAAAGAAAATACAATAATAACTTGAATTACAATTAGAACTCTTTGGCTGAACCTGTTTCTTTTCATTAATTAATTTTAAGTAGTATTCTAGCTTTCAATTCGCCTTAATATAATTATTATTACCATTATAGTCCTTTTTTCTTACGTTTTTTCCCCTTTCATTCTTTTACCTTCAAAAAGATCAATTGATAGAATTAATTAATTAAGTCCTTTTGACCTCAGCGGCTGATAAAGGCGCAGGGCCAAAGTCCGTTTCCAGAAACCACGTTAAACCGCCTTAAGGTTAGCGGTACATAAGCCGGACGACGACACCGAATCCATCTGCTATGACGTGCTCCCTGGTGGGCCATGGCTTGATGGTTCGGCTCTTTGCGGTTTATTACTTCTTAGGGGAAATGATTATACTCTATAGGTACGGAGTTCAGCGAGCAAAAGTAATTCCAGCATTTCCGACCATGGGTCACACGGATCGAACCTAGGGTGGAAACACAGTACCTTAGATATACAGCCGTACCTATCCAGGGTGATAGTGTACAAGGTTAACTTTCAGTTGCTTCTTTCAAGACAACTAGAACCTATCAGTGTAATCTAGTCACAAATGATAAGTGAATGGTAGAGAAGGTAAGGTAAAGTAGTACTGGAGTAACTGGAGTTACAGCTTCGAGTATGCATTCGTTGCCAGTTGCCCCCATATCCATATTCCCCACTCGTCATTGGACCACCTGTCGATGCAACCATACCCGTCCAATAATGGCCTCGAGGGGCGCTTATGGTGGAGCCTAACTAGCCAGTTGAGTGCCCCGCATCCGTAAGTTGAAGGTTTTCTTGTAAACGACCCCACTTGTCCAACCACAGACGTTTTTAGCTTGTTGTCCGTGCTGAGTAAGAGACAAAACCGGGACATCGAATCTCATTGGAGGTTCAGTACATTGATCATTGATGTAAGTATTGAGCCTATTTGAGAATTTTTACGGATTGGTCTTTCCTCTACGTCCATTTGGGAAACTCGACCGACCTGAACCTTTGACTACTATGCTATGATACTGCAGTGGGTGATATGATGTACTAACTAACCTCTTACTGACTTGCTCCCCCAAAAGGCACAAGATCCATAGTTAGTTACACGGCCCCTAGTTCTAAACCTGCTTAACCTTTTCTTGTTTTATTAGTCCTCGGGCTTCTTATCCTGGTCTTTGGTTGGGTTAAGCTTGAGCACGTTATGCACTAGTTGATGGCGTGATCCCCCAATTTTCAGTCAATCATTACCCACCCTTCTTGATACTTTGCATATAAACCGATCAATCGTTGGTGTGACACGCCACTCATGTGTCTTTGTTGGAAGATATATTAACTCATTATCTTTATGCTGGGAGAGTAGGTTAATATAGACAGCTTTCCATCGCCTTTGTTTCCCGCTATGGTGCAATAGATGCTCTTCCCTGTTCCAGAACCATGTGGCGCACGGGTTCTAGGTTCACTGCATGATCTCTTCTTTGTATTTCTGGTATGTAATGGCTAGGTACAGTATCTTCAACCTTAATAACGCCCTCGACGGCGTGACCTCTTAGTTGGCATTCGCATAGGTTGTTGTCACATGACCTCTGTGTCTGTGTGTGTGTATATATTTTTGGATCGATGATGATACTATAACGAGTTACTACTTATATTCCGCGTGATTGGTCGATAGGCTCGCTACACTACATGTTACTAGCAAAATTATGATGGAACTAGGTTGTAAAAAATTGCCTGGCGAATCGGACTTTTTGGTGGTATCTGTAGTATGAACATCGCATTTCTACACAACTGTACAATCTTCTTCCCCTCACATGCCCTCGTCCTCCCCGGCCAGCAGGGCCGCATAGTCGTCCGCTGATGCGAAGGTCGGCAGATGTTTGAGCTTGCGTCTCTTCTTCCGCTCAGACTTGTCCTCGTCCTTCGGGAGCTCCACCCCGCCTCCGAGTTCCACGTCCGAAGGTAATTCCTCGTCGCTTCCGACGAAGGCCTCCTCGTCAGAAACATCCATGTCGAAGTCATCATCCTCATCGGATACCTCTTCACTCTTCTTGGCCTTGGCCTTGGACTTGCTAGGCAGCTGCTCGGTCTCTAACGCCTCTTCGTCGAAGTCGTCCATATCCACGTCAGACTCGTCGTTGAAGATAACTCCTTCGTCTCCACTCTGTTCAGCTTCCTCATCCTCGTCCTGGTCATATGCCGATTCGAGGTCATCCAAATCGAGATCATCATCGCTATCGGCTCCCTCCACCTCAGGTCTCGAATCCACAAGAGCCTTCCAGATCTCCGACTCGGCGTCGCTAAGTTCACCCTCTTCTTCGCCTTGGTTGACGGGGTCCTTGGCCTTCTTGCGGCTCTTCTCCTTGCCACTTTCGACTCGGTTGAAGTACTCGTGGAAGAATGCATCCTCCGCGGCCACCTCGTCAGACTTCTTCTTCCAAAATGCCTCCGAGTTAAGGGGCTGCTGCTGGCTCTGCTTGCCACCGGCGACCAACCGATCCTTCGCCTCGCTGCCGGCAAGGGGCTGCATGATGGAGGCTCCACGTGTAGCGGCGGCGGCCTTGGGTGTCTTATAGACAAAGCGGTCGAGGAAGTGCATCAATGTGTGAATGGTCATGTCTGGCTTTCCGCTCATAGTCTTGTGCTCCAGCAGCTGGCCCGCATTGACCGACACGGACGGGTGGAAGTGAGACAAATAAGGCAACTATTATGCGTAATATTAGTATTTTGTAAGGAAATTCGATAGGAAACGGGGTGTGCTTACCAATTCCCAGAGACATGTCTTATCCGCATTGCTGTGCTCCGGGTCTCGCTTGCGAGGATCATAGTGGCTTGAGGGCTTCTTCGGTTGGACTTGCGCTTCCTGTGGCTGCTCATCATCTTCATCGGGAACATCCCTGAACATCTCTTCCTCATCACTCTCATTATCCTCGGGTTGATCATACAAGGAATTGAGGCTGGTGAACGTCTTCTCTAATTCTCGAATCAAATACATGACACCACAGATAAAGGCTGGCTGGTGCAACCCAAGCACTTGGATGATACGCTTCACAAATGCCTTCACGCGGCGGACGTTCAGGTCATTCTTCAAAGCCTTGAACAATAGGTTGAGGTAGAGCGATTGCTTGGATGACGTAGCCAACCGTGGGTCGAGAAGCGATTCGTACAATGTTCGGTAGAAGCGGTCCGCAGCGATTTGGTGGGAAGATGTTAGCTGCTGGATCAACAAAAGGGCTTGGATACTAGTGTTGAAGTTCGACGAGTGGGTGATGCGGAACAAGGTATCGACATGCTTGGAAAGACTGCACATTGGTTAGCTATAGCGACTACATAGAGATTTCAAGAGAAATAACATACCGTTCTGAGTCCGAGCTGGTAAAGGGATAAGCTCGGTTCACACCAGTCAAAACGCCCGAGGTGAGCTTCTCTTGCATCTCCTCATGCTGAGCCTGGCCCTTCGCCTCATTATCCTTACCCTTCCTGCTAACTTTACCGTCCTTGCCATGCTTCTTCCCTGCATGGTGCTTGTTATTCTTGACAGGTTTCAGGAAGGCAACGAAGAGTCCAAAGTAGATGTCAAGCAGCTGGGCCGCAACTTGCTCCTCCTTGAGACTCAAGACGGTTTGGTTCAAGGTGATGATTGCGTAGTATTTAGCATGTTGACTCTGACCGGGGCGGAAGAGAACCTCCTCGACAGCCTTGATGATGGTTGGCTTCATCAACGGGTGTGCTTGCTCGAGTTGTAGCAATAGATAGGAAGCGCGAGATGCAATTTTCTTGGCCGTGTCGCCAAGTTTGTTAACCAAGAGTCGCAAAAGGTTCGTTTCCTGCTCAGGTCTTTCCTTGAGAAGCTCAAAGACGTAACTAACGGCTCTGGAACGAGAGAACTCAATTTCGTCATTGCACCATACCTCCAAGATCTTCAGTATCTCAAAATACTGTTCCTTTAGAAAGTGTTCAAAGGCCCAAACAACGAGGTGACGGTTTTGAAGACCATTAGGAAGGGCATCTCCTTCAGACCACTTGCTTCCTGCTCCTTGGAATGCAGCCATAAGCGACGGCTGGTTCGCGAAAGACTTGAGCCTACGGTCACTGGGCAATAACGTGCCCTGGGCGAACATATCTTTAAGGGATCTCAAAACTTCCACCGCCTGAGCACGACTGCGCTTCTTTCCGAGTGCGATAAGGTTTTCCAAAGATTTCGTGTTATGCAAAGGCGACTCCTGTATGGCAAGTGTCAACGCCGAAATCTTATCACTAAGAGTTCCGGTGGACATAATAGTCGTGTAGAACTTGTGCGAAGAGGAGGCGGAAGCTTTTTGCGCCTCAGCATATATAGTGTTTTCTTTCTCAAGTAGCGATACAGCGTAGTTATAGACGCGATCCACCAGGTGTCGAGGTACGCCGTTCGCCTGTTTTGCCGAGATCGAAGGAAGTTCAGTCATAAACCAGTCGGATCTAGGTAGAACAGTCTATTGTCTTGTTAGAATGATACCTGTCATTGTAAAGCCAATATACTTACGAGCTTGCTGTATTCCTTAGGGAGAGGTGCCATATATTCCTTAGCCTTCTCTGTTTTCTTCGACTCTTTGGCGGCTGGAGCGGGAGAATCATCTTCATCCGAGCTCTCTTCATGTTCGGCCAGTTGCTCTTCCTCCTCACTATCATTATCATATTCATTTGCTTCGGCCTCTTCATCCTCATCTTCATCTTCCGCCTCTTCGTCCTCGTCTTCTAGGTTCGCCTCATCTCCCTCGTTGTCGGCAATGTCGGCGGGGGCAACTTGACCAGCAGCAGCCAGAATACCCGACAGTTCTTTTCTCAGCGCATCCTCCTCGGATTTACTCTTGGAGCCCTTAGAGGCGTCCTTCTCATCTTCGACTTCGGACTCAGAATCGATCCCCGCAAGTAGATCATAGTCTTCCTCGGTACCCCCAAGTGCCAAAATTTCCTGCCGCAGAGCATCGGTTTGATCCGCTTCCTTTGATTTCCATGTTTTGTCTTTCTCGGAGGCATTCTTGTCGTCCCTTGCAATTACTTCACCATTGCGGTCCCGCTTCTTGCCCTTGTTCTTATCGGTATCGGCTCGCTTTGTGACAGGCTTGGGCGCAGCGTCATTGTTCTTCTTCGGAGTATCGTTCGGAGTAGCCTTAGCCTTCTTATTATTTGGCTTCTGCTTGGCGGAGTTCTGATCTTTCAATCTTTGTTCGATCTTCTGTCGCAGGCCGGCGAACGCACTCTCCTCGATTTGAGGAGCATCAACACCGATATTAAAGTCATTGACTGGGACTCCACCTTCGGGGACAATTGTATTCGCCCCAGAGGAGCGCTTCCCCTTTCCTTTGGCCATGATGAGAGGTTCTCCTGACCAAGATACAATATCGTGGTATGGAGTCTATTCTACTTTTTTTTTTTCTGCCGCCGAAAACCCAAAAAAATTATGGAGACCATAGAGGCCGCCGGAGAAACGGTTTTACCGCTGGTCGGTCTCCCGGCGCACGGGCCAATTGAAAGCCTTCATGCGGACCTTTTATTTAGTTCTCCAACTAAAACATATCCACGGTATTGGAGATAAAACGCTACCGTCTGCCTTTATCCCATTGCATATGTGATTCTCTTTGGCAATTTAGAAGAATTGTCAATCGCTACACTCTATAATTCCATGATATCAGGATTTCGCCCGACCCCGGGCCGCTATTCCGGAGCACATAGAGCCTACTGTGGAGTCTGGCGATTCCATAGAGCTCCGAAATGCAGTTTCCATGTAGGATCTTGCGTATCCACTTGCCACAATACATATGTACTAACTGATCGCAGACTGATGGTAGAACTCGGGTGTCCAACTTCTGGATTCCGACGGGAGGCATCTCGAAAAAAATCCAGGGCGAAAAAGGTAATTCTAGATGTAACTACCTTGTGTGACAGCAATTGACAACGATTTAGAGGATGTCAACGACCTCTTGGTTCGGGGAGGCTTCCTCCGACAGGTAATAAAGTCCACTTGCATGTCAAGGCTAATTCTAACCTTCTATAGGCTTACTCTGGAATATTCCATATGTTACCGCTAGGATTGCGCGTGCAAGACAAGCTTGAACGTCTTATCGATAAGCATATGCGCTCAGTTGGTATATCTAACTAATTGCCTTTACGCTAGCTAGATGTACAGTTTTTAATCCTCAATTATAGGAGCGTCGAAAGTTTCGCTGTCATCCATATCTTCCCAAGAACTTTGGGAGAAATCAGGGCGCTTGGGAGAGGGTTCAGAGGTATATTTCTATATCTCTCTCTTCTCATTACTTGTAAAATGATTCTAACATAGCTCGTTAGGTCTTTAGATTTCATGACAGAAGAGAATCTCGATTTCTCCTTGCTCCTACCCATGAGGAGGAGATCACCACTCTAGTGGGGAGTCTCGCCAAATCGTACAGAGACCTACCTCTGCGGGTGTACCAAATATGTGAGCTCCCATAAAACAGCCGATAGTTTTACCTCTGACATCTTTTAAATGTAGCGAGAAAATACCGTGATGAGCCAAGACCAAGACAAGGTCTACTTCGTGGACGAGAATTCATTATGAAGGATCTCTACACGTTTGACTGCTCCGTGGAAGAAGCTTTAAAGACGTACACATCTGTGAAAGCTGCGTACACGCGACTATTTAACGACCTAAAGATACCCTACCTGGTTGCAGCTGCAGATTCTGGCAATATGGGCGGCAACTTGAGTCACGAATTCCACGTTCCCAGTTCCAAAGGAGAGGATACAGTCATCAGCTGTACCAGCTGTGATAGTATTTACAATGGCGAGCTTGCAGACGGGAAAACCCATGAGTTTGGCGACAATGATAGCCGCCAGGCCAGTCAAGCATCAGGGTTCGATACCGGAGAAGTGTCCTCCGAAGCAGCACCGACCATTTCTACTGGCCTCTGGATGGCAATTTCCAAGGATAAGCGGACACTGCTGAGAGTGTGGTACCCGAAATTTTCCATGCAAGGCGCAACCCAGGAACCAGTGGAAAGAGAAGTCAACTCTCACGCAGTCAAGTCAGTAGCTAATGCCGCAGACATCGACCTTGACCTCAGCGTAGAAAACCCATTAGAGCAGTGGGCTGCTGAGGTGAAATCCAACAAGGCCTCTAGTCTTTACTGTGTAGTGGATCTATATGACTCGCAGGTGCGAGTCTATAAGCGTCCACCCCTGAGTGACTTGCTACAGCAAGCGGGCTGCAAGGCGGAAGATGTCGACTACTCTATGCTAGACCGATTCCCCGGGACAAACAAGGGTCTGAGCCTTATCAAGGTCCAGGACGGTGATAAGTGCGCCAAATGCGCTCAAGGGCTTGTGAAGACCCACACTGCGATTGAACTGGGCCACACTTTCCATCTTGGGACCAGATACAGTGATGTTCTACAGGCGTCGGTTATGGTAGACCAATCCGCATCTGGCAACTCAGAAACTCAGGTTGTGCCCATGCAAATGGGATGCCACGGCATCGGAGTCTCGCGTATGATCACAGCAGTCGCCGACAGCCTCGCGGACTCCAAGGGTCTCAACTGGCCCCGCGCTGTGGCTCCTTTCGAAGCCGTTGTTGTCCCTGCGAAGGGCTTAGAGGAAGACGCCGTGAAGATATACGATGCGCTTACGTCGGATCCAACATCGCCCGTTGATGTCATCCTCGACGATCGAGACAAGCAAATGGGGTGGAAATTGGGAGATGCTGACCTGATCGGCTACCCTGTGATTATCGTGGTTGGCAAAGGGTGGAAGAAGGAGCAAACATTAGAAGTGCAATGCCGACAGTTGGACAACCTACGAGAAAATGTGCCTCTAGAGAAACTTTCAGAATTTGTTCGATCTTTGCTCGGGCGTCTATAGAATTAGGGCTCTTCACTTTGTACTATACATGAGATTAATTGTACAATATTCCTCTCTCGCCTGCCTCTACCATGCTGAATCAGGAGTCACTAAAAGACGAAGGCGATATATCACATTGTAGCCTAGGGAGAATAGGTATAAGTTCAGAAAGTTACCACCTGGTCAGCTGGGAACTCTCGCGGCACATTGCAGACGTTCGCCACTTCTCAGCCTTTCTTCTTTTAAGAGAATTATTCTACTGGAAACGGAGGGTTTGTGGTATTTCCCCTGCAACAGGTTCATTGTGCTTAATATTTCTAAGTACTGAAAGACCAGCGCCACAGCCTTCACGATGGGGCGATTCATTCAATTCATTCAACGCAGAAATTCGAGACATACGTAATCTTGCATCTGCAATATTCTCTTCATAGGTAAGGCAGAAGGTATAGGTAAGGTCTTACATATATGAGATTGCATACAGCCTCCTCATTATGTGTCGAGAGAATACTGCGACACCGATGACCTCAGGCACAGAAAGTGATCAGGAAGGAGGGTAAATGAATATATGCCTTGGTGATGTTGGGGCTCTTTCACCCCTTTCAGACCTACAATAAGGTCACAACGTTCATTTGTTTGTATTGGTGTCGCACAGGAGTCTTCTTACTAGGAGTAGCATAAATTGGGGCAGTGAAGAATATTCTGATTGGCTCACCTCAGGCAGCACTCCCTTTCACAGCCCTAGGCTGGATCCTGTTTGCTACAATATTAAGAACTCTTCAAGTCCAATTTTTTGACCCTGATATTTACTCGATTAAGTGCAATTGTTTACATTTTTGGTCAGTCCTATTTTCAACATCTAAACTTGAATCAAACACTCCTCAATATTCTTTTGGCCTTAACTTCATTCCACAAGTTACACAATGTTTGAGAATACATTGCCTGAACAGGCACTGGCTGAGAATGCTAAGCCTAAGGACGAAAAATTTAAGGGCCGATTCGGAGTAGTTAGAACCGGGGTGAATGTCCTCCTCTTTGATGAGAAAGGCAGGTTCGTGATGGGCATAAGAAAAGGCAGCCATGGTGCAAGTATGCTTCTCTCCCTCTTCCTCTTGAGCCTCCTACTTTGAGACTTCAGCTTCTCTTTGTAGCTCCCTCCTTCATTCCAGTGAAGCAGGCTAACAATTACCAGACACCTGGGGCCTCCCTGGTGGTCATATAGATCTCAGAGAAAGCTTCGAGGATTGTGCCATACGCGAACTTGATGAAGAAACAGGCTTAGCGATCGTCAATATCAAGTTTCTCACCGTTACGAACGATGTGTTCGAAGAAGCTGGCAAGCACTACACTACCAATTTTCTTGTGGCCCAGGCTAAGTACAAATACCCGTCCGCCGTGGTAAGTCTCAACTCAGGGTCATGCATTTTCTCCTGTTAGGTAACGCTAACTGTTCGATAATAGGTCCTGGAGCCCAAAAAATGTGAGAGGTGGGAGTGGTTCACCTGGAAAGAAGTTAAGAAGTATTATGAGGCAGGTCAACCCTCCAACAATGACAAATATACTAAATTCGATGGAAAGAAATTGTTTCTCCCAACGGAGAACTTGTTCAAAACACGGCCAGATGTGCGGCCCTGGGAGAAGCTCCAACCCCTGTGGCCAACCGAGAAGAAGATGGAATCCGAGACCAAATGATGAACCTTGGTTCTCCTGATCGTGCTTCATTTCTGCGGATTAATCCCTGGTCTGTTCATCGCTCGACTGATGGCCCGCGTGGCTGAGCGGTCAATGGCGAGCTAGAATTAAAGCTGCTATACGTCTGCGAGCTTGTTGACATCATTTATGGCCGGTCTTGTCTTTCATTTACGTCTTGCAACATGGCGATATGATATTAGATCTGGTGGGTGGCTCTTTTGACTTTTTGTTTTCTGTCCTTTATTTTTGATGGATTTGAGGTCCTTCAGTGTGCTAGTCACATCCGATTATGTTCTCTATGTCTTATTATCAGTGAGCTTTAGATTCTAAATACGATCTTAATCATCTCAATTCTTCGATTTCTATTAGCATATATACCAAAATAACTCTTCGTTATGGTCACTACATACATAGAGAATATAAATCTTAAATAACAGAAGAGCACGCACTCTTTTAGCCCTACTCAAGCATTCCTTCACATTGTCCAAGTAAATATATATTCAGCTCCCCAAGCCCCCAGTTCACAGCAAATTCCAGAAATCACCAAGCTATTAAGAAAAGCAAATTAACCCACCCCCTACCCACCATGCTAAACCATAGATCCCACTCTTACTCCGCTCCCCGCTTCCAAGCTACTCAACTTCCCCCCAAAATATAACCCTGCACAACCCTTACTAATCCGCACAACAAAACTGCATAATTACATAATTCCCCCTAAACCCAAAGCGCAACCTCTGTCACGCAGTGCATCCCAAGCTCAAATCACGCCCATACATAATATACATCCAAAAAATACCACAGGGCCAACAACTTAGCCCTCCCATTCCTCTTCCCTTATCACTCACCCAAGGACCTCCAGTTCTACACCACAGATTTACGCATCCCAACCACACCGCGCACCACGCACCCCAACCAAAAAAATGGCCCCCGCATCAGAAGCCCCTCCAGGCTCAGGTACGACAGACACAACCCCACCCTACCTAAGAATATCTTCTGAAATCTAACCAATATCAATGGAATAGTGAATATCAACTCACTTTCGGTGCCGCAGCTACGGGCGTTGCAGACTCGTCTTTCGTCGGAATTGGAGCATTTGACGTCGTCGCATGCGAAGCTGCGGGCGGCGCAGTCGAAGTTCCGGGATTGTGTACGGTCAATTAATGAGGGCGTTGTTGGATCTCAGAAGAGGGGGACGGATGGGAAGGATGATATTTTGGTTCCCTTGACTAGTTCATTGTATGTGAAGGGGTCGTTGGCGGATCGGGAAAAGGTGCTTGTGGATGTTGGGACGGGGTTTTATGTTGAGAAGGTACATTTTCTTTCTTTCTTTCTTTCTCCTCATCCTTCTTCTTCCCTTTTGGGAGGTATGAGGAATTTGGAAGCCGATAACTTATTCTTGGGCAGACTACACAAAAGGCGGTGGAGTTCTACGAGGACAAGGTTAAGAGTTTGGAAACGAATCTGAAGGAGTTGGAGAATATTGTACAGACGAAAAGCTCCCAGCAAAGGTTGTTTGAAGAGGGTAAGTTGAAACGAATCCCCATGTCATTCTCTAAGTGCGTATGTGTACTGTAGGCTAACTTTCGTCAGCTCTGAGGCAAAAACTGCTCACCGAAGGTGCTCCTCCGTCTGCTGCTGCCACTGCCGGCGGTGGTTGATATCCGTCAGACGTTTGCACAGAGATCACTTCGGGGTTAAAGGGGGGCAATTAGTCAACAAAAATAATAAAAGGAATTGCATTTGTTACAGTAAGTGTTGGCAAAGGCAAATAATCAGTCATCTCGCATGTATGCTTGGATCACCTGCTTCGCGGTTGGGCAGCATCCAACACTTCAAGGCTTTTGCATAGATGTAAGACAAATTCAAGCGTATGTTTGATCAACAAACATTGAGTTGCATAACGAGGGGATCTCAAGCAGGAGATTGCAACGAGAAAGACAAGACGGTCCTGTACCGTTGGCTGCTAAGCAATGATATCGTTGGCTACGTTCTTGAGTTATTCAGCAGTGCTCCCGTAGAGATCAATCCCATCTGTTTAGAACAAAGTACCGAGGTCAGCATCCAATAGCCCAGTAAGACCCTTAACCTCAACCTTGGGCGATGATCCATTCGATGGTATCTGGCTTTTGGTTGCATCAGATATCATCGCAGAGGGCTCAGTGTTTACCGCAATCTTGCTAGCAGTGTTCTCTGAGCTGGAGGAAGCCCGCGCTGGGCCAAGAATCTCCGCAACTCGCTTCACCAAACCAACAAACTCCCAGAAACCCACGCTCTTGTCGTTAGGCTCTGATGATTTCTTCGGCGCGAAGAATGTATCAAGACCTGGGTTGTACCGTGCGGAATGTCCAACAGACAGGTTTGCTTGCTCTCCCATCAAGTTATCCCAATTTGAGCTGAATATAGATGCGCCCCAGGAAGTGGAAGGGACCGCACAGATTTCACCAGTCACTGGAATAGGTGCTGGAGCTAATCCCTGGGAAGCATCCAATTTTGAGCGGGTGTATTCATCATACCTCGCGATTTCCAATATGTACTTGGTTCCTTTAAGCCGATATCGGATGGCGGTTTTCTCTACAAATCTGGACACTGGCGCTGAATCCGGGAAGATCACCTTCCTTCGAGGCTTCGCAGAGATGTCACCTATGGTTGTGGTGCACCGAAAGCCAATAGAGTGCGAGAACGATTTCAAGGCAGTGTCGATGGAAGATGTCTCATAGAACTCCAAAGACTTAATCTCAAGCTGCCAGTCCGCTCTATGTAGGACTTAGTTAAATTAACTTCATAAAATTGCAAATGCCTTACCTTTCGAAATCAATGACCCCAATCTGGAGGAGAGGCTTCTTATCGCTAAACTGGCCACTCCGGCGAGGTCGAAGCCATCGCCGTTGAGTAATTTCATGGTCTTGAGCGCCTGGACTTCTCGCAAACTCCGCTTCGAGACGAAGGAGGGCATTGTTTGAACCCGAGAACTCGAAATTAACGGAATATGCTGGCTCGGCATCTTTCAGAGAACCGGACGTGCTTTCGTAGGGTTCAAGAATATCGGTAGCACTGAAACACCTGGCCAGCAGTTCACCTTGACCAACCCGCAACCTATTTAAATGGGATTAACGCCAAGGCCAAATGAAGGATAGAAGTGTCATACCCTGGAATCAAACGGCCCCTGGTCTGCTCATGCAACATCATCTCTCTAAAATCCTCAAAGCCATACGAAGGTTTGCCATCCTTAGCAACACGGTACTGGTCAAATACGAAAGAACCGAGGTTGACACGCATACGTAAATGTCCACGGACAAATGACACACCATGCAAGGAGCGTGACAGAGCGCCCAAGATGCGCACATTGTTCTTCGTCTGTATCAAAGCCCCTCGACTCTGCCACTGCTTTGCCTGAACGCCTTTCACCCTGTTCCCAACGAGAAAGGCCTTCGCAAAGAGAGTGTTTTTCTCCACGACGACCATTTCTCTCAAGTTTATCGGAGGCTCAACAATGTAGACCTTCGACTTAACATGGCCGTTGGTGATGACCTCGCCCCATTTGTTCCTAAGAAGCTGTACAATCTGCTTCATAGCATCATGGCTATGACCAAGAGCGCATATGCAGTCCGGCAGGTCCCTTGCAAGGAAAAGATGGCAGCCAAACTTCGCTCGAATTATATCGAGAGCCTCGAGTTGTCCTCCAAGGGACTCTTTGATCGGTGGCCCATCTTTTGGCCACAAAAAAAAAAGCTTAAGAACAGTGATCAGTTAGGGGACTGACGCAGCATGCAGTTCAAACTGATCTACTGACCTGTTCTGGAAAAGCTGCAACTAATTCAGGTTCCTTTCTCAGAACTAGTACCATATTTTCACGTCTTTCCTTTAAGTCAACGCCCATTTCTTTGTTTATAGAATAGGAATTGATCTTAGCCCATTCCGCTTTCTTTTTGTGTGACAGTGAAAAGCTATTGCATTTGTCAATGAGCCTTTGGAGTATTTCTTTGGCCGCAGCCACTTCTAATGGTTCACCCCACAGCTGGATAACCTGTAGTAGCTTAGCATGCTGCAAATGGTGTTGATGTTCAACTGTTAAATGGCCTACCTTGTCAGTATAGGTGGGAGGCTTTATATAGGCGCCTGTTTTCTGACTGATATCTTCGAAGACTTCAAGACCGCCTTGGGTAGTTAGGGGCGTTTTCGCTGAAATCGTTGATCTCGCTACCCCAAGGAATCTGTATGCAATGTATGATAGGCATAATGATTGATGAGGAGGGCCTGAAAATACTTACTCGTATTTGAACGTACCAAAAGACGCCGGTAATTTGAGGACACCTAAAGTGTAGCCAAATTTGTGTCAGTATGCTGACATATGTATGAAAAGAAACAAGGAAGCACTTACCAGAAGATTCAACTCCAGCTCTCCACTTTGATTTAGCAGATGAATCTCGAAGAAGGTTACTGGATTGGCGCGACGCTGCGGCATTGGAGTATGCCCGTCTAGCCCGCCCGCGTCCCCTTGTTATCTTCGGTGCGCCCCTAGCACGTCCAGAAATAGGCGCAGGAGCTGTAGTACCTGCGGCTTGCGAGGCCTGTTGCTTCCTCTGCATCTCATTCTGGGCACTTCCCTTGGGAAAGCTTGTGCGTGGCTGGATAGTCACCACATGAGCTCTTGCTACTCGGCGGCTCTTCAGTGAGGGTCGTCCATAACCTGGTAGGTTCCATTCTATACAAAATATAGACGTGCCAATAAGTAATTTACCGACGATTATACTCGAGGGGACAAGAATTAAAAGGTAAGTTTCCCTCGCTGCTGATGAATATCTTACCTTGAGCTCCTGCGGTTTCATGACTGCAATGGTGTTAGCATCTAAAGAGGAGAAAGGGGAGAAAGAGAGGGAAGGGGCAGAATCTATTCTTCGAGAAAAAGATAAAGCTTACTCCATGTATTTCTAAAGAAGTTGGTATGAAAACGCGAGGAAGGCTCTTCAATCGGAAACTATGGCAGATATGAAATGACGAGTAATAACCTGTAAACTGGGGAGAATTATGTGAGTCGAAGCTAACAGAGGAAAAGAGGAAGATACAAGAAATATGTCACATCTAGTAGACTTTAAAGTGAAACTTGGATGAGATGATGCCTTCACCTTCAAGGGGAATGACAGAGTATGTGATTGAAAGTGAAAGGGCAATTTGCTGATGGTGAAAATAGAAGGGACTGGGTCATGCGCAGAGAATCCAGTGACATGTCCTCAATATGCTACTACCAGTGGAAACAACACTGATGCCTCTGAAACTGCCGCTGGGTGGCGTTGACATCAAACAACAAAGTGATGGTTACTTGCATTCACTGATGCTGATTCAAAGTTGTTTTTAGTGAAACAATTGTATAGTTTCCTGATCTGTCAGTTTATTGATCTCACTATAGCCCTCAAGCAATATTCCTTTGCGAAAGAGATATGCATACAGTATTAGTTAAATCATTACATAGATCTTCTGAAAGAAGGAGAGAAGAAGAAATCAATAAGGCTAGAATTATATAGATCTTGAGTTTTCTGATTGGTCCAAGGCAAGCAATATGACGCTAAACCCGATATAGGTTTAAAGTGGACTGCGCGCATTCAAACGCGTTCTTCAACTTTTACCTTTCTGGTTTGTTGTTCAATTGCCGCCGACAAACACTCACACCAACAGATCTTTGCCCATTTTCTGGAAGGAAAATGGCTTCAGGCTCTGCAGATGAAGATAATTCTCTGCAGCCTTGCAAGCGCAATACGCGCAGTCAGTCTCAACAATGGATGACCAAAGGAGGTCTGGTCCGTGATGATTCTGATGACGAGCTTGGCGATCAAGACCTTCCATGGGAATGGATATATGACTCCGATTCTGTCGAGGACAAAGATGATATTTTGGCAGAAGCTCCAGAGGCAACACCGAGGTCAAACCGGAGACGCTCCTCCCGGCCTAGCACAAAGCCCCGACGACCAATCGCTGGGGCCCGGATGGGCTCGTTTGAATGCAGATTGGGTCAGGTTGTGCTGCTCAAATCCCCAGAACCGGGCAAAGATTGGGTAGGAATCATCACTGAGTTCTTAGAAGAAGAGGATGAGGCGGACGGAGAGATGGTCAAGTCGGTCAACATCATGTGGTTCGCTTCACCCGACGAATTCATGTCGACAAGGAATAAGAGACGAGCAGATGCTTTACCTAATGAGCAGTACCTTACCGCTGACTTCAATGTCAATCCAATTTCTTCTATTAATGGTAGAGCGACGGTAATGTCCAAGGATGCTTTCTTTGCCAAATATCCGAATGGTGATCCACCGAAAGGAAAGCAGGAATTGTCAGACTACAACAAGTGCATTGTCTGTCGTAGAGGCGTGAACCAACTTCAAGGGAGATACACCGAAGAATTTGTCTGGGAGGATGTCTACCGAGAGGATAAGCTCTTCGATCTTATCGCCATGATTAAAGACGGGCTGAAAAAGGCTAAAAAGCGGAAGCAAGTTGATCATGACGTGAGCTTGTTATTGAGTCTTGATTGAAGAGCACAGCGCTGACAATTACAATTAGTATGTCGATACGAAGGAAGATGAAGACTTCAAACCCACGACACCGAGGAAGAGGCAGAGATTGGCCGCGAATGCCACACCACAGTCGCGACGTCAAAAGGCCCTGACCACCCCAACACATAAGAGGTATGTGGCATAGGTCTGGCCAGATATAAGGGATACTGGAGCTAACCTCAATCGTGACAGAATCGTTGTCAAAAAGCCCCTTGAGTTTACACCGCTAGGCACTCGTGTTCTCCCCTCTTCCCATTTCGCCTCCCCATATCGCCAAGCAAGAACTCTTTTGCATGTCTCCACAGTCCCTTCTTCGCTACCATGTCGGAAGGCTGAATTTGAAACTGTATACAATCACCTTAGCGCGGCCATCATGGAGGGAACTGGAACCTGCATCTATATCTCGGGCACACCTGGAACTGGAAAGACAGCAACAGTCCGCGAGGTGGTCGCGCAGTTGAACTCAGCCGTGCTTGCAGAAGAGATGGATGACTTTATTTTCGTCGAAATCAATGGCATGAAAGTCACTGACCCACATCAATCCTACTCGTTGCTCTGGGAAGCCTTGAAAGGCGATAGAGTGTCCCCTTCTCATGCGCTTGACCTTCTCGAAAGGGAATTTTCGCATCCATCACCTCGACGTGTCTCATGCGTTGTCCTCATGGATGAACTTGATCAGTTGGTAACTAAAAACCAATCTGTGATGTATAACTTCTTCAACTGGCCTGCCCTTCGCCACTCCCGCCTCATTGTGCTTGCCGTCGCAAACACCATGGATCTGCCCGAGCGAACACTAAGCAACAAAATTTCCAGCCGTCTTGGTCTCACCCGTATCACATTCCCTGGGTACAAACACACAGATCTCATGGAGATCATAACCACCCGCTTGGCCAATATTCCAGGGAACATAGTCGACGCAGACGCTATACAATTTGCGAGTCGGAAAGTGGCTGCTGTCAGTGGCGATGCTCGACGTGCATTGGATATCTGCCGTCGAGCAGTAGAAATCGCTGAACAGTCCAGCGAGGCAGCAGTAAAGGACCCAGCTCTAGAAGACGCAAACGGAGATGAAGCCGAGTCCCTGCCGCCGACACCCAGCAAAACCCCCGCAAGAAAGGAGAGATCGACCAACAAGAAGTCCTTGTCTCAGAAAGCCCAATCACCCCAGGGGAAACCACCACAGAAACAAGGAAGTGTCACCATCGCCACTATCAAACAAGCTATCCAAGAAGCAACTTCAACTCCGCTTCAGCTCTCTCTACGCTGCCTTCCGCTCTCCGCCAAACTCTTCCTTGCCGCTCTCCTAGCTCGTGTGAAGAGAACTGGAATCACCGAATCAACCTTCGGCGATGTGCTCGACGAAGCAAAGCGAATCGCAGACGCTGCAGTTGCAGTTGGCGGTGCTGCTGGCGCAGGTATCAAAGAGTTCCTACTTAGCGGTGGCAGCGGTGCTCGCGTGCGTGCTTTGGGCTTTGCGGCTATGGAACTAATGAACTCCGGAGTTCTTGCTCTGGAGCACGGACCAGGCACGAAGGGGCCTTTAGGAAGCTCTGCCATCCCCAGTAGAGGGGACAGGAGTGGGAAGGTCAGACTTAGGGTTGCAGCCGAAGACGTGAGGGCTGCGTTCCGCGAAGACATCGAAGCAAAGGGATTAGGGCTAGGCGCAGACCAGTAAAGGTCATTCGCAGAAGCAAGACGGATTAATAATTCGAACGGAACGTCTTCGACTATGCACTATGCCACACTGTTATCACATCATGTATACTAGCTCGGCTCCTATATTCTGATGTCCTTGTCGGTTTAGACTATGTACTGTACCAGATCATTTATTAATCGAATAATGATACCCACTTGTGCGTCAAAAAGAATGTCGAACGAAGACCAGTACTACAAGACGTGATATTGAATGCGAAGTATTACCGATAGATAATAGAACAAAATTTCGAGTTGTTTAAGCTTATTATGATACAACAAGAGAAAAATCCTTTTATAATCCATAACAAATCCCAGTATTTGTAGTCATAAACAAACAGTACGTCTCGAACGCTAAACTCCATAAGTGCGTGAAGTGAACATGCCCGATTCTTGTATTCAGACCCAGACCAATGAAGGGTATAAAGATGACAGACGTCTAACAATAACAACAACCTAATATCTTTGTCTGCCAAGAGTGGGAGCCCAAGTTACGGGGTGTGACTCAGGTGTAGCCTCATCATCGGGCTTCCAGATTTTGATAGTCTTATCTGCCTCACCAGTGATCAGACGCAAGCCAGTCCGGTCGAAAGTAGAGGCCATGATACCTGCCTCGGCCTCGAGGGAACCGGGCTGGGCCATGGTATCGATCGACTGGAAGCGGTATCCGGTCTTCCAGTCCCAGAAGGACATGGAGCCGTTATCGCCACCGGAGAACATAACATTGTCTTCATTGACGGCAAGGGAATTGATGACGGCATTGTGGCCTTCGAAGTTCTGCATAAAGTCACCCTCTGGGCACTTCCATTGCTTAATGCTTCCGGTGCTGGCACTAGCGAATGTGAACTCCCGAGGATGGACGGCAAGACTTCGGACACCTTTCTTGTGGTGGGTCAAGACGCCCATTGTCTTTCCAGCCGCAAGATCCCAGAGACGAACGGTGGCGTCCAGTGAACCAGTAATAACTTGTGGGTCAGCTTCCTGGCATTTAACGTCGGCAACAGTTCCTTTGTGGCCGGCCAAAACGTGGACATTACTTCTCGTCCGCATATCCCAGACTCGAGCGACACCATCACGGCCACCAGTCACCAGCAGGTCGAGGCGAGGGTGTAGAGCAAGGGTATACACACCACTGAGATGACCATGATAGTGTCGAATAACCTTATTAGTTTCCAGATCCCAACATTTGACCATCTTGTCCTCTCCGCACGAGAAAAGATATGGATGCCGAGGGGACACAGCTAGTCCACGAACAGTAGAGATATGGCCCGTAAGGGTCAGGCGCAGAGCACCCGTCGCCAAATTCCAAATTTTAATCGTCCGATCACCAGCACCACTAGCAAACCACTCGTTGTTCGGCTCCACCGCCAGACTTCGCACCCATCCCAAATGTCCCGAGATCACTCTCATCAGCTTCCATGGCGCATGCCAGTCGGGTCTCTGCTGTCGCGTCGCGGAAGGTCGTTGAATCAGACTCTTGGGCTGGTCCTCACCGCCAACACCACCACCAGCTGGGCCGGCCGCCTTCTTCACCAGGGCCATTGAGGCACCGCTGCCATCCGCGGACGACGCTTTCGCCTGATTCTGAATTTTGGGACGCTTTGAGCGCCCAGCCACTGCCTTGACTTGCTTCTCTGCTAACACTGGCGGGAGTTCCTTCACATCTTCATATTCCGCTTTACGTCTGTAGGAAAGACCAATCGATCCATCTCCAGTCGAGGGTGTGACCATAAGATAGTCCGTGCCGAAAAGCTCAGCAGTCCTCTTCGCGGACGTGCGCACGGCTTCCTCCGGTGTAGTTGATGGAATGACGTCCATATTCATGAAAATCCCGATATCGTAGACTAAACTCGCAAATTGACTGACGAATTGTTCAGGTCGCTACCTGGTTAGTTTAGAAGGTAGGCGAATGGACGTGTCGTTCGCGTCCGAACCCCTTTGCTTGGGGTTCTGCTGATACAGTTGTCGAGAACAGCAAAGTGCTACCTCATCCAAGAGGTATATTCAGCGATCGAATGGACGACACAAGCTAGTGGTGAGAATAGTCGGAGGTTACAAAAGGCCGGTGATGACGAGTCGGGGAGATTTGGTTGCGGTTCCTTTTTTGACTTTTGGCGGAGAGCTACTTTAATGCCTAAGGCCGCAAGGTAAGTGTCAGGTGTCGAGAGGGAAGCTTCCCCTCCTCCAATAGCTTCAATCTTATCATATCCGACCCGCATCTATAAATTCGATATCACTCCTCCATCATGGATTCCCAACGCGACGCTAAATTTCCTCTGCACGTGGCCGCTCGAGAGGGAAGGAGTAAGTGTTACTCACTACCTTATTTAAATATGATAGTCACCAACTATTGACAGCTCAAACGGCCGAGTCACTACTAAACGTAAGTGCTCCGGCAGCTGCCCCGCACTATCCGGAGCTGTCCATCCATCTTCTTTTCGTGATCAAACCAGTCGCACTTATATCATGGATGCTTATGATCAGATCCGGTAGGCCAATCCGAAGCTAGCGACTGTCAAAGATGACGACGAGCGTCTTCCCATCCACTGGGCCGTAGCATACAATCGGCTTCCTATCGTGGAGCTATTAATGTCCACCAAGCACTTCGATCCAGATGTTGAGGTAAAATCCCTCGCCTACCTACGGGGCTGCTATCTACGCGAAAACAACCCCAACCAAATTTGATCAGTCTCTTACTATCTGTTTTAGGATGGCTCAGGCTGGACCCCATTAATGATTGCGGCCAGTCTAAAAGATGCCGAGGGAGACCCTATCATTGACCTACTATTGAAAAAGGGAGCCGACGTAACTGTTCAGAGTAACTCAGGCCAGGTCCGTCTAACCCTAGTCAGTCAGATATGTGCCGATTCACTAACCATAGCACCAACTCTAGAATGCTCTCCACTTTGCAACCTCCAAAGCCAACCTTTCTACCGTCCGCACCCTAATAGCCAACAAATGCAGCGCCAGAGTGAAAGATAAGCGTGGGCAGTTAGCACTCCATCGCGCTGCAGCCATCGGATCTACGCCTATCATAAAGGTCCTTCTCCAGGAGGGGAAAAGCCCCGTCAACGCTACGGATATAGACAGTCTGACTGCTTTGCATCATGCCATCTCCGAGGGCCATGGGGACGCCGCGATCACTTTGCTTAAGGCTGGTGCTGAAGCGGATAAGAGGGATGTAAATGGCGTTTTGGCCATTGATATGGCACCCGATGCCAGTGTAAGTTTATATAATACACCCTTCCTGACTCTCCCTCTATGTATCGTGAAGCTAACATCGTCAAGGTTCGAAAATATATTCAGCAGACTGCTGAAATGGAGGGCATAGAAATATAAGACACGAGGAACATGGTTGTGGATGCCCTCGGCCTTTCAGTGCTCATAATACTGTTTTAATATCAACAATCAAAAGAGTCATGATATTTTTTGCTGAGAAGTCCGGTTTCGCATAACATCGTCTATCGGTATCAAAATTCCAGGCCAAACTATGTACAGAAGTAAAACGGATTATTTTGCAAGAGATATCAATAGATTCATTTCATGGTACTATCCACCAGTTCGCGGTAGATTTTCTTCATTTCAGCAATGTCAGCCTGAAGCTCTTCCACTTGCTCACTCTTTTCACCCAGCATCTCGAGTGTAGTCTCATAACGCTCGTTTATTTCTGAAAAGCGTGTCTCTAGCTCTTGGATACGAGCATCTGCTGTCTTCTTCTCTTCGGATTCCCGCATCAGATCCACAACCTGCTGTCGGGCTTCATCGCGTTGACTAACGATGCGAGTGAGCTCATCTTTCGTGGCAGCTCGTTCGCTTTCCAGCCGACGAACCGTCGCACTCATGCGCTCCACCAGCTGGACTGATGGACCGGCCCCAACAGTAGATTCCGAGATAATGTCGTTAATCCCACGAGAATTTTGGGTCAGCGCCCCACCATAAGCAGATGGCGTGCCCGACCGAGAGAAGTCGTCTGGCTCGAAAGTCATAGAGCGGTTGTCTGCAAACTGCGAGAAAGACGCGCTGTTTACTGGAGGGGAGAGCAAACCAGACGTAGACGCGGGGAAAGAGTTCTGTCGTGTTGGTGTGGCCACATCTGGCGACGCTGTTGGTAGCGTTGAGGGCCGGCGACTTGATCGTAAGTCAGTGAGAGAGCCTACAGGCTCTAAGTTGCTCGGGCGGCGACTGTACGCTACTGGTGACTCAGTGCGTCGTTGTTGGGTGAAAATGGCAGCAGGGACAGCCTGCTCGCGCCATTTTACTCGCTCTTCCTCGAGTTTCTGCGCCCATGTTGCATCGCATACCTTCTTTTGTTCAGCAAAATCTTTTTGTGCCGCGACTAAGTCGTCCGCAGCCTTTTGAAGCTTCTGCTCCAATTTTTGGAGCTCCTGTGTACGTTCCTCGAGTTTGCTTTCAAGACCGTGCTCAACATCTTTGGCGTTCTCAAGGTCCTCCTCGGCCCTCTTCGCCTTGAGATTCTGTACATACAGGTTAGTACTTTGTTGTACGTAGATGCTAATGACTCGGGACGAATCATTCTTACCACTTCTCGAACTCTCCGTCGCAGGTCTCCTTCCCGGCGTGTAGCTTCGTCTCGTTCTTTCTCTACATTCGCTAAGCGCGCAAGTAGTGAACCCTCTAACGCCTGCCAATTTTCACTAGCAACGGCATACTGCGTCTGCAATGTCTCGATCTGACGTAAAAGCTTCGCCTGAGTATCGCCGGCCACCCCGGAAGAAGCCTCTTCCGCTTTAGAGCGAAGAGACTCCATCTTGCTTTCCAAGACAGACTGCTCGTTCTTCAATTCAATCTCCAGTATTCGTGCCCTTTCCTTCTCTTGTTCGATGGTATTCTTGAGATCGCGTATCTCTGTCTTCAATCTCTCTTCATTTTCTTCCCTATCGGCCTTGGTGCTTGCCAGTTCCTCTTCCAATTTGGCAGCATGGCGCTTTTCCTGCTCTAGAGCATCCGACTGGGCTTTGGCTTCAGCCGCCTCAGCCCGCGCGACTGCTCTGGCAAGTTGACCTTTCATCTCCTGGACGGTCTGACTCAGCGCATCCCGCTCCGCTGTAACTTTGCCGAGATCTCGGGAGGCTTTTGACTGGGAGGCTAGTGATTCACTTGCTCGTTTTTCGGCAGCTTCAGCGCGCTTAGCCCTGGCGTCAGCGTTGGCCAAATCTCTTTCTAACTTGTCCGTTTTCTTTTGGGTATCAGCCTGAGTTTTCGAGTTTTCCGCCAATTGCTGTCGAAGCTTCTTGATTGCCGTGCGGTGGTCCATCTCGGATTTCGACAGTTTCTGACCTTCTTCAAATAACAATGCGATCTTCTCATCCTTCTCTCGGAGCTGTCTTTCCATACTCCCAGGCTCTGCCGACCCCGCCGCTTTCTTGGCGGAATCGGCAGCTTCCTTGGTCAAGAACTTCAACTTCGATTGCAATGCATCAATCCGTTCAATGTATTCGTACATCTCCTCTTGCCAACGTGACTCTGCTGTCTTGTGTTCTGCCTGTAATTGAGCGACCGTTTTGTCAGTACCGTTAGGGACAGGTTCGACTATATCACTCGAAATGTCTGCTGTTGCTTCCACATATTCCTCCGATGAGTCTGGCTTGTCCGTTTCATTTTCCTGTGAGTGTTCTTTGGCGCCATTCTCTCGTGTAAGTTCCGTGATCTTCGAATCAGGTCCTAGTGGGTCGGTATCATCTTGTTTCTTGGGCGACGTGACTATATCTTCGGAGTTCCGTGGTGAATCGCTGTCATGGTTTGCTCTAGAGGCTGCTACTGGAGAAGGACCGTCGGTGTGAGTGAGGTTCTGGGAGCTTTCCTCAAGATGAAGACTGCTCCGGCCAAAATTCGATTCGATGTCCATACTCGACCGCGCGCCATTACTCGGGACTGGGCTAGTAACTGGGGAAGAGACTCGACTCGAGGATTGAGAAGCAGGATTGCCGGCTGTATTAGATTTGACGACAGCTCGAGCCAGGCGCTCCTGAAGGCGATCATTTTTCCGCGCATTGGACGAACTTCGCGAAAGGTCTATATCGATTAGTATGCGATAGGATGAGAGTGGGTTCTGATCAACCCGGGAAAGCCATACTACCAGTCTGATTCTTCGTCGCTGTACTTGGCTTTGGCTGTAGCTGTTGACGTTGCTCCTCATCGGCCAAAATCAAATCCAATTTCGATTCGACGCCAGCGACAGCTTGTTGGAAAAAGGAACCGACTTTCCACTTCGGTTGCGCCATGTTGATAAAGTTCCGATTAGGAATGATCCTATCACAGTTTAGAACCAGCCACTTCTAGCAGCAAGTCGTACTAGCCCGCTGACATGAGAGGTAGCAGACTTTAGCGAAGACGGTGATGATGGGCTCTGATATTTGTCCGTCGTCACAGGCACGCCAATGTAACCTTTGCTTTTTGCGGGGAAAAGGAACGTGGGGAGGCAGATATATAGGGAACGAGGGGATCGAAACGAACGATAGACTAGGGGATATGAATGAACATGAAACAGACAAAAGAAAAGTCAACCACGTAGCAAGAGTTGCGAATCGTTGGCTTGCGTGGACGAGGCAGAGAGATTACTGATTGAATGGGGCTTAGTATGGGTCTTGGCGGGAGGATGGGGAATAACGTGAACACCGCCGGAGCTTTCCTCCATTCGTAACACCCTATCATCATCCATAGATCCTCCTCCATCTTCAACTTCCCCTCCCCAAACGTCTCGGTCTTCTTCACTTATAACTGTTCCGGGTAGGCTCCATCTCTACCCTGAAATACCGGAACGATGTCGACCATATCTCTGGAGTCTCCCGCCTACCTCAGCTCCCTCCAGAATAACATCCGAGCTCGGCCTATACCGTGGGAGGGAGCTGTCCGAGCTGGTAACATCACCGATGATCATCTAAAGAAGATCAAGGCGGTGGACAAGGTTCGCAAAGACCAGAGACGCCAGACTGTGGAGGCGGACATTCCAGGCTACGTAAGCCTGCTCTCTGGAAGTCCTGACGCCAAGAGCGTTCTGGATTCGGCTTCCAAGAGGACCGATATTGTACAGTATATACTAGTGCTGGCAGCGGACTTGATCAATGGTGAGCATTTTTCTGCCCCCAAAGTGGGTGCTAAATTGCAAAAGTCATACTGATCCGATTGCTTTATACTGTAGATGTACCAGCCCTGCCGTCTGCCCTAATCGCGCATCCCGATCCCTACAAGCCATTCCTTCCCCTCTTGCGTCATTCAACGAATGCCGAGGATCCCATTCCGCTGCTCACTTCTACCTTTCTGACAAATCTTGTCTCTATTAGCCTTGCATCCTCGTCTAAGTCTGCAGCGCGAGATGAAGAGGCGCTTCCACAACTGTACACTTATCTGTCCAGTTTGACCCAGAGCCAGGACAGTGGGTTGCAAGATATTGGGGTACAGGAGCTGTCGGCATTGCTTCGCACATCAAGGTCTCGGGAGATCTTCTGGAAGCAGAGGAGAGAAACAGTTGACCCTTTAATCAAGATTCTACGTGCGGCGACCGGAGGCAAAGATACCAGCTCCAGCACCGCGGCTGGCAGTTCGCGGGCGATCGAGCCAGGTCTCTCCGGCGGTGTTGGGCTCCAACTCTTGTATCGCGTTCTTCTTGTTCTCTGGCAGCTAAGTTTTGAAGGCGGATTAATTGGTGATGACCTCCAAGCGTATGTAATCCCCATCGGCTTAATAACCTGTAACCTAACCTATACTGACGTCCGCAGGGACTATGAATTCCTCCAGTTGTACACCTACCTTCTGCGCCTCTCGCCGAAAGAAAAGACAACGCGACTTCTTCTTGCCACTCTTAACAACCTTCTTTCTTCCAACCGTACGACTCTACTGCCGGTTGCGGTATTTGTTCGCATACCTGCCCTTCTTTCGAACCTCTCTGGTCGCCACCTGACCGATCCCGATCTTGTTGAAGACCTGAAGACTGTCTCGGACATGCTGGATGAGTACACCAAAACACAGACGACCTTTGATCAGTACGCGGCAGAGCTGCAGTCAGGTCACCTCCGCTGGTCGCCGCCCCATCGTAATCCTACATTCTGGAAGGATAACGCCCGACGCATCCTGGATGATGCTAACCTCCCTAAGAAGCTAGCTGAGATCATGTCAAAGGAGTGGGACAACGACAAGCAGGTTCTGGCGATTGCCTGTAATGATGTGGGACACCTGGTCAAGGAGCTACCGGGACGACGGGCACAGCTGGAGAAGTTAGGATTAAAGGCGCGAGTCATGGAGCTGATGGCCGACAAGGACGAGTCGGTACGATGGGAAAGTCTTCGAGCAGTGGGCGAGTGGCTTCGGTATACCTTTGACGGCTGATTGGTCCTCATGAGATGCGTGTTACTTGTGATTATATTACCCAGTGTCTGTTACTTCTGAGCTTGCTTTCGACCTTTGCCGATATAGAGATAATAAGCTGCATTGTATTGATCGGCAGCGTATATCGGCTGTCATTATTACAGTGGAATTAGCGGTGTGAATTTATGGGATGAGTAGCCGTCCTTTTTTTTTTGGTTCTAGAACATGCTTGGTTGGCATGCGGCCGAATATGCAACCCCACGGGTTGTGGCAAAAGAACCTTTTGTGATACTTTGGGGATTTATCCTACCCTAACCCCGCATTTAAATAGGGAGAGTCTGGCCAGCATATACTTGGGAAGACCCCGAAAATCGAGAGAAGCCAATACGGAAGTTCATCTCCGAGAGCGCTTTTGAATCCTCTTCGCGAGTTCTCCATAGTCTGTACAAATCCTAGTCACGGTGGATCTCCGCCTGGATGATCGGCCGCTATACAGGACTCCGCGGGTCCGTTATCTTCATTCCCACTGATACGACTGGGGGGATTCGTGCCACTTTCTCGTTGCGCACAGAGTACCGATATTTCGCTAGAATATTTTCTTCCCATTTCTGCTGTGCAAAGGGGATTTTCTACCGGTATAGAGGATATTCTAGGCACACCAGAAACAGCCGAGGCAACGGAAAGGAGAAGGGTTCAAGACAGAGATAACGGCAGAAAAAAAGAAGGTGAGAGAAAAAAAAAGGTCGAAGGAACAAGGCGGCCGTTAGATCGGCCACATTAGGTCCGATCTCATGTCTCGATCATTTACCGGTTGCAAACGATGTAAATCCAGACGACAAAAATGTGATGAACAGCGACCGACATGTGGGCGATGTAAAACGGCTGGGGCGCAATGCCGGTATGCGATGCAACTGCAGTGGGGAGGAAGAGCCTTTTCGCGCTCGAGATTCGGGGCCTGTGTGGGACATGGGGGCATGCAGAAACTCGGTAGGTCACTGTTCTTCCTCGTACTCCGCTACAGTCTTTGCTTTTGCCGCCCTTATGCCTAATGTGTCCATCTAGAGTACTCACCCGGCGAATTCATCTACACTACGAAAGCTTCACCTCCCCCCCCTGAATCTTTTGCCCTCACACGACCTGTCGATCCGTTCTCCTCGTTGTCGTCAGACCAAAAGGCTCTCCTTCACCATTTCCTCAACGATGCCTCTCAAATAACCGCCTGTCACTCGGGCATGCAACGGGACATCTGCCAGATGCTCGTTCCCATGGCCCTTCAGACTCCATCTTTATTATATGCGACGATGGCTCTGTCAGCGATCCACCTACAAGCGCTGCATAACCAGTCCGAAAACGTCAAATCGGCGCCCGAGATAGCTCGGTTCATGGCCCTCAGTTTGGAACATTTTCGGGCGGAGCTTCAGGATCCAGATGTCAAGGGCTCGGATGCGCTGTTAGCGACTGCGCGTACACTTTGTCTCGCAGAGATCCATTCGGGGGCCATTCATCCCAATTCATGGAGGGCCCATATTGAAGGGGCCAAAGCTCTGATGGATGCTTGTGATACCCGAGGAGCGTTATCGCCGCGGTCGTCGGATGGGTTTAGGAGGTATCTGGATCGATGGTACCGATCAATTGTTTCACTCACCGCGTTAACAGGCAACGGACCGCCCATCGGGGAAGTTGCGGACCAGAATAGCTTGAGTACCAACAACCAACAAGATTCTCCGGATTATCTTGACGATTACTGGGGGTTCACGGTCAATCTCGCAGCGATCTTTCGTGGGATAGGGGCCGCCGCTTGGCGCAGCCATCCGAACCGACAAGGCGACATGGCGCAGGGGGACGAACTCAGTACCCACCACGAGGCCGCAGTCCTCGAATCGTCAGTTCGGCGGTTGATGGATCAGAAAGCTAGCTCGCAGCCTGAATTTTACCCAGGGGTGGTGGAAGGGCTGTCGAGCGAGTACGTTCGTCAGTTCATCCTCTGCAATGAAGCATTCCAGCATAGCGCACTCATTCAAATCCATCGTCGGTTGCGGAAAATGCCGGCATCATCGCCGGAGGTCCAGACATCTGTCAAAAGGATCTTGGAATGCACAGCTCAGATCGGACCCTCGGCAGGGCTTAGCCCATGGACGATGCTTACCACACCGTTATTCATTGCGGGCTGCGAGGCAGGGGGCGAAGACCGAGAAAAAGTCCGCCAATTGCTCTCATGTTTGCATGACACGATCCGAGTGCCGAATGTGCTACAGTCTCTGCGATTCTTAGAGCAATACTGGGCGAGCCAAATTGACGAGAATGAAGGTTGGAGTCAGTTCCTTGGTACGTTTGCTTAGTTTTTCTCCCGTCTAGATTACATCTGCTGACTGCAGCACAGATCGAATGAAATTTGACTTTATCCCCTATTGAAAAGGGTTTGGGGGTAGGATCATGCTATTTATGTTCAGAATGCCAAGAGAGCGCTTGGGATGTTCATGTTTCTAATGATTTTACGTGTATATCAGATGACTACAAGAGCTGTGGCACCGGCTGACTTTTGTACATCATTGTTACGGTCTATGGGTTACGTTGGTTTAAGCGGAACGCGGTGTTGATGGGGACTTCAATATGTTGGTATTTTCAGCGATTCTGTGTGTATATCTATTTGCTTTTGTTCGGAAATCAACGTAAACTTTGTACGACTTGAATCTAGGTTTATACTATAGTATTATATATACTCTGACAGGCGTCAAGAAGTTCATGCATGACCCGTCACACGTCACGTTCCTGCTGAGGTTAAATCCGACGGGGACGATGGACGTATCAGAAACACTGTTAAGGGGAAAGAAAGTCTTATCCCTCGAGGGCGAAAGGCGGTTGAGTCAAGAGTCTCGTCCTACGGAACTACTGACTCAACCCTTGCAGAAAAACGCCTGTCAATTTCTTAAATTAGCATTCCTAAGGGTTGTGGTCTCATTGTTGGCGCTTCAACGGGGATAATGATTGGGCCATCCCTTGCGCCTGGGAAGATAGGGCTAAATGGCGCCAGGTCTCGGACCTTTGGTTAAAAAAAAATCGGGTTTCAAATTTAGGAAGAAAGCGGCAATTTGGGCGCTTCGGAGTGATTCATTGAAACAAATAGAAACTTGGGTTTCCAGGTGGCGCTTAACTATCAATTGAGAATACATGGAATGGTTTACCTTTTTCTTCCTGTCTTTTTCTTTTTGACATACACACACACACTCTCTCTCTTTTTTTTTTTTTTTCTCCCTAACTTTTCCCTGTTCTTGTTTGTCCGGTACTGTTTTCTATATTTTGTCGGGGTACTGTACGTGGGACTATTTTGATCCCGACTATTGCGCGCCTATTCTCCTTCCATCGCGGTCTAGATTGGGAGGTTCCCCATTCGGAACGTCTTTCAGTGGCCGTTTCATGTTATATTTAGTTCGGGGTCTTTTCTGATCCTGGTCCCAACCGTTCTCGTCCTGATGGAGCTGCTCATGGTCGAGTTATGTAAAAAAATATAGAATCATAAAATTGGGCCCAAGTTCCTTATATAGTACTTTCTGTAACACCCAAAGAACCCAAGTATCTGGCGCACTAAAGGACTTTGTAAGTATTGATGCCTGGTCGACACCTGAGCGGTGAACCTAGCCCTTACTGTTACATACTACAGCATCTGGAGAGAGGGAGAATTGTCATCCAATCAATGGGCCGGTGGAGAAACCGCACTGACTCCAGAGCTTCAAGTTGGTCCGAGTGCACAAGCAATCATTCACTATGGCGATTCGCCGGTTGACATTCGAACCAACCGCTGTAGGTGATAGATGTTGGCCCACGAGCTAGTCGATCTTTGCATATCACTTGTTCGGAGGAGAATTACCTGACTTTACCTAGTTCTGGTTTGTGAGCACTACTTGGGAATTTCTTATTACTGTATATTGGACATTGCTCAGACCATAGTGGCACTCCCATGATCCACCATTGTCCCAGGGAGATTGTCGACACCGTACGATGGGATGCGATGGGATCATAACATGTGAGCTCCTTCTAAGTCGTAGACTACTTTTTGTTGACGTACCAAGTACATTCAGTGGAAATGCCCCTGAGTCCAGAGTATGCATAGGAGTGGGTCCGTCCTTCACGGTTCACTTGCGATCGGCCGCCCTAGTGGGGAGTTAGTGGCCGCTTGTGAGCCGTCCACTGTTTGTCTTTTATTACCTTTTTTGCTTTCTTGGAATCCTAGAGATCTGCTATCTACAGATGATCTGGCCTATGTACTTGGATCTCGGTATGCGGTCGAGATCATTTCGCGATTCAACCGGTTATATAGAAGATATTATACTGTATTTTGGTAGATGTCTAAGAGCTGTAACGCCACCTCAGTAAGGAGGAAATCTTTTCTTTTTTTTTTTTTTTTCTTAATATTTTAACCGCCCAAGATCCATCCATGCTTAAGCGGCCAAAAATTTCCAAGAGATACTTTATAAAAAGGCCCCACATCTTTGGTGTCTTCCCCCGAATCAGGTAATTCTCACTATTAGACCGAACCGCCAATCTTTTTCTCCTTTCCCACCCCTTAGTCTTCCTCCCCCAATCTGCTAGTCACCTTCGCGCTCTCCTAGGGGAAAGAAAGAGAAGAAGAAAAAGGAAGAAAAACTCCTTTTTCCAATATTCTTTCAAATTCAAAACACACGCTATCCAGGTCTATCAGTTCCCACCCTGAGACTACCCCTAAAGTCTCCATCCCCCGGCGCGTGCCATCGCCCGTGCTTGCTCCCCCCCAAGGAGTCAAGGCTCATCGTCGCCATGAGGGTGCGTCGATCTTATGCCCCCGTTGGTCAATGGAGGCTTTTGATTCTCTCTCCCCTTTCCTGTTTCTGATTCAATTTGAATTCCACTATAGCATGTTCCTTGGCCGATTTGGTTTCGCGCTCTCCAGTAAAAGTTAATACGCCTGTCATGGCCCCAGGCTGGGCTTCTCCGCCTGCTCCTGGCGCCTTGTCGTTGAACACTACTTCCGCCGTCGCCTATCAACCACACCATCAAGGGACTGGTGACACCAGCGGCTGGCCAAGTCCTCCTCCCTCCGCTTCTTCCACAACCGCTCCCCCTCATCCTCTCCCCTCGTTTACTTCTCCTACGACTACCACTTCCCCCGTGCGCAGGAAACCGCTTCCCCAGAATGCGTCCGCTGTGATACCCCTTCGCCGGTCCGAGTCCTCTTCTGGTTCCACTGCCTCCTTCCCCGGAGGCGTATCGCCTGCAGATCCTCCAATCCCTGTCACGAGTACATCTGACGTGAAGAATCATTCTCGGCCCACCTTGTCCCAGTCGTCTTTCTCGGTTCCAGAACAGGCGGACCCCTCCCTCTTTGTTCCCAGGGATCTGGATAGGTATGAAAGCCGTGGCGCTCTTTGTTCCTTTTCCCTCTTATCCGCCGCCTCCCCCCGGGCTGTGATCTTCTGTCACACGCGCTTGGTCCCCACTTGGAAAGTGAACTCTCCATGCCCATTCCTCCTGCAAACGAGTCACAACTAATCCCGCTCTGTTCTTGACTACCCTCAGATTTCCCCGTGCTGGACAATCCGCGCCTCTTCGCATCAACGCAACTACCTCTTTCATTGATTCGTCCGACGACGACGTTGACGTTGACGCAGAATACGGCTCCCAATTTACGGATGGGGGGCCAGTGCATAGTCGTCTCGTCAGCGAACCGTTTATCCCGGTACTCAAATCTCCCTCTATGGTGCAGAAACGGGCAACGACCATGCCCCTGCACCCACCGTCGAACCGACCCCCACCCCTCCACATTGATTCTGGAGGACGTTCCGTGTCCGGCCCTGTAGATAGCAAACAACCAAAGACCCCCGGGCACAAGATCAGCTCGTTCTTCGGCTGGCGAGCTACCATTACTACGTCCCCCGGCGCAGAATCCTCGAGCACTGAAGTCTCCGATACTGGCCATTCCCCACTTCCATCCCCGTTGCCAGCTTCCTTACCTAGTGCGATGACACCGTCAACGACGGTGCCTTTCGATGCCTCCAAGGCCTTTCCGCCGCGGAACCCATCCCTTAGCAGCTCCGTGATGTTGGAACCTGCGTCCTCCTCCGCGCATGCAGCCGAGCTCGAAAATGAACTGCGGGAAATCAGTGCCGAGTTGGCGGGTTCCATCCGGCGAGAGATGGAGCTGGAGGATTTGGTAGAAAGGCTCCAGTCGGAAATGCCTCTGGAAGGTAACCGCCGTACAAGTGACTATTTCTCCGATTCGGGCACCAGTTCCATTCGCTTGGTATACGATGGGCGGATCGACGACGTCGAAAAGTATCGGCGGGCGTCGGAGCAGGAACGGGCTCAATTGAAAGTAGATCTGACGCAGAAATGGCATGAAGAGCGGGCGCGCCGGGCCGCAGCTGAGTCACATGTACAAATATTAGAATCACAAGTACATCAGGTATGCTGAAATATCTCTTTTCATTACCGAATATGGAACTAACTAGCGTTCATCAGCTCCGACGAGAGAGAGTAGACCTCTCTGACATATCTTCTCGATCAAAAGAACTCGAGGCTGCGTTGGAAGCTACTCGCAGAAAATTGGCGGAAGAACGACAGATCAAAGACAATTTTGAAGACTTACTGACCGCCATGCGAGTAGAGCTGGAGCAACTTCGAAATGAACGGGACCATCTCCGTGACCATATTATTCCCGAACTGAAAAACAGTGGAGGGCCTGCGTCCGACGCCTCAGAGGTCCAGCGACTGCTGGAAGAGCTCGAAGCCCTGAAGATTGAGAATGCCGCGTTGGCACAGCTGCAGGGCGGTCGATTCGCTACCATATCGGAGGATGGAGGTACTCCCAACCGGAACTCCGGGGTAGGATTGTCACGCTCGAGCTCAGTAGCTCGGATGCACTCAAAGCCTACTGCTATACGGACCGGACTATCGCGCTCCAATTCTCTGTCCCAGTCGAGTCCAGTGTCTGCCAAGGAGCGTGACACACGGGAATCAATGGCAGATCGAATGGAAAGTGTTGAGGCACAGCGCGATGCGCTCCACCAAGCTCTCCGGCGCTTACTCGATCGCCAAGCTTATGAAGCCCGGGAATACGAGAAGCGTACTCGACTCCTAGAGCTAGAACTTGCCCACGTACAGCAATTGGGATCCCCGCGAAGACTAGGTTATGAGAGAGAGGTCCGTAACCTGAGAGATGAAGTGAACCATCTCCGACAGCGCGCCGACGAGGCGTTGGACCAGAAATGGCAATGTGAAAAGGGATTGGCAGGAATTAAGATGGACCTTGACCGTGCTGAGCAGGAAACCACATCCCTTCGGATATTGCTGCAGGAGCACGATGTCACCATCCCGGATGACCTCGCGGCCGGCCAAGAAGGGTTTGCGGAGGTCCTGGCCACCTCGTCGTCATTGGAGTCCGCATATAAGCAACTCCAGGCTGACCGGGAGCACGCTGAAGCAAGCGCCGCCCAGTCACCTCTGGAGGAGCATGGCCAGTTAGCAGCCTCGGTCAGTCGAACGGAAAGCCTAGCGCAGCATGTGCGCCATCAGCTAGAGACAAATAACGCGTTACGCAGCCGCCTAGCAAGCGCTATTGGCAAAGGCGAGAAGGAGCAGCAGATCTCAGCAGCTCGGATCGACGAAATGCAGGCACGGCTCAAGGAGTTGGAAGACACTCTCCTGATGGCCCAGCAACATGCCGAAGACGAAATGGCCCGACATGAAGAAGAGATTCGCCATATGAATGAAAGCCACAACGCTCAGTTGTTTCGAATGAAGAACGGTGCCCGTAGCCCCGCCGGCTTGTCACCCATACCGCCTTCCTCACCCTTCGGTGCACGCTCTCCCCGCCTAGATAAGACCACCAGCGGTGATGGAATTTCGCTAAGCCAGGCGGTAAAGCCGGAGGCCCTGGAGCGACGAGTGAAGGAACTCGAGAGACTCCTCCGCGATGCCGACACGGAGATGGAAGAGGTTGTTAGCCGCATGAACCGAGCACAGATCGAAGTGGCTGAACTCCAGTCTGACCGGTAAGTATCATTGATTCGTATAATTCTTCTTGCTTGGGATATAACTCTAACATGTGATGCGATAGGGACGAAGCCCTTCGTCAAACCCGGAAACTCCAGGCGGAGATTCAGGCTGAGCGAGCAGCCTTTAAAGCCCTAGAGGGCTAATTTATTCCCTTCAAGATCATGTTACGCTATTTATCTTGTGTATATATACTGATGATTCTGTCCCCTGGCGCTTGGTGTCGGTATCGCGGCGTTACATAGAGTCGCTATTTCTCCTTTGGAGGCGCATTGTAGCGACTGGTTTCTGTTTGGCCCAGACCGCAACTGTTTGGGCGTTGTGCATATTTGACGATTTTTGTATATGGCCGATTTTGAATCCACGAGGGATGTGGACATGTATATATTGCGATCACGATGTGATCAAATTTAATTCATATAAGATAGAGACGGGGGTTGGAAGAGTGAAAGCAATAAAGTCATTCCTGCATGCAGAGTCATAATATTATCCCTTCCGTGTGTTTGTTTGGTTTGTTCCCATATTGATTTCAATGATTTGCCTTGATCTGGCCTCTTAAGGAATGCACATGTCTCACTTTCCTCAGACATCCAACAACCATGCTTCAGTGCTCCCATAGCGGTGTTAGGAGGTTTTCGGCTCCTTTATGAAGTGCTAGGTTATTGCTAGAACGAGTTTGACCCTTCGGCTTCTCTATCCCATCGAAACCCAAGATCACATAGTTGAACGCCATGGACTTCCTCCCCGGTATGTTATGATAACAATACACACCTGCCCAGAGTTATCGCTAACGCCGGACAACAGAATCCATCAGATCTCTGATCCAAGAGAATCCTACAATCCAACAACTCACCTCATCCTCAATCACGTTTCACGTCAATAACGCCCGCACCACATACCTCGATCCCTACATTTCGCACGTGAAAGCAACATATCTGGACCCGTACATCATTCAGCCACTTGCTACCATGCTTGCATCTTCAACGCCCGACCTTGTCTCGGTCCTTATCCTTGCTCTCATTCTCATCATCTCTCTCAAGGTCTTGGACTATGCACGACGTGTCGTCATGTTCTGGGTAATGTTGGTGCTGCGGTTGATCTGGTGGGGTTTCATTCTCGGCGCTATCTTGTACGTCTACAATGCTGGATTTGGGAAGACCGTTCGGGATTTAGTGTGGTTCTACGGTTTTGCAAAGGGATTCGTCGAGAAATTCCAGGATGGGTTTGAGGGCGGTCGGAGATCGTCGTCAGTTACTGGAGGCTGACGTCGGGATTTCCAGGTCAATATGGGGAGGGACTGAGTTCTGGCCGCTTCCGCGGGCTCTTTACGAATTACGTGTGATTGATCTTTACTGCGGGTGTATTTGGGTACATTCTGCGAGTGCCGATTTCGGGAGTTGGCGATGATCATCACTGCTTCTAGTCTTGGTTGCTGTGCTTTTGACTCGTTGCATTTTTACCAAGTTAGGATGATGGTGATGTATACATTATTGTTAGTATTATTTGCGATATTGTTTGCTTTCATGATGGACGTTTTTTTGCGTCGTTTAAATACATGATTTCTATATCATGGCATTTCCTGCGCCCGTGGTGATGGAGTCATTGCTCGTTGTTTGGGTTTCACGCTGAGAGCGCTGGCGCTTATCCCCGGGGCCGGCTAAAGGCGATCCTCCTCGGGTCTGCCACGGGGATCAAAGCGTATCAGTGACCTTCTGGTGCGGTCGGATAATAACAGCTTGGTTGGAGGGACGACATGATTCCGTCTCATCGCCGCCCGCAGCTCCCACATATATGTTCTAACAAGACTAGTTTGGATAATTAATCCCTTCATAATTACCATCGATCACATGTCTGCGTCCTCGTAATTGACCTCGCGCTCATCTTGGGGTTCGCGCGGTTCTTGGGCCTCGTGGAATTGAGTCGCATCGTCGATGTGGCTCAGAACTGCAGCGACACTGTCCTCGTCCTGCACGTTAAGTTTCAGAAACGAGACCATACTGAAGTCATCGATGAGTTGACCGACAGCCCGGTTAAGCTGTTTGAAGGAGCCACCGCTCAGCAAAGAATCTTTGGACGACGGGTCTCCCACCGCATCCGCGTCATCATCCTGAAGCATTTGCACATCCACATTGGCGAACCGCTTCAGTTCTTTGCGAGACACCATGTCCTGAACCTGGTCCATCTTAGTCAAAATATTTACATGGGGCATCTCGAGCATCAGCATCGCGGACATGGCACTCAAGGTGCCAGCAAAGAACTTGGCCTTGTCGACGACAAAGGTACTCTCAAGGAGATACGCTGCACAGAGGTTGATGTTCAGAGGACCCGCGCGCGACAGGAAATTTACCAGCGACGGCAATAGGGGAATATGTGTGTAGAGCTCGATCTGGCCCGGCATGTCGAATATAATCAGATATTCCTCGCTTAATGGATCCAAGGCTTCCGATAGGAAATCCAAGTTTTGCAGGAGGAATTCAAAACAATATATAAGGCCCCCATTTGGCCCCAGGCCCAATTCTTCCATGACATCCTCCAAAGTGATCAGCTCGCGGATATCCAGATCAGGCTCATAGCTGAAGCTTTCGGCGGCCGGATCCAGGTTGACGTAGAAACAGCTTCGGCGAGTATGCTGGAGATGTTGGATAACGGCATTGCAAAATGTGGTTTTTCCAGCACCGGCTGGCCCCATTACCAGGACACCAAACTTCGACATTTTCTGAGGTAATATACGCGGGGTAATGGAGTTTATTGATTCGTGTACGGAGTATTGCGCTAAGCCGCTAGGTAATTGAATTGATGCACAAGCAAGACCGGGAGCAACAAGGCATCACCATGCATTAAGCAAGGGGCTGGTTAAATCAGTAATGCGTATGACAGATCCACGTCAATGTCACCGTAAACGCCGCACTAAAAATGTCAGCCGTGGACAAATTGGGACGAACAGAAGGAATATCCTGCACATTCACTGTCGGACATCGGGGATTGGCGCGGATCGCTAAAGGCGCGACTTTTTCTGCCATGGGAGACCGCCGGAGGAAGATGGCGCCATCGGCGGTACATTAATACGGCCAGATTCCCCTCGATCTTTTCTCCTCCTCCTCCCCCTCGTCTTTTTTCCCTCAGATCTCATCTCATCTCACTGATACCCCCTCTCTTCTTCCTTCCCCCCAGTTGGATTTAGCATTCTTCCTCCGTCACCCTTATACTCTCTTTCTTCATTTCTTCTCTCCCTGCTTTAATCTAATCACATCCTTCACAATGGGCTCCGTCGCAAACCTCCCCAAGTCCGGCACTTTCCTCTTCACCTCCGAGTCCGTCGGAGAGGGCCATCCCGATAAGATTGCGTTCGTCCCTCCTTTCCCCCTTGCGATCGTCTTCCTCGCGATCGCTTGCATTGATATACCTTGAATATCATTTTAATTATACAAACAGTGACCAGGTCTCCGATGCCATCCTCGATGCTTGTCTTGCTGAGGATCCCCTCTCTAAGGTACAGAGCGGAAATTATTTTACATTACCCGAACCCGATAACCCCTCTTTTTTTTTTTTTTTTTTTCTTCCACCCGATTGGGCCGGCTCTATCTCCGCACCATATTTTAGTATGTGCATACTAACATGGTTATCATTTAGGTCGCTTGTGAGACCGCCACCAAGACTGGTATGTTCTAAATGAAATTTTTATTATAATTTTTTTTAATTATATGGAAATATTAATAATGTTTCAGGTATGATCATGGTCTTCGGTGAAATCACTACCAAAGCGCAGCTCGACTACCAGAAGATCATTCGTGGTGCCATCAAGGATATCGGCTATGATGCCTCCGAGAAGGGCTTCGACTACAAGACCTGTAACGTCTTGGTTGCCATTGAGCAGCAATCCCCTGATATCGCCCAGGGTCTTCACTACGATGAGGCCCTTGAGAAGCTCGGTGCCGGTGACCAGGGTATCATGTTCGGTTATGCCACCGACGAGACTCCTGAGCTCCTGCCCTTGACCGTCATCCTTTCCCACAAGCTGAACAAGGCCATGACTGATGCCCGTAAAGACGGCTCCATCGCCTGGCTCCGCCCTGACACCAAGACCCAGGTCACCGTCGAGTACGCTCACGACAACGGAGGTGTCAAGCCCGTGCGTGTGGACACCGTTGTCGTCTCTGCCCAGCACAGCGATGATGTCTCTACTGAGGAGCTTCGTGCTGTTATTAAGGAGAAGATCATTAAGAAGGTCATCCCTGCTGAACTCCTCGACGACCGTACTATATATCATATCCAGCCCTCTGGCCGCTTCGTCATCGGTGGTCCTCAGGGTGACGCCGGTCTGACCGGCCGTAAGATCATCGTCGACACCTACGGTGGTTGGGGTGCTCACGGTGGTGGTGCTTTCTCCGGAAAGGATTACTCCAAGGTCGATCGTTCCGCCGCCTATGTTGCCCGTTGGGTCGCCAAGTCCCTGGTCAACGCTGGTCTGGCCCGTCGTGCCCTTGTTCAGCTCTCTTACGCCATTGGTGTTGCTGAGCCTCTGTCTGTCTTCGTTGAGACCTACGGTACTTCCGAGAAGTCTTCCGATGAGCTCGTCCAGATCATCCGCAACAACTTTGACCTCCGTCCCGGTGTCATCGTCAAGGAGCTCGATCTGGCCAGGCCCATTTACTTCCAGACCGCCAAGAATGGCCACTTCACAAACCAGGAGTTCCCCTGGGAGCAGCCTAAGGCCCTCAAGCTCTAAGAGCGTCGCTGTGACTGCATAATTCTCGTTCTCCTGTTTTGTTACGAATGTGATGATTTTGCTTTGTTTTCAACAACTCAAAGCATGAGCATAGACACGTCAGAAAAGCTTTGTTCCATATTTTCTTTATAATTTTGCATGGTCGTCTTTAAAGGACGGGTTCGGCGGGATAAATTCAACATGATACCACTTTCATCTGTTGGGAGGGATGTTACGGCGTTATCTGGGAGCGAGAGTCTTCAACACACTGCCTCCTCAGGCTTGGCATCTGTGGACAACTAGGGTTATCGAACACTAGGTCTGCATAGAAGTTTGTGGATGCTTGTCACAAGCTGTGCTTCGTACAAGTATCCAAGAGGAGATGATCTATGATTGACGGGATTTCCCCAGTCATAGACTTGCTAATCTAAACATTAGCATTATAGAGTAATGAACAATGAAATACAATATTCATACGAATGGCCTCTCGGCTTCGAGTAGAGTCTCTGTGTTAGGATGTAGATGATTCCCTTGAGTACTCTGTACATGCTAGATAGAGATGCTCCTGAATGGTAGACTGTACTACTGGTACCTTTAATCAGTTTTCCAATTTCTGGCCATGACTTTCGAGTTGTTCCTTACATTAAGGGGTATGCACGTGGCCCCTTGGTAGCGTTTGCGGGGGGAGTTCCTGCTAGAACTGGTTCAAGCCGGTGTATATCGTCTAGCCACTAGACTACATTTCTCACTTTATGGTGAATATGAACATTGCGGTGCATCTGGTATGGGAGATTCCATGAAGAATTTACGTGAAACCTCTCCCTTTGTATCTCTTGGATTGGGGCTTCTGGAAGACGACGATAGTCCCCGATAAAGACATCTACCAATATGCGATGGGATTCCTAAAGGCCTATACCGCTTTCATCCAATACGAAAGCGACTACCATACCGCAAGACACAAAAATCTCATACCAGATAGCTTGACTGACATGGGCATCCTGGACCAAACTTGTCGCTCGAGTACTCAAGAAAGATCGCTCCCACCAACAAACGCTATAAGTACGGAGAACTCAGATTATCCCAACTTAGTAAGATACACTGGCTGTGTAGTCACATCAGGGGCTATCGCTTCCCCTACCAGAGCTATGGGGAGTTACTCACTGCGAACCTCACACCCATCGCCGCAGCTGTTGTGCATATTGCTTTGGTCCTCACTGCCATGCAACTGAGGCTAGCAGTCGAGCCTCTGGCGAGTAATCAAGCCTTCCAAAAGGCCTCGTATTGATTCGTTGTGGCCGTAATTGTGGGACCCATTCCTTTGATTGCATTAGTCTTCCTGCTAATCCTGGTTTACATCATCTATAACTGGATAGCCAACGTCAATATGGATTCCAGAAGGACTAGGGATATGGACAATACAGGGAGAGAGGCTTAGAGGACGTTCCTACTCTTTTTCCCTTCCAGGCGATGCAACGACACTGTATTCTAAGCACATCTGCCCTTTCAAAAAAAAAAAATTCCCCAAATTGGTAAGTGGCCTCGCCTTCAGTGCGATACATGATATACACTAACATAGAACAGTGCGAGAGACATCAATAGGAACTATCATAAGCTTTTTCCTCTTTCCTTATTGACGGTGCGTATATAAAACTAAGCTTTCATAATCTTCTGGGAGGACGAATATTTTTCACACTTATCTTAAACTATATAACATAATGCATATCATTGTATCATTAGTAGGCATTGTGGATAATGAGGACTAAAATACTCACAGAGAAAATCCTGTAATGTACTCTTGTAGCGACTTGAGACTACAGCTAGGGCTGTCGATCTACCATCTTAATACTTATGTGTTAAAGAACTCTTTGGAAGACTCCATGTCTCGAAGACCAGCCAGCTCCCTCGCACGTGAGTACGTTATCTCCTCGTCTCGAAGTAGATGTTGTGTTCGGGGCATGATGATCGGGACGTTTGCAAATGGTGTGCTTCAATAGGTGAAGGGGAACTCGGACTTCTATATTGCCACATGTTTCGTTTCGTCATTTTGTTTCTTTTTCATTTAGTTTATTTCTTTGAACTGTTCCGGGTGATCAGTACTGAGTATGTCTCTGATTCAAGTACTTTCCGTGGGTATCATATCTATTAACCAACGCCAAATCTAGGCTAAGATATCTTGGATTCTGTACCGAATTCCCAGCGGTTGCTAGGTAGTCTAGAACCCGCTTGGCTATACAGGCCCATATGTATATTTAAGTATGGTCCGTGGATGGATTCATCCCCGCCTTTTGAAGCCTGCATGTCTGTACAACGTGTCCCCATGTTAGGTTAAGTACCCCGCTATCGGATATCTACTTGTCTTTCGACTACGTATAAATAGCTTTCTAGAATGGTGTTGTCCTTATGGCTGTCCATCCACATGCGACACGACTCCAAGAACTCCAAACAAATGTGTCTCAGCAAGACAGATCAATCTTAAGAAGAGGCAACTTGTTCAACCAACACACCCCGACGTATGCCCGGACCATCAGGTGAGGGGTACGGCCGACGCTGGCCGTTCGAGAAATGATGTCCTGGACGGCAGCCTACATACGCTGCTGAACCGACTTGAGATAGCCAACATTGCTTGATGGTTTGTCCCACATAGTATACTAGAAACGTCAGGGAATTCATTCTGATTAAAAGGCCTTCTTACCTCGTCACTAGGGGTATCCTCGTAGGGACTAATACATTAGGAAATCTCGTAGAGAGTCGACCCAAGTGCGAATAGATCTGGGGTCACCGTGGGTTGATCTCTCCAGTGCCGTGGGAGGAAAAACCGGGTGCCTTCACCAGAGGCCGGCTTCGACCCATCAAGCGAAGAGCCAGAGAAGACAATGGTTTTAATTTCGAGAGTCGCCTCCAATAAAAAGTTTCGTGGTTTTACGGTTTTACGTCGCAATGGATTACCCCGTGTGTATGTAAGAAATTGACAGCCTCCGCAACCTGGTACACCCATTTCAATCTAAGGCTTGTCGATATTGGCTCATGAGCCCGGAGATATGTCTTTGAGGTCCCCATTGTCTATATATTCGGAGACGAGACCACCCCTGGAAAGACGAAGTAACCGACAAAGGCTCTTGTGGGTCCAATGCAACGGTAGATGCTAGCTTCTTTAGCGATGTCCAGGATATGACTTTCGATCTCGGAATCCGGAAATGGTGATTTGAGTGCGGTCCCATCGTCAAGGAGCTCCACACTCCCAGTGAACCTTCGTAAAATAACTTGGCCTCGAGCGTCCCTTGTGCTTGCATGCTCCTCATTTAATGTCATCCTGAACGCGATACTTGTGGATAATGGAGCCTGAAGAAGGGGAAAGGGGAAAGTGCCCCGGATCTACAGCTATACCATACCTAGATTAGCGGCTTTCCACACTGCGAAGGAGGGGGGGGACAAATGTAATCCCGAACACCTGCGGCCCTCACGCACACTACGGAGTACAACAAGTCCCTCATCATTTATCGCTACGTCACTTTTGGGGGGGGGGGGGGGGGGGGGGGGGGTTATATTGCTGTACTCCGTAGTTTAGGTAGTTACTCCGTGGGCAGTACGTATAAACAATTCGTCCGAAGCTAGAAGGGCTCCTTTACTGAGCTCAAGAGCGTTCATCATTTCAGAAAAACATGATAACAAATCAAACCCCAATGGTGTTCAGGAAACCATCTAGTCTCTGTTGTTGTGGTAAATAAGGATGCTCTCTCGCAGACCTTTTTCTCCTTGAATTAGCCTGATATAAACAACATCTCAGCAGGAATTAGAGCAACCTGTGTACTGTACTGAGTGTGCATTGTATAAGGCACGGAAACGTCATGTGGAGACTGGGACGCGTGACGCCAAGATTTCAAATCAATTTAACCGCGTCGCCATGGAATAGGATAGGGTTAAATGGACCACGCACCTATCTATCTGTATCAGATCATATCACTTGATTACTACTCAATTGGATTGTATTAACCTCCTCTTGGCTTCCACGATCTGTGTCTTGGTTGTCCCCCCTCTTCCTCCGAAGACACACAATGCGTGCTTAACCAAACGCGTTCATGGCCTCGCGTGTTTCCCTCGACACCGTCGATCCTTTCTTAGACAACTCCCTCCAAGTGGACGCCATCAATCGGCCTCTCAAAAAGCGGAAGACATGTCACACTGAAGCTGACTGGGCCAAACAAACCATCAGCATTCGGGTGAGTCGCAACATCTAAAACTTGACCCCGGTGCCCGCTGACAGAATGATCCCCACCAACACAGGCCCATGCTGCATCCTTATCGGACGAGCCATACGTCCTAGAGCCGATTGCCGTTATCCCGCGTTGTCGATTGCCCTTCTCATGGCTGGATTGCTCTCCTGCCCTGCTATCGGAGATACAACCGGGTAGTTTATTCGTCGCAGATATCCCGATCTTAGAAGCGCATGTCCGAATAGAACCCGCCGTTTTAGCTGTGCGACTAGTGACCGATGGTGGACTTTACGTCATTGAGCGAGTTAAGGAGGGGATATATGCGCTCTTTAAGCTCGCCCGCGACGTAGAAGAAGGGGATATCCTCGTTTCCGTGAAGGGATGGCGCCCGTCGGAGGTGGAACAGGCTCCCCGACGCATTTCTGCGATAGACGACAGTGGGGAATGGTGGCTGGTGGCGCAAGTTGATGACCCGGTTGCTGATTCTCAAATTTTGACAAAGCGGTCCGAGTTTGACGTGTCTGTGGTTTTCGGCATTGTGGATGACAATGTGCGAATGCAGGACGTATCGCCCGTGGATTCGGGCGAGAGTAGGGGCCACTCTTTAGCGCCTCATCTGTCTCTTGAGAGAGGCGGTAGCTCGAATGTCAATACACCTACTGTGCTGAGAGATTCCCAGGGGTGTACTGGTGTGCTGTCTACCGATGCTGTCGGGGTCGAGTCTATGAAGGCCGAGCCCCTTCAGTCGCCGCAGGAATTGCTGGATAATCTACGGGAGCAGTATCTACAGGCCCTTTATATCTCGAAGGTAAGTTGGCTCTGGATCTCGTGTTTCTGTGCTAATTATAAAAGGCGTCCGTGGCGTACTTTGCCAAAGGTCCTCTGGCGCGCTGCCGTACGGCTTTCCTATCGTCCGAGTCGGGGACTTCTCAGGCTGCTGTTCTTGTTGAATTCTATCGAGAGGCTGTCCTTACGGCTAAGAAAATGGATCTTAAGTACCGGGAAACACTGCCTTCCACCCTCAAGGACGTTATACTTAGTATTTCCGATGACGAGTCAACACTACAAAAGAAGCGAAAGAGTAGGAAGAAGACATTAGGCAAAAATGGGCTTTATCCTGCAGAGAAACAATTCATTCGGAAATGGTGGAAAGACAGAGAGCTGGCAGATCAAGGAGTATCAACCGAGACTTCGCGGGACGCGGAACTGAAGAAGCACATTGCTGATTTACGATTACGAGAAACTCAGCTTCAAATCCTTCTCATTCTGGAAACAATGGCCCTGGAGGCTACTATTCCTGGCGAAGCCAAGTCTACCGAGGAAGGCGATGGGCTCGAAAAGACGAAACCAAAGCCTAAGAAATTACAGGATTTGAAAGTGATGCTTGAACTGCATCTCGATCGACTGTGCATCTGGCATGCTGTTAGCTTCGACGACGTTGCAGTCTCCGACCCAAGCAAAGTCTATGGAAACAATGAGTCCGCGGGCAAGAAAGTCGAAAGTGATGCCGTTCGTGATTTTTGTACCGAGGTCATCATACCGTTCTACGCTTCGCGCCTGCCAGATAAATGCAAATCGATCACAAGAAAACTCGGGGTTTCTGGTGCGATATCACCTTTCCCCAAGAAGCCCCAGCCGAAAAATATGCCCCGGACAGAACCCGGGATGGCTCTTGAGCGACAACCATCGCAGAAGAATCCTCGTCGTACACTGCAACGTGTGTTGACGGATGAGCAAACAGCCTCTAAAGGACGTCGACAGTCGCTGGCTCGCTCTAATACCATGCCCCCACAGCCTGAGCGAGAGCCAATGGAACCTTTGTTATCTAGTCTGAGCTCTAGTGTACGAGGTGGTATACAGAAGGCCAAACGGGTTGAGAATCGTGAAGTTGACCTAAACGCTGTGGCCCGGCAGCACGAAGCCAAATTGAAGAAGGTGCAGATGCTCATGGATCAGAAGAAGGAGCTCGATGCTGCGATCCTTGCCCTCCGGAAACCGAACAGGGAGCTTGTCGCCAAGGACATAGCGGAAGATGCTGACAAGAGACGCACAGGCGGCAGCGCAAGGAAACCGAAAAATCCTGTCCGCAACCCCTTTGGACAAGGAGTCCAGGTTGCAGCTACGCCAAAGGGCAGTCGAAAGAGGGACGCCATTGCTGGCATGCCTTCGCTTCCCCAAAGTATGTCGATTCGTTCATCTACCCAACCGAAGGGGTCTTCAATCTTCGGAGGCGACGGATCACCCCGGATGGTAATCCCAGCTTCTACTTCGCGACCCAAGTCATTCTCCGGATCCTCCGGCTCCAGAGGCGTGAATGCAATTCAGGAAACCCCGTCGCGACGACCAACTCAGCCGTTAGGGTCGTTTGACGGACCGGGCGCAGGCGTGGCCGAATCACCCCTTTCCTCCGGAAATCTCTTCCGCGTACCTCGGCGACCGGCGCCGAGATCGACTGATATGGCCCCGTCAACACCCGTCCGTATGAACACTCGTCTAGATGTGATCACTGAACCGATCAGTTCGCTCGTGATGGAGACCCCACCGAAACAAAGCATCACCGTGCCACTAATCCAGGCCGACGGGCCCGCAGAGCCAGCCACAGACACGCCAGCAAAGGTGCTGGGGACACCGGTTAAGGGCACGGCCAGTCTAACTGTCCCGGCAACCACAGCAGTACCGGTGACACCCGAGAAATCAATTTATGCGCACCTGGGATGGGACGACGACGACGATTTTGGTTTGTAGAACGGCTAGAGCTTGTGCTTAGCGGGCGTTTAGGGTGACCTTGTTCGGATTGGGTATGAGTGCAGTTTAGTTTAGTTACAGGGAATAATGTAAATGGATGAGATTGAACAATTGCCTCGATCCTTTACAGAGTTTTTTTTTTCTTTTCTTTTTCTTTTCCTCCCCCTCTCTAGAGAACACTAGCTAGTAGATAGTTGTCTGACAAAAGCACAGATCAACGGACACCGCTACGTGGTCATATCAACAATCATACAATATTCCTACCACCACTATTACTGTATCCCATCCCAACCAAACAGCACCCGAAAGCCAAGATAAAAACCAAGGCCCAGGGAATAAATAAAATAGAAAAAAAAAAACCTACAATAATCAAACATCTGTCTACTATGCTCATATGAACACTCCAACCCAGATCGACATAAGTCATTAGTAAGTATAGACGTGTTAAAACGAACTAAAGAAACAAGATGGTCATGCGACCACTCAACCCCAAGCAACTAATGAAAATCCATCCTGAAACTAAATACGGTGTAGTCTATTCCTCAATCAAGGACCAGATATCGTGCATTAGGTACTTAAATTAATCATCCTTGTTAGTCTACTGTGGATAAATTCGAATGAATGAGTACCACTACCACTGTTAATTCTATACAGAATGTAATCTTAAAGAAAGAGAGATGACAAGATTTATAAAATCCAGCAAAGGCAGCCAGACTAAATTTATCCCCCCATGATCCTTTGGAATCCTTTCAGCAATAATCACAAAGAACTTACCGAGTACAACCCCTAATTTCCCCACAGCCAAGCAAACCCCCCAAGCCGGGAAACAATAAAACGGAAATTCCTCATCAGGCTAAAAGAAAGAAATAAATAAATAAGCAGCCAAGCAAGGGGAGGTTGGAAAACAATGGATTTTTGGAAATATTTCTCCACATTTTTTCTCATCCTTCTGCAACGTGGGTTCCAGGGAGATTGTGGAGAGCAGACACCTATCATGTTTCGAGGCGGTGCAGATTTTGGGGGGTGGGGGGTCTAGGTACGACGCGCATGATTCATGGGTTTTTCTTTTTTTGGGATGTGGGGGGATTTTGATTGTTAAGTTATTAGGTTATTGATTACTGGGAGGATGAGTTCGGCAGGATTTTTGTATTTTTTGTTCTATGATATTATATAGAATATTTCGAGTGGACCTTTTTTCTATTAGATACATGATGGGATATGATATGATTGGTGATTGGTTCGCGGTGAACCATTCCCTGAAACTCCTGATCCTGCGCTTGCGCTTTCCCGCCCTAATATATATGTTGGAAATGAGATTATGAGATTCGTTGCGTCGTGACTTCGTAAGTGGTTATTATTGTGTATCTTTTTTGTGTTTGTGGGGGGGGGGGGGCCTGGTACGCGTGGTTGCAGGCTGGTGCTGGTAGTGGCGGTGATAGTAATAGTAGGCTCCAGTTACCCGGCAATGCGAACGGGTATGCACTGTGGCGGCGACGGCCAGAAGTGTTTCGTCTTCTCGAGACAATTGCGGCCCTTCTCAATGAGGCCTTTTTCTTCCCTGTCGCTCTCGGGAGACGAAGGTGTAGGGGCAGGAGCAGATTGTTCGAAGGAGACGGAGAAGGTGAGGTGGACGGACTCCTTGTCCGAAGGCTTCTCGACGGTAGCGTCCTCGACCTTGGTGTCAAGGTCCTTTGACTCCTCCTTGGCCTCGTCGCTGGTATCACTCTCGTCGCAGTCCTTCTTGTCTTGGGTGTCATCGCACCGGTTGTCTTCCTCTTCCTCTTCGGACTCGTCGTCTTCCAGCTCGAAAGAGTTGATGCGAGTCGACATGTCCTTCTGTGCCCACTCCATCGAGATAACATGTAGACGGAAGTGGCCGAGGCACCGTCTGATATCTGGGTCCGGGGCTGTGGCCTCACGGGCGAGCTTTTGGCGCGACAGGGTGGTGAGCTTGTAGGGGAGGGAAGTCTTGTCGGCGAGAGGAGGCCAGCGCTTGTTCATGGAGGGGTTGTTGGAGGAGAGAGGGGAGGAGGATGCCGGCTTCGGCATGATGTCGATGGTTGCTACAGCCATTGTTGGCTCTTGTTCTGTTGGTTTCTTCCTCTTCCTTCCTTTTTGTTCGCGTGTTTATTCAGCGATTGGTCAGGTTGGTGGCGCGAAAGTCGATGAGCAGATATTATTCTGCGAGATACGACCGATCAAGTAAAGCTGGTTGGAATTGGAAGTTTGGAGAGCGAAGTGGGAAAGAAAATCTGGGGGAGAAGGGAAGAGAGAAGAGGGAGTTGGGAGAGGGGGAGGAAAGTCTTAAGAGAAGCGAACAATATGGGGCCCAAGGAAAATCAGAGGAAAAAGGAAAATAATAGTTCAGGGAATAGTTTTTGCCCAGAAATTCCAGGCCCAAGAGACTACGGTTGCGTTAGTAGTACGGGAGGCCCCAAAAGAGAAATCCGGACCTGATGACCATCTGATCTGGCAGATTCTGCAAGCGGTGATCCAGTGCAGTCTAGACCCCCGAGTCCACTGGTTGAGTCCTCTTCTTCCCCCCTCTCGCCAGCACCACTACCAAGAACCCCAGAAGGGATATCAGAAACCCAGTCCATAATTGATTGATGCATTCTGTGATATGGTCTTTTTTTGGCAGGGTCTTTTTCGGCCACCGTAACCCACCCCATCATTGTTTGGTGGTGAGGGAGCAGCTTCTTCGCAGGAGAAAGGGTTGCGTACCAGCCGACTCCACTACAAAAACCAAGTTGGCCAGCTGACCTTTGCTGTGGGTCCGGGTCTGTCGGCACCCATGGAATGTTCCACGCCGGGCATTGGGGGAGGCCTTCTCAGCAATGATTATGGAATAATATTTTTTTTCCTTTTTTACTTGGGAAAAGAATTAATACTTACTGTGCGTTTTCATGTCCATAGCTGCTCTCGACCGAGATCCCTTTCTCATTTACTGATTTCACATTCACGCATTACTGTTATGTTTTCTATAAAACAAGTTTTCTAGAAAAAGAAATTGATGATGATGAAAAGATCACCCAATACGCCGGTGGAATGATCCTAAATCAGCAAAGACTTGAGGTTGAAGTAGAATCGAACGATTGAGTCAAGGGATGCTCCCACGCTCCCATCTTCTTATTGGCCCCTTTTTGCGGGGTCAAACTTTCCCGGTTAGCCTCGTTACTATACCGAGTAACGCTAAGCGGAAAGAGTGATAGCCTAACCCTGATAAGGGTTGCGCCAGCAAGTCTTAGTAAGACTCTTAATCTGTGACTCAGGCCCAGACCGAGTGGGGTGCAGCCCGGTGAGGAACCATTGGTGGAAATTCCAACAAAGCTACTAATCGATACTCTGTGCGACCTGAGGCATCTTCTCTGATAGAACTCTCATATACAGTTATCTTAACTTGTATATCCTCCGTGGGGTATGATATCCAACACCCACAATATACTCTGGAGTCAGTCCACTTTATTTTATGTTTTGTTTTTCGCGCTTCTCCAGATTGTGTGAAGATGTTCACTTGTCTTGGAAGTGAGTTGTGTGATGATGTAATATTCGCCCCATCGGAATTTGTCATACAATTGAACTCTCGACAATGAACTTGATCCGTCCATGACTTCATGTCCCGTCATTGAATGGTATATAAGGTTTTATATGACAGCTCCATTGCCACAAAATCGTCACCCTCTTCCTCGATTGAAGCCATATTGTGGGCTTTTGGAACTGGGGGAAAGGGACTAGCTTCGAATGGTAATTCCGGAGCTGCGTACGCACATCCAAGGCCTGATACCCGGGGTGTTACTCCGAACCAATGCAAGGTTCTTCTAGATAGAAGGCCTGACAATCTTACAATGTTCCTAATGTGGTCGGAAGTGGGAAAGCCAAGGATTGCTCGGCCGAGCATGAACCCATGGCTAAGTGAAACCCACCTGCTACGGTCAACTTTCTCAGTGAATTGGAAGACCAGCAGTATCTCCAGCAAAAGCCAAGAGCTTCTCTGCGTCATACTGAAATTTTTCGAAATCAGTTTCCGAAATATACTTCGATATTATTCCCAAGCCCCAAATGCCAAGCTATGCTAGACCAGAAATGAATTATCTATGCAGAGTTATATACAAGCTTTGTTAATTTCAGCGTGTACTGTCATAACAATCACCTGGCTGCACGTCTTGCATTATTTCTGTATTGGTGACGCATTTTCTTAAACGGTATCGGCCAAGATCATCTGGAGCAATGGCAAGCAATGATCGACTCTCGAATGCTTTAGCGATTGGACCTCCGACTGCTGGATCTTTAATCTTGACTTCCTTCCGGCGGCCGTGATCTCTAAACGTTGTGGGATATGCCGGAATTCGAGCGGTATGGCTGATAGTGCCTTTTGCTGCATGTCGGATAGCGTCCGTCGTTGGGCTATTGGATTTGGATTTGGAGGTCTGCAGGTCCACATTTTCTTTCTGAGCGAGACTAATTTATACAGAAGTCTTGGCTGAATGAACTGGACAGTAGGTCTATCTAGCGTAAGATATAACAATCAAAGTCTCTTGTGCTAGATGCCACAAGGCGAAGCTTCCAGAACATCACAGCACTGGAGATAATCCGGCCGCCTGGCCATTTAGTAACTGATTGATTATTGATTGGTAATTTAAATGAAGATCCCCCCTAAATCCAGTTCCACTCATCGCTTGTCTCTCCGCCCAACACCTACAGCGGGACCGATTCCGGACGATATCAGTTTCACCATTCTACGCGGGTCGCTTACTATGGTTATGGGCCCGGTCGGGTCAGGCGAGTCAATCCTTCTCAAAGCAATACTAGGTGAGATAGCATACGAGGATGGTGGGTCAGTCAGGGTTGCTAGCAGGCACACTCTCTCGATCATCATGGTGCGGACATGCTTGTTAATATATTTGTAAGTGGCGCACAAACTGTTGACCTTCGCCGATGCTATTCATTGCCTATACATCTGCCCCATTCGTTAACTTCGTGCATCTTACCCTCCCAGCTTTTGCTCGGCGGTCTAACGGAGCCGCATCTCTCGTCTCAGCTCAGTGTAAACCCTCACAGCCGGGCAGGCAAGGGACCAAACTGCTTTTGGGGAGCTTCCACGGATTGTGCATTGTACTACTCCGGCTTGTTCGATAGTCCGACAGGCTACCATATCCTCCCATGTACGTGGGATTTTGATGCAGATGCGTGACTGCTCGAAGTTGCTTCTTGCAATGCTCATAATATAAATGAGCGTAGCTGAAAATGTCCAAGGTATGCTAGGACACGTAGAGACTGACTGGTACAGCAATACGTGCGGGAAGCATCCGACATCTCAGAGAGACGTGCTCCAGCCAACTTTCTTTTGTGCGGTTAGGGTAGGAAGTTTTAACTCTAATATGTATAAAAAAAATTTAATAGGATAATATTAGGTCTTGATACCGAGTGCCCCCTTAACACACAGGCTATGAAAAGACTTAATCAACTTTTTGTAAGTCATGACCTCGCGACACAGGTGAGGTCACCCTCGAATCTATAAGGTCTCGGAGGGGATAGTTTTCAAGAAACTGTTTGATAGGAGTTGTTGATCGCTCCTGGTTTGACGCAGGGTAATGTGTTCTTCATCAGGTGCTTTTGTGATCACCAATACTGGTGAGAATTCTGTAGAGGTCTCTTGAGGTTGAAGGTCTTGACTTTGTTTATCGTCCATTTTCTTCCACTCCCTGAGGGACCGAGATGAGGATGTGGAGGCTGGGTGATCAGGGCCTAATGCCCTGTTATGGAGCTCAACACACTGTTCCATTAAAGCCAAGGCAGGGTGAATCTTCCCTTGGGATTTCAAGGTAAAAGCAACATTGTGCATGCTGTCTAGAGTATCGGGAAGCTCTGGACCCAGCACAGTTTCCGGGTCTTCAGTAATTGCACGTTCAGCTCTTCTGCTTCCTTCCATCGTCCTTGATTCCAGTATGTTAACGCCAGGTTGGCCATACTGGTTAGAGTATCGGGATGCTCTGGCCCCAACACCTGCTTCCGGGTATTCAGTGCTTGCACGTCCAGCTCTTTTACTTCTTTCCATCGTCCTTGTTTCCGGTATGTGGATGCTAGGTTGGCCATACTGGTTAGGGTATCGGGGTGCCCTGGCCCCAGTACCGGTTTCCGGGTCTCTAGTACTTGCGTATATAGCAGTTCCGCTTCATTATATCTTCCATCTTCATAGAGGCACTCCCTAACCTTCCAGATTAGATTGATATACTTGTCCCTCTTATCTCGAAAATCTTCTTCTCCTATCAAGGCTAGGCTATGTGGGAGATATTCTCGCCGCTGCTTTCGATTGGTCAGATCATTATCTGGAAAGATTCCATTTAAATGATCTGCAGCTTCTAAAAATTGCAAGCTAAATTAACCATTTTTTCTTAACCTGTTTCGAGTCATAAGATATACTAGTTGATGTAGACTTAGGAAATTGCACGTTATTTGTGTATTGACGCAAACTATGATATGAATAGAACATCTGACTTTAATTGACATACTACTTCAATTACTTGTGATATTACATTTACTTTTTATATTATGTATCTGTTTTTCTTCTGCTTTCTTTTTATTTTGCCGTTTCCCTTACCGCTAATTATTGGCTATTTTACTGCACCAGGCTGATAGCCTTGCGGCTACACGTATCTTCCTACCCCTCCACCCTTAATGGGTCTTCTTGTCTGTCCCTTTGACTTCTAAGGCATGTCTTTTACTCGGGGGAATTGAAATATACTCACTAAGTTCACCGCCGTTCATATATAATATATAACCGGGAAGAATGACTTTCTCTCACGATCACTACACTGTCGCATGGATCTGCGCCTTGCCGCTAGAGATGGCAGCCGCCAAGGCTATGCTAGATGAGACTCACATTTCGCTGCCTCTGCCAAAATCTGGCCACAATATCTACACACTTGGGAGTATTAGCGGTCACAATGTAGTGATTGCTTGTCTGCCCGCCGGTGTCTATGGGACAATATCTGCCTCAGCTGTCGTGACACACATGGTTTTCACATTCCCAAATATCCGTTTTGGACTTATGGTTGGCATCGGAGGGGGACTTCCGAGCAAATATGTTGATATTCTCCTTGGTGATGTTATAGTCAGCAAGCCAACTGCTACCTCAAGCGGGGTTATCCAGTATGATTGCGGCAAAACACTTCACAACGGACGATTCCAGCATACTAGGTCTCTCAATAAGCCTCCACCAATATTATTAAAGGTGATAGCCCAAGTCGAGAGTGACTGTATGACAGGAAAGAATCAGTTTAGCAATGTCCTGGTTAATATTCTCCAGAAAGAAGAGATAAAAAAAAGTTCTCACGACCACAAGATGACTGGTTATTTCCCTACACATATGACCATATAGAAGAAGAGCCTAACTGTTCGAAGTGTGATCAAACTCAGTAGGTAGATCGCCCTAAATAGATAACTGAACAGCCTTATATCCACTATGGTTTGATCGCTTCTGGAGATCAGGTCATGGAAAGATGGCAGAACTCGTGATTCAATTGCACGAGATCTAAACATCCTCTGCTTTGAGATGGAGGCTACCGCTCTCATAGATGAATTCCCATCACTCGTCATATGAGGTATCTATGACTATTGTAAGTCTCATAAACACAAATACTGCCAAGCAAATATAGCGCTTGTTGCCGCTGTTTATACAAAAGCTCTTCTCAGGATGGTTCCTTTCCTTGACCAGAGTATTGGTCTAAAAGAAAAAAATACCCATAAAAACCACTGGATGGTTCCCTTTGAGAGAAACAGGGGATTTATAGGTCGTGACAAAGAAATTTCCAAAGTTTAAAAACTGATCAAATAAGTAAATGGACCATCTAAAATAGTGTTCTATGGGCTGGGTGGGATTAGTAAGTCTCAAATCGCTCTTAAGTTAGCTTATTGTATATAAGAAAAAGACCCCAGCCGGTCTATATTCTGGATACCGTGTATTAGCTACAAGAGCATTGAACAAGCCTTTATAAGTATCACGCAGACCATTAGAATACAAGGCATAAAACTAGCAGAGGTAAAAGAGCATATCAAGTCTTATTTCAGCCAGAAAAGTGCTGGAAAGTGGCTTCTTATTTTTGATAATGCTGATGATATAGATATGTGAATTAAAGATAGTGAAACAGCTTTGGCACTTAAGAAGTTTCTCCCGCAGAACAGGCAAAATCAAATTCTCTTTATCATAGGCAACCGGGTATTAGCTGTGAAACTAGCCGCTTCCAATATAATAACAGTATCTGAGCCAGATAAAGAAACGGGACTAAGGATACTTGAAAAATTACTGATTAATAGCAACCAACCTCTTCAATACAGCGTTGCTATAACCCTTTTTAAACAGCTTGCCTCTCTCCCACTGGCAATCACTCAGGCCGCCGCATATATCCATGAAAATGAAATCAATATCTCTATATATGTGACACTCCTGGAAAAACAGGAGTCATATGTTATAGAACTGTTGAGTGAAGACTTTGAGGATGAAGGTTAATATAAACCAATCCAAAATCCTGTAGCCACAACATGGTGGATATCATTCTAATAGATCCAGTGGTTAAACCCATTAGCTGCCGATTATCCATCTTTCATAGCCTGCACCAGCCCGCGCGATATCCCCCAATCTCTTCTGCCTCAGTCCGTCTCTGAAAACGAGAGAATAAAAGCAATTGGCGTTCTTAATACTTATTCATTTATTAGCAGACAAACAGAGGTCAGTCAGGTAACTGTTATGGCTTTACAGACAAAGATTACAGGGGTTTGTATAATTCTTGCATAACACTCATATGGTTTAGCTTGGCTTGGCCTTTAGAGTTCGGAATATCATCTAAGAGTGTATTTCGGTAACTGATTTCGAAGTCTTTAAGGCCAACAATCATATGGACTTATCGAATGGAAACACTGTCAGACCTCAAGGTCCAGGGCCTGCGGTGGCAATTCCGGTATATCTATCATATCTATCGTCAGCCTTCAATACAATTCAATGATCTTAAGTTCTAGCAACTGAATACAGGGAAGCACATTACCGTGTGGAAGTTAGTAGACAGAGATTGTACTGTCTCATTGCAATGCTAGAGGTGAGTGGATCGGATTGAGATCGTCCAATCCAGATAAAGTTTCCCTGATCCAACACAGCTTTATATATGTACACATAACCTCTGTACGTCAGTTAAGTTAACCATTAATCCCCGATTCTCATGTCAATCATTTCAAGGCCGTGGATCTTCGTGCATATTTTAGTATATTGCCAAATGTGCTCGCACAGTTCCATATAGCTCTGCGGGTCACTGTTACCGTAGTTTTCTTTACCCTCGCAAGTGTCCCCCCGAATGCTCGGTCCGAACTCCACCATTTTTGTCTGACTTGATCACCTCTCTCACCCCTTGCATTGTGGTCCTTCTCATTCCTTACTATATTCATCTAGCAAAATGACGACTACCTCACGATGCGCCGAAATCCGTCGACAATAATCATTATCCAGCCGAGAGCGAAGAGGACGAACGGACGGAAGTGGATACAAGCGATCTCAATGTTGGCAGCGATAACACATTCTTTCATAATGTCGATTGGGATGAAAAGGACATCACTGAGGTGGAAAGGTTTGTGCTTAGTGATATAGTAATCGAGGATGAGACAGATGGGGAAGTCAGTTGTGGGAGAAGAGACACTTTTGAGGATGATCCGCCTGAAACAAATGACAAGGGAATACCAGGGATACACGACTTCATCACCAGCAACGTAAGTCCTGACGCGGTCTCGGTTTGTGAAGGGGTCGTTGAGGAGAGTGAAAGGCTTGAGGGGAACGACGCAGCCTCTGGTAACGAGCTCACTCGCGCTGTCGATCCGGACAAAACAGTCGTCGAGGTGTGTGAAAAGCTTAGCAAAAACGATGCTGTACGCCGTGATGCATCCTCAGGAGTTGCCAGCGAGAGATATACTTCACCTGCATATAGGCTTATAGAAGAATACACACACAAGTCATCTTCCATTCCAGACCCTCCGCCAGCTAATGATCTATCAGGGGAACACCGCTACGCATACTGGATTCCTGAGCCTGAAACTGAAATGTACATTTCTAGAAAGACAAAAGGGTTCGAGTCGATCCGTATTGCGCTTGAAAAGAGAATGTGCCTCCACGGGCATTGGGATGACGGAGGGACCAAGAAGTCTAGAGTCATGATTGAATGTACATTTGTCTAAGTAAATCTGGCGAGGGTAACATACCTTCTACCAATCCATACGGTTACACATGAGTCAATGACGAGATCCAGGGCGGCGTTGTCTCGGGTAATTGCATGAAACGGGAAACAGAAATTCGAGTCTTGAAATCCTGAAGCACCTGTACCCAGCAGGATTAATCTGAATTGGAAATACATATCGGGCGGGTCACCCGATGCACAAGTTTAACCGGTCTGCGGGTATACCTTCGTAGTATTAGTTGCCGTGTGCAGGGCCATGCATGAAGCTGCAACTGGTCTCAGAGCCACGATATCTGCAAGAGTGGCGGGTGGACCAAACACCCCGGCTGGTGCATGGATCGAAGATATAAAATCTCTCAGAATCAATGATGAGTATCGCCACTACTGCTACTACCTGCGTCGGACGGTTGACGCCAATGCCACCAGTTCACCCTTATGTCGGACAGACAATACAGTCCAGTCTGGATGACTATGGGCTCAAACCCTGCACAACAGATATCACCGGCTAGATTAGACCTTTTGTTTCTCCGTGCCCGTGTCCGTGGCCTGGCCTAGTCCGGTCTATACCTAGTGTGGAGCTGTTCCGGTGATGACTTGCATACCATTTCCTTGTCTGTGACTGTTTAGCTGCTTGGCACCATGAACGAGCCCCAATGATTCCACTTCCATTCCGAAGCTCCCCGGCTACTGTCCGTTCATTATCTCCCGAAGGACATGGATAGGTTACGCAGCACCTAGTTCGGAAAGCTTGAATCATATCATATGTTGGTTGGGTAGGAAGAAACGAACCGAAACGAAACGATAACAAGAGAAAAAGAAAAAGAAGCAAAAGCGCCAGATACAGCTCCGATATTCGAAAGGACATCTGGGGGACTGTGCAACCACACGATATGCAATGTATGAAAGGGATCTCAGGCATAAACTGTTACTGTGGAGGCGTGGACTGAGATCCACAGACGGGAGGAGAGTAGGACCAAACGGCGCAGAGGGGATATCGTGCATAGTTTGACTGGCATTGTGCTACTGTTGATCATTGAGGTTTAGAAAGGTGAGTGGAGATTGGGGGGAATAGGGAAAGTGGGATCGAAGAAGAATATCTTGATGGCGCCATGTTTTTCCAGGAGCTCAGGCAGACTTTCCACTCAGTACTGTAAGTAAATGAAGAAGAAAGCCCGCACGGTCCTCAGTGATCAGCCCCTACTGTAGTTCCCGCTCAAGTGACCTTCCGGTGCAAAGTCAATCCGTTGGTCATCTGCCCGTTGGAATGTAATCTATCAGTATCTCAATATCTCTGTCGGTCAGAAGAGATTCCTCCGGCCGATCCAAGTATTCTACCATGGTGTCTTGGATGTAACCGTTGTGATGGGAGATACTTCGGGATGCTTTCCGATTGTTTCTCTTCTTTTTTTGTCTCACATTTTTATTGATCATGATGATGATGATTATTTTTATTCTTATTTTGGGTCGGATGGTCTCCAATGTTAAGACTCATCCATTAACTCTAATATTTCCCCTCTCTAGCATACATTGGTCAAGTTTAATATTACGGAGGATTGACCTTGTCCATGTCCAATACATTTACGGTCGATCGTCTCTCTTCATGCTTCTTTTCGGGGTCAACCCTAATTAATTAGGAAGTTACTTCAAAGTCCAACTCTGCAGTGTACCTAGAAGTATACACTTCATGGGGAGAACCTAAGTATCTACATGCAAGTTCTCAATGGGTGAAGCTTTGGCTGGTTGCACAAGCCTAATTCTAAATAAATAAACTCGTCGCAAACCGGTGACCCCTTGATGCTGTCCATCTGTTCTCTCGAAGCTCTGACTCTCCGTTGCCTTACTGTACATACTGAATGTCATACCTCTAGATCGACACTCTAGCATAACTGACTCTTCCGACAATGGATGTGACATGAGATATGATATGTCTCCTGAGGTCCACGGTCGGCCAACGGCCATCCCCTTCCCCACTACTTATAGGGCCACGTAGCCTTGCTTTTGATCTTTGATTTGGGAGTTTCAATAACAAGCGTCAATTAGATCGTTAGGTATTAGGAATGGGTTGAGTCGCCACTACTACAGTTAGTCGCGAACCATGACAATACCATACGAAAGATGATCGATCATCAATCAGAAGCGAGGAGAAGCGCGTGTCTTGTGATTGGTCCTGAAGTGGAAAGGTGTGAGATTCCATCCAACAAAGCAGATCAAGTGAAAAAAGCATACTATTAAATTTTTTATCATCTCAACTATTATATTATTATTGATAGTATTATTTCTAGAAATATTAAGAAACTTAAATGCAAAAAACTAAGGAAGAGGAAAAGAAAAGAAGCAGGTGGTGACTTACTAAATCTTAGTTCTCTCGATTCATTCCTTATCATCTAGGTTTCCTTGTTTTGCCTTACCTTCTTTTTCTTTTTTTTTTTTTTTTTTGCTTTATATATCGTTACACTTTCGCAAGGGTTCGCCTTGGTGTCACTTAACTTTCAATACGTTTCTGCCTTGTCTGGTTGATTTACCCCGCGGCTTGTTGGAAGTCGGACACTTTGACTGAGTATTTTGAGGATCTCCCGGTCACCCATCAGTAACTAGTGAGTCCTAAGTAGATACACTAAACAAAAAGCTGGAACCACTGACCAATGACTAGAACCTGGTTGATGGGCTGACCTCGTCCAACCTCAGGGAAGCATTCATTTCAGGGACTAATTAATCTGCGGCTAATCGAGTCATCGTCAGCAGCTTGAACCGCAAGGAATTCAACTTTGTATCATTGGTTTCCGTCAACGCTCTCTGCCTTGTTCGATTACGGCACTATTCATGTACCATCATTGATTCAGTACAAGCCACAACCGCCGCTTCACCTCTCTCGTGTTTGACTTGTCCCGTGCACCCGTAGCTCAAGAAAGAAAAACAAAGAAAAGAAGAGAAAAAGAGAACAAGAAAGCAATCGAGAAACCAAATCCAAGGGAATTTCCCCCGAAATCACGGTGTGTGTGAGTGAGAAAGTGATATCAGATCCTCTGGGGAAAAGCGGCTCTGTCCGAGTGTCAAACCCAAGGATTGCCCCGCGGTGGTTCTACAACTTACTATTCAATTTCCAAAGTATGGATTGCCTTTTTTTTCCTTTTTAGTTGTTTTTGACTTTGATCGGTACCATTTGTTGAATTCCAAATCCTATTGTTATTACTTTTATTTTTCGCTTCTTATCCTATTCATTTCTCCACGAATGGTTGGACGGAGAGATTGATTCATTGCTACCTAAGGCTGATCCACGCAATCGCGCCCCATTCTTCGTCGTGAGTGTTATCGTCGCCGAAAGTGTTCTGCTTCCCTATCGATATCAAACCCCGTTGTCGATCGATCTACTTCAATGCCAATACTTTGCTCTTTGCATTTATAAACACCCAGCTAAAATCTCTCCGCGAAGGAAGAAGCTACCACTTCTATCATTGAACCGACTGCTATCCCATTTTACGAGTAAGTCGAGGAATTGGAGCAAGGCGAATGTGCAGGGATTGGGTTTCATCACGGCCGGTGATTGAATCCGCACTCTAAACTGGTTGTCCGTCCATACGTCCGCGCCATCCGATCCTCCACATGTGGTCTGCATGCCTGGTCCAGTGTCATCAACAGGAAGAGTAAATCCTCGAGAACGAATACTAGATTAGATTAGGTAACGAATGAGGAAGTGATTGGAAAGTGAGTCCGTTTACCCTCTTTTTTCTTATTATCTTCCCTTTTTTATTTTTATATTTTTTTCGCTCTCTCTTTCTTTTTTGTTTCATCTGGGGTAGTGGTGCGTCATACGTGTGTTCTATCTATTAATCTTTCTATTCTTGTTCGACTTTGATTGGGATTGTGAAATCCGTCTCCGGATCCCCCTCTTTTGTGACATTATACTTTGTTTCTGTGGTCCTGTTCAATCTTCAGGGGAAAACACAGCGAGAGAGAAAAAGAAGACAATAAAAGGCTAGGGTAGGATTTGAGGGAGGGGTATAGTAGTAGTAAGTAGTAGCTTTACCACCTACTTGCTGCTACTCTTACTACTACATGTTTTGTTGTTTTGGAGGGATCACCGCTTGAACGCGGACCAATCAGGGAGGGTGTGGCGCCGCCTCCCGCCTTGAGCTGTGATCCTATCGTTCCCTTTCGTCCCCTCCTTCTAACCCTCATCTTCTCCCTCTGTCATCATCTGCTGTGAACTTTTTTTTTTTTTAATTTTTCTCTTTTCATTTCCCTGGACCCCCCCCCTTTCCTTTTTCCTTTCCCAGTCCCAACTCCAACTTTCGTCCCCACCCAACTGCTCGTCCTGGTTTGTTCCTCCCCCTCCCTCACCTCTAACCCAATAATTCCTGCCTTGCACACCCCCCAAAACCAAACACACCACCTACACACAGACACCACAGCCCGTTGGTCACACATAACCCCAGTCTGGCGTACCCACTGATCGGTTCCATCAGTGTGAATCATCAAGTGTTATCTGCTTAACCCCTCTCCCCCCCGTCAGCCTATCTTCTTCAACCCGACGGGTGAGGGTGTTTCTGCAGGCAGGAACCTTGGGAAAGGGACAGGTTCGCCCCTCCCTTTGTACTTTTCCTCTTCCCCTCCAGATAACGTCAAGCCTCACCCTTGTGGCGGTGTCCTCCTTGTCCCCCAATCCCGTCCCGTCCAGCCACACGTCACCTGTCAACATCACCTGCCTGTCTTCTCATTCTTCGTCTGTTCTATTCTAGTCTCACCGCCTAACACGAACTTTCCAGTCCTGTCAAAGCTCGCAGCACTGATTTGCTCTGAACCTTTCCGCCGATCCGCTTCCTGCCACCTTCCAGTCCAACCACCCACTGCATGCGAGATCGTGGTCTGCGTTCATTGTTCCGAGGATCACTTGCATCGTCACAGCTCCTCCTTGTCTCGCTGCAGTAGCCTACCTAGTCACCCGTTTTGGTGTTGACATCTTTCGCGTTCCCTTGACGCGCCTGAGGCCTTGCGACGGCTTTCAACCTCTTTTCCCGTCCTCCTTGGCCCGCCATGTATGGCACCTCGCATTCTTCCGTTTCCGCTCCCATGAATGGGATCGGAGGCGACCTCGTCGATGGTTCGGGTACTATTAACCCCGCGGCTTTGAATACCAACAGTGGTATGTTGTCCGTTTGATTATCTTATTCTCCCCCAGTCTTTCTTTTACCCCTTCAACTTTTTTTCCTCAACCCTTCACTGTGCATCATGCCTCATTCGCGTCCCGTTGTTCTTTCTTTTCTGTGCCGCGATCTTGTCAGGTTATACTTGTTCAGACAAAAACCCATGGTGAATTGCTTATCGCGGTTGATAACAATGGGGTTCGGCCATCGCCGTCCATGGAGGTCGTTACGGTTCTTTACTTCTCTGGCTGTCTGTCCATCGCGACACCCTCCAAACTGACGGCCATTTGCTAGTCGCAGTTATTCTACCAACACCCCCGTTTGGAACGAGCACAAATACCGCGCCTCGCGGGATCAAGCGGAGTCGGACTCCAGACCAGCGCAGGACAATACGCGCAGCTGGAGATCATGACGACGGTATGTGCGCGTCGCGAGTTCTATTACGGTTTGCTTGATAGAAACCGTGAGAAGCACTCTCGAGCCGCTTCGTCTCATTTATCCACTATTCGTTGTTCTACTGTTTTGACGCGTGCACACTTTTATCTTGCTTTACTATGTATTCTAGTTTTTATGATGGCTAACATGCGGTCCGTTCGACCCTCTGTCAGCAGTAGCGGATGATCATGGCCGTCGGAAGCGTGGGCGTCCACCAAAGACGCCACGTCCATCTACCACGAATATTGGTGATCAAGCTTCATCCACTAGCGTTCATATGCAAACCCCGCGGATGCAAGCCCAGCCCCTCCCTACACAAGCTGGCATCAATGTATCACCTCCACAGGCATCTCCTCCAGACAAGACTACTCCGACCAAATCCACCCTCGTGAAGGCACTCCCGACGGTCCGAGATCATACGACCGACCAACTGAACGAGGAGGGCGATGAGTACATCCCCAAAGAATTCGATGAAGCGGGTGAGAAGAAGGTCGATGCTATGGGTTATCTTCAAGGCGGCCGGGATTATAAATGCCGCACGTTCCGCGTGCCTCACCGCGGAACTAAGTTATTCATGCTAGCGACTGAATGTGCCCGTGTACTTGGATACCGCGACTCGTATCTGTTGTTCAACAAGAATCGATCACTGCACAAGATTATCGCCACCCAGATCGAGAAGGACGACTTGATCCAGCAGGATATCCTTCCGTACTCATACCGATCGCGGCAAATCGCCATTGTGACTGCGAGGTCGATGTTTCGCCAGTTTGGCAGCCGTGTTATTGTGAACGGACGACGGGTGCGTGACGACTACTGGGAGGGCAAGGCACGAAAACAGGGCTTCACGGAGGACGACCTGGCGGGCGAGAAACGACCCGGAGGGGCCAAAGCCCGCGATGCGGCCGCTGCGGAAGCAGCAAGTGCTGCTAGCCTGCTACCGGCCCTGACACATGGAGATGTCATTTATAGCAACGCGCTTGAAGCTATGCCGAACAGTCTGCCCTTGGGCGCTCCCTCGTCTGTTTCTCTCGCACCGCTCCCGATGATTCATATGGCCACCACGACGGACGATCCACGACTCAGAGAGTACAACAGTATGCCTCGGTCCCGCCAAGAGTTGACCGGTCAACCATATCAGGACCGGACACAGCCCAGCTCAGCGGCGGAGATCCTAAATCAGGCCTCACACACCGCCGATTTCAACAAGATCCTGAGCTCTCAGCGCAGTTATCGCCAGAAAGGTTTGGAGGATTTCTATTCTAAGCAGCGCGAGATTTCCGCGTCTGCCGGCCAGCCACAACCTGGACAGCTCGACTCCGTTCCCTCGGTATCTCAACCATTGCAGTCCCCTCAGATCTCGGCGGCCCCGTTGATGAACACGACCCAACCGCAGCAGTCGATGCTCCCCCATCAAGCACCTATGATGCCTGGTCAGCCCGGCCTCCAACAAGCGATGGCACACGCACAACCCCCGGTTAGGCAGTCGCCCGCCCAGACGGGGCCACCAGTCCGCCCTGACCTGATGCATCAGCGATCGAACCCTACTCTATCTGCCGGAACACCACAACCGGCAGGACCGTACGGCTACCCGTCGCAGCCGCAGCAGATGTGGGGCCAACCGCCACCCCAACCGCAACCATCACCTTTGTCCGCCGCCGGTCCGCAGGCTGTGGGAATGCCACAGTATGCCTCCCAACTACATGCACAGCAACAACACTCGCCTTCGCCTCTTGCACAGCATCCGTCGCAGTCTCCTCGAAATCATCCGCGTCCTGCCGCGCCACAAATGCCGCAGTCTTTCCCATTACATGCGCAGACACCTCAACAACAACAGATAGCATCCATGGGCTTTCCAGGCGGCACTGCGGCCCCGTACCAGGCAATGACGGCAGCAAGAGGCATGTACCCCGCCACACAGGGCCCCGGAGGGCAACCGTTCCTCACAGGAGCTCCGCAGCAGCCAGGTCTCGCCATGGGGATGAGCGCGGGAGGTGCCATGCCTGGCTGGGCCCCAACACCTGGTGGCCCAATGCAGCCGGGACATCCGCAGCAAGGTCAATCTGGAACCCCACTTGGTTGGTCCGGTTACTAAACCACTACTACGAAATAAGAAAGTCATGGCCGGCGTTGACGAGAATTTTGGCGTTCGTGGGACTAAGAGGCGTTAGGAGGATATTGTGACCTTCGGATATCAAACACATCGTTCAATGTCCCGTTTCTCTTCTGTCCGTTTTGCTGTTTCATCCTCATCCATCCAGTACCCTGTTATCCCGCTTCGCTCCAGCTATACACTATCCTTAATTGAGGATAACCGCTAATGATAATTTGCGCATTTTCTGTCTATACCCTCTGTTATACCCGATGATGTTGTGATTTCGTTTTGTTGTTCTTTTGTTTTCTTTCCTTGGTTCCATAGGGTCACACGTTCACGAGTATGCAATTTGTGCATTTTTGTATGTCAATAATAGAAGGCCGGTCAGATAGGACGGTGGCGATATCTGTTTTACTTCTGTTTGGTCTAGGCAGGCGTTGTTAGTCTAGTGATCTTCTCAGGGTTTACCTTATCTAGCATGCTGTCATTATCTTCACTCTACTCAGCTCTCCATGTGTTCATGTTGGGCATCGGACTCTGCACACTTTCCGATGCTGGTTCCGGATGTTGATGCTTCCAATGTTTGTGTTTATAGTATGCAGATTGCACGCAGGTTCATGATCTGGGGCTTCTAATTTGAATATTTTTCCCCTGGTATCGTTGTTGAGTGTCCCATTTTGGTTAAGTCGATCTTCCGCTGCAAGGGTTTACGCATATCTGGTTTTTTCTTTTGGGTGGTACTTTGACTACTTTAGTACCTTCAGTGTCATCTTGTCCCTTGCCTATTGTGGGACTCTTGGCTGGCTGTCAATTTAACCTGTAGTTAACACTGACGGGGGGGAATCTCGCGTCGATAATCATGACTTTGTTGATTATCATTTGCGTATATACAACTTAAAACAAGAGTAAGGGGTAGCATGGAAAGAACATAAGTTATAGATATACGCACGGCCATCACTTGGATACTAGTATCTAGATGTCACATCTCCTAGGGAAACCGGAACCAATGGCGTGGTTACAGGTATCGCCGTAGACGGACAGATGCATGATTGAACCGAGGTCACAGGCGGTGCGGTGCAATGCGCACTAACAGTCCACGACGGCTTGGTAGTAGTCGGGACGTCGGGCACAGTCTCGGCGCGCACAAGCACAGGTATTACAGCCCCAGTGTTGAGCTTAAAGGTCCGATGCTTGATAACACGCAGGATAGAGCCTATTTCCCCCGAGTGACTTGTCACGGAGACGAAGAGGCCGGTACCGTTTGCTTTAAAGATGGAGTCTAGGGCGGCTTTACTGCGGAAGTCCTGTGCAGTGCTGGTTTCGGCTGTTACACCGTTCCAGAGCTCGTCGGTCTCCGTGAAGCCCCTTTCAACGGGCCAGGTCGGGAATAGGCTGTGGATGTACGTGCGGTTGTGGCGTTGATCGCATGTATGGAGGCTGATTCCCTCGCGGAAGTACTCTTTGATCAGAGGTCGGAAGGGGGCACTTCGGTATGGGAGACGGAGGCCGGAGAAAGTGAGGTTCGCCGTGCGAAGAGTCCTTGTCAGCGGGCTGACGAAGTAGCTGTCTGGTGGATGGATGTGCTGCGAGTCCAGCTCCTTTTGCCAGAAGTTGTGGGCAATCCGGGCCTGCTCGATGCCAGCATTTGTTAGATCGGCATCGCGCCAGGTGGTAGTGCTGTTCCCATCCAGGAGAGACCAGTAGCACTGGTTGATATTAGAAAGATGTTGGTTCAGCATAGAGGAAGCGGGAACTGACATTCCAGGCAGGAGTGCCGTAGTAGTCTTCGGCTGCATTGTGCCAGCCTTCCCCATGGCGGCCTAGGAATAGAACCTTGTAATCCACATTAGGAGGAGATCTGCGATTCAAGTCGACTACTTGGTGGTGGAACCGCTCCCACTGGGTAAGATTGCTGTTCTTCTTGTCATTTGGGTACGTGCGATTGATCAGTCCAAAGTTAGTGGCTGTCTGATAAGCGGTTAGTGATGATAAGGTCAGAAGGGAAAGCTCTCTAGATAGATACTGACAAAGTCAAACGTGGAAGGATCGGTTGTTGCTTCATCTTGCAAAAAGTAGCCCGTCACTGTGGTATAGTTGATATACGAGGCTTCCACAGAGGCAGTTAGGCTTAGCGCCACGGACGTCAAGCTCGAGACCTTCATGATGAGCGCAGGGTTCTGACGAATTCAAGCGCACGAGGTTGGCGCCCTCCATTATATAAGAGTGCGTTGCTCCATGAGGGGAATGAGTTGAGTTGTTTCTTGCCTACCAGCCCGGCACGTGCGAGGCTAGACCCATCCAGCTAATATCGGTCTCCCCAGCTAAATACAGATTTGTACCTTAGTCTCTTTCCTGGGAGGAAGAGATATCCAAAATAGGATCAATAAAATGTAAATAGGAAAATAGATTAATCAAGTCAAAAGGAATGAACCGCTCCAAGAATTCATCCTTCTTTCCGGTTCTGCGTGTACATACAGAGGGCTCCGATGGACCCAGATTATCGGTATTAGTAGTAATTACAGAGGGGATCAGATCAATACGTGACAGGAAGAAAAGTCAAGCCTCCAAATATATATGGTCAAAAACAAAATCCAGCCGCTTCCAAAAAAAAATACACATGCAATCCAACAGTATTCTCGAATGAAATAAAAGGGTCCCAATATCGAACACAACCGAGTCAAAAAAAAAAAAAAAAAGACCAAAACCATGGCAGACGCCAAAGAAAGACACCGACACGAATGCGCTGGGAATCAACAGGACAAGACCTGGGATAGTATGTAGTCCCGGGGAAATAACAGTAGTCAATGCAACAAGATACAATTGCGTACAAGGTATGGCACAAATAACCGCCAAGAGCCAAAGGTAAGCCCAATACATAGTATTAACGCCGACTAGTATGATTACTTTTCGCTTTTAATTTGCGCCCCAGTTGCTCGGCGTGTGGTTGGTAAATGTATATGCCTTGGGCTTCTGGGGCAGTTGCTGCGCGACGAAGCGATGGGCCTCCTGCTGTTCTGGGAACTCGTGGATATAGAACTCCGTCGGCTTCGCGTCCCCAGTAAATGGCCCTGCTGAGGTGTGCATATCAGGATCCGTAGTGTATACCAAAGACGGCGACCCCGTAGCCGAGAGGCTGTCGGTAGATTGTCGGCTTTGCTCTAGAGCCTGTCCGTACGACAAGGACACATCCGCCTGGGCGATTGGGGCACGGCTTTGGAAAGCTGCCTCCGGGGAGGGTATTGAATGGGCACCGACCCAACTCCTGCCCGTCAAAGATGCTCCTTCGCAAGTGACATAGTCAGGAAATGAAGTATAATGGGCAGGGGCGGACATCGGCGGAGCGACACTGTGGTATTGATAGGTGGAAAGCATATCCATAGCCAAAGGGGTAGCGGGAGGAGATGCAATGTTAATTTGCATAGGCTGTGAGGTAGGGAACAATTGGCTAGTTGGTTGAGCAGACAGGCAGTAACCGCCATCACTAGGTGTATTTGGAAGGAAGTGATGGAGGTCATCCGGTGTCAGGGGTGTTGGTGGAGCCAGTCCGCCTGTTGTGACAGCTGGCGACAGCATCGATGACATCTCGGCCTTTGTAGTGCTCAGAGCTCCGGCTTCGGCAAATGAGGACAGATTGAGAGGCGAACGCTGGGCTGCGGATGCCTTTCGGACACCTGCGTAGCGGGAGTTGAGACATTGTGCGGATTTTGACTGCCTCACACCAGGCGCAGAGCTATAGCTTGGGAGTCGGGTCGTTGGCGACATGGAGGATGATCCACCCAACATAGATGACGACCTCGAAGTACCAATAGCCGCAGGCCTTGGCCGCTTTCTCCGGGCAGCAAGGTCGAGTTCCTTGCCGGCTTCTTTCCACGAAGATCGGTCTGTTCGGATAGGAAGCCCAGCCGCATGGATCCCGATTCCTTCGAGACTATCAGCAAGGTCGTCAGATGAGCCTCTCCTTGACAAAGAGTTCTCCGGTTGCAGGGTATATCGAACTGCATTGTAAGAAGCTTCCGCGTCACTAGATGAGCGGTAGCCAGGGAATGACTTTGTCGTTTGCACCTGACTGGACCACTCATCGTCCTGTGAGGGCTGGAATTGCAGACCGTCGTTGTGCTGCGTAGTTTGATGATGGGAGCCGTCCAATCCCGGAACAGTTAGCGATTCGGCGGCAGAGTACCCTAGATGTTCTTGAGGGCTCTGGGATGCGGTCCACGATATGGAAGAATCCTTGTTCTCCCATTCCGAGAATGGAGTGTTCGAAGCACTCTGGGTGGCACGGCTGTCACCGTGATGGTTGGTGCCTGAGAAAGTTGTTGTCGGAGACACCGACCCTTCATGGATGGTACCAGATTGTCCCTGATCGTCTGGACTATAGTGCTCTCGAGCAGCAACGGCGGCATTCAACGCTCGTTGCAAGGAGGCAAACGTAGCCTCCCGAGCCGACTCGCTCCTTGTTTTCTGATGCTTCGATCGTGACGTAGAAGCAGGCGTCTTAGCACGGTCATCAGAGGTGGCTTGATCAAATGACTGTTTCGGGGTATCCTTGTCTGTTTCTTCATTCGTGTCTGCGTTCGAGTCGGACTTTCCGGTATTCTCGGTCTTGATTCGTGCGGCCTCCTCGGCCTCCGTCTTCGCCTTCTGCATCCTCTCGAACTCTTCCTGTCGCTTCTGCTGCTTTGCCTTTGCTCGCCTGTTTTGGAACCAATTCTGTGATGACTATTAGCTTACGTTCCCGTACTAACATTAAATTCCCAGTGGGGTATCACTAACAGCAACCCGAGGCAGGCTTAGATTTGTTTGAGCGGCTAATTGACGCTTAACATTGCTGCTAGGCTTCGGGTGAGCCTGGAACTGGGCCTCGAGAGTCTCGACTTGCTCCTTCGTCAACCTTGGACGAGATAGGTTCTCCGCATATTCCTCGTAGTCCATGATCGGCTGGTGGTAGAAGTCAATCATGTCAAAAGGCGGGTGCGGGTAGATGTAACCGTCCATTGGGTGCATCATGGACGGGTGTGCCATAGTTGGATCGTAGGCCATTGGCTGCTCCATGGGGACGGCAGCATGACCAGTATATGCGTATGGATGGTGGAGATAATTCATGGTTGTGGCAGGGGTGTGAAAGGAGGAGGAGAGGGGGAAGGGGTATTGAAACCGTTGCTGCACGAGAAAGCGGCAACTGAGATGAGGGATGGATCTAGATCATTGAACAATTGAATCACAACAGGAAAATGGATATACGGTTGGATTATAGAGACTCGGAAATTGGAGGGAAGATAATCCCTCTTATAGGAGGAGGATTGGGAAAGGGTGGGTGACGTGAGAGAGTGACAGGTTGTTGCTGGGTTGGTACTATATTTGTGGTTGTATGTATATTAACAACAGCAGACCGGGTGGATTAAAACAGAAATAGAGAGAGAGGGAGGGATGGAGGGGGGGAGGACTAATGAAAGTATTGAGTCGGAGAGCGGTACTAATAAGTAGATATCAGAAAGGAAAGGAAAGGAATGACTATAATGAAAGCAAGAAATAAAAAGAAAACAAAAATAAAATATAGAAAAGAGGGGACGAAAGAGGAAAAGGAGAGAATGAGGAAAGAAAGTTGAGAGAGTGAGAGAAAGACTGAAAAAAGACAAAAAGGGCCAAAAATTTTTTCAGAAAATCAAAAAATCAAAAATAAAAACATAAAACGAAATGAATAAAATAAAATAATAAATCAGTAAAAAAGGGAAAAAAGAAAAAAGAGAAGGGATTGACACCGGTCAATGGGGACTTGCGAGAGGGGGGAGGGAGAGAAAGAAGTGGTGTGGATTTAGGGCGGATGGAGAGAAAGATTGGCAGCGGCTGCCTGGAAAAAGCAAAAGGCGTGGAAGGCCCGGCTATGATTGGAAGATCGTCGTGCGGGACCTGGGAGGATTCGTTTGGTATTAATGCCGTATTTACCGTCAGCTTGGGTGACCGGGGGGAACTGGACCACTTCAGCCGTACTCACAGCTTCCCGATTTTAGCTTAATCGTTCTGGTCCTTATTCTTACTAGTAGGGGGAAGGTTACTTAGTATGCACGATGAACTCAATCGCGCCTACGATTAGTCAATTTAGCATCATGTAGGAAGATAGAATAAAGAATAAGGACTCCCTGATTTGTCTTCTGCAGATGATCGTCTAGATAATGTCACCTTTTCCGTCTACTAAGGGCACTATCATCTACTTTCCATCCATTCATCTATCTATCAGCCATCTACCTTATCTTGCACGGCATCCATGGTAAACGGTCTTGGGTGCCGAAGATCCCGCCAGAGCTGGTTGGTTACCACTGTACAGTATCAGGTACGGTACCAAACAGAGAGGCACCGGCCACCAAAATATTGGCCGAAAGTGGGTTGGTGGTGCTGTCCGCTCGGTTCTAGGGGGTGGCGGCCTGGGCTCTCGGGCTCTCTCTCTCTCTGTGACAAACTAACTTAGGAGTCAGGGCTTAAAATAACTCAAAAGGACATTGAATCAATCTAATACTCAAAATAGATAAATAAAAATAATCATCATCACCGTCCAAGCAGATTATCATGAACATGTTAGGTAGGTACAGTACATGCATGCATAGGCACATTACATATGTATGTACCTCTAGAAGTCCATCCATTACAGGCTCTCTCTCTCTCTCTCGCGTAGTGACACACTATGGCAGTGACTACGAGAGTCTCCAAGTCACTGTATGTATGTATGTGCTGGGCCGACGGGTCCATACTGCGTCGTCCTGTCTGAAGTTTGGCAATTTCTTTCCTGATCCCTGCTTATCTCTACTATTTCGCTTGACGATGCCTGATTATTAAATTTACAAAATTCAGGATTGGATGCCTATAGTAGGGTATCTATCAGTGTCATAAGGGAGTCTTCTCTAAAACAACATGATTAGGCCAGGTTTTCCCGTATCTTGGGTTTTTAACTTTCTATTTTCTTTTCTTTTCTTTTTTTTTAAAGATGGACAATTGTAATCCCGAGGCAATGGATATGATTGGCGGAAGAAGGTTAAGTTCCGTGCGGGATCTTTCCCGCGACTCCCTTCAAAGTTTAAAAGGGGTAAAGGAGACAACAAGAACAACGACAGAAAGAAAGAATAAAAAGAAAGAAAAGCAAAAGCCAAGGATCCCCGACTGAAAGTATTTATTAAGCTTGAGCGAAGTGACACTATCGGCATCCAAACTCGCGGGTGTCACCATAATCATAATTCAAAGTGAAACTGGGTAACTCTGTAAGTACTAGAGCTTCGTCAGTTCCTGCATTAGCGCCATGGCCCAGGGACCAACAATTTAGCTTTACCCAAGGGGGCGGGGTCCCATATGGAAATTTGGAAGATCCCGTGAAGCAGAGGGATGGACCCCCGAAACAATGCTAAAACAAACCGTCGCCAATAGTGGTGTCCGTTGGAATGATGGAGAAAGGCTGTGATTTACTCCCTACAAGGGCGTGTGAGGATTTTCCTTTCTCCCACACTGCATCATCAGAGGGAAATCGTGTCAGAGAGCATTCGGGTATGCGTGGAGAGTGGGTCCTGAGCCCGACCTCTGTCCAATCAAGTTGAAACGTATCTGAAGCTCGTCTGGAAGACCTCCCGAGATCCATCGCTGTGCCTTGTGTCTCACTGCAGTGCCAACCAATGGTGGTCCTTTGCCTGAGGCCAAGAATCGATCACGGGGTCAAGGGTCATCGGGGTCCATCCGTGAGCTTTCTCGATTCGGTTTAGCCCCGACGGACCGCTTCTATTTCGACTCCCAAGGTTCTCTTCCCTGCCAAACTCCGATATTAACCAGGACTTTGTTTGGTTTGTAGTAAATTTACCGGGAAATCTACATAGGACCATCCCGAATACGTATCTATTGAGGTCAAGTTTGCTCCATACTCCGTTGTAAACAGCTATTTGTGAAACCTAGCCATCAGCATCAATCTAATTTCCCTTTCTTTCTTGTCTCTCTCATTTATCCCTTTTTTGTGTGTGTGTGTGAAAGTAAGTATCTATCGTTTCCGGCCTATATGAAGTCAGGTGGAGGAGGGGAATTTCCTCCGATCAACCGAAAGAGGGGGAGCTCAAAGGCGAAGAGGTACTCGGGCACCGCCAGTGGCAACAGTATGAAGTACTTGGGAGGGGCCACCCTAGCGCACTGCTGAGGTGTTTACCTAGGCTGGTACCAAGTACAGTACATACATACATACGCAACAGTTGGCACGGATCTCCAGACGCGCCTGTCATCGTTTTCCACGGACAATCACCCACTGGTCGAAGGCGGAAAATCTCCAAAGGAGAGAGAGAGAGAAAAGACAAAAATTAAAAAAACTCAAAAAGAAGTGTGGTACACTGGCAGCACTCAGGCCAAGACCCACAAAAATCAATAGTTCACAGATCCCGTCGATCACCACAAGGATCTATTCGATTGTCGAATGAACGCCCGCTACTCTGCCATCTCCTTCCTCTTTCCTCCAAAGCCCTACGGGAGAAGCGTGACCGGGCCTTACTTTTCAGTTTCAACATGGATAGATGCCTGGAAGCACTCAAGATGGAGCATTCATGGTCGAATCCACCACTGGGACCATTTCCGGGTTCCTGGTTTCTGTCAATCCGTCGCCCCCAAATCCCGCTTATCATGTTGCAATCCGAAGCGCCCATGCCAAGTCACGAGGTTACGCAACAGCAGTTCCAAACGCATTGCCATGCATATGGGGAAGAACCAGACCATGCTAGGGGGGGGGAAGAAGAACGCGGAGCGGCTCGGTGCTATCATATGTGCTGCTCATTACCCACTGGTTTTGTCTACCTTACCCGGCAACTGTCGCTATCACTACTATCTGAGCAGTTAATACCCGCTTTGGTGTCTCCGGGGATGCGGACGTTCATCCCATTTCCCCTTTAACATCGGTTAAGTAGTGTGACAGCGAACCCAACGTTGATGATTTGCGAGTTCCAGCATTGCGGTACCGTACCCCAAATTTCCCAAGTGATCTTCATCAGGCCCTTTAAAGAGGGGACTCACAATATGGAGTAATGCCTGTAGAGTTAGTTAGTTGACGGTCATCCTGTTGGTAGTGGAACCGGAAGGAAGGGGGCCACCTAGCTATTCTGCTAAGTCTGAGTCGTAATTGTACAAGTTGAATAAGTCGAGTTGAATTCCCAAGCAAAAGTACCATCGGACAACCCTACAGCACCTTGTATCGGTATGTACATACATCATACATACATGAGCACGACTCGTGATTATCCGAAAGCCTTGTGACTGAGCAGGGATTATGGTTGTTCATCGACGCAAACACCTTAGAGGAAAATAATAATTTAAATAAAATAGGACAAAATAAAAATCCTCCATCATTCACGTGTATGTATGGCGGGACCCTAAGGTGAACTTGAAGGTCTGGAGTTCTCCATAAAGACCCAGACAATAGGTATCTATCTGAAGCTCTACATTACGGATCCATTGTATATCCATTTAGTACATTGTAGTAGTAGCATAGTAGCCGGATAGCACTAGGGATTGGGACAAATTAATAATACTCGCAAGCCCAGACCAATTAGCAATCATTGTAATTCGAGTTGTAGGCCCCCCAGAGTCTTGCCAGTTTCAACATCTTTCTGAGGTGATCGAATGTCCGGATCCGAGAAGAAAAAAAAGAAGAAAAGAAACGAGGATCTTTGCTGTACTTCCTTTGCCTGACCCCTGGGACGATCCGCAATCAACCGCACGGATCGCTCCCCAAATGATTTTCAGACGGGTGGTGGGTTCTAGTATGACGAGCCGTTGTCACCCGATGTAGGGATCTCAAATATTGGCCCCCTTTAGAAGAAATTCGCCGAGTCTGCCGGCGCATCAATGTGGCTGTCGAAAGGATCTGAGGGTGAACTGTGACGCCCCTGAGGCCAAAGCATGTTGGGGCCGCCAGTAGCAGGAGAGGTACGAAGTGATCGACGATAGCGTCGTATCCCTAGTATAAAGTTGGGCTAAACTGACTAAACTTGCTTACATACGTACGATCTGACACCATCCCCTTGGGAATTGGATTGGATTGACCACCCTTCCCCCGGTGATTTCCCATGCGTCAATCTTAATCTCCATCAACTGATGATTTGGGTCTTTTGTTCACGGATGATGCAACCGCGACAATCATCTCAGTGACTACTACACTCGCGCGGGTTAGATACATACCATTAGTAGTCAACTTTGAGAGACTTGACTAATAGTCACCAATCTTCGATAGGGATGTAAGTAATGTAAATATACCCAGAAATATTGGTTCTGGATAGTACATACACTAGCATGGGATTGGTTTGCAGTGCCACAGACAGTATCCTCCAGCTGGGTGGCGGTGCTCGTATTATCAGCCACACCTATTCCCCTTTCTTTCGTGATCTTCTGCAGGGTTTGATCCATCATCCTTCCAACCGAGTGCTTTCTGACCCTGTATAGTGCACGGATGGTTGAGGAGAATTTGTCAGAAGTTGTCAAATAGTGCCGACTGATCTGCACCAATGAGCTGTATTCCCAGGGCCAACTTGCGTCTGGATTGACCTTGACTTACTACTCCGTGCACCGATGCAATGCTCAGGGTCGCTACCGTTTCTTTTTCCTTTTTTTTTCATTTTTCGTCTTCGTCTCCCTTGTCTCTTTTAGTAGTTCCCTCCATCTTAGAATATGTGATGTGATGCTCTACGGGTAGATGCACCACAGTACTTTTAGGATATCACACTGTAGTTATCCGAAAGATGTGGATCAGGGGGTGCCCAATCTCATTTGTGGCTCTCCCTCTCTCCCATCCTGTAAAAGCCAGGAATACGTCTTGACCTCTTCCTCAATGGTCTCTCACTATCCAGGAAACTCTAACGGTGTGAATGATACCTGTTGATACCTTGTATTTACTTGGTACGTTCAGAATCGCCCGGAAAAGTCAGAGAACCGACACCCTGGAGATGTTCCTATCCTCTACCACCATCCCTTGCGTGTAGTATCAGAGACAACCTAAAGCCACAAAAAACCTAGCACGGATAGAATTCCAGTGTGCAGTGCGGCGGGGATTACGCCGATCACGATCACTTTTGCTTCCAGGCTGAAGGGAGGGCGACGGGAATCGACCTGTCTCTTTTCCAGAACCCGATCGTCCCCTTCTGTCAACGAGATGCCTGCCATGGCGCCTTCGACTTGGAACTCAAAAGTTCTTCTATTCATCCCTCGATTCGCTTCTGGAACATTTCGTGTGAAGATGGAATAGCTGGAACAATGTATTTGTTCCCTATTTGGCCCGCATCGCATCTCCATTATTATCTGGGATGTTCTCCAAGCTTTCCTTCTTTTCCATATTGGGTCTCACCTGCATCCGGCGGCCACTTTACATGCAATAGGTCTGTTTTTTTCTTGCTCACACCGAGCTTATCGGAACTTGTTGAGACTTGGTTAAACGCTAGGTTGTCGGTGAGGAATGGCGAAAGTTCTGACCTCACGACGTTTAACTTAAACGTTCACTATTCCGTGATATATTGCACCTGGATTCCTGAATGAGCCGAGCCCTGAGATCTGTCATGCAGGACATGCAAGCGGTGATACCTCGGCAAGCATCCCTCGGTGTAAAGATCGCCTTGCCGAAGGCTTTCCCGGATGGAGCTTCTCCATATTGCTCCATCCCCCCATCTTTCCGATTAGCGACACTTTACACCGCTATCCTTCAAGGTTCGCGATGGGTCCATGGATAGGTCCTCTTCTGCGTCGCAGCTTTTTCTCACCATGTTCGCCTTCCATAGTTGGTAGTTGTAGTACCTAGTTTCCAGGATTTCGGCCGGACTTGACTCAGCCAGCCTGGTACGGTTTCAGCCCCAGTCGATTGGCGTTTCATCTCCATGAGGAGTACTAAAGCCATCGTTTGCTATGGAGCGGCTGAGCGAATTCTATGTGAGCATCGTACCGTCTGAGCATTAGCGCCATGCAAGGCACCTCCTTACTCGTACACACATTCGTACATGTCATATCACCTGAACGGGTTCGGTACTTCGGAATCTACGATCTAACCTTCTATGTACAAAGAAATAAATAACGGTCTACACAACCCTAGAAACAATACAAGAGAATTTGGGGGGAAACAGGATAAGAAGAAGGAAGGTGGGAACCTAGGATCGGTCTAGTCTATTGACTCCATATCTCCCCTTTATTGATACGCATTCCGAATCTCCAGCTGAAGTCGTCCATCAACTACGCCCTTGACGGAAACACTTCTCAGATCCTCCACAATCCAGTCTGCACCAGCCTCTTGAAGCTGAGCCAGCGAGTGGGTCGTCGTCAGCGCAATCACCTTGAATCCCGCCGCCTTGCCTGCCCTAATGCCCGAGGGCGCATCCTCAAGCACGACTAGCGATGACGAATGTTCCAGTCCGAGCCGCTTACGCCCAAGCAGATAGCACCGCGGGTCAGGCTTGCCCAGCTCAACATCCTCCGCAACAACAAGCATTTTTGGGTGCGTGAGGTCGAGAACACCCAACCAACCATCGATGAGTGCGCGTGATCCGGAGGTGACGACGCCCCAGCACGCACTGGTCTCGTCAAGCTGCGAAAGGAAGTTTCTAGCTCCGGGGATTTCAACGGCGTCCGAACCATATTCTTTAGGGATGCGTCCTTCGATCTGGCTGACATCTAGAGCAGGCCATTACTCAGTATATGCGTTTCTTCCGTTTCTCCCCCTCCTTCACTAACCCCTGCACCACCCCTCTTCTCGTCACTCGCTGGTGTAGAACTCCCCCGGGAGGCGGGGTACCGTGGGCATCTAAAACTTACACTCCCAGTTTGCTAGCTTCGGGTCATACAGCTGCAGCGTATCAATGCTCCGACGTCCATGAGATGTAGCCAAGATGACGTTGGGGTCAACGCCGAGCTCCGCGCCGACCCTGCTACTATGTTAGAATCATGCGGCTATAATTCGGCGGGGTCGGACTAACTTGTGCCAGTGCTTCACGATCGCTAGACGAAAAGCCGTGATTTAGCATCTTGCCATATTGTGCAAATCATACCATTCTGCCAGAATCCAAGTATAAGCCCTTACCATCAGTCGAGTCGATGATAGTACCATCGAAGTCCGAAAGAAGACCATCAAAAGTGAGGACTTGCGGAGGGGCTGAGAACGATCCTTGGTCTCTAGTCATGGTGTCTGTGCCTATAGATATAAGATCTCGAGAAGCGCAAAAAAAGCGAGCTGACAGTACAAGAGAAAGAAGGAACAAGCGATGTATAGAGATATATTCTAAGCGTAAAATTCTCAAACGAAAGAACTGAAGATCCGACTAGAAATAAAACCACTAAAACCCTCAATAGATAAGACATTCCTTCCTTACAATTCGGGCACGAAATCCCACGCGATGGTCGGAGATCGGCGGCTATTTACTCCGGTTATCTTAGCGCGGGTAAAATAGTTTGCACAAAATTGTTCGGCCGGCCTTTTCTGCGAGCTACTTGGAGAAGGAGAAAAAAACTTCCCTTATCGTTGGTTTTTTTTTTTCTTTGGTATCAAGGGGGGTTTTGTATTTATTCTGTCAAAATGGTTAAGCTAGGTATTTATTTCACTGGGCTCTTTTTTGGATTTGGGGATGTTAATCGTAAATAGGCAAATCTTCGAAGCGGACGCCCGTCCGGTTACGGCACAAGATTGAGAAGGCTTCTGCCGCGAAGCAACGGAAGCAGAGAAAGCTTGCTAAGAAGGTATGTATCTTTTGTTGAATCCTTGATACGGGAGGATGTTTTGATTTGTTAATGCTGTTGGTTAGAACCCCGAATGGCGTTCAAAGGTCAAGAAGGATCCGGGTATCCCCAATTTGTTCCCTCACAAGGAAAGACTTCTTCATGAGATGGAGGAGAGGAAGCGGATGAAGGTTGAGGAGCAGGAGCGCATCCGTGAGGAGGCGCGCGCTCGCAAGAAGGCCCAGAAGGAGTCGCAACAGCAGGGAGATGATTCCAACAACATGATCGTGAACGATGTGGACCTGGAGGGTGACTCTGTCGATGAAGATATGGATGAGGATGATGGAGATTCGTCGAACCCCATGGCTGCTCTACTTGCCTCGGCGCGCGCTCGTGCAGCGGAGTTTGATGATCAAGATGGAAGCGATGATGACGACGAGATGGACGAGGATGATGACGAGGATATGGATATGGATGAGGATGAGGAGGAAGGTGGTGCTGCGCTGGGCGAGTCCGCTCCCCAGCTTGTTTCACAGAATCACAGCAAGGAGAGCTCCCGGCGGCAATTCGACAAGGTGTTCAAGCAGGTTGTCGACGCTGCGGATGTAGTTTTGTATGTGCTTGATGCTCGTGACCCTGAGGGTACCCGTTCTAAGGACGTGGAGCGGGAGATTATGGCCGCGGCTGGTGGAAACAAGCGGATGATCCTCATCCTCAACAAGATCGATCTTGTTCCTCCGCCCGTGCTAAAGAACTGGCTGGTCCATTTGCGCCGTTACTTCCCCACCTTGCCGCTCAAGGCTTCAAATGGCACTGCCAACGCTCACAGCTTCGACCACAAGCAGTTGACTGTTAAGGGTACATCAGAGACGCTTTTCAGAGCCCTCAAGACCTATGCACACAGCAAGAACCTGAAGCGGTCCATCTCCGTCGGTGTGATTGGTTACCCCAACGTTGGAAAGTCCTCCGTCATCAATGCCCTCACTGCCCGTCTCAACAAGGGCTCCAGCAATGCATGCCCCACCGGTGCCGAGGCCGGTGTCACCACTACCCTGCGGGAGGTGAAGCTAGACAACAAGCTCAAGCTGATCGACTCCCCCGGTATCGTATTCCCTAATGCTGAAAAGAAGAAGAGCAACAAGAAGCAGGTGGAAGAGCGTGCACGCCTTGTTCTCCTGAACGCCATCCCGCCGAAACAGATTGAGGACCCCATTCCCGCCGTATCATTACTTCTCAAGCGTCTGTCCACTTCCGATGACCTCACGTCGAAGCTGCTGCAACTCTACAACATCCCCACCCTTTTCCCCTCCGGTGACCAGACAACCGACTTTTTGATCCACGTTGCCCGCAAGCGCGGTCGTCTGGGTAAGCACGGCGTGCCTAATATCGAAGCCGCTGCCATGACCGTGATCAATGACTGGAGAGACGGACGTATCCAAGGTTGGGTCAATGCCCCTGTGCTGCCAGTTGTCACCACAACCGAGGGAGCATCGGCTCCTGCAACGGATGTGGATACGAGACAGGTTGTTACTGAGTGGGCGAAGGAGTTCAAGATTGAGGGTCTGTGGGGTGATGGAACAGCCGATGGGGAGATGGCGGAATAATCTGGTTTATTTATTCTTCTCTGCTATGGATACATGGATACCAAAAAGGCGTTGCCTGGTTTTTTTGCTCTTAAGATGGTAGAATGATGTTCTTCAGTGTCGATATCAAGTTACGATCAAAAATGGCCATATATATATTATATCGCTTTACCTAGTCATGTAGATGGGATAGGGTTCTTCTCCCCGTGTAACGGAAATCTTATACTAAACAATAATAATTTTTTCAAGTATTGAGTATTATTATGCAGCCGATTTACTTGCGACTTACCAGACGTTATCTTTTTCTGATGTGGCTACTTCCAACATCTAACATGAAGATATATATATATATCCATACATCATCCACCTACAGATTACAGAACATAAGATAACCATATAGAAGCTACAAAAGAACTCTCTATTAAAATTAAAATAACAAATCCCACAAAAATAAATCCATAAGCCCTTCTAAAAAGAAAGGGAAAAGAAAAGAAAAAGAAAAAGAAAACCAACGACAGAAAATGTCCCAAACCAACCGTTGAAAGAAAAGAAAAAACCCACTCAAAGATAAGATCAATCAATGCATGAAATGAAATGAAATTAAATAAATTGCCACCGCTCTCCACGCGCGTCCGTCGCGTTTTTTCCCAACTCCTTGAATCTACAACTCAAGATCAAATATCAAACTCAAAACAGGACCCAATTCTCAATCCTCATTTCCTACCAAAAATCCAACCACTCGATGACCTCTCTAACTCTCCCCAAACCATCCACTCAGCAAATCCCAACTACCAAAATCTAACCCCGTGAAAACGAACGATATCGCGAAAAACAAGGGGACCACACAGATAAAAAACGAAACCAAAGTAGAATCACAAGAAGCAAGTATGGCTCCTCGAAAATCAACTGGAGACGAAGATCCCACATCATCACCACAGGTGCAAGGCGCGGCTACACAATCGCCGCAGACGCAGACACACACACAGCAGCCGATTCAAGCTACAGAGCAACAACTTAAGGCTAGAGCTGAGGGGGGCGTTAGTATTGAGGTGAGGATTTGATCTTTCTATTCTCTCTTTCCCCCCAACCCCCTTTGTTCGGTCTTGATGTTATCCATGGCTAGAATTACATCTTTCGCGCTGAACATCTATAATATCTATATCTACCTACAACGAACTTACACTAACAACGAATATAATGATATCAAGGACTACCTCCTCCCCCGTTCTCTAACGCTCCGACTGGCCAAATCCGTCCTCCCGCCTAATACCTCCATTCAAAAGGATGCTGTCCTCGCCATTCAGAAAGCGGCGACGGTGTTCGTGTCTTATCTTTCTTCGCAGTATTTCTACCCCCCTCCCTTTAACCCCTCCCACTTTTTTTTGGATGTGACGGGAATGAGTGCTAAGCTGGGAGTATTTTTATAGTGCCAATGAAGCGACTATGAAGCGGACTCTTGCGCCGTCGGATGTTTTTAGTGCGATATCGGAGTTGGAGTTTGATGGCTTTCGGTCGAGGCTGGAGAAGGAGCTGGATGCGTTTACGGAGTTGAAGGCTGGGAAGAGGAAGGCGAAGAAGGGGGATACGGCGGCTGGGGCTGTGGAGGCTGGGAAGAGTAATGCGGCGGGGTCGGAGAGCGGCAGTGGTACTGCCGCTCGGGGGGTGAAGAGGGTGAAGAGGGTTGAGGGGGAGGAGGCTGAGGCTGTTGCTGGGTCTAGTCGGCAGGAGGAGGAAGGGGACGATGGGGATGAGACGCAGGATGAGGCGGAGCAGGTGGATGAGCATGAGACCGAGGTGGAGGAAGAGGAGGATGAGGGTGAGGGTGAGGAGGAAGAAGAGGACGAGGAACACGGAGAGGAAGAGGATCCTGATCGGGTGGAAGATTTGGATCGTGATTCGAGGGCTCGACGGGTCATGGACCCGGATGCTGCTGGGGATGAGTCGGATAGTGATGATGAGGCGGGGCCGTCGTCGCAGTTGAAGGGGGATCTGGGGTTGGGATAATCTTTATCTTGTAGCGATTATGAGTTTATTGTTGATAGATTGATAATACTTTATATGTACGGTTGCACGTTAAGTTTTCAGCTGCGTAAGAATGCTGATTCATTTCCAAAGAGTACGACATAAATGTTAATGCGATGACAATGTATACCAAACTCCATCAACCCAAACGCCGGTCCACGTACGACATAAATTATACAGGTAGACATGTATCGCAAATACCGCCATTCATAGTACAGCATCATCTCAACGGAAGGAGCGGGAGTCATTGCTTCAAGCTGTTTCTCCTCAATTCCCATTCCCAAAAAACGCCATTGCAACATGCACAGTCTATCCTGGTATCTGGACAAGTTCAATTGGCGACCCTATGCGAAAAAAGATAAACAACGAAGGCGAAGAAAAGAACTAGATAGACTAAGGATGACATGAGGCAAGAACCATGCAGTCATGCGGTCGGCTGATTTAACAATTGACTCATCCCGTTTGGAACCGATTTGGGAGAGATTGTATCGGGCTGGCGCCAGCGACCGTTGCGTGGGGTCTCTTCTCCCTTCTGAGCTAGATGAGGAAACATTGGGCCATTGTTGCGAGCAGCGCCTGGTGGTAGTGGGTGCATTGGCTTGGTCTCCTCTTTCTCCAACTTGATCGCTTTTTCTGTATCGGTCGCGACCTTCTGCGCCTTGGTAACCTTGCTGAAGGTGGTAATCCGCGCATTCTTGGCTGGCTCGTCTTTCTTTGTCTTCTTGCGAGGGGCGCTCTTCTTTGTGGCCGGCTTCTTCGGCACTGCGGTCTTTGATGCCTTGAGCACTTCTTGCAGGCTGCGCCCGCGGCTGGCTGGATTGGCCCGACCTCCAGCTGGAACCTTTGGTAATTCCGAAGCTTCCTCGTCGTGACTGGAGGATGGCGTGAGGAAGCCCGTCTGAGTCTTTTGCTTCTTCTTCGGCGTCTCGATGACAATCGACACTCCATGTCCATGTTTCACCCGCTCCACCTCAGATGCATTGCATTCATCGAACAAGTCCTCTGAGTGATCGTCCCACCGTTTCAGATTGGCCAATCGTGCGACTTCCTCGCAATCCCCCTTGACCATCAAATCCCAGCAATCCTCGAATTCCTTGCCGGCTGGGGGTTCGTTGTTGATCCACATGGTCACCCCGTTCCGGCGACTGCGAATCACGGAACAGAGACTCTTCACCAGGCGGCGCACGCCCGGAATCTTCAAACTAGTGCCCACCACGATGAGCGCGTCTGGGCGCGAGCGAATATCGGCATTCATGACGGAAGTGATCGCCTCTTCATCCGGGTTATGTTCGTTGTAGAGCACGATTCTGGGTCGCATTTTACCAATTCCATGACTGCGCTGGCCTGTCTCAATGCGGAACTGATTGTTCCTAGCGCATTCTGGACACTCCGGAGCATCCGGGCGGTCGAACATGGCACTGTCAAAGTCGCCGAGATGACGACATTTTTGGCACACCATCTTTTCGAGGCTTCCGTGCAGCTGAATAGTGCGCGGCCACGGCGCCTTCACATTCAATGGGATCTGGGTGGCCAAGGGAGGCATCGAGGCCTCAATGCCATCGATGTTCTGGGTGTACAGGCGGGTCAGGCGATTTTCTTGACTGATGCGAGCCAGCATGTGATGAAAACTGGTTGGGGAGGTCTTAGCCGCCTCGTCGGACAGCGACCGCACCATGTCTTGGAAGGAAGCGGTTAGTGTTTCATCTTGATAGACGGCAGCATCGAATAGAAGTTTTCCCGACGCTTTAAGGTTGTGTTTTTTCTGTAGAGATTTAAAAAGCCCATCAGTGGAGCGGAAGTCGGGAACTATGTGGCAGCAAGACATCTGATTAGCGGCGGCGAGTAGGAGAGACAGGGAAGGGAGGGGGGATATGCATACTGCCCGCAGAGGTGGAGATGCCAGCTCCCGCAATGACGACAACTTTGCGGTGTCGACGAATCGTTTTTGTTAGTAGATCGATTTGCGCCTGTTGTTCAGTATAGGAAAGTTCAGCGCTGGTCGAGAGATCGAGATGCTGCGTTTGGCGTTCTTTTGGTGCGGCGACCCGTCGCTTTTTCCTCGCGGGCGGCAAGTCATCTCGGTCTTGGCTGCGGGTACTGCTGGACTCGTCCGCTTCTTGTGACGGAGGCGGCGAAGGATAAAACCCCGGCGGTGGTGTCGGTGAGGCTGGGGGAGAGCTCAGCTCTGAGACATCGGAGAACCCATCGTCCATGGCGAAATTGAGATATGTTCCAAGCGAAATCAAAGCGGTATCGTCGTGGGAGAGGGGAGACAAAGAAAGTGGTGGTTGGCAAAGGGAAGGAAAGAGCTGAGAGGGAAAAAAAAAAGGGTGTTGCGTTGGAGGTGAAAGAGGAGAAAATGAGGAGAGAAACAGCAGAGCTTTCACCACAAAGAATTGCTACCCAGAAGGAAAACCATGGAGGACCGAGACAATGTTAAGGAACATCAATTGGTTCGTGGGGAAACGAGAACAGTCTTTTGTTGATATAGTACGTCCTTTTTTCCCTTTTTTTTTCTTTTTCTTTTCCTTTTTCCCGTTGTTTTCTGGGCAGTTGAGGTAGTAAAGTAAGGAGAAGAGGAAGACCAGAAACACGTCGAGAGAATTGGGAGGTCGAAGGGCGTCGTGACTAAGAAATGATAGAAGGGGGAAAATTGAAAATCATGAGGTCAGGGCGGGAGAAGGAAGAGAATAATGGTACAGCGTACGCAGCAACTCTGGTCTGGTTCACCCTCTCTCTCTCGCTTGGTGCCGATGCTGTGTTTATTTTGACTTGACCCACGGGATGGAACACCGTGAGCAGCAGGCAATACAACGGGAAACCCTAACAGCAAAAGTTGACAGACGTCAAGACTAGCAACGGAAGGTATGTTGTGAGGAATGTTGCGATTGTCGGCCTACTTGTTTGTTACAGGTCCAGGGACATCCGAATTGAGATCAGATGATTGACACGAACTTGCTATGAAGGAGTCCAAAGACCCCTTCTTAACTTGTTGTTCTTTCGACCTCCAATGCTAACAATCTGCTAACAGTTTTAGCGCGAGGTCCAGCATGCCCATAGATACTAGTCGATATCGGGTTTAGCTCCATTCATCTCTTAGCCGCAGTGCCGGCGCTGATTGGCCCTTGCCCCACGTCCACCATGCTGGAAAGAACTGCAGCACGTATCTATAAAGTTCTGGATATGCCTACTACTGAAATAACACCTATCCGGATGGCAGGTTCGCGTCGATGACTTTGTAGAGTATTTTGCAGACAGATTTTGGTTCCTGTGCTTAGTTGTTTATCCTATGCAGGATACAAGATACGTGTACCCAACCTAACAGGGGTTGACATGTCTCCAATTCCTTACCCCCCTTTAGAACCATGCACCTCAAGCAAGAACATCCCGGACCTTTGGACACGCAAATTTGCGGAATTGGGTTCGTTTCCACGTATTATGGTGCGTAGCTATGCTATTCGTTCGTTAAAGACCTCGATTGGCCCTTATTTATCGCTGGTTTTTATTCATGAATGCCGCCCCCTGTCAAGCGTCTTGTCGCGGTACTCCTTGGCATACAGCTACTCCTGAGAGGCCCATCCATTGTCCAAAACGAAATATCAACTTTTGTGCTACAATGTATCATTTACTGCTCAGCTAAACCGGATCATCGGAGGGGGACGCTATGACCCCTGGGTATCCTTGGTTCTCATGAATATCCGTTTGCGGCGTAGGATAAGAATAATTTATATACCTTGGAAACGTGCCACGTCCTCGCCCCTCATTTCTTCCTCTAATAGGCAATCTCCAGTAAGTTCTCTCGTATTATACAGCCTGGGTCAGCATTTGGCCTTCATGGAAAGAATCGGTGGTCGCGCGGGGAGGTATAGAGAGGTAGGGCTTCGGGACTGGTGGGGACCGCTGTGATTGGTTCCGCTGGTTGGCCCGGATACCGGGATCACAGGACCCCCACGTGATAATGACTAAGCCAGCCGCTGACACCACAATGAATCGAAAGTGTTATTGATCAAGATGGAGCGAGTGAGATCATAAATGAATGATAGTCTAGGTTGAGGGGAGTGGATAAAAAGCCGCAGAATGTGGATGGTCACTTCATTTGTTGGTCCTAATTGAGTCAGTCTCGCTATTTCTTTAGAGCCCAGTGTCGCTGCGGGCTGCCGACATCCACTTTAAGGAGCCAAAGCATTATTATGATATCTATCGGACTCTCGGTTCTAAGGCAAATTTCTGGAAGATAAAGACCACGTATTCATCTTATATGGTTTATACATTTTCTTTACCACACCATGCCAATGATCATGGACGGCGGTCTCAATGTTGACGACTTGTTTGGCGAGTCTGGCTCTCTGGAGCTGGGCTTGCCTTCCACTACCACGAACGCCTCCTCCAAAGGTCTTGCTCAGCGTCTAGACGAGATGCGACTACTAGGGTGTTGTCAGTATGTTGCATATACGTTGATGTATAGTGACTCCACCTGTACCGAAACTTACGACGTCTAGGAAGATCGCCTGGTCTAAACAGGGCTGCATCGCATATATCTCCCAAGATACTTTAAGAGTTAATCTTCGTCACCTTGAATGTCGGCCCTCCGATGGGAAGTGGGTATTGAGTGATGACACTCCACTGCACCCAGTGGCAGAGACCCATGGGGGACAGCCCCTCGTTCATCTCAGCTGGAATGAAATTGGGTCTGAATTAGCTGTGGTTGACTCATCAGGGAGAGTTTCCATCTATAATATTGCAATCTCCCTTAACAGCTTAGCGGGTCAACGCCAGGCAGGTTTTGATCCCGTTGATGATGGAGCTCAGATTGTCGGCATGATGTGGTTGAATATCCAGCGTTCCGTAAGTGCCCCTTATCCCCGTGCTTTCATGTCTGATATGGCGCTCACCTCTTTGAAAGGTGCACGCTTTCAATGTTGCAGCGATGGTACAAGGACGCCGGGCTTATTCACCGTTTCGACGCCGCCCAATTGGTCCTTTTCACCCGGCAGGTAAAGCCGCTTTATTGTGTGTCACTAGGTCTGGCATTATTAGGCTCTTGTACCAGAACCCCGACAACAAATGGGCTGAGATCTCTGCCGAACTGAAGAATGCGAGCTACTCCGATCGGCTTCTTACCCATGCGGCTCTAGTGGCTACTCAAAACGGAGTTCTTATCGCTACCCACTCTGCATGTCAAAAGATCTACTTTTATCGAGTGCAGATCAACTGGACTCCTCCACAGTGGGATCCGAGCCAGTTGAAGCAGGCACCAAATCAATTTCCCGCCCCTAGCTTTCGCTTCATGCATGCTAAAGTTGAAGCTCCTTGTATCTTTCCGAGCGCGAACCGCAATGGGGACGAAAACACTCACGATTTGGCGAGCCCAACAAACTCACCTTACTGTCTTACTCGTTTAGATATTATCCTCCCCGCGCATGACAACTCTGCCGGGTTGACTACAAATCCATGGATAATAGCTGTTTTCTCGATCCCTCCTCACGCTACCCCTGATCCTTCACAGCAACAGAGTCCTTGTAGTGTCATTGTCCGTTGGCAATTAGAGTCTGCTCCACAGGTGCTTCACCCAAAGTTCGACGAAGTTATGTCAAAAAAGAACAACGTTCAAATAAAAGTACGTGGATTTAAAGTCAGCACTGTTGAATATTGCTAATTGCCAAGCTAGCCTAAATCGATGCTACGTCGACTGGACGATATATATTGCGACAAATACGTCGTCATGATAGAGCAGACAGAGCATGGAAACGTACTCGCTATTGCATATGATGATAGCTCTGTTTCTTTCTATGATCCAAAGACAACGGCAGTGTTGAATGGGGCTGATGATACAAATACATTGACTAGCTTGGCTCAGGCAGGATTCCATTACCCTCCTGACTCTGCAGGTTGTTTCCCCTTCAGCTTTCTAGATGAGGCAGAGGTTGACATTTTCATAGCAGGTCTACACATCAGCTTCTCTCCAAGTGGCTGCAATGCTGTGACACTTGATGGAGAAGGACAGGCGCAGCTGCGGGTGATGGAACACTCGTACGGGGAGGAAAATGGGCTTTACGACGAAAGTATGTCTTGTTTTTCGTATTATTTGATAACAGTATCTAACATCAATCAAGATAAATCTTCTGCTGCTATTGCCTCCCTGACGCTGGCCTTCTGCCGTGGATGTGGAAGCGAGTTTAATACGGACGATATATTGTTGATCTTGAAACGGCAATTGTCATCTGGTTAGTTCCCCTCCCCGAATTCCACTAGTCTTCTGGCCTAACTGCTTGACAAGATGCCCAAATCTCCTTCCTCAACGAAGTTTACCGCGCGCTGGGGGTCAACTGCAACTACACACAGGAAAACGATAAGTTGATGAGCCATCAGTACCTACCAAAATGCCTTAGTATACAAGCTGCCCTGGGGTTCATTGATAAGTATAAGTCGCGAAACTTTGCATCTAATGTACCGTGGACAATTCTTCAGCTTCGTCATGCTTCTGTTCTATATGCGCTATTTCTCCAGTGCCTTAAAGGGGGTGTTCAGGCAGAACCCCCTGATCCAGGTAAGATCCCGGCATGCAGGAAGTCACTGAACTCTCTCTGATTACAAGATCTGATGCAGATGCTATACGTATTATACTTGGAAATACTAAGTGGGCTTTGGATCTTTTACATTATATTTTGAATGATCTTCTTGACCTCACGGATGAGTTGGAAGGCGTGCTTTCTGACCCGGAGGCTTTTGCCCAGAAATGTCAGTATCACGTCTGTTGGGCTTGATACCCAAACATGGTATCTATGCTGACATTGTTCATGATAGTGAAATCCATAAATTCTCTGCCCTTGATCATTCTCCTGTCTAGCATGTCTCGAGCCTTCCTGCGCTTCATATGCCGCGGCTTGCGAGGAATTCATGCCGGCTACGCTTCCGCTCCCCTACCAGGCGATGCCGGAGTTTATTATGCAGAGATTTATCAAACTCTGGACTCGTCCCCTGTACGGATTGATGTGTATGAAAAGCTGCTCGCCGGGGTAGACTCAACCGTCCGCCATGTCTATCATGGCGCAGGTTTTGGAGATAATGAACGGCCTGGGCCTGAAAAGGAGCTCCTAGTCAACGGCCGTATCCCTCCTGTCCTTGTCACGGCAGTTTCTACGATCATTCGACAAACCATCCCCGCTCTCAAGCCTGAAATCGATCGCATGGCTATCTACATGGGCGATTACAGTTGGCTCGGTCTCGGTTCCGACCGACGCGCAGAGCTGTACCGGAGGACTCGCGATGTGGATATCATCAAGAAGATCCCTTTCAGAAGCACTGCTCCTTCTGCCGGTTCTGACGAGGCTCAGAACGGGAAGCACAGTCCCAGCCAAGTGCGCCGACGATGCGTTCGTTGTTGCGAGATCATGTGCGGTGCGTACCCGCTACGACCGCTGTTATCGTCTCGCATGATGTACAAACTGGGCTATGTGCGGTACTGTATTTGTGGTGGAGGATGGACTCTGGAGTCGGACATCAACCGCTAGACGAACCATCCAACCCTGGCGGTACTGGCTTGTTCGAGTTAATCAGACTAGAGATAATTGTATAGAGCTTTTGCAAACGATAAATGATGTCCTAATAGATAGAGGTGCCTAGGAGCATAAAAACTGTGTAGCAGTAGAGGCCTAGGACTACGTAGGATTATATGCTTTTGCTGAACCATGTGCATGCGACATTCAGGGATGGTTGAACTAGCGGAACACTATAAAATTCCTCTGATTCGCAAGTGATACTTGAATAATATGAGTGTCAGTCAGGTAAGACCTCGGCCTAGGCCATCAGCCCCAAGGGTCCAAATTATAGGAAAAGTTGCCATATCGCGGTCGGAAGTCGTGCATTATCATTGTCATGTCAAATAAAGCCTTAATTTAATATTGACTTGCATCTTTTTTCTAAGATACATAATCAATTTCTTTTAAAAAGACGTTTTTGGTGCAACCGACCCACACAAGGTGGTCCAAACCGTCATCTTTATAACGACGTTCCCGGAACTCCATCTAAATCCAGACACGACCCGTCTTCAATTTAGGCCTATTTGCATAACCGATCAGCATGGTTCACTTGCCCCACGTACTTTAATGTACGAGTGTGGTTCTGGTCGGGGACATGGCTGTCTCATACCTTAACAGCGTACTTGCGCTGAGGGAAGTGGATCTCGCGCTTCTTCTGTCTCTCGGTCTTGAGGGTAGCCTCGTGCTTGGTAAGGCGGCGGCGGATAGCACGAGTGTACTGGGGGCGGAGATCGAGAGGGAGGTACTTCTTGTTCTTGTAGAACAGGCGGAGCTGAGCACGCTGGTTGGCGTTGATGATGGTGTTGACACGAGCAATCGACTTGCGGACGTCGTGGCTGTAATAGATTCACACATCAGTATTTCCTATCTGCTTCTGGTTTCCCTTGTGATTGAAAATTCTGCGCTTTGTCGTGCTAATTCCTCCTCTTTTCACGGTAGTTGTAAAATTTCCGTCCCTTCCCCTTTCCTTTCCTTCAAGCGCATGTATCTTGGGTATCGGCGTAAAATGTGTAACTGGGAATTTCGGAGAGCAAGAAAAGCAATGTTAAACGCACATTCTCTGGGTCTTCGACGAGGCACCGCCAGCGATCTTCTGGACGCGGAGCTGGCTGAGCTCCTGCTTCAACTCCTCGAGCTGCTTGGTGAGATCATCCTTGCTCTTTCCCCAGAGCTGACCAGCCTTGACCTTGGAAGACTATCGACGAAACCGTTAGCATTCAGTAATTCGAACGCGAAAAATTTCACCAGCATCATTATCATCCAGGCGCAGCGTCACATACCATGGTGGGCGGTATTGTCGTGTCGTGCGGTTGTCGACGAGAGGATTGAAGATGGACCGGGTCAATTTGGGATGTTCGTTGTGGGACTAGGGTTATTTTTTCTTGCGTGTGGTGCGCCGCCGTAAGCGGCCACGTGATGTGTGGCTGGTGCTACTCGCCGCCTCCCCATCCGCCTTACCGGAGTTGGTGATTGCGAGCCGCGGATGTTCCAAGTTAAGAGATGCGTTGTTTCCCGCTGGTCGGTCAACTTACTTCACTTTATGCTGTGTTCGGTCGGGGTTTTCTTGGAACGGTGACGATTCTCTTGTTTTTAATTTGAGTTATCCTATTTCACTACGTCGAATCATTCTACCATAATAAACACCGTTGTCTCGACCTACACCTCATATACTTCCCATACCCACTTTCTATGGCGACCTCAACTGGCACCGGGTGGGCTCAGCTCCGGCAGCAAGCCCGCTCGCTCGAGACTCAGGTATGGATTGCTTTCACCTGACGGACTCCCGGATAATATATCAGTCCAACAAAAGGAGTACGCTAATTGATAACACTCACAGACGGAAGGCCTATTCCACTCCTATTCGCAGTATGCATCCATGACGACGCTCCCCCCAAAACCATCAGAAGAAGAGCTCCGCCTCGAATCACAACTCAAAGGATTGCTCGAGAAGGTATACTCCAACCAGCCTTCCTCCGTCCAACCAAGACAAACCACTAACCCCAGCCCTAGCGCCAATCCCTCGTCTCCCAACTCTCTCGCCTCCTCGACTCCGAAGCCACCCTAACCTCCTCGGCCCTGAAACAAAACAACCTCGCCCGCCATCGCGAAGTCCTGCAAGACCACCGCCGCGAACTCCAACGCCTCACATCTGCCATCTCTGAATCCCGCGACCGCGCAAACCTCCTCACAAACGTCCGCTCCGACATCGACGCCTACCGCGCATCGAACCCCGCCGCCGCCGAAGCGGATTATATGCTCGAGGAGCGGGGCCGCATCGACCAAAGTCATAACGTGATCGACGGGGTTCTGAGCCAGGCATACGCCATCAACGAGAACTTCGGGCTCCAGCGCGAGACGCTGGCGAGCATTAATCGGCGGATTGTGGGCGCGGCGAGTCAGGTGCCTGGGATGAATGCGTTGATGGGCAAGATTGGGTCGAAGAGGAGGCGGGATGCGCTTATCTTGGGGGCTTTTATTGCAGTTTGCTTTTTGTTGTTGGTTCTGGTGCGTTGAGGGGTATGTGTTTGTGAGTTTCCGGTGACGGACCTCGATGGATCTCGATTAGCGGTGATTCCTTGTTTTCTTTTCTTTTTTCTTTGTTATTTATTTGTTGCTTGTTGTCTATAGTAAGGGCGTTTGGGTCGGAAGGGGGGTCATTTTTACTTCTGGGTCGTTTAGCTCCTTGTATGGTTTTGGTGTACAGGATTGACCCGTTTATATGCTATTGAGCTTTATACTTGGATGGAGGTACTGTAACCCCGTAGTAATCAGATCAGGTTGAGACTGATGGGTTACATGAAATGGAAGAGATTAATCCGTAATATATGATACATGTATATACATGAAGATTTTTATGCCCTTCAAGGTCTCATAACAACCCTAGGCTTCAGACTTGCCGAATCGCCGTGTCTGTTCCTCCTCCACTCTTCCGCCGGCAATTCAGACTCCAGACTAACATGTCTTTCCTGGATCAGCTTGCGGACGCCATTGTTAAGTGCCTCCAGCTCGTGCGCCTCAGCAGGCCCGCTTCCCGCCCAACGAATGCGACAGTTCTCATCCAGCAGATACACGTATCCAACCTTACTATTCATCATCCCAATAGTCTCCTTAACGCCTTCCGTAACACCCTTCCGAACTAAGAAATAGCGCCTATGTTGCTGCTCAGGAAGGTTACTCCGCATCCGCCACATGAATCTGCGAACTAGCCATGCCTTGAGCGCATTCTCTTCCAAGTTGATATCCACCTTCTGGACCAGATCACCACCGTTCTTGAGAGCCTCGTAGAGTCCCGGGTTCTGTTCCGGGCCTGTGAAACTTGCGACTTGCGTCTCAGCCCAGACGCTGGAGAAAAGGTTCACGACGGATACTTTGCCCCGGAGTTGGGAGGTGGTGTTTTGGGGTTCCTTGGGCGAGGCGAGTGTGGTGCCGTACATGTTGGGAAAGTAGAGTGCCTTGTCTCGTTTGAATAATCGGGGGCTGGAATAGAAGGTTTTCCCCTGGTGATGGCGTAGGTTCGACCATTCGCGGAAGTAGGGTTTTGCGACTTGTCTTGTTCTGTTATTGTAGATTGGATCAGTAATTGGGGCTGGAGGAACAGGAAGGGCTAGAAGTGTTCGTACAGTTCCTTGCGCCGCTCTAGATGTCTGTCGTAGTTCACGAAATCATCTCGTCTTTGACGCAGAGATCGCGTATCGACGCCTGTGTTCTGCCCTTCTTGCGGAGGTATCACCGAGCCAATTGGACGGTCGAGAGTTGGAGGAACGAAGTCTTCATCGCCTGGTTCAGCGGCCGCAGAAGGGGGCACTGACGGGGATTGGTTCTGTTTGAATTGGACCTTGTTGTTCGCTGTTGTATTGGGCGCAGCTGTCTTCGCTGCTTTATCATTGCTACTGTTGCTGGCGTAGTAGCGTAGCGATGGTTTTAGTTGAATAGTTGAGGTAGCAGTGGCATTGCGGAATTGGCAACTGAGACAGCGACCACCCTGGAGCAGGGTAGTTTCTGTAAAAGACGATATGAGAATGGAGCGCTTCCACATTTCAACGGACGACAATGTCAGCTTTAACTATGCACAATGCGGTGGTCGTCGACTCCAGTCTGCTTTTGAGATCCACCTTTCGGGAAGTCAAATGGAAAGCCGGCAATCCCGTGACCTGGCGGCATTTTCGTGCCTCTCCGCACGCGTGGTTACCTTCCGGCGTGTTAATTGAATGGAATCTATGGTTCACCACTTCAATCCTATAATTTTCTTGAATCATGGGTGAATTACATATATGTATCATCACCTGCTAGGCAGGTTCGGGAATCGCCCATGGCTCTATGGATCCCGAAGAACATGACATCGATCATCATACGAGCCTGGAGATGGTGCACAGCGCCTCGGACAAGAAGACCTTTTTCCAAGAACTGGAAAGGTGGGGTTGTTTGGTGGAAGACTCAGGGGACGACGCAGATGAGGGTTTTGGTCGTCTTATAGCGCTGTCAAGAAACTATGTTGAACCTGTTCCTTATACTTCACCGGGGGGGAAATCAAGTGCCTTGGAAGTAACTTCCCCTTCACGGTCATCTTCACTGGGCTCAAGGCAATGCGGAGACGCATCTGCAATTGACATTGAAGATGTACGAGCTTCTATTATAAAAGAATCGAACACTATGGGAACCCTGAAGAACAAAGCCGACGTCTATATCGGCAAGAAAAGACGTGCACCGACCTTGAAATTAGTTCCGGAACAGCAGCAAATATTTAAGGGTCTTGTTTTTTGTCAGTGATTGGTTTCGCTTCTTTTCGACCTCACAAAGAAGTCTCCGTCGTGCTGACTGGTTTTTAAGTCTTCTTCCCGAATAGTGACGTTTCCCCTCTACGGCGCCTGCGCATTCAGCGAGCGCAGGAATATGGAGCTCTCTGGGCCCGTACTTGGGGTGATAATGTCACCCACGTTATAGTTGACAAGGGGTTGGCTTTCCAGGAGGTTTTGAAATATCTTTGTTTGGAGACTTTTCCGGTTAGTTCAAACCATGAAGTTCTTATTTATCCCAGCCACTGACTTTGATGAAGCCGAACATCGCCCTCCTCGATGAGAGTTATCCTTCGGAATGCATCAAGTTCCGATCAATCCTAAATATATCACAAGCGCGATTCCGTGTTAACGGGATACCCGTTGTTTCAGAAAAAGGGGAGACGTCTCCCCTAAATGAATCGTCGGCCGAGTCTTTCGCACTGAAAGCAGGCAGCAGACAACAACAGCCTGAAACGCAGTCTCAATCATCTGAAAGCGAAGAAGATCCTCCTTATGTACAGCAAGCCAATAATTACCCAGAAAAAACATCCCAAGAGCCTGTTTACGAACCACTTCGGGAGCGTGATGCTCTAGATGACATGATTGATGAAGCCAAAGCTGTGAAGGACTTGGTAAGGCTGCAAACCATTTCCACCCCAAATATTCATACTGAGAGAATCACAGCCACTCGATTCTTCTGATGAACATATCGGATCCGACCTAGAAACCTCTGAGGAGTCGGACTCCAAGTCAAACACACGAAAGAGGAAAAGACTTTTGAAACGAGATGTCAAAGAAATGGACGCTCGGCAGACAAAGTTTGCCTGTATGCAGAAGCATGACCCGAAGTCAAATTCTGACAATCCTAATAGGCGAACCATTGACGTTCTTCAGCAGATGCTGGACTATTATGCAAGGACTGACGACCACTGGCGCACACTTGCTTATCGCAAGGCCATCTCCGCTCTTCGGAGACAGCCAAAGAAGGTTCTCACGAGATCGCAAGCTATTGCTATCCCTGGGATAGGACCGCGCTTGGCGGATAAAATCGAGGAAATTGTGTGCACAGACCGGCTTCGTCGCCTAGAGAACACCAATACTACGCGCGAGGATATCATACTTCAGGAATTTTCAGGTGTTTACGGGGCTGGGATCTTGCAGGCCTCCAGATGGCTTGCCCAAGGCTACAAATCAATAGCGGATTTGAGGACTAAAGCATCACTAACCCCTCAACAGCGAATCGGCGTCGATCACTACCGTGATTTCTCTCAGCGGATTCCACGAAAGGAAGTTGAGACACATGGAGAGATCGTCAAAAGGGCCGTGCAAAAGGCCGACCCTGGAATGCAGGTCATTATTAGTGGCTCTTACCGACGTGGCGCTGCTGACAGCGGAGACATCGACTTGCTCATTACCAAACCCGATGCGACGATTGAGCAGATTCGGACCCTAATGATAAATGTGGTAGTGCCGAAACTCTTCAAGCAAGGTTTCCTCCAGGCGAGCTTAGCCATTACGTCGCGAGCGGATGGGTCCAAATGGCATGGCGCATCTCTGGCGCCTGGCAGCCAGATCTGGCGACGGATCGATCTTCTTTTTGTGCCGGGTTCGGAGATCGGCGCCGCATTGGTATACTTTACGGGGAACGACATTTTCAATCGAAGCATGAGGCTACTGGCTAGCAAGAAAGGCATGCGATTGAACCAACGGGGACTATACACAGACGTACTGCGAGGACCACAGCGGATGAAGTTGAATCCCGGTCGGTTACTCGAGGGTCGGGACGAGCGACGCATCTTTGAGATCCTAGGAGTTCCATGGCGTCCTCCCGAGCATCGAATATGCTGATGGGACTTAGGTATAAGGGGGAAGTAAAATAAATAAAAAATTAAAAAAGATAAAAACAAATCTTCGGGTCCGGTAACGGAAAGATGTCGGGGCCTTTAGGAAGCAGGATGAATGACAGATAACATTTGATGCATAACTAGTACTTTTTTCTGGTAGCTCTGGCTATGATTTATTGTTCCCTTTTCCAGACCGACTTCTCCTCTTGCATTAGAATGCTGCAGTGTCACTGTAAGAATGTCGCAAAGTTTTCATGGAAGACAAGGTATGGGCTGGATGATGGGGGTTGCTGTAAGGGCTGCAGGGACAGCGGTATTGTACTCTGTACAGTTCAGTAAGCTTGGAAAGGTTTGTTGTGGTCCAAGGGTGGGACAGTAATCCGAGTAAGTGGGAATCATTAAACGAGGGTGTAGGCCTTCACATTCCGAGGGTGGCGAAAAAGGGGGAAAGTCATGGTTTTCGTTGCAACAGAAAGTCGCCGTGAATAACAAGCAGATCACGAGTCGATCACCAGATCCCATAGAAGAAATCCCAGAGAAAAGAAAATCCACCCCTGTCACCGATCTCATCACCGCCTTTCATGCGGTGAAGCAACTGTATACAACACCGAGGGCGGCAACTGTCAGACCGCCTGTGGAAAAGTGCAAAAGTCATCGTTTTGCCGCTGCTTCCAACAATTATTCCACTCTTTCATCCCACTCTGCTGTCTCTCCACATCATCGCATTCCCCCTTCACAATATTCTGTCGGCTGTTATCAATCTTTTGGTGGCTTCTGCATTGCTTATCATTTGATCCACTGCCCTCGTCTCATCCGCGACCCACGCGAGTGGTTGTTGATTTTCGTGTGCTTTCTGTGGCCCACTGGATATTTTGCCGTACCGACCAAACCACCCCTCGGCCTCCTTTGTGCGCGCGACTCGATCCAACCCTTGGTATATTCGACCATTGATTTATTCTCTTCGAAGGTTGAGTGAGACCTAATTACTCCCATCGGGACCTTTGGCCCTGAGAATACTCAACGCCGTTGGTTCCCGACCCTTCCTGTCGGGTCCTTACTCGCCGCCATGGGTCGCAAACCGAACCAGCTGATCCTCGAGTTCTTCATCCGAGGCCAGAAACTCGAAGACGCCAGTAACCGTTACCAGCACACATGCAAGGCCTGCGGAGAGAAGTTCCCCAAGGGTCGCATCGATAGTTTAACCAATCACCTCGTTAAGAAGTGTCAAGCCATCCCGCTGCGAGACCGTCAACGCGTCCTGTTGCGCCTTCACGAACTTCCCGATCTCGCCGACGGCGAACATAACAAAGACCCGAATGTCGCGGGCCAGAACAAAGGAAAAGGCTCGGATCTACCTTTCACGACTCGTCAGAATTTTGATGGTCTCAACGTGCTTGCTGAGGCCTCGAGGCAAGTGGGCGCGTCCGACCAGGGTAAACGAGGCGGCCCTGCATACACTCAGTCGGTTACTGTCGGTGGGAAGACAGTCGTCGTCGATCCTGCGCTTGAAGCCGAGGGCTTTCAGGGCCATTTGCAAGCAGAACACGTCGAGGAAGACGTAAAGCCACCTGGTAAGCTGTTTTCCTTCATTGTGCCTGTGCCTCATTCCCTTTGTTTGTCGATGGCTTCCTCAGTTTCATTGGTGTCGCACTAACCACAATCATCTTGCAGGAACTCCACAAGGCTCTAACGCAACACTCGCGTCCATTCCCAATGCTTCTCAGGACCAACCTTCGTCCGCATCTCCTCAGTTGGCGGAAGCTTCGCTGACGCCGGACCCGACTTCCAATGCTCGTCAGTCGCAACTTTCGATGATTGCTGCTTCTGCTAGCGAGATGGTGCCACAGGGAATATCGTTGGACCATGACCTTTCTGATGGCTTGCCCAAGGTCAGCGCATGGAATCAACAGCTCTCCACTCAGGAACAGCTCCTTTTTGATAGTCTCCATGAACATGACCCTACACTCACTGCTGCGACACAGCGAGCCGCCGCTTTCCCACGCCCGATCGCGATGAACCCTAATTCACAGGCGAAAGGATTTGTCAATGAATTCGGCAATTCGACTAAACCGACGAAGCCGAAGGTGCGCGGTCGTTTTTCTGCAGCTAGACGTCGGGAGGTTCAGGAAGTCCGAAAGCGCGGTGCGTGTATTCGCTGCCGTATGCTCAAGAAACCTGTACGGTTTCCTCTCTCCTTTCTATTGCGTTGTACGCCGTTAACCATGATCCAGTGTTCCGGTGACAGTCCTTGCACTACTTGTGCCAGTGTAGAAAGCGCGCGGTTGTGGAAACATCCATGCATTCGGACGCGCATTGCGGAAGAATTTGAATTGTACAACGCAAGTAAGTTTTCTTTTCATTTCTTTTCATTTCTTCTCAGTCTGCTGCTTGTTTGTGTTGGGTGCCTGACCGCCTAGATTTGCACGCCACCCTGGCTTATCACGACGTGAGCGGTATCCGAAATCAGGTCCAGTTCGAGCATTATGCCGGTCGTATTGAGGTTACGCACTTTGAAGAAAGTATGGTGTATGTGACCTTCAGTGCTCTCCAGGGTCACAAGCCATCCACGTCCACACTGGATCCTCAGCTTCAAGGCCTTGGAGACGACTCACAGTTCCAAGGACCCCTTCATGAACTGTATCTGCTCGACAGCGATGCAGACGACTTGCCTGGGAAGCTTGAGATGTACATCAAGAAGACCGCACCTTACTTTTATGAAAGAGAAGCTTCTGAGGTCATGAGGCCTACTCTGCTGCTAGCCTCGGAGCTGAGTCAACAGAAAAAGGTATATCTTCATTCAAGCCTCTACTTGAAAATCGACAGGCTGACTAGTTGCAGGATATTTTACTGGAGCGAGTGCTAGAGCTCTGGGTCGCCACTGATATTTTGGTTGATTCAGACTTGCGCTGGAGAACATTCTGCAATCCAACCCTTCCTCCTACTTCCATGCAGGCTCTCGCACAGCCGTCAGATGATGGACGCATGCCGATAGACGAGGTCACCAATGCTGAGTCTTACGCACTCCTGTGCAGTCAACTGCGTGCGGCGACTGAAAAGCGCGCCTCACAATTGAGCAAGTCGGTGATGAATGACCTCGAACGACGCCTTCTCCAACGTCAGCAGAGTGGCTGGTTCGAGACTTTCTTGGTTGCCCTCATTCTCTTGAACTGTGTGGAGCGAACCTGCTGGCTGTTCCGCTCCTGGGATGACGAGGCGTTTGCACAGCGGGTTAGTCTCCTCCATTGGTTTTGTTTCCTTATAGTATTCTAACCCATAGCTTAGTGGCCCTTGGACAAGCGTCCTCCGTACTACGCCAGCCAGGGTGATCGCTTTTCCGATATTCTACAAATGTTGTTGAAGATGCGCAGCTTACCGCCCAAGGCGGCCCCACGGCCCGAGAATGGTATTTTAAAGGCGGTAGACGGTAGCGACGTAAACGCAGCTCGCTGGTTTGATATGATTAAAGTTTCTCGTGAGTCCACAGTTACCATTCACATGATGCCCTACAGCAGAATACTCACAGACAAACAGCTCTCTTCCTCCAACAACGACAGGACGCTGCCTTTGACCCCAACGACTCTCGCTCCCTCGATCTTCGCTACGGAGCAAAACTGTTGCCCCCTACAAACGTTTACACATGATTTGCGCTGGTCCACAAACTGTAACTGATGAAACCAAATGAACCGATGACTAAGAAAAATTGCCTCGTGCCGATTTTTCCGTGAGAAACTCTGTACTTGACTGGGTCTGAAGGAGAGCTGTGATGAAATTAGCTGCTGAAAAGGCATTTATGGGATTTCTTTTCTCTCTTTTCTTTTCTTTCATCACCCCTTCGTTCGAAACTGAGCTCTCAAGTGTAATCTACTGATTCCGTGTCTCTTTCACGGTATCGATGTATGAGTCCCCATGATTTCTAGTCCTAGCCTTAGCTGAAAAATAATAATCTTCCTCCCTTACAGAACAGGGTGGTATACTCAATCAGAAACGTGTGTCATTGATTAGATGGTAAAGATTGTGCCGTTCATATATAACACCCAAGAGCAACAAAGGAAATAAATAAAAAAGACGAAGGAAGCAATAGGGTATAGGGTAACACATTGAATACATGGAACATACTATAGACAGACAGGAGTCACCAAAAAAGTACAAGGTCCAATCTTAACATACATGTAATGGAACAAAGTAAAAGGAAATAAAGCACAGATAGCAGGGGAAATCGTCCTTTTTCCCAACGTAAGGGGAGCCCCGTTGGCAGTGAGCCTAGCCTGCTATTTGATTAAGCACAGGTTTACTCACTGACAAATATAACTGCCGGGTGGTGATACCACCCATTCATTCCCTTATGCACCTTCACTGCATGACACATAGTTGTCCCCGGAGCGGGGCGTAAGGAGCCCGACTCCATTGGGATAACTAGTGTTCTTTGGAGTATGGAGCATGACGTCTCGTAGTGTTACGGTGACATTGTCATTCTCCGGTTTGACACCGGATGTTCGGGAGTGGAGATGTTCGTTGCTCTCGAGTATGGAGGAATATATTCGGTTATGAGTGGGCTTGAACCCGGCCATTTCGGTGTTAAGGTCGTCTGTGGAAAGAGTTCTGACACTTAAGTTGTCGGTGGTGTATGGGAATTCTGGATCGTGGAGTCCTTCTATTGTGGGTATTGGTCTTATGGTAGTGGGGTTGTCTGGATTGTCTTTGTAGGCTAGTTGGTTGGGGTAGGAGGAGGCAGTAAGGGGGGCTGGTTGAAGGTCTTGGTTGAAGAGATCTGAGTTGGACCTCTGTCTGGACAATATGTCCATGTTAAGGAGTGAGGTGTGCAAGGAATATCGTTCACAGGCGTCTGATAGATCTTTGATGTAGTCATCAGAGGTTTCATCTAGGTGCATAAGCATTGTGCCCTGGGGGTTGCAGGCGTCGTGAACAATTAGAGCTTGTGCCCCCATTGGGGAACAGGTGCTTGGGAGGAACGGAGGGACGGTCCCAATGTTGCAGCTGTGATGGTTGTCTGCTGACACGAGGACTGTGTGGTAGCCTTGGTATGTCTTGTCGTTGTAGCTCTTGACATATGCACTGTGTTTCTAGTATTAGTGCACTATTCTTTCAGGCTGTGGGGAAAACCAGTCTTACCTGATGACCGGCTGAGGTAACGACTTACTAATTTTTGGTAGCAAACTGCATGATACAAGCGATTGTCTGCATAAGCACGGAGTCTTCGAAGAAAACCACTTCGGAAAAAGGAGAGGACTGGGGGACTGAAATACCCTCTTCAGCGAAGATCATTTTAATAATATGGGAGGCTTCAGAGAGTTGGAGAGGAAACCCAGTGGGTTCATATCCATCGTTTGTCTTCATGAAATCGAGGACGAAGAACTTCCTATCGGATAGGCTCTATGACTGGTCAGATGATGCTGTCAATGAGGGCAAAAATAAACTCACAGCCATTTTAACAAGAGCTTATTGAACAATACTGAATAATAATTCTTCTGGAATACGAGATTCATCGAAAAAAGCATGACCACCAGGGGAATATAAGAAGTGGACAGAGAGGAAGGGCTGCATTTTATATGAGCCAATGCAGAAACCGCAGTGAATAACTCCCTGTAGACATCTCCACAGCCTAAAATTTCGGCGACTCAACAGAGTGATGAGAGCCAGTAGGAAAGTAGGAAATACCACCAGTGACTGGAGGCAGCAATAGGAAAACCAGAGGCAGCTAAAAATACCAGCCCCAAAACACTGGATCATCCACCCAATGGCAAAAGAGAAAGAAAATAAAGGCAGTGAATGGCTGTTTCCATCCCAACATTCACCAGAAAGACTGTACAAAGACAAGGAATAACCCGACAGAAACAAAGCAATACACCATCGTCAGTCATAATACAACATAAAGAGCATGAGAAAAACAATGTGTTCTCTTCATAGAGCCACTGTCGAGTCCTGAGGCTGCAAGTTCCCCTGTACCTGCTCCAGTACTACAGCATAATATTTGCCTTCTTCAGAAGTATCATGGTAAGGTCCTGCAGACATAATAGCCCTGTTTCTATCCATCAGCACCATTGAGGTTTTGCAGACTCCGGGGTACGTAGTAGTTGAGGGCCAAACGCAAGATACTTACCATCCCTTATATTTCGGCTGGTTGAAGATCTCCGTGAAAGCCCTTAGAATTCGCAACGGCAACTCCAATATGGAAGGGAGCTCCGGTCCAGGCCCAGATATGGGCAGACCCAGCTTGTTGAGAGGGAGGTAAACGACCTCGGCGGTATTTTGAGGATTGCGCGCTTCTTGAAAGATGAGAAGACGACGGGACGGTAGTGGGGCCATTTTTTTTTCTCTTTTTCTTTTCAACAATCTTGCGGATGTGTGTAGGATTTAAGCTCGACAGATAGTTGTAGAGGTACTGGAATCAGTGGCGATTGTCCTCATACATAGGATGACTATGTACGCTCCAATAGTAGCACAGGATCGTGCGGCGCAAAAGATCTCTTGTTGTTGATAAATCAAATCGTCTCGGCTATTATCAAGATTATCGATATCACTATTCCACTTATCGGGTTTGATGATCTGTGCGCAACTGAGTGGAAGGAAGATAAATCCTGCGAAGGGAGGGGTAACGAACAACAGAATTGACACGTATTCACTGAAGCCCTTCAAGAAGATAGCTGTGATCAATCAATGAAAGGAAGAAATCCTCGGCTTTGATGTATCGCATTGTGAAAGGATTGGACAAATCCGGATGTAAATAAATCGCGTTCTGCCGCGTCGACACGTGCCTGGGGTGGGGGGAAACCCTTAATTTTATTCAGCCGATAGTATATTCTACTACTTCATACCATTTAAAAGGCTTGGTCTAATTGAGTCAATTGCACTGGATATATAGACACAGCTTCTTAGTGAATTCCTATCGGATGGAACACGACGTATATATATATACATGCACTACAAATACACCAATCAACAGAGAAACAAGGTTCGAGGATATATCAGCAGCTGGGTATCAAATATCAAGGAAAATCATGGAGGTCAACTGTCGTCGGCCAAAACGCTAGAAAGCACCACCAACACTAGACCATGAGGACCAGCGATCTTCGATGCAAGATATGCAAACAAAAGCAGTTTATCGGAGGCTTCCTACGTATCAAGCTCTCCATCAAGCACGCGCCGAGCAGCGTCCAATCGCCGCCTCAGTTGACGTACACGCTTCGGGTCTGGTTCGGAAGAGGTTGTAATAGTTTGAAGATCCATGCATACATCACCCAGGCTCTTGAACAATTGTTCCAGGAGACGCGTGTCATCATCGTTGATTCCCATATTGCCATTGGTCATAGAGTTGGGATGAGGACTCGATGCCGCACGCACGGTGGATACAAGGGAAGACACAAGAGATGTCGGGGTTGCAGAGCCCGTCATGGATTGTCGAGCCGACAGATATTCGTCATTGACTCTCTTGCTTGGCTGTCTTCGGATAGCACGCGGCGTTCCCATCTCTGATTCCGCCTCCCTTGTCTGTTGTTGAGAACCAGCACGCTCAGGATAATGCTGATTACTACGCAGCTCTGCTAGCCTGTTAGTCTCCTGCCCACGTGATCAGTTTAGCAGGAGAGTGACTTACCATCATTAAATCTCCGATCCCAATAGAGGACACTGTCAAGGTCGTCGGGATCTCCTTCGGTCGCAGTTGCGTACGATGCAACGGTGGACAGAGATGCCCCGCTGTTCGTCCGGGAATGGCGGACGTGAGGGCGATCGTGATAGGGCCGTGTAGTCTCAACCGATGAAGTTGAGACATTACTTGAGCGTCTTAGTCTAGCCGAGTAATTACCCAGGGCGCTATGGAGAATGAAATTTTCGTAGTCAAATGCATCTTCACGCTCTTCATGGGGCCGAGCGTCGGAACCTGGCACCGCTGGGAATGCGTCAAGGTCATCCAAGTCACTATCCAGAGGCTCGCGCAGAATCTCACTTAAGGCCTCACGATCAATGTCAGATGAGTCATCAGAATGATATTCTTCCTCTGCATCCTCGTATAGGCTTTCAATGACCGACCGCCCATCCTCGTCCAGAGGCTCGGGGATCTGTGCGTTTCTCGATGGCGGGAGTTTTGCATTAGATGTCTCGTTTCCGTAGTGGCCAGCGACGGCTTCATTTCCGTCCCGAGCGTTTTCATATTCTCCGCTGAGTCGGCTCTCTTGCGGATAGTCCGGACTCCGTACCGCATTGGGTCGCAAATGGCTTTCTTTCAACTCCATAGTATTGGTAAAGTACTGGTCTGCCGCTGTGAAAGGGCTGGGGGTTCGCAAACTCTGTAAGCTACGTCGACGTAAATTATCTTCCTGCGCTTTCACTTTGAGGCTAGAGATCTTTATGTGGAGGCCCTTCATCTGATCTTGGAGGTCTCTCACTTGCACCTGCGATTGTGACCGAGACGGTGGGTCAGACACAGAGTAACTCTGCTCCTCGATATTGTCCTCCCTATCTTCCGCCGAGATACCCAATCCTCTGGGTGAGCCTGAGCTGTCTTCCTGGAAGTTAGACGGAGAAGCGCGAGCCGAGTGCGGCTTCGACATAGACGCACGGTGGGTGAGATATGATCTAGAAGCATCATAGCGAAATGTTCGCTCGTCATTGTTAAAGTTCGAGACACTGCTCGAACCCAAGGCGCTGAAAGATCGGGACAGGTCCGGTTCGACAGTTGGCAGACTCGATTGATCGGCGGACGGCAAACGGGTTTCGCTGTAAACTCGGGAATGTCGATTGGTATTAGTATCCTGGGATGAGATATACGTCGCGCGAGGGCGAGTCGATGCTCTGCGATCTGCACGAGAAATCGACTGATATAGGCCGCCAACCGGTTGACCGAGTCCCATCGCTTGATTGCCCTGGGACGGTGTTGGCGACACCGAAAGTGATGGCGATGTCCGCATTGAAGACCGAGCTCGCGTCAAATTTCCTTCCATGAGCTAAATGGCACAGTCAGTCTAAGATTTTAAGATAGTCACCCACTCTTTCCTTGCTTCCATTCGACGTACCGTGAGCCGTTTCTTCGCGTTCTCGAGAATTCTTTCCGCTTCACTGCTCAGAATCACCGACGATAATTCATCACCCGGGCCACCTTCCTCCGTCGTTGTCACCACTATGCCATTGGCACTATCCTTCATGATGCGAACAGCTTCAAGTAATTGGTCCTGTTCCACCGTGCGACCCTCTTGAGAGGCTCTCTGGCCACTCTGGCGAGTCTTAGCTCCCTCCAGTGAGGAAGACTCACTAGCGCCACTAATTGTAGAGCTAGATGAGCTACTCCGCCCTCCCGATTCTTTGGCGTCCGTGTCCTCTGCTTCGCGCTGCGAGGCCAGCGAGGTCGCTAACCGGCGAGAATGCGTGACGTCCAAGGTTGGCCCAAAACCGCTTACCGACGAGGTTGACGACGCATCTTCCTCCCCGATATCAGACAGGCGACGGCTCGCATCCAGACCGTCTTGTTGCCAGGTATGACGTGGGAATGGCTTTTTGGGGGTTCGTTGGAAGGCCATAGGAGCGCCATTTCCACTTTGATCATTGGGGAATGGGCGGTTGTTGTAAAAGGATTGGAGGTGTGACAGCGACGGGAGGTTGAATGGGGGCGAGGGGGTAGAGGATTCGCGCTCACCGTCAAACGGCAGGATCATATCTGGATTGGATAGTGTCGGCGACGGTGGAATCGCCGGTGGAGGCGGCCTGTGATGCCGGGCATCCTCCGCCGACGAGCTGTGTAACATGCTTCCACGTTAATTGTACAGGAGTATGGGTGATGATACAGTTTGCGGTCCACGGAAATTATACCACGTAGATCCAGGACATCTGGAAGAGCGTGTCTGGAACCTTCTTTAAAGGAGATCGAGTTGCGTGTCAATGGAATCGAGGGATGAGTTTAATTCTCGTCATGAGATTAGCTGCAGTCACAAAACAAATCAAAGGCCAATGCGACCCCAGTCGAGCGGGACGGAGGATTCTCTCAAGGGGAAAAGGGAGAAAAAAAAGCAACGAGGAACGACAATTATTATGATTAAAGATTAAGATTATCAAACGCTCATAAATAGTAAGTAATTAGTAGTACAACAGGTCGAAAGACGGCGGGACGGACAGAAAGAAAAGGAAAAAGGACAAGAAAAGTGACACGCAGCCGGGACAAGTGAAATTTGGAGGTGGAAAAGATGATTGATTATTGATTTGATTGATTGATTGATTTAATGTGTAATTATTATTATTATTCTTCTTCTTCTTCTTCTTCTTCTTCTTCTTCGGACGTTGTTTTTATTCTATTTTTTTTTGGCATTTTTTTGGTCCCTGACCGACTCAAGCAAATGAAAATGTAATAACTTTCCTTCTTTTGCCCGCCAGACCAGAAATGGTAAGGATCGGACCCGTAGGGAATGCCCACATCCACTGCTGCTAATAATTTGATTCGGTTTTCTCACTATTGGCTTTATCTAGGGGTGCGGATAGTAAAAGAACATTGAAGCGATGTTGAAATTGATAGATTGTTGAGGACCGACTGGATCGTACGATCAATTCCTTCATTTGAAAAACATATCCATGAGAAAATAAACAGACACGAAAAACAAAATAGGCCACTGGGAAAGAAGTAGACAAACCTTAAATGACCTGCAGGCGAAGATCATCATTTCATCAAAACAATAGAGAAAGAAAAGAACGGAAAACAGTGTACTCTTCTCCTCTTCATGCATGACAGTTATTTCTACTTCCTCTCCTGTCCAATTGAGTTTCTCTTTCTTTTCTTTTCTTTTCTTTTCTTTTACTATTACTATTTTTAGTTGTTATGCGTTTGTGGTTTGTGTGTCTGGTTTTTCTTCTCTACTCTTTTCTCTATAACTGTTCACCCCTGAATGCCTCGAGCTGGGCCTGAAGATCCACAGGGTGCCTTAGGGTTGTGGTTCCAATGGTACCGTGATGCTTAGTCTCGGTGTAAAATAAATATACTTCTTCAAGCCGCACGTTCCATATTTGGTTGTAAAATCCTTAATTCAATGATGCCCACTGAAGGTTAATCCAGCAAGCCACAAAGCCAACTAGTGTTTCGTAGATATCAATTCCTTAACGTTGAAATTCATACTCCAGAACATTGAGTAAAAAAATTTCAATAGCTTTTTGGTAACTTGAATGGCCCTTTGCTCCCAGACCCTGTACAGATAAGAAATGCCAGTGCGAATACAAACAAGAAAGCGAAACGGGGGAGTATTGGATTCCCAGAATCAATCAATATACCAGCCAATATAATACGGATTCGCTCCAAATATCGACCCAAGAACAAATTCGACATGTCTAGATCTTTCCGAGCAACAACTTAGCACCGCTGCTAGTTGGACCAGCTTTCTTCTTGCCATCCTTGCTAGACTCGGCAGCGGCTTGCTGCAGCGCCTTTTTACCCTTCTTCAGGATCTTCAACAGTTCCGCTTTCTTTTCAAACTCATCCGATTCCGACAGGGCAACAACCACGAACACGTTGGATCCCGTGGCCCAAGACATGATCTCGTCTTGGATTTGTTCGTACAGCAGCTCGTGGAAGTTCAACGGCGGTTGTACCTTCTCAACAACCTTCTCTGCACTGTTGAACCGTCCTCCTTGGACAAGTGACTTCAGCAAGCGTCCAACAAAAGGAGAGTCTTTAGTATCCGAGCGAGATTTGGCGGCAGTGGCAACGGCGGCCAGAGCGGCACTCTTATCTCCATCGGCATCAAAAAGTACCTCCGAAATGAACTGACATCCAAAGCTCGTCTCCAGGAGTGAGTCCGCGCGGGCTGCGATCAGCTCGAGCAATGTCGGCGATGCAGCCTTGACTAGCTCCTGGCGTCGGATAGAGGGTTCCTTTTTCGAAGTCTCCTGACGAATCTCGCGGATCTCCTTCAGAACTCCCTGATCGATATCGGGCAAAAGCCACTTGGCGCGGTCTCCGGCAAACGGAAACAGGATAGGAATACGGCCTGTCAAATCACTAATCTGGTACAGTAGCTCTTCGTTCCGCGTTTCCGCGTCGGTACCTTGACTCAGTAGCTCCGGGTAGATAGACTTGGCCGTGAGCTTCGTATCGTCAATAACTTCAAATGCGGTCAAGAGAACCATATGCGCGTAGAGATCGCCAGCCATTAACTTGATAGTGTCCTTGTAAGGGCGAATGAGCATTTTCCGGTCTTTGGCGGAGGAGTATGCCAAACTCAAGCACATCAAACGCGAGCCCGATGGAGTGAAAGCCAAGTTCTTGACCAAGTCGCCTTCTTCGTCACCCTTCAGCAGCTCAATAAACTCATTAGCCTCCGAGCTGCCAGGCTTAGTGTTGAGGAAATATTGTAGCATAGCATCATGCAACATTGTGAATCCAGTCGACTTCTTCTGAATCAGCTGGTTGACAAGTTCATAAAGGAAGTGCATGATAGGCCCCCTTTTCTCTGGACTCTCCTTAAGAATCTCGGAGAGCTCTGCAACGGGCACCTTGCCCTTTTCCGCCTTGAAGATACTGAATTCTGTACCATACCACTCCCGCAGAAGGTTTGCCTTCTGTTCCTTCGTCGCAACCTGCCGATAAACATCATCCAGAATCCAAGATGCCTCCGGGTGCCGGATGAGCCGCTTGACATGGCCGTAAAACTCTGGAATGATCAAATCCCGAATCTCGGCATCACCGTGGACGATCAGTTTACCAATCAAAAACTTAGCATACCGGCTCTGTGCAAGTTCATTGTAGTGACCCTTCAGCTCTCCCGCAATCTGCTTGCGCTGCTCGATATTGGCGTACTTCAAGGCCGTTTGGATAACACGGACCGAATCGTGCTTAAAGACGAAATCCCTCACACGCCCGGTGATAATATCAAACAGCTCAGCAATGAGCTTCTTTCTCTCTTCAAGCGGAACATGTGACTTGCGGCGCAGACGCTCCCACAGCTGCTTAGAGCGTTGAATCATATCGGCGTTGGGCTTCGCGGCTTTCCGCTCCTGCAACAGGGCCTTTTGCTTTGCATGCGATTCGCGTGAAGATGTCTTATCTAAAAGAGGGAAAATAATTAGCTCCATATCCATAAGTAAGTCGCGAGTGGAAAGCCTCGTTATCATACTCTTTGCAGCTTCGTCGTTCTTAGCAGACCCTGTCGGCTTCTCCTCTTCGCTATCGCTGCCATCTTCTTCATTATCGCCAGCACCGCCCATCTCAACATCCTCGTCTTCAAGCTCATCCAGCTCATCAATTTCCGAGTCAGAAACATCATCCAAATCAAAATCATCGTCATCATCCTCTTCCTCCTCTATCTTCTTCTTTGAAGGCTTCTTATCCTTCTTCTCTGGCTTGGAGCTCTTCTTCGATACGCTTTTTGACGTGGATTTCTTCACAGGCGCAACCTGGGTTTTCTTCGTCGACACGGTTCCTGTCTTGGTCTTGGTCCGCTTTCCATTGCGCTCGTCGCGAGCGTCCACTGGACGCTTTACTCCGACCATAATGACGCTAATTCCTTATTTATCGTTTGCCTTGTTCTGGAAAAAGCGGAAATGAACCTTGTGACGTTCCTGACGGGGAAAGTTTGTTACGTCTCCCGCTGGAGTTTTTTCTTTTCGTCAAGATTAACGCTGCGGATAAATCTTCTTTTTTTTTTTTTTTTGGGGGGGGGCTCCAGACCTGGGGCGGTCGGGAGGTTTGTCTTGTTTGCACTTCACTGATAAGACTGTTGATACGTGATAAACTATGCAAGTTATACTGACGGAGTACTCCGTCCTAGTTCCACGGAATGCGTACGAGTGGCAAAAAAGGGGAGAGAAAAAAAAAAGGAGTAAAAAACTCTACTGACTGAAAGAGAAAATAGTACAATCAATTAGGTCGTATACACACGTAGCAAAGTGGTTACTCAGGCTCTCAGCGCCCAAGGATCCAAACCAAAGTGAAAATATATTACTAGTAGTCGAACGGGAAGAACCCTGATCAATCCCCGAAACGCCTACCACCCCATTACCCAAATGTATCATGCCTTGTGACGATATCACGCATCACGGACTTCCGTCTCTACAGCTGGCGGGGTCTTTATGCAGCCCATTTCTGATCCCACGTTGCTCTGGCCCCGTTTTCGGCCGGGCAGGTGAAAGCCTAGTTTGGAATTAGTTGATATGTGGCTGTCATTCGTGGTAAAGTCGCCAAATCGTGAGAAGATGCCTTTCTTCTTCGGCTTCGCTTCGTTGTCGTCGTCGAGTCCGACTTCTTCGAAATGCTCTTCTTCCATCGATGTGGGCTGCTTTCGGGGAGACCTTTCGTAGGGCGATGGTAGACGGGAGAAACGAGAGTCGAGCGAGGTGCGGGAGGGCAATACGTCGCTATAACTTACAGGTGATCGGGCGGATATATCCTAAGAAATAATAAAATGTGTGAGTTTCTGAAGGGGTTTGAAGAGTCGGCAAGAAAGCTTACGAAGGACCGGCGATATGAATCGAAAGATTCGCGGGATATTGAGAACGGCTCATTCTCGTCGACCAGGTCGCGATGGTTATTCGAGGATCTATTGGACCCCGGGTACCTGCGCCAGAAGTTCTGTTTTTCTGGCGGGGATGGCTATTGGGTAGATGTTTAGCCACTGCGCGAAGATGCAATCACTAGCACATGGCTGTAGAGGGACGGTTAGATTTACCGGAAGATAAGCCCCATTGTCGTCGACCACTTCATGTAGACGAGGATTAGCGACGTCTATGTCCATTGCGGGGAGGAGGCGGGGGATATATGTATACCACTCAGTTTATATACGGGTGGTTCATTATCGGTGCTTTTCCTGATACTCAAGGGCGATGATTGATGACTGTCTGTGGACAAGCGACTTATGTCGTTGTTGTTATCGACTTCCCCGCTATTAGGCGCCGTGGACCTTTTTGCGAGGAAGTTGCGGAACGGGGTCATTTTTGAGGGATGGATGTTTTGGGAAGACTTTTTTTTTTTTCTGAGGTGCGCAAAGGTTAATCGGACTGCCCTCCTAAAGCGACAATGGATCTCGAGAAGGAGGTAGAGAGAGAGAGTTTAAGATGGATCGTACGAGTGGTCCAAGTCAAGAGACCCAACCTCACATGATCGGCGCCTCGGCAGTACCACATAATGAAGTGGTGAATTATCCATTTGATGTGAGGGAACGGCGATTGTAGTTGGATAATTTATCTGTTGTAAAGCAAGGGCCCACCGACTAAGTGTGGGCGACAATTGGATTGGTTGATATCGCTGCGAACTCCCTACTAGGTTTTATAAAGCGCTGGACATATAGAGTAGTACAACCTTGACCTTACTACTACATAGTAGGCACTATGTTTAAGTCTACATCGATCTTTGACAATAGATGTATACGAGTCATTGGTGAAAAGAGACAAACTTAGGGTTACCCGTCTTGACTATAGACGTGAGGGTAATTGCGTCATGTTGAATATTCAAATGTACGTTTACTAGAGTAGGTAGCATAGAACTCGTAGAGGCTATGAGTATTATTGTTGTGTCTAGTTTTTTGCGTCATCCTTAAGGGGGAGACTCGACATGAGTCAGGCAAAAGGCTAGTTTTTCATGGCTCATACCCAGACTTCGGTCTTTATGTACTTTTTACAAGCACATTCCATAAGTCTCTCACTATAGCTGAGGATTCTGAGAGTTCATCGTCATTGCGAATTCGATTGTGAAATCTCTGTGAGTCAGTTAATCCACCGAGTCCCTGAGGTAGCTACACCATTGTCACTCTATAGCAGTTATGATGACTCGATAAGGTCATTTGTACGAATGTCTGTTGGTGGCGACAAAGGGACCAACGGGCATAAATATAACAGCCATCTTTTGGAGGTACCTCTATTCTGCTTCTTGATTCTCCCCATTTTATCTTTCCTTTCCTTACAAAGCACACTACAAAAAAACTGCTTTATTACTTTACCAACTATCACAATGCGTATTGGTTCTCTCCTTGCTTTGGGAGCTGCCACCACTCAAGTAGCATCTGCTGTACTTGACCCAGTTGGAGCAAACCACACCGACCTGGCTACCTTCATGCGCCGTGATGACGCTGTTTCCACGCTTACTTCTACTGCAGCCGTCGAGACTGACATGGTGAACCTTGTCAACAATGACGCTGTCTTTGGAGAGGATGACAGCGACGACGTAGTAGCCGACAGTGACGATATCTCCACCGATCGCAGGGGTAGGCGCCGCAAAGGCCAATGCCGCTCTGACCTGGACTGTGACCGTGGCTACCTGTGCAATAGCGGCTTTTGCAGCACTGGCTGTCGCCTTGACGCCGACTGCAGTCGCGGTCAAAGGTGCCTGGGTTGGCAATGTCGTGCGCCCAATCCTCCCCAGTGCAAGCCTTACAAGCAGCGATGCACTGATGACTCCGAGTGCTGCTCGTGTATCTGCGGTCATGGATGGAGAGGAAAGGTGTGCAAGCACAACAAGCATATCTAATGTATCGATCGAAAAGACGAGATAGTGCTGCTAGGGTAGGGATCTTGGATTTTGTTATGTATTAGGGTGCCTTATACTTCAGCTTGATTTGATGTCTTTTGTTCAGCTTCTGCCTGTTCTGTCTTGCATACAACCGGCCGAGAGCCTGGAAGGGAATGTATGTCGCAAATGGTGTTTAACGGGAGTGATTTGACTGGGAAATGTTTAACTAAGAGAACGGTTGATTGCAGAAAAGCTATTTGTATTTAGAAACAGAACACAAAGATCAAAAATAGTTGCTTACCACACGGCGCCTAGTGTTGACTTCACTGTGTGTATACTATATTACTTAACTCTATAACTATTCGTACGTGGTAGATAATGTACTAATAGAAGTATCATTATGTTCATAAAACAGAACATAATTATTTAATCTGTCATGGATAGTCTAGTGGGAGGTCAGCCGTTAAGACAATAACCTTGCTTAGGTTCTCCACACCAGCGGGACCGGTGCCTGGTACGAATCCTGGGGTCGTCGTTGTACTCGTGCGAGTAATCCACGATCGCTGCAACGCGCTAAGCAATGGAGATGATTCTTGAGGGAAGCAATTCTGCAGAGACATCTCCACCCTGGGGTGGCGTCGCCAGAATACACCGACCCGTTACAGGGAAGTTGGCTACTTGGTTGGACAACCACATATCTCTTCTTTTTTTTTATCATGCATACCATGATATTCAAAATCCTTGATCAACGACCGATCTTGGTTTGCGCTGTTTGATGTGCTCCTTTTCATCTCATAAGAGTATTAATCATTTATCATACAATGTTCATATAAATTCCAACCTCACAGATTCCGTACCCAGCTCACTCACCACAAGTCGTGGTTTAGTTCTTCCAGACGACCCCCAATGAGACTGAATACATATATTTCCTCCTAGGAATTCGTAGGGATCTGACGTGAGGACTGCCTTTAACCACCTTCCCAATTATGGACGTGTTGCGTTCGCACTTTCCACAAAGTAGCTGTAATTGTGGTGTCACTTCATGACCGTACATGGACCTTGGACTGTGTTCTCACTTCACCCTCTACCACCCTTCCCATTCACTGTTGATTGCAAGGTCGAGTGGAGCTGAGCGTTCATATACAGTCTCCTCTTTTCATACACTCCTATTTGTAATCCCAGGACATCCAGTGCCAAACCCTGCCACTGTCATCTCTTTGCTCTTCTCTCGAGTAAAGACGTGCTGCGAGTGATCGGGCAGGTCGCACATTCACCATGCGGTTTTGGGTGGACTGGGAGCTCTGGCAGAAGCTTAGTGTGGTATGATTACAATGATGGACTCCGACCGACTTAATGGTGACAATGCTAATGATAATGTTCGATAGGTGATTACAGCCCTTCTTGTAATGTGATCAACCCCAGTATCCACGCCACTACTGACACTGACAAGTTTCTCGTGCTTATCTACTCGATCTGTGCCCTCATTCGCAACAGGGGGGCGACGAAAAAGCACGCCGCCGCAGAAGCACGTCTCAAAGTGATAAATGATGTGGAGGCAAATGAGGTACCGTTCGGCGCTCCGGCATTAGAGCGAGGAGTTTATGTGGAAGGCATATGGACACCGAGCCTGGACTCTCCGACTGACTCGAGTGCACCGATCAAAGAAAATAGTGTTGTTCCAGGCCTGAAGCCGTTGCTCGTGAATTCAGCAAGCGCTCTCCAGAAACCCACTCAAACACACACCCCAACGTCTCAAATAAGTCAGCCCGATTCGAGATCGGCTTCGGAAGATCCAGATAGAAGGATGGAAGCATCGGGAAGCCTTCATTCAAACCCTTTGTATGCGAACACGCTCGGTAAGGTAGATGCCCACGACGTCGGCAAGCATCAGAATGTAGCCGAGTCGGACATTACCCGATTAAAGGCGCGATTTAATTCTCGGAGCTCATGGATTGGCAAACCGTTTGATAAACGTATGTCAGGAATTGAAGGTAAGGCCGCTAATTTAATCCTTTTGTTTTTTTTTTTTTTTTTTTTTTTTTTTACAGAGTGGGCATAGGGGTGCATAGAACAGACAAAGAAGAACTTGAGACTGGGGCTTACAGACTCCCATAGGTACCCGCCAGCGGACTTCTTCGGAAGAGTTTAGACGCAGGATAAGTAAACTGTTTGATGAAAATGTTCAAGCACGCCCGGCCGACATGTTTCAGTTGCAATCCGTTCCTTTAGAGTCCGGCGATAACCACCCAGATGAGCTCACCAGAGATCCATCGGAAAACAGATTGAACTTTATAACCCATCGATAAACGCTTCCATCCTTTGATTCCGCCTCGGAGAAAGGGGAATATTTGCTATCATCGATTGGGTATACAACTTACCTGGAGCGTGAGAGTTCGATCAGACTTTAACGGTTTTATTCGTTTTGTTGGATACAGTCACTTGCTGCATCGGCCCTTGCTCAATTGTATCCCGAAAAGCTTTGCAACACGTAATAGTCATTCAACCATAAGGATGACATGTAGAAAGTGTTTTAGTATATCTGATACAATTGCAGTTTTAAACATCGGAAAATGCTTCCTGTACCGGATGATAATAGTCAAGAGGCCTTAGATTTAGGAAGTACGAAAATTGCCCTCATTTTACTCCGTAATGATCCACATACTAGCGCCCTATCTCGGTGGCTAATCAATTCTCGCAATTGTATCGAGTAATTGTAAGGAGTAAGTTGGGCTTACTACCTAAGGCAGCAGCATTATATGCCTGATGCACGTGACCTCGTGACGGCTTCAACGCGTCCACAACATGGATAGATTGTTTATCGGAGCAGAGTGACAGGCGGTTTTGCCACATCAACCGACTTGCAAGTCCTAAGTAAGAATTCTATAGCATTTCAACCGGTAGCTACCGGACACTCTTTGGAAGACCCTTCCGAGAAGGAACCCTCATAGCGCAGAATCTATACCCTGTGATAAGAAGGACGCGTGCTATCGCGTTGATCGGATTGTGCTTAAGACCGGCGCTTGCTTGGTAATGTGCCTGGACTGGCTAGAGATACACTTCGCTTGCCTGTCTGAACAAAATGACTGCCGATATGGACACTCAGAACGAGTATGATGATAGTGGACTCCCGGGGCCCGGAGCGCCCACGCCACTATCAGCCCTGGAGGTGAGGAATTTCCATAAAACAGCCTCTTGTGACAAACGATCGAGTTGGCAGTGAAATTAATTTCTGCATGGCTCATACTGACCATGATCTGCTAGGGTGTTGCGGGGTTAACGGGCAGAGATATCAAACTGTTTGTCGATGCTGGCTATCACACTGTCGAGTCAATTGCGTATACGTACGTCTTCCCTTTCCAAATCTCCGACGTGCTCCAAATATGGAGAAGCTGCGGTTTTGCTGACATTGGCATTGGTCGTACTATACAGGCCCAAGCGTTTACTGGAACAGATTAAGGGTATCTCGGAGCAGAAAGCTACGAAGGTTCTAGTCGAGGGTGAGTCATATGACTTACTTGGCTTAATACTTGCTGTAAAGGATATATGCTGATTACTTCTAATCAACAGCTGCCAAGCTCGTACCAATGGGTTTCACGACCGCGACGGAAATGCATGCTCGGCGAAGCGAGTTGATATCAATCACGACAGGATCCAAGCAATTGGACACTCTCTTGGGAGGCGGTATCGAAACGGGCTCTATTACTGAGATATTCGGAGAATTCAGGACGGGTAAAAGTCAGATATGCCATACGCTTGCTGTGACTTGTCAGCTGCCATTTGATATGGGGGGCGGCGAAGGCAAGTGTCTCTACATTGACACCGAAGGAACATTTCGACCGGTGCGCCTGTTGGCCGTTGCCCAGCGATATGGGCTCGTTGGGGAAGAGGTACTGGATAATGTGGCGTACGCTCGAGCTTATAACTCGGACCACCAACTTCAGCTACTGAACCAAGCATCTCAAATGATGTGTGAGACTCGCTTCTCGCTTCTCGTCGTCGACTCTGCTACATCGCTCTACCGGACAGACTTCAATGGCCGTGGTGAACTGTCAAACCGTCAGACACATCTGGCTAAATTCTTGCGCACCTTGCAGCGCTTAGCAGATGAATTTGGTATTGCCGTTGTCATCACCAATCAGGTCGTTGCCCAGGTCGATGGAGGTCCTAGTGCGATGTTTAATCCGGACCCCAAGAAGCCAATTGGTGGAAACATTATCGCGCACGCCAGTACGACCAGACTGAGCTTGAAGAAGGGGAGGGGAGAGACGCGAGTGTGCAAGATCTATGACAGCCCCTGTCTGCCGGAGAGTGATTGTCTCTTCGCCATCAATGAAGATGGCATTGGAGATCCTAGCCCCAAGGACTTGGAGAACGATTAAGGGAAAATGCGGCCTCAATAATTAGTTACGATACGATGATCGGTATTTTTTTTCTAATTGGCTTGTTAGTACATATAGTTTAGTAACCTGATTTTGATAGCCTACGGTGTTTGTGGCATTGTGTTAGAGAGATTATTATATGTTCAGTAAAAATTATAGCTAAACTTCGAAACGGGGCTTCATCAGTGGGAAAAAGTCGGTGGAAGTTAATTAATAAAAGCGTCTTACTCAGTTTCGTTTCATTCTTTTCACCGAAATTGTAGATAGATCTCCAAGGCGGTGGATGTGCGTTGCTGTGCCAAGACCGTGTTTTTTCTGAACAGAGCTTCGGAGCTCCTCTCTTTAAACCTCCAACGCTGCGACAGTTCCACCCACTGCGACGGTCGGCCATGGAGACTTAATTGAACGAGTTCTAAGATTGTGGAAGGTGGTACCTTACTCATCCGACATGGCGAAAATTTACAAAGATACCAAGGTCGACCTCGGGCCGTATTCATCGAACGCCGTCGTCAACATCCAGATTCCAACACATACGGGACAAACCCGAGCGCGGTTCTCTATATTATCCTCTGTAGGCGAAGACGAACCGCCGGTTGCGAAAGATGAGGAGGAATTTTCGAAACGGTATCTCTCGAGCCATGGGTCGATTTACTTCCGCAAACGCCGTGTCTATCCCCGAACGTTCCTCTGGAGGGTTGTTAATGATAACAAGGTTCTGGAGATTCAATGTGTCGACTTGACAAAGGGCGGCATCGAGCATTTTGTATACAACAATACTTTGCGTCTGGATTTCCAGGAGGAGATCCTTCCTTCATGCGTTGATTTCGCAGATCTGGAGGATCACGATGTACTGAGCGTCTTCGTGATTACGGCATCCAAGCAGCTTTACACCCTGAGTCTTCGCCCAGAATTCTTGCGCAGGACAAGTGCGATCGACAACAATGTAGCAGATTGGTGCAAGAGCTGTGTTCCGGCGCCCTTGTCGTTCTCCTATCCTCATCGATTGCACGCGAGTAGTCCGCTCGAGCTGTTCATCTCCCTCGACAACGGGGCGCTTTTGCGTTTAACTAGGAGATCTAATGATGATGGTAATACTCCGTGCTTTTTTCTTTGGCGTTTGACATAGGGAATTGGGAATGCTAATTCTATTGATTATAGGCTCAAATTGGACTCCGCTTACCTTCGACGAGAGAACTTGGGGTTCGTCTATCCGCGGCTTGGTTAGATGGCACGCGCAGCCTTCGATTAAATACAAGGGACGCAATCTCGACCCGAACTTGGCAAATGCCATCGCTACTACGTCCGATCAGACTTACGTTTTCGCCGTCTGTCTGAACCACACCTTAAAGATCTGGAACCTAGCTACGAATAAATTGGCTGCCACGAAGGACTTGTTAGGCCGCGAAGTGCAAGAGCCAGAGTCATCGTTGTCATACTCGTTGAATCCAGCGGAATCATCTTTCATCCGTGTATTCAATGTTGAGAGAGCGCTGGACGGGGCATATCGTTATTACGTTGTTACATATTCACCTTTTGAGGACGGGCGTTTCAAGTTCTGGGCTGTAAAGGGAGGGTTAACGTCGCCGCTTGTCATCGAGGATCTCTTTCCTGATGCTCCATTGCGGCCTCTAGACCCTGACTCGACAGGGAATATGTTCTGGAGTATCATTGATTTCCAGCTTAAGCCGGCCGAAGAAGGGAAAGGCATGGAGCTGTGGATCCTTTGGAGAAACAGCAGTGTCTATCAGCTTTACACTCTACATTTCAATTTCGAAACCCTGGTGAGAGACTGGGATGCCAATTGGGTGTCAACAGCAATAGACACGCGCGCCCAGGAACCTCTGCCCCCTATGTCAGTCTCTGACGTGGTTGATCCAACAGAGAAATGGCTGAAGTTCCTTTTAAAACCAAACAAATTCTCTCCAGAGGTGCTTGAGACTGCTCTGGCGATCTACCAGGAGGCTCTCCGGCCGCTGTCTTCTTCCAGTGTCTTGAATAAAAGTGCTTCGCTTACCGAGCGGCTCTGTTCCACCATCGCTGCCACTGTGTCGCTTCGAAAGTTTGCCGAAGATGAGATGGATTTTTCCAGGTACCGCATGGACACGGACTCGAAGTGGCGTCAGTTTTGGCAAATTGCGGAAGATATTAACAAGAGACGATTCGAGCCTGTTTCTCTTGTCTATGACTCCTACCATGAGACTCCATGGCTTCTTCTTTCGGATAGCTGCGCAGTGATTAGGGAGTGTAGCTCAACCGAGCTACTTTTGCACAATTCGGGCACCACCCTACGCGCGGAAGGACACAAAATCGCAGATCGCTGGAGGCATAGGAACCTAGACGAGGAGGTTGGCAGCTTTTTTGAGCAGGCTTCTCATCTGATGAAAGTTGCCTCCGGCTTTAGAAGAAGATTTCCAGCTGAACTTGAGGCGGATTGCCAAAGAGCTCTTGAAGCAGAGCTGTTTACTGAACCATCCTCGTCTGTGCAGGACAGAATGGACGCTTTTCGTGATCGTTGCAACTTTGGCGAACAGATCTCCAACAAGACTTACGATGGTTTGCTTACGGCTATGGATGGACACCTAGATATTTATAATCTGCCGAACCACGTTTTCTACTCTATCCTGGACACAGTCCCCCTTGGGTTCCCCGGAAAGGATTCAGACCTTTTAGCTACCCATTTCGGAGTGAAGGTTACTGTAAATGGCGTCCAGGAGGCGATATTGTACACACGCCAGCTTCTCATTGATCTCTTAGTTCTCATAGTGTTCGTGGATGGCGAAATTCAACAAGAGCGCACGTCGGAGTTTGATGCCGTGGACTTGTTTGGCTCGTTGATAACCTTGCTAAGGGAATATGAAATGATGGCCTGGCTCAGCTCAAACACCCGGAAATGTCCTGAAAGGCCCACAAGCGTTCCTGATGATCAGTCAAGTTCACAACTGTCCCTGAAGGACTCGCCTTCGAGAGATACAGGCACTAGGATGGCAACCATCTTAGAGGACCTGTTTGCTACTGATATCAAGCCCCGTCAGACTATCGGTCTGCCTCAAAGCTATACTTTAACCCTGGGGATCCACGACGTTCTGTCCTGGGTTACTCGCCAAGGCGAGGTAGCTTTCCCAAACGCTTTAGTTTATATCCAATGCGATCTCATCGCGAAGAACAACATTGATCTTGCTTGGGACTTCCTTCGTTTCCAGCCAAGTACGTCTTGGGCGACATATGTTAAAGGCCGCCTGTATGTGGCTATGTCCGAGTTTGACACTGCAGCCCTGTATTTCCGTAAGGCTGCATATCTTCTGTGTAAGTTTAGAACTCGCATTCTTTGGGGGCCAAGCCTTCTGACTTTTACCTCTAGCATGTGGCAAACCTCTCGGTAACTTGCATGAGATGTCATCGACGCTGTTAGATATTGTATCGGTGGACTCGTTCCACAATGGTCTTCCTAAGTACTTCCAACATATCTTGTCTATCTTCGAGAAAGCGCGCTCGTTTTCTCACGTTGCCGACTTCGCCCGCCTTGCGTTGCAGGCACTTGCAAGTGAAAACAAAAACGAGCAGGATCCAGAATACAACATCTTGCGAACCGACCTTCTTTCGCGCTTGTTCTATGCCTCCCTGCAGAATTGCCAATTTGACCAAGCATATTCTGCTCTGTCTCGATACAAGGACCTCGCCCTGCAGAAGTCCGCTCTCAGCTCCCTGATTACGAGTATATTGGCTGCATCTGGACCAGGCACTGCTGGGCTTCAACAAATTCTCCACTTTCCGACATCACTTGTTCCAAATATCGCTTCATACGTAGACGAGACCCTTGTTTCACTTGCTCGGAAACAGACAACTTTCAGCTCTCTCTTGGACACTGGGAGAAAGTGGACCGACAGCACACCAGATTATCAGAGAATCTTGCAGGCATACCGGATCTCACGGGGCGACTACCGTGGTGCCGCCGAGATCGCGTACCGGAATGTGCAGCGCCTCCGCAATGCCCGAGATGCCCCTTCCACCTATCTGGTGCTGAGCAAGAACCGAGACGCCGACGCCACACAGCATACGGAGGACGACCCAGAAAGCCAGGAGATTAGGCATGAGCTTTTATCTCTGATCAACCTACTTGGCTGTGTCGATAAGAGTGAATCTTATATCTTAGTCGAGAAGGAAGATCCCAGTGTACCCGCCACAATCGTAGACCGACGTCGCAGTGTGCAGGCAGACGATGATGGGAACGTTTTCATGGACGACGCCGATGTCAGCTCGCCCAGCCCCTATGGCTCAAAACGCAGACTCAGTTCCAGCGCAACCGCAATAACCCCATCAGCCCGCAGAGATAGCAGGTCTTCAGTCTCTACCGCTGGCAGTCATGCTCCCCGACGACGTGTCATAGTGACTCTCGATCATCTACGTCGTGAGTATCAGTCTGAGCTGGATCGGATCAGCAGAATCGAAAGGGGCGATTGGGAGTTCGGAGTTTTTGACGCCAATGTGGCAGATAATGATGATACGATGCGACTCTAAGCCGAGCCTTGGATGAGTGTCCATGATTTCTGATATTTTTCCCCCTCACATATTGTTCTCTCTTTTTTTTTTTATCGATCTCAGACTCTGGACTGCGTTTGTATTCTAGGCTAGGCTTATTTATCTACATCATCTGGTGGTAAAAGAAAGGAAATGGAGGTTCTTTCTAGTAATTCTCTTTTCTACTCTCGTAAGCTACCTAGTTATCCTAGAACAGCGACTTCATATATAATTGGGAGTCTTTTTGGGCTTCAGGATTTGTGGACAAATTCTCTACTAACAAGTCTGGCCCCAAATCGCATTTTCGCACCAAACCTTGATGTTTTTAAGCCTCAATTATACCACAAACTTATGTGGTACTAGTACCTTTTTCTTAATTTGTTACAAATGTATATATTTTGTATGGGCGTTCTAATGGATAAAATAGAACTATTTTAGATACATATCTATTATAGAGGGTAGAAGAGCCGTCAATTAGATAAAAATACTTAGACTAAAGAGGATAGAAACATCAAAAGAGGAGTAGTAGATAAATATCAAGGTAGAAACTGACTCTTACCCTCCTAATACTACCAACAATTCGTTAACTTATAGCTGAGGGCTCTATATAGAACCTAAAGGAGTGCGTATTTCCCTTTGAAAAGCAAATCGATATACATACCTATGGTCCGATATTTAATTCCTCCTCATCGGTGGCCGAGCTATCCCCTGCACCAGAGACAGGGTAATACTGTGCGGTTATTAGACCGTATCACAATTTGATCTGTGAGTCTGTGATAGGAACCTTAAAATCTGCTGAAATTACTCTATAATAATAATAATAATATAGGTATAATAATAGTATAGGCTTTGTACTTATGATATATATATATATCTCATTAGTATTTAATCTGTTATAATGTTGATATTAATCTAGAATTGGTTATGGTGGTTGAGATATACCCGCCCCCAAAGGGCCCTCCCTATCACCTCATCGCTATAAAGAGGCTACTTATAGTACTATTCCCCGTTTATCTATACAATAAAATAGCTCTCCATCTTCTCTAGTCTCCTATCTAAGCTCTGCCCCTCTTCACTGATTTCTGGTGGTCTTTAATTGGTTATTGTGTAGTCTTTTATCTCGCTGTTTCTTAGCGTCCAGCGCCCACCTCTGCTTCTCTTTCTCGATGTCTGCGATATCTCGCAATTTTATAAGGCTGTTTGTATCCTTGAACAAAGAGAGGCCCCCCGTACGAATCTGGCGCTTGGTTTTAGGGGCCTGGGCCTGCTCCCTATTGGTAAGGGTGCGTGTTATATCTGCGGTGGTCTGAGCAGCTAATTCCGCCTGGGTGAGACTATCTTTAAAAATAAAGTTGAGATGCCGCTTAAGCCTAGCTGTATTGATGTAGCTGCGGTGGAGGCCTCTTTTAGAGTAGCTATACTTTTCTGGACCTTAGAAATATCTTGTTGCAATTTCTTTTTCATATTGTTGGCGGTGAGTTAATAGTAGAACTTGATGCTGGCGGAGTTTCTGGCGGAGGTTTCTCTGATTCTGCTGGTTTTTCACCCCATTCTGGTAGCTCATACTTCCTTCCCTGGTTATATATAACTTGATCTATCTCGTTATCGTCGTTATCACGAAGTTCTTTACAAATAACCTCAGGATTGAATGGCTAAAACTACAGCGCCTAAATAGATGCCGTATAGCCGTCTCTTTAAATGTTTGCATGCGAACCTGGTGGATTTAGCGTAGAAAGTCTGCTTTCTGTGTAATAGAACCACCCCACTGGATCGTCTGATAGTTATACTGACGGTAGTAGTGCTTATATACCTGAAATGGTTTGCTGTCTAGGATTGTAGGCGATGCATGAGCTTTGAAGAAAAACACCAAGGAATAATTCTATGGTTCTGGCAGTAGCTAATAAAGTCAAAGCTTTGATACGATGAGTGGTTGTCTATAAAAAGAAGTCGATAATCCATCCCCACGCTGTACAAGGCGGTCTTTTGTATACTGATCAAAGTGTTGAAGCCATTGAAAGGCGTGTATCTATAGTAATATAATAAGTTCTTTGCTCCTAAATTGCTTAATAAGCGCTAACTCCATTATTCCATTTAATAGGCGACGTAGCAGTAATATAATTGCCTGGTAAATTAGGCTGATCGCGATACCAATTCTCTATATGGACTGAGCCCTAGAAGATAAAGAAAGGTGGCGCTATCCAGTTCCTGTGACATATATTCAACTCCTATCACCGTTTCCAATTCTACCTGTTGGAATATACTTTGGACTGAGTTTATACTTGATAACAACCCGCTAAGGCTTTCCCTGGCCAAGTTGGAAGCCGGATTTATCAAAATTATAAATGTTCTTCGGTTTAGCGTTATAGGTCTGTAGCGCTGCTTCTAAACGATTAAACTAGTTAATTATTGTCGGTAATCTCTTAACTTCTATTCCATCTGCCTCCATTGGCTTCTGTATAATATAATCATAGTCGTTGGGGAGGCGCCTGATAAAGTTGTAGGCCCAGTTTTTACTGACGCATCGATTAGAACCACTACGCGCTAATATCTCATCTGCACAGCTCTTAATAGCCCGCGGAGTTGGCAAAGTATTTGCATCATCAAGTAGACCTATCCAGCTAATCATGGCCTGCTCTTGGGCCTTGCCTAGGTAATTATTGGTGCCAGGGCGCGCGGAACGAGAGTTGCGACTATGAACACGTAAAAGTCGCTGGTAGGGAACGCCAAATTCCTCCGCCAACGGCTTGACTCTAGGCTTGCCGCGATCATGGTATGCGTGTAGGGCATCCTGGATGTTATTATCGATTTCATCAAATTTTTAGACTTTATGTAGTTGGTAAGTGACTATAGAAGACAGGTGGTTGATAGAAAGATTTCATCAGGATTGGGAGGGTGGGTATCGCTTTACGTCAGATCGAATTTTTTCAAGAATTCTTAGACCTCCTATGCGTAGTTTGCCTTGTCCTTGTCCAGGACCACCAATGTCTCGAAAGCAGCTGTTCATGTGTACAGCCTCTAGCAAAACGTGATGTATTCAGAGCAAAAATCTCCACAGAAATTGACCACCCTTGGACTTTTCTATTTGGATATTTCTCTTAGAAAGAAGAGTACGGCGGCAGAGGTTACTCGTGTATTCCATTTTTCATACATATTTTCGTAGTGTTGTAAAGAACTGGGGTTGCCTTACGTATATGAATATATTATTGACATATTCTCATGGCTTAAGTCTCATGGATATGAGACTCTGTTTGCAGAGTGCAAAAGTGCTTAACTATTGCGTCTTGAATGTTGGTTATCTTCGTGGGTCGTGCTATGACGGTGAGTTGATGCATTGTTAATGGGGATTGATGCGCAAAAGTTCGTGAATTACACTCAAAAATTATATATATTAAAGAGCGATCGGTAGCTGATTAGAAGTAACACTTTTAAAGGAATGGGTATCTCGCGTATGTATATATATATAAGTGGTTTACTCCGCTTCTTGCATCATCGAACTTGCATACAATTTACTGAAGTGCGAGGTACCTGAAGCGAGAAGAGTATAGGGACTTCCAGACTCAATTATGCGGCCGGTGTCAAGCACGATGACCTTGTCATAATCGAGGATAGTTTCGAGCTTGTGGGCGACAGTGATGATTGTATGGTTGCTGAATTTTTCCCGGATGATCCGTTGCATTATCTCATCTGTCACGGTATCGACACTGGAATGGAAGAAATGTGAGTATGTGATCAGAGTGTATTGTTTTCCAAAAGAAGTACGTACCTGCTAGTGGCTTCATCAAGGACAAGAATGTTTCCTTGACGTAGGATTGCTCGAGCAAGACAGAAAAGCTGCTTCTGTCCGTGGGAGAGGAATAGCTCATCAACCTCGGTGTTCAGGCCTCCATTTTCTTCGACCTTTGAAGATAGTTGAACAGTTCTAAGGGCCTCCATTATAGCCTTATCAGTGTGGTGGCCTGTTGGATCAATGTTTTCTCTGATACTCCCTCTTATCAACAGGGGACTTTGAGCGACCCCATTGATGCGGGAGCGCACTTCTTGTCGTGGTACCTTCGATATGTCGATGTCGTCAATCCGGATACTACCAGAGCTGAGCTCAACCATGCGGAAGACACTCATAATGAGGGAGGTTTTGCCGCTACCCAAAATCAGCCACAGTATAGTGTTATAGAGAATACGTCAATCTCACCTGCCCGTTCTACCGCAGATTCCCACCTTTTCGCCGGCTTGGATAGATAAGGATACGTCACTGATAACTGGCTCGGAGGCTCTTGATGCACTATTGTGTTAGTAGTCTGGAAACCGGCGCAGATCCATGAGTGTGCTTACCTATACTCTGCACAAACAGAGTCAAAGACTATGCTTCCCCGCGACGGCCAGTCTGGCGGCAGGCTGTGGCTCTCCGAGGGTAGATTCTCTGAAGGTACATTCTCAGAGAACAACTTGACACGCAAAATAGAGCCGATATGTGTCTCAAGATTGGTCCAGAATGTTACCAGCAGTTTGATGCTCTGGCTGAACAGTATGACATTCAGCAAGGCTACACCAACATAGCCTGCGCTCATTGACCCACGTAGTACCACGACTAGAACAATCAGCAAAACTGCAATCCCGGCGACTACTAGGTCTAAAGTGAGTGTAAGCCAGCGTTGAATGGCATATAATAGGTAAAACGGTCTCTGAGAGAAGTCAAGCAATTCGTTGTTCTTCTCTTCCAAGGCTTGCTGCCAGCCAAACGCCCTTAGGGTTACTAAACCACTGAGACAGTCAGAAAAGTGAGAATATAGAGGCGCCTTGGCTTCAAGGTCTAGGAACCGCAGTTGTCGCGAGGTTCGAAGATACACCTTCTGTATGAAATAAACCGCAAGAATGACTGCCGGAAAGGAGATAGCCGCGTATTTTGAGGCTAACCCCATAAACACCATTTGGCATATGCAAAGTACAAATGCTAGAAATTCTATGAGTATAGGCTTTTCTTTCCCCTGCTAAATTCGACAGAGCATATGAGTCTGGCAAAGATGACTTACTAACGAATGCATTGATAGCAGCAACTGGGAGCTCCATGTCAATTAGCTGTAAGTCTTGGCTGAATCGATTAAGAATGGCACCGCTATCCGTTTTCGAGAAGTATAACATAGGTGCCCTATAAGCGTTGTTAGGACATATATTCATAATGCAAGTGGTAAAGCCTACCTCAAAACCGTGCTCAAGAGCTTTCTGTGGAAATTTTCTCCAGATCTAGGCACCATAGTTATGATCATTTGCCTAAGAAGTTTGATTTTAGCGCCCAAATAGCATAGTGAGGCAGATAATGTTCGTTAGCTTACCAGCAACCGACAATGAGACAAATCATGCCGACAGCACCAAGCATTGCATATATCCCCAGGTAATAGCCCGTGTGTTTACCAGGCGCCATTTCATTTGAACTGGCCCACCAGTTCATCCAAATACCTGTTCATGATGGGTAAGCAAATTTCAGACTTTGCAGGGGGCTGCGGATTGGGACAGAAACTCACTGGGAAAAGATATACAGAACACGAACCCTGTAATCGAAACTATGAAAATTATTGTAGGGAGCCAGCCAATCGACCTGATATAGTACAAATAAATCGCTATATCGCCGCTTGCCCCGGGATTTTCTGTCTGGCAGTCCTCATTCTTTTCAACAGAGGCCATTTGAATATTGATTTTGTCTGAATTGCTGGGCTTCTCAACAGTCTCGCTCTGCTCGGGAAGGCCTAGCGCAAAGCTTGAGATGTACCCTCCTGCGAGATCAAGAGATTTGAAGCTGCCTTGTTCAATGATATGACCCTCATTTCCAAGTACTATAATGTGGTCGGCAAAAGGAACTCGTTTTACTACCAATGTATTTTGTTAGCCCAATGCGAATAACGAACGAAGAGTCCATAGCTTGGGCTCATGGCTTACCGGAAGATGAAGAGACGAGGATAGTTGAACCAATTGAACGAAGCAAGCCATGGGTACCAATCAAGCATTGGAAGATATGCTCTTCGGTTGTCGCATCAAGACTGCTAAAAACATCATCTAAAACTATGAGATCTTTCCTGGCATATACTGCTCTGGCAAGTGCCTAAGGGGGCAAAATCATTAGCTAAAGATGTTAGGCGCTTGTGGTTCTGCCATTTACTCACAATACGTTGACTTTGTCCTCCACTCAGGGCGATGCCCTTGCTTCCAATAATAGTTTGATCCCCACGTGGTAATTGCTCGAAGTCTTCAGCCAGAGCACATGCGTGGATAACCGAAAGATACCAATCTTCATCTAGCCCCGACATCGCCACAATACTCTGCTTGATCGAACCGTTCATATGCCACGGTGTTTGGTCACAGTAGGAAATACATTCTGACAACAGCCATATGGTCCCATCCAAGCAAGGCACTTCGCCAAGGATAGCTTTGAGCAATGTTGATTTTCCACAGCCGGAAGGCCCGACTAACATGGTGAAAGTCTGTCGGGGGATCGTAATTGTCAAATTCTTCAAGAGAGGTTCTTTCTGTGTATCCCACCCAAACGCACCATTGTTGATTGTGACCATATTTTCAAGTAGAGCCAAGGACTCCTTGGCCGATTTGGAAGAGCTCGACGCATCATTCAAGGTCTCAGAGTCTTCAATAAAAGCCGAGTGCTTAGAATCTTGTCCAGGCTCTAGTTGGAGTGCCATGGGCCTCTCTCTGGAATCTTCATGGCCGTTTCTCTCAAGGAATTCCTGAATCCTTTGGAAGGAGCCAACAGACCCAAAGAAAGTCATCAAAGCCATGACCAAATTCAAAAGAGGGTCTGCCAAAAGGGCAAATAGGGATAACGATGTATAAGTCGTCGGAGTATTCAGGGCAGCATCATTCCCATTTCTATGCGAGATACCAACAAATGCACCGAAGGCGAATATCGGCGCAAAAATGCGAGTTGTCCAAGCTATGTAAAATCATCAATAAATCGCCACATGCTCACCTGTGATTAGAAACTTACCAAATGCCATATTCCAAACTAGGAGCTTCCTGAAATTTCTCGAAATACTCAATTCCTCAAGCCTTAAGTTATGAATGCACGTCATAAGTAGATCACTAAGTCCCAGCATCTTAATTCCCTTCATAGATGAAAGCATGGATGCGGTAGACGAGATGCGTCTTTCGATTGCCTCGAGCCACATGGCTTGTCTTGACATCACAAATGTAAGACTTACTAGCGAGCCAGTAAGAGCCACTGCACAGAAAAATTTGGTCATTATCGGGCTGTCCATTGAAATAGGATGAATTTAGTCTTACCAACAGCGACACCGACAGCTACCACGGCAGCTACCCCCAACTGCTGTTCAAGAAGGAAAATAGCCAAACCTATCTCCAAGGCATTACCCCAGATATCATGGATTGTCTGCCATCCCTGAACAATTCTCTCTATATCGGCACTCATCAGAGTAAGAGATGAAGCAGGATCAGCGTCTTCAACGCTTAATGTTGCGGCTTTCCTATACACCATGGAAATGACGGCACCCCTCACCATCGTGATGGCGCGATACGTCCTATGCTGATACTGCCCCGTTGTTATCTAGAAGAAACAATCCAATGAGCAAGAGCCATGGCAATAATGGGATATAGGTACATGCTATACTGACCGCCATTCCAAGATACACGAGTATATAGGCACCAATCAAACCATAACCGATGTTAGTGGTGGCACTAGTCTCGGGCTCTATCGAAAAGGAGAGTGACTTATGCAGTAGCAAAGGCTGACATATGTTCAGGGCAGCGAGACAAGCTCGCGGAAGAACGGCTGAGAGAAGCTCCCATTGAAATGTCCGAAAAGTGACGAGTAGAAATGAGCTCTTGCTCCCTGAAAAACGTTAGCTCCATCAATACCAACTAAGTTAGCTGGCCATGTAGATGATCAATACTTTTGTTCCACATGACCTCCAAAGAATTATGCAGTCGTTTGGAACCCAATTGCTTATCCAAGATGAACAGATCATCTACCGTTAATAACTTGGAAAACCCAGCCTTGAACAGAGGGTTTAACCACCAAAAGAAGGTTCTGTTCAAGATGCCCCCCGTAGCTTCAGGTGGATACTTTGCGTATACATTCTTGAGGATGCGCCGCTTTTCCACAGTCTCAAGAAGGAAGAGTAAGGCTTTGACACCGACTGCTACGGAAGTAATAATGGCAATCGTTCTGTTGATTCCGGCTAGTTCACGCAACCAAAGCGTTCTTACCTTGGCTACGTCGAAGAGAATGGTGATAAAGAGGTATATGTTCAGAAGAAGAGAAGGCCTGACTGAATAGTTATGTTCTGTGTAAGACAGGAGACCGAGAAACAAGGTTCCCACAGTCACCACCACATTCGCAGCAATGGAAGCTTGCGTTCGGTTTGCCGTTGGGAGTGACCATAGTGCTATTAGCGCAAGGTGGAAAATTCCTAAGATGGCCCAGATTGCCTGATAAAGGGAGTGGTGAGTGCAAGTTCAAGGGTTAAGCGTCACGGGACGATTCAGTCCCAAACAGGAAGTCATACATACAATTTTTGCCCATAGCAACCATGAGGTTACCACTTTGCGTGGCTTTCGAAACAGATGCCAGAGACGTAATGAGGCAATTGCGAGAATTACCCCAAGAGGCAAAATCCCTAGAATAGTTTCCTCGAACAGCAACGAGAAATCGAAGCCATCTCGGCAGGACTGGACAGGAATATGGAAAGAATTATCCTCTTGTTGGCACAAGGAGAAGTCTGAATGTACTACCATGGTTACACCATGAATACCACATACAGCCGAGTCACTATCATGGGTGGGCTGGAATTGTTATAATGACTATCTACCACTGATTTGGTTTGCCCCAATCATGGAGAGAAACGAATTGACAAATGCTCGACCCAGGTTTGCTTTGGCTTCATAGCAGCCTAGTCATCATATAGGATGTGGTTAGGAGAAACTAGTTAAAAATAACAATAAAGAAATAAAAAAATATAATAAAATTGAAAATAATTAAAATTAAATAAAAGAAAAACAAAACTAGAACTAGAACTAGAACTAGAACACAGTAAAAGTTTAACCCACCACTTCCATCAAGAACACATTCATCGTAAAGCCGGTCCAATGCAATGTGTTTATTTATCTCATCCGAACGTTCGGCTATTAAAGGGAGTTGAATACGGAGTAGGTTTCGATCCATATTCTTGCAGAAGTGTATCTCCACTGCTAGAAGTTCCCTTTTCTCCCCTTTATTTTTTCTTTTTTTCTTTCTTTCTTTTTCCTTGGATGCCTTTGCAGCCCAGTTTTGTCTCAGGTAAAAAGTATCCTACGTAACAATGGGATGATAATAATCTGCTCCCCTCGCATGGGGTGTGGCAATGATTCGAGGATGTAGAGCAACACGAGGAACGTGCCGTGCTGCCGTGCTTTTCATTATTAATTTCTACATATTCTAATTATTCTTTTCGTATCTGTAGAGGGCGAGCTGAAATCTCATCATTCCAGGCCAAGTATAGCCCTTCTAGTACGAGGTACAATCCTGTTTTTTTCCTTTTTCGGGGGGGGGGGTTGTTTTTCTTTGCTTTTTACCCTTGCTTGACATAAGGTGCTCTGATATCTACCCAAGGTGAGTCTAGTCACACAGAAAAATAATGCATCCCTGTCATTGTCTCCACCTATACGACTCCCAGATATAGATGGTAACTTGTACTCAGTATGAACCAATTTAGAAGTACTCCATACTAGATACGGAACTCGGGCGGACGACCGGAATACGGACAAGGAAGTGATTTATATAACCGGTGCTTCATTCCAAATCCCGATCTCCTAGACAGCATAATCCAACGTAGTATGTATACGTTTGCTGAGATCTCATCCTTCTTAGCTGAGGAACTCTAGGTAACTCTGACGCCAAAGATGTCTATGTTTAGAGCAAGAGGCCCGTTCAGATGTACAAAAAGCAAAAGAAGAGAGAAAAAAGAGAGAAAAAGCAAATTGCTTTTCACCGTTTCAAGTAGTACAAACCTCCTTCACGGAAGCCGCGTACCGCTGTCAGTCAAATTTCTGTATTGTGCTCATTGCGGAATATCTTGTAGGTCCTCGCCATGGACTTGGTTTACTAGTTGGGTCGCATCCACAAGGAGAGGAATTTTTTTTTTTTTTTCACGAGGTCGAGTAAGCACTCGTCTCCAAGGCAGGATTGATGGGGACGAAGAAATAACAGCCAGTCTTCTGGGGACTTGACTTGGGTGTGCAGGATGACTAGCTCATCATCGGGTGGCGAGCCGCCTCATTGTCCACTCATCAATAGGGAAATAATGGCGTCTAAGAAAAACAAGAGAGAGGATACCTATGCCATCAATCAAGGCAGTGAATGTGGATACATACGTAGGTATAATGCCGTTGTTCCTTGTTCATATCAGCACTAGACAGTATTTGAACACCTCTCGCGCTACAGTGATTGGATTAAAGCTTAGTTAGGGCAATAACAGCGTATCCTTTGGACCCTCTCTTCCCCTGGACAGGTTTGACTAGGATTTTCTTTTTTGACGACTGTGATTCAACGAGTTTGAGATGGAGCCCACTGGCTAACTATTTTGGTGCTAACACTTCACTTTCAGTGGCTTGGAAGCTTCGGGAGTATCCTTCCTTCCCCCATAACTAAGTGGGGGGTTGAATTTGTCTAGTGCCTTACTAGTCAAGGCCGGATTGTCAGCGGCTGTGGAGATCCATCAGATCCCGACGGTTGATATAATATTTTCAATTCTATGGGATGGAGGAAATTCCCACCCTGTCACTCCACTCGTACTCTATCTATCTCGACTAAGCAAGCTATGTACAAGGTACATACGTGTACTCGCTAGTAATAGTAATTACCATTAAGCTACTTAGGCCGTGCTCATCTGACAGCCGCTGTTGCGATCCACTGCGTATATTGGTCCTATGATAATCAAATCCTCAGGACTGGAGTTGCCTAAACTGGACATATAGGGTTAGACATATTTTGGTCATGTAGCAGTCGCACATTAGGAGAGACATTGAGGCAGAATCTTTTTTTCTTTTTCTTTTGCATTTTCTTTTCTTTTTTTGTACACTGTCTACTGCCAATTGAATTGCCTTTTATTTCCTCTTTTCCTCTCTCTCTCTCTCTCTCTTTTAAGGGTCTCCGACAAGAGGGGCTTCTTTTACTACTCCAATCACCACCTATTGAAATATCTGCCCGTTGCACAGTTTCCCTGATTGGATGGTACTCGGAATTAGTTTAACACTTAAGATTTTGCCTTCGCCCTTTATTCCCCGGTAGCTGTCGCGGGGATCTTCGATGATCAGTATAATAATCGGTTGAGATCTCCGAAGCAGGAAGTTTGTGGGGCTTTAAATTATCTATCACCTGGGAGGTACCAGATTTGGTAATAGTCGCCCTCGGACTTTGTTCGCAAAAAGCAAAAAGAATATTACGAGGTGTGACAGAATCGGCCCGATATGCAGATAATGCCTTTGCGAGGTTACTAGCTTCATCCCCCTTGCTGCGCCTGCATAGAAGTTTAGTATCCTCTGACGTTCATATTAACGAATACACTGCACTTCCTCATCGATGTGGAGGTAAAAAAGGATCACTCTGTTGGTGTGAAAATTCTACAATGTTCAGTGCGACCTGGCCAATCGCATCAAATCCCCCGAGATTTCCTTTTGATGTGCTCTCCAAATATAGGCATCACGCAGGAAAATCTCTGCACCATATACTTAACGATGGTGAAATTGTACACGTCAACCCAGGGATGACCTAGCCGAACCCGATACTGAAGCTAATTCTCATAACGCCTGAGTCTCTAGTTACTCGTAAAAGGGTGCTAAGCGAGCCTGTTCCGTCAATTGACTCCTATGTAAACCTAAGTAGTCTTGTATGCGAACGTCGTTCTATCACTATTCTTTACTAAACCGTTAGCTTGATCACATAGTTCGCCACAGCCATTACCGATTGATCGAGAATAAAATATCCGAAAACTCACTGGTCCACATTGTGCTACTTGGGCCGTCACAGTTCCTGCTGACCTAGGGTATTCCAGCATTCAACGGATTGTAGAGAAGGAGGGGGTTGCTTCTTCTGGTGGAGATTGCAACTTTCTATCTATTCTATGTAGATATAAAGTAGGAATTTAGAAATATCTAAGGGATCTGTATGTAGGATGCTGATATACACCTCGACATGTTCTATGTCCACGAGCTCCGGTAAGCCCAATCAAAAACCCCCCGGGCGACATCACTTGACTTCCTGATGGGGTATGGAGCTTTCTTTCCAGGTTAGACACCTAAGTACGGAGTACCTCAGGCAATCCTAGAATCCTAGAATCTTAGTACGAGTAGTACCTCAGGTATGTACCTAACTTCTCTCTCCATCTGTGGGTGGATCCCCGAATTACCCACCCACTGAGCACCTGCTTAGTTCCCTGAGAAATAATACTGGGCCTATGAGAAACCCGAATCCTCCAACAGCACACTTAAATGAACCGGAATACTTCACACCTACCTAATCTGGGATCATCACATTACTGACCGGGCCTTGTTCCAGACCGGGACGAACTTCAAGGATTCCGATGGGGCAACTGCTTACATGGCTCTGGCTTGAAAACCTTTCACATTTAGTCACTTGCCTTTTTCTCCTCTTTAGTCCCCTTTTTTACTCGCCTCTCTTCGGTATGGGTCCACCATGTGGGTTATCATTTCCTGGGCTTCAAGCCATACCGGGGGATGCACATGGGCCCAGGCCCCCTGCAGAAGCTCGAAAACCATTGAGGTTGTGCCGGACATCGCCTGGCCTCGGGCTGAGGCAAGGGAAGAAATTATACAGGACGTAGTTCGGTGGCTAAAGTTCAGACGTACAATTTTTGTCATTGGTTCCTGTGCCTTCGTATCCTATGGGTGTAGTATTTGCTCGAATCCTTAGTGATGTGATGGAGTCCCTTAGCTCCATTGATCTATTTTCGTCGCATCAAATTCTGAGACCCTATGACTGTACCCCATGGATCCAAGCTCCAATTTAAAGGTGGGAATGAGTACAGTAAGAACTGTTTGCGTCCCTGGACATTCTCTTCATAATTCATAATCTACCCCAATCTTAGTATCTTGCGGTGTTCCGCAGATAGCCACTGATCACCATGGCCCACTCTACCCAATGTTTTTTGCCAAAGTTCAGTCCTCTCTCTGAAGGCCCTAAGCGGCCAATGTCGATGAAGACGAGGACGAGCCGTTCAGAGACCACTCAGTTGGTTTCGGCATGGCATCAAGGGCAACTGGCCGCTCTGTTACAAACCACGTGGGCCTTGGTCCTTTACCGGTATACCGGTTCTGGAGATATTTGTTTCGGTTTCCAACACGCAAGCGTGACCCAATCTTCAAACACTTCAACTCTCTGTACATATGGGGTCACACTCAGCGAAAATGACTCGATTCGTGAATTGCTCGAAAGAGTCAGAAGTCATAATGACCTCGCTAATTCCGTTGAAAAATGTGGAACGTGGAGCGCTACTCAGGAAGGCTTTCGGCTGTATAACACTATGATGATGATCCGAAACTGTCGTGATGTGACGAGAACCTCAAAAGACATCCCAGTACAGCCGGTCGCGGCGGTAATCACTCTCCCAAACGAGGTAGGTTGCATGCTCCGAGAGCCTCTTTTGGAATAGAACAATTTTTAATTTTTAATCAACAGTGCCGCATTCGCCTTCACGTGAAGATCTTAAATGAAGATGTCGGCATGTTTATGGAGTGGTGGAATAACGACATGTCAACCGAGCAAATGAAAAGCATGTCCAGTTATTTCCAGCAAGCCCTAACACGAGTTCTTGCGGCAGATGATGTAGCCGTGAGTAAACTGGGCGGCATTTTAGACAGCGATTTGTCTCGCGTCTATAAGTTCAATGCAGTAACGTTAGAGAGCCATGACCGCTGTATTCATGAAGTCATCCATGAGCAGGCACTTCTTCGTCCTGAGAGAGAAGCCGTGTGTGCTTGGGATGGAAGCTTGACCTATAGCCAATTGGATTTGTTAGCTTCTCAACTTGCATATCACCTCCAAGCTCAAGGTGTTGGCCCGGAAGTCCGAGTAGCGCTATGTTTTGATAAATCCGTAAGTGTTACCAGTAGTCTGAAAGCCCAAAAAGAATTGACCTCCTTCGCACAAATGTTGCTTTTGACTTTTAGTGGGCAGCGAAGTTTCTGACCTTCTCCTCCAGAAATGGAACACAGTAGCATTGCTTGCTGTCTTGAAGGCTGGTGGTGCCTTCGTGCCCTTGGATCCGGCACACCCCGTCCCTCGTCTGAAGTCTCTTGCGCAATCCGTCCAGGCAAGCATTATGCTCTGTTCCAGAAACCATGCCGAGAGCTTAAGTGCAGTTGTAGAGAACTTGATACCATTAGACAGTGACACTTGGGATGAGCTTTCAATTCCCCACGGAGAAGTACACCTCTCGATAGAAGTGAAGAGCTGTAATGCAGCCTATGTGATTTTTACCTCTGGATCAACAGGAGAGCCAAAGGTTTGTTATTTCCAAACTCCGGAAGAAAACCGAGCTGTTCTTCAAACTTACGTTTACAGGGTACATTGATGGAGCATAAAGCATATGTCTCCAGTGCAATGGCTCATGCGCCGCAGCTTCGTGTATTTTCTGATTCACGAGTACTACAGTTTGCGGCACATACATTTGATGCCAGTCTGGTTGAAATTCTGACAGCGTTGTTGGTTGGGGCTTGCATCTGTGTGCCAAGCGAGGAAGAACGCTTGAATAGTATAACGAAGGTAATCAACGACATGAGAGTGAACCATGCCACTTTAACGCCATCCTTCGTGGATTTTATCAATATATCGGATATCCCAAGACTCGAAACTCTCGTGCTTGCTGGAGAGGCAATGTCTCAGTCGCAGCTGGACACGTGGTCAAACATCAACCTTGTGAATGGATTTGGTCCTACGGAGACTGCTGTTACGGCTGCAGTAAACTCAAAAGTCACCAAGTCTTCCGACTGCCGAGATATTGGTCTTCCTACAGGTGTCCATTGCTGGATTGTAGATTCTGAGGATCACAACCAGCTTGTTCCTGTTGGTTGTGTTGGGGAGATGATAGTTGAAGGGCCTTCTCTAGCTCGAGGATATGTCAATAATCAGCAAAAAACTGCCGAGGTTTTTATTTATGATCCAGCCTGGGCGAAGGACAAGGATGGAGGCTCGCCTGGTCGGAGATTTTATAAGACCGGTGATTTGGTAAGGTACAACTCTGACGCTGGTTCACTGACGTATCTAGGAAGGAAGGACACGCAAGTCAAGTTTCACGGACAAAGAATCGAACTGGGTGAGATCGAAGATAACCTGAATACTGACACAAAGATAAAACACTGTCTTGTTTTCCTTCCAAAATCCGGGTTTTCTGAAGGCAGACTAGCAGCAGTATTATCTTTGTCCATTTTTGACGACAGCTCAGACTCAGAGCCAAAACCCCTGAGACTTCTTGAAGACTCGAAGAAGAATGAGGCCATCTCACAGATTCGTGATCGGTTGTCAGCGCGCTTACCAGCATATATGATTCCCACTGTGTGGTTGTGCGTTGAAACTTTGCCCTTCCTCGTATCCGGTAAATTGGACAGGAAAGCAACTGCAAACTGGGTTGGCAAACTGGGAGAAGATCCAAACATCCAACTCGCCAAACCCGATTCTATTTCTAACGAAGTGAACATTCGGTCTGAAAATGCGACAGAGGAGCAACTGGCGTTGATCTGGAGCCGAGTCCTCAACGTGCCTCGAAGCCATATCAGCCTCGACGAAAGCTTTTTAAGTCTAGGAGGTGACTCGATTGCAGGCCTGACATGCGTTGGCTACTGTAAGAAGCAGGGAATTGGCATTACGGTACAAGATGTGCTTCGCAGCAAGTCCATTAGGGACCTGGCGACGCGTGCAAAAGAGATTCAGCAGCTAGCATCCTACGAGGAGGTGATTGAAAAACCATTCGACCTTTCGCCCATTCAAAAGCTACATTTCATGGTGCGTAAGGAGGGCCAGGGGCATTTCAACCAGAGCGTACTTACTCGCCTGAATAAACATGTCGATAATCATGATCTACGTCGCAGCGTTGAAACATTGGTCAGTCAGCATTCTATGCTTAGGTCACGGTTGACCGCATTGGGTGCTGGAGAGCTGCAGCAGCGTATTACAGAAGACGTCCCTGGTTCTTACCGTTGGGGCATGCACGACGTGTGCGGCCAACAGGAGATTGAGCATGTCATTGCCGATAGCCAGTCATGCATCAATGCATTCACTGGGCCAGTATTAGCGGTCGATATTTTTGATGTAAATGGGAAGGACCGTGTCTTATCCCTCATTGCTCACCATCTAGTTGTGGATATTGTTTCATGGCGGATTATCTTGGAAGATTTGGAGGATCTACTTTCGAATCCGCATGAAGCTTCGTCGCAAAGTGGCTCTCTGCCTTTCCAGACATGGTGTCAGTTACAAACAGCACAATGCCAGAAACCGGACACGGGGAGGGGATTGGAAACTCTTCCTGCTCCGGATTTCGCATACTGGGGAATGGAAAACCGCCCCACTACTTACGGGGACGTGGATTGTGAAACCTTCGAGGTTGATGTGGAGAGCACCCACACCCTCTTGATGGACTGTCACCAAAGCCTTCAGACAGAGCCTATTGAAGTTTTTCTGGCCTCGCTTTTACACTCGTTCCAGCAGACTTTCAACGACCGATCTTTACCAGTGATCTACAATGAAGGTCATGGCAGAGAGGTTTGGGACAGTGCGATAGATATTTCACGTACCGTGGGATGGTTCACCATTTTACACCCAATAGCATTACAGCGCATTGCGGAAGATGACCCTGTAAAGACAGTTGTACGTGTTAAAGATCTTCGTCGACGTGTTACCGATAACGGCAGGCAAGAATTTGCACGGCGCCTGGTTGGAGTTGAGAAGGACCGTGGACATCATTGCCCCATGGAAATTTCATTCAATTACGTCGGTCAGCACCGAGACTTGCAGAGACAGGATGGTGTATTCCAGCTTATGAATCAAATGGCTGGAGAGACTGGTCAGGGTGGAGGAGCAGCCGACTTTGGCGAGGATACTCCGCGGTTTGCACTCTTTGAGATTTCTGCGATGGTAGCCCAGGGACGACTACGCTTTACATTTTCATTCAACAGATATATGGAACATCAACAGCCCATCCGGGATTGGATCTCAAGCTGCCATAATCTGCTTAAGCACCTTGGCCCAAAGCTACGATCCCTTGCACCAAAACCAACATTGAGCAGTTTCCCAATGCTTTCTTTAACATATGAGGAGCTTGAGACAATATTGTTGGATAAGTTGCCGAGCGTTGGAATTGATTCTCCCGACAAAGTAGAGGACATATATCCTTGTTCGCGCATGCAGCAGGGTATTCTTTTAAGCCGTTCTCGAGATGAAAGTCTCTATTCTGTGCACGACACATTCGAGGTGAAGGGCTTAGGGAGCGAACCTGATCTCAATCGGCTGGTGCTTGCTTGGCAAGAAGTTGTGATGCATCATGCAATGTTACGGACCATATTTGTGGACAAACTCACTAGTCGGGAGTTGTTTTGCCAGGTGGTTCTAAAAACTTTTGATTCTCAACCGAAGATCATGAGAGGCATGAGCGAGAGTGATGTGCTGGCCACGTTTGACGAGCAGGGACCAATGACCTATTTCGCACATCGACCACCCCATCGATTCACTATCTGCCAGACTACTACTGGAAAAATATTCTGTAGACTTGAGATAAACCATGCCTCTATGGATGGTTCTTCAATATCTATTATTGTCCGAGATTTACAGTTGGCATATGGTGGGAAGCTTGAAACACACCACGGACCGATGTTCAGGAACGTTCTGCAGTACTTGCGGGAGCAGGATGACAGCACTGAGTATTGGTCCTCCTATTTGTCAAACTCTAGGCCTTGCCTTTTCCCCCTCCTCAATGATGGCAGCCCCTCCAATAAACAGCTTCGAAGCATTAGGCTGAATGTTAGCTTCTATAGCGAACTTCTAGGAGCATGTGAGAAGGGTGCGGTAACTCTATCGACAGCAATTAGTACAGCCTGGGGACTCACTCTTCGTCAATTCTGTGGATCCAATGATGTTTGTTTCAGCTACCTGGCCTCTTTGAGAGATATGCCGGTCGAAGACATTGAGTCCATTGTCGGGCCTGTTATAACGCTTTTGGCCTGCCGTATGAGGATACCTGAGAGCAGTTTGATAAAAGATCTTCTATGTCAGGTCCAAAATGATTATATGGAACAGCTGTCTCACAGAAACACGTCCCTAATAGATATACAACACGCCTTGAAACTGTCGGACACAACGTTGTTCAACACTGGTGTCTCATACAGGAAACTCCTACCAAGTACAGCCAGCAATAATGAAGAGGTACAGTTTGTGGAGGTAGGATCTATATACGATCCTGCAGAATTCCCACTGTATGTCAATGTCGAAGTTGCTGATGATGATGCGCACATTGACTTGAACTACTGGACAACGGCTTTGTCAGATTGCCAAGCAGACAATGTTGCTAGTGTATTCCTCAAGGCTTTGGAGAATATAGTCTACTGCCAAGATAACAAGGTTATTTCGATCGATGGACTGAGCGACCAGAACAAGCAGCAGATAGCAGCATGGAACAGCCAAGCACACAAGGCCATTGACAAGAGTGTCCGCGAGATGTTTGACGAAAAGGTGGAGTCTCGCCCGGATGCTCCTGCCATAAAAGCCTGGGACGGAGAACTTACATATGCTAAACTCGATGAGCTCTCTTCGATTCTTGCAAACTACCTCACAAAGCTTGGTGTGGGCTCAGGTGCTTTGGTACCCCTAGACATTGGCAAGTCTATGTGGCAAGCTGTTTCTGTACTAGCGGTGTTGAAAGCAGGAGGAATTGGTGTCCCAATGGGCGGCACCGAGTCGCAGACTTCCTTTCTTAATCGGCTTGTCGATGATGGAGCACAGGTAGCGCTTGCATCGCCAGACAGAGCTCAGTTACTCGAAGCCACAATGCCTTACGTTGTTCCTATGAGCTGGTCGCTTTTTGAGTGTCTCTCAAATGAGCCTGTCTCTGTCCCTGTTCAGCCGTCAGATGACTGCTACGTTATTTTTACTGAGGGAAGCTCTTCAAACCCTAAAGCACTTGTCCTAAACCACAATGCTATCCTGGCCAGAGCAGAAGCTTTCATTTCAGCGCTCAACATGACCCCTGAAACCAGGGTATTCCAGCTTTCCCCCTATACGTCTGACATGTTCGTTCAGGAACTCTTCGGCTCTTTTATGTGTGGCGGATGTGTTTGTATCCCATCCGAGAATGAGAAAGCCAAGTTTTCAACTTCCATCAATACATTACGCGCAAACCTAGTAAATGTGACTCCGACCGTCGCTTCTTTCATTCGTCCGGCAGATGTTCCTGGCGTCCAATGTCTCTCACTGTTCGGTGAACGCCTGACTGAGAAAGTCAAATCCATCTGGTTATCCAAAGTCAAATTGCATACATTCTACGGAACAGCAGAATATTCCTCGACATGTGTTCACAATGCAGATGATAGAACAAGTGAGCCGGAAAAGATTGGACTGGGTAATGGCTGTGTCACATGGCTTGTTGATCCTTCCGACTACAATGTCCTAGTTCCTGTAGGGTGCACTGGAGAGCTAGTGCTAGAAGGGCCCGGTATTGCCCAGAGATACTTTAACGACGAGAAACAAAAAAATCAAAGCTTTATTGAGAACCCTGAATGGAGCACGGAGTTTGGAAAGCGAGCAGCTGGCGATGAAGAAGAGTTGTCTAGACGTATGCTCAGGACGGGAGACTTGGCTCGATACAATTCAGATGGGACACTGGTGTACATGGGAAGAAAGGATGGAGTGATTGAGCGCGGAATGCAAGAGGACATTCGAAAAATCGAGCAGCGTATCGACTTGGCCCTATTGACGGATAATCGTTCGGTGGTAGAGGTGATTGACTGTTGCAACGAGCAAGGAACAACAGGCTGTCTTGCAGTCTTCATACTCTTTGAGGATCGCTACGTTACGGAAACAGAGGCATCTCGTCACATCATTGCGCACTCCTCCCCCGAATTCCATGCTCTTGCGACCAGAGTGTTCAAGACTTTGTTACGTTCACTGCCAGCGACTCAAGTGCCGAGTTTCTATTTTCCAGTACATGATATACCTTTGAGGTCGTCTGGTCGGCTAGACCGCCAGGCCCTGAGAGATGCTGCTCAAGGCCTCTCTGAAAGTACTCGACTCGAATTCACTGTTAAGAAGATAAAGGGCCCTTATTACACCAATGCTAATACAGAGTACTGGAAAGAATACTTAGCTGACGCTGAACCCTGTCTTTTCCCGTCCCTATTTCACACGGCAGTCGAAAGAGAACATGGTGTGGTTCATTTGAAGGTCAATGATGAAGCAAAAGTACAGAAGGTGTGCCAAACGGCCGAAGTGACTATGAATTCTCTTTTACATATTATCTGGGGCTTAGTCCTACGTTGCTATACGGGCTTGGAGGACGTCTGTTTCGGTTACCGGACGTCGGACACACCGGAAATGCTACCTTGCAGAATAAACTTGAAAGACGATATCGAACTCGAGAGGGTGGTGCAGAAGAGAAATGAAGAGTTGAATCAAGGGGCGAAGCATTCCATCACTCTCTCCGAGATCCAACTAGGGCTTGGCTTGCAGGACACATCGATTTTCAATACTGCTTTCGTATCAGAATACTCAACTGCTACGGACTTGATCGATGGATTATTCACGTTAAATGCGTATATGATTGTGGTCGACACGAAAGAGTTCGATTCGCTAGAAAAGATCTCTTTTTACTACTCAAGAGAATGTCTGTCCGACGCAAACATCTCCGACATCGTTGACTGTTTCGAGCATATACTGAACTCCGTCCTTTATAATACCTCACGGGGAAAGACGGTGGGTGATATCGACTTTTTCAGTGAACAATCTTGTAAGAAGATAGGCGAGTGGAATACGAAACTTCCGGAGACACCTGAGAAATGTGCGCATGAAGTCATTCGACAACAGGTTTTATGCCTCCCGCTGTCAACTCCCGCAATCTGCTCATGGGATACGAACCTCACATACTCCGAGGTAGAGCACCTAACAACTCGACTGGCTCACTATTTGGTAGGAGTTGGAGTTGGCCCCGAGAACTTTGTGGCTTTGTTTTTCGAGAAGTCAGCTTGGTATGTTATCGCTCAAGTCGCTGTACTAAAGGCTGGCGGCGCATTCGTCTCCCTAGATCCTAGTCATCCAGAAGCTCGGCTGCGGGGCCTAGTAGGCGACGTTGGAGCTCATGTCATGTTATGCTCCGCTAAGCATTACGAGAAAGCGTCCCGGCTTTGTAACATTGCGTTTGTAGTCTGCGAGGCTACAATTGATGGACTCACAGGTCCAGCAACTGTCATCCCTGCTGCTACCCTAAAAGTCAACAATGCAGCTTATGCCATTTTCACATCCGGTACCACAGGAAAGCCGAAGGTGTCAGTCATTGAGCACATTGGGCTTGGAATAGCTGCCAAAACGTTTACCAAGACATTTAGAATGGGCCCAAAGACTCGTGTTCTTCAGTTCTCGAATTACATATTCGACGTCAACGTGATGGAAACAGTTATCACCCTTATGACAGGCGGCTGTATATGCATTCCTAGCGAGGAAGAGCGGATGAACGACTTGTCTGGAGCAATTAGTAGAATGGCAGCTAATCTGTGCTGCTTGACCCCATCCGCAGCAAGTACTCTAAATCCAGATTCCGTTCCTACATTGAAAACCATCATAATGGGAGGAGAGAAGATGACGATCAGCCATGTCGATCGCTGGGCAGACAGATGTGTCATCAACGCATACGGACCTTCTGAAGCTACCGTGGCTTCTACAGCAAGCGTAAAGGCAGATGGAGGAAGACGCCTTACTGATGACTGTAACTCAATCGGTACTGCGTTTGCTGGCAGGACATGGATCGTTGACCCTCAGAATTACCATCGCCTTCTCCCTATCGGAGCAGTTGGTGAATTGATATTAGAAAGCTGCAATGTTGCACGTGGCTATCTCAACAATGCTGAAAAAACTAAAGAGGTCTTCATCACAGATCCCCAGTGGATTGAACATAAGGGACTACAGGAGATCTTCAAGCATAAAGAGCGGATGTACCGCACCGGAGATCTTGTTCGTTATAATTCCGACGGCAGTCTTTGCTTTGTTTCGCGCAAAGACACCCAGATCAAACTCAATGGTCAGCGCGTCGAGCTTGGAGAAATTGAACAACAATGCATTGGCTATTTGCCAACAAACACCCAGGTTGCCGTTGAGGTGGTCAGCCCACAAGCAAGGACTGTGGCAAAATGCCTAGCTGTATTCTTTACTATTGATGTCAATAGTCATAGTGAAGAAAATGGTCTAGACCTACTACTTTCCATGGATGAAGCCACTGTGGACATGGTGGAGAAACTGCATAGCTCTCTGAAAGAGACCTTACCGACTGTTATGATACCGAAGCTCTTCTTCCCAATAAGTCGCCTACCTTTTGCAGCGACTGGAAAGCTCGACCGTAAAGGTCTCCGTGCCATGGTTGAGCCTCTGCCAAAAGAAGAGCTGAAGCAATATACTACCTTCAGTGCTGGCTCTAGGCAAATCTCAGAAGAGGAACCCGAGGGTAAACTTAGGACTTTGTGGGAAGAAGCATTGGGACTTGCACCGGGCTCTGTCAACACCGAAGACAGCTTCTTTGGGATTGGTGGCGACTCTCTTTCAGCCATGAAACTCGTGGGCGCCGCTCATTCTCACGGAATCGCGCTCACTGTTGCAGATATATATGCGAACCCTATCTTGATAGAAATGGCAAAGATCTGTGAGCCTTCTAAAACAGAAACTAATAAAATGACTGTCGAACCATTTAGTCTTCTACCTGCTTCTTTGACCCGCGAAGACGCCTTACAAGAGGCTGCTGACCAGTGCTGTGTATCTAAAGGATCAGTATCTGACATCTATCCTTGCAGTCCAGTACAAGAAGGTCTCATTACACTCTCAATGAAGCAGCAAGGAGCTTATGTCGCTCGACCAATATTCAAGCTTACCAGCAAAGTTGACTTGAAGCGATTCAAAGCTGCGTGGCAGAAAACTGTGGATGAATTTGACATTCTACGGACTCGTATCATACACACAGATTCTATGGGGTTTGTTCAAGTTGTGCTTAGCGAGGGACCCATTTCTTGGACTACTGCAACGACAATCGATGATATCATGGATGACATACCTGAGCTGCCAAATCATAATGGAGGGTTGCTGACTGACTATTCCATTGTTCAGTCTGAAAACTCCTCTATCCGCTATTTTATTTGGACAGTACACCATGCACTATACGATGGATGGAGTGTGCCGTTGGTCCTCAAGAGGGTAGAGGAGCTATATAAGGACTCTTCGGCTAACTGCTCCACTCTTCCATACAAGTTGTTTATAAGCCACCTCCAGGACAAAGACTTGTCCCATTCAGACAAGTTCTGGAAAACACAGCTCGCAGATATCTCATGCTCGCCTTTCCCTCAAAGCAAAGCCTCTTTGCCGGATGCTGTACGTGTGGGAAATCGGCATTATAGCAGTATGGAGATCAGCCGGATCCCAGAGAGCAAATACTTAACTCTACCCGAGCTGATTCGCGCTGCGTGGGCCATCGTTATCTCTGCCCACACTGGCTCTAATGATGTCTGCTTTGGGGAAACACTTATGGGAAGGAACATCAATCTACGTGGAATTACTGATGTCGCTGGGCCTGTCCTTACAACAGTTCCTACACGCATACAGGTTGATAACGAGCTGTTAGTCTCCCAATTCTTGCAGGACATACGCAAGCTCACCACGGCGATGATACCTCATCAGCACTCTGGACTTCAACGAATACGCAAACTCAGTGATAACACAGCCGTCGCTTGTGATTTCCAAAACCTTCTAGTAATACAGACAGAAGAGGGAAATATGAATGAAGACCTGTGGGTTCCAGAGAATAACCAGACAAGCGGAGATTTCTTCACTCATCCACTTACTGTTGAATGCAAGATCAGCAACCTAAGATTGGTCCTGACTGTCCATCATGATGAGATTGTACTAGATAGTTGGCAAACTGAAAGGCTCACAAATCAGTTCATACATGTGATACAACAGTTGCTTACGTTCTCTGAAAAGGATACAAGAAAGGTTGGAGACCTTGAAGTTGCTAGTCCCCAGGACAAGCAAGAGATCTATTCGTGGAATCAGCGTCATCCAACTCTCGTCGATAGATGTGTTCATGATATCATCCGTGAGAAGGGATCAATGCAGCCTGAAGCGCCGGCTATCTGTGCTTGGGACGGTCAGCTTTCTTACAGAGAAATGTATGGATATGCTTCGTCATTCGCAGCCTATCTTAATTCCCGTGGAGTTGGTCCTGAAACATTAGTGCCTGTTTGCTTGGATAAATCTGTCTGGGCAATAGTCACTATCCTGGGTGTTCTTATCGCTGGTGGGGCGTTCGTGCCTCTGGATCCTGCTCATCCAACGTCAAGACACGAAGAGATCCTTGAAGAGATTGAAGCACGGGTAATTCTATGCTCATCTCAATATCGCAACAGATACGCAGGATCTGTTAAGACGATTGTCCCTATCAGCCAAGAGACTATCCGAGCCTACAGTGCTCTTACGAGGAAGGCCTCAACCTCTAATCTTGCCACACCATCGAACATGGCCTATGCAATCTTCACCTCTGGGAGCACAGGACGCCCCAAAGGTATCATTATTGAGCACCGCGCTTTGGCAAGCAGTGCTGCCGCTTTCTCGCCCATTGTGCATTTGAACGAAAATGCTCGAGCCTTCCAGTTTGCTTCTCTTACATTTGATGCCGCAGTTATGGAAGTCCTTGCCACCCTGATGCATGGAGGTTGTATATGCATTCCGAGTGAAGAGGAGCGCTTAAATGACGTTGCCGGTGCTATTCGGCGAATGGACGTCTCGTGGGCTTTCTTGACTCCGTCGATAGCAAGCATTATCGAACCATTGACAGTGCCGTCTTTGAAAGTGCTTGCTTGCGGTGGGGAGAAGCTGTCTCGGGAGGTAGTTCTGAAGTGGGCCCATCGCGTTAAACTAATCAATGGCTATGGACCAACAGAGACAACTATCTTTGCAGTCCTGAACGACGTAACACCGAGCACTAATCCTGCTTATATTGGCTACGGCATACCTTCCACCTTGACGTGGGTTGTTGACCCTGAGAATCATAACCGGCTTTCTCCGTTGGGTGCCATCGGAGAACTAGCTTTGGAAGGCGCTGCCCTAGCAAGAGAATACCTCAAAAGTCCTGCGAAAACTGCGGAAGCTTTTGTTAATGAACCAACATGGATAAATGACTTTCCGAGTTCCCTGCCTTCTCCAAGGAGGATCTACAAGACTGGCGATCTGGTCAGGTACAACTCAGACGGCTCAATAGAATATATCAGTCGGAAAGATAACCAAGTTAAGATCAATGGTCTCCGTATGGAGCTTGGTGAAATCGAGCATCGCCTATGCGGAGATCGTCGGGTGCGCCATGCTGTTGTGATCCTTCCAAAGTTGGGACTCATTCAGAAACGTCTGGTTGCAATCCTGTCCTTAGAGTCCTTGAATTCAGGGAATGGTCTTGATTCGGATGGGGTATGCGAGCTCATCAGCCAAGATCAGATGGATGTCGCATATTCTGAACTCCAGGAGATCCAGAAAAGCCTTGAGTCACAGCTACCCATCTACATGGTTCCCCAGACATGGGCTGTGATTGGAAAGCTTCCAATGCTAGTCTCAGGAAAGTTAGACCGGAAAAAGATAACAGCTTGGATTGAGAACATCAATGAAGAGACATATGATCGTATAATGCAGGATTACGACAACATCAAACGAGGAAATACTGACCACAAGAATGAGGACGACAATGGTTCCTCTATTAACATCCTTCGTGATATCTTCACTCAGGTGCTCAACGTTCCATCATCAAAGATTGATCCTAGCCGGTCATTTGTTAGCTTGGGTAAGTGTGTTGGTTAATTAAGATATGGCGGGGAGCTAACTCTTCATAGGAGGTGACAGTATCACAGGAATGGCAGTCATTTCTAGGGCTCGCAAGCACGGACTCAATTTGACCCTCCACAATATACTTCAGAGCAACTCAATGACCGAGCTTGCTCTTACTTCTGTCGCCACCGTCCAGGAAGTCCAACACCAGGAGAAGTCTGGGGAATTGTTTAACCTTTCGCCAATCCAAGGGCTGTACATTCAGACGGCCGACCAATTCCAGGGTAGAGCTCGCTTCAATCAAAGCATGACCGTCCGCCTTACAAGAAGGACAAGATCCGATGTTGTGAAGAATGCTGTCAAGGGGGTTGTTGACCGACATTCTATGTTTAGGGCACGGTTCTGCAAGTCCCCAGATGGAAACTGGAAACAGAAGATTACCAAGGTTTGCGCAATGATGTCTGCTACACTTGAAATTCCCTAAGCTAAACAGAGCCTACAGGATATTAATTCATCGTATCAGTTCCGCACGCACTCGATCAACGACTCATCTGACATGTTGTCCAAGATCTCGGAAAGCCAGGAGTGTCTGGATATCCAGAATGGACCGATCTTTGCGGCAGATCTGTTTGAAGTACGCAGCCACGAGCAATTTCTTTTCATCGTAGCCAACCACTTTTGTGTTGATATGGTCTCCTGGAGGATAGTCTTACAGGATTTGCAAGACTTTATTGAAAATGGTGCCCTGCCCTCTGATAAGCCGCTGTCATTCCAGGGCTGGTGTGACCTCCAAGCGGAGAATAGCAAACGGAAAAATGGGATCATTGAACTTCCTTTCTCCATTGAGCAGCCTAATATAGCTTACTGGGGCATGGCAGACTCACCAAACCTCTATGGTCACGTTAAAATCGAGTCTTTTACACTGACCGAAGAGGCTACTGCGTTTATTCTTGGCCGCTGCCATGAAGCTCTCCAAACAGAGACCGTAGAAGTCCTGCTCTCAAGTATCATCCATTCTTTCCGTCAGGTGTTTGTCGACCGGAAAGTTCCAACAATTTATAACGAGGGCCATGGTCGCGAAACTTGGGATTCTACTATTGATCTTTCCAGAACTGTTGGTTGGTTCACGACACTATGTCCTCTACATGTTGACGAAGGCTCAGGTAGGTCACCTTACAAAACGCCGCAACGCGTTACTAACTATATAAAAGGCATTGTCAATACTCTGAAGCGAGTTAAGGATACTCGGCGCAAGATTGCTAATAATAGCCGGTCTTACTTTGCCCAGAGCCTCCTCCATCCAACAGGGGATGGGCCTACAAATTTCCCCGTTCCTTTGGAGGTAGTCTTCAATTACCTTGGCCAACTTCAACAGTTGGAACGCAAGGAATCTCTTTTCCAACATTATGGGGGCGCATTTGATGCTGAATTTTTTGAACTGGCAGGTGACATGGGGCCTGAAACGCCGCGATTCGCGCTCTTTGAGATTTCAGCAATTATCATCAAAGACAAGCTCAATATTTCTTTCACGTACAACAGAAACATGCGACACAAATCACGCATTCAGGATTGGATTTTTAAGTGCAGAAGGACCCTCGAAGGGGAGATTCTTTCTCTTAAAGACTATCTGCCGGAGCCGACTCTCAGTGACTATCCCTTGCTCCCGACAACCTACGGTGGATTGGATGACCTTGTCAAGAAAACGTTGCCTAGAATTGGAGTTGAGAGCTGGAATAAAGTTGAAGATATCTATCCGTGCTCACCAGTGCAAGAAGGTATCCTCCTCAGCCAACTTCGTGATCCACGCGGGTACATGTTCCATGGCATTTTTGAAGTCCGTTCTCTCCAGGGCAAACGTATAGACCCAGCATCGCTCCGAAGGGCATGGACAATGGTAGTCAACCGACACCCGGCCTTGCGTACACTGTTCATCGAGAGTAATTACAAGGGCGGGGCATTCGACCAGCTGGTACTCAAGGTGTCTGATGATGCTGTTCTCGAATTCGAGTGCGACGAATCGCTTGCATTTGTTAAGCTCGATCAGGTCAAGCTCCAGGATATAAATGCCAACAGACGTACAAAGCTTCCACAACAATTGATAATCTGCACGACAACTTCTGGACGAGTGTTCATGAAAATCGAGATGAATCATGCGATCGTTGATGGTGGCTCAATTGACGTTCTCTTCAGGGATCTAGCGTTAGCGTACAACAACCAGCTTCCTGCAGGACCAGGGCCTCGATACAGCGACTATATCAAATATATCAGGAGCCAAGCACATGGGAAGGCGTTGGAACATTGGAAGCAATACCTCTCTGGGGTCCGGCCTTGCCATTTATCGTTCCCTTCTAACCAAAGAGGTGATCGCCAATTGGGCTCCCACTTGATGAGCTTCGACCGTTTCTCTGAATTGCAAAGGTTCTGTGAAGACAACTCTATAACTCTTGCTAATTTAACGCTTACAACCTGGGCTGTCGTTCTCCGGAGCTTCACAGGCTCGGATGATATCTGCTTTGGCTACCCTTCCGCTGGCCGTGACTCTCCAATTCCCGGAATACACGACGCGGTTGGCATTTTCATCAACATGGTGTGCTGCAGGATCAAGTTTACATCAGGTCAGACGTTAGAGGGCATTTCCAAGTTAGTACAAAGTGACTATATTGGGAACCTTCCACACCAGAACTGCTCTCTCGCACAAATACAACATGACCTTGGCCACCAAGGACAGTCACTTTTCAACACAACCTTGTCTATCCAAAATCGTTCCATTCCCAAAGATTCCGGTGACAAGACCATATCATTCGATATGCAAAGGACATATGATCCGACCGAATACCCCGTCACGGTGAATGTTGAAACTACTAAGGATCGGGAGGGTATTATGCTCAGATACTGGACAGATATGGTGTCTGACAGCCAGGCAGAGGCCTTGGCGGATGCTATTGCTAAAGTATTTACATGCTTTATTGAGAGCCCGTCCAGATTGGTATCAGAGCTCAAGCTTGCCCCAAGCCAGGATACCTCCGCTATCAGTAACCCCGCTTTGACGGACTTGGACATACTTAACAGTGATGCTTTACGGAAAGTGATTGACATCCGTGTGAATGAGACAATCAGCCAGATGCTCAAGGAAGGGAAGCTAGCTCTGCCCACTGTGCATGAGCTTCATATTAAAGCATCCAATGGTTCATTCCCATCGAGACGGATGCCTCGGGAAAAGGATCTTTCTGATTCTACACTGACGTTGACCGACCGTAGCAGAGCATCGAGCGACAGCAGAGAATCGACTAGCCTTGAAAAGCGGCTCTGGACACTCTGGAGCTCTGCACTAGGGCTGCCTTCCAGTGCTATCATCCGCAAGAGCAGCTTCTTCAAGCTTGGTGGTGATAGCATAACGGCCATGAAAATGGTTGGCGCTGCTAGGGAGGAAGGCCTCGCACTGAGTGTCGCAGATGTCTTTAGCAATCCTGTATTCGAAGACATGCTAGCCATAGTCACCGCTAAGGATGTCCCAGCGGTTTTTGAGAGCCATGCTCAAGTCACCCAGGTTACTCAACTTAGTGAGAAAGTTATAGAATCACCGGTCGTTATTACAAGGGCAGTCACACCTGATGAGATGTCATTGCTGAGGCCTACACCGATCGACGACTCATCTTTGCAGGCCAGTATCTGCTCTAGGATTGGTGTCTTCAGAGGTGGCATTGCCGACGTTCTTCCAGTTACAGATTTCCAAGCCATGTCGATTACGGCAAGTCTCTTCAAGTCAAGATGGATGCTGAACTACTTCTTCCTTGATGGTAAGGGTCCATTAGACATCAGAAGGCTTAGAGAAAGTTTCCTACGAGTGGTCGATGCATTTGATATTCTTCGGACAGTGTTTGTCTGCTTCCACGGCCAGTTCTTCCAGGTTGTCCTAAGAAAGATGAAACCGGAAATCACTGTTCATGAAACAGATAAAAGCTTGGATGACTATACTGAGTCCCTACAGCAGCATGACCGGGAACAGGATCCACGGCAAGGCGAGCAATACGTGCAGTTCTATGTCGTGAAAAAGAAGAGCACCAATCATCACCGTATCCTGATCAGAATGTCACACACTCAGTTCGATGGCGTCTGCCTGCCACGAATCATGTCCGCCATCAAGATGGGTTACGAGGGTAGCCCTATTCCCCCTACTTCTTCCTTTTCAAATTACATGCGCATGCTCCCCGGAAGTATCTCCCCGGAACACTATCAACATTGGGCGACACTCCTCCAAGGATCTCAAATGACCGATATCATCAGAAGACAGACACCTAACAATTTCCAACATATTGGCTCTTTCACAGCGCAGAAGAAAGCAATTGAGATTTCAGCTACAGTTATCGGCGATGTAACCCTCGCCACGGTTATGCAGTCAGCATGGGCTATGACACTTGCTAAGCTTTCTGCGCAGTCTGATGTCGTATTCGGGCTCACAATAAGCGGCAGAAACGCAACAATCCCAGGCATCGAAAGCACCGTCGGACCATGTCTCAACATGATTCCGGTTCGGGTAAAATTCGGAGAACGATGGACTGGCCTTGATCTATTTCGCTACCTCCAGGATCAACAGGTGTCCAACATGCCATATGAGTCCTTAGGATTCAGAGAAATAATCCGAAACTGCACCGACTGGCCCGATTCCACGTTCTTTACCACCTCGGTCTTCCACCAGAGCGTCGAGTACGAGGGACATATGCAGCTCGATGATAACATGTATAGAATGGGAGGTGTCGGCGTCGTGGATAACTTCACAGATATCACTGTAGTATCCAAACCAACTGGCGACGGCAGACTCTACATCACCCTCGCATATTCCCAACGAAGCGCAATCGACACCGACTTTGCCGCGAAAATCCTCGACATGCTTTGCGAGACAGCCCATAGCCTCATCACCAACCCCAGGATCGCTCTCCCGTCTCCATCCACACTCCGCTCTCTGCCCTGTCAAGTCGTCGACGACCTCCCTAGACCCACAGAAGAACATTTCCTTAACTCAAACCTCAACAGCAGGAGTATCTCTGAGCTCCTCGTACACTCAGACATCCTCAACAAAGCCTGGCAACAGGTCCTGCCGAGCAGAGACCCGGACACCCCACGCCCACCTTTCCAGCTGAACTCCTCGTTCTTTGGGCTAGGTGGCGACATCTTCAGTATGGGCCAATTGGCCTGGTGTCTAGAGCAAGAAGGTCTCCAAGTCCGTCTCGAGGAACTTCTCGAACACCCTACTTTCCTAGGCCATTTGGCCGTGCTGGCATTGCATAACGCGAAGCAGGAGACAGTGGTAGAGGGAACGAGAACTATTGGGGAGGGGGCTCGTGTGCCGTCTGTTAAGAATAGATCGAAGACTGGGAACTGGAATCCCCTGGGCAAAGCTGTCTTATTGGCAAGGAGGTTTACCACAAAATGGAGCTCGAAAGCATGATTGTTGCAGGATGTCATCTACCCTCCTTTTTCTTTCTTTCCTTTCTTTGTGAAAACAAACAAAAGCAAAAGTTACCCAACAAAATTCCAAATGGTAAGAAAACTGAGGCCCCCTCTCATTCTGCCCATATTGATTGTTATCACTTAGTCTTGCACATGCTTCCATTTTAATTTCCGTTCCTTTCCTTCATTGGATCTATTGGCTTTCTATTTATTGATATAACCTCGTCCGACTGAACCATTTTCTTTTCTTGCATATTTTGAAAGCTGATCTGTTTATATCTATTCACTTATTGTGTATACTTTCGTTTTGAGGTTATATTATTATGTTACTATTTTATTTGTTAGATTATAGAATGATTAAAACAACGCGGTCATATCTACTCATACCCAGACAAGTAAATGCTGGCATCTCGAATAACAGCTCTAGTATCTATTAGTAAGAAGCAAAATGAAAAGTAAGAAGATTTAAATGATAAAAAAGGATAACTTTTCATCCAATGCTTCGTCAAAGGGTATATGTAGCATGAACCCAGAGTCACTCAGCGCAAGTTTTCCAAACATGACATCGTCAAAACATAGATCTAATCGTCCAATTAGTACCCACCCAAAAAAGGTGGGAAAAATTCCAAAGAAAACTTATTATCCATAAACCGAAGCCCGAGACCACTCCCCTCTAGCTCTAATACGCTTGCCGAAGATGTAAAACAGATACGGTATAGGTATTAGTGCAATAGACACAAAACCAAGTACACTCGCCGCCCATGGTACACCCATCCTGCGAAACATGATACTAGCAAAGAGCGGAAAACAGCCGGCAAAGACACTCCGCAGGAAAGTATTAGCCGCCACGGCGCTAGCAGAGACCGTCTGGAAGGTGTCGATGAGGTAATTGAGGGCAGCTTGGAAGATGGTGAAGAAACCGAAGCCCATCATCACGGCGCCTATTATAGGGCCGATCCAGTGGACATGTGGTTGGCCGGTCCAGCCGAAGACGAACATGCCTGCCGCGAAGAGGACGGAGCCGATCATCATGGGTGGAAGGCGGGCTTCGGGAACCGGGAAATTGTTGTTTGCTTTGAAACGTTTGATGTAGAATTTTTGATTGAGCAGGTTGACGGCTGCGCCAAAGAGGATGCCGACTAGGTAGCCTAGGAAGGGGAGTGCGCCGACGACTTGGTTCCAGCCGCGGACTTCTTGGAATTCGACGGGGAAGGATGCGAGACTGAGGTACAGGATGCCGTAGACGAAGGAGGCGTAGAGGGCTACTAGAAAGCAGATGGGTGTTGTTAGGAGTTGGAAGGGGCGGATGAGGTACTTGTTGCCGAGTTCTTTGAAAGTAACGTCCCATTCTTCGTGGCGCGCGTGGAGGGCCCAGTTGCCGCTGTCGAAACGGAGTCGTTGGGCCTTGTAGACTAGCAATACGGGAGGGTAGGTCTCGTCTAGGAATAGGACGTCCATTGTGAGGAAGAACATCATCATAATCCCGGTGATCTGGAGGTAGAGGATATTAGCGTGTTTCAGTGACGATAGAAAGAGAGGGTAGTACTGACATATTCAGTCCATCTCCAACCTAGATAGCTCTGGACAATTGCACCACCGACGATAGGCCCGAGCACCGGTCCTCCAACCACGGCCATAGCATAACCAACAATAGCCGCTCCTCGCTGTTCCGCTGTCCAGATATCACTAAGAACACCGCCGGTATTGGTGACAGGTGCAGAACCAAAGAACCCGGCGAAGAACCGGGTTATCATGACTGTTTGCAAATCTTTGGCGGTAGCGGTGCCAAACGAGAAGACAGCGGCAACGAAATACGGTGCTAAAACAGCGGGTTTACGCCCATAAACTTCAGATAAAGGTGCCCACACAAGCGGCCCCAGCCCTAAAGTGGCGTTAGCCAAGTATCCTTGCAAATCGGCGAGATACAGCATTATAGCTTACCAAACCCAAACAAGAGCAATGCTGTACCAAGAGTACCAACTTCCTCGCCGACCCCGAATTCCGCATCAACTTGTCTCGTGCCTGTGGAATAACTGTCTTTGTGTCAGGATATTACCGCAGCAGCATAGATGAAGGTAATGGATCATACATCGAACTGGCCCATGTCGCACCTGAGGTTTAAATATGGTTAGCTCTCACACAGCTACATGGACATAGGATGATCTACAAACCCATTGTTGTCAACCCGTATAATACGGTGGTTATGGCCTTTTTCCGGAAACTCCAATTGAGCGGCCGATATGGGTCATCGGGCCCATCAAAATCCACGATCACATCGGTTGAGGTTTTGGTATGCGTCAGAGGATGTGTAAAGCGCGCAGTCTGGCCAGGTTCTCGACTGCGAATTCTTGAGACTACCGACTGCGCACGTTGCTCAAAAGCTGAATAGGCCGAAGCCGCAGTGCTCTGCTTCTCCAGGATCCTATTTGGTGGATCATCGTAGTTGGCTTGCTGTTGCTCTAGAGAGATGCTGTCATCGTCGTCGAGTGAAGAGTGAGAGGAAGAGCGTTCTTCGTCTCTTGCCATGACTTCATCCAACAATATGACGTAGGCTGCCAAGAAAAATCTGCTGCAGGGTTCCTAAACTCCGTCGCTCTAAAGAATAGAGAGGACAACTGTAAATCCAGATTGGCACAAAAAAGAATTAAGGTGAGAGGACTGTAAATCTAGACGTCACTAACACGGAATAGAGTCCAAAAGTCTAGACAATCCGAACAATTTTTGACAGGAACCAGAAGTATAAAAAGCTCTTCAACGGCGACGAGCCGTCTTAGCCGAAGCCATTAACTCCGAGACAAAGCAATCGGACGTCCGACAACACCTTCATTCGCCGGTACTAGTGGGGGTATATATCGGCTAAAGCCCGTCGGGAGGATCATTCACCGTGAGTAACAGTCCAGTAGCTGGTCATGATATATCCAGTCGGTGAAAGAATAGAACAAACTTGCATATGGCAAAGAAGTGTCTGCAACCATATCATTCGCCAAGCCTTCCGAACTACTTTGGGGAATCTTCTCCGAGAGCGTGTTGGTGGCGCTAAAACGGATAAATATGTACATACGGTCACGTGAGGGCCAATGTTACCAGGAGATAGAAGGACCCTGTTGTCAACTTGTCTGTGACGTTGGAAAATAAAGAGTAAAAGTAATTCTCACAAAGGAAGAACTGATTTTTATGTATTTGAGTATTTATTCTTTGTTCTAAAGGAAAGGGGTTTGAAAGTCATATCTAGTCTTTAAATTAAACCATGTCTCAAGAGACGGTCAGACCAAGTTGAACGTCCACCTAATGCCCGAAAAGCGATCGCGGTCCCTCTATTCCTATATTTTTACCCATCATATATCTTGCAGACATATTCGTGCAGATACATTTACATGATCGTAATACATCAAATCATCAGTTGGTAGAAGTAGAGTGTGTATTCTCCCACTTGCGCACTGCCTCCATGGCAGCGGTCACTTTCAGACCAATACGAGCGTCAAGCTCGTAGCTCTCCCACCTGGCAGCTTTCTCAAGGTATTCCTTGCATTCCCGCACCTTCTGCCTTTCAAGCTGTGTGGCTTCCTCGCCGCTGGCCACCTTAAACACCTCGGTAGCGGGAGCATCGTTAGCGGCGATATAATTCGGGCGTTCCATCCAGAGGTTAGCCGCCATCTCGAAATGAGCCACGGGATGAATCCAGTTGTCCTTGAGATGACCCGTGAATAGCACCTTGTCATGGTTAAGGACAGAGTCTTTGAGCAGGTTTCTGGCCTCCTCATGTTTACGCATCGCGCGCAAGACCGCAGCCCGCAGAAGCTGTAAGATTGTCTTCTCTTCGGGGCCTTCTCGAGACCAAGTCTTATTTTCATCACTTTCAGACCAGGCGAGCTTCTGCATTGATTCTTCGAGCTCTTCTTGCGTCATCCGGCTATGTCCGTTCCAGAAGAAGATCATCTCTTCGATGGGATCAACACCAACGGCGTCCACAAGGCTCACGCCCCACTCCTTCGCGCGGGCCTCCCACTTGGCGATTTTTCGAGCCACGAAGACGTCGAAAGGCAACTGCCGTGCCATGAACCGCTTCTTTCCGGCCAATGGTGGCGCCGTTCGGAAGTATTCAGTAGCCTTTAGTGCGTGTTCCTCTGCCTGTTTAGGGTCCGATACGATAGTGCTTCGGTATAGTGAGAGATGCGACGCCCCTGCAATATAATAATATAATGAGCGAGACCAGGAGTTCAATTCGACACACTAAACACTAGTCAGTAGTTGAGCGCAAATGTTGTGTCTCAAAGAGAGTACAGACCTCCAGGAATGACTCCGCACACAATTCGTACCTATGCAAATACATCGCATTCAAGCTTCGCTCAAACACACGCAAGGCTTCGACCTGCTTGAGCGGGCTTTTCTCATTACCGCATAGAAGTTCCAGGGATCTCTCCAGATTTTTGTTTGCTCCTTCCATCCTAGACTCTTCGAGCAGCCAGAGTTGGCTTTTGGGAAACCGCTGCCTCATCAGCGCTAATAGGGCTTCGAGTCTCTTCTGAGGATAACCTTGCACATCGCCCTGTTCTCCAGGAACGGGGTCTGGCATGATATCGCAATAACGAACAAACCCATTGTAGTAACCGAGTATCGCAAAAGCGGCAAGTGCCCCGATTAAGTTGTGGAACTTACTAGCTTGCCATAGCATCCTCAAGCCCCTCTCTTTGTCTCCGTAGAACCCAATGATGCTCAGAAGCTTGCTAAAGGCTGGAGGGACCATGGATATAACAACAAGAAGAATTCCAAAGCAAAAGTTGGACCCAGAATGCACGAAGACATCGATTTGGTTCTTAAAAATATCCGAATCGGGATCATGGCTAAGCATATCCGCAGGACTGGGATCTGCTGAGCTCTCAGATACACTGCTTTCCTGGGAGACACTTAGGTCAGATAGCCTTTGCGATAATCCCTTAGCCTCAACATTAGCGGTAGGGAGGGGCTTGGGAGCTTCTCCCTGGTCTGCTGGAGACGTATCACCAGAATTTTTCGTTTGCATGAATGCTTGCTCCATTTTCAGGATGTTGTCCAGCGCTAAATACGCCTTCCTCATTTTATAAAAGCCTTTGATACTTTCCGTAAGACTTTCATTGAGCACGCCTACAACAGCACTCATGAGTTGTGCCATTGCCTGGCAGAGCGCGAACTCGGTGCCCGGCGAATATATCGCTGAGTGATAACTATTGGGGGCATGGGAGTTGTGCTGAGCCCTGCTCTGATCACTAGCTGCACTGGTTTCGGCCGTATTCAGTCGTTCCGATGCTGCCGGGGGGTTAGTGATAACCCTAGTTCGTGCCGAGAGACCAAGAAATCCACGAACCTTGGCGCATAATCTCCTGTTCAAACCCCAGTGTCGCCCGAATAAAAGCAACAACTCCTCGACCAAGCTATACGTGAAGAAAAGAGATTGTAAGTAAACGCAATCCGAAGACCCGCGGGCGATTTCAAGGGTAGTGACGTTGGCCCCTCAAACCATGGATATACACACATTGTGAAAAGACGAGATTCCTTCCGACAAACCATCTTCGGCTCCGTCAACGTCATCGTTCAAGATAAGAGTTGCAGCTGTTTCAGTATGGTGTCAGTATGTCTCTTGACTGGACTACAGCTGGTAGGTACGATGCACATACCCCGCATAGCATCCTCAACTTCACATCCGAGGAGACACAAATCAGTACGTCTTGCACGTATATCACACGGAGATGATGGCTAAGTAACACTCACGATCCCGCAATTCAACCAACGAGTCCAAAGATTGCGTCGAGGCATTGACGCCGGCCTTTTTGCCATATAACCACGAGCCTACTTTGAGCATGGTGAAAGGTGCAGGTCGCGCGCAGACCGTCACAAATGGATACGAAGAACGACAAACGCTATATCGAAGTGGGGATTAGTTTTGCTCAGGTGTCAGAGCGCAAGCCGGAGGGGACTACACCCCGAAAGAAAGTAGATGAAATGGGAAGAAGATAGACTCTCCCATCAGATATGGACCAGGAATGTGGAGGGATTTCGGGAACATAACCATGCAACAAAAGGAAGGGTGGAAAATCGGGATAATAAGTAAGAAAAGGAAAAGAAGGGTCACAAGAGCCGCGATAAGTAGAATAAATGGACAAGTACCGTGGTCCACTATGGCGGCGAGGCGGAGCAATCGGCCTTGCGATAAACGGTAAAGGACAATGACCTCCGCTTGCCAAAGAACTACTCGTCATGTACTACTATTAAATAGCCCAGTTAATAAACGAGCTCATTCTCATTTCTAGCCAGTTAGTAATGCCCGTGAACCTCTGCGGTGAATTCTTTAGGTTGATCATTACCAATAAAGTCTTTGTTTTAATCATTGCTATTGATTAAATCTTTTACTATAGGTACATTTATATTTACAGAGGAAGGTAAAAAAGAAAATGAAAGAAAGAAAGAAAGAAAGAAAGAAAGAAACAAGAAAGAGGCACACAAGTTCTCCGGTAATCCCGAGAGCCTCAAAAACGGTGAAATCAGAGTGAATTAATTACTAGTCCCGGTGGGGGTTTGCCTTAATCGTTTGGTCTTGGCTTTCCACAGGTCAGCGACCAACTCTCCGCGCTTCAACAACTTTCCATCAACTCCAATTATCAACCCCCGTTTTACTCCTCCCCGCGCCGGTTTCTTCTCTCTCTCGACCTTCTTGAGTGGTTCTTGAATATCCGCAATCTAGAACATCTCTGGTATACCGCCCATCCCTCGAACCCGAACACATTGTTCGCCCACCCCCACCCACCATGTCGAACTCAACGCCATCCCAAGATAAGCCCGAAGCTTCCCAGCAGCAGAAGCCCACCGTATTGGAGGAGGACGACGAATTCGAGGATTTTCCCGTTGAAGGTCAGACAGAATCAGTGGATTTCCGCCCGGTGACAAGCAAGAAGACCAGCGGCGGGAATTAACGTTACTGGAAGCTTCGATTGCTTCGTGAGATAAGAGTTTCGCTGACCGACGGGTTCTGTCTGCAGATTGGCCACAAGAAGAAACCGAGCAAGCGTCCGGATCAGCAAACGGCGCTAATGTTCACCTGTGGGAGGAGAGCTGGGATGATGATGATGCCGCCGAGGAATTCTCGAAGCAGTTGAAGTGCGTTTGGGTTCTCCGTTCGTGCCATACTGGGCCCAGTCCTAGCTTTTGCTAGATGCTGAGTGCTATTGGTGGCTGTTCGTACTATTCTGAGACATGATGCTAATCTGATTCGTTTGAACTGCAGGGAGGAACTGAAGAAGGTCGAAGCATCCCGTTAGTTTGCAGGGTGGCATGGTATCGGTTCGCGAGATGAATAACAGCTCAATGAATGAATTGACCGTGGAATTACAATTTTATCAAGATGAAACACGTATAACCTCGCAGGGGGCTAAGCTAGATCTCGGTGTTTGAAGACTTCATCTTGGGTCTCCATTGAACAACTGCGCTGTGTTGGGGGGTTAAGGATGTGCTGTTGAGGAGGCAGCCTATAACGGGATGCTTGATAGCAAGCCGACAGACCCCAGGAGGCGGCAGCTTGAATATGCGTTTCTCTTCACGTATTCTATAAGTACCTACGATCTAGTCGTGAAACGAATTCAACGTTCATGCTAAATCATCTTCCGGCGTTCCATTCGAGTGACTAGGACAATCACAGCTTCGGGCCCATCACTATGTCATTGTACTCTTGTCATCAGAACCGCTCATTAAAGAGAAGGAGAATAATAAAAAAATTGCTAATTTTAGATTAATTTGTCTCGTGTACATTATATTTATGAAAGTGAAACGTCTCTCATAGGCGAGAAGGCACTAAGGGCACAAAGCCAGCGCTTTCCCCCTTCCAACACATTATTTGCGTTTTGCTTACTTACTTGACAGAGCAGCGACACCAGGGAGCTCCTTGCCCTCCAGAAGCTCCAAGGAAGCGCCACCACCGGTGGAGACGTGGCTGAGCTTATCTTCAACACCATATTTAGCGGCAACGGTAGCGGTGTCTCCACCGCCGATAATGACAATGGAGCCCGACTGGGCAGCGGCAACAGCGGCGTCAAGAGTCTTCTTGGTAGCATTGGCGAAGGGCTCCATCTCAAAGACACCAGGAGGACCGTTCCAGAGGATGGTCTTAGCCTCGGCGATGGTCTTCTTGTAAAGCTCAACACTCTTCTCGCCGACATCCAGACCCATGTAGCCGTCAGGGATACCTTCAGCATCGGTGGCATAGCCAACCTTCGCGTCAGCGGCAAACTTGTCAGCAGTGACGTAGTCAACTGGCAGAACAATCTCAACGTTGTTCTTCTTGGCCTTCTCAACAATCTCGCCGACGATCTTGCTACCAGCCTCATCGAACAAGCTGTTGCCAATCTTGACGTTCTTGAGGGTCTTCTTGAAGGTGAAAGCCATGGCACCGGTGATGATCAGGCTGTTGACCTTGGGCAGCAGGTTGTCGATGAGCTGGATCTTATCAGACACCTTGGCGCCTCCCAGAATGGCGAGGAAGGGGCGCTGTGGGCTCTCCAAAGCCTTGGCGAAGTACTCAAGCTCTTTCTTCACAAGGAAGCCAGAGGCCTTCTGGGGGAGGTCGACACCGACCATGGAGCTGTGGCCACGGTGGGCAGTTCCGAAAGCGTCGTCTAAGAAATAGAGGTTAGCATCGGTTTTAAGCCGTCAACCGGAGATGCACATGAGGGCTTACTGATATAGATGTCACCCAGGGCAGTCAATCCCTTGCGGAACTCGGCAACCTTCTCCTTGTCAGCCTTGACCTTCTTGCCTTCGGCGTCCTTGGAGCTGCCCTCCTCTTCGGCGTGGAAGCGTAGGTTCTCAAGGAGGATAACCTGGCCACCGGAGGCCTTGTTAACGGTCTCCTCGACCTCCTTGCCGACGCAGTCCTCGGTGAAGATGACGCTCTTGCCGAGCAGCTTCTCCAGTTCAGGGACAACAGGTTTCAGACTGTACTTAGGGTTGACCTTGCCATCGGGACGGCCGAGGTGAGACATAAGGATAACAGCCTTGGCACCATTCTCGACAGCATACTTGATGGTAGGCAGAGCACCGACGATACGCTGGTTGTTGGTGATCTTCTTGTCCGCGTCGAGAGGCACGTTGAAGTCGACCTATTCGTGATGGAAGCATTAGCATTGGCTGAACCCCGCATGTGATTGATTAATTGCCAGGTGAGAATTGGGCATACCCGGATCAGGACACGCTTGTCCTTGAGGTCGACGTCAGTGATAGCAAGCTTGTTGGAGAGAGACATTGTGGACGATGTACTATCAAACTTCGGCCAGTGATGGTCAGCGTGGTAGGGTCAGAGCAAGGAAGAGAGGGGGGATTGAGTACCTTTTAAAATGAGCTAAGGGATGTTTGGAAATACTAAATACGTTTCACGGTGAACGCCAGTCTCCTGATAGAATCGGTTCAGCGGCGGGGTAGAGGAAACATTGTTTGGTCTTGTTTGGTGGGGCCACCGGTGAGACGCATCGGACTGTTGCGGGACTGATGTCAACGATGACGGAAGGGTCCGGGGACCGCTGATATATGTATTCTCGATAGCCTCGGATCAAGCTAATGTAAATCCCTTTGCTTCATATAATGGAATGATATACTATCGTGTTGCCATTCTCGTGGAGGGGTCAATCCATCCCCACTCTTTAACTTACCTACCAAGACTTCTGATGGAAGCAGAAAGAATCATCTATAGTTTTGGTCGATAAGATTACACCACCTAGACGCCAACTAAGGGAATCATATGACAAAAGCTCGGAGAAACAACCGCGTACCTAGTTGTTTTTCCACCTTGTTGAAATGATCTGGGTGAAACAAACGAGCAGTGTGCAATTGACTTCTTTTAAACCGTCCCCACCGAAAAGGGAAAAGACCTGGACACCAACAATAAGATAGCAGAATCCCAACGATAATACACAACGCCCCGAAACACTCTAGTGACACAAAAGAAAGTCAAAGAACGACGAATATGAAATGACTGACGAGTCCGAAATCCACCCCAAAAACAATACTGTCATTAACACAGGCGAAGCAATCAGTCCTCCTCCGTAGAATTGGTCAGAGACAAGTATGCAGTCCAAGCGATACCAATTGAGGATACAAAAGGCTTCAAAATACTCAGGTTAGCATTGTGTGCTTCATTACATATTCTTCTTGTTTTAACAAGCGAAACTTACAATTTGGAATTGAATTGGGACGACGCGGAAGTTCAGAATCTGCACAGCTGGCCAGAGGACGAAATTAGCCTTGAGGGTAGGCAGATAGACGTCCTGAAATTTGCGAGTCAAGGCTCTTCGGCCTCCACCTTCAGCCAGTGTCATGAAGGTGAAGAAGCACACCAGACCTGTTTACTCCGTTAGAATCCTATTTGTATCCTGCAGTCTGTAGATGCCCTTACCGAAAGGCGCGAAGATGAATTGATCCACAGCAACCCGTTTCAAGGCCGGGATGGTTGGATTCTTCTTAGTAAGAGGGAATGTCCGTGACAAAAATCCAAACCATTGGAACTGGATCGGCGCCATGAAGAAACCATATGACATGAAACGGGTCAGTCGCTCAAAATCGAAAGGCGGAGGCAAGTGTCTCGCATGGCCTAGCTCCCCAAGGGCTGGCGGTTTCTCCTTGTCAAGGTCATGGATCTCGATTGAGATTAGATCACCAGTATCAAAATCTCGTCGGCTTGGCCGAGATTTAAACGCGGTGATCAGTTGTGCGACGGTATCCGCGACTCCACCAAGGACCTGTGGCATTCAATGTTAGCCGTGTTCATTTGCAAAATATGTGGGCAGTGGGCGATATTTACCGCATTGGTGACCATAGTAGTCAATACTATCAAGGCCAGATTCGTTAGTCATCCTTTGCCGCACTAGATACTAACAAGTAGAGCCTTACCCGGCTTCTCCGCATAGTAGGAGTTAAATTTGGCCGCCAACCGCATCGCAACCGCCATTTCGATGAGGAAAATAATGCTGTGGAGTAAGGGCTATACAGAAAGTCGATCGAGGACCATCATTAGTACTTATGCAGAGTAGGGATAAGGAGTGGAGTGTCTATCGGTATCGTAATTGGGGGTAGAGAGACAAAGAGTGTTCTATCACTTACCAAACGACCGTAGATGTACCTCCTGTTGAGCCCATCCAAAATTCTTCGACGCGCTGTGCAGAACATGGTGAAGATAAGTGAGGGCGAAAACTAATTAATAGATAACCAGAGTAGAAGAAGGTCGAAGGCAAAAGGAAGATTCTCGGCGGGATCCAGCCAGTATGACGCAAAGGAGAGATCAAGGACAAAAATGGGCAAGTTGAACGAAAAGCCCGCAGCGCTCGCCCCTTGTGATAATAAAATAAAATAAAATATGTGCCGACGTCAGAGGAAGAGTACTCCACTAAATAACCAGCGATAAAGGTCGATCACCCTGTCCAGCTGGGGATGGAAGTTGAACTGTGAAGGGGGTTTCGGGATTGTCAGAGGCCGTAAGGCTGCCGTAATATAATCTGACGGGGGCGCGTAGATCCAATCCCACTCATGATCAGCTGCCCATTCATTGTGTCCGCCTTGCCCCGCCGCCTTTTCTCTCTTCTCTTTCTACTTTTCTGCCGTTGCATCATAGACTTGTAGGATTTACTACCCTGTCCAAGTAAAGCACTTTCCTTTTATTAATAGGACAATTGGAGCACAGAGTACGTTCTTCGCTTCACAATTAGTCGCCGCTGATCAAAATCACACGCAAGTCTAATTTACAGGCATTACTGTATTCCATAGAGATAGCATATAACACTATGTACTGTATGTACTGTATTGTACTGTACTCTAATTCGTGTTCTGAGGTGGTATTCTTCTCCTGTCGAAGGATAGAATATCCGGTAGATCTTTGATGTCGGTCGTCTCATTCGTGTTCACCTCCACAAGACGCACGGCTTCGAGATGGAGTGCCCCCACTGTCAATGGAAGTAGTTTTAATTCGGTCGCAAAACAAGTCCCGGGTAGAAGTGGACTTCCCCAAACACATCGAGTTAGGCCATCTATAAGTAGATCAATTGCGAGACTAGGGAAGACTTACCCGACTCGAAGATCCGTGCTCAAACAGACCAGTTCGGCCTCTTGCCCTGCCACACTCTTCTGCATAGCATGAACGATATTATCATCGGTCACTGCTTCGGCAACTTGGTCCTCCTGCCGACTGGTGAGTGATGAAGAAGATGGCCGGGCTACGTGACTTCTGGGATCGGCTCGCTTCCGTCGTGGAATAGCAATCAATGCGAATTTACGAGGAGTTGTTGACCGATTGACGATGAAAACATTCCAAGAAAATGGTTTGCCGACGACCACGTTAGCAGGACCAGAAAATGACACTGTCACTCCCATATCCGCTACAGAATAGGCCCTTTCTCGGAAGGAGCTTCTGCTGGGTGGCGTCCCTCCCACGACGTTGGATTGACTCGGTGTCATAGGGAGGCTAGCCGGGCGATTGTTCCGTTGCAAAGCCTGACTGGGTCCACCAAAGGTAGGGTTGAGGGCTATAGAAAAATCCACGTTCGTCCTCCATTGCATCAAAATCCGCGGGTTGCAATTGTCTGATAGTTTAATAACAGCCTCCAAACGGATGTCTAAGATGCTAACCATCACGGTTGTTGAGGGATTAGGATCTGGTCCATATTCTGGCGTCAATTTATATATCAAGGTGATATCATCCCGTGGACGGCACGTTATGGGCGGAACCAATCCGGGCGCTTCAGAAAGGGTTTCTATTGTGCCATCCGACATCTGAAGTTCTGCCGTTTCGAAAACGACATCGCAATTGAGGAATGGTGTCACCTCAAAATCAAGGCTCGCTACAGTTGTTGGGCGTCCAGAGTAAGAATTCAATCGAGAGTATCGTATCCTTGCACTAGCTGCTGGTACAACGCGTATCGGATGACCTGACTGTTGCTGGACGTTATAAATAGGGTCTTCGCTGTACTGCGCCGGCACGACCCGCAGAAGTCTAGACGCTGGCAGGAAAGGATCCTTCTGAGGAAAGGCTTTATCCGACGACAGGGGTTGAAGGATATTTGTAGACGCAGGGATCAATGAAGGAAGATAATCATCGTCACGGGACTCTCGTTGTCGACCCTCAGATGGGTTAAGGCTAACGGATGCAATGAAAAGAAGCGAAGGGTGCTGAATGCGTATGCGAGGGCGTTCTGGCACGGTTAGTGAAAAGCCTAGTAGAACCTGGACACGGCGACCCTTACTTAGAAATGCTTCAATTCCCCATATCACGTAGACGTGATTACCACTTCCTGCCTCTCCTTCAAATTCATTTACCACGACCAGCGGTTCTTCGTCTCTATCCACAACCCCTGAAAAAATAAGGTCTCTAGTAGGCGTTGGGTTTTCGGCGACTGTTTCAGCTGGGTCAATGGCGAAAACATCGAGCTTCACTTCAAGGTGTTGAAGATGGTGTTTCAGGCTCGCCTGCGAGCAATTGGAGAGTCTCAGGACGATGCGGGCGGTGCAGAACTCATCTGTTTCATACTATCTATGAGTTTAAGAGACAGCTCGATTAGGACACCAGGTATTTGCGTACCGAAGAATAGGAGTGAGCGTTGAGGTATGAAAGATAGAACAGACGATATATCATCTGCTCCCCCTTCCAAGGCAGACGTCAGCGCTGCCTCGAGATCTATATCTGAAGCATGCGGGACAACTGTATCTAGCACAGAATGTCTCAGAAACTCCCCAGGGACTTCGAGACTCGGCATTGTGAGAAGAACTATCGCATACTCAATTATCACTTAGCGGTAACAAGTGGCATGTAAAAAAACAAAAAGTTGAGGGCTTACTACCCAATGTATTCCCGTCAATGAGCATTTAATTTGGGAAAGAGTTTCGAGAGTTGGCGGAGATGATGCTCGGCGTATGGGGGTGCATATGCAAACAGTGCAAACACTCTCCATGAATCGACGGCTTCTTTTTCGAAGCTCCGCGTGTCCCAACTGAGCGACAGCACTTGTTCCTCAAGGACGTTCCCGCAACCACGATGAATCCAATGAATGGCCCAGGGGCGCCTCCTCTTTGGCAGGAGGCTCGAAATGCTGAAGGGAGGGTATACTATTACAATGTTCAGACAAAAGCCACGCAATGGGCTAAGCCTGTCGAGTTGATGACTCCCGTCGAGGTACGGTTTCCGCCATAAGCTCTGTCTATATTTACTAATTTCCTCTCTTCCTGTAGCGAGCTTTGGCGAATCAACCATGGAAAGAATATACTACTGAGGGTGGCCGAAAGTATTGGTACAATACGGAGACCAAGCAAAGCACTTGGGAGATACCAGATGTCTATAAAAACGCCTTGGCGCAAGCCCAAGCAGCCCAACCTCCACCCGCAGCGTAAGTCTTCTGCGCTCAGAAATTATTTTCCCCGCTTCTTTATACTGATATACGCGCATAGGGCTCCGACATTTGTCGCAGGCGGAGTCAGCTCGTTTTCCTCTTATCCACAGCAGCGTGAACGCGAAGACTACGACCGAGGATATGGCGATAGGCGTGGTGGATATGGCTCGGTTGATGCTAATGGACTCGCGGCTGCTTCTATGCTGGGAACACCTGCGGAGCCAGAATACGGCTCGCTCGAAGAGGCGGAAAGTGCGTTCATGAAGATGCTTAAACGCCATAATATACAACCAGACTGGACTTGGGAACAGACTATACGCGCGACGATTAAGGATCCTCAATACCGTGCTCTGAAAGATCCTAGAGACCGCAAGGCAGCCTTTGAAAAATATGCGGTCGAGGTTCGCATGCAGGAAAAGGATCGGGCGAAAGAAAGATTCGCTAAGCTTAGAGCAGATTTCAATACCATGCTGAAGCGCCATCCTGAAATTAAGCATTACAGTCGCTGGAAGACCATCCGGCCGATCATTGAAGGTGAGACCATCTTCAGGTCTACAGACGATGAAAGTGAGAGGCGTCAACTCTTCGACGAGTATGTCCTCGAGCTCAAGAAGGAGCACGCCGAACAGGAATCCGTCAAGCGTAAAGCTGCAATGGATGAGCTGGTCAACATACTGAAGTCGCTCGATCTCGAGCCGTACACACGTTGGTCTGAAGCACAGGCCATTATTCAGTCAAATGACCAAGTTCAAAGTGACGATAAGTTCAAATCCCTCAGCAAGTCTGACTTTTTGACTGCCTTTGAGAACCATATTAAGGCTCTTGAGCGGACATTCAATGATGCGCGCCAACAACAGAAAGCTGCCAAGGCAAGAAAAGAGCGCCACGCTCGTGAGCAGTTCATTGAACTATTGAAAGAACTGAGGTCCCAGGGCAAGATTAAGGCCGGCAGCAAATTCATGAACATCTACCCATTGATCAAAGAAGACCCACGCTACCTTGGAATCTTGGGCAACTCGGGGTCATCTCCCCTAGACCTTTTCTGGGATGTGGTCGAGGAAGAAGAGCGGTCACTTCGGGGCCCGCGTAATGATGTTTTGGATGTCCTTGATGTAAGTGTTGAATAACCTGTTAGTTCATTTGCCTGCTAACACCTTTCCGTAGGACAAACGTTTCGAGGTTACGCCCAAGACTACCTTTGAGGAATTTCATAACGTTGTCCTTGCTGATCGTCGCACAGCAAATCTTGATCAAGAAATTCTTCAACTTCTCTTCCAGCGCATTCAAGATAAGGCTATCCGAAGGACTGAAGAGGAGAAGCATGCAGCCGACCGTCATCAGCGCCGTGCGATCGATGCCTTGCGCTCACGGATGAAACGCCTAGAGCCCCCTATCCGGCCAACAGATACTTGGGATCAAGTGCGTCCGAGAGTAGAAAAATATGAGGAGTATAAGGCCATCGAATCGGACGAACTTCGACAAGCTGCCTTTGACAAGGTCATTCGCCGCCTGAAAGAAAAAGAAGAGGATGCTGATCGGGACCGTGACCGAGATCGTGGTAGCCGGCGCGATCATTATGACCGCAGTGACCGTGATCATCGTAGCTACAGAGGTGAGCGCAGAGGAGCTTCCAGCCGTCATAGCCGTACTCCTGAGCCCGATGCCTACGAAGCTGATCGGCGTAAAGCCCAGGCCGACCGGGAGCGTTCTTACCGGAAAGCCAGTGGGCTTTCGCCAGTGCGAGAGAGACGAGAGGAACGTGATCGAGACAGGGACCGCGATAGAGAGCGCTACCGCGAGCGTGACCGTGATTGGGATCGGGAACGAAGCACTCGTTCCCTCAGCCACTATGACCGCGAACGCCGCGATCGGGAAGAAGAGCGTGAAAGGCTGTATCGCACTCGCGGAGATCCACGGGGCAATCGAGATGAGCTTGACTACGGTGCTGACACTCGAAGCACCGTCAGCAATGACCGTCGGCGCAGGCGCGATAGCGACACAGAAAGCGTTGCCAGTCGGTCTGCTAAACGCTATCGCCGTGACAGTCGTGAGCGAGAGCGCAGTGGAGGTGCCAAGCGCGATAAGGACCGTCGCGAACGCACCCCGGCTGTAGAGGAAGCAAAGAAGGAGGAGAAGGCCGTTCATTCAGGTAGTGAAGAAGGAGAGATTGAAGAAGATTAGGCATTATAGTGGGATGAATATGCAATTAGGAAGTCAATACATGGATGTAAAACGAACAAAGAGAACCACCTGGCCGGGGCGAGATGTTAATCCCACCTTGTAGTTAGGACCTATTTCAATGTATACTCATGGTTATACATATCTTGTGTATTCTTGAGCCCTACATGGAGTACCTAGTAAGCGCTCTCACTGGGTGTAACAGGTCCCAAGTAACCTATAACAATCTATTCAACTGTCAGTATCTTACAAACATCTCAGTACTATCATGTAATCTAGCAGGGTCTAGTGTCTACTAGAATACTGCAATCGACACATGACCCAGCTGTTCCTTATAGTGAACTCGAGCCCTAAACACCCTAACTAAAGGAGAAGCAAATTGCAATTGCTCAAACACATAATAGTATTTAGCAGCTACTCAACGTACATAAGTTTCCTACCATATAACATAAACACCGCCAATATACTTATAAATGAACATAGGTTAGCCTCGAGTCTAATAATAAACTTAGTGGGCTGTAAGTTTAAGTGTATCCGGGGCTATATCGGACATAAGAGCAGGTTCTGGTATCTGGGTCAGCCCCTGTTTCTAGCTTCAGATCGGCTAACTAATAGCACCACAGTGGGCTTTCCTGAAAGTAAATCGAAAATCAACAAACAATCATCGCAGACCGAATACACGCGCCCTTTCAGCTTCCCACGGAGCCATAGCAGCGTAGATGACCACGCTCATCAACCGTTATCACTCCAACTATACCATGCCAAGTCAGTAAAGAAGCAGAAGCAATCCCAGACTCATTCGGAAATACTTACATACCCCGAAGATCCTAGTACTCAGCCTTATATCACGCTCAGGAGCAACCGTGACCAAATCCTTCTCGGGCACATTCTTGCACCAACAGTCGATTTCACTAGTATGCAACCGGTACCAGCATGAGTAACATCCACCTTTGCGAAATCCGTTCCCACTCGGACTATCAGCTCTTTCGTAGAGCTATAAGAAAAGGCCTATACATATACTATTCCTCTCCGATTAAGAGCTCCCCACCTTCCGCGCTCCAGCCAATACAGTGTCCCAAAGGCAGAGTTGTATTGCGGTATTCTCCAGTCCCAGGAACTTGGCACACCGCGGTTAGGAGCGGGTTTGGTAACTCTAGTCGTTTTCCAGGACGGTGTAGAGCATGTGTGCCGGATCGTGCATCTGTTTCAGTATCTGTTCCTACATATGTTTCTGTGTCTGTTGCTGCATTTATTACTACCGGTGCCAGTGGGCTTGTCGCACGTTGCCATTCGGTTGTCAATAACCCATCCAGGATTGGAAATATCGCACTGAAGGTGCAAGCGCTCTGCCAATTCCTTCGGATCAGGGGGTTTTGAGAGATCAGGAGCCCTGAGTACGCCTTGACTATCTGCCAGGGACGATACGTATAAGACAATGAATGATAAGCGAGATCAGATACATTTCGGTGGGACTAGAGTGAAAGAAACGGGTGATAATGTTGAAAGAAGAGAGCAAAAAGAATAAATTTTTCTACTGGAGCCTCAGGCAGGCTTTTATGGTTTTTATCCTGCTCTAGATGAATTAGACTAGTAGGTAGTACATCAATGTAGATATTAGGACGGCTTCGGACAACCAGTAAACTCGGGTACAAGTCTATACCTCATGCTTTTAATACAGTGCTGCTCACGTAGAAATGCCGCATTCTAGACCAGAGATTCAGAGGTAACGTTGAAAAGAAAAATCTTGGCTTCTGTGTGTATAGCTTCGAGATTGGATTACTAGCACCCGCAGATGTCTCATGCTCTAATATAATTAGGGCAGCGTAAATGACCATTTTCGAGCTTAAATATAGCTATATAGCCTCAGCTTATTAGGGGAGCGATCAGATGATTGTTGAATTTAATACTCACACTTATCGAAACGTCCTATTACATCCGGATGACCAAGCGAGTTACTCCGGGATGTTGAGTCCTCCGGAGACATTTTTGAGCACAAACATCGAATTGAATAGATCTCGAGATGCCCACTACTCTAGTATTCGCAATCAAAACAGTGACCTTTCATAAATCCATATCCCCTAAGACTATTGGTTACCACCCACACCATAGCATGCAAAGGAAATAAACAGCTACAATAAGTAACTGTACATACTGCGTTTGTGCGAATAAGGATGCTCGTTCTCTTTTGGGATTCAAGGCAATAATAACTAACCCCTGATATATTTTTACTGGACACAAGGGGACAAGGCGAATAGCACTGGAAAAGGGCGAAAATAACAAGAGCAAAGAATTCTACTAGGGCCTCAGGTAGGCTCTTTATACCTAAAAACACATTTAATCATTCCTTTTCAGACCTAACAAGTCTAGGGTACTGAGCAATCGTTTCGAAAGCAGTCAATAGCTAGACAGATGTAATCTAAATATAGGGTAGTGTATTGAGATCTGAAGTTTAACTGGTCAAACGGACGGGTGGGCATTGGATGCAAAACTTTACAGTTATATATACGGACATATCGCTTATTCCTAGTATGAGAATGTTTCATCGCGTTCATACAATATCGGCCCAGTAGAACTTTCTGAGCCTATTTGAAGAATTCAAACTTAAGCAATCAGCCTTACCATTGAATCAAAGATGGAGATGAACCTCTAAGCCCCGGATTCGCGAATTATAGCCCTTGATTCCAATAATCGGAACAACTTTCCCAGGGACTCCTCGAGTTCTTACCACCTCTCGTTCTCTTTGGCTGCCAGGAGCGCAGCTGGACTGTGGCTAGGATATTCGTCTATTCCCAACCTTCTACAAACGCAATGCAATATACATTCCATGAACTTCTCTAGGTACCGTTATTCGTGGTCTCGTGCGCCAAACACACTAGACAATCCAATTTCTTTATTCCACGACCCAAGAAAGATATCCCTGGAACCAATCGGTTCGCTCGCAGTCCTGACATTTGTAGACTCAAATCAGCCATGACTGGCGGCCACCATCGAGCCCACGTCCCCAACCAAGGAAAGAGTAATTATACAGAAAGGAAAGAGGGTTAGATTCCGTACGGCATGAGAATCTGAGCCAGGTGGAGGTGTGAAAGCCCTACAGGTGTGGGGAGCGAGGACGACCTACTCGTGCATCTCTGGAGGGGATACAGGGCGAATCCTGTTGTAAAGCCTTGGGCCTCGATTGTTATTCATTGAAAGATTCGTCCCCATTTATCCCCGTTCTTTGTTTCGGCCGACGAGCTAGAAACCATTGAGTCTGTCCCCAGTGCTCGGGCCAAGATCGTACGGTACAGTGTGCTGCTGCTGCTGCTGCTGCCGCATGGTTAGGACTGTCGTAGGGCTGGTGCTAATAAGGATGGATGTTGATCAATGGAGTGCAGTACTGGGTACTATGTACTGGGGTTAGCGTACCGAACAGGGCAAGATTCCTCTTTCTGCGGCTGTAGTTCGGAAGCGCTAGTGCCATGGCTGGCGTGGAGACTCCAGGAGCAAGACGTGGAGTGCTGAGGGATGGGACACAGGATCTGGGAGAAAATTATAAAGAGAATGTCAGCAATGAGAGACGGTATTCATGCCAGTGTGTGATGCTAAGGACACGCCTTTCACCTAATGAAATTAGTAGTTTGAAAGCTTTCCTGATCAGACTTAATTATACCAAGAATAAATGTTTTGCATTAGAAAATTACCTGATTGGAATAAACATAAGACCTGCTATCATCATATGACCGTACCAGTAATACGCTACTTAAAGTCGTGGACACTGACTGGCTAATATTTTCAATTAGAATAGTACATATATATATATATCTCAAACAATATAGCTTGAATGGAACGATAGGAGCACTAATATATGAGCTGAAACATGGACAAGAGCTGTATACTGCCATGTGCCTAAAAATGCATATCTATACTTGTATAAATGTATAGCACTGCATCTCCCAGACACGATGAGGGTGGACTGGGTCGTCGCTTGGCATTTTTGTTTTCATACATGCTAAAGTAGAAACCACCGAGGTTGACTACTGCAATACAAATCAAGTATATATATGTAGCAAGGCTTCTCGTACAAAGCAAATGATATGAACTATGGTCAGCTACCTTGACCTATATCCAGTCCTGACTCATCTACATGCCGGTCGACTGACCATCTATACCATAAAATCATCAAAACTTTTGACAATCTTAACTCCGCATAATCACGCCATCCAAAAACCATTACCCAAAATACCCCCCCATTTGAACTAGGGCCCTATACCTTCAGTTACGAACATGGGTGAAGATAAAAGAAGATTGAGCGGACAGAGGTGTGGGTGTGGGTGTGAGAAAGGGTTAGCGATGGGAGACAACCGGACGCAGCAAAGCGGACTGGAACAGGCGAACCACCAGCCCTAGTCATTGTTGTCTTCCTCATCGTCCTCCTCTGAAGCACCATCCATATCACCAAGAGGGCACACACCACGGGGACGGCGCCGCCTAGTTTGAGTTGAAGCCTTGGTAACGCCGAAAAACGCCACTAACCGAAGGTCCCTCCGTTTCCCGCGACGTCGATCTTGCCGCTGGTGGGAATCGCGATCATCATTCTTGTTACGATGGCCGCGGTCACGCTTCCCTGGGACAACCTTTTCAATTCTCTCCCTCCAAGAAGAACTAGAAAATTAGCGTCAGCATATAGTTCTATAGCAACGTCATTCAAGATACTTACGTAGTTGCCGCTCAGCTTCTGCTCCTGGTCCATTTGACTTTGGTACTTGTTGATACGAGGGCGGTAACTGTTGGGGTCACGACGGAAGGTAACATCCAAGTTACGCAGGAAAGTGTTGCAGCCAGTGACTAGAGACTCGGGAGCGTTGGCGTGTGCGTCAATAGAGGGCTTGCCGTCGAAAACAATAACCTTGTCAGCAAGATAAGTAGCCATGATAAAATCGTGCTCGACAATGAAAGCGGTCTTCTTGGTGTGCATAATGAAACGCTTGATAACTCTGGCGGCCACGATACGCTGCTCGGAATCAAGATAAGCACTAGGCTCGTCGATCAGGTAAATGTCAGCGGGCATTCCGAGCGCCAGGACGATGGCGACACGCTGCAATTCACCACCAGACAGGTTCTGAACTTCCTGGTCGATGAAATCGTCCATCTTGAGAGGCTTGTAAACATCGGTCTGGAACTGCGGCGACAAGAAAGCAGCCTTGATACGCTTGAAGAACAGCTGACGGACAGTGCCTTGGAACTTAGGGGTGATCTTTTGAGGCTTCATGCTGATGTTCAACTTAGGCACCGAGATATCGTTATCGGGCTTTTCGGCGCCAGCGAGCATCTTACAGAAGGTGGTCTTGCCAGTACCATTCTCTCCCATCATGACGACAATTTCGGAATCCGTGAACCTACCCCCATCAACCTTCAGGTGGAAGTTACCAAGGGTCTTCTCCATACTAGGGTAGCTGAAAGAACGGCCCTTGTCAACAAGGAATTCATCACCTGTTTCGGCGAGACGGAAGGTGAGAGATTCGTCTCGGAAACGCAGGTTCTCGGTTGGGATATGACCATCCAAAAAGATATTGATACCTTCACGAACGGAAGCAGGCAATGTAACAACACCATAAACAGCGGGTCTTCCATAAAGCAAACAAACAAAATCGGAAAGGTAGTCAAGGACGGCCAAATCGTGCTCAACAACAATAACATAGTCATCGGGTCGTAGGAGCTCTCGGATGGTACGGGCGGCAGCGAGACGCTGCTTAACATCAAGATAAGAAGACGGTTCGTCAAACATGTAACTGTGACAGTGTCAGAACTAGTGCCAGAAGCTATAATCGGGCAAGTATAGATATCTTACACATCGGCCTTTTGAACGCAGACCAGACCGATGGCGAATCGCTGAAGCTCTCCTCCGGAAAGATGGTCAATATCACGATCGCGAACTTGCCGAAGCTCTGTAGAAAAGTTTAGTTAGCGAACACAAGAGCTTGAGAGAGTAGATTCCACATACCAAGTACATCGAGGATGTGCTCCATGTTGTCCAGCTGGGCACGAGCTTTAATGAGCTCGCCCACATTCTTGACCGGACCCTTCACTGCTCTAGGGATCTGGTCGACATACTGAGGCTTCACAACGGCCTTCAGGTTATCTTCCAGCACCTTCGTGAAATAGTCTACATAACTTTAGCAACCATTGTATTCTTTGCCCGGCTCGGCCTCAGGGTGTATACGCACTCTGCAGTTCAGAACCACGGAAATACTTCAAAATTTCTTCCCAATCCGGTGGGTTGTCGTAGCGTCCAAGGTTAGGCTTCAGCTTTCCACTGAGAATCTTCAAAGCGGTACTCTTTCCGATACCGTTTGTGCCGACAAGACCGAGAACCTGTCCGGGGCGAGGCATGGGCAGACGGTGAAGCTTGAAACTGTTCGCAGAGTAACGGTGGGTGACCTGGGTTTCCAGGTTGGTCGGCAAGTTGATGATATTGATCGCACCGAAAGGACATTTCTTGGGACAGATACCGCAACCGATACAGAGGCGCTCGGATATGAAGGCAATCTTGGACTCCGGGGTGACTTCGATACAAAGCTTACCCGTACGGACGACGGGGCAAGACTTTTTACATTCCTGGCGACATTTCTGCGAAAGGAAAAAGTAAGCACCATTCATATATGGGAATATAGAGTAGTTGTGTATTCCGTACCTTCGGCTTGCACTGATTGATTGGAAGAAGCACGTGTGAGTAAAAAAAGTCGTATACCTATATAGTCGACAGCGGGGTACTTCAAACTTACTTTGTCACTATTGACAATAGCAATTCTATGAAACAAAATTAATTAGAACGTTCTATCAAGCATGAATCCATTTAGCTCACAAAAAACATACCTGGTCAGCTTGTCAGACATGGTGCCTGTTCAGGTTGAATCGATGCGCAAATGAATAGGTGGATTGATGGCTGTATATATCAAATAAGTAAAAGCAAGAAACAATGTCCACAGTGGGGTGGCCTCTACCGGGCAGAAAAGTTCACACTGCTCCAGTCGTGCTGGCGGAAGGCAGAAGACACCAGATAACTGCGCAAGCGGATTGCCAGCAGGTAATAAAGACGAGGAAAGGACAGTGCTGGAAGGCCTCAAGGAAGAGGGGCTTGGAGAAGAAAACTATGTCAGGCATTGTGGGCAAGCGTGTGTGCCTTAGGCATGAATCATGACTACGTTATTTCTCCTGCCTATGATTGGTGAGTGGGGACCCCCCAAATTTTCTCCGGAATCTTAGTTGCTCCGGATCACCGGATCACGTGATGGAAGAATCTGTCAAGCCTATTGGAGCCTCGCTTGTGTTGGCGCTAAGCCACGCAGAGCATGGTGGGCTGTGACTGCCTGAAGGATCAGGCTGCGAGCCAATCCCTTCACGGGGACTCGCTCACCTCCAGCCGACGTACAACTCTCTTTCTACTCCCTCATTATATTCTCAGCGGCCTTCGATCATTTCTCGCCCTCTCCACCACCTCATCTCCCCGCCTCTCCCCCACAACTCTCCTTTTCCTTTTCACCATTATTTCCCTCAATTTATCCTGCCTTGGGGTCACCAAGCTATGGATTGTGAGTATTTTGTTCTTCTTTGCTAGCCTTTCAGACGTGTCCTGGTACTGTCGGCTGGGGTACTTCTCCACGGTCTCGACCCACCGAGAAACACAAGAATTCCTCTCCATATCCTGTGTTGAGGATTTCTAAATTCCTTTAGGTCAAGGTCTGGATGTATCTCTTCTCCTGGGTCTGGTTTTGCCTTTGATTTTGCTCCTGCATCTGCCATCCTCTCATCATCACTCTCCGTCGCGTTTCATCAGACCTTCCATCAAAAATAACCTCCGTGCATCATATCTTACGTACTACCTTATTCTGTTGACTTTTCAGCTTCTATTTATCGGAGACTGAGTCGCGTACTACTGTTTCATGCCACACTATATCTCTCGTTTCTCGCCGAGCCTACTATGAGCTTCAATGCTGATGTCTCTTCTCGTGTAGCTACTAGCATGGTGATCCCATCTACCTCCGAACCCTCGACCGCGATGGCCTTCACCAATGGTCATCCGGCCTCGCCTGCCTCCGACACTGGCAGCTTTAGGAACGAGGCCTTAGCTAGTGACAGCGGCAGCAATATGTTTGATTCTGTTGACAATCACGTCGTTTCCGACTCCTCACCAGATGGAGACGGCGCGGACGAGTCGTATAACGCCGGCTCCCCCGATGTGGAGGGGTATGAGGATGAATCTGCGATTGAGGACAACGTGAAGGACAGTAGCCAGTCCAGTAGCGAAAATTCTTCATCACCAGAAACCAACCGAGGGACGAAACGGAAATCACCCTCGGTCAACGAATCCGACTATATCAGACAGAATCCAGACCTGTACGGACTTCGCCGTAGTGGACGAGCTCGCACGACACGCCAGGTAGCCCAATCTCTTTCAGACTCTGATTCCGATGCAGTGGCACCTCGCTCAAAGCGTCGGCGTCCTGTAGCCTCCCAACAACCCTCTAAGCGCCCCTCCCGTTCCGCTACCCGGTCCTCATTCTCAGAAGAATCAGAGAGTTCTGAATCCGAATATGGTGGCGGACGTGCTCGCTCCGGCAAGTCGAAACGTCGACGACTGCAGGCAGCGGCAAACATACCTTCCCATGCCGAGGTTCGCTTCTCGACAAGAAACGCTGCTAGGGTGTCCACCTATAATGAGGACGATGATGACTCAATGTTTGAGGATGACCCGGATGACCAAATGCAGAATTACTGGGTGAGCACAGTGGAGGATGATCGTCCTGCTGTGGACGTTGTGCTCAACCATCGTCTCAAAGCAGATGTAGACTCTAGTAATACCGATCTCGATCGTCATGACTTCGAGTTCTACATAAAGTGGCAAGGCAAATCCCATTACCATGCAACATGGGAAACAGCCGAGTCTCTTGCAAACTGTCGCAGCACCCGCCGGCTTGACAATTACATCCGAAAGGTCCTGTATGAAGACATTCGTTTGAAGCAAGACGAGGATGTAGCTCCCGAAGACCGGGAAAAGTGGAACCTTGATCGCGAAAGAGACGTAGATGCCATTGAGGACTACAAGCAGGTTGAACGAGTCATTGCTATGCGAGAGGGCGACGAGGGAACTGAGTACCTCGTGAAATGGAAACGCCTTTTCTACGACTCGTGTACGTGGGAAAGCGAGGAGCTTGTTAGTGACATCGCTCAGCGCGAGATAGATCGCTTCTTAAATCGTTACTCTCGGCCTCCGGTCTCCGATAAGTCAGAGTCCAACCCTGCTAGCCGAAAGTCATTCGAAGCCATAAAGGGCACCCCAACCTTCTTGCGCAACGGCGAGTTGAAGGAATTTCAAGTCAAAGGCCTCAATTTCATGGCCTTCAACTGGGTCAAGAACCGCAATGTCGTTCTTGCCGACGAAATGGGCTTGGGTAAAACTGTACAGACCGTGTCCTTCATCAATTGGCTACGTCATGTTAGACGTCAACAAGGCCCTTTTGTGGTCGTCGTCCCCCTATCTACCATGCCATCCTGGGCAGAGACGTTCGATAACTGGACTCCCGACTTGAATTATGTTGTCTATAATGGCAATGAGGCTGCCCGGACGGTTTTACGAGAGCACGAGCTCATGATCGATGGGAACCCTCGGCGGCCAAAGTTCAACGTCCTCCTGACGACCTATGAATATGTTTTACTAGATTCTTCTTTCTTGAGCCAGTTCAAATGGCAATTTATGGCTATTGACGAAGCACACCGACTAAAGAATCGTGAATCTCAGCTGTATGCAAAGCTCCTTGAGTTTAGGGCTCCTGCCCGGCTCCTTATCACGGGTACTCCTATCCAGAACAACCTCGCAGAACTCTCTGCCCTTCTGGACTTCTTAAATCCTGGCTTGGTTGACATTGATGTGGACATGGATCTGAACGCGGAGGCTGCCTCACACAAGCTCGCGGAGCTGACGAAAGCCATACAACCTTTTATGCTTCGGCGAACGAAATCTAAGGTGGAATCAGATTTGCCTCCCAAAGTGGAAAAGATCATTCGAGTAGAGCTGTCAGACGTTCAGTTGGAGTATTACAAGAACATTCTTACTAAGAATTATGCTGCGCTAAACGAGGGCACCAAGGGCCAAAAACAATCTCTCTTGAACATTATGATGGAGCTGAAGAAAGCCAGTAATCATCCATTCATGTTTCCGAATGCCGAAGCGAAGATCTTAGAAGGCAGTACTCGCCGCGAAGACGTGTTGAGAGCTATGATCACCAGCAGTGGTAAGATGATGCTTCTTGACCAACTTCTGGCAAAGTTAAAACGTGACGGTCACCGCGTTCTAATTTTCAGCCAAATGGTTAAGATGCTTGACCTCCTTGGCGAGTATATGGAGTTCCGTGGCTATACATATCAACGGCTTGATGGAACGATTCCAGCGGCTTCTCGTCGCCTGGCCATTGAGCATTACAATGCTCCTGGTAGTAGTGATTTTGCCTTTATCCTCTCTACCCGAGCAGGTGGTCTCGGAATCAATCTCATGACTGCTGATACGGTTATTTTGTTCGACTCAGATTGGAATCCCCAGGCTGATCTCCAGGCCATGGCAAGAGCGCATCGTATTGGACAGACAAAGCCGGTTAGCGTGTATCGTCTAGTCTCCAAGGACACAGTAGAAGAGGAAGTGATTGAGAGAGCCCGAAACAAGCTTCTCTTAGAATTCATTACCATTCAACGTGGCGTCACCGACAAGGAGGCCTCAGAGATTCAAAACAAGATGGCCCGTAATGGGATATCTATCAGTGAACCGAACTCGACTGATGATATCTCGCGCATTCTCAAGCGTCGTGGCCAGAAGATGTTTGAGCAAACCGGTAATCAGGAGAAATTAGAGCAGCTCGACATCGACTCGGTGCTCGCAAACGCCGAACTGCACCAGACTGAACAAGCCGATGATATCCAGGCCGATGGCGGTGAGGAATTCCTAAAGGCTTTTGACTACGTTGACATCAAAGTTGATGATCTTACTTGGGATGATATTATCCCCAAGGAGCAGTTGGAGGAGATCAAAGCAGAGGAGAAAAAGAAAGCCGATGAGCGCTACCTAGCTGAAGTTATCGAGCAAAACCGGCCTCGTAAGCGTAATGTGCCTGGTGATGAACGGGATTCTCGCGAAGAACGGAAAGCGAAGAGACAAGCGAGGGCCCAAGTCGCCATTGACGACGGAGATGAATCTGATGCAAACCCACAGTTGGATCCCAAACGACCACTTATTGAGAAGGAATATCGTCACCTGTTACGTGCCTTTTTGCGTTATGGCGATATTGATGATCGTGAAGAGGATGTCATTCGCGAGGCGCGTCTTCTAGAACGTGACAGGGAAACCGTCAAGACCTCCCTTCGTGAGATCACACAAAAGGCTGCCTCTCTTGTTCGTGAGGATATTGAGAAGATGGAGGCTCTGGAAAATGCCGGCAAAATGCCTACGAAGAAGGAGAAAAAAGCCGTTCTATTTGATCTACATGGTGTTAAGCGTCTCAATGCATACACCATTGTTGAACGCCCTACTGAGATGCGCATTCTGAAGGAAGCGACAAGCGCGGTGTCTGATTTCAAGAACTTTCGGATACCCGAGGCTACTAAAGCGGCTGACTACTCCTGCCCATGGGGTGCCCGAGAAGATGGGATGCTCTGCATTGGTATCACGCGTCACGGCTATGGTGCCTGGGCCCAGATCCGAGATGATCCTGATCTTGCCCTCGGGGACAAATTCTTCCTTGAGGAGCATCGAGTTGAACGAAAGAACGAGCGCTTAAATGCCGAAGATAAATCTACTAAATCTCCAGGCGCTGTTCACCTCGTGCGCCGCGCGGACTATTTGTTATCCGTTCTCAAAGACAAAGCCACCAATGGAGCAAGTCTCAATGCCAAGAGGGCTGTTGACAATCATCACCGTAACAACCGTAAAGGTTCTCGTCCCCATGCCAGCGCCAGCGTTTCAGCTTCGCCAGCACCTTCAATCTCTCGCAAGGGCCATCGTGAAGTGGATCGATCAAGGCACCGTTCTCATACCCATGGGGCTCGAGATAGCGTTGAACGCCATCACACCCCGGGCTATGACTCCCGACCAAGGTCTATACATGAGAGCGAACGTGCCCGCAATAGAACGTCCGACGCCTCGAGTGAGGATGTTCGTCGCCGGAAAAATAGCGAGAACGGTTATTCTGCAGGAAAGGAGGACGTCGCACGCCTCTTCTTCAAGCCCATCCGTGACGATTTGAGGAAAGTGTCAGCAGTTACGAAGGAGAATTTCCCGCAAAAAGCAGAGCGTGCCTCTGAGTTACGGCGTCTCCTTCGTAAGATCGGTGATTTTATAGATGGTACTTTGAAGGGACAAGATTCTATGCATTCCTTAGAGACTCGGTTATGGTTTGTGTTTCTCACCTATTGTGCCGATATCTCTTACTGACTCAGTTGGCAGGCATTTTGTTGCGGATAACCATTGGCCTAACAAAGAAGCTGGAGGAGCCAAACTCCAAGAAATGTATCGAAAATTGATGGCTGCTCAGAAAGCTGCAGCTGTCGTCGCCCCAGCGTCCAATGGAGTCTAGACTTGGTGGTGCTTGTTCTGTGCAGTCAGCCGGCACAAAAAAAAAAAAAAAGATCAGTCACTTTGATTCTGTGATGTGTTTGTTTTGATTTTCTTTCTTCATCCGCGGTAAATATGCATCATTGGGAAAGCATGGCGACGGCGTCTGGTATGATATATGAAGGAGTGTTGAGCATGAGTGGACCTGATATGATGTTCCATGATATATTCTGGCTTTTATGTTTCACATTTATTCCTGTCCTGCAATTGGAGCAATGGGCCTGTTATGTTCGCATATCTGTTTCCTTAGCCTGGTCCCCCTTTTCGTGGAGTGACAGCTTTGATTCTTATTAGCTTTTCGTTTCCGTCTCTTTTCGTTGTATTCCACAACACCCCCCTTCTCGGTGATGGGCCCTGCGGTTATGGTGTTCTCATCGTTTCATGTATCTTATTGGCGGTGCTATTCCGGAGTTTGATTTCTGCTTTGGATCATTTATCTCTTCTGGGAGACGTATTAAGATATCATTAGAAGTTTCGTCTTATCTCTTTTTTACTTACTCGAGGTCGTGATCGAAAATATCGGCGGCTTTGAATCTATGCATAACCCTTTCGTCATCTATGTTAACAAAAAAAAAAACAAGATTCAACATTCCAATCCATTCAGTACTGTAAATTGTAGCGATAGTCAACTGATCTTCCAAGGTCGTAACGGAGGGTAGTTCTAGGCTCTAGGAACCATGGCATCAATTCTGGCTTCCACCGGTTGTACCTACTGCACCATGACAAAAAGCTTGGACGTATATCTATGTAACACTGTAGGAAGATATAGAAGAAGAAACGAAAAGTAAAGATCGAAAATTCCTATTCCGTAAAAGTACAAACTGACAAACTCAATAGCAGTGTTGCCGAAAAATAGAGATAAATCAACCCGTGACTGAGAACCGTGCTCCAAAAAATTGTAGAAAAAGAAAAGACAAAGGTGATCCGACTAGGTATCTTGGCTCGTAAAAGTTATACCCATAGAAGACATGGGCAAGGATATAGAGAGAGAAGAAAGGTATAGGAGGAAGGGGGTGAAAGAGGGGTAAAAGGAAGTAAAGGCGACAAGAGGCCGAAAAGGTAGGTTGGTCGACTTAAAAAGTAAGAGTAGTCGATTTGAGCCCCTCATACAGCGACGGACTCTATTTCGGGCTTCATCTCCGTATCTGCTGGTTCGGAGTGCTTATTTACTCCGTTCGTGACGGCGGACGACGATACATTGTCGCTGCTCATCAGGAGGCTGAATAACCGGAGTTCAGCATCGCACACGTCCTCGATGATGGTCTCCTTCTCTAGGAACGCATGCTTCCTCTTTGGCTTGATCCTTTCCCAATCATCGCGTAGATCTACACCTTCTTTCTCTGCCCAGTGGATTTGTCGACGGAGTAGTCGATACAGCTGTTGCGGTGGAAGCGAGAGCTCATGATCATCGAAGCCGAGCTCTGGACTGAACTCGGGAATCTCGAACTCGTCAAGGTCCTCCGGGTCGCCATTAACACTTTCACTATACTGCTCTGGATCCTCTTTGGGCGGATGCGAAAGTTTCAATTTGATGCGCTGGAGCTTGCTAGCCGGGGTCCCGGCAGGGGTCCCCATGGCGGAGGGCGGATTGTGATGCTTCGGTACAGGATCGGAGGGTCGAAGGGCTTCCGTCTCGTGGACTGTTCTCATATGTTTGGCGAGGGCGTCTGAACGGGTGAAACTGCGATCGCATTCTGTCGCAAGTTAGGGTTTTTTTTCTCTTCTATTTTTGCTTTGCCCTTTACGAACCCCCACACCGGGATTCTGGGACCATAAACTCCTGCCAGAAAGAAAAGAAAAAAAAGACTCACCAGGTAGCGCACAGTAAAAGGGCTTTTCTCTCGTATGGCTCCTCATATGCGCGCGCAATGCGTATCCGCTTGCATGCGTTTGACCTTTTCGAGTGCAATCGGACCACTCGCAGGAGTATTTCTTCTGCCGGCTGCCGACGTGCTCGTTGTGAATGTGTTGCACCAGATCGTCCATGTTCCCTAGATCTCCTACATCGCATCCTTCCCATCGGCATACGGTCACCTGGTCATTACCTTGGCCGCTGTAGTCGTCGTCCTGGCTGCCTCCGATAAGAGCCAGAGTACTAGGGGAGTTGGGGATGTCTCCCGAGGTGTCAGAAGAGATGGAACTAGACGGGGAGGCCGGAGGGATTTCATCTTGGAAGGTTGTTGAGACTGGGGTATTGCGATCCCAGGATGAGACGCCGCCAGTGCGGCGACGTTTTGAAGGAGGCATATTGGAAGCCGGGGGAGAGAAGCCCTGCTTCAGTTCCTCGCGGTCCGACATGTCGTCGGAAGCGATGGAAGAAAGAGGGGAACCCGGAGACTCGGTCATTGGGAGAGCGGAGAAGGGACAATAGGGGAGGATTGAGTGAAGTCAATTGTTAGATAGGACCTGACACTGGGGGTCTTGCGGCGACACAAAGCATCAATCTGCTAAGGCTAGGGCGATCGAGTATACAGCCGGAGCACGTGACGAGGCTATTGCGGACGGAGAAAAAAAAACCCCCCACGCCGCCAATTCCTTTTCTTCTTCCTTTCCTTTTTTTTCCCTCACGGTGGACAACCGTTCATGCCCTCGGGCCATTGTCTTGGAAATGAATGATTTTAGCCTCGGACAGTTACTGATCACGACCAGATTCGCTCCTATTATACGCATATTATGCACCATAGCTGACTTGATCCGGAGCAACTCGATTTCTAACTGATGGTAAGTAGACTAACCGCATAGTCTTCGAAACCCTTTTTTATGATGAATGAATCAAGAATTCTGCAATTCCGACAGCCTCCTCAGTCCACTGTTGCGAGGTTGCATGTTGACATTTCTACACTTGATCTGACTCCTTTCAATCTGCTCAATTGAATGTTCATATCCAGTCGTCGCAGTCAACAGAGCGCTAACCATAGCAGACTCCTCTAGGTTACCAAACAGCTATCTATTAATTTCTTGATTTACCAACTCGCATTGATTCTCTCTATTATCTACTTATATATGGAGTATAATGTTTTAGATTGAAACGGTTGCGCTCGTAATAGAGCATCTTTGAAACTCAAACCTTCCATTTCCGTACATTCTCAGTACCGAGCACCGAAAACCTCATTCTGCTTCAGGATTGCGTCAATCTCAGCCATCTCTGCATCAGTCAAACGAGGCGATTGCAAATTCTGCGTGACCTTGGCGCTCGTCGTGCCACCGGGGATGGGGATAATCGTAGGCATGTCAGGCCTGTCGCTGAGGGTGAGGACCCAGGCGATTGCGATCTGGACTGGCGCAACGCCCTTCCGAGAGGCCAGGTCATTCACCTCATTTACCAACTTGATGTTCTGCTTCATTGCGTCATCCTGGAACTTGGGCAATGTCCTGCGGAAATCGCCTTCAGGAATATCAGCAGCCTTAGTAAAAGCGCCAGCCAAGACACCCCGTCCTAAGGGCGAGTACGCCACAATGGGGATATTGAGCTCCGCGCACACTTTCGCGACATCGTTCTGCAGAATAGTGATGTCAAACAACGATAGCTCAACCTCCACGGCAGCGATCGGGTGCACCTTGTGTCTGTAAATAGTTACGTCAGCATCAACCGTAGTCTCCATAAACAACCAACCCCTAATAAAAGAAAAAGAAAGAGAAAGAGAAAAGAAACATACGCCCTCCGAATAGTCTCCGCATCAACCTCGCTCAACCCAATCGCCCCAATCTTCCCCTCCTCCACCAACCGCGCAAGCACCCCAACCGTCTGCTCAACCGTAGTCGTAGGATCTTGCCTCGCGCACTCAAAGATATCAATCTTCTTCCTCCCCCCAAGCAACCGAAGACACTCATCCACACTGCGCCGAATATTTGCCTCCGAGCCATCCGGCGTCAGTTCCCCGCGCTTCAGCCCACCCTTGATGCTCAGGACAACTTTCTCCGCATTCTCCGGGTACCGGGCGAAATACTGGCTAAGCAGATGCAGGGAGTTGTACTCAGGGGTACCGTAGAGTTCGCCCGCGTTCCAGAAATTGGAGCCAGCTGCGAGGGCGGTGTTCAGGGCTTCGAAGCATTGTTCTTGTGGGGGTGGTTGGGGTACCCAGGTCATTCCTGCATGATGTTGGCTTCTTTTATTTTGCTTTTGCGGATTACGCATGCGCCTAGGGGAATAATGAACAGGGGACAGGGGGTGAAGAAAAGGCAAAAGAAGAAAGCAATTTAGTGAAGAACTCGGATTTCGGGTTATGTAGCAAATAAAGCCAAAAGTAAAATAACTGAAGAATGGAGATTTAGTACATACTCATCAATCCATAGCCAGTATGGCCGACGTCCCGTCCAACAAGTGAAGGCATGATTGGTATCGAGAGCTTATTTTTTTTTCTATATAAAATATTGAATTAAAAAGGTTCAAGACGTGCGCAAGCCTCACAATTCGAACACGACGTTTAGGTTAAACAGAGGTAAAGAAGTAAATGGATTGAGGGGTGTGAAGGCAAATTTATCTCCACATGAGGGTCCATTTGGTTGGCGGTACACACTACGGAAGCATCATATCAAGCTCATCACCATCTCCCGAATTGGTTCTCGGCCCCATCTGCCCGCTTCGGAGATCGAGGAAGTCGGCCATACTGCGGGATTCCTTCTGTCAGTAGTCTGGAGTAATTGCGGTGATCGGATGGGTGAGTTGACGCTGTTTTACTATGGTACGGATTTAAGGCGGATTTATTTGCTTATGCCGATCAATGAGACCGGGTTTTACTGCTGCGGATACCGAGGCTTACTTGAACTTCATTGGTATTGTTGGATTCCTACCAGTATCTCGGGCTTTTCGCTATTATCCATCCCGTCGTCAATCATTATACCGCTGATATAGTCGTACGAGAATACAAGTGCTCGACCCAACATATAATCAAAACACAGAGAAAAGGGGACCGTAAAAAGGAGAACAGCTTCGAGACGTAGAAGGAAAGACATGAGAGAGACAATAGATCAAGACAAACCAAGCATACTCACTCACAGCAAGTCACCTCCACGCTACAAACCAAGTCTACCCCTAGGACAAAGTGTGCTCATCGCTGCTGTGCACTGCTTCCTTAAACCTACTTGCCAACAAGGTGAACAAATCGCTCACAAAAGCAGAGGGGTCGTCTGCTGGATTTGACAGCTCGCTTTCGTTTGTTTGCTTTTTGCCGTGGCTATCTGAGTATACAATATTGTTGTTCTGCGGTTCGTTGGCAGTCGCAGTGCTATCCCCCTCATCAAATTTTTGTTCATCCTTCCAGTGGTTGAGCTTGGCCAGATTATCCATCCCCATGCTTTTGAAGATGTCATCGACTAGGTTGCTGGTGCCAGGCACCATTCTCTACTGAACAGTCAGTGAGTCTCTTTAAAGCTGATGGAGAGTGTTTGTGTGACGCACTGGATCTGGACTGCGCGCATGCAACGGCCCAGGTCTGGATGTCTCCAAAATAGGGTACGAGAGGCTGATAGATGCAAAAATCAGGAGGGCCAGTACCAGCAGGCAAGCTAGGGATGGTGGCTTAGCGAGTAACGTCATGCTTGGTGGTTCTGAACGGATCGATAATACTCCGTATATAATTTGGATGTGTCAAGAGGAAGAAGCTGATGGGAAACTTCTAGCTCAGAGGAACTCAAATCAATGATGTGAAGTCACCAGAGAAATGGCCCTAGAGATTATCGACTGCTAGATATACCCTTCGGTTGATTCCCTATCGCTCCCTGGCGGTTGCTTGGCCGCCGTGTGGAATGGGGGCAGCCGGAACACTGTCGCTCGCCGCCAAATGGGGCATACCTTATTTGACCCGGCAGTCGTAGATAACATTCTACATGCCAGAGTCACTCGAGTCGCGTAAGTCCTCAGCGAAGCCATTGTATGTCTCATGGATCCAGGCGGGCCATACATTCTCAGCCTGAAGTGATTGTCTCTGATTAGCCATAGTGACCAATAGGACACCCTCCTCTCCATATGTGAATGAAGAATATCCGACACTGTCTATTAGCGGATGTTCATGCTAATGGCAGGACGTAGCGAAAAAGACGGGGGTGCGTTAACAAGGGGTGGTACGTTTCTGCATTCCAATAAACGGGAGGCATTCTAGCACAAAACTTTATGACTATTAGCCATTAAAGTAAGCAGTAGTTATTTCCATGCCACACATCAGTATGAACAATAATGAGATCAAGAGGAACTCGAGAACTCGAGTCCATTGGAATGTAGTATAGAAGTACATGTATACAGGGAACTGGGGGCACCCAGTTAAGATCGCGGGAAATGCGATGGACCAAACCGGTATTGCACAGGCGGAGGTGAACCCATTCTTTCACATGTCTATTAATATATTTAATCACATGAAATGGGCAATGAGGCGACGTCTCAGTTCTTCACTAGCAGTGCTACTCTACATAACATAATGTTTCAGTAGGACTGCAGGATGTGCATGTCTAGCCCGGATAGGAAAGGTCCCGGCGATGGAGCCCTGCAGTGGTGCCTGGGGCATATCCTCATAATTTGGTACAATTACAGTACTGATAATCAGCTCGTCTCGACTCCTCATTCACCTTTCGGATAACGTTCGAGATATTGTTAGAGGGCCAGCTTCATATAAGGAGTCAAACTTCTAAGTTTAGTGACTCATCCTAAACTGCTGAGAGGTATGTTAGCATGTTCGAAAGCGGTAAACCGTGCCTGGGTATTTGAAACCATCCGGCAGGGAGTGCTTGTCGTAGGGGGCCCCAGAACACAAGTGTATGCCATCAAATATAAAACGCTAGATCAAGTCTGACACTCCAAGTGATTGTGTATATGCCCCTTCGCTATCTGCAACGAGGTCTAGAGAGCTTACAGGCTCGGGAAGCAGGGTGTGGTAACCGAGAAAACAGAGTATTCCCGTGGTGCACAGCTCACTTGATGCCGGTCGTGCTAGAATAGGTATGTCATTGCCGACGTATAAACACTCAAGCTCTCGATTCATGCTGCATGTAAGGTTCTGTCACAGAGCGGGCGAAGATTAGCTCCCATGCAGTTCAAGAAAGACAAGGGTCCTGCGATCACCTGATCACTCTATGATCCTTTGTAAGGGTGAGTACTTAGTCGCATGTCTATGTCTGGATCCCGGAAGCAAAAAGAATCCGTTCCTGCCCGGGCTGTCCCGGACGATAAGCATGTAGACCACGCATTAGGGTCTTCGCCTCTAGCACCTCCTTTAATTCGATTCAGGGTTGGTGGCTGACTATTAGACCCTATAAGGCTTGAAGCATCAGAAGTATGATCGTCAGGTATAGGATCACTGATGGTGCTCTACCCTGCGTTCGTGGACAAGTGAGTAAACTAGAACTTAGGCATAACGGATTGGGCCAGCTCTTAATTCGAGAGATAGGATCACACGCAGGGGCCATTACAGCGCACTATAGGTAGGAAGAAGAGGGCAACGAGGATGGCGAAGAGGAGACTAGGAAGACAAGGACTGTATGGGTTCAAGCTGAAATTGTATGCAGAGGGATGAATGGAAAATTTGGTTTGCCACTGCGCCCATGACTGACCGGCCGAACGGGAGATGTTATGACAACTGTGTAGACGATGGTCTATATCCTATCAAGGTCAGAACTGCCCCGTCTTGAAGTAAGGGTATGATGGATGCAACAAGAGGATGAGAAAACGAGGTGCAAGCTTGTCGAACGCACAGCCACCATATCCAGATTGCTCAGGATTGAAAGAATAGGATTGATAGCGACTAGTAGCAGGACCTAGGGTCAACAACTCACTTCGCTGTATAGCTTGTGATGGTAGGGGAAAACAAACCGAGCAGCTCCAGCGCCCTTCCGTATTCCCTAGTCTGAGATGGCCCCCCTCGTAGTCAAATCCTTGCTTACAAGCCCGCATAGGGTATATGACATATACTTCCATCACCAGACAGTATGCCCAGGATTAGCTGCGTCTCTACTCTACTGTTGGACTACACGGCAGATTTTTACGCGGAATACGGGCATAATCCCAGGCATCTAATTCACTCATACATACTCATCCTAGTCACTATCCATAAACGAAACAGACTATAACAGGCCGGCCAGGAGGATTACGGTAGTTCGATCTTGATTAATTAGCGCTCTTGGCAACTACCCATTTACGAATCAGCAATTCAACATACAGGAAAATAAAGAGTTGGTCCCCGAATCTCACCGAGATGAACGATATAACGCTCATACTCAACCTGAACATTGAATACGCATTCCTACATCGTCTAGTCAGATAATCCGATTTGCCAAGCCAATAGAGACGAAAAAAAGGCGGATCCAACTAGGAAAATTAAAAAAAAAAAAAAAAAAAAAGGCCCTGCCGTAAAAACCAGCCACACAGGATTCGAATCGTGGACCCAGACCGAGGCCAACTGCTAAGCCAATTCTGACATCCATCAAATATCTTCGGGGCTTACTACCGGACAGCCCTAATCCGTAGCTGGACCCACACCGGACCGGAGCATTCGTATGCATCTACGTAAGTTGTCAAAGGGGAACGATAAAGTTATCATCTTAGCGAAGCCGCCGCAATCTCTGGAGAAAAGCAAAGGCCCTGGGGGAAATGATGTTGCCTTAGGTTGGTTCCACTGGAACGTGGCTTATAAACGCTGGCTTACGTATAGTCGTATGACTAGCCACGAGGGTCAAAACACTAAGCTTCGTACTAAGGGAAAGCCTAGATAGACGTGGAAAGGTCTTTGTTTGTCCATTATCTTCTTGTTCATGCCACTTAGGTTATTAGCAGAATTAAGGTGCAGCGCTTAGCTCTCTCTGCTGTCTGCTATACGTCCTCTGTCAGCATCCTGGCCCCACTCCGTGACGTCTCTGCTTACGTAGTATAGTATACTTCTGTGATGCTTCATAGATTGTTATCTGATGAAAAATGTCAAGGCCAAGAGACCATGGTGATTTCGCGGGTTGTTGACTAGCTTTTTTGATCCGAAATACGCCTTGCTTTCCCGGGGTATACGTATTCATTGTAGTAGCTGTCTTGTGATAGACTGCTGATCTTTTTGTTCGATCCCGCTATAGATGGGAGAATCAAGCATACGCGGAGCATATACGTATATCTGACTAGGATTTGAGATCTGAAGATTTTCAATTGCTGGTTCAAGTTCAACTTGTCAGATTCCATGCACTCCTAAACGAACTACTAGTATGTAGTCGAAAAAGTGGGTTACGAATCTACCGCCGCAGCACCTAATCACTGAGCCACAGATCCTACTGGATCAATGACTAAGGCAGTGTAGTCGACTCAACCTCAGGGTAAACATCGGCAATACGGCAATAACATCCGGACACCGTCCGTGATCCAAGTAATTCAAGATTTCAATTTCAATACTCAGTTCTAAAAAGTCAAAATATATTCTCCGTAACTAAACCGTACAGTTTAAAAACCAGGGTTTCCCGTCCCAAACTTTCTTCCGGACCCTGAAGATCGTGTGATTGAGTCAGCAACTGTACGCAAAAAATGCAAGTTAAACAATAATACAGCCTGATATACTGGAACCCTATCTCATGTCCCACGTTCATTAAACCATGGATATTCATCCCTCATACATCCAAGCTCCCCCCAATGAACGACACCGAAAAGAAAAGGGAAAATTTTAAGTACAAGAAGCAGGAGTAAAAAAAAGGAAAGAAAACCAAAACCACCCAATCATTCTGATACCAGAAGCACAAGATCCGACATGTCGCATCAAGCTACACCAGTCTAGACCTCTCGTGGCTGTTTCAGATCCACGGAAAGCATTCCTAACCTTTCTCCCCTCCCACCCTAATCCCATCAGCCCCAAAGACTCTTTTCCACAACCTCTCCGCACATGACGGGGATCCTTCCGTGAGCTGAGACGATTGATCTAGCCTGAGACTGCCGATCGACCCTTACCCCAAACGGTTCTCTTCACCTTGAGGGGAGGTTTAACCAGACTATATTATGAAATCATGAGAAGACACGAAGATCCTTGCCTCCCCGATGCCGCAGGTCACGTCATCCATTGCGCTATCCACAATAGCTTGGCATCAAAGATCAGATGTCTATATATGGTCTGGATATCTAATGCTTTAGATGCCCGGGGGCGAACAAGAAAAAGGCAAAAAAAAAGAAAAGGAAAGGAAAGGAAAAAGACAAAAAGTAGAAAATGAGCGGTGCAGACGAGTCCGAGCTGGTAGGGCAGGGAACAATAGACATTGATTAAACATTGATATGATACATTAATTGTTCCCCCCAGTTGGTTTGGGGTTTTTCTTTCCTCGTGTTTCCTTGTGCACATCATTACCGGGATGGGCTAGTTGCGTGAAGAACTGACGTCTGCTATCTAACTCTACCTGATCCCTTTTGCCGGTATTGTTGTTCTGTAAATTGTAATTCAAATGCCAGGAGGCTAGCCACTAGGAGCATAACGGGTAAGCCACATGAGGCTGTTTTTAGATGCAATCTTACTTGGCCCTCTCAAAGGGGAAGGAGATGGTGGTGGGGGGGGGGAGTGCTAGATACCGCCCAAGACAGAAAGGGAAAGGACAAAAGAGAATATAATTTTGAATACTAATTGAGTGAAAATTTTTCATTGCCTGTCTCTCTTTTCTCCGTAATTCGTTGGGCCTTACCTTTGAAATTAAATAAGACCATAGCGAGCAAAGGAAAGAGAAAAGGAAAGAGAAAAAATAATTAAGCTACAGGAACTAACCTAAGTGGTCCCGGGTTAAATGTTAAACACAGTGTGTTTCAAAGAATTTTGTTACGTACGGGTGATTTTCGGCAGAAATGCCGTGGTGCGAGTATGGCTTTTTTTCCCTCTGTTCCCCATCTCCATACTCCCTTCGAATCAACGTTGCAAAATAAGATTAAGGTCCAATTTAATTTCTTAGCAAGTAATAAAGATATGTAAACAGTGAAATTAAGCCAAGAAAGCATTAGACGGGTTCCGGTCGAAGTTTAGAGCCGGAAAAATACAAAGAAGAAACAGAAAAAAAAAGGGGAGATAACTAAAAGGAAAAAAAAAAATGGAGCAAACTTCTTCACGGCTTCCCTGATCCAGACGGCAGTTAGATACGGGTTAGATACGGAGTCGGGGAGAAAATGTGCCAAATATTAACTCAAGATCTGGACTCTCCAGTAATGGTTCCCAGGAACAAGGGAAGGACCCACTATAATGTTGCTGACAAAGTGCGCCGGCATTATTAATCGGGTAATTGAATCCCGACGCAGGGACAAGCTCGTCTCATTACAACAGTAGTATTTAACGCTAGACTGATTTATACCCGACATTCCATTGTTGAGGGCTTGAGGGGTTACCCCTCCGCGATAAATCGGCCCCATACATGAGCAGTATTTCTATCTTTGTGTACTACTTGTTCTTCTTCATATTTATTAAAATTAGTTATTGTAAAACCCTTCAATCGATTTATTTCCGGCGTTCTCGGATGCTGCCTTACCTCAGAAATCCGGTTCAGATATCAATATTGCAAAATAGACATGTATGGGCGGACATCCGACTTGCCGTTGCTAACGACCCTCGTCGGATGTCCGATTTACCGCCCCTCGCGAGACTATGGATTCTGATACACTAGATATGTTAGTTATACACGGTACCGACACCTAAACGTTTAGGTCTCCAACACTTCCCTATTGAGTAAGTAACTAAAAGGCTACTCTCCACTGGCTTATGATCTACGGCCGGCTTTCGGCCAGTAGGCAAAGTCGATACTGATAGTGGAACTCCACCTGATCTGGTAATTACAAGAAATAACCTGTCTCTAGTAGTGAGAAAACTAGGGACATACCAGCCGTAGGGTATTGAGTACACATCCTGGTATTTCGCCTTGAGGACAAAGGAACGTGGTCGTGTCCTTGGGTTAATTTACTCCCTTCCCAGAGCAGCCACACACGCACACCACCCATGCCTAAATAGCGACCTAGGAAGCAACTATCTGGCTACTACTGTAGGGACCAGGATAGTGTTGGGTTTAGTCTTGAAAAAGACCCCGTGCCAAGGACCAACAGGCGTCAAATGAGAAGTGCTCTATTTCCTACTATGTACGGTATTCATGGTCTTATGCAAGCGCATATTGTATTACGGTATATGATACTACCCTACTCCGGCGATTCTACCAATGGATTGGGGGCCTATGAGCAAGGATGTTTATAGAGCGATCCTTCCTAGGGCCGTACATATACATAGGGCACGGAGTAGTACATCAAATATGCATATGGGCGGTAGGGCGGGATTGTCCAGGTAAAATCAGTTAAGTAAGACCAGACCCAAACGAGCGTTGATCAACAACCCCCCGCTGAAACTAAGGGAGTATCAGCCGATTTCTCGGGATTTTGTCCGTGCTGTCAGCATGAGCAGGAAACACATGATCTATGTTCATGAGAATCTGGATTGCAATCTGTACGCCTATAAGGGAAGGAGTTTCCAGGGCTCACGGCGGGCTGAGAAGGATTGCTCCTATGCCTGCGTTTCCTGTTACTTAATCCTTGACTCTGCGACTCTCGCCCGACAACCTACCTTACGAATGACAAACATCATCAACCCTGCATATCCGGAGTCAACAGTGTGAGTGGGCTTCTGCAACCGCCTTGTTTGGTATAAGCCCCCTTCGTCTAGCCAACGGGGGCTTACGGGAACCATTTTGAATCAAGCAAAAATAAAATTTAAATTAAATTATCAAGTAAACAGAGCACAAACCGAGTTACTCGATATGTCAGGAAGGATGAGGCACACTCCCCGGAACCTAATTGCTGGATCCGGACGACGTCCTGACGTTGACCTGGCCCTGAACGCGTATGACCAGGCGCGCCCGATACCCTGCCGGGGTTAGTATGGCACCGGCGCACGCCATATGAACGATAGCCACACCGTGGTGCGTACGTAGATACTGTGAGCTTCTCTGCTAGGGGGAGATGCAATCACTGAGCTAAGCCTTTGGCGGCGATGAAAATTGTGTATAACATCTTCTTGCGGCTCACGGGGAGAAGAGAACTTAAGATCAGTTTTATCAATGTTGATGCCTAGGGTGGAGAGCTAAAGAGACAAAATGGATAGGTGGGTTATTGAGAAATGGTGTGGTGCAAGGTTGGCTGGGGTCAGTCGTTGACGACGTTTGACAACACGTATGCGTGCTTAGCTATGGGAGGTGATTCATGATGAACAGGCCATATCTCGATAACGCATGCTAAGAAGTGCTTTAGCGTACTTATTATGGGTCAGATGGGGAGGGGCCCGGAGGCATACTACTACTAGTATTGTGCTAGCTACGCGCTTGGGAGGCCCGCGAGCGAATCCTGTGCCATTGTACTTGGAAATTAAATCCCAATTCTTGCTACTAAGTGAAACTTTCGATGAAATGACACACCAGGGACCAAGGAAAGAAAGAAGGGAGAAAAAAAAATCCTTAGTTTATCTGCAAGGGATAGAACCACGTTTTTGAGAGGTTCGCTGGGTTTTAGACTGGGAACCTGGAGTTGTTATTGGTACTGGGTTACTCCCTAGCTATAGATACCTGCATATTTAAGTAGAATGCACAATATGTACGTATTGTCTAATGTTTCGGTATAACCTCGATGTCTTTTCGTTTTTTCCTCTGTTTTAACAATCGTAGTGCCTCTATCACTGTAAGCTTCTCTTTGTATATTCCTCACATAACGAGGAACATATTGCAAAAATGCTAAGTCGGTCTCCGACGTCGTCGTTGGTGGAACAACGTCGGGTTTTCCAGAATATCGGAGGGGGTAAATTCCGTTGTACATACATCGATTCGAGCAAATCAGAAATCAGGGAAACATTCCAGAAGTGGGTAAACAGACCCTAATCAGTAGGCAGTCTCCACCCGGACTTGGTGGATTCCATAAGTACCATACGATTACAGTACTCTAAGTCCGAAGGTCTCGTACCAAGCCCTAGGTAACTACTACTACACCCGAGACGGACGGCGTAGTTCTCTGCAGCACCTCCTCTATTTGATCATTGATGTGAAAACATAAAAATAAAATAAAAACAGGTCCACTATACTCCATAAGAACCTTGAGAAAAGAAAAATACCTCTCTCGGAGAAAGAGAATTTATGCAGGGTCTGTATCTTCATTCTGAGGGGATCCAGAAAATCCACTTTTACCTGATCGTTCAGGCGCTGAGATTTGACAAATCACTAGAGAGGATGGCTAATGCAGGATATAGCAGAACCACGGTTTCTATCACACCGTGGCTAAAAGCTTGTCCGTAAGGCTCTTCTGGGGATGGGATGAAGGCGCCTTACCGGGATTGGTAACGATGGGCATGATTGCTGTCTCGGCAGTGCGAATGCTGTTGAATTGTGCTCGTTGATAGTAGTGTATAGTTCTAGTGTGGACGCGGAATATTTTCTATAAAAAGGTCAGGCCATAGCTACTGTCCTTACTAGTTTTAATATTTGAATACTATTGTTGACTTTAATGTCTGGGTAACTGATTCAATTGTTGAGATATCGATGTCCAACGAGTTTGCGGAGATGTTGTTTTCGGAGATCCAGACCAGACTATACAAAATGTATGTATCGCAATACGCAGTAGAGTTCACACCGGCCGGGGCAGGAACTAAAAGTGACGAGAAGATTACTTTTTCGGGAATCCCTGGAAAGCCCTCTGTATCCTTTCCGTTTAGTGTAATAATATCATGCATCTTCCTAGCGTTTTTTTCCACTTCATTTTATTTATTGGAGTTATTTTTTTATTATAATTTATTATTCATTTTAAACCGTTCTAAGTGTCGTGCGATTTTAATTTGCATTAATTAATTCTAACAGTCAATAGTCCAAATTCTTGCATTAGGGGCATCGTACAAAAACTGATATCAAGTCAGATATTGGTCGAGGGACAGGGTCAATGAGACTCGGCAGCTTTCCTTGTGAATTACCCCCATATCCATACATGCCTTTCCCAAGAATACAGTACGGAGTACACCTACAATCTGCAGGAACTGGCCGTCTTCCTTCGATTCGCAACGAGGAAATAAACAAACGAATAACAGAAATCAAATTATAAAAGCCAATAGTCACCTATACAGTGACCGAGGATCATCCCAAACATTTAGCTGACGACAAGGGACACGTATCAATCAAGGATCTAGTTTAATTTAGATCGAGTTTTACTAGGATGGGGGGTAGCTGGAAGGGGCTTTTTGGGCCCTGACCGGGGGGGAGCGCTGGTCCCTTCTCACGATGGGTATCCTGACGAAGAAGATGATGATAATGACCCATTTGGATTGACGAGGATGTTTAGAAAGATGGGTAAATATAGTAAGTCGGAGAGGGCAAAGCCACTCTTGCTGGCTGAAGCGGAGTGGCTCGAAAGGATTTGGAGTCAGTCTAGTGTACGGAGTTTATTGGGAAAGGGTAAGGGTAATGAGGGTAAGGAACGCCCTGCCACTGCATTAATGACTGGGTCTTACTAGTGCCGGGTGTTGGTTTGTACTTTCGGAATTACTACCTTTTGGATGTTAAATTGTTGAGCCACACCTTAGAGTTCATGGATTGCTTGCTTTTTTGACTCCGAGACCCAGTTGGAGAATTTTTTCTTTTTTTTCATGTTAATTCGAGGGAAACGGGTATAAAGAAAAGAGAAATAAAAACGATTTTAATTATGCTTTTTTTCTAGTTCTATTATTACAGTAATAATAGTAATTTACTTATTTATGTTTATTTTTTTAAGGAGTTTTCTTTTCTTTTCTTTTCTTTTCTTTTTTCTTTTTTTTTTCTTTTTTTTTTCTATCTATTACCAACGCGCATACAGTTGATATTGTAAAATTGACATTCCCTTCTTCGCCTGGAAAATTACATTTTATACTTCGACTTATTCTATTTTTTCATCTTCTCAATCTTTTTTTAATTACACTGGCCCCAACAAGTGTCTGGGCAGACCCTTGGCCCCCTCTGGGAGAACAAATCCTGGGATTCCATGAACAGACTACTAGTATTATTCTAATTATTATTACTTTTATTTTATTATTCTACAAATGAATGATGCCTACCACGGCTCCACTGCAACTGGAGAACTAACTAGTGTCGTGGATACACACCCTCGAACACTAACTAGTTCTAGCGACTAAGTAACTGTCCCAACTGACTGACTTGACGGACTGAGATGGCCAGAGCTTCTGGAGAGACCCTGGACGGGTTTCAAGATGCTTCTTCTTCCTCTTATTCTTCTGCGTTTTCCCTTCTTTATCGTCGTCATTTCCGCGTATATTTCCTACATTTATTTCGCCTTCCTTTCGCCTCTGACTTTATGCCTTTCCCATCATACATCCCAATTCTCTCCTTCACCTTTCCCCTCTTCTCATTAATTTAAAATAAAATAAAGAATTGGGCCTTCTGTCTATCTTTGCACCGCTTTCCTCTCCTTTCCTTCTATCCCTCCTGTCGATCACTATCGATCGACTCACCTATCACTTCTACTACAATCTTCTCTTCTGAACGTCATCTTCTCTGCATATCGGAGTGCAATCCCAATTTCCCAATCAGGCTTTGGTGCCCTTCGACTTACTCATCTCGCTATTTTTCTTGGCTCCGGCACATCTCTGGAAGATAGTCGCTAGGGCTTGTACCTGTCAGGGTGTTGATTGTTCTTGCTCTCTTCTGACCGTTCCTTCATAACGAAACTCCGGAACACGACCGGTCCAATTTGCAACCACCGTTAAGTATCATTTTGTCACCTATCGGAAGTGATCGGCGGCGTCAGTCATAGAGTGAGAAAAAGAACAAATATAAATCGCCTGTCCACTCCATTGTCTAGTGTTTGGGGGTGGGGTCAATCGGGTTCTTGCCACTATCCAGAAAGTGTGAGGACTTCTCGGGATTCTATCCAGCTAAAATCGACTACGTTGCCAAGAAAGCCTCGAGTTCCACCGGGGTTTCGTCAGGTCTGCACCTAAGTGCCTGTCGATAGATCTGGTGCGTGTTACACGAAGAGGGAGGACAAACATCCTCGAAGACATTTTCCGTGAGTACTTCCGTTTGCTATCTTTCTCCTGCCCTCTCGAAATTTGGGAACGTACCCTTTTTTTCTCAAGCACCCACCAAGGCGACGAAACAAGACAAAAGAAGGAAAGAAAGAAAAAGTCCGTCCAGCTGATCGTTCTTAGTTTTCCCTTGTCAGATCTTTCAGGTGCAGGAAATGGCGAACCGTAAGGCAGGCTTCGTGTCCATTCTAAACAATGATGATAATCCATCATTCACGGTGCGATCAAGCCCCCGGTTATGCAGACACCATTCCAGTTCATCATACCCTTATCCGTCCGAGCCGCGGCGAGAGACGTCGGGCTCGTATCATCGCTATGGGTATGCACACTCCGACTCCTTCCCGGTGACCCGGCAACCGTTCGATCCCGTGTCGGGAGCTGCACAGCCCACGTCCCCCGGGTCGTCTGATTGCTCCTATGACTACATGAGTGCTGGATCCGGCTATTATTATCCATCTAGTAGGCAGGAGCCCCATGTCTACCAACCGGCTGCAGTGGGAACCGCGACGACAACCGCTGAGAAAAGACTCAGTGCAAACAGTGTTTCTGACCCTCCGTCCCCGCCGGCATCAATTAGTGGGTCTAGAGATACAGTGGGGAGCAAAGCAAACCGGAAAAACAAGTACCCCTGTCCCTTTGCTGCTAGTCATAACTGTTCCGCAACCTTTACAACTTCGGGGCATGCAGCGCGCCATGGGAAGAAGCACACGGGGGAGAAAAGTGTGCACTGTCCAATCTGCAACAAAGCCTTCACCCGGAAAGACAATATGAAGCAGCATATTCGGACGCATCGGACACACTCCGAGGACAGGCCAACGGGTGTGACAGAGAGGGACAACGATGCAAGTACCCGGTGGCGCGAGAGGAGGAACAGCCCTTTGTACAACCACCACCGATCTGTGAGCCAGTCCCAGATGGATGGAAGTGCCTACGACAGCATGACACCTATGAGATGATCGCAAGTGGCTATGCGTTCGTAGCCACCTGAAACGAGGTCATCATGAATTTGATGTGGAAAACGTGTTGAGGCGAACACACATGAAGCAACCGAACCTTTTCAACCCTCCCAGATTGAAGGCAGTTGCGAGAGGTCAAACCTCCGACATTTACTGCCTTGTCCTTACCTTTTTCTTTCCCATTACGTGATCTCCAGATGGTCTTTGGTCTTCATATGTTGGAGCAACGGTGTTGAACACAAAAGCCCACGGGCTGAGAGACATTGAGGGTTACTGCTGCGCAGCACTCTAACTCAGCCACCGGGTTTCTTTCTACCGTCTGAGAATGACGAGAGAATTGGGATAGGAATTGGTTTATCGTCATGAACAGACGACAGACCGGACAGCGAGATCCGAAATTCCTCATCTGTGTACCATTGGGAGAGGTTTCTCACTTGCCACATTTTCTGTTCTTCTTATTTTCTTTCTTCTTTGTGACTTTTCCTTTGATGCTATTTGAGTCTATTGCATGGTCATTCTGGGTTAGCTCATAAGCGTTTTATCCTTGTCTTCCTTTTTTGGTTCTTTTTTCTTTGAGCCACGAGAGATTCCAAGTTACGGCCAAGGTATCCCCCTTTTATTGATATGTACAGTACACCTACGACGTTAGGGGGTCCGTTGTAAGAGAACATGGTGATATTACAGCATCAACGAAACGATTGATACCTATACTGGAATGATTGCCCGTTTGCTAGTGACCTCGGAGTTAATAGGACAACATAAACTATTCCTGTCCAATTTGGGGTTGAGCAATCAATGATATTCACAAAGTTGAACCACGGAACGCATTCGGAAACCGTGGTTGTCAAACCAGTGGACGGTCTAGGTCAGGAACCGATGGGTCCATCTATGGAGCCGATGTGGACAAGCTTGAAGGTTGATGTGCCGATAGCCTCGATGAGGCGTGTGTAAGGCGGGCCTCACCATTGACCTTTTGGATCTGATTGAACAAAAGAGAGATGTGTGATGTCAATAGTGATTGAGCCGACTTCTTTCTAAGTTGTCATCTTGACAAGATGATTTAATCCCTAGGAAATGATAGGTGGCTTAGTCATCCATCGTGGAGAGATCGCTGCCCAATGCCCAAACGGGTAAAGTGTTTGCTTCCTCAGGTACCTAAGCTCTAACAGGTTCCAACTCCACTTCTCGTTTCCTGCTTCACTTTCTTATTTACCTTTTCCACCCTTCTATCTATTTACGACCTCACCCCGATACGCTAAATGCCGTAGACGGGATATTGATGAAACACATCGATCATAATCATCTATTAATCTGACGGCTTATACCTGGAAGATCGAGCATGGGCCGTTTCAGCCTTACTTGAGCGAAACACGGACATCGACTGTTATCCAGTCATACGTCACTGACAGCCCCGCCTCTTTGCCACAACTTTTCCCGCACCTTTTCTTTTATTAGATACACCCTCTCTTCCCTTTCCTGCTTTCATCCCTCATTGTCTCCCATTCTCTTTCTCACTTCCTTTATTTCCCTCAATAGTTAACTTCAATTCTTCTCCTCTCCTGTATGATCAGCACCCCCACCAGTCTAGAGTTTTGCTTCCCACTCTAGCCAAAACAATGGCGTACTACGACGAGCGTCCCTATTATCCTCGCGATCGTTACACTCGCCCATCCAGCGTTTACTCGCAAGGCTATTACTCTGGGGACGGCCCCTACAGTAGTAGTCGCCATGAAACGGGCATCACCCGGCGCCATAACGGGAGCAACGAATCCCTTCCGGGAGATTATGGTTATGAATACGGTTATGGTCTGCCCCCTCAGCCTCGTCGATCCAGGGTATCCACAGTCCAGGAAGGTGTACACAGGTCGCACTCCATGGGAGGAGGCCATAGGTCGTACTATGATGACCCCGATTATCATCATTCACGACATAGTCGACGCTCGAGGCGTCACGATTATGATGATCCACGTATGTAGTCTGTTTCCTCGAAACGGGAAGATACGTGAAAGGAATAAATCTGGGACACCTTTATTGATCTTAATATAGCAGGCGACCGTTACAGGCGCACCCAGCGGTCTCCGTCAAGCAGTCGATCGCCGCCTCCCCGCAGGCGCCGCAAATCCTTCTCAGAACAAGCGATGGAAGCCTTGGGTATGGGTTCGGCTACGTCCTCAGCCTCCAAGCATCGCGACCACAGTCGTGGACGCCCACATGGTCACCATCGTAGGTCTTATTCCTATTCGCCATCTCCAACTCGGAGCAAAAGCCGTCGCCGGGAGCGGAGTGAGCAGCGAATTGCACAGGCCATGAAAGCAGCTCTGACCGCAGGCGCGGTGGAAGCGTTCCGTGTGCGCAAGGAACCCGGCGAATGGACAGGCGATAAAGGTAAACGAATCCTTACGGCCGCTCTGACTGCTGGAGGAACCGATGGATTAGTGGACCGAGACCCGAACAAACATTCTAAGCGCCATATCATCGAGTCGACCCTGGCTGGCCTGGCTGCAAACCATTTTGTGAACGGCCCTCGGTCCCGGTCCCGGTCCAAGTCCCGTGGCCGCGAAAAAAGTAGAAGCAGAGTGCCCGACCTTGCCGCCGCCGGTGCCTTGGCCGCCGCCGGGAAAGAAGCGTACAATCGATTCAAATCCAGGTCCAGGTCCCGACCACGTGGTCGATCACACTCACGAGACAGCCAGGAAGATTCTCCGCGTCGGGAGAGGAGGCGAAGTAAAAGCATATCGGACTATATCAACCGAGGCATGGAAGCCCTAGGCCTGGAGAACAAGGATAAAGACAAAGATGACAGGAGAAGACCTCGCGACCGACCCTCTCGCCGGGACGACTACTCGGGATATGATTCTGACAGCGATTATGGATCTAAGCACCATGGGAGCTCTAGACGGACGCGGCATTCTAGAGATGTAGGTCGATCTCTTCACCCTGGCAGTAGCTATGAGTCACCCTCCAGCGCTAGGTCCGGAGCTATAGGCAAGGAAGGCCACGCTTACTACCAGGATCGTGAAAATCATAGCTCAAACTCGGATAAGGATTCTGACCTTGGAAGCAGTACCGATGAGGAGCACCGGCACAAGAAGCTAAAACGAAAAACCCTCCTGGCAACCGGACTGGCCACCGTAGCAACCATCCACGCCGCTCACGGTTTACACGGAAGCATGGAGAAGCACAAGAAACGCGTCAAAATGGTCAAGGAGGGCGATATGACCGCAAAAGAAGCACGGAAACTCAGGCTAAAAAACAATCTTACCGACGCGGCCAGTGTAGGTCTCGCAACGCTGGGCATCAAGGGTGCGGTTGACGAATGGAGACACGTGGATCATATGCGCAAAGAGCGCCACAATTTCCGGAAAGAGTGCGATTCAAGACGAGAACGCCGTCACAGCCGAGCCCAAAGCCAGGGATCTTTGCCCTACCGTCGCACGATGTATCCCGATGAAATCGAAGAATGCCATATCTCAGACAACGGATCGAGAAGAGCTATGTCGGTGGCCCAGGAAGTATGAATTGATTTGTTAAAATTGCCTGCGTTGTGAGAAATTACCAATTTGCAGCTGTTATGAATGTATGAATATGATGATGGCGGCTATGATCTTATGACTTCTGCTTTCTCGTTTCGTTATGTCCCTTGCATGTCCATATGTGTTTATACGCGAGTGAATTCGGATTTGTGTGCCTTTAATATAGTTGAATCGTATTCAGTCAGCAAGTTTGTCTATCCATCTTGAGCTACATCAATATTAGTGAGCCTTGCATTATAAGGCCAACATTAAAGACACGCAATCTTTAAACATCCCAAGAATGAGCCCCTTAGGCACGTCAACGCTCAGACCTCCTCGGAATATTTACCTGCCACCAGACAGGGACGGAGGTGGTTAATATATTGGGGGCAAAGGGTCTCATATTACGTCGGCAGTCATATGGTATGATTTTGCAACATATAAGGTGGCTGTATGGGATTGGGGGTTAATTACGAGGAATTACAGTGTTCTAATTTAACGTGTGAGATTGCGGGTACAGTGCCTTGTTGGTGGATTAAGTCCTGCTGCCATTTATGTAAAAGCTCTATATGCGTATGTACGACTCCAAAGTACAACACCAATATCCCGTAGCCCAAAGCAAAAGGACGAATTCAAATCAATGATGGGTTTCACGAATCAAACGGATAGAATATACCAACACTAAACAAGAGGATGCATGGTCACAATACACAACAGCCATGGATCAGGTAGGGCAGTCACAACAATTGGAATTGGAACGCTTCAACGCTCAATCCTAGGAGTGCTAGGAAGAACAGAAACAGGAGCAACAAAGATGTTAGAACTATAAGAAATGCGCGGCTAGCTGTACAGTCCATCCATCTTGGAGGGAAGCAAGGAAAATGACACTTTTACAGGAATCTTTTTCCGGCTGATATTAACGCATGACCAAGTCAGGAAAGGAGTGGATTAGGCTCAGTCAGCGGCGGATGGTGGTCAAGGAGAGGTTCATGGTAGCTGCAAGGAATGTGATTCTGATAGAATTCCAGATAGATCAGCGGTCGGCATTGATGTTCAACCAGCTCATATCCGAATTGACATTGCTATTGTTATTGTTGTTGTTGCGAGAGTCGCGCGGTGGTACTGGCTCGGTGGTGTCTGGGATAAGGACACTCGAGCCGCGTGTGTTCATGCGGGTATCGCGTAGTGGTGCCACAAGCGAGGGGACATCTGGCCCGCTCGAGTTGTAAAAGCTGGGGTTATAATAACTTCGGCTGTATGTGCTGCTAGGGGGACGACCAACCCAGCTCTGTTGCGCACGTGATCCACGGGGTTCGTAGTCATCTACCGACTCAATTGTAATCTCACTAGCGGTCGAGATGCGGGCGGATTGGCTTTCGGGAATAGTGATGTACTGTCCATTTTTGGGAGACGTAGCATGTTCGGTGGTGGGGCTGCCACTAACAACACATCCGAGCGGTTTTGGTGTTTCTAGGAAGCTGGTATTCAATGGAGTAAGGGTCTTCATCGGCCATGCAGTGTCCGTCGTGGCCGTCGAGTCAGGCCGGGATGCTACTGCTGCCGGTGGAACGATCAAAGGTGTCGGATTGGCATCTTGGAAATATCTACCCCAGCCTTCATCCGTCGTCCTCCGGTGGCCAGGATGGTCCTCTGGCAGCGAGTCCTGGGCTTCGATCACCTTGTCGATCTCTCCTGGAGTGAACTCCCGAGTAGATTGGATAGTGCTCAAGGGACTTGGCTTGGGATCAAAACTAGGAGGTGCACCCGCTGACCGTGGCGACTTTTCCTCGCCGACCTGACCTGAGAAGATCGCCAGAGAATCAACCGACGATGCCGCCAGCGGTGCCGAACTCTTCGCCATCGGGTATGCGGACTGAGTCAAAGGCTCAACCCCTCGATCCTGGAAGCTCAAGCGATCCTTGTCACCGCCGTTTTGGCCCTGGGCAGCTCGCTTCTTAGCGTCCTTCTTGCGTTTCAAGATGAACAGGATTATAATCAAAATCACAGCAAGTCCCACGATGCCTCCTAGTGTGGCCCCAACGATAGTGCCAACATCGCTGCTCGAGGAACCACCGCTGGCCGGAGCGGTAGAAGTCTCACTGGACCCGCTCGCGGTAGCTGTTGGGGTTGAGGTTGTCGTAGTCGATCCAAGGATTTGTTGTGAGGCCTGGTCGCCATAGAATAGCTTGGTTACGTTCACCCAGCTGTTCGAAGTCTGATTAAATATTGCCAGAGTGTCGGTGCCACTGCCACTGGAAATGACCACCAGCCCATCGTCGCCTTGCGCCAGCGAGTAGTCCTTTCTCGTTGTCGATGATGCTAAAGAATCATCGTATTTTGGGTAATCATCAAGGGTAATTCCTCTTTTGCTCGGGGACGATTCCGAGCTACTTGCTGTCTGAGCCGGTGTGCCGCCAGATTTTAGCAAGGTTATACTCGTGACATTGTTGGGTGACGCGCTCATGTCAAAAGCCTCAAGCACTTTGCTGCCATCTGTCCCATTAACGATCGCGCATTGCACATCATCGGACAAGGCATCTAGGATGGTCACATCTGAGCTATGCCACCCTTGAATGGGATCAAACAAGTGCACTTGATCCGGGGTCGTCAGACCACCCACCAAAGCAGCCTTCTTATCGTTCCATGGCAGTAGTACAGGGTTGAAAGCGGGGGATGCTTTTTCGGCCGAATACGCTGACAGATTATACGGCTCTTGCGTATTAATTGCGAAGGTGTCTGACGATGCATCTATTTCTCCACGTTGGTGACCGCCGTAAATCAAAAGCGAGGATGAGGATCTCAGATAGACCGCTTTATGGGAGGTTCGATTGGCCATGTTTCCTTGGACGCCGTCGATGGTCTTCCACTTCTTGTCTTTGAATGAGTATCGCTGTAATCCAGAGCCTTCCCCTTTGGAAGGCTTTCCTCCGATCACATAAAGCGCCTGCTGATCCTCGTTACCATCTAGTCCTCCTGTCACGCAAGCGGCATGCGAGACGGGTTCTCCCATCGGTAATTCCGTCCATGTCGCATTTCGTCCGAGTGAGATAGAAGCGAATCCATTTGCTGAGTAGGTGTACAGGGTGTTATCGTGAATGACGGAACAATGGCCTTCCAATTTCACGGGAGGCTTAGGGGCAATCATGTCGAATGAAAGAGAGAGTGGGTTTCTTCGAGAAGACCAGCCGAAGATAATGAGTAAATACCAGCCGCCAGAGGCTTGGGCACGGGCGGAAGGGTAAAGAATGAATAAGAAGGTGACTGCCAGAGCACTATCTCATTGTCGAGGGTCGATTGAACGTCTGCGGCGCTGGGCCGTGAAGGTGTGCTTGCAACCGATTACCAACCTTCCGGGGTCAACTAGAGTGATGAAATTGCCTGCGGGTATTTCAAGGTGGCGATGTCTATTTTCTTTTAATTTCTTTTAATTCTTCCTTCTTTTTTTAACTTTCTTTGTCGAATCACAATGCGTGCGTGATAGTATAAAACGAGCGACTCCAGCCAGAATCAGCGGGGATTTACAATTGTAAAGAGCAACCACCCCACGATGTACCTCGAAAAGGGATAGTTGTTGAACGAGAAAAAATAATGAATGGCGACCTGTATCGAGGGGTCAATAGAGAATTTAGGGGGGTGAGAGATCGCATAAATGCGCGATATCAAATCGGCAGTGAAGTTGAAAAGAAAAGCGAGCGACAAGGTTCTCGAACGAAGGCACGACCAAGAAACAAGGGAAGAAGATGCGCCGGGTGGATAAGAAGGAAGAGAACGAAAGCAAGAAAAGAGCAGCCGAGCGTCAGGAGAGAAAGTGTATGGATGGGCTGCAGGGAGAAGGATGAAACAACGGAGGGCAGCTTTGACCAACACTAAGGGCGGACTCACCCTAAGAGTGCTATTCTCCCGAACAATTAAATTGATCCCGACGTCATTTCTCACTATAAAGAAGAGAGATGGTATGAAGAGAGAAACGGAAAAGAGGGTATCTCCAAGTTGAAAAACCAACACGAGTGCCAGCACGTTCTCGGTAAACAAGGGTAAAACGAAAGAAAGAAGGATAGGATATCAGATGTTGTTTGATAATGACAAGAGAGAGAGAGAGAGAGAGAGAGAGAGACAGGAAGGGAAGGACAGGAGAGAAGGGACGCTAACGGCTAATCGGGTTGGGTGCCTTGGGAGTAAACCTGAGGTGTGGATATTAAGACAAAAACTCCAGACTACTTCTAGACATGGCAGTTTTCAAACATCAATTCACTACTATTATCCTTTTCTCTTTCTCTTCCTCTGATCGCGTTGACACACACACTCTCCTCTCTTACCAAATCCTTACATGAGGATGGGTTGGCTTTTGCAGTAAGGGGATATCCACATCAAATTAAACATCATAACATTCCCCCCAATCTGATACCAGAAATCCACCATACCCGGCCCAGTTATTCAGGGGTTCCATCCAATTACTAGCGATAGTGTCATTCGCATACCCATGGTTCTGAACTTCTCCCGAACTTTGGTGTGAATATCTTTTCCCCCCCCCCCCATTTTCCTTGATTACATCCCTTCCCTTTTTTGACTCAAATATCAGTATAACCTTCAGGGTAGATACTCCAAAGTTGGGCTTTGTTTTCTTTCTTCTCTTTTTCCCCCTCAAAATTCCCCTTGCTCAAAACCCCTCCATCTTCTCCTCTCCTCTCTTCATTAATATTAAATTTTGCCTAACAAACCAATCGCTACCCAAGAATCATAAATCCATGACATTGGCCCCATCCCTATCCTTGTCCAGGTGATATTAACGAACCAGTCAGCGATGGATGAAAACTCTTATGGGCGACGATGACCAAGTGGCAGCCTCTGGGACAAGTTGATTGGTCCTTCCGCCAAGAACAGACAGAGCTAGCACGGACCTCAACCTGCATCGCATTACCTTAGGGCAGGAATGCAGGTACTGCTGTGCAATTTTTTTTTTTTTTTTTTTTTTTATAAATTTTATCGTTTTAATATTTCTTTTAATTTTCTTTTGAGTTTCTATCTTTTCTTTTTTTTCTTTTTTTCTTGTGGCCCAGTCCAGACAGATCAGATGTCACTTCGATCGCATCTCTAAGATTTATTCTGTGAAAATCGTGATCTGAACCCGTTCCTATGAAACACACGACCCGGAGTTTTTCCATAAATAACCGGCCCCATGAGTAAGTATCATACTACTCCAGTACTACTACAAAGTACCGCCTCAATCTAGCACGAGGACCTAGTGCGCTGGCTGTATTATTGGCCCATGACACCCTGCTAGGCCAGCCCCCACTAAGGTCTTCTGCTACCGAGTAGATAGTTGGGACGTTGATCCACCACGATCAGGTGGTCTCTTGCTGCTAGATACCTCAGGCGTTCTTTTTCGGCTGTGATCTAGATTGAATACTACCGTACCACTTCAATTGAGAATTCAAGATTAGTTAATTATCGCCTCTTAACGGGAAGTATGCACACGCCGCCTCGGTCTGGTCCATCGTCTTTTTTATGAAACATGAAATATAGAATTCCCGGATCGGACCACTTGCCGTGATCAATTCGGACAGTTCACATATCCCAAACTAGATACATACAGTACAATACATGGCTTCTGACAACATAATAAACAGACAAGAAAAGACAATTCAATTATTCAATCCAACCCCAGTAATGGATCCCCACTCAAAAACGGTGAAAGTATGGTGTGCATACAACCATCTACTAAAAAAGTGAATCAGCATATCCCACGCCAAATATATATATATCTCTCGCCCTATTAATGCATAAGCCCTCCTTGCCACATCCTTCTCACCCAGCCAACCACCCATCTGATCATACACCAAAAAAACAGATCCGCCAAACAGGGTCCTCCAATAGTACGCCACGCTATTGACAGCCTGAGCCGCATAAGCGCAGGCATTATAGAATTATGCCCCATACTCGATCCAAACAGGGAAACTATCCCTGGCTATGCTGAGTCTAACATCTTCATTTGCGGTAGTTAGTCGCGATATTAATGAGGATATGTGCCTTGCTAGACTAATGATACCTAGGGAGACTGGGCATGCGGTCGAACATCGCTTTCAATAACGGGCTCTTTCTTCATCCTGTGACGAAGAACTTGGATATTCAACTGGGCTTGGAAGTTATCCAGATGTCCTTGTCTGACTGCTTGGGCTTATTGGCAAACTGTGGATGATATCCTTGGAGCGGCGAGGGGTACTAGTAAGATTAGGTCCATGTCTGAGTGGAGTTGCTACTACTTAGAGCACTATCTCTCATTGTCGTCGATGACGATTACCGTTGCAGAAGAACGTGATTGTGAACTGGACTAAGTTGGGAAGAGACTAAGAGGGTAGGGCTTTTACCCAAGTGGTTCATGGGTTCGGTTCAAGTACCCAGGTCAACAATGCAACCAGCTCCCCACAAAGGGAAGTGAAATACCTTGTCTTGGACAAGGCTGGCAGTCATTAATCAACCGGCGCACTTTGAAACGTGAATTTAGGGTATGGCACCATAAATATAGGGGAACGATGCAGCAATCGACGAGCTAAAAGTCACTATTGACTCTCCGGTGGCGGGCTATTCATGTGCAGAATCTCTAGAGGAACGAAGCAAACCCCTTAGCCTGCGTCATATGATGAAGAACGAAAACAACAGCCCTGTCGCTGGAGACAGCATTGACAAGCGATGTCAATATTGTACTATTGACGACCTCCCAAGATTATTGAGACTGACAGCATGGGAGGACTGTTTTCAGTATAAATCCATTTCGTGGACATACAAGTAACCCAGGACATACTGATGCCTAACTTGAGAAAATGCAAAGCCATTCACAATGACTTGTCCATCCTACATGGTGGTACGAAACCAGACTAACGGTGACGATTTACTTGACTTAACTTATCGGTCGTGAATCTCTGAATCAGGAAGAGCCATATCTTTAAGTGCACCTGCACTTCCTCTATACAGTCAGTATCATCTACTTCTATCAACAGCCCCGGCCAAAAAAAAATATGCTTTGACTAAATACCACTTGAAAGCCAAACGAAATAATGAATAATCAATGACCAATCTTCAAGCCAACTAAAAGAAAGAGGCAGCTAAATCAAAGGACTCCGTCTTTAGCACACAACGTCCAGAAAAAGAAAAAGAAAACCTAGAAAAGGATCTACCTAATACCGGCAACCTACAGTACTATTATTAGTTCCTTAGATCAGCAACCACTTTACAATCGGACTCACTGGGTAGAACCACAAAGTATGATCATCGGTGGGGTAAGCATGGTCCAAACGATGCGCCTATGGGGTCTGCCATAACCGGATCCGTGGGAAGGATACCTTTCAGAAGAAAAAACGAGACTAAGAAAGCTCTGGTAGTAGAGAGTACTGCAATTGGGGACCAGGCTGGACATGAACACGTTGTTTCGAGAGAGTGGGGGGCATGGGGCCCAAGAAAAAGGAGTCTGCGATTGATTCCTACCAAAGTCGCTCATGGCGAAACACGGAGACCACCGGATTTTACGAAGGACGGGAAAATAAAGTGTACCTACTCAATCGAGCACTATATAGCCCACGGGGAGCGGCCTTACTGCGGCATGAAACCTTCCATGAGAAAGTCCAGGAACACGGACTCCGATCCGGGAAAGATCCTCGTCTCTCCAGGTGAGGCACTACCCTATCGCAATACGGGTCCAGTGATTTACACTGCCTTCCTACTTGTGCCCGCAGAGGAGGAAGTCAAATATGCGCTAGCTTTTCTAAAGTACCAGACTAAGCGTTCGTCCTGAGCATTAGTCTCTTGCGCAGAAAGCCTGGGAACTGATATAGCCATGCTCGACATGCATCATGTCAGGCTTCCAAATGGATCCCTCTAGGACAGGCTCAATGATGCTCGATCTACTGCTATGGAAACTGGGAAATCGGCGGTACACCCTAATGATGTAGGGGTAGCGAGATCTACTTCTTTGAAAGGAGATCTCTTGTAAATCGAGGCTTTGCTGTAGTGTACCACCCCATCCTGCTTATTAGCGTACTAACGGCGCTAATTATAGCATTCCATTTGCATCATGGTGCTGCTTCAAGGACATTGTCAGACACGCCCGATGGCAAAATTAGAGATAAACGGCCGCACCTTGATTTGACCCTATGACTTTGATGTGTCCGGGAACATTCTCCCAACCAGGAGATTCACTTTATCTTCACCCTATCGAACCTCCATTCATGCTACGAGCTATCCACTCATTACACAATCATCGTTCTCCTAGGAATCAACTACAGTTCCCCATTCGTCTATAGGGCTACTCAACAGCTGGTACCATGTCATAACCTCAAACTTAACGTTAGTGGAGTCGTCTGAGTCGTACTCCTGTTCTTAGAATAGAGAAGTCACCTGCTTTATAAATTGAGGATTCGGCCTTTAAGACAGTTGATATAGTTAGGTATTATTCTATTTCTTGAATAGAGATATTTCCTTTGCGTAGATTAGTACTGCTGGATTATAATTCTGATTCTAGAACATAGAACAGAGAAACTAAGTCGAGGAAGTGCTGTCACCCTATTTGTTAAAGGACTGAGGCGACAATTTTTTTTTTAACGTGGTGGACATTTAGGGCTACGGGAGATATATGAAAACTCAACATACCCTACCTTTTCTCGTAGACTAGGTTATGTACTGTAGAACCCTTGATACTGGACAATTGTGGATAATATGCAAGGCTATTCATGATCATTATCTTAATTGGATTAATCCTACCCGATTTCAATATAAAACGCATTGACGAATCATCCCATGGTATGTACCAATAGCCCACACAGAACACAGCTCTTTTAACATTTTGGCGGGTATCTAGTGTATTACGCTTGCTGCTGCTTCCAGGCGTGTGCTCTTTGCAGCAGCTTTGACAGGTTCGCCGCGGATTGATCGTCGGCCGGGAATACATAGTCCATGTATTCTTCGTACCGGTCGTCGTCCAACTTGCGGCGCTTCTTGACGCGGCGCGGCATCTGCTTCTCGATCTCGTCAATGTCCTCAGGGGATCCGTGTGTATGTTCGAATGATCGCCAAGCATTGAGGAGCTCCACACGCTGCGAGATGTTAGATTCACAAATCTTTGTCTTCGAATGGCTTAGGGTATGACTTACCTCTTCTTTGAGCTCCTTGTCTTTGAATACTTTGTGTGCACGAGTGAAGACCGCGCGAGCCCGCCGTTTGGCATCGTCGCTGATGGGTCGTTCTTCCTCTTCCTCTTCCTCTCCCTCTTCTTCATCCTCCGGCACGTTGATCTCGAACCGGGCGTAGTTGATCCACACCTTGACATGGTCGGTCTTTTCCAGGAGTCGTTCGTAGAGTTGACGGACTCTGTCGTACTCGCCTTCATATTCTTCAAAATCGATGTACGACTTCCATACCAGCTCGGGCATATCTAGAGTCGGCTGATCAATTCCCAGTTCAAAGATGGCTCGCGCACGCTCAGTGTCATCCAGACCGCGTTCCAGCTCTGCGAACTGAATCCAGGACTGACTGTTGGATGGGTTCCACTCGATCTGCTTCTCGAACAGTGTCCGGCACCGTACGAACTCGAAAAGCTGGCGCTCGAGATCGATATAGCCTCTGAAAATCTTGTCCTTGGGGCACATGCCAATTGCCTGACCCAATGTCTTCCGGGCTGTTTGAAGCTCCATCTGACGAATTTCGAACTGAGCCTTCATGAGCCATATCTTGGCGAATGTAAACTTTTTGTGGGGTATGAGCTTCAAACACTCATTATAGATCTGGCGGGCACGTTCAACATCTTTTGCTTCTATTTCCTCCCAGATGGCGTAGAATATCCAGAGGTAAATGTAACGTCTCCAGTGCCGTTTCTCCTGTGAAGGCGGGATCTGTGCAATGGCTCGTTCATAGGTATCACGTACCCTCTCAGGGTCACCGGAGGTTTCCTCGAGGCGAGTAAAGTCGAACCAGATATCGTAGTTCCGAGGATTTTCCTTAAGCTGCTCCTCGTATTGGACTCGGCGTTTATGGAGAATAACGTCCTCGACACCTTCTCGATCACCAAATTGCTTTTCAAATGTTGTATACGCTTTGTGCAAGGTCATGGACTTGGAACGAGGAAGACGGTCCAGAGCATACTTATAGATAGCACGTGCACGTTCATATTCCTTCATCTTCGCCTCGAACTTGGCATAGGCGATGAAGAGCTTCTCATCCATGAAGTCCTCACCCAACGCTTCAACTCCCATACCGTAGACCTCTCTCACCAAATCACTGGTCCCATACTCCTCCTCGAATCGAGCCCACTTGATCCAGTTCCTCGGTTCGGGATGAACAATTGTGAATCGCTGGAAGATATTGCGTGCCCTCTCAAACTCACCATACCGTTTCTCGAGCTTGATATACGCACTCCAGGCCCCCTCATCCGGCTCCCACGACATCCACCGCTCATAGACCTGCCGTGTACCAGGAATATTTCCCAAAGTCTCTTCCATATAGACATACTTGTACCACAGCTTATCGACACGGGGCAAAATCGACACAGCACGGTCAAGCAAGTTCCTCGCATGGTTGATGTTCCTGTTCTTCATCTCTGCTTCGATGTATCGGATCCACAGCGGTATCGAGGTTGGATTAACGTCCAAGGCTCGCTCGAAGATCGAACGCGCCCGGCGGAATTCCTTCTGTTCAAGTTCCCATGTTGCATAGCGCATCCAGTTGTTCATATTAATCCTGTTCCGGCGAACATAATCCTCGAACTCCTTTCTCTTGCGACCCTGGTACTCGTGCAATTCTTCGAGGTCAGCAAATCGTTGCGTCGGCGCCTGCAACGAGGGTTCCTGCCGGTCAACAGCCTCGCGGAGCAACTGCTCCGCTGAGATCTGGATAGGCGCGGCGGCCTTGTTTTTGACCCTGGGAGGGCCGCGAGACGACTCCATGGTGAAGTGGGATTATATTAGGTAGCTAATCTGTTGGCGACGTGTAATGGACTCCAGACGGTAGGGATGGCACCCTGGCTAAATAGAGCTTAGTAAGGCAATAAGCCTCCTGTGCAGGCCAAGGCCTTAGTACGTGGCTTATAATAAGCGACCGCGTGGTGAAGGGAAAGCCCCAAGTGAGATGCTGTTGCTGCTGGATGGACTTTGGGTTCTGGTAGCCAAAAGTCGGAAAAGCTGCACTGTAGGTCCGTAGCGCCATCCGAGATCGTCAGCTTGAGAAGAACGATGACTAAGCACATGACTTGAACGGGAAAGTAACTGCGGCGTCGAAAGTTCATTCCGTCACCATTTCAGTTTATTCATAGGTTACATCTTTGGTCGCGTCGCAGCACGATCATCATGTCTACAGCTGAGGAGCTCTTGAGAGATTTCGAATCGGATGATGAGGATTTCCAGGCGGGGGAGGGAGTCGAGGAAGAGGTGGATGAAGAGCAGCAGCACCTACAAAAAGTTGGCTCTGAGGTCACCAACGAGTTTGAGGTCGCTCTATCGACAGGTGACGAGCTTACACGCCTACACAAAGTTTTGCGCGACCACTACTCGATCAGATTTCCGGAGCTAGAAACCCTCGTCACGAACCCGATCGACTACGCGAAGACAGTCGCTGTTTTGAAAAATGGCCCGCTCAACGATATCAAGGCTATCTCTTCATCGGCGGACAATATGGTCGGCGAACCCTTGAGGTCTATTTTGGACGGCCCATCTTTGATGGTTGTTTCTGTGGAAGGCACCACTACCCGAGGACGTGAAATGACGGAGTCGGAGCTTAAAGTAGTCCTCGATACTTGCGAGAGGATCTTGAAATTAGACCGAGAGCGCAGAGCCCTTACGGAAAGCATTCAGTCTCGCATCACTCAGATCGCTCCAAATTTAGCGGCCTTGATCGGACCTGAAACGGCAGCTCAGTTCCTCAACCAAACCGGAGGTCTACGCGAACTTGCGAAGATCCCGGCGTGCAATCTTGGGGCTCAAGGTAACAAGAGAAGTGAAGGGTTGGGTTTTGCTACGAATATTGGTGTCAGATCACGGGGATTCCTCTACAATTCTCCATTGATCCAGGGTGTTCCGGATGACCTGAAGCGTCAGGCAATTCGCATTGTCTCAGCTAAGATGGTCCTTGCCACTCGTACAGATGTAGCGGAGCTGAGGCCTGATGGATCGTTCGGCGAAGAATTGAAACAGCAGTGCTTCCAAAGATTAGAGAAGCTGACCGAGCCTCCGCCGAACTCTGGAATAAAGGCCCTGCCTGCTCCCGATGACAAGCCGTCCCGCAAGAGAGGTGGCAGGAGAGCCAGGAAGGCCAAGGAAGCAGTTGCCATGACGGAGATCCGCAAGGCCCAGAACCGGCTTGCCTTCGGTAAGGAAGAAGCAGAAGTTGGTTACGGTACGGGTGAAGGGACAGTTGGATTGGGAATGCTTGGGCAACAGAACGATGGACGGATTCGAGCGACTCAGATCGATAACCGAACCAGAGCAAAACTCAGCAAATCGAACAAGGGGTGGGGAACCGCAACTCCTGTTGGCGGCACGGCTTCGTCTCTGCGCGGATTCAGTTCTGGGGTTGGAGGAACAGCAAGTGTTCTCCAGGCGAAAGGTCTTCGTGCTTCTGGCATTGGTACTTCGCTCGGTGGCAGCGCTGGTACAGCTAGTACAATTGCCTTTACTCCTGTGCAAGGACTCGAGCTTGTTGACCCCAAGGTGCAGGCAGAGTTGAGCCGGAAGCGCAAGGCAGAGGAAGACCGATGGTTCAAGTCGGGTACTTTTACGCAGATTGGCGGTGGCCAAAACAGCAACAACCCCCAGAATGACAATGGAGGTTTCAAGGTGCCACCAATTCCTCCACAGAAGAAAGTCGATACCGGCGAGGGTAAGATGGCTCCTCCACCGCTGCCATCGAAGCGATAGATGGATAGGATGCCTCTTGTTTTCTTTTATCTTATTATATTATTTTCATTACCGATTTTGCTTTCCTGAGCATCTTAAGACTGGCGTTTTTGAGACTGGGGATCTGTTCTGAATGCGCATGATACCATCATTAAATGTATGATAAACTTCAAGAGAGTCGAGAACTCGAAAAGAATGAAATGTCCTAGAGCTATTACTTTTAGCCCTCTCTGCCTTGTTATTAATTATTAATCATTTTTCTACTTTGTTTTCTGTGATTCCGCGATAAATGGTTGGACGATAATCCCGGCTGGGCCACGTGCCGACGCCTCAGCTACCACGGTTCTGACCAAGATCAATACTCCGGGTAGGACGCAAAATTCTGTGAACATGGCGTGCTTGTCCCAAGATTTTTGTCGCTAGAACCAGCTTGGAAAATTCTAGCACGTCAGATTTCAAGTCCAAGCCAGTAAAATGAAGTGTACAGCTCATACAGATCGAATTTATTTCCTTGTTTCCCGGCCTGTGTTCCCTCAATATATACACTTTCGAGAAGCTCCGGGGACTTCTTTACCCTAACCGATCTCAAGAAGGGCCAAACGGGGCGCTAAAGCATAAAGTTGCCTTAGTTGAAAATCCCCCGGCAAGTGACCATCCAATGGAAAGCCGGCGGATTACTCCTGCAAAATGGGCCTCCGGCCCTCTTGCCTAGGGTATTGCGTGCTTTGGAGGGAATTTCACTTCATACCGCCCCTTACCCTGGGGGTCGTTTTAGATATATAGGCGATGGTCTCATCATCGTGTAGAATTTCCCTCATCTGTCTCTGTTCTTCTCGTTTCCTCGCAAAAAGTTCATCCTTCGACAGCACCTTCTTCGCTCCCTCTGATACCCTACTTGCTTTGCCACACATTACCCCCTAAACCCTAATCAACACGCTCCAAAACACCCAAAGAACAGAAAAAGTAAAAAAAACCCCCAAATGGCCCCGGAAATAGGCAAACCCGTCTTCGACGCGAACAGCCCGGAACCTGCCACAGACCTCAAATCCCAGCTTCGCCCTTCTCTATACAATCACTCCCTCGTCACCACAGAATATGATGCCCTGAAATTCCACGCCGCAGCATCCCTCCAGCTCCAATTCGGCCATCCACAGGATTCAGCTTCCCCACAGAGCGACCTCTTAATCACATCGCCGTATAATGATCCTAAACATCTCCTGGATCTCAAAACCCTCGATATACCCAATCAGTTGCTTGCGAAGGCGTTCACGATCCTCAGACCCGTTCGTGACGACTACGCCACGGCAGCTTACACCGAGGCCTTCAATTGGTCGGCTGCGTTTGATTTCCTGCAGTATTTAGCCCGGTTTGAGGGGTACCAGTGGGAGAAGCAGCATTTTTACGTGGTTGTCTTTCGATCCCGGTTGAGGGCCGATATCGATAATCAGCGGTTGCATGATTTGGACGCGTATTCGCACCAGGAAGCCGTTGCTAGTGGAGGGTTATTGAAGTATTGGTTTGGGTCGAAGGACGAGGAGAGGAGGAATTTGGCTACTTGTGAGCACGTGCTTTTTATTTTTTTGAGGGTATCTTTGACTGATGGGGATTCTAGGTGTCTGGCGTAGTCGCAACGATGCCAGATTGGGCGGCACCGGGCCCTGGCATAAGAAGGCCCGTGGGGCGGCGCGAGATCTATACGAGACTATTAGTTTTACGACGTTGAAGTTGGTCATTGAAGATGATGTGCAGGCGTGGAGTTTTACGAACTGGACGGATAAGGATGAATGAGCATTGATTAGGGCTTTCTTACATAGAGAGTTATATATACCATAGAGCGGGCTCTGGGGCTTTTTTCTATATTTGTTTTGAATGTTGGTTATCAGAGCGGTTATTCTAGTATTCTCATACATTTTAGATAAGTTATCTATTTATTATGGCTATGAATAGGGTTCATGTCAAGCTTATTGGCAAAATCAAATTTCATCTTAGCCAGTTAGCGTTCCGTGGCTGGCAGTCTTGAACTCTAGTTTGACCGGGAAACAATTAGCCCTAGAAAATGCGAATTGAGAGGAGCGTATACAGGAAAGAAACCCCCGCAAAGCAGAGGCGTCCTGTACAAAATAGAAAGAGAGCGAGACATTGATCGACAGGAAGAGAAGCAGAGGGGTTGGTTAATCCGGAAATCACATAATAATTGACTAAGATGAGATGTTCGCCCTTTTCTTAGCGAGAGCTCGGGGAGGCCGAGCATATTGCTCATGCAAACATACTGATACATAAACATGGAGCTCAAGTTTCGATTTTATAATCAGACTGCCAAGTCAAAAAAGGCTTGGTACTGTAGCTCTTTTGTATCTAGGCGAAGTAATGCCGAAGAATCGGGGTCTAAAACAAAGCTGGAAGTTCTTTTGACTTCTCGATTTCCAATCCACAGGCTTGATGAGATGACTACAGGGATAATTGACACCATACAGCACACTCTTGCGCAACAACAGATCTTGCAGACTGTTCAATAATGCAACAGGACGCGGTGGTTAAGCCATCAAGGTTTAAACTTATGGTATTATTGCGGGGACGGGTGTCGCCATCCATAGTATGGATGTGAGGGGCCATTGACGGTCTAGCATGCAGCCTCTATGGAATAAAGATAAGAATATCATAGTATGGACCTATCGTGCTCCCCGATAGCGTCATTCAACGCAAAACTGAGCATTGCGAGGGGTTACATTTCCACGGAATGCGTACAAGATACACTTTGCGGTGCTTTTTGAAACTTATAAATATATAGAGAAAGTTTGCATACCTTCCCAAAATGTTCATGGCCTCTGTACATAGATTGCACCCTTTTTCCTTCCAATCTTTTTAAGTCTACACTCACCCTCCTTATCCGCAAGCCACTAGCAAGGCTGCAGAGGATGCCCAATGGGTCTACAGTTCTGGCAAGATAGAGAGAAAGATGCTGCGATCTTCGTGCGGGAAAATAGTAGCTCACAAGAGAGTACCATTCAAGGGGGCGATGCCACATATACAGTAGCGGAAGGTATCAATTCCACCCGCGTAACATATCAAGATGCCAACGGTGCACCCGTGGAGAAGAATTCGCCATTGGGATACGAGGTTAGCTTTTGGACAAGTCTCTGCTTGAATATTAACCAGATGGTTGGAACTGGCATATTTTCTACACGTGAGATGAATCGCAATCCCATCATTTCTGAACCTCCTACTTACTTCCCCAAGCGGCCACTATCCTACAAGGTGTTGGTTCCGTGGGTCTTTCTATGATCTACTGGTTTATAGGATACCTTCTTGCCGAGAGTACCCTGTCAGTTTACTTAGAATTGGCATCCTATTTCCCTAGTCGATCTGGATCGGAAGTTGTGTATCTCGAGCAAGCATACCCCAAACCCGAATACTTTTTCCCTACCACTTTTGCAGTCAAACATGTTATTTTTTCGTTTGGCAGTAGCAATGCCGTCGTCTTTGCCGAGTACATATTTGGGATTGCGGATCATACCTACACGAATTGGCAGTTGAAGGGGGTTGCAGTTGCTACATATACAGTTGCATTCTTAGGTTTGTAGTCAATCTCCTATACAGTGGGGGAATATTTGACTGATAACCCATGCAGTTGTGACCTTGAGTAACAAATGGTCCTTGAGATTCATTGTTTGGTTTGGGTTCATTAAAATTGCGACCTTGCTATTGTATGTAGTGCAGATCCAGGCATGGTGCCTTTAGCCAACTCACCATTCTATACAGGATCTCTATTGCGGGATTAGTCGTGCTTGGAGGGCATACAAGGGTGGAAGACCCAATGATCAACTGGCGCAATGCCTGGGAAGGGACATCCTCAGCAAGCGCTTATGGTGCGACCAATGCCATGGTCAAACTTATCTTCTCCTATTCCGGCTATACCAACGCCTTCAGTGTGGTGAACGAGATCAAGGTTTGAACCCAACTAGCATGAGCATTTAAGGGGTACCAGAGCCTAACGCTGTCCTAGAACCCGATCAAAACACTTCGCTGGAGCGCCCCTTTCTCACTAATCCTTGTCACATCTCTCTATATCCTTGTGAACGTTGCCTACTTTTCGGCCGCCTCAAGGGAAGAAGTGCTCAATTCGAAGCAAATCGCCGCGGGTCTTTTCTTTCAAAAGCTCTTCGGCACTAACGGAGCATCCCGCGCACTGAATGTGCTCATTTGCATCAGTGCATTTGGCAACCTATTGGCTGTTATGGTTAGTTATTCGAGGATGCTTCGTGAAACTGGAAGGTGACACACCCTACCACAACACCATACGTCTTGTTTTGGCTTTGACCTGCTAACACACTGGACCGACAGACAGGGCGTTCTTCCCTGGACTAGGTTCTGGACTTTTACAAAGCCGTTTGGAACACCATTGGGACCTTATCTGGTTCAGTGGGCTATAACCGTTATCATGATTATTGCGCCTCCCGCCGGAGACGCCTTCAACTTCGGTTCGTGGTGACATCCGTTTCCGCGATTTATATCCATTCATTCAACTAACAATGATAATTGAATAGTTGTCGACCTTTCCGTTTACCCCACCAGTATTTTTAACTTCCTCTTGGTGACTGGCCTGCTCTTAATCCGCCGCCGTCGCAATAAACTCAATCTACCCCGGCCTGAATATCGGTCTTGGGCAATTGCGATTGCCTTTGCGCTTTTGGCCAACTTCTACTTGCTGGTTGCCCCCTGGTATCCACCAACGGGAGGTTCAAATGGCGGAGACGTTAGCTTCTGGTATGGTACATATATTGTGGTTGGTATTGGACTGTAAGTGACCCCTCTCTACCTAGTACTAGGGTTAGGTTGACTAACACAACGTTCAGGCTTGCGGCTTGCGGCATATACTATTACCTCTGGATTAAGGTGATCCCTAAATATAAAGGGTACGAGTGGCGACAGACTGTGCTGGAATTCGGCGATGGGTCTGTTGCCCATAACCTGGTCAAAGTCCCCGTTGCAGAACTGGAGCAGTGGAATGAGGAGCATGATGCTGCTGGTCGACTACGCCATCCGACAACGTACCAAACGAGTACCGAGTCGGATTGAAAAGTTGGAATGAACACTTTTCTTAAAAGGACAGGATGGCTTTACCATCGATTTATGGGTGGAGCAATTGGTGCATATCTGCATAGTATTTGTCAAGATGTACCTTACAGATGTACATTTAAGCGCATTATTCTTATATGATAAGAAAGGCCATTCTGTTACCAGAGAAATTTCGACAACATGGAGATGTCTCTCTTTCTCTGGGGAAAAGAAGAAAAAGCCTACCCGTCCGAAGGCATTTCTATAGCTATGGCCCTCGAGATGAGGGTATATAGATGTCACAACTAGCCGAAAAGAACTAAAGAAGCTCGTGTTCGCTCCAAATACTCCGGTCATTAGCCTGTCGGAAAGTCCCCCACACATATTTTGTTCTCTTTTACATTGTTTCGGTTGCTATTATGGAGAGGCCCAGCATTCCGAATAGTTGCATCGGCTGTGAGTGACAAGCATCGTCAAACGACCATGGAGCCGCAACAATTCATTTTTTGCTAGATAATACTAATGGCACAAGGGATGCGTCGCTTAGAAAAGTGTGTTATGTACTCAAAACCCTCTGCTTCCAAGACGGGGCTCTTTCATTGGCTCGGAGGCATGGCATATTATATGGCGCTGGGCGTCGCTGTCTGGATTAAACGTGTCGCTAAGTCCATACCGCCGATAGATACATCCAGCTTTCAATAAGATTATTGGCCCGCACTATCTGGCTGAGTGCGTTATATATATCATACTTGCGGTTTTGGCTGCGCCCGAGAGGCAGTTCATAATTACAACTGTTTTCACGGTGTTTGTCTTTATAATTGCCAACCTAGGGGCATCGGCTGCACAAGCTAAGAGTTGGTACATGCAGAGATTTGGAGAGGCAAGTGTGTATGACCGGTGGAGGATGATCCCCGGGATATTTTGACGTCCTTGAGGTTGAAGCCTATTGTTGTGATTTAAGAACTTCTTCCACAGCTGGTCATCGAAGAGATATAAGTACTCAAGCCAAGGTCATTTGTTCGATACGGGATCTAGTATCCCGACTTTTTGTTCAATATAATCCAGTTGTGTAGTTAATAACACGATACTGAATAACCTAGTAAGAAACGAAATATACAATACAAATGAAAAGGTAAAAATATTGGATTTAACTATGCGAGGATATTATATCACAACAATAGTTGAGACAACACAGTACTATACTCGGTCACCTTCAAATTTTGAATTATAGTAAATTACTAAGTATTATCAGTGTCTATCACTGTGTTTTATTATTATTATTTTTTGGCTAGTCCTTCCTATAGGACTGGTGTGTTAATAATCCAGCTTGACGAGGTTGCTTCCTGATCGTTATAGCTACCCTGCTGTGATGAGCTTTGCTACTATGAGACTGGTAACTATTGGATATTGACTATTTGATGCTATGTTCGACGCATATCTTAATCTAAGTCCTCGGGTTACTTGTGAAAATGCCATACCTTCAGGTTTGATATATGTGCATCTCCACTCTTGATATAGATGACGGGAGTAGAGTGATCGCCATGTGATACCGTCGACGTAGCATTTATAAAGAATTAGCTATTTATCTAGAGATTTTAGAATAAAACAGGTGGTATGATACAGGGTAGTTTGCTGGTTTCTTGAGGTGTCTCTTGTGATACATGTCTCTGGAGCAGAAACATGGTGCTATATATAGAGTTCTCCGAATACTGAGTAGTGGGATTTAAAACTAGGCGAATGCTTTTGTTTGCAATGGTTTAATTCAAGTAGCCTTGGGCACTATTGTTCTGCATGCGCTGGTTGGTTGTAGTGGTTGTGCCTGTACGACATCCATGGAATTGGTCCTGAAGTGATTCCTTCCTCTGTCTCATGAACATCACCTTCCTCTCTGTCTCTTTGCATCACCTTGACATAGCTAAGCCGCTAAGGCGACAATGGACTGATCACCGTCATCTCTTCAAAAAGCCTCTCTTGTTGTGTGCACCAAGTTGATCACACTACAACCCGACCGTCGCTTGACAAAAGCTTTTCTCTTTTAATATTGTTCCTGTATTAAATCGCCTACTCTCCATATCCTGGGACTATTTCCTTTAATTTACTTGCGCTCATTGTGGACGCTACTGAATGTTTATACTTTATTTCTGCGTCAGACTTTACGCCTCAGCCGCTGCAGTATCGCCAAAATTTCTTTCCCTCTTTCATTTCCAGACCTAGACTCCGTCAAGTTAAAACAGGATCTTACTCGTTGCTCCTGGTTGCTGCTGACTTGATGGTTGCTAAGTTGACTTGCTAACACGCCGATTTCACTTGGCCTTTCACTAAGCCACATTACTCACAACCGGCCAAAATGCGACCGTTCTCTTTGTTTGTTTACTTGCTAATGTTTCTGGCATATACAGTGGTGCTCGCCGACGAATTTATCGAGTCCAGAGCACTGAGTCTTTGCTCCAACAGTAGGGAGTTTACAGCAACCTACTTCAACGTGAGGTTCACGCCGAAGAATCGCACGATTGCGTTGAGCTTTAATGGGAAGTCATCAATATCGGGCAAAGTGATCGCAGAGTTGATTATCACGGTTTATGGTTACACTGCCATGACAAAAGTGCTGAATCCTTGCGAGATGGATCTAGCAGGACTTTGCCCAGTGAGAGCCGGCGAGATCCCGGTGATGAACACCAATATCAAAATCCCTGATTCAGTCATATCACAGATTCCTCGTAAGTTTATGTCCAAGCTGCCCAAGGGTGGCTTCTGAAGACCAACGGCTGCCCTAACTTAATTTATGCTTTAGGTATTGCCTATACTGTCCCAGATCTAGATGCATCCGTGCGCGTTTTCATCAACTCCTCCGACACAGGAAGAAGTATTACTTGTCTCGAAGCGGAGCTTTCGAATGGAAAAACGGTCTACCAGCCAGGTGTTGGTTGGACTACGGCCATTATATCCGGACTAGGTCTGGCTGTTTCTGCAGTCACCTCTGCGCTTGGTCACGCAAAAGCTGCGACACATATAGCAGTCAATGTTCTCTCGCTTTTTGGGTTCATGCAGTCACAGGCAATGTTTGGAATGTCATCAGTTCATATGCCTCCAATCGTACAGTCATGGACGCAAAATTTCCAATGGAGTATGGGTATTGTCCGTGTCGGCTTCTTAGAGAACTTGTGTACTTGGTACCAGCGATCTACAGGTGGACAGCCATCGACTATCATTGCAGACCGCTCCAAAAAATCGATTCATATACTCAAGAAGCGTTTTCATGACATTTTGGTCAAGCGAGTTGGTGGAGCAGGGGAGAATACACATAACAGCATTGTCATACGCGGCATCCAACGTGTTGGGTATAAGGCACGAATCGAATCGACCAACATCTTTTTGACAGGCTTGATATTCTTCCTCTTTTTTGCCACACTTGCAATGTTCTGTATTGCAATAGCCAATGTTGGCTACAAAGTCCTCGTCAGGTCTGGAAAAGTCAAGGGTGACGAAGTGAGATGGAAGCTTATTACAAAGGGGATCCTCTTCCGGGCAATCTTATTTGGATACCCTCAGTTGTGCATCCTTTCTTTGTGGGAGTTCACTCAACGTGACTCTCCTGCTGAGCTTCTCCTTGCTGCTGTCATGCTATTGACTACAACTTTTGCTATTGGTTTCGCAACATACAAGGTTGCCTCTCTTGCAAGGCAGTCGGTGAAGTTATATCGAAACCCAGCTTATATTCTCTACACAGACCCTTCCTGTCTAAATAAATGGGGCTTTCTATATGTGCAATACCAAGCCAAGGCCTACTACTTCATCCTACCGGCCTTCGCCTACATGATAGCGAAAATCATGTTTATCAGCCTCAGCCAACCTGCTCCAGTGGTGCAAACCATCGCATTGGTGATCATTGAGGCTTTCATGCTGATTACAGTGAGCATCTTGAGGCCCTGGATGAATAAGAAGACTGATATTTACAACATCTCTATTGCTGCTGTCAATCTTGTCAATGCGATCTTTCTGCTTATTTTCTCGAATATTTTCAGCCAGCCAGGTATTCTAACAGGTGTGATGGGAGTAGTATTCTTTGCCTACAATGCAGTTTTCTCACTTGTCCTCTTGATCCTCATCTTGATTGCTTCTATCCGCGCTGTCCTATCAAAGAATCCCGATACTCGATACCAACCAATGAGAGACGATCGCGAATCGTTTATCAGGTCACAGTCTCAACACCAATTGAATACTGAGTTGGATGCCTTGGGTGCCGCTGCTCGGGGTGAAAAGCATTTCAATCACCAAAATTCAACTCCAAGCCTAGTGGACACCATTGACAGGCATCAACATCCTAAAGAGTCGAATTGTGAAGATATTGGAGCGAACCAAACCTCGGTACGGCTTCTTTCGAATGATGCTTTGACATGCCAGCCCTGCCGCAGCCATGATGAGATACTTGCTAGACAATCGCCTCATTCAGTTGAACAATCATACAATAACACCCCTACAAACGCCGACCTTGCATCGCCTGCCGACACCCGCAGGGCTCGCAGCAGCCCAAATCCATGGCAAAGGGGAGCTGGATATGACAGAAAAAATGAACTTTAAGAGCGTGCCGGAGACTGTCCTTGTTACATGTTATCTTTTGGGTTCTACACTTTATGTGAGCCTGCAAGTGGCTGTCCATTAGGGGTTTTGTTTCATTTACAGGCTAGTCTGACTTTCACTGACTGCTTTTGACCACAAACTATATGTGATTGACCATGTGTCATCTTCAATTTCAAACAATTCTCGACAATCTTGATGTATGACTCGATATCATTACATGAGGTTTCCAGCGGTTTAATTCATTGCACATACCTTAGTTTACTGCATCACCTTTCTTAGCCGACTCCTCTTTTCTGATGTCTTCTCTCCTTGCTTGCTAGCTGACAAAATGGAGAGACCGCCATCTCTTGATTTGAAATTAGAATTACACGCCTGATACCTTGCCAATACAATTGTGAGCAAATATGTATATTGTCGCCTGTGTTCCTTAGCCCTAGCCCAAGTCATACCCAATCCCCGAGAAAGAGGTTCTAGACCGCTGCATGATCTATACATGTGACCCAGCAGAGACACGAAGTATTCATGCTTCTTTGGTTTTTAGACTGCGTGGTCGCTGAGCGCTTCATCCAAGTTAATGGTTATGATGGTCATGGGACTGTGGTTTCGCGACTGCAGCTGGTCTTCGAAATATCACTGTCATCTTGAGCCTCATGAGTAACGGATTTTACTGAGGGCTATTGTATTGCTCCAAGAGTGGACAATAGATTCACCAAAAAAAAAGGGTTAACCACTGAAGAATCCCTGGAACAGTCTGGTTTGTAGTGGTATTTCTTGATCTTACTTACCCGAATCCTGCTCCTTTTCTACAATGTCACTCTATAAGTTATATAGGACCCCTAGGAAGCGTAGCCAATCGCTCAGGACGTAAGTATTCCTTTAGTCCTCATTGGAATTGATGCAAACAGGTAAGAAAACCAAATCACATACTCTCCATTCTCCATGGACCAGACTCTCATTGTTTGTCCATATGCAAAATAGTCATATGGAGACGCAGGTGCGGATCCCACTTGGTTCAACCGAGTTGCGCACACACTGGATTCCACAAATCATGGAAAGACAATTGAAATCTGATAATCAGTCGCCAGGATTCCAAGACCAATTTGCTTCTTGAGCTATGAAGATAAAGAACCAAAGGGGTATGGTTACCCGCATCGCCGTGGGGACCTACTCCACACTATTCCAGAACAGGAACAGTTGCCCGCTCCTGTGGAGAGTGCCCAATGGGGAAATATTGCCTCGTCCAGTCACCAAGTACAACTTTTGCGGCATGTTACTGGTGATAACGCGACAAGTCTCTCTTATCCGATGCGGGGCAGGGTGGAACATGATGACATTTGCAATACACATCCCATTAATGGACTGGGGAGGGTCGGCTATAAAGACGGGCTCAAATCCAGATGAAATGGCGATTACTACACGTCTCCTACTGTCTTCATTCCTATCAGATTGACCTTTCACAATGCCCGGAATCCTAGCTGAGACTACCCTGACCGTTAACGATGGTCCCTTGACCTCGGAAAATGCTGCGTACCTCCGACCTTCCGATCCTAAGCTTTCCCTCGAGGAACTCCGCAAGCGCTACGATGAAGATGGTTACCTCTTCTTGAAGCAAGTGTTACCTCGGGAGGATATCCTCGAAGCCCGCAAACAGTACTTCGAGTACCTCGCTCCTACTGGAGTACTTCATGTTGGGACCGAGCCGGTGGAGGGCGTCTTTAACAGAGAGAAATCCATCGATGATTACCCCGGCATTGGGGCGGGCCATGTGGGCGGGAATGGCCGTCCAGGCGGGGATAGCGCAGCGCAGTTTGTTGACAGGGCTATCGAGGCCCATTATAAGGACTGGTATACGAAGAACGTGGTCAACCACCCCGCCTTGTATGATTTTATTGCCAAATTCACCGGCTGGGGCAAGGACACTTTGACGTTCAAGCGGACTCTACTAAGAAATAATATCCCCGGCTCGAAGCCAATTGGTGTTCATTATGATCAAATTTTCCTACGATATGGTGAGCCTACGGCGGTGACAGCTTGGGTCCCTATTGGGGATATTAAAATCAATGGAGGAGGGTTGATTTATCTGGAGAATGGTATGTGTGGATAGCGTGGATGGGCTTTTTGGTAATAGACTGACAGTTGCTAGGTGACTCTGTCGGCCAGAAGATCGAAGACGAATTTACGGCCAAGGCACTCAAGGCAGGTCTAACGGATGAAGAGGCTAAATCGGCCTTTAACTCCAATATGATGTCCACCGGTCTGCTCTCTGAATTCCCGGCTGAGTTTGCTAAGGAAAATGGCCGGCGTTGGCTCGTCTCCGCGTACGAGGCTGGCGACGTGGTGTTGCATAAGCCTCATGTGGTTAGTTCATTATCTTGTGGGATATTGGATAGAGCGACGCTTAACTTGTGTTCAAGATCCACGCGTCGACAATCAATAATGACGAGGATAATGTCATCCGCCTTGCAACTGATTTGCGATTCTGCGATTCGTCGAAGCCATATGACAAGGTTCGTTCTCTTGTTCGCCCGTCCACCTTGATAGAAACTGACACCGTGCAGAGGTGGATGAATTACTATAGATTTAACGATGGTGTTTGAAATGGGACATGACTTGGCCTTTTCTTTTTCACATTTGAAGCCAACCGTATACGATACGTTTTAATACATGATGATTTTTCTTTTTATGAGATGACATTCGCGGATATCAGATTATGCGAGCTGAATTTATTACTGAGGATGCGCCAGCAGTTTCTGTATAGCATACATGAACGAAAGATCTCAGTATCCTCCCATTTATGTCAAGCGCGACTCGGTCTTCACTGAAACCTTTAAGTCCTGTATTGCATTTCAAAAGGTACAGTGGCAGATCCTGCTATCATTAGCACTGTCGTCTCGGGTAGGTTTTTTTTTTAAGAGAACATAACGTACTGCTGATCATCACAGTAGCCACCCGTCCACCCGGAGCCTTGATTGATGCACTGAACATAGTCAATCAGCATTCATCCTCATACCACGGACTCAACCATTATACCGTAGTACGGCACGTAACATCGGCAATATCGTCTCCTCCATGAACCTGGCAGGACGTATCGGCGCTCAAGACGATATCCCGGAGTGGGATACCCATGGTGAGAGAAGCAAGGGCGGCTGAGGCGAAGAAAGCGAAGGTATTCATTCTTTTGGAGATGATTTATGACGTGGATAATCAGTTCTGGGTATGAAATGAAAATATAAAACGACTTCCGCAGCTGCAGACGGACATCTTTTACAATCGGATTAAACGCAATGACGCTACTTGCTTAATCGGCATCCTTACGTTCGCCCTGAAATGCAGGTGTTGCAATTCGGCGATCTGCGGCAATATCGTGCAGATCGGCTCGGCCTCTTTGGGGTGGTGATTGATGTTGCTATGCAAGGGTTGTACTCTTTTTGGAGTTGTCGGGTGGCGAGACAGCTCTGATCATGTTTTACTTGTTGGGTTATTTGCTTTGTGGCCTTATTGTTGCAGCGCGACTCATCGATTGTATAATTACATATTTGTCCGGTTCGTATTTGTTGGGAGAAAAGCCTTGTGTCAGATTTTGGTATACCGTCGATTTACCAGCTCCGATTGGACCAGAGTACTGGACCCTTCAATATCTACGGGCCACAGTAGACTAAGAGGTACTTGTCGGACGCCTCCTTGGAACATGACCTGAGATTGAGAGGTAAGTGCGGTTAAGTGGTTTAGCTGTTGACACCTGAAGAGAAACTTAGGCATGGGGACCTTCGGATATATCACGTTGCCAGAGCACATGTGACAATATGATAGGTCGCCGGTGGGCGCTTTTCGAGGCACCAATCTTGAGATCATGTGATCAAACTTAATAATAGTCGGTGTAATGGAATTCACTACAGGGATTAAGACAATGGCCATCCAAGGCTATCAGAAAGAACTGTATCCAAGCAATTGCAGTAGTATCCTTATAATAAGCAGGAGGTCAAATAGTTAAGTTGGCTACTATTATTACCAGGTCTGGTATGATACCCGGCTGATAGACACCAAACTAAATAGAGGCCGGAGGGAGAGTTGATCCGGAGAAAATCAGCAAAGCCCCGCCAGGCCAGGGCCGGAGTGAGAAGTCCCTCTTGCGGCCCCTCTTCTCACTTTCTTTCCTGCTGTTCTCCTTTTAATTCTTCTCTCCCCTCGCCCCAATCCACTCTTCTTCCTCCTCTTCCATCCTCCCATTCCTCTTTTTTCTTGATACCATTTTCCTCAGTGAGTCATTTATTTTCCTCCTACTTCTCCTGAAGGTAACCATTGCTAACAATCCTCCAGTACCTTTATCTTTCCCTCATACCATAAATAATCAGCAACCATGGCTGCTCCCGCTCACAAGTTCAAGGTCGCCGACATCGTACGTGTCTCCTCAAAAGTGCCGAAGATACTGTTATTTCCATGTTGTTGACCCCAATCCTTAGTCCCTGGCTGCCTTCGGTCGCCGCGAGATCGAGCTCGCTGAGATTGAGATGCCCGGTCTGATGGCCATCCGTCGCAGATATGCCGAGGACCAGCCTCTCAAGGGTGCCCGCATTGCTGGTTGCCTTCACATGAGTATGTTCAAGTACCTTGAGAGTTTACATGCGAAGACTGTCCTGACCTCTCTCTAGCCATCCAGACCGCCGTCCTCATCGAGACCCTCGTTGCCCTTGGTGCCGAGGTTACCTGGACCAGCTGCAACATCTTCTCCACTCAGGACCACGCCGCTGCTGCCATCGCCGCTGCCGGTGTCCCTGTGTAAGTAGACCAGCAACACCATTCCGATAGTTCATGTCAAACTAACATGTCTTAGCTTCGCCTGGAAGGGTGAGACCGAGGAGGAGTACAACTGGTGCTTGGACCAGCAGCTCTCCGCTTTCAAGGATGGCAAGAAGCTCAACCTCATTCTCGATGACGGTGGTGACCTCACCTCCCTCGTCCACGAGAAGTACCCCGAGCAGCTCAAGGACTGCTACGGTCTTTCCGAGGAGACCACCACCGGTGTCCACCATCTCTACAGAATGCTTAAGGAGGGCAAGCTGCTCGTCCCCGCCATCAACGTCAACGACGCCGTCACCAAGTCCAAGTTCGACAACCTTTACGGTTGCCGTGAGTCCCTCATTGACGGTATCAAGCGTGCTACCGACGTCATGATCGCCGGAAAGGTCGCCGTTGTTGCCGGTTACGGTGACGTCGGCAAGGGCTGTGCTCAGGCTCTTCACAGCATGGGTGCTCGCGTCCTTGTCACTGAGATTGACCCCATCAACGCCCTCCAGGCCGCTGTCCAGGGCTACGAGGTCACCACCATGGAGGAGGCTGCTCCCCTTGGTCAGATCTTCGTCACCACCACCGGTTGCCGTGACATCCTCGTTGGCAAGCACTTCGAGGTTATGCGCAACGATGCCATCGTTTGCAGTGAGTAGCTGTCTCGAGACATCTTGGGGGTTCATTGTATACTAACGTGATTAGACATTGGCCATTTCGATATCGAGATTGACGTTGCCTGGCTCAAGGCCAACGCCAAGTCCGTTCAGAACATCAAGCCCCAGGTTGACCGTTACCTGATGCCCAGCGGCCGTCACATCATCCTTCTCGCTGAGGGTCGTCTTGTCAACCTTGGCTGTGCCACTGGCCACTCTTCCTTCGTCATGTCCTGCTCCTTCTCCAACCAGGTCCTTGCTCAGATCGCCCTCTTCAAGGCCGAGGATGAGGCTTTCGGCAAGAAGTATGTCGAGTTCGGCACCACTGGCAAGAAGCCCGTCGGTGTCTACGTCCTGCCCAAGGTTCTCGACGAGCAGGTCGCTCTGTGCCACCTTGAGCACGTCAACGCCAAGCTCTCCAAGCTCACCCCCGTCCAGGCTGAGTACCTTGGTCTTCCCTCCGAGGGTCCCTACAAGGCCGACCACTACCGTTACTAATCTTCTTTCCGTTTGTTGTTGATTGGTATACCCTAACCTAGATTCTGTTCAACATATCACGATGTTACGAATAACATAGAGCTCCATTTAACTTGGGCTCAAAAGTATTTTGTCTTCAACGGCAATAAAAGTGGCATATATGGGGGTTTTTACGGATAGTTGTTTATGGGTTGGCTTACCTATTTTGCATTCAACAGTGCGTCCTAATGGGTCATGTCTTTTAATGTTTACCTTTGGCGATTAGATGAAAGCCATCTCTGGTGAGATGGAGACAAGAGGCAGATGCTATAGAGCATTTGATATAATAAAAAAAAAAAAAAAGAAACCAAGAATTGCCTGAACAAGTTCCCTTAGCCTTTAGCGGAGTTTAATCCTCTTCGTCTCATTGCAATGTAGAATGCTCGCTTTATCGTGTCGCCCGCTACCTAAGTCGTGATATTATGTTCACATTTATAGAGACTTCATCAGTCTAGCCATCATGTCCGCCACGCTGACCGCAAACTCCGGGTCGTTGATATCCCTCGGATCTCTGACAATTGAGATACCACTTCCGTCCAGCTCCTTCTCCAACGTAGAGAACAAGACCTCATCAACCTCCGGATCATGAAACGGCTGGCCCGGTGTATCAATCATACTAATACCACCCGTAGGCAAGACCAAACGAATCAACTCCGGCGCCGCACACGCCCTCAACTTCTCCGCAATAAACCTGGCAATCTGGCGCGTCTCCTCTGCATTGGGTCTCACCAACGTAACCGTCGGATTATGCTCATAGCTCAACCGCCCCTGGTACCGCGGGGGAACGGTGTCCGGCGGTCCAAAATTGACCATATCACACGCCCCCACACTGACAACCTGCGGAATGCCCGCCCGCGCAGCAGCAACCAACCTCTCCGGCCCCGCAGAAAGCACACCCCCCATAACTTCATCGACAACCTCACTCGTCGTCAAATCCACAACAGCATCCAACATCCCCTCCCGCACCAACCTCTCCATCGCCTTCCCCCCAGCCCCCGTCGCATGAAACACATACACCTCCCACCCATAGCCCTCCTCCAAACGTTTCCGTATACAATCCACGCCCGGCGTCGTAACCCCAAACATCGTAATCCCCACCCTCTTCTTCATTTCCCCCTCCCCTCCTCCAACACCACCACTACCCGCCGCCCTCTTCTGCCCAAGATACCCAAGAGCCATCGCCCCCACCGCAACCCCCGCATTCCGCAATATCCCCTCCAATATCCAATTCCGCCCCGCAATATCAACAACACTGTACATCATCGTAATATCCGTCTCCTCAACATACGGCTTCACATCCCCGCTCGCCATCGTCGATACCATAACCTTCGGAAACCCCACGGGAAGCGCATTCCGCATAGCCGCCGTGGCGATGTTCGTTCCACAGCTTCCTCCCAGCGAGATTATCCCGTGGATTTTGTCCTGGCTGTAGAAATCTCGGACGATTTTTGTGGCGCTTTCCGACGCGAACTTTATGTATTCGGCTCGTGGAAGGTGGCTTAGGGGTTTGTTGGTGGTAGGGTGAGTTTGGGGGATTGTGAGGTCGATCTCGGGGGTGGTGGATGAGGGTGGAGGGATGCGGCTGACGTCTAGGAGGAGGATGGTGGAAGAAGGGTTTTGGGTGAGGATGGCTTGCCGAGTGTAGGTTAGTTCGGGGTATTTGGTGTCGAAGGTTCCGAGGAGGAGGATTGTGGGGTTGGTGGTGGTGGACATTTTGGTGGTTGTGATTGTAGTTAGGGTTATGGTTGTGAGGGGTGTGATATCAGTTATGTAGTATATGATGGAGTGTGTATGGTTGGACTTGATTAAGGGAGGATTGAAGGTTTTAGGTTGGTTGAAGAGATTTAGGAAAGTGTATATATGCATACGGTGTGTCAGTATATATGACTTGGGATTTGTGACTGGGATTAATTAAACGATTATGTGCTGGTCGGTGGGGTGACGTCGTATTGGTTGGATTAAATCATCGTGCAGATCGAGGGGTATTTGTGAGTGATATTTGATATTCTTGCCACCAGCATTAATAGAGGGGGGGGTCCTTTATTCTGTAGAATGGAACGGGAAAGCCTAGTGTAGTTTAACTGAACCTTCGGCTGGCTTTGCTTAGTGATGCCGATTTACTTTCGATTTAACTTGGTTGATTAGGGCGTTGTTGTAGGCCATTATCCTAAGAGGAGCGGTTCATTCAACATTTGTTGCGAAGTTTTTGTACAGGAGGTTTCGTCTTATAGTGTGTGAGGCCTTTTCAGTGAGTCTGGATATTTCATGATTTACTTATGTGTACTTATATTATTTATTCCCTGTGTGTGCCCTTATTTTATTTAAATGCACAAGTATGAAAGTGTCACTGCCCCGGAGATCACTTCCGAGGTGGGGATCTGATCTATGTCGATCTTTAAGTTGTCTATAACAGCCACCTCTGGGCCTATTGGACTTTGTGCTTGATTTCCAGGAATTTTAAACCATTTTAAGCCCCTGTCAATCAATAGATAGTCCCATGGGTTTAATTTTCGTCTTGTAAAAAACCTGCAAAATTCAATAAACCGCCGATCTTGGAGACACTATCTGTCGACGATTGAATCCCCCCACCTAAACCACTGGTTTTAGAATACAATAAAACAACATATAAAGACTGAGAAAACCGATCAACCGAGCAGCCATTTGATAAAATTTCAAGCAGCGCGGCAAGCCATACGCTGAATGTGTCACGTCCTCTCGGGACCACGCGGGCGCAAAAGCATGTAAGAACGCGCCCAGTGCATGCGAGGGTCCCGATGCGTTCAAGACATGCTATCAGGCGGACCTTCAAACTTTCGCCGATAACGTCGATCATAAAGTGCGCTACGAATCGGTACTGACTTCATTTGCTAAATGTGCAAGTGCCTCTAGGCTATATACATGGGAGATTTGTCGTGCTGACCGACTTAGCTGTAGAGCCAGGACTTGTTGGAGAGTCTGTAGGCGGGTGTAGTCGATGGTGAGACAGCAGAAGGAGTTTTGAAGACGTTGTATGATGCGGAAGCACAGATTAAGGGGGAGAAGGGGGGAGGGGTGGGGGGGGGGGGGGGGTTATGAATTTAGCTTAAGGGATGTCTGTTTGGGACAATACCTGGTGTCTGGGTGTGTTTGTGTGGTGTCGCCTTTTGGAGCTTTGCTTGCCTCATGTATTCGAGAGTACTATTCTCACGATTTTGTACCGCATTCGACCTCTGCGGTCTACCGTTTTATCGTTTCTATGAGTTGGGTTCTGCATCTGGAACTACAGGACTCGAATGGGCTCCATTTGATGCAATATTGCTATTCCTTGACGCACCTTTCCAGAAGGATGTCATGATACCCAGACCACAGATCGTAAACACTGCAAGACAACTCTCCAATCAAGCGTCCATTTTATGCCAAAGACAACTGACAGCAGTCATCAACCTCATACTTGTTCCGAGACCCGCCATTTTCATCAACCCGCTCAACCCACGCCCAAACCACATATGACCAGGATATCTCACCGATCCCAAGCATCATCATACATCGACTGACCGGGCTGCGGCAACTGATGAGTAGGTCTACTATCCCCCACAGCGCCATTCGCCCTGGTATCATCACCCGTCTCTTCATGATCCTCCGCACTAGAGATCCGAATAAACCGATTTGCTTCCGTTCTTCTCATCCAACCCGGTTCCCGGCTCACATACGTGCTGGCAATCTAATACACAAACCCTTAGCTCCAAGCCAACCGATATTTGAAGAATAAAGAATCAAGAACGAAAGTAAAGCAAAAGAAGCATACCTGAATAACCAAAACCAAGACTGCAGCCCAAAAGACCATCCACGCCGCACTTTTATCCTCCTGCTGCCACGGCTCTAGACAAGCCCTGTCATACCCGATCTGCCGGACACAGGCATCGTCACCGTTGGCCCCACCCTTGAAAGGCCATGCTCTATCCTTGGTGCTTCTGAATCCGCAGCAATGGAGGCTATCCTGGATGGCGCGGATGGCGCGAGAGTCCTTGTTGTGGAAGTAAGATTGCCATTGGTTGTTGAGTTGGCATAGCAGGAGGTCTGGGGCGACGAGGTAGGTTAGGGCTACGGTTGCGAGACCGGAGGGGAGGATTGTGAGGAGGTAGGAGACTATTGAGGCTATGAGGCGGTGTCGCAAGGTCGGGGTGTTGGTGCCTGTTGTGGGTGGGTTGGAAAGGAATTTGCTGATGAATAGGAGGAATGGAGCTAGTACTGGGAGGATGGCAGTTGTTGCTGTTAGGGGGAGGGGGAGGGGGAGGTAGAAACGTGTGGTCCTCGCCCAGGCGATCCTTTTTTTGAGGGGTTGTTTGTTAGCGCTGTTGTTTGTTAGGGATAGGGGCGTGACGTACGCGCCGAGGATTAGGGAGACGGCTGTACACTGTTGACGGTGTTGTTAGTTGAGTTGTCTTTGTCTGGTCTGAGGGATCGTACCAGGAAGAGAAAGCCTAGGAGTAGCTGCATTGTTCCTGGTGAAATGAGGATCTTTGACAGAATCGCGTGGTCGGTTGTTGAAAGGAAGAACAAACACGATGGACGTAAAGAGTTGTTGATGAGTTGGATCGTGTGCGGGGTTAGACTTAATTGATGTAAGAGGCTGCGATATGCAGGGTCTGCAGACACCTCCTACCACTGTTTCACTGGAGATGAAAGGCTTCTTCGAGCTGTTGTTCGCGATGACGAAGCGCCATAGCAGCATCATATGATGTCTACAACAAAGATCTCCAAGGTTTCAAACAACAAAGGTTATATTACCATACACGTCTCAGTCTATCTTCAGGTGCGTTACAAATATCGTACGCTCAATGTAACCATATTAACAAAGAAAAGGAAAACGGAAGGAAGCCCACTTCCCTAGCCCCGAGTTTAGCCTTGCTGGTTCACTTTCATGAATCCGCCCAGACGCCCATTTCACCAAAGACACACCCCAGTGTGTTGGTCAGAAGATGAGTCCGACACACACTACGTCATGGCTAAGGAACTCATTCGCCCCCGTCACATTGTGAGCCCTCCTGAATGAGAAGATGTAATCTACTTCTCGACATCTTCTCAAAGGCTCTTTGACAGATGGCGAAGATCGTCATCAGTGGAAAACCCACGCACAGCCTGGTAGTATGCTGCCCCGCAGCCCCGGGCTTTGACGTGGTGATGACGACTTTGACTGAGTTGTCCCTGTCCTGTACGATATTGAAGTAGTACAGCGGGACGTCGACATCATTTCCTTATATGTCCTCGGGGGGGAGGTACCCGAGACATATCGGTGGCGTTCCTAGGGCCCATAGGTTCCTGAGCTAGTTGCAAAGGACTATGCTAGGTATCGATTAGTACTATCCAATTAAGAAAAGCCCTCAGAATGCCCATTTCGCAGGAAATGCTTCCACAGTCTGTACATGAAGAAGCGGTACAATTCGTGAGAGAATTGCACGTGGTGGGGGATGATGTTCACCACTCGCAAGAAACATGGTGTTGAGATGATGTAGTAGGCATCACGATAAACCGGAACGGATGCCCGACTAGCACCACTGAGCAGCCTGTTAGCACCAGGATTACTATTCAGGAGATCGTCTCTCAGGACCTCAGGATGGATTTGTAGCGCTCCTGGCTGTGTCGGTGAGATTTGCCGGCCAGCCTAGCCAGGGGCCACATTAGGTGTCTGTTCATTATTTGGACCATTTTTGTGGTTGATAGATCGACGCTGTGCCACTTCCACTCGGAGGTCTTTCCGGTTCTGATGTTTTAGAAGGTTAGCTGCGCTCGCACCAAGCAACATAACTTTGATAAAGTGCGCGCTAATCGGAAATAGAATCAAAGTAAGCGACATACTTGAATATAGTTATGAATTTGAGTTTGAAAGGTCAGAATCCTTGGAATGATATCAACGGCGTTGATAGTCGTGGAAGGATGATGTAAGAGCTGGAAGAAACGAGTGCAATCTATGCGCAAAGTAGGCCGGGCGTCCGCCCACCCCCAAGCTGTCTAGACTGAACATTTCTGAGAGAACAGACGGGCACCCAAGCATGGGAGGCTGTCATGCGTCGTTCATTTGGAGCCGCAGTGTGATTAACTAACTGCTTTGATATTGGTTGAGACTTGTACATTGAGGTATTTCGGTAAGTCCCGTAAAGCTCCCAGATTTACGCTTCCCTGGGCCTAAATATGGTCGAGACTCATCATGTGCCTAGCCTGAGATTCCTTAGTCTATGTGACTTGTTGCGTGGCGAGCTCTGTTGAACTCGACACGTTTCTGCAGTTGGTCGTGGTGATAGATAGCCTTTCGGACATTTCCGAAAGAGATCCTGAATTCTAATCAGGATCTAGACTCATGCAATTCATCTTGCCCGGAGCTCAAAGAGACACCTCGATCGTCAAAGCATGAGTCCGAACGTATCTATCCATGCCGTTTGACCTAGTCTCCACATTCTACCCCGGCTGAACTGCATTCGTCTTTAAACCGAGCGACAGGCTTTACCTTAACAGATGTTGAGCCAACAGGCCCGGGTTGTCAGTCTCTAAAAACCGCCGGTCAAATTTGTCGGAGACTAGCTTCCGCTTGGCATTTTTCCCAGTCTTTCTGTACTCCAGTAATTTGATCAATAGCCTCTTGATTGCAGTCGTGATGGGTGTATCAAGGTTCACTTGCTAGGAGCACGAGAATAATTAGTTTTACTAGGCTTCAGGTCAGAGGCAGACGATATCGACTTGAGCACGATCAGTTGTTTTCAAACTGGCTGATGGTCGTATTGTGTTATTTAAAGATACTATCTACTAGGCCTTCCCAGAATAAGATAAAATAAGAACTAATCAAATATATAGTCTTGATATAATTATCTAGTTATACCCGAGCGTTAACGGGTCGGTTACTAAGATAGGGCTATGGGTGGAATTGCGGTAGGTATTGACTTCAGGTTAGGCTTAGCGTTCGTTGTTGCTCAAGTATTTGAAGTAACGAAAAGAAATCGAACAGAACTAAACATAAATGATAGTTCGAAATTGGCTAATAAAAATAGGTACTAAAGAGCCTATAAAACGTGTGAGACACAGAAAAGGAATGGATCAATCATATTAATATACTAAAGTAAAGGAGTCAAGAAAGTATATTTATAATTCATGTTCCCTCTTCACGGGGCTGAGATCTTCGTCACTGTAGGATCTAATGAGAAGAAAACTCTCCCTATGGGCACTTACGGAATTCCCGAAGGCCATATCTTGGATAGTCGAAGTCTCTCATTTGCCAAAGGCAACTGCTTGTAAGGGTGAGGCCCACGTTATTTTGAACTCCCTAAGCAGTGATTTCCTTGAGAGTTGGCAATACATTGCAATGTTTGGCAGATCCCTCGAGCTTGGGAAGAAGGATATCCAAACAAACAGAAACCTTCCAATGCTACCTTTCTCAAAGAACCCTTCGTTCCATACCATTGATCTCAATGAGGCGCAAAAACATCAATCGGGACTTCTTAATAGCTCATGCCCTCATGTACCGAATCAGCAAAGCTCTGGGGCTACTGCTGGAGAACCTTGACTCTTCCAAGGCGATGCACTTAGACGGTGTCGACTCTCTAGTCGTGGTGGAGCTGCGGATTTTGATTTTAAGTCCAAAACAGATGCGGGAGTGGCTGTCTGCGAAATTCTGGGCAATTCAACAATCAAGGATATTGGGAGATTGGTGGCCGGCAAAAGCAGAGGTAGCCTCGATGGTGTTGGTGATTGGGTGTGGTTCTATATGCAATAAAATCATATGAGACCTGGAAAGTGGATCCAGAAAAGCGATAAGATTGAAGATAAATAATAAAAACATGACGTCGGCAGCGGGGTTGAAGAATTTAAATGAGTTGTTCAATTCACTCACACCACCATTTCTTTCTTTTCTCTCTCTTTCTTTTTCAGACATCTACATTACCCTCCTAAACATAACTCCAACCTCATTAATCTCCTCTATAAATAAAACCAAGATGCCCCGTCCCACCACCCGTAGAGAGGTCCTCGACCGTCTCCGCAAAACCATCGCCGACGGGAAAATCATCGTCGGCGCGGGCGCCGGTAACTCATCCCCTTGGAGTATATATACAAACATATATATATACATGAACTTATATTCCAAAGAAATACGCTAACGCAGCCACCAATGCAGGGATTGGTCTCACAGCCAAATTCATCGAAAAGGGCGGTGCAGACCTCATCCTGGTCTATAACTCAGGCCGTTTTCGCATGGCCGGCCGGGGTTCATTGGCAGGAATGATGCCCTACTCGGACGCCAATCAGATCGTGGTTGAAATGGTACTGTTCTCTCGTCTACTCTATATTATTTTCATTGAACCTACCTGATTCCCCAGAGTCCTGGCCCAGGACTGCTCTTAACACTCTACAAGACCCAGCCTCCGTCTACATCCAGAGCAAACTAATTTTAATGGGCAAATGATCCAACAGGCCTCGGAAGTCCTCCCCATCGTCCAAAACACCCCCGTCCTCGCCGGCGTCTGCGGCACCGACCCCTTCCGCGACATGCGCACCTTCCTGACTGAACTCCGCCGCCTGGGCTTTGTTGGCGTCCAGAACTTCCCCACCGTCGGGCTTATCGACGGCAAATTCCGCCAGAACCTCGAGGAAACGGGCATGGGGTACGACCGCGAGGTGGAGATGATTCGGATTGCGCACGAGCTGGATCTCGTTACGACGCCGTATGCGTTTACCGTGGATGAGGGGGAGCGGATGGCGCGCGCGGGTGCGGATGTGATTGTCGTGCATGTGGGGTTGACGACGTCCGGGACGATTGGGGCGCAGACGGCGCTGTCGTTGGATGATTGTGTGCGGGTTGTGCAGGAGATTAGGGATGCTGTTGTCAAGATCAATCCGGAGGCTATTGTGTTGTGTCATGGGGGACCGTTGGCGGGGCCTGAGGATGCGCAGTATGTATTGAGTCGGACAAAGGGGGTGCATGGGTTTTATGGGGCAAGTAGTATGGAGCGGTTGCCAGTTGAGACGGCGATTCAGGAGAATGCGGAGGCCTTTAAGAAGTTGAAGGTTAATGTTTAATGTCGGAAGATAAGGTAGTGTGATAGTATGAGTGGATGATTGAATGAGTACGATTGAATGGATATGTACCGCCGGAGGCCGAAAAGGGAAATTTCCCGGGCTTTGAATATCAAAGATCCACTGAACCCTAGTATGTAGGATTAAACGCCGTCTATATAAGGCAGCGTTAGTCCTGGCGCGTGAAAAAACCAAGCATCTCTACTCACTTACATCTACCTTACATCTACATATAAAATCAAAATGTCCCGCCCCCTAGAAGGAAAGTTGGGGATCATCACCGGCGGCTCGCGGGGTATGTCCATCTACATACTAACTATACCACCCCCCACCCCACCACTACCACCAATCTAACAATCCCAACCCAGGAATCGGCGAAGCAATCGCCCGCAATCTCGCCTCGAAAGGCTGTGACCTCCTCCTAAACTACACCTCCCCCTCCTCCCAATCGCGCACCGAAACCCTCTGCACCGAACTCTCCCAACAACACTCCATAAAATGCATCCCCGTGCAAGCCGACCTCTCCTCCGCTGCAGAAGCAACCCAAGCCATCCTCTCCGCCGCAAAGCAAAACTTTACCTCGGAAACCGGCCGTTTCCAAATCGACATCCTGATCAACAACGCCGGCGTCAGCGCTGACCGGTTCCTCAACGACGAGGCCAAGGGCCCCATTGACGTCGAATACTTCACCTGGCAATATACCATCAACGTGCTGGCGCCGCTGCTGCTGACGCAAGCGGTTGCGCCGTTCTTGCCTAATGATCGGAGTGGAAGGGTGGTTAATATCTCAAGTGTGTCGTCCAGTATTGGGTTTACGGGGCAGAGTGTGTATGGGGGTACTAAGGCGGCGTTGGAGGCTATGACGCGGACTTGGGCTAGGGAGTTAGCTGATAAGGCGACGGTTAATGCGGTCAATCCGGGCCCTGTGATTGGGGATATGTATTTTGCGACGGGGGAAGACTTTTGGAAGCAGATGCAAGGGTTTCAGGATTCGACGCCGTTGAGTAAGGTATTGGAGGGGGATGAGAAGATGGCGGTGTTGACGGAGGAGCAAAGGTATTTGATTCGGGAGAAGATGGGGAATAGACGCCCGGCCTTTACGAGTGAGGTTGCCGGGGTGGTGGCCATGTTGTGTACGCAGGATGGAGGGTGGTGTACGGGGAGTGTGGTGTGTGCCAATGGGGGGATGAAAATGGTAACTTGATTGAATTGATATGTATTCGGTGGATATAGAATAGGAATAAAGAGTGTGTTTTGTTTTTTGTTTTATTATATATTACTTGAAGTATATATATACCGAAAAGTGAAGTACAGTACATAGTTAACTAATGTAACATAGATTAGATAAGTAAACCCCGACGTCATTTAAATCGCATCTCCCCCATGTATTTGAACTGTACTTGAACTCCTTCAACTCCTTCATCTCCTACAATTCTCTCCATCCACTCAGTCCCATCTCACCTCAATAAGAACATCCCGAAAAATTAAAATTAGAAATAAAAAAAAACAATCAATTGAAAACAATGGTCCCCCTCAGAACCCTCCCAACCCCTTCGCTCCGCCTCCTCCGCCCCTCCCTCACCATCACCCGATCCCTCCGACCACTCTTCTCATCTAGCCTCCCCAAAGCTACCCTACTAACCAGAGCACCAACCACCAAACCCCATCTCTCTGTATCTACACCTCTTCAATCCCAACTCCAAGCCAGAACCCAATCAACGCAAGCCAGTGGCAAAAGCCAAGCCGACCTTATCGTCGAAGAACTCCAAGAACTGTACATACATTCCCCCCCCTCAACTCTTCCCCCTCAAAGCAACTCCACATCTAACCAGAACAAATTAATTCCAGCTATGAAACCGCAAAAGACGAATTCGAGATCGCAATAGATAGTACCAACGGGGCAACGATCTACGCGGCCTCGGACCGGGAGTCGGCGCGCGATGCCCTGAACCAGCTTTCGGCGGTGTTTGCGCTGTACACGACGGAGATTCCGAGCGCGGAGGAATCGCATCAGCCGCAGCAGGCGCAGCCGGATGATTCGGGGAGTCAGGTTGTGTCGACGTATTTTGACCCCGGGGAGATTAAGCCGGCGGTGAGGGAGGAGGTGAAGAGGAGAGTTGGGCAGCGGGTGCGGGAATTAGAGAATGCGGTGGAGGCGTTGGAGGAGAGGGCGAAGGATGATTGAGCCTACTAAATTGTTCTTTGTTTTGGGTGGCCTGGAAACTAGGAGAACTATGGGTGGTATCATGATCTTGCATTGGTGCCATTACTTAGTATACTTAGTAGTGAGATCTTATTTTCCGTCTGCTGTGGGTGGCAGACTGATACTATACATGACCTGTAACATAGACGAATCGTCGTTAAATCATCATATATCCAACCAGGTATCTCTCTCTCTCTCTCCTCCCCACCCGGGTTCCTGTCTCCATTTAGTACTAAACGTATTGTGAATCGGTCCACTCTATATATATATTTTAACTCCAGTCGCGCCTGTTCCGCCCGTGTTGATGGCATGTTATATAATAGGTATATAAGAGGCCCCAGAACCCCAAGCTCTAGGCGACGGGGAAAGAGAGTGCGAACTGATCTGCAACTGGTGACATCAGGCTAGGACTCTCATGTTTATGGGTCGATCTCATGTGTCGCTTCAGTTGGTCTAGAAAGGTCAGCATTGGCTAACCCGGTGACTGTCGTGTGGAACAAACCGGGCCTAGTAAAGCTCTTGGTGCATCCGGGGTAGATGCATTTATGTTTCCGTTCACCGTGTGCTGTGTCTATTAGTATCATAGCATACAGAGGCGGTTATCTAACATACTCAAGCGATGACTGGACATGTTCGATGACTACAAAATTTCTGTTAGTATTGCCATCCTCTGGGTAGTACATAAAACGGGTGGACCCACGTCGCCGGTCTGGAAGTTACATCCTGGGAAAGTACACTTGAACGGCTTCTCGCCGGTATGGGTCCGTGAGTGCGTTTCTTCATTTGTCAGCGCAAGTCACTTCACAACGTAGGATTGGACATACTCAGTTCACTGCTGTCAGTAAAGGACTTCCCGCATTCAGAGCACTTGTATGGCTTCTCGCCCCGGTGGCTTCGTTCGTGGCGTTCCAACGTAGCCTGTCGAGCGAAGAACTTCCCACAAACCGAACACTTGAAATTTTTGTCTTCCAGGGTGTCAGTCTCTGTCCGTGGTGATAATTGTTCGTCGACTTACAGTTACTATGGGTCAGGAAATGGCCTTGAAGTTTCGACTTCTGCGAGAACGGTTCGTCCGGACGGTGACAGCCCTCCCAGCAACAGTAATATCCGGTGCCCTTGACTCCATTGATAGTTGACATGTGTTTCGCGATCAGATGCTCCTGAAGAGCGCAAGGGTCAGAGAATTCCGCACCGCAGGTGGTCTTGAACTCTCCCGATGTGATAGTCCACTTGCAAATATGGAATTCGTTCTCAGACGAAGTCACCGGGCTCGTCAGGACGGACGACGTCCCACCTTCTAGCGGAGGAGGCGTCTCGCCGGGGCTGGACATCAACTGCGAGCTCACGCTGGATCGAGACTGGCGGGAATATGGAGAGTAATGACCGTACGGATGCATATGGGCATGGTTATGGACGCGACACCGGTGATGCGTGCGAGAAGGACCCCTCGCAGGATTACTGTGAATGTGTACCGGGCTCTTCATGAGATCGTTCAGATTAACATTAGGCGGTATGTGAAAACAGGCGAATGGATTAGAACCAGACTCGGCAGTCGGTTTGACTAGACTGTTTTGATTCGTGTCTTCGTGCACATGAAAGTCTTGACAAGTAGAAAGGTCCGGACACATCCCCAACATGTGGAATACATCTGCCGGGTTGACACCGTTCTGTGCCGGAAATTGTTGATTTATTAAATTACTGGGTGTTTCTTTGGACGAGTCATGGAAGTGAAAATGAGGGAAACTGTGAGAATGGCAATGGGCGACAGGAATCGAGTGCAGCGGAAAGAGAGAGTCCATCGAAGACTGAGGTGCTATCATCTCCGAGGTGGCATTGCCCGCTGCTTTGGGCAACTGGTCTTCCTGTGATTGTTCAACTGAGCACGCTGAAAGGAAATCAGTGGACCCTAAGTTAATGGACCCTCCTAGCCCTAATAGGGACTCAAGAGTATGGTCGGGAATAGCTGCATTGTTGCGATTCTCGCCAAAGCAGTGCTCATCAAAGCAAAGGGGCTCGGCGCTCTCGCAATGCGTATCATCACAGGAGTCAGGGCAGTGAGTGTCATTACAAGTAGTGTCATGGCATTCCACGAACCCGTCGCAAACCGAGGGACAGTTGATGGAGCAGTCGTCCATTTCGCAGCAGGCGTCGTCGACATGACAGTGATCGAGCGAGGGATGATGTTCCTCGTCGGGGCAATTCCACTTAGATGCCGCGGGGGCATCGGACTGGTTCTCCGACTCTTTGCCGTCTATATGGAAAGACTCCCAATGGCACTCGAGGCAGTAATCATCCTTTTTAGTGTGAGAAGCCATGGTGTGTGCGGCGAACTCAATCGCCGTCACTGGAGGTCGAGACAGTCTCCTGGGACCCGGGAGGGTTGTTGATACGTTTAGTTTGAGTCCAGGAACAGAGTTAACGAAGATCAAAGACAGAGGCCGCACGGTGACAAGGCAAGTCGAGAGTGAGGCGGGGGAATCACTTGGCCGTATGGGGTCTTTGTCCTAGAGAACTCCAACTTCCCAGACGTTAGCCCACATCGCCACCACGCGATCGCGGCAGACAGACACCGTACATACCAATAAGAAGGGTCGCAATTTTGCCAGTTGCAGAATCCACAGGATATAGCCGAGATTGTCAACCAGGGCCAACCAGCCATGCACAGTGCGTCAGGATCGCCTGGGATGGCCGGAGCAATTGGAAACGAAAAGAACTGACCGCCTGGGGCATGAGGGACCAGAGGGAGCGAGGACCTTGGGAGCGTTCTGAGATGTATAAATGAAGCGATCGTCAGAATAGGACTATGATTCGCTTTGCTGTGATTCTAACACACATAAGTTTCAGTCACCCAATTCAGACAAAGGCTTGAGGACCTTGGGAGAAAGTCGACCATGAGGACCTTGCGGGTTAGGGCGTCATTACCCGCGTGACCTCCACGAATGAGCGGCCGTAGATTTCCGATGTGCCTTATTTGATAGCAATCACGTTTTCCAAGTTTTCAGGCATTGATCGAAAATGTTCCAGCCTTAATAGGAAACTCTCAATCTCTCATTGGGGGTTGCGGTCCGTGTGAAATCTCTGTCCGAAACAACCATTGGAATGTAATTCGCTAGCGAAATCAGGCTCTGGTCCTCATTGGGAACCACCGATGTTCGTTCATTGGCTTTCAGAGTTGCCGTACAACCATGGATCCATAGAGAGTAGATAGCAATATGCGGTATTAATATGCATGAGCTATAGCAGGGTACGTTAGAAGCAGAAGGGAATGATACAACAATTTCTGTGTTAAAATTGATTTCGAATCATCTCGAACTGGTGGTACAGAGTAAGTCGCTATCAGGAATGCGGGACCCAAGACCACGTGCATTTTATCCGCCCCTTCTCCAGATCGTCATACCCAACGGTAGGCTACAACTTACTGTCTCCTTATCTACATACAACCATTCCATCTTGACAGATCAATTGTAATACCCCACAACCGAAAATCACCCGATCTGACATACCTACCACCTCAATCAAGCGTCTCAACCCTTGTCCTGGCCCCTCACACAGCGATCGCCGTTCCCATACTCCATGGTCGATCACCACCACTAAACCCAATCAATCCATCTCCCGCCCTCCTCCTCAAACCGCACCAATCCACCAAACTAAACCACAAATCAAGTTCCGAAAAAATGGGAAACATCTGTTCGCGCTCCCGAAATGAGCCCGAAGCCTTCACCACTCCCGGTCGCGTCCTAGGCTCCGCCAACCCTCCGCCCGGTGAAACAGGGGAATCCAGCTCCGGTCCGCGCGCCCCGCTCCCCGCAAAAGCAAGCACGGGTAGGCCCCTAGGCGGCGCGGGGGCTCCAGGGGCCGGCCCTGATACGGCTGATGCGCGGGCGAATGCGGCGATTGCAGCGCAGGTAAGTTATTTCTTTCCTTTTGGGAGTGTTAGATGTGTAGGGCTGCGTGCTGATGTGCGATGTGTAGAAAAGGGCCGAGTCTGCTTCAGCGGGTAAGAAGGGGAGTTTGGGGTCCAAATTGGCGGCTCAGGGGCAGATACACAGACGTTGAATAAGGCTAGTATTAGTGAGAGAGTTGCTAGAGATGTAGATAATGCTGCTTCGGGCTAGGAGATGGGAATGATTGGTGCATAGATTATCACTTGAAGGTTGATTCTGGGGATGGCCGATATTTTCCTTTTTCTTTATTCGGAGTTTGGTGGTTAGTGAGCGTTTGGATTGACTACAGTGATCTTTAGCGCGTTGTGGGTTTCAGTACTTTAGTGGAAAATTTTCGATTATGATATCCAAGCTTGTCGGAGGGTGTGATTCTTTCCACAAAGTTAAGATTCTGTATGTTCGGGGTAATGATACAGCTATATTTAAACGCCCATGTCTAAAGCACATTATAACGTCCTCCAACTGGAGCCCTCGCGTCACTATCGGCAGCAGCGATAGTTCCCTCCTTGAGCAACCGCATCAACTCGCGCATGGCATTCGTCACGGACAACTCAGTTTCACCCTCAACAAGAATATACAGCTTGGGATTTTCTCCTGGGCCCGGCTCCTTTCCAGTTGCGTAGAAGCTGCCTTTTGTGGTGATGGATGTGCCTGTAGCTTCGAGGATCTTGGCCACGTTGGTCCGGTTGGTAACTGCCCACCGAGCCTTTTCTGTAATGAGAGATAACGTTAGTAACTAACTCAACCCCGATCAAAAATGTTGATAGCAGAGAAAAAATGAACTTACGAGGAAAGTCGTTGATTTCAAGCGTAGCATGGAAAGCTCCTGCATCAGGCCCGCGATTATCAATGGGCACCCCAGACCTCATGACACCAGCACGGCTCAATCGTGCGTGAATATCAGCAACTGCCGAGCCCACCTTATCCAATGGGTTCTTCGAACCGTTGGGATCTTTCTCGGTTTTGTGCACAGTAATCTTGCCGTCGAGGTCAATACCCTTGGGAACCCCTGGCAGAGGCTGCGCGGCAGCAGACTGAACAGAAGATAGAGCTTTGTTGAACCGTTCTTCGGCCTGCTCGTTCTTTTCCTCCTTTTCTTCTTCATCCTCGGCTTCTTCGCCAGTCTTGTACGTCTTGCGCTCACGCATACGAGCGGCGTCGCGCTCCTGGTCAAGACGCTCCAGACCTTTTCCACCGAACCCAGACGCATTGGCTTTCTCTTTACCTGCTTTCACCTTTTCTAAAAAGGAGTCAACCATCTTCTGCACAGGCTCCGGCACGCTCTGTCCACTCTGCTTCAGCGCCTTGGCAATATCAACGGAATACCGTTCCTGATCTTCAGTCAAAAAAGTAACCGCCGTACCGGTATTACCAGCTCGGCCAGTTCGCCCAGCACGGTGGACATAATCTTCTAAGTGGTTGGGCGCATCATAATTAACGACGAGCTTAAGTTGTTTCACATCCAGACCACGGGCTGCAACAGAAGTGGCAATCAAAACAGGGAAAATACCCGCTTTAAAATCTTCGATGGTGGAATCACGGTCAATTTGATCCTTGCCTCCGTGGATGGACATGCAAGGGTAACCCTTCCGCATCAACTCACGAAGCAGTGTATCGGCACCTTCCTGGCGTTCAACGAAGATCAACGTCCGTGCATCTTCATTTTCATCACTGGAATACAGGTTGCCTAGAAGCTCAAGTAGCCGGACAAACTTCTTGTCATCGTTTCGGACTTCCACGATCTGTGTAATCTCAGGCGCAACAACGCTTCTGCCGCCAACCACGATTTCAACGGGTTTCGTCAAGGTCTTACGAGCCAAAGCCTCCATGTTGCGCGGGAAGGTCGCAGAGAACAGTACGGTCTGCTTATCAGGTCGTACGTTGGCCAAGATCTTCATGACTTGGGGTTCAAACCCCATATCGAACATGCGGTCAGCTTCGTCCAACACAACATATGTGACCCTGCGCAAGTTCGTGACTCTGCCAGCATTCGCTGCTAGCAAATCGATCATTCGCCCAGGCGTGCAAACAATGATCTCAGCGCCGCGCTTTAAATCAGCAATCTGATCTTTGATAGGAGCACCGCCGTAAGCGCAAACGGCACGAAGATTCAAAGCTTTCAAAAATGGTTTACAATCCTTATGAATCTGTGTCGCCAGTTCACGAGTCGGTGTCATTATGAGGCCAACGGGGCCCTCCATGTTATCCAACGGCCTTTGATCTTTGATATGCCGAAACATGGGGATCAAAAATGCGACCGTTTTACCCGAACCGGTCTTCGCTACACCGATCACATCACGGCCGGACATGATCGCTGGAATTGCTTGGGCTTGAATCGAGGTCGGCGCTGTATAGCCCAATCTATCAATAACGTCCAAAGTTTGCACACCTAATCCACACTGTGACCATTTCGACACCGGCCTTGGGACATCCACACCACGGACCTTGATGCCGTCAAGCTCCAGCCGCAGAATCGCAGCTTCTTCCTCGGACATTGCGGCCAAATCTGAAGGCTCGGTGTAAAACTTCTTGCGGAAAGGCTCGTATTCCACCTTCTTGTGATCAACAGTTGGGATATCCTTCTTCTTTTTGGCTTTGTTGGCGATAGCGAGGAAATCGTCTGCATCTCCGTCACCAACAGCGGTCATGTCCATGTCATTCTCATCACCGAAGATAGCTTCGGGCTGTTGTGCTTTTGTTTTCGCGAATGTGGCGCCAACTGTTTTCTTCGGCGGAGGTGTCTCTGCTAATTCAGACATGAAGGCATCCAGGGGATCAACTTCCTCTTCCTGGGGGTCGACTTCCATCTGGTCAGGCATTTGCTCATTCGACGCATCGCTCATTTGGGAGTCGCCATTAGGTTGCGAGGCACGAGCCTCATTCTGCAGCCGCTCTTCTCGCCTCTCGGCAGCCGCTCGCGCTGCAGCCGCATTTTCCTCCTCAGTTCCACCATCCTGCATATCAACATCGTCATCATCATCATCTTCTTCTTCCTCTTCTGCAGTCACATCTGCTGCTTTATTAGCATATTTGGCGTCATCCAACGGAGGAGTCGGTAATCTCTCCAGTTTCCGCCGGGTAGATTCTTCTTCTCCAAAACCCAGAGTCCTCGTCGCTGACGCTTTTTCGGTATCTGTGGCCAGCTTGGTTCCCAGACCGAAACCGCCCACATTTCCCTTTGCTTTCAACGCTGGAAGTCTCGCGTTAGCAGTGTTCAACATATAATTAGTGATAACCTGAGACGTACATGAAGTTTTGCTTGTAGGGTCAGATGGTTTGTTAGCCTGGGCCTGAGACTTTGTGGGAGGGAATGTAGCAGATGTCTTAGCGGAGGGTGGAACTGTAATATCATCACCCAGCACAGATTTTGCAGATTTCACAGCGGGTGCCGGTGCAGCATTCTTTGCTATAGCCTTTGGGTCAAATTTTCCAGTATACGCAGCGGGGGTAGCATCACCGGGCGTCGCAGGAGACTGAGGAGACCCAACAGCCGGTGACAACCCTGATTTTCGGTCGATCTCTTCCAAAATACTCCTTGCTCCACCAGCTGCGGCGGCTTCTCGTTGTTTGCGCTCCTTTTCAGCGGCTTGCTTTTGCTTCCATGCCTCGAGCTTGGCCAGTCTTTCTACTCGCTTTTCGTCTTCTGTCGGGGCAGTGGCGGCTGTCAGTGTCGAGGGCTTCGATGTCTACAAAATGATATAATCAGTAAGCATCAAGTGATGGAAATGAGAGAACAACATGACGCTTACCTCTCGAGATCTGGGAACGGATTCTCTGGTCCGCTCCCGGCTGTCATCCCGTCTAGACTTGTGTTTCAAGTCAGCAGAATCATCTGTCCGTCTCCGAGCCCTGTCGCGGGAGTCATCTCGCCTGCTTCGATAATCCCTATCGCGACTTCTGCGACGGTAATCCCGGTCGTCATCTCTGTCTCTAGACCGACGCCGATCGCGGGAACGATCCCGTCGACTTGGTCTATATGTATCTTCATCACGGTAATCGGCGCGTCTGTCTAGCGAGCGGTCACGTCTACGATACGAGTCACGGTCACGTTCGCGTTCACGTTCGCGGTATCGCTTCTGAAAGCAAATGGATGTTAGCAAGCCATGAATAGGTTTAGAGATCCGATTGCCATACCTCGGGACTGCGAGATCTCCGGTAGCTCCGCCCATCATCTCGCCTACTCCTCTCATAGCGATCATCATCTCTGCGACTCCGTCTGGATGAAGAATATGTGCTGCCTACAGGTGATGGTGAGCGAGTATCCCCGTGGCGAGCCATTGTTGCAGGCCAGCGATGAGTGAGTATTACTGAAGCTCAAAGGAATTCGAGTACGTGGAGAAAGTGTCAGAGCAATTATTACCCTTCCATTAATAGCAAGGCACTGTTAATCTAAAACCAGTGAAGGCCCAGTTAAGCACGGTGGCGAGGATTAGCGGCTTGGAGATGTGGTTCTCCATCCAATCTTTTTTCATCCGCCGTACCTTAATCCTCAACCCAAGGCTCCTATCTATCACGTGAAACTGATAGCTCGTAGAAGATATGATCACGTGCCTTTATACCTTCCTGTTACGGGTTACCCCAAACGACCTGTGACGCGATCCCAACCTCCCGCATTCGTCTTGGAGCTCTTGCAGCTAAGCTTCCCTGCAGCAGAAGCTCTTGTTCTACAGACCGAACCCCCCTCTCTTAGTTCCGTTGTGTCCAGGCTCTTCCATTGTCCGTCCCCCATTCGCAGCTACGGTTAGTTTCGCATTGTTTTGGACCATGCCATTGACCCTAGCTCGGCGTGGAGTGGGTATCCTCCGGAGCCTGTATCTCAGCGACGTATTCTCTCATCCCGTTCGTGTCGCTATTGCCCAGAGTCATGTCAGGCGAATTTGCTTGGTTACGCGCAGCCAGTCTTTGCGTCCAATTTCCAAACCCCTTCCGTCGACCGGTGTGCTATCGCAACGTCTAATCAAGACTTATGCGACCACAACTGACGACAATCCCAAGAAGACCAGCAAGACCAAGACTTCTAAAGCTAAGAAGGGCACTCGGGAAACAAAGAAGAGCTTGTCAACGGAGCGAAAGCGGCCGGGGAAAAAGCCATTGACTGAGAAGCAAAAGGAGGCCAAGAAGGAACGGGAACACAGACAGCTTATCAAGGACCTTAAAGAAGCTGCACTGAAGCCGCCACAGAAGCTTCCAGAGCGCCGGTGGAACTTGACTGTTATGCACAAGCTCCCAGAAGCGATGAAGACTCACGGTAACCAAACCGATGCGTTTAGAGCTGCTACCGAGCTTGCGAAGACCATTAGCCAGGAAGAGCGAGAGGTTCGTCTTATATTCCTGTGATAGTCACGCAGGTATAACAGCCACTGATTAAATATCCTAGCGTATTTCCGCGCTGGCAGTAGCCAACAAAAACGCCAATGAAGCTGCATACGAGGAATGGATCAAAAGCCACAGCCCCCTTGAGATCAAAGAAGCCAATCTAGCCCGGATCAAACTCTCAAAACTCACACAGAAGAAATACCGTCCTCTTCGCGATGATCGTTTGGTCAAGCGTCCGCTCGGGGCTTTTGTCATCTTTTACAAGGAACGAGTCGAGCCTGGCGACTTCAAGCATATGTCTATAAGGGACATAAATGCACAGATCAGGGAGGAATGGAGAGGTATGACGGAGTCTGAGAAGGAGGTACGTCTGCAGTTTTACTGTTTAGTTAATACTTTTATATGGGTAAAACTAACATCGACTAGAAATACCTTCAACTTCAAGTCGCCGACAAAGAACGTTATGTCCGGGAATATCGAGAGGCGTACGGCGAAGAGCCGGCTTTTCTGCGCTCGGGTAAAGATGAATGAGGGTAAAGCCTGTAGGCTTTTACTCTAATGCAAACTGTAACGGTGTTTCACCTTTGTATTTGGGTAGGCGACTGGGAGTGGTCTGTTTTCCTTATGAAATGCAAATGCCTGATTGATGTGCATTCTATTCATCTCCTTGATTTGTGTCTTTGTCCTGGGTATTTTATGGCTTCACTGAACCGATTACTTGTATTTTAAATGTACTGTTGTTATGTCGGGGTCTACTGTTGTCGCAATGCCATCATACCGCGAATTGCAGGCCGATTCTCGTACCATCTTTGGTACAGTCCGCGGCCTCTCTACTTCGGCCCTACATCGTTTTAGTCAGCGCCTCAATGTAGTTAAGATTCTGGATATCTTCACTTCCACGATGGACAGTAGACCACATGATCCCCATGGCTAATACAAGGGCAAGAATACAACGATGTCGTACGAATAGGATTGTTCCTGGTGTGGTATTGAGTCCTGCATATGCAGTGACCGATGGAGGTTTGAATGATTCCTGGTCACTTGCAGCTGTCATTTTAGTGCTCCGTAGCACAACCTCTCACCTACATCGGGCCACCACAGTAGATGGCATGACCGCATTGGACAAAGTGGCCTTTTCGCCAAATTGCAAGCCGGTATATCTCCGGCCCGCATTGATTCTAGATGAGTTGGGATTACGATAACGAGGAAGTTCGGTGTGCATTGTTGAGCTGCAGTCGGGTATACTTGGGAGATATACAATCATCATTCCATGGTTTCCTACCCTATCTTTATACTTAATAGGGAAATAGATAGATCAAATTAACTTGTTTCAAACCGACTCTTGCAAGAAGATTGGGGTGAGTCATTAAGGAACTGCATGAATGATGTACTAGTTCAATGCATAACACTCAGTATATTCATGAGTCACCTGCAACAGAGGGTGAAATGCAATGCAATGCTGCAGTGTAAGATGGTGCCAAGAAGTCTTTCACCGAACGGGAATGCCCCATCTCCCGACGAGGACTAAGGCACCACTTGACCGAAAAGGTTAGCATCCTCTGTCATCGGATTCCTCGCTGTGTCGGAAATAAGTATTGAGACTGTACTGGGGACAAGGCGCGATAGCCTGCAGCGGAGGTTGACAACTGTCAAAACTAAAAGAAGCAACGATGGATCCGGCTTGCCTCAAAACCGGCAATCCTCATAATAACCCGCAGCCATGAGGACGTAAGACGAAGATAGTGGGGGACTGGCTCCATTGTCCCTCTTGAAGGAGGGCTCTCATAGGCTCGCGGCGGATCTTCGCCTTCGATGCGGTGAGGAACACCGACTCCATAGAATCATTCTTGAATCGTTTCGAGGGTCTTCTTCTCGTTACCCGAGGTACTCGCTGGATTTCGAAGGATGTATGGAATTGGTATCCTGCTGCCCGAAGATTTTTCTGGCTCCATAATTGTGCAGTGGTTGTTTCACTCCTGAGCGATTATTAGTAAATCTCCTCCATAGTCTTGATTTTCGTTGCCTCGTGGCCTGAGTCAAGGGGAAGAAAAAACAAAACTTCTGTTAACTAAGGTAGTAGTAGTTGGTTGAGTACCTAGTGTAGTTCTCTAACCTCCTTGAGTACTTGCAATGCTTGGTTATGTACTGTACGGTTTTTTTCTTCTTCTCTTTTTCTTTTTTTCTTTTAGAATCTCAATTCCTCCCGTTCATTAGTAGTATTGTTATGATTTAAGGCACAGAGCTGAACGTGACCAAATAACCGTCATTGGTTAGCTATATAACACCTAACTGTGGTGGAAGGGTAAGTAGTAAATAGTTCCTGTACATACAATACTGAACCACGGAACAGATCACCCTTAACCATTTTAGCTTCTTTGGACTTGAATTGTTGTTCCCTTGGTGAACCCCACTTTAATGGGACAACAAACGCTCTATCCGAAGGTATGTAAAGGACGAAGCACTGGGAATGACCCGATCTGCTAACGTACACCTCCCATCCACCATTGAGGCATAAAGACCCTTATATACCTAGTCTAGATCGCACCGGACTGTCAGTGCTTTCACCTCCATTTGCTGTTCGTCGCACACCAGTTTCCATACCCGCCGAGAAGGAGGGGTGGAATCTTTATCGATAGGATCATCTACTCACCTCCCCGGTCTCTGCGCGCAATCCCATCGCGTGTGTAAGTGGCCTGTGCCTGCGTGACTTCTCACCTTGCATTCTCCATCATTGCTCCTGTTCAACGGGGGTGGCTGATGACTGGAAATAATTGCTAATCTTAATGCGCAAATTTCAGTTAGAGAGTCGGTCCTGTTCACATTTCCTTGGTCTGGTTGGCTCCCACCCCAGCCACCGTTTTGACTATCTGACCCGTCGGTTCAAAGGTTAGTATCTCATACAATTCTTCCGTACCACGCAGATCGACGCGCAGCGCTGATTTTTATTTCGAGGTAAGAAAGTATAATTTTAAATCTAACCAGATCTTGCTTTTTTTTTTTTTTTCTTCGCTTGAGGGGACCTACTTTTGCGCAACCGCTGGCTTCCTGATTGATGTATGTACCTAATTAGTTCACATTCCTAGCTGTGTCCATCGCATACCAAACCGTCCAATCCTATCTGGTATCTAGGGGACTGATCTTCAGCAAGTCTGCTCTCCTTTCCTCCTTTCCCACCGCCCCATGGTCATGAGTTCTATGACCTCTTTCGTTCTCCCTGTTTCTCCCTGCTACTGAAGTCTTCCTTCACTTTTACCGTCAGTTCTTGCCCCTCAAACATCTCAATCTAATGCCGCATGCTATCTAATTCTCGACGGCCTTTGTCGCAAATTTATTTGATTTTCCGCTGATATACGGATCGCGCGCTAACATCTGCGTCGTGTGACTAGCTTTGGTTATAGGAGTTTACTTAGCGGAGTCTATTTTTTTCTCTTTGGTCTTGGTCGCTTTCGCACTCACTCTTGTTGCTACGTTGCCGACAAGCCGACCAGAAATTTCATTAATTACTTGGAATTGGCTACAGCCTCAATTGGGGCCGATAGTTATCGATATCCATGCGCCTCGCATAGTCGAGTGACCACTGTGCAGACACCGGTCCCTCGCGCCAGTATGGAAAGTATGCGCATTGTTCGCCAAGATGGACTCGAATTCGGCCACGAGATGTTTCTGTACCCTCACTATTGTATAGTCGAGAATGAACAGAGAAATAAATATCGTGCACAATCGAAAAAAGTCCGGCACAATGAGCGACTCTACAAAGCAGCCCTAATTGTCGAAACAGAACTCGATACGCCGCACCCTCAGCCCTACGGCCACCCCCCTCCGTCCTATGCCGACGCTATCAATGACCTACCTCCGGATTACTCTACGCTTTCGCTGTTAGCCCAACAGAAAGATTTGAGCGGTGACTCTGCGCCATCAAAAGCATCAAAGGTTTCGGCGACAAGATCTACCTCTAAACACCTCGATTTGGGCCGTCCGTCTGGATTCCGGGAACATAAGGGAGGCAAGAAAAATAGAAAAAAGTCAGCGCCACAGCAATCCAGCTCTCCGCCGCCGAATGATGATGGTGATAAGGGCGCACCTCCACCCCCCGAAGAAAACCATGGTGGTAGTGACGGCGGAAGCAATAGAGGTGGGTCAGGGGATGGTAATGGGGACAACGGTGGTGACGGAGGCGGCGAGGATGACGGAGAGGATGATTGGAGTGCGTGGGCTACACCCGGTAAGAAAAAGAACAAGAAGAAGGAAGAGGAAGAAGAGCGGCTGGCCAAAGAGGAGGAGGAGAGAAAGGCCGCGGAAGAAGCTGCGGCCAATTCCAATTCCAATGACCTTAGCTGGGCAGATAGCAATGGAAATGGCGACGATTCGTGGGCCGAGTTCACGCCTGCAGGAAAGAAGAAAAACAAGAAGAAGGATAAGGTATGGCTTTCCTATAACTTTTCACGATGCCATTTCTTTTAACTATCCATAGGACGCCACTTTGATTGATACCGAGCCCCCTCCAAATTCCTTTCAGGATATCAACTTAGGTGACACAGCATCTCAACCGAACCTGAGCTTGGATCCTCTTGGGGGTAAACCCACCGGTGGTGGGTTAGAAGTGGGCGGATGGGACAAAAGTTGGAATACGGGGAACAAATGGGGTCTCGACTCGCTTGGTGGGGTGACTGGTGACAAGACATCCGGCAGCAACCCGTGGTCATTTGGCTCAGCAGCCGATCCGCTGAATGCCCCAGTCGGATTTGGTTTTGGTTTCGGAGCTCCGCCAGGCATGAGCAACGGTGATGTCCCACCGCAAGAGAAGAAGGATCCTTGGGGGCTCTTGGATAGTAAGAAGCCGGTCGAACCAGAGCCAGAAATGGCCGATGACGATGATTGGGGGGGGGCGTGGGGCTTGTCGAGTAAAAAGAAAGACAAGAAAAAGAAGAACCTTGCAGATGAGCCTGCCCCTGTGGATCCCCCGGCATCGGAGCCACCTGCGGCGGCTCCTGCTGGGGACATTTGGACGGATGGCTGGGGTACTACTGGCAAGAAAAAGGATAAGAAGGGTAAGAAAGGTGCCATCGCCGAGGAGCCAGAACCAGTACTGGAGGAGCCTCCCGCAGTCGCAGATCCACCACCTAAGCCCACTCCTGAAGAGAAGAACGATGAGGGGGATTGGGCAGGTTGGAATGTTTCCACAAATGACAAGAAAAAGAAGAAGGGCAATGGTGCAGCAGAGCCCGAGCCTGAACCCGAATCACCACCTCAAGTACCGGAGCCTCAACTGCCCGACGACCCACTTTACAATAATTGGGACACGCTATCATCAAAAGACCGCAAGAAGCGAGAAAAGTCGCTTGTCAAAAAAGGCCTACCGATACCTGGAAAAGACTTTGAGTGGCCACCACCTTTACCAGCCGTGGCCGTCGAAGAGCCCATAAAAGAGCCCGAGCCTGAACCAACGCCGGAGCCAGAGCCGGAGCCAGTAGTTGAACCTGAACCTGAACCGGAGCCTGCAGAGCCAGATCCAGCACCTGTACCCGAAACTAAATTGCCAGATGACCCACTCTACAACAATTGGGATGATCTATCACCTAAGGATCGAAAGAAGCGTGAGAAGTCTCTGATAAAGAAAGGCCTTCCTATTCCTGGCAAAGATTTCGACTGGCCACCCCCTCCACCTCCAGCACCTGCAGCGGAGGAGCCTGCGCCAGAATCGGAGCCTGCACCTGAACCTGAACCTGCACCTGAACCTGAACCTGCACCTGAACCTGCACCTGAACCTGAACCTGAACCTGAACCTGAACCAGAGCCTGCGGCAGAACCAGATCCAGCACCTGTACCCGAAACTAAATTGCCAGATGACCCACTCTACAACAATTGGGATAATCTATCATCTAAGGATCGAAAGAAGCGTGAGAAGTCTCTGATAAAGAAAGGCCTTCCTATTCCTGGTAAGGATTTTGACTGGCCGCCTTCAACACCGGAGCCGGCAGTAGAGGAGCCAGTGCCAGAACCAGAAGCAGCACTAAAACCGGAGCCAGTACATGAGCCTGAACCTGAACCGGAACCGGAACCTGAACCGGAGCAAGAACCGGAGCCAGCCCCTGAACCACAGCCTGAGCCTGAGAAGAAGGCCCCTGAACTACCGGATGACCCGCTCTACAACAATTGGGATGATCTTTCATCTAAGGATCGAAAGAAGCGTGAGAAATCTCTGATAAAGAAAGGCCTCCCGATTCCTGGTAAGGATTTTGACTGGCCGCCTTCAAAACCAGAGCCTGTAGTAGAGGAGCCAGCACCAGCGCCGTCGCCAGGACCAGGACCAGAACCAGAACCAAAACCAGAACCAGCAGTGGAACCTGAACCAGTACTCGAACCTGAACCAGCAGTGGAACCTGAACCAGTACTCGAACCTGAACCAGCAGTGGAATCAGAGCCAGTGCTTGAGCCTGAGCCTGAGCCTGAAAAGAAGGCCCCCCAACTGCCGGATGACCCACTCTATAACAACTGGGATGATCTGTCATCTAAAGACCGGAAGAAGCGCGAAAAATCTTTGATCAAGAAAGGTCTGCCAATTCCCGGTAAGGACTTTGACTGGCCACCGTCTGAGCCAGTGGCCGAAGAACCCATACAAAAGTCAATACCGGAGCCCGAGCCCGTGCAGGAAACCGAGCCAGAACCAGAACAAAAACCCATCCCTGAGCCTGAACCTGAATCTACACCTGCACCCAAAGAGCCCGAGGCCCAGCCTGAACCCGAAGCTAAGGCTTCTGGACTCCCGGATGATCCACTCTATAATAACTGGGACATTCTCTCTTCTAAGGATAGAAAGAAGCGAGAGAAATCCTTGATAAAGAAAGGTTTACCAATTCCTGGTAAGGATTTCGAGTGGCCACCACCGGCGGTGCCCGTAGCAGAGGAACCCGTACACGAGCCAGAGCCAGAACCAGTCCCTGAACCAGCTCCAGAACCCCAGCTAATTCCGGAACAAGTTATTGAAGAGCCAATTGACGATGACTGGGGGATCTGGGCGCCGTCAAAGGATAAGAAGAAGTCAAAGAAGAGTAAGGTCAATGATGAGCCTCCGCCACCGGCACCAACCCCTCCTTCTCTGGGGTTATCGCCGGAGCCTGACACATTCGAGAGTATACCAGAAGAGCCTCTCTGGGATGAATTTAGCACAAAGCCTTCTAAAAAGAAAGGTCTTGGAGCAGAGGACACACCTTCTAAACCTGCCAGAGGGTTCTGGGCCAACCTTGGAGCAGCTACTATGGGAATTCCTAAAACCGCCAAGAAGAAGTCGACAGAAAAGCCAAGGTCGACCGAGGAATTCAAAGATCCCGACCCCCAACCTGCCCAAGATGATCTGCTTATTGACGTAGAGGAAGTGCCGAGAGAGGCTGGAGCGGCTGACGCGGCTGACGCGCCAGTCGCAGAACCCCAACCGCTAGCCGCGCCGCCAACAAAGACACCTGTTGTCACCTCGAAGACCAAGTCATCAACCAAACTCTCTGTCGCTGAGCGCATCAAAGTTCTTGAGGAAAAAAAGAAAGAAAAGTCCAAGGGGAAGTCAGCAGAAAAAACAAAGGCGAAAGAGGCGCCGCCGCTAGTAGAGGAGCTTCTAGAACCCCCACAGGAGCCCGAGCCCGAGCCAGTTATTGAAAGAAAGGTCGTACGAGACACGGTACCGGGAAGCTTCCCGGATGCTTTTGAAGACGATTTCGAAGAGCCACCCCCGCCTGCCCCAGAACCACCGACGGAGCCGGAGCCGGAAGTGCAGCCTCAACCAGAACCAGAGCCAGAACCAGAAATACAACCTGAACCTGAACCTGAGCCAGCCTTACTGTACAAGAAATCCAAAAAGAAAGACAAGAAGAAATCAAGGACTATTGTGCCTGAGCCCCTGCCTCCTGTCCTAGAGCCTCCAGCACTAGAACCGCCGGTTGAGCCGGAAGCCGCGCCGCCAGAAGGGGTTGCGCCTGCTGCTGAGCCTGAGCCAATTCCAGAACCAGAGCTGGTACCTGTACTAAAAACAGAAAAGAAAAAGAAGAAGAAGACTACGGCTGTTGAGCCCCAGCCCCTACCAGTGCCCGAGCCTGAGCCAGAACCCGCGCGAGCTCTCGACCCTGAACCACAACAAACTGCCCCTCCTGTACCTGAACCTGAACCTGAACTTGTCCCTGTAGATGTGCCCGAACCCAAGCCCGAGCCAGCGCCCGAGCCCGCTGAGCCGCCTGCCCCAGAACCTGAAAAGCCCATGAAGAAAATCAGGAAAAGCAAAAGGTCTACTCCAGCCGCAGATCTGCCGCCGCCACCTTCTGCAGGTATCCCAGAAACCGATGCGCCTGAGGAAGCTGCCGGAGGTCCTCCGACACCGCCACCAGAACAGGTTGCACCAGAGAGGTCGGCAAGAAAGGAGCGCGCGCGTGTTGAGCGTGCGCCCGGCAGCACATCTTGGGGTATGTGGGGCGCTCCACCCCCGCCGAAGAAGGCGAGCCACAGGGAGGACAAGCATATCAGAAGGGAGCAGTCCCCTTCGGGAATGGCAAGGTCAAAGTCCACCAGACACTCGAGGCCAAGGGAGCCAGAGGGCGATTTAGAAAGATCGTTGGCACCTGAGAAAGACAGACAACGGGAAGCTACAAACGACCGGGCCGGGGCATTCTCGAATTTTATATTTGGCGCACCACCTCCGCCTTCTAGGACTAAATCTGGCAGAAGACATGGTGAGCCTGGTTCGCGGCACACATCAAGGCGCCCACCTGTAGACATGGATGATACTGGGTTCCCTTCCCCGCCGCCAGATGAGCAGCTCGAGATGCCTGATAAGCCAGCCCGCATGATGGGGCCCCCCCCATCTGGGTCAAGACGCGAGAGACCGCGTGGGGCGCGAAAAAGATCTAGTATGGCCCTATATTTCTGTCGTTGTATTCGTGTATTTCTGCTAACTACGGTTGTTGTAGGCGCCCGTGATCCGTATGCTATTAACGAAGAAGATATTGTTATGGTCAACCGGGATGATGCCGATGGTGAGCTGAAAGCTGGTTCCAGGGAGTCGCGCCATTCAGAGAGGAGGTCGAGGAAGACGGTAAGAAAAGAACGACTTGGAAGACCTACCGCGGATTTTTTGGCATCCCAACTGATAATATATTTCCGCTCTAGTCACGATCAAGGCAGGGAGATCTCCAGGACGATGTTATGGTCGATCAGGACCCGACTCAGCAAGTTCCAGACATTGTTTCCGGACCCGATGATGTCGCGTTTGTGGAGCCTCCGAGGGAGCGACGCGCAAGGCGGCCAAGTATCCCCGCAAAGAAACCAGAGACTGGCGGTATTATGGGGTTGATCGGGTCACTGCGCCGGAACATTCGTCCCGAGATGCCGGAGCGTCAAAAGTCTCGGTCTTACCGTGACGAAGATGCAAGGTACATGACGGAACCAGAGCGTGAGGACTCTCGCCGCCAGAGACGCGAGGAGAGAAGAAGACGCTCGATAAGGCCGGATCCTGAACGGGAGGGCTATGCTACCGATGCTGGACCGGCAACAGCCATTCCAGAGATCCAAGTAGAAGACGTCGACGCTAGGAGAGAGGCGCGCAGAGCACGACATAGTTCTCGACAAGGCGACATCGAGCAGCACCGAGAGAGCGAATTCCAAGAAGCTGAAGAGCGACGAGCGAGACGACGGGAGAGACACAGGGCTCGTGAGCGTGAGATGCAGGAAATGCAGCTTCGCGAAGAAGAAGAGAGAGCACAACGACGCCGAGAAGAAAAGATGGCTCGTCGGGCTGCTCATGAAGAGCGCCGTGCCCGGCAGGAGCAAGAAGCCCGTGAGGCCGAAGCCCAAGAAGTCAGAGAAGCGGAGGTTCGCGAAGCTAAGGCTGCGGAACGACGCGAACGGAGACGGCAAAGAGAGGCAGAAATGTATGAGAACCCTGGCTATGATCCGAGATCCAGAAAGCGGCACTCTCGTATCGATGATAGCGCTCCTAGGGAGTTCTACATGCAAGGTGGGGACGCGGAAAGGCCCCATCGTTCTTACCGTCCTAGCGACGGAGGTGAACGCGCTAGACGCCGAAATTCCAGGGCGCCAGAGGAGATGAGACCTCCACCGATGATCCCTGGGGGCCGCAAGGATAAAACATCGTCTTGGGTCAATTCTCAAGCAAGCGAACCGCCTGAGCCACCCCCAATTGTACCAACTGTCATGGACATGCCTCCTGGTCCGGGAGAACACTTGAACGAGGCGCACTCCATCTCATCAGACGAAGAGGCTCGACGTGACCTACGTCGGAAGGCCAGAAGACGGGCGAGATACCCCGGACTCACTGATCAGGAGATCGAGGAGGTGCGCGCTAGAAAACGCGAAGCTCGGAGGTCTGAAAGAGGAGTGAAAAGTAGCTCTGGTAGTGCAGACTACGAACGAGATCGGGGAATGAGATATGAACGCTACGATCAACCACCCCCAAGCTCTGGAGGAAAGCTGCCTAACTGGTTCAAGAAACTTACAAGTTTTTGATACGCGCATATTGAGTGAGAGAACCTTCCTATTTTGCTAGGTAGGGCTATGTTCGACAGTGCGATATTATGCCAGAAGAATGCTCCTTGATTTTTCGGTGCATTTGACGATTTGAATGACGCGATGACCACATACCTGAAGTGTTGGATATGAACCTTGATATTGACTTTTTATGCGTTGATGACCCTTTCAGCACTGTTTCCGTCCGTGAAATTGTCTTTTCACTGAGATTTGTATACCTGATGCATGTATGATTAACGATGAAAACCGAGATACTGTCTTCTAGATGAGCTGAAGTCAATGAAGCAAATATAAATATTACCTCTAGTATTTCTATAACCTCCCCTCATCCTCTCCCTTCACCCTCCGCCTCTTCTCTAAATACATCCGTCCCCCCTCATACATCCCCAAATAAATACTCATCCCAACAGCGGACCAAAGAGATCTTAACGCACCCCCCCGAAACAATCCCTTAACCCCCTCCTCTCGCAAAACCTCCTTCCCAACCGCCACCGTCCCCTTCACCTTCCTCGCTGCCCCCTCCCCCGAAGCCCCCAACATAACCCTCGTCTTCACAACATCAATCGGTGTCGTCACAACCGAAGCAACAGTCCCTGACACCCCAGCCGCAACACCCGTCAAAACCGCCCTCTTCCCCACCGAATCCTTCCCCCTCTCCCGAACAGAAATAAGCCACCCCCTCACCCCCTCAAATATCGGGAAATGCAGCCCTGTAAACGGTAAATTCCGCCCTACGAGTGCCGTGTACCCGCTCCAGAGCTTCCACGGCCGATGTCTGAACTTGGCGAGGACTTGGATCGTTGCGCCTTTTCTTAGAGGGCTGGAGACGGACTTATTGATATCGAGCATTTGGGCGTTTTGTTTGAGGACTTCTGCTGGCGTGAGGACTGCGCAGGAGACCATTTCGCCTAGGGAGGAGGCGATTGTGTGGATTAGGGGGAGTGGAAGGGGATGGGTTATGGGGAGCGGGTTTTTGGAGGGTGTGGATGTGGATATGGGTTGGGAGTGTGTGGAGGAGAGGATTAGGATGTGTTTTGCTGTTTCGTAGGTTGTGAAGAATGCTCCTGCTTTTGATGGGTTAGTGAGAGGTTTGTCTTGGGTATTGGAGTTCGGATAGGGTGTATGTGTGTATGTGGACGTTTGAGTGGAAGGATATAGGTAGGGTAGATAGATAGATAAGAGGGGAATATACATACAAGAAGGAACAGTTGCTAGTACGACGCTCCAGACACCCTGGTATAATCCCCGAAAGAGGATGTTGCGTTTGATGGCTCCTGTTTTGGCGTCTTTGTATAGGTGATTGTAGTTTGGGGACTGGATGCGTGTTTTCAGCGTATCCATTGGGTAGACTAGGAAGTCGACTGTTACGGCTGCGAAGGCGCCGGCCTTGGGGTTGGCCTTGGTCAATTGCGAGACATCATTTGGTTTTGATATAACTTTAGTCGGAGGGAGTATTGGGGAGTTGGGAGAGCGAGGGCATGGTTAAGTTTAAATTGAGGGACTTACCACCCAGATGTCCAGACTCGTGTTCGCCATTCTCAGGAGATATTGAAGGTGTATATGTATATTTTGAATTGAGGCAAACAAAGATATCTCTATAAACAACAAATTTCGATAAACAAGGATCGGATCTTATCTAATCGGTTATCGATGCCATGATGAGGTCATTCCAGTAATTATCAGCATCACGTGTGACAGCGGTGCCCTAGTCAGATTAGGGCATAACCTTCTTACCAGTCACCGGTTGATGCTTGGACTTGCGCAGGAACAAATGAGATACGTAGGTAAGAAGTGGACAAGGTAGGTAGGAACCAAGACAGTCATATCCCGTAACTCTATTCGTCACTGGAATAAGAAAAACAGACATATTAACAGTCAGATACAGAATTTTCCCTCCCTACGCCGTAAGGTCATGCATGCAATACCCAGAATCTCCAGTTGAGACAAATCATCATCAGACAGCTCCTCCCCTCTATTTGGCGATCTGTTCAGGCAGCAGGTTCCCCTTCACCGCAAACATCTTACCCGTCGTCGCCGAAACAAAGCTGTCGACTTGGCGCGAGTACTGCTCCACTTGCCGGGTATTCAGCATAGTCTCCAGGCGGCTAGGCTCCTGGGGAAGCTTGAATAGACGCTGCCACTCATCCTCGGGCAGAAGAGGCTGCTTGAGAGCCGCACGGCTGGCATTCTCGGCCTTACGCTTGGCTTGCCAAGCGGTGATCTTGGTCTGCTCACGAGCGAGCGAGCGCTGGTAGTACTGGAAGTTGTTGGTCTCGGTATGGTGAGTCTCAATGCTGTCCAGGAGAAGATCGCAGTTCTTCTCGAGGAAGGGGTCAATGCTCAGGGACAGGTTGTCGAAGTTGGGGGCCAGGACGTTGTCCTTGACAAAGGGACTCTTCTCCAGGGCAGCCAGAGAGGGAGGAAGATCGGTAGGAGCCGACTGGCTGGGGCACTGAAGCTGGTGGATGAAAGTGGTGATCAGGTGAGAGTTGTGGATCTCAACTGGAAGCTCAACGAAGATGTCCTGGTGTCTCAGGTTCGACTTTTGAAGCCTTGGAAGACGTTAGCATACCGTAAAAGCCCATAGCACACACACATGTAGACCGATATGATAGGCTATCATATAGGAAATGAAGGTAAGACATACTCCTCAGAAGTGAACTTATTCTCCTTGAAAGCAGCCATGAACTTGGAAGAAAGGCGGAAGGCCCGCAGGCTGAGGCTTCCCTGCGCACTGCGGCTGACGTCGTGCACAAGAGCGACTGTCCTCTCGTTCATCTCTTTCTGGTAAAAAAACTGGTTCTCGATCACGTTCATGTTTACGAAGTTACCCATGTTCGCGCTGGTGTACCAACCGACGTTGTTCGCATCAACGTTGACCTCCCGAAGCATGCGGATCATCTCAGCCTGGTAAGCGACATTGGCCTTCGCACGAGGGGCAGCAGCAGCCGGGTTGGGGGCGGTGTTGTCGAAGTGCGACTCAGCGGGCATCTCGACAACTGGGAAAGGGAAGGAGTTCGTGATCTCCAGGGTACCGTCCGCATCCATACCAACGATCGAACCGGTCGCAGTCGTCGGGAATGATTGAGAGGAGTGCTTGATAATCTTCATGACCACCTATATCCGAACTTTGTCAGCACCATTGTCGCCATGAAAATAGCGGGGGGTGATTTTTCGGGTCAATATCATACCAAAGCATCGACCTTGACGGCCGTGAGGGGGACTTCTTTCCTGGGTTGAGTGTTAGCAGGCATTTCACAGAAGGGATTTACGGATAGCGACCGGACTTACTCCGCCATGTTGGATGTGCTGCCCAGGTATACGTTCGACGGCGACAATGGGTTGACAGTCGGCGGCGATGGTTTGTGTGGATTGAATTCATCAATTTCCCACCGCCTAACGCCCGATATGGTTTAGCGCGCCAAGACACTCACGGGATCATTCTACACAAACAAGTCGAGACAAACAACTCTCTTTTCGAAGACTTGGAAGAACAACTTGACATGGAGCTAAGCATATTTAGAAAGAATAAATATTTCCCCCCACCCTTCACAGATGGTGTGATAATGAAAAGAACATACCGAACCTTCCTCGAACTCCATAACTACAGCTTCAGTTGGGCTTATCCGTCAAGGCACTAATTACTCCGCATAAGATCCCCTCCCGACTAACTACTACTAAGCAACCACTCCTCTATTTAAGGACTAACCGTCCCTATTCCCTCTCATTATGTAGCAAAATTCTGGCGAAAAATAACAAGATAATTAACAGCAAAAAATATCGAAAATGCCTACCGAAACCTTCAGCTACGGCGAGGACCACGACCTCCAAACAGTGACAGTAACCACCTTATCAGAAACATCCCACAAAGGTTACTGGATAATGTACATACATACTTCAACCGTCAATCCACAATCTACACTTATATTCCAATCAATTTAATCACTAATCTTCATAAACTAGCCTAATCCACGGCGGCGCCTGGCGCGACCCAGACATAACCTCCCTCAACTTCGCCAACCCTGCCGAATCCCTCCTCGCCTCATCCCCAACCTACGCCCACACCCAGCGCCACATCGCCGCCTTCGCATCCATCTCCTACCGTCTAAGCCCCACCCCAAATAACCCCCAGAACCCCTTAAGCACTAATCCCCGGGAATATCGCGGATCCAAACACCCCGATCATATCAATGACGTGCAGTCTGCCCTAGCCTTCCTGCAACGTGAATACGGATTTGGGGAGCAGTATATACTCGTTGGACATAGCTGTGGGGGCACACTGGCGTTTCAGTCAGTGATGGGTCGGTTTAGTGCGGGGGTGTCGCATGGCCCGGTGGCTGTGCTGGGTCTTTCCGGGATCTATGATTTGAAGTTACTTCGGGATACATTTAAGGGGATCTCAGTGTATCAGGATATTGGGGAGGGGGCGTTCGGGGCTGATGAGGCTATTTGGGATGCGGTTTCTCCGGCTGTGGTGTTGGGGAAGGATGGTGTGGAGGGTGGGTGGGGGTCTGGTCGATTGGCTGTTCTGGCGTACTCATCTGAGGATTCGCTTGTGGATGCTAAGCAGTGGGAAGTTATGAGAACTGCTCTTTTAGATAGGTGGGTGAAGGAGCAGTCTCCAGCTCAAAAGAGGTCCGTTGAGATGTTGTCTCTCAAGGGTCAGCACGATGAATGCTGGGAGACAGGAGAGGAGCTGGCGAGAGCTATCGCTTTTACTATTGAGAAGTTACAGGAGATGATCTCTGCATAGATTGGATATCTTGTTTGATGAACACTCACGTTGTGGTGATCCAATCCTCAGCTATTCCTCAGTGATGTGGACAATATTAAATGAAGCGCACATTAAGGAATTGCCACTTTGCATCGTCATTCACTTTACGTCTCTATTAAATGTGAATTAAGAGGATATGAAACTAGTAAACATTAGAAGGGAAGAAACTAGACCAGCCATTCTCAAAGCTTCAAACGCCCACCAGTGTTTGACATCATAACTTCAGAGTACAGAAAATTGAGAAAAGAAACCTTCCATACGCCCACAAATGGAAAACAGCAATCCACAACATGAAACCGACAAAGGAGGAACATGCCATATATGACGGGAAAACCCTGGTCGAAGTATTTTTTAGGAAAATTGAAAAGCACGCGCAGGCAAGTAGCTTGGATAAGAGAAACCACGAGCCATGGGATATGTTGTATATGACAATATGAGAGGGGAAGTGATGGGGCATGGTCAAGCCAGCGTGAGCGTTGGTATCGTCAAGAAGAGACAGAAATCAGAACCAGAAGAATAGTCTCTCAAACTCCCAATTCCATACGGCCAGATGCAGCGTCGCCCACAACCCGCTCCTTCGGATCAAAGGTCTGGTCTTCATCGTCGTCTTCTTCCTCCTCTTCTACTTCGTCATCTTCGGCATATTTAACCTCCATGCCGGCATCGCGTAGACGCGCCTTCATGTCTTCGCGGTACTGATCCTGCCAGCGCGCCAGTGCTGCGGCCGCATGAACTCTGAATCCGTAGATACGAGGTTCATAGCGGCCGACACTCTTCTCCGGAACCAAGCCTGGATACACCTGGAAGAGCATGCTGGGAAACGAGGCTCCAAAGTAGGCTCCGTCGATGGAGGCATGGCGAGAGGACTTAGGGTTATAAAGATCTTCGCACTTTGGGCAGTAGAGACGGACAGTGCTCATATTGGGAATGTCATGCTGGCCCATAGGCAGAAGAGGTTGCCCTTCGCACATCACACGGGGACATTTGCCGAAATCACCCTTCTTGTACTTGTCGACCTAGTCTAAAGTCAGAGAAAATTGTCTTTGTGGTTACAAGCTCCAGGTCAATTATATACCATCTTCGCAAGGCCACGGGTGGTGACGATATATCGTGCATGGACGAGTCCATAAAGGTGACGCGCCGATTTCTCAATCTGTTCGCGGAGGTCGTCATCCGCATCCAGGTCGAACACATCGGTCACCAGATCCAGGGCATACTGGTAGTACGGCACCTCAGTGTTGAGCCCGGTAAGGTTGAAGCGATCAGTCAAGTATTCCTCATCAATTTCACAGAAATATTCGTTTCCGCGAGAGGAGATGAACTGTATGCGCCAATTAGCTTCGTCGTCAGAAAGCGGTGGTAGGTAGATAGGATATCTCAAGCGATAAGAGCGAGAAACAGGGTCAGTTTTGAAGTATGGTGGAGCAACCGTAGAAGGAGGAGCGGTATCAGACAGCTCTAACTTCACTTGACTGGATGGGGCAGACTCCATTCTTGCAGTTGTAAGATGGTGCAAGGTGGCAGGTGATGCATGGAACTGGCGAGTTGAGAGGAAGTGTTATAGTTTCTCAAAAGGGAAGTGCTTGTCCTCAACTTCTCCTTCCGTCTTTCTCTCACTAGAACTGCATCAACCAGTATCACCATGCTCCTTCCTTCACCCACAATCAAGCCGCAACAAACCCCACCTAGTCACTCGTTCGCGTGAGCCACGGACAAATAAAAATGACTCACCCAATCTCTCCAGTAACTGGTATAGTCACTGTCAGTTTCGCTATTGAAGTCCTCCATCATGTTGCCGGAGTCGCGTTAAGGACAAGATAGGAGTGTGTTTCTCGACCTGAAGGTAAGATTATTTTCTTGACTTTGCCTGTGGCAGTTGCTGAGAGATGACTAGGTCAGACTTCTCCGGCGCAGGAGAACTCTCAGAACCACACAGCTGGAATAATCTTCCTCAGAGACACCACGGGCACAGCGTGAAGAATAGACACTCGGGAGGAAGGCGAAGGTCGCAGGATGGAGGATATGGAGATGGTGTTGCAGTGCGTGTCTCTTCCGCATCCCGTTGTCACTTTGGTTATCAGTGGATTATCCTCTCCGGGTTTAGCGCGGGGTTGGCGGTGAGTTTATATAGACCGTGCCTTTGATCACCGCCTTTACTGACACTATTCTGGGTTTATCCCGTGCAATCCCGAGCCCTGAGACATGCTGGCTTAACCTTTCCAGCACACTTATGCACAGACTACGACTGCATAACCCAAACCTCATAGTCAAAGACCCCGTGATGCTTTTCCCAGTGAAGAAACCCCTCCGTGGATCTTTCTTTACTTTCTGTAGATCTTACCGCATGGTGTCATTCAATTTCGAGGTCGTCGACCATTGGACCCTCCTATAGTACCTAGAGGTACTACTGCTCAAGAACCCCCTGAACATTGAAAGTTCTTCTCTGACCCTCTAATAAGGGAGTACCATAGCATTGCTTAGGGGATTAGTTGGATATCATTTGGATAAACAAGATACTACCCGGAATCAAACTGCCACCTTAATTAGACTATCTGTGCTGTATATTCCCGGGATGAAACATGTGTTGACATTCCATAGAGCCATGTAGGATCACTGCTGATGTTGGCTCAAACCTGACAAAACCATCTCCAATCCAAGCATGGAACTTCTCTGTTTGAACGATCTAATGACGGCAGCGGAAAATGTTTTCAAGACTCTCACCTTCTGAGTCTGAGCTCTCTCATCTCTGTCTCCGCCGAATGGCCTCGTTCGGTCGGATGAAGTCGTTGTTTTCTTCGTATCCCCATAAGAGAGGGAATTTTTGGAGCCATTATCCGATACTAGTTCGGCCTGGTCCCCTAGGTATTGTGAGGGCCTTTTACGCTCTCCTTCTCAGTAGACGAAACTTGACGCTCGTTACCACCTAGACGGGGCCCGAGGGTCTGCTTGAATTTTTCAGAGTCAACTTCCCAATGCAACACAGTGTGGACCTCAGATGGGTCACTTGCATCTGCCTCTCGCTGCGCCTCAGAGACAGTTCGGATTAGGTCCGACAAGGGTAGGCGCGTTTTGGAAACCCGCTTTCTTTTGCAGCACATGTCACTTTCAGTCCGTTTACATGAAGTCCGCTTCTGTGTGTGGGACTGCACTTGTGTAACACGATCGTGAAGTCCATCACATCAATACCCATGCATCCACCAAGTAGTATGACAACAACCCATGTATTCAACAAGATAGCGTGCACTAGGTCCTGCTCTGTGTATACTTGTTTAGAGTCCAAGAACGAGCCGTATTTTGCAGAGGCGTGGATTACCTACTCTTCTAGATGGTAGTACTTGACGAGATATTTGACCTTCGACCCTTTGCGATGTTAGCCATATACTCCAGCGACCAAATCGTGATAAGGTGGGACATACAATGCTTTTGCTCCTTGAGCTTATAGAACCTAGATGCTGTAGGGGAAAAGCTTTGGGAATAGGAATGGGTGAACCGTTTCTGTCATACATCTGTAGTGGGAGGATGGGCTGGCTCACAAACGCGATTTTGGAGTTCAGAAGGATTATCTCAGAATTGTCAATCTTGTCGTCGAATTTGTCCATCCTGGTCTCCATTCTGTACATACGAACTTCAAACTTATCTATCCTGACCACCATTCTATCCACCTTGGCCTCCAAGTTATCGATCTGGTCTCGACCACATCCATCCTAACTCCAACTGACCAACCTTGGCTTCCAGTCTATCCACCCTAGTCGATCAAGCTTAGTCTCAAGCCTGGCCACTTTAGCCTCAACTTTGTCCATCTTACCTCCAAACGATCCACCTTGGCACCGAGTCCATCAATCGTGGCATCCATCCGAGTAAGCCATTGTTCATATTATAAACCTCGCTCTTCATATCCAACTCCAACGTACTAATATTGGCATCAACACGATCAAACCGCTCATGAACATTCTGAAACGTCGGCGTGATACCCTTATCACGACTCGCAGGACTCTTATTGATCTGATCGAATTGCGGCTGAATTACATTTCTACGGAAATTAACTATACGAATGGTGAGATTCCTTTGCATTGCCTCCGCTCGATGAATCAAGGAATCATCGAGATGCAGGATCAGAGATTCCTCTAGCTCGCTATTTCGTCGAACCATAGACTCTTCCAGTTCCTCTGTCCGTTGACTCAGCATCTTATCTATGCGTTTGGTCAGGGACTCTTGAAGCTAATTGTTGTGTTGGGGGAGAAGTGCATGGATCTCATTAGATCGCTGGGTTAGGGATTCTTGGACGTGGTAGGTTCAGGCTTTGGTTCAGTTCTGCAAACTGCTGGATCAACAGGGTGAGGGGTTTTTGGGGTAGAGAAGGTTATGCCAGGAGCCTGGTATCGTGTAATAATAGCATTGTTTGCTCACTCTGTTAGGTATCAATTAATGAGTAAGTCTAGAAATGAGTTCTTTGTCTCGGTATGTACTGGATGATATTCGCTCAAGCTATTGTCTATTGTCGTACGCTGATTTGATCTAAAAGACTCACATGGGTTGATGTCTGCCGTGACTTTGGTAACAATAGCTAGAGAGGTGTCTACGTAGATGCCTACTCGACACCTGGGGCGTCAAATCAGCTGTGGAGGAAATGGCGATTAAGGGTCTGCTAAACGGAAGTGACCATCTTGGATGTTGTACCTAACCATTCTCCTATATTAGTAAACAAGTCAATTCACTAGAGATAGCTTCTATCAAACAAAGGATTCACCACTCCAATCACACATACTGTCATATAAGAGGCCTATATACCACCTGAAGAGGATAGCTCAAGTTGGGCATAGTTTGAGAGTCTCTGCATACCATTGATCCACCTATTTGAGTTCAGGATCTATCTACGCTAGTTGTACCGCCATATAATCGGCAAGTCTGATCATATAACACAATATTTTGTCATTCCGTTGGTGAGCTTGCACTGCTATACGTATATAAATGTACTTTCATGAGGCAGAGAAACCCTTATGCCCAAATCCAAGCTTACAAAGAAGGGTTAGCATTCGCAACCAGCTGCTCAAAGTAGGCCTACAGGTCCTTGTCAGCACGAGGACATACAAACTGCAGGATTTCTGAATATAATCTTACCTGGAACCAAGTACCAGCCTCGGGAGCAGGCTTCAGAGCATCATCATATCCGCAGTGGGCATCGTAGCGCTTCGCAGAGTTATCTGAGGTTCCATCACTCTCACCACCAGGCTTAACCCAAACAAAAGCATCGACGAGCTCGTCCCCAGTATCTGTGGTAGGGCGGGCACCGAAGCCTGTTCCCTTTACGTTACACCAGTCACCCCATTGGCTTTGTCCTGTGGGTTGTTTTCCGTTGCGTCCTGTGCGGAAAGGTTAGGCTATAAGGCTATGTGGTCCTGAACTATTTAAAAGCTAACCTGTATCAACGATGAAGTGAGCGTCAAAGCCAGCGCTTTTGAGCTGCGGCGCAAAGTTATTGATGTAAGTCTTCTCGTCGCAAACCTGGCTGCCTTGTGTGTACGGAGGGCATGAGTTAATGGACCAGGCATTGTAATTTGCCACATTTGTGGCCAAACCACGGACAGCGGCAGGAGAACCTGCATTCTTAAATACGGAAGCATAGAGCTCAGCTGCTGGGCCGATGTTTGCTGGCCAGCCTAGCCATCCTGCATGACCTAGTATTTGTTAGAACACTGCTTGAGGCAAGCATGTTAATTAAAGATGGTAAAATATTTGTGACAAACCGGCATCAAGGTACATAGCAACATTAGGCAAATTCAGCTGCTTCAAAGCGTAGCTGGTACATTCCAAATAGGCGTCCTTGGCGTTGGCGCACTTTTGCACGTTCAGGTTGGTTACCAGGTTTGCCAAGCTATCAGGCTCTATTAGATGTCAGTGGCGTGCCTCACCCAGGAGATGGCACTGCATCTCAGAGATACTAACCAATGATCAAGATGATCTGAGTATCCGAGTACTTCTCAATCTGTTCGCGGATGGAGTCGATATACGCCTTGTATTTCTGAACACCGCCATCGCTGATCAGGTATTCTCCATTGCTAGCCAGTGCTGCACAGTCACGGTCAGGCAGGTCGTATACGACAAAGGTACCGGCAGTTGGGGGATTTGCCCCGGCATCATTCTTGCTCTTGATATCCTTCAGAAACTCGCCCATGGTGGGCACTTTGGCGGCCGTATCCCTATACAATTATTAATCAGACTTAGGTTCAGGCGACCATAAAGGTCAGGATGCATACAGCCAATGGAAAGACGGAACATTCGCCGCAGCACTGGCCTTCTCAGCCAGCGAACCGGTCATAGATGGGATAGCAAGATTCTCCACCTCGGACTTGTAGTACGGGTTGACATAGAGCTGATGTCCCTTGAAGGGATTTCCCCGTGCCGCTGCAATCGCAGTAGGAGCGGGAGAGCTCAACGCAGGAATTGACGATGAAGGAGAGGTAGTCTCGCTTGCAGCAGGCAGAGCCCTTGCGGCCAAGAAGAATAGCGGGGACAAAGCCCAAAGGGCTCGCATGCTGAAAATCTGCATGATGATGGCCAATTCTGCTTACTGCTTGCTGTTCGCGGTGTTTTAGGTTCCGTGAGCTGAATGACAGGACTTTGTGCTATAATATCTGAAGGATACTGGATCCATTTATACCCATCTCCGTCAAACTGTTATGTCATATCAAGAAGAAGAGCCAAATCCCAGCACATGGATTGAGGGTGATCCGGCTAAAAGAAAAAGTCACAAGGCCTTGAGTGTATGAATGCTTTTTCAAAAATATCATTTTAGATGATATGTATTGTCGCTTCGAAGAGCCGAGACGGGCCTTCCCCGTAGCGGATATGGTGCGGAGATGGGTGATCGTCATCACTTCGGTAAATCTAAGGCTGAAGTCATTTGGTTCTTTTCCTAATGGCTTAAGGGCCCTATTTTGCTCAAAAAAAAATGTATCAGCCTGAAAATATTGGGAAGACTGGTGTAAATAGGCTATGCATCGCGTTGAACAAGTGCCGATACAACAAACAGGGGTTTAAGCCGGGAAAGAAGGAAGAAATCGTGAAGAAACTTACAATTATAGCAAACCCATAATAGGCAAGGATTCCTGGAAAGCCTACTCATGCAAGGTCCCCAGAATGCCGACTTTAGTCACTAAAGAAGGTCAAAACACTTCCCGTTTCACGTATATTGGGCTGTCAATCGAAATGTATGCATAATTTCCCCGTCTTACAGGAACAATCACTATTTTCCGGACTAATGGCCCCAGGGCCCTTACAAATCAAAAAGCGTTACTGTATTTAGGCTCTCTCTTGATCTTCAAATGTGATTAAACTGTTGGCGGGTTGTCGGCCCGGAATTCCGGGACTTATATTTTACTACCATGTGCCAACATTGCAGGGCATACATCAATTCACGGTGCTAAGATGTGGAGTAATTTATGCAATGGTAAGGCCCTAGATCGAATGCCGAATTGCTTAAACCTTCCGATTCAATATCCGTTCCAGCAACGAAGATCAGCTTACTGGGTTTCCTTCAACGCTTCAAAGACCCCATTGTAACCGCAGTTATAGTCCAGGTTCGCTATTCTTTCTTCCATGGTTATATCCTTGGCCATGACGCGAGTGTCCTCTAGCACTTTCGCCGCACGTGGTCGCCGGATACCATCTACTTGCTGGAGAACAGCTTCGATCTGTTCATGGGAAAGGCCTGGACGGAGCAAACGAAGACTGTCGGCATCTTCGACTGCCATATTAGCACCTTGACCCTGCATTGGCGTCATGGCATGTGCAGCGTCTCCGATAAGAATCGCGCGCCCCCGGTGCCAGGTGGGCAGGGGGTCCATATCCTGGAGCTCCCACACTTTCACCTCAGTGGCCATGCTAGCATCGTTAACTATCGAAGAGCACACTCATAGGAGCATATGTAGCACTTACCTGAGGACAGTTCGAACCGGGTCGTAGAAATCGTTGAAAGTGTTAAGCATCTCCTCACGATCACCATCCGCATACCATGATCCCAGGACGTCGCCTTTGTCTTGAAGGGTGGGGAAAACGCAAGCAAAATTCATGTATTCGTAGTTGCGCAAAGCATACGCGGCAATTAGGCGATTGCTCCCATCGCCGGCTTGCAGAGCAGAGATGCGGCCGTCTGATGTGCTTGGATCCCACCACTCGGGGAGAGAGCCTAATGCCTCTCTAGCAGACTCCGTGGAGATCGCAATGCGGTAGCAGGTCAGCCCATTTTTCTTCGGTCGGCAGGTGTCAGAGCCAACGATGCAATAACGGAGACGTGAATGAACTCCATCAGCAACTGTCATGTCTAGATCAGTGCCTACGTTGGATATCGCTAGCCCATCAAAATAGGATGAACTGACCAACGACCATGTCAGATTCAACGGTAGAACCGTCCTCCAGCATCACAAGTCCCTTCTCGGGGTTAACATCAGTGACCGAGGTATTGTAGACCATCTGTGCCGGACTCCCTTGGATTCCAAGCTCTTCCGAAGGGGCAGTTGCAAGCCGCAGAAGTTCTTCACGGAAGTCGGATCGCTTCATACTAATTGAATCCGCTCCATACCGATTCTTGAAGTCGACTGGGAAGTCCTGTAGCCGATTACCGTTTTTGTCAAAGAGTCGGTACCCGTAGCAGGGCACAGCGCCAGGGCGTTCGCGATCAAACCCCATAGTTTGAAGAATTTTGACGCCGTTGGAGAACAGGCAGATACCCTGTCCTCCAGTCGCTGTGTCTGGACCGCCTCGCTCGTAGACAGTCACATCGTGGTGCTCACGAAGGATCCGCGCAGCAGCTAAGCCAGCAAGCCCAGAGCCGACAACAGTAACTCGGAGCTTCTCTTCAGACATTTGATGGAATATTTTCCCGGTCTTAATGTAGTTGGAGAGTGAGGTAAGCCTAGGAGTAAAGAGGGGGAGATGATGAGTAATAGCGAACACGAAGTTGAATTAAATCCAACCTTTTGCACTCCTATGACTAGCTAGACGTCGCCTATTTACGGCCCATTGCCCTCTATCTCAGCTGAAGAGAGCCATTATATTCTCCTTGCATAAACTTGCAGTCCATCAGTCAGGAGGCCCTAACCCCGAACGGCCTATTCCGTGTGTCCATACAGCTCGTAGCTCTCCCATGTCAAACCAATCCTTCTCAGTAAAACTAGGGCTAACCATGGAATAACATACGTTTGCATACCTCGGCCCCCGCCTCATAGACAGAAACGCCATGGAATTGATCTACATAGAGAGCCTAGTTAATTATCTCGTCAAGCCAATATAGTACATGCACATTGGATGCTCCGATTTGGAGACCTCCCACGGAATCTCCACGGAACGAGTTCGAGTCTCCACACGGAAGCACCACAAATTCATACTTCGAAGGCATTTTATAACAAGCAGAAGCGATATCATGTAGGCTTGAATGCGCCAACATTTTGTACCAGTATCTTATGACCCCATTATATTTCTAATAACATCATTCTCAATGATGAAAGGGACCCCTTGTTCTGGCTATACCAGACAAATTGCCATAGCGTAATGTTTTACGACTGAGATGGCTACTTTTGTTATTGCATACCATACATGGCTTACGAGAAAGGTATATCAAGGAACTGATAATTCAATTGAGATAGCTATCGGTAATTGCTAATAAAAGTGTTGGGGGCACGCAGCTACATGGTGTGTGTGCTCCACACATCCAACAAATCAACAAAGAAAATTAAAAGAGAATGACTATCAAAGCCGTTGTAAAATAACATAAAAGAGTTGGCAATCAAGAAAATTATGAAGGGCGGTTACATTCCGCGATGAATCGGTGTATCCCATCAGATCCATCATATTCAGAAGAACTTTCAGGGAAGCCCGTGCTCGAGATCTCACAGAAGAACGAACGGTCACCGAGTTCGCTGATGTTCACGCTTGAATATCCGGATGACGAAGAGGACTGTTGCCACGGATTCTCGCCGAATATGGTTACGTCCTCAAAGCTGAGTCTAGGTCCTGAGCGTTCAAAGAGCTCAGGCGAAGCCTCTGTGTGGCTCTTCGGAGACATCATTGCTTGCCAGTCAACTTCTTCGGGGGCCTGTGGCTCAGACGGCTCCTTTGGGAAAAAGTAACCCACCTCCGGGGATGCCGGGATACTTGGGGCAAAAGGAAATAGAAGGGCAAGATCAGCACCAGTACGGATATCAAAATCCTCGTCTTGCATAATCTTTCCTCGTTGGACCCCAACCTCGTCACAAAGGCGTTCAACAGTGGCTGCGTCACACCCAGGGAACCGCACCCGTAGCGTCGACCTGTCGTGAAGTAAGATGGGAAGATCACCCAAAGTTGACAAGCGTTTGAGATCATTTAGTACGGCGGATAGGTCCTTGAGAGCACGGGCAAAGTCAGCAGAGAGGCAGTCCAAGAGACCTTCTGAGTTGAGTGTCTCGCAGGCGAAGGCCCCGGATGGGTCAAACTTCTTCTGCAGGCCAAACGCTGTGATGGTAGGGGAGAGTTGGAAGTCAATGAACGATCCCGGTGCGGTCCGAGGGATTCCCATCATTTTCCGCTCGGCCTGGTCTTGAAGCGCGCTGACGGCCTTGTATTTCTTGTTTCCGCTGATAGCGTCAATGCCATCGAACCGGGCCTTCTGGCCGGAGAGGAAGAATGCTCGGACACCCATAGAGACGTTCTGAACGACCTGAGCGGGTGCAGCCGGACCATGCGAGAAGTACCGAGCACCGCCGATCCGACCAGCACCGATAGTATAGCCTCCAGCCGTACGGCCTAGAGTACCGCCGGTCAGGTTCGGACGAAGGGTCGACGCAAAGGGAGCGCGAGAGGTAAGGCGGCTGATGTTTGCTGCAACCCGGGATGTCTTGTAGGCAGCGCGATCACCCTGCAGGCCAGTTCGGAGATAAGAAACGAAGGAGCCCGCGCGAGTGGAGTAGTGGCGGCGCCGGGCCTGGCGGATTGCTGCAGCACGGTTGATGGGCTGAGAAGGGTTTATACGTGCGAAGGCTGGTTGGAGTCGTAGGCTACCATGCTGTACTTGTTCTGGGAACTTTGTTCTGATCGCTTTATAAGCCTTCTCATAGGCAAACCTACGTCGGCGTTAGGAACGGGGGCTATACTCCAGAGGATGGGTCATCGATTACTTACCTCGCTGCTCTCCAAAACTTTGGGAGCAGCAGGTGCCCACTGGAAGGCGGCATCCTGACGCTGAGGTGAAAACAGAGTTTAATGAAGAAATAAAGATGGAGAACCCATTCCCTGAGAGAGACAGTAGAGACCAAGTAAGATAAAGAAGTGGATGACTGGTGGGTGCCTGATCATATCGGCACAATGTGGCGGTGCAGCACATGATCCCCACGTGCACCAGTGTCGTCATCCCAGGGTCCCGTGACCCTCTTCTGTCTGCCATGTTGACTCCATAACAATACACAATTTATTGGTATCCATACAATCCTGAGCTACAGAAAATGATTCCTCTGGAGAAAAAAATCTTGAGGGGATTTGGCAGTATCTGAAGTTGCGTCAAAGCCAATTTATTCTACAGTCAGGCCTCGAAATATATATATATATATATACATTTGATCTATTGACCTTTAGGAAGCAACCAACGTGGACACACGTCAAAGGTATGTTGTTCGTCACCAATATAATCACAAATGGGAAGACTATTGTGAATTGGAATTATTCATTCAACTTCTTTGTACAAAGAAAAAAAAAAAGGGGGGCCATTTTCTAATATATTCTGGTATGTACGAATAATGCAAAAGCTTAAGTTTACTAATGGTATGGATCTATGGTTATGGATAACTGGGCTAGATTGTATGTACATTTCGAATTTAGGGATATCTAAGCTCTATATAGTGTCTGACAGGGATATCATAGTCGTCGTCATTTACTCATCATCGCCGAAGAAGACCTTAACCGGGAGCCAGCTATCACCGCAGACCTTGAAGCGGTCCTTCAAGTTGTCCAGCTGGTTAACCTCCTCGGCAGACAGGTCCCAGCCGTCAATCTCAAAGTTGGCGCCAATGCGTGACTTGCTAACAGACTTGGGGATAACGCTCCATCCCTTCTGGATACCCCACACAAGCAGGACCTGCTGAGGAGTCTTGCCCTTCTTCTCAGCGAGCTGGAGGAGAGTAGGATCCTTGTATAGGGGAGAGTTGGTGGAGCCCAGGCAAGAGTAGCCGGTAGAGTGAATGCCCTTGGAGGAGTTATAGGCGACCAGCTTGGGGGAGGGGTTGTTGGGGTGCAACTCAATCTGGTTGACGGCGGGGACGATCTTGGTACTGGGGTCGTTCAGGAGCTTCTCGAGGTTCTTAATGCCGAAGTTGGAGACACCGATGTTCCTGACCTTGCCGGTTGCAGGCAGCTTCTGCATTTCTTGCCAGGTCTTAATGAAGTCCCAGTCCGGGAGGTGCTTGGACTTGTCATTGGGGTCGGTCGAGCTGGGCCAGTGCACCAGGTAGAGGTCGACGTAGTCAACGCCGAGGTCCTTCAGCGAGGATTCAATACCCTCGGTGACACGGTGGTGCCAGGTGTTGTCGAGCTTGGTGGTGATCCAGATTTCCTCGCGGGGAACACCGGAGTCCTTGATACCCTGTCCAACTTCGGCTTCGTTACCGTAGGCAAGAGCACTAATGCGGGTTGTCAATTCCTGGCCAACTCTCTATTGCTTTTTGGAAGACACTTAAAATGCAGAGAAAACGTACGTGTCGATATGGCGGTAGCCCTTCAGGAGAGCATTCTTGACGGCCTCCCGGACCTCATTAGGCTTGGATTGCCAGGTACCAAGACCAATGGCGGGAATCTTGTCCCCGGTGTTCAGGGTGTAGGTCTTCCTATAACGAGACGGGTATATTAATGGGATGTTCTTTTTATCTTGCAGGGCCGTGGGGACTCACTTGGTGTGCTCGAGGTTGGCCATTGTGGGCAATTGAGTAGAAAGAAAGGGATATTATAAGAGGTTGGGATCCACGAGCAAGACGGTTTATTCAAAAAAGAGAGGAAGAAATTTAGAAAGGAGGGGAAAGGAATCCGCGAATTTATATAAGGGGGAGGAAAGCCACAGAAGAGAAGGGCAATGAAAGGCAGGTCCATCCTGCATAGTGGGGGATGATGTCAAATGGAGGGGTATGGTTCATTTGCATTGATTGCATTGATTGCAAATGCCCCTCTTTGGTGGGGACTTCCCACTCATTCCCTCCTTCTCCCTGGCCGCCCTCATCCGACCCAGATTCTATTACCAGCGAATAATGATAAAGCTTGATTCAGCTTGAGGCCAATGAGCGTCTTGCACCTGTCCAAATTATCTCCAGTGTGCTCATTTATTACCAATGTTCACCGGGGTGGTCTTTGGCCAAAGTCCCACCGGTAGCCTGAGAGCCGCTGCTAAACTCCATTCAGACTCTCCGCTGGAGTATTCCTCTTGTTGGACCATACCAGTTATCGTATTCGCGATTCTCAAGTGAGATGGCATCAACGATTGGATGCTTGGAGTTATCACCTCATTCTGGGCACGATCCGTGAGTAATACTAACCTTAAGTAGCTGCTCGGTCTGTGGAGTCATATAGAATGGCGAGCTAGGGTCCAGGTATTATAAAATATAATGAGTATTGCTTAAAAGGTTGATTGCTTCTTAGGCACAGGCTATAGATCCTCTGATTTGTCATACAGACTAGCTAGGCGACGGAGAACGTGTATGACCGCACCTGCGAAGAGCAAAAAGATAGAAACAGACGTTCCCCAAAGAGAATATTGGAGAAGAACGCAAGGAAGAGAAGCAGTGGAGGGGGTCCAACACCACATTGCTTAAGGTGATGACAGCTGGGAGGAGACTCGCTGTCGACCTACAATTAAACAGTCTCAATTCCCTTGCTACCTGCTTCGCCCTACTTAGGGATCTGACTGATATGATCCATAACGGCGCACTTCCAGTCATCGGTACCATAGTAGATGGTGTACTGGTCATTCGGGGAGTCGCCGGTGGACAGTTTCTGGCCATACTGCCAGAACAAGTCGGCAGCCATTCCAGAGCTAAGGGAAGTCTTTTGCCACTTAAGCTCATCCCCACAATGAGTGCCCTTAATGCCATACTCCTCAAACAGGCACGGCTTACCGGCCTCCCTGCAAGCTTTACCGTGGTTTTCTACCCATCCATTGCCCCATGCGTTGTCCTTGACACCCCCTGAGATTGCAGGTCAGCGTTGGAGTATCTTTCATAACGTAAGAGATAATTGAGTACTCACAGTCAGCAGTGTAAAGGTGGAACACTCCGAAGTCAATGTCGGGAATAGCCAAGTTCTTGACGAAGTCGTTTCCTTCGTTGGTGGAATACGGGTAAGACTTATCCGAGCCGATGGTCAGGCCCATGCCCTCTGGGTAAAATCGTTAGATATGCTGCTACCAAATTTCAGGTGTGACTGGGTTAGTATACATACCGTCACCAATGGCCACCATGTGGTTGGGGTCCAATGACTTAATGTAGGCACTGGTCTTTGCCGCCCAATCGTGGATAACATCAGTGCTGCAGCCAGAGCAGCGAGGCTCATTACCGAGTTCCCAAGCAAAGATCGCTGGGGAGTTCTTGTACCGAGAGACAACTGCCTTCACATAGGCTTGGTACACACCCTGGATTTTCTCATTGGTGTACCACTCGGTTTTGCTACCACCATAGACATTGACGTACGCGTCCATTCCACCATAGTCGTCCCAGTTGTTCACAAAAGGAATGATAAGTTTGATGCCATGCTTCTCAGCGGCAGCTACGACATAATCAAGACGCTGAAGGCCATCCTTGCCGGTATTGATGGTCGAAGTGCCCTTCGCCTTGTCATGGAGCTGGAAATAGACCGTGCCAGTACCGGGGGCGGTGTTCACATCGTTAAAGCCCCAGACACGGAGGATCTTCAGGCCAGTTTGTTCCAAGTGGTCGAATACAGCATCAACATCTGCATTGTTCGTAAGGAATGGCAACCAATAGGCATTTGTGCCAGCGAAATACTTCGTCTTGCCGTCAATTGAGAACTGCAATCCATCCGCCTTGGCAAATAAGCCGCTGCCAGACGGGCGAGGGGTTGGTGCGACCGTAGAAGAAGATGGCAGAGGAGTGGACTTTAAGGTTGTCGAAGCTGCCTTGTTGATACCCGTGCTGAGTGAGAGAGTAATGGATACCGACGGAGTGCTCGACACCGAGGGAGTCGTGGACTCTGCGCCTTTTGGTACGGATTAGATTTCTTTTATTCTGGTGACCAGCGCAGGGTAAGTCAGGTATCGCTCACCAGGCACGCATTGGCTGAACCACTCATTCAACACCTGGCATTTCCATCCAGAAGCACACGAAACAGAGCCGGAGAAGGACTTGCCCCCACACTGCGCCCAAGGACCAGCCTGGGCCGAAGCAGCTCCTATCACAGACAGGAGTGCGATAGACGAAAAGGAACGCATTTTGATAAAAGAGCGAATGGAACGTAAAGGAATGAATTTGAAAGAAACTTATAGGCTTGTCGAGCGGAAGAGCTCTGGCTCGAGGACATATTGAATTGCTTTATACTCATCGCGGCCGGGTACGCTTCTCCCAGAATCGCAGATCAAGGCTGTCCACAAGCTCCTTGAAACGCTAGAAATTACAAAAGTATCGTTATATTTTCCATATTGCGTCGGAGTTAGTGAAGACTGACGCATTCTACTGGGCTAGCGTCTTTACAGTGTCTGATTCCATCTTGATCCGTCTTGTTTCTGGAAATTCTAACTCTCAACGCGGAGCAAGTTCCACAGTTCTGGAGCCAAGGCGGACCCTTTCTCCCTCTAGGGTTCCGTGTCCGTTTAGGTAAGGATTGTCTCAGTTTGAGACTCATTTATTTTAAGATGGTCCCTGCGTTCCACGTGAGACAATTTGTCCAAGCCGAAAGTATGATTTGAATCTGATAGAAATCTCGATAAGACAGCCGGCATAAGTGAACCTCTACTCCCCACAATACTCTACTGCAAGGCACATCAGTGACATTATAGACTTGCAGAAAGAGACCAATGGCTCCGGGACTGTATTTTCAAACGAGTAAAGACCGGGGCCTTAGGAGAAAAACACGGCACGGAAAGGTGAACAGATAACCTCATGCCACAAGCCCGCAAACTTCGGCTCCTGAAAAGGCCAAGAAGATGATTGGTGAAGCCTGGCTCGAATGACAGGAAGTTGGACCTAGTGTTCATTATCCTGAAACGCTTCATTGGGCAACTTAGTTACCCCCGCGCCCACCAGACCGTTTTCTTTCGAAAAAGGAAGTCAGCAAAAGTCCATACAGTCGTTGGGGTGAGGGAAATGGATACAACTTGGACAGGAAATCACCTGTCTCAGACGAATAGCCACTTTCCCACCATCACTAACCATGAAATGAATGAAGTGGCTTCCTGGCACGCCACCGACTCAACCAAACCATACTTTAGATACGGAAGAGACCGGAATTGCCGTTCTAGAACCAATGAATAATTGGTCCAGATCTGGCAATGGCCAAATTGCTGAGTCCAAGAAGCTACAGAGCTGGTCAGACCGTGAAATATGCCTTTAGCATCATTTGTACAACCTAATTTGACGTGGATATAAAGATCTATAATGTACCCTCCTTTTCCGGGGGTTTCTTTTTTCTCTCTAACAAACAAGTCCTGGAGACATAGTCATTCTTTTACACATAGTCATTCTTTTAAAACACCTTCTTTCTCAAAGTCCGCTCAAGATGAAGTTCTCCCTTGCCTGCATCGCTGTCATCTTCGCCACTGGAGTGCTGACCGCTCCAACTCCTGATGCCTCGCTCGATATTTCTCTCGAGAAGAGGGATGACCGTGGACAATACACCGTCTCTGGCTTGGGGGAGCGCAAGAAGGCCATCCTCCAAGCCGGTGGTAACTCTCTTGACATTGCCATTGCGATGCTCGAAATGTAAGACACCATGACTCGCAAAGTGACTGTTCTAACGCGAAAATGATCAGTGAGGATATGAATACCAGCCATTATCCCTATGGGGATGCCAAGACTTACGACGCCGCCAACTTCGGTCTGTTCAAGCAGAACTGGGGTCAGCTTCGGCAGTGTGCCCATCGGTACGGCTTCAAGGGCAAGCCTGAATCCCAATGGAACGATGGAGCTGTGTTAAAGTAAGAAAACTGGAATCTATGATATGCCTCCCCTTGGAACATGGGCTGATGAAGTAAAAAGCTCAAATGTTTACGCCGACGTCGCCTCTCGCTGGGATTGCCAGAACCACTACGGCTATGACAAGTGGTTCGCTGGTCACCGCAACGGTGCCGCTGGTCTTGCCAACCCCTACACTGCGGACATCAACAGTATGTTCTGATTCTTTTATTCGTTTGTTCTACTTCGAGTACTGATACTGCTTCAATCAACTCTGCAGCCTACAAGTCTGCCGTCCAGTGGATCCAGAAGCAGATTGACAGCAACGATAAGTACAAGTACGATGACACCCGCTTCTGGGTCAGCGTTGTTGCCATCTAGGCGACGCCTTTCGTACCATTTTTTTGCGAGTGGTCGAGGGCCATACTTACGCTCTTATTTGGATCATTCTGCAACGTACTTCATTTCTTGTCAAGTAGCTCTCGTGCCTTTCGCAGTCGAGGTTTTTAGCATGTACTCGCTTGGGGGATTCTATTCTTGATAAACTTGATATTATATCATAAGCCTATTATAAATTATTTCTTCCCTGGCTAGAGTGTACTCTGGGGGAGCTGTCGACCCGATTCGAGCTATCAAGTGGCGCTAATGCTACGTAGCGGTTCCTTGACAAAACAGAGCTGTGTGAAATCAAAAGCATGCGACTTCCTCCAAAGCTATCTATTACCCAAGGTATAAGAAGATTTCTAATCCTCTACATAGTAATTTGTCATCCACGTTTATGTGCTCCGTAAGCTGAAGCCCCATTCAAACTCGGCCCCAGGATTCAATCCCGGTAAGCACTAATGCTAGCACTAGAACCCCTAAGCCCGTGAGCAAGTAACAATAACATTCAAAATAAGCATACAGAGGAGACCAATTCTACAGATTCCTGTCAGTCCCCCATCAATCCCCGTCCAATTGCAGCTGCATAAGCGGCGTCAAGCTAATACCAGCCATGTAAGACAAGCTCTCACTAACCCCGCAGTGCATCAATATGAAGACTATATAACGGACGATCACTAGCTCGGCATTTTTCTCCTCATACCATACTTTTTATACTCTACACAGTTTCTCACCCCCCCCCCCCCCACCCACAGCCGCCACGCACTCAACAATGACCCCAACAATCCTCTTCGTTCCCGGCATCTGGGAAGGTCCATCCGTCTTCGACCGCATCTCATCCCTCCTCACCGCCGACGGCTTCAACGTCGAGACAGCCGCTCTCCCAAGTACAGGAACCATCTCCCCGGGAAATCCGAGTATGAAAGACGACATCGCCGCAGTGCATCAACACCTTAAGAAGATCGTCGAACGCGACCAAGAAGTCTTACTCGTCCTCCACTCCGCGGGCGGGTTCATCGGCAGCGAAGCTATGGAAGGTCTTGATAAGAATGCACGCGAAAAGCAGGGGAGAAAGGGGGGTGTTATCGGGATCGTCTTTATAGCTGGGGCGGTGGTGCCGGAGGGATATGTGCATCAGCCGTTGCCGTTTGCTGTTTACGAGGTGAGATTTGGGGACGTTTCGGATTTTCCTATGCGGGAGTTCCTTGGTTATTGACCTTTGTGTATAGAGTGGGGCGTGCTACTGTGTTCAGCCGGAGGTGACGCTTTTTGGGGATTTGGAGAAGGAGGAGAGGGCGAAGTGGGCGGCGGTGCTTAGGCCGCAGCCTGCGGACGGATGGAGGGGCACCACTACGTATGCTGGGTGGAGGGTGGTGCTGAGTGTGTATCTTCTCTGTGAGGGGGATAAGAGTCTTTCTATATCGCTGCAGGAGCAGTTTGCAGATTTGGCTGGGAGTAAGCTCGTGCGGTGCAGCGCTGGCCATGTGCCGCAGTTGAGTCAGCCTCATAGGGTTGTGGAGGTTATTAAGGATGCGGTTTCAGCTTGAAGGCTTTGGTTCTTCTAACTCCGTATTATAATGATGGGCCCGATTTGTTGTAGTGAACAAAATGTCCGAATGATATATAACAATCTATAACATGCATTCATGGCGCACTAATTACAAAGTCAAAGTTAAAACTCATGTACAACATCTGATATGTTATTCTGCATGAACCTCACACGAGAGGTCTCCCCAACAATAATGCGGACCGATAAGAAACTGTTGACACCCATTTTCGTCTATACCAGGGACCTCAATCTCGGCTGTCAATCTTTTCTTTCGACTGAAAGGAGTGTGCACGATAGATGTTGAAACAGGGAATGTCATCGCATCGTTCCCAGGGAATCAAGCAAGTCCATTTGTTTCTTCATTGATATCGACCGTGATAAATGAAACAATCCCCGATTCGCTTCCAATTGCGAAAGTACCATCACGGTATGCAGATGTCTTTGGTCGGTACTCAACCGGCAGCCAAAGAACTCTTTCTGGTCCAATGTGTAGCCATTGGTCTCCCAACGTCACATCCTTTAGCGGAGGAGATGGGACTGCCTCTTGACCACTTCGTAACGGAAGTACACGAATTGCTCCAAAGTCTGCTTCCAAGTATCTGCTATCATCTGAAAAGTGTAAATGATTTATTCCGTTACGAAAGGGGGTCGATTGGCCTTCGGAAACAGATAGCGGTTTTCCGGTTTTCCTATCCCATACGCGAAGAGTATGGGAAAGTGTCCCTGATGCCACAAGTCTTCCATCTGGAGAGAGCACAACCTGATTGACCGCTCCAATATCTTGCAGTGTCTGAGATAATGCTCCTGTGGTTAGATTCCAAAGCCGGACTTTTGCATCATTGGAACCTGAGGCAAGCAGCTGTTCATCAGGTGAGAATTTTAGTACAGTGATTTTGTTCTGATGCTCCTCCAGTTCTTGTTGCAATACGCCTGTAGCGGTACCCCACACTCGCACCACATTCTTAGCGCTTGATGCAAGCTTCTTGCCACTTGGTGAGAATGCTATACACGCCCAATTTCCGTAGGATTCAAGGGAGTAGAGCCTTTCTCCAGTGTGTGTGTCCCATAAGGTAATTGTCCCATCTTCGTCAATTGAAGCCAAATGTTGACCACTGGGGGAAAATATTATACGGTCGACAGTATTTAGATGGTCCTCAAGTGTCTGTGAAATTTGGCCTGTAGCTGTGTCCCACAGTTGAACGCATGTGCTGTCTGATTGGGGCCGAAGCGCCACCATCCTACTGTCTGGGGAGAATCCAAATGTGGTGGATTTTCCACAGTATCCGTCGACAGTGTGAAGTAGGATTCCTTTTGCAAAATCCCACAATTGTATTTGACGACCAGAAACTGACGCCAGTAGCTTGGCATCTGGAGATAGTACAGTCGCAACAATTTCATCGGAATGATCCTGAAGGGCTTTTTGCTCTGCAATCAGGGTTGCATCCCATAGTCGCACACTTCCATCATCGGAACGCGATACTAGAAGTTCACGATTTGGTGATAGTGCTACTGTTGAAATGTGTCGAGTATCCCAATCAAACCTGTAATACAAGGCGCCCATGACCATTCCCCATAACAGAGGGGGAACAGAGCCACTCGTTTCCAGTGTACTACTGGGCGAAATTGCAAATAGTTCGATGAATCCAGAGTCAAAGGTTTGCCGCAGTTTGCCTGTGGTTGCGTCCCATATCCATATCGTTCCATCCAAAGAGCCCGACACTATTAGCTGGTTGTCTGGGGAAAACCCCACCAATACAACTGGTTCGCTGTGCTCTAAGTTCCGTAATACAGCCCCTGTGCCTAGTTCCCAAAGTTTCACTGTTTTATCAGTAGAACCAGAAGCTATTAGCCTGCCGTCAGGTGAGATTGCCACTGCATTCACTAGACCAGAATGGCCTTGTAGGGTCCGGAATACCGCACCAGTGGCTAGATCCCACAAATCAACTGTATGCTCGAGGGATCCTGAGGCAAGTAGCGTGTTATCTGGTGAGAATGCCAGCGCGATTACGGAACAAGCATTTTCTTCAAAGGTCTTATCCAATGTTCCCGTATTTATGTCCCATAACTGGACTATGTGGCCCTCGATTGTGTCATCCCATGTGCTATATGCCAGATGATTATTATCTGGAGAAAACGCAAGGGCGCTAGTAAGGATGGCGCTTTCGAGGGTATGGAGCAATAGTCCCGTGGTTGAATCCCACAGTTTCACAGGGGTGCCTATAGAGGCAGATGCTATCAGTTTGCTGTCTGGAGAAAATGCCACCACTCTAGGATTCATAATGTCCAGAGTCATGAGTTGTGCATCCCAATTATCTTCCACTTGAGGCAGCCTAACAAAGCGCCCAGATATTTCACTTTGGAAAGCCCTTCGGATAATTGATTTTTGCGGTGCAAATATCAGGGCAGAAGCATAAAGTTGAAGAGGTGCGTTGTTGATAATCCAAGCATTCTTCAAAATGAACCTGTTTGCATCATGAAGAAATTTTGATACTAAACGTCCTGACCCAGGCTTTGCGGAAAATCAGTCAGAATCCACTCCTTAAGGAATCGTTTTGGTTCCGGGAGATTAGTAGACCTACTTGTACTGCTGACTGTAATGTCCTGATACTGCCCACGACCTCTGATGCCAGTCCCAGTATACTCATGGCTTCCAGCCAGTGAAGAAAATGGGTTTCAAGAAAATTGTGGATCCGGTCTTGGTCAGCGATTTGATACCTACCCCTCTGTAGATGATAAATCCAGTAGTGACACGAGTATTGAAGCTCTGCTGGAAGATGGTCTTGAATGGTCGCATCGCTTATATCAGTTCGTACTGCTCCGTCACTCGACAATCCACAAATATTTCTTGAGAGTCCACCCCTTTCTCGAGTCATCACCTCTATACATCTAAAGAGTGTTTCCTTATGCGTATGTTCCTCGTCAACCCAGAACTCAGTTTTCGCACGGACCTTAGGATGGAGAAGGAAATCTCGAAATGACTGGTGGAAGAGCTGTATAGGCGCACTCCGGTCATCGGGGATGCTTAGAACCGAGTGAAGAAAATCCAATCTACGGCCAACGTCACTGGACGGGACATTTAGAAGTTTTGCCAGAGACAGCAGAGAGAGTGGGTTGGAAATAATGATGATTGTCCCGACAATCATCCGATATTCTTGAACCAGCTGTTGTCTCTCGTCTTCATCCTCTTCGCCATCCTCGCTATGCAATATTTGCTCTAAGACCGGAATGTATGTGTGCTCCAGTTTGGAGATGTAGCTTGTCGGAACATTCTCGCTACCTGCTAAGCCAAGAACTATAGCCAGGCGGGTCTTTGGGTCCCATCTCCTATCACCGATAAAGCGACACATGGTAGCAGCAGAGATGAACAAGGGACTAGCCATATTAACCAGATCTTGGATAATCTTCTCTCCGGGCCATTCTTGCGGAAGCGATAGTTTACGCCTCATTTCTTCAAATCTATCATTTATGAACAGTAGTATGTCACGCTTAATGGAAGACTCCACGATCTCATGAAGACTAAGGCTCTGATGGTCATCCTTCGAAATGCTATCGAATCCTTGGCGGACTGGAATCTCCGGCCGGCTGGTCAGAAACAGACGGATACCGATTGCACCTTGTGTTGAAATCATAGGGAGAAGTCGAAGTAGAAGGCCAATATCATTTTCTGGGTCGCACTCATCTAGCGCATCAACCACAATAACAACTGAGCAAGGGTTCACTTGGTCATCTTTAACCGATAACAGCGGCTCAAGTAGTAGCTTGTTAAACTGCTCTCTCAGGGATTTCGTTGATATAGAAGGATCCCGCTGGATCGCTCTTCGGATGGCTGGTATCAGGCGAGGCTCCTGAGTAATCATTTGTCGTACTATGGTTGGAAAGAACTTTTCTGCTTTTCCACAGTCCGACTTCCCTCTCTTGAAGAAAAAGCTGGCTCCCAGAAGACCGTTTTCTTGGAGTAACTTGCAAACAGTACGTGAGACTGTAGACTTCCCTGTTCCTGCCATTCCATTGAGCCAGAAGACGCATTCACCATGAGGTGAATGTGACCAGTCTATAATCTGTTTAAGAAGATCAGTCCTGGTTCCTGGGAGGCATTCTACCTCATGTTGATTCATGTATGAATCAAACGCGGCCCCTTCAGCGATGGTTAATTTGCAAAGCTCCATCTCCCGACTTATATCTTGAATACCGCTTAAGACATTGTCAATCTGAGAAAGGATGGTCTCTGCCTTTTCTTTCCAAACTAGTTGTTGATTAAACTGAACCCACTTTTCTAGGTATCCCTCCTCCTCTTTGATAGCAATCTTGAGTGCGCTCAATGGTTGATCCGTCATGGCCGTTACGCTAAGGCAAAATCGCGATGCAGCCCCTGATTCTTGGACTGAAACAATTCGAGCTGAATATCGTAAAATTGCAGTGTAAACACGAATGATAGCATTTCGAAGCATGTCTTTCGCATTGGTATCACTACTTTTACTTCCTAGGCAATGGGTCTCAATAAAAGCACATCGACTCAACACATCGGTGAGGAACTCTGTTGTTTGGAAAATCGAAGCCTGCAGATCCTGATGGTTTTGTATCATCTGGTTCTTTATTAGCCAATGTTATGTCTTGCCAATTCGGGCTGACAATCATTTCACATACGGTCAATCCCACTGATACCAAACCCCAAACTTTCCCTGAGTAACCTGTGGGGTCGCAAGCAATTACAGCACCGATGATGTCTTGAAAGGATAATGTCGCGCTGACTATCTTGAGAGCAGAGTCTCGGATGCTGATATCAGCTCCTTTGGATCTTTTAATCTTCAGCCCTTTCCTTTGGTATTCATCATAACGCTTTTCAGTGGTTTTGATAACCGCATTTACTATATCTACCATCTGAGATTCGCGACTGACACTCCTGCTCACATTGCTCTCGTGGAGATGACTTAGTCTGTGTTGGTCATCAGGATCAAGATGGACATAAGCGGCTTGCCACAGATCCTGTTGGTTTTGGAGCAGTCCATTCTGGGAACCCTCAATTACTAGAGGGGGTCCGGCGTCAGCCAGCGATGCACCAGGCTCTGAGGATGTCACACTCGCATTGGGTTCATCTGGACTCGGGCCGTCAGCAGGTTTTTTAGACTTCTTCCCCCGTCCCTTTCTAAACAGTTGTTTGATGTGAAATCCCATTGTGTCTGGTTATTATGATTACAAACCTGTACATGAAGAGAAACTTACATGATCGGGGGAAGGGCAAGGCGCCAGATCAGTGGCCATTTTAAATCCAACCGGGTCGGGCTGCAAGCGCTCGCAAGGCTGGCGACTAACTATGCATCTATAATTATAGACTTAACTTAAAGCAGAGTAGTTAGCAAGTCGGCGCTTAGTGTTCAATAACATTGCCTTTCTTTCTTGGCATCTTGCAATGCATTTTCATTTTTCCGGTCTTGTTCGCGCATTAGCGTCACGGTGTATAGACAGGCGAAGTATAGTTACCCTTCAACATTTGAGTTTCCCAAATCGCGGACAACATGACCACACAGCATCACTGCCAACATGACAAGCTCCCAATATAGCTCGATAGGGATCTTGACTAAACGCCCAACCCAGGAAAGACGTGCGGTGTACGATAATGAAGTGTGGCCATACTGTTGTCAATGTGATATTCTCAATTGTATCTTCCGAGTATGATGCATTGCTCCCCATGTACCACAGTAGAGTGAGAACACAACATCCAGGACCTAGGCGACCAAGAAATCAGACCTGCGCAACCTCAATTGAGCTCCACGTGTCCTTTAATTCCCAAGCATCCGCAACAAAGCTCAATGCCCCTATGAAGGATTCCGGAATCCCAATTCCAGCAGGCATACCCCAGTGTGCACAAAGCGTTGCCCAAGTAAAGCTGGATACCAGACTCTTCCTCCATGTACGGATTTCCTCCCTCCGCGATAGTGCTTGCGCATCTTCCTCGTTGGCTATAGTCCCACTCTCCCCTTCTCGGTCAATGATTTCTATAGTACTGTCGGTCGATAATGCTACCTCTTTGTCCGCTCGCCTTCTAAGCACACTCTCACGCCAGAGCTTCCCTAACTGCAGCACCATATGAACACCCAAGGCACGAAGGCTCCAAAAATATAGTTTCTCAATCTCAATCCTTCTCCCCCATAGCCTTGTCGGCAAAACATCCTTTGACATAAGGAAAGCGACGTTTTCCAGAAGTTGGTACGTTGTGGACGCCAACAACTGAAGTCGTGTTAGTCCTCGGATGATCTGATCCAGAGGTGGGGTCTCCGTGGTTTCTGAGCCCCAAGTCCATATCGAGAATAATCCAAGGAGGCGTATAGTGGAACGAGCGTCGAACATTATAGACGAAAGCGACAGTAGCGGTGACGATGCGGATTGGCCTGGACATGAGGTAGGGTTATGCCTTTGCGTGAGTCTCAGGAGAGCATGTAGGTGAGCTATAGCTTTTCTCCAGATCCTTGAGAGAATAATGTAATGTAGAGCGTGTGATAGGTATTCAATAGAACCGAGAACAGTATCTCGCCCAATTGAGCTGGAAATGAACCTGTCGTCGGAGCATTAGCTACGAGCTCCGTTAGAGATGAGTATTGACGGCGCGTACGTGTTTACTTTCTGGGTTGTGAGATCGATAGACCTTAATCCGGCTGATGTCAACCAAGTCTGACATTTCCCCATGCGATGTGGACCTGTATCAGCGGAGTGTGTTGATTCCAGACAACTTTCCCTGCCTGGGGAGGTGTCTTTACACCCCTTTTGCTTGCGACTGTAGTCCGACATATCGTCACCTTATGACAGCGATAGAGTGACTATGGATATGCAAAATATTTAATCGCCAGCCCTCAGCAGCTTTGAGGAAGTACTAGAAGCATTGATTAGCAAACCTCGATAAAAAGGCAGGGGCTTCCGAGTTTCCGACATTCCGAATATCTTTTTTTATATATATGGTGTTCAGTGGACCCGAGGAGCTAATAACAACGGCAGGACCTGCCTAATTCAACCCTTAGCTTCTTCAACAATTTTCAAATTGGGGGTGCTTTCGATCAAAAACTTGTTGTATTTAAGTGCTAGTTTATTTACACTCAGTGGGCACTACAATTGCGGAGAAAATAAATATTATCAATATTTATTGTCTGCGGAGTAAATGAAATGCCCCGAGATTTACTACTACGTAGTACTCGGTACATACTAAAGGTACCTGACAGAGGTTCAATCCATTCCCGGCAATATGCTAACCCTAAGTTTTACGTCATCGGTGCCCATTGAACAATATATGATAGGCTCAAATAGGCGTCTTCCCGCCTCACATGGATATCCATTCATAGGACAGTAACAGAGGTACTGGTGCACTAGAATTCCATGTTATAAAAGAGTGCCAATAAGACCATAAGACCCACTTAATAAATGAAGCTTCGCCGTTTTATTTTATTGGGTCGTATCAGCCAGTCACGAAGAGGATTATTTAGGATCAATTCTGGTTAATGCGTCCAATATCTCCTCGCACTTTTTAGTGGCTTGAAATAAACTAACATGCAAACTGCAGTCTTAGACTGAAGTCGCGAAGCGGGCTTTTAGAATATCAAGAACCATGGTACTAACATACAATAAAAAAGAGAATTTTTATGAGATACTAAGATTACTGTATTAATCTTAATAGGCTTAGAATAATCTACCCAATTGATGATCTAGTGAGTTTTTCTTTTAATTTTCTTTCCTCTTTCCTTCTTCTATGTGGTCCGCGCCGATTAGTGTTACCATTGTACGTATCACCTAAGTGATTGGGTACTGATTCTAATTCGTTTGAGGAGGATGATAATTCGAGATTCTCATACAAATAAAATATAATTAAGAAGGGCGGAAAATCTATATAATACGTCTAATCTAAAAAGTGACATAGAACCGCCTAAAATGGAAGTAGGCAGAACAACAGGGGACTAGATATAGTTTTGTATGAAGGCGTCAGAGTGACAAACAAATCAACAAATATAAGAGCAAAGGAAGAAACAGAAAGGACAGCAGAAACGGAATGAAGGTCTTTCAGCATGCGATACCACCCCAACGGGATATGTACTCTAACCACAAGATCATGTGATAGGTCTAGAAGAAAGGGTGCGAAGCGAGAGGTGCAGATATACCCCGATTATATTGCACCAGATGCTCTCTTTCCCTTTGGCACACGAGCCAGCCAGTAAATGAAAACAGCTGCGCCAATATTAAAAATAATGTACACCCACATTAACCCGAAATTCCTCCAAGCATCGTCAAAGTTACTCGATATATTGGCGAGATATGTATCCGTTTCACTGACAGTACAAAAAGCACAGTTATCTGTAGCTTCTGGATTCTGCAGATAACCACTCTGGGTCGCATTTATGTAGGCCTCCATGTATTGCTGGCAGCTCTGGTTCGCTGGGGGGTCAAAGCGGAGGTATTCGACTGGCTCGCACTCAACAGTTGTCCCGGAAAGACCGGTTGAAAGCATTGCGGAGACCAAGTACGTGAATGGCGATACACGATACATGAAAATCCAGAACCCAGGCATTTTCTCGGGTGATGCAAGAACGCCGCAGAAGATCAGGCAGAGAGAAAATAGTAGGGTAGCAATGTTACCACCTGTCTCGGCCAGTTCGATGCCTGCTATAACCATATGGGCAAATGTAGATGTGAAGAGAAGGAAAGCCCAGATAAGCAGGAACATGAGGCCTCCACGTTCAGTCACTGCATCATTAGGCTTCGCATTATTATACAACCCAATTGGGTAGTACCAGCAGAAAAACATCAATGCTGCCATTAGTGTATTCCAGGGGAGCTCCACGAGGATATTGGCTGTCATAAAGGCTTGCCAGGAGTATGTTTTCGATGGGCGTTCACGGACTTCATATAGAGACCGTTGCGTGACGAAATGGGGCATGATCTGCTGCACTAGATTGCCGAAGATCGTCATCAACATAAACACACTAAACATCTGATTCTGCAGGCCTTGGATTGAATTTTTCGCATGGAAAAATGAGAAGCCAATATAAAGAGAGGTCAACACAGAAAGGGCCGTTTTAGACCAGATATAGCTTGGCGTGCGGTAATATTGAGCAAAGACACGGATTAAGCATTCCCACAACTGAACATAGAACGGCGCCGCATATTCCTTGAAGGCCTCAGGGTCGGAGTTCTCCACTGGCTTAGAGGACAGGGTCGATTTTAACTCGGCTAGATGTTCTTGTACTTTCGCGTACTCGGGGCTCTCACGCCATACTTTCGGCCAGTCTATATCACTATGAGATCCTGGCGCTGCTCCAATCACATCCAACATCCACTCAGCTGGATTCTCCCCAGGAGATAGTGGCTGTGCGCCGTTGCGCTCGAAGTAACTTGACAAGGTCGAAGAGTTCTGCCCGATCTCGCCAAAATAGATCGTTTTTCCGCCTTTGGCTAAGAAAAGGAGACGATCAAATCGCTGGAACAGCATGGCAGATGGTTGATGAATTGTACAAAGGATTGCCTGGCCGTGCTTAGTTAAGGTATCAATCAAGTCCAGAATCGACCAGGAGGTCTGACTGTCAAGACCAGAAGTAGGCTCATCCAAAAACAATAGAAGCTGAGGCTTTGCAGCGAGCTCCACTCCAATCGTCAAACGTTTGCGTTGTTCAACGTTCAAGCCTTCTCCAGGTACTCCAACAACCGCATCAGCATAGGTCTCCATGCCAAGGAGTGTGATAACTTCCTCAACATAGTCAATTTTCTCCTGATGGCTAACATGCGCAGGCTGGCGTAATATTGCGCTGAATCTGAGGGCCTCACGAACAGTAGATGTCGATAGATGTAGATCCTGTTGTTGGACGTATCCTGTTTTACGCTGAAATGATTGATCGCGAGGACGACCGTCCACAAGCATCTCTCCAGTAATAACTCCCATAGTAACGCGTGTGGCAAGAACATCCAACAAGGTCGTTTTACCTGCACCCGAGACACCCATCAATGCAGTACAGGTACCAGGCTTAACCCAGCCATCAACGTGATCCAAAATTCTCCTCGGTTGCCCTTTAATCTTAATGTCGTAGCAAACATCCTGCCATTGGAAGATCGCGGTCTGTCTTTGAATTCTCGCTGAAGCTTGAGGAGCAGATTCATCGGTCTTTGGAGGCCCACTGGGCTTCGGTGATTCCATATCAGTCTTCTCAGAGGATATCTTAGGCTGATGTCCACGGCGAAATAGAAGGACTTCGCCTTTTGATTTCTGCTCCGAGATATATTCCGTTGAGGCAAGGTATGTGAAAGCAAAGAAAATCATAAAGCCAATCATAATACCCAAATTTCTCCACAGATGTCCTTTAACGTACTTAAAGCTTTGTTCAAGATAAACCGTCCCATGCACGATTGCTGATCCGGTCTCCGCTCCAACTGTAGAGCAAATCCTATTCTGCATTGGGATACTTTCATAAGATCCTCCAGATGGGACGATTAAAGAGCATTCGAATTGCCGACCATGGAACTCATTCACCATAAAGCTCTCAAAAGAGTAGGATATAGGATTAATATAATTCATCCAACGGGACCACCCCAGCATATTTCGGGTAGGGATAACAAAGCCGGTGTAAATCACCATACCCAGAATCAGAATTGCCGCAGGCACAAGTGCTTGAGAAAGTGAGCGAGACGTTGCTGCAATCGTTCGGAAGACCATTGACATAGTGTAAGTGGTGACGACTGAAAAGAGCCAGAATGTAAACCAGGCTCCTGCATCCCGTCGTAGGTTGGTCATGAAGTATAAAGGGATATTGAAAGTGACAGAGTTGATCAACTTGTAAGGGGTATCACATAGCATAGATGCAACAGCCTCCGCAAAGGGGTGATAGAAGGCATATCGAGCTTGTTTCTCTACGATCGGCCGTTGAGCGTACAAAGTCAAGATCTCTAAGGCACTAGAGAATGCATTCAGAAGCACTGCGTAGAACAGCAGGGCTCCTCGAGAGTAGAAGCTCTCAGAGTTGTCCGGGAGATTGAAAAAAACCGAAGCAACAATCAAAGCAATAATAAAGTTGCCGATCAATGCGGTTGCTGTCAAGCTGAAATCACCTCGAAGGCGCTGAAAGCCACGGACGACGCAAAGGGAGATTTGATCCCACACCGAGATCATGTATGGTGATTTTACGCGCTGGTGCTTTGCCTGTATAGCTTTGCGAGCATCGATAAAAGACTGGTATGAGGTGCCGCCAACGGGATACTGCTTCTCGAACTCATCGATCTCAATCATCAGTTTCGCTCGAGCGTCACTTCGCTTCCACGCTGCAGCAAACTCGTCTGGAGTGCGAGGCACACGGTTTTCAAATCCAGGGCGGACCTTTCGTTCCGAGGGGCTGGTGAGGGATGTTAAGAAATCCGCTGTTGTCTGTCGGTCTGGGCATTCAAATCCCATGTCCACAAAGAATTGTCGGGCCTCCGTCGTTCGACCAAAGTAAATCTGCCTTCCTTCATAGAGAACCGTCACCTTATCAAACACGTCGTACGCACTTTGTGATGCCTGATAAATAGCCACGCAGGCCGCGGTGCCTGCGTATTTACTCATCAAAGCTAAGTTCTTGCAGAACTCTAAAGCATTCGCACTATCAAGACCTCTGGTGCTGTTATCCCAGCATTGTAGAGGAGCCTGGCTCAGTGTAGCTTCCGCGATGCTGACACGCTTTCGCTCTCCACCGCTGACTCCTCGAACATAATCGTTCCCCACGCGCGTATTGATCGTATGGGATAGTCCGAGCATCGTCATTACAACGTCTCTCATATGCTCTGCATACTGCTGCCGACCAACGCCCTCCAAGCGATTTCTAGGGGCCCGGGCAAGGGCAGCAAACTTAAGAGTATCGCCGACAGAAAGCTGAGGGAAATGCACATCAGTCTCCGCAGAATAGATTGCCTCGCCTTTGAAGGAATTGTGCATCATCTGCGCAGGCACGCCTAATCATCGCGTTCAGTGTTTGTCAATGAAACGGGAGAGTGGGGCGAAATTCTGAGAGCACACCTTGATAGTTCAGTGTCGAGTCATCTGACATTTGAATCCCGTTCATTTCCCCAGCAATGGTTTTAAGCAAAGTGGTACATCCACTTCCCGGTCTTCCAAGAACCACCAACATTTCACCACTTTTCACCAAACCATCGAATTCTCGAAGGATTTGGATCTTTTGCATCTTTATACCTACCAGCTTGCGGACAATAGTGCCCACCTCTAGGAGTGAATTCAAGACGTCCTTTTGGTAATCCGTTGGAGACCCGAATCCATGGACATTCAAATTCTTGAAGGCAACACCAGCTGTTCGGTCGGGGTACTGCTCGGGGTCACGAGAACGAATGGCAAGTAACATCTTGAGCCAGTCTCGGGGCTTGAAGTTTGGACTGTCGGGATTGAGGGTCGACTCAGGGTCCTTCACGAAGAACGGGTTCTCAAGAGTGCCTTTTGCAGAGAATCTAGTCGACTGACGAGTGAGTCGTCGAGCTAGATCCCCCACCCGAACTTCCATCTTCTCTTCGGTATCCTCCTGCAGCGTCACGGCATCCTCGCTCTTTTCTTGATCAGTGTACTGGGTATTTGCGGTCGAGTGAGGGTCATCGACTGGGTTGTCGTCATCCGTGTCGCCATGGCTTCGAGGTACATTGTTATGGCTGACCACAGACTGCTGCAGGGCGGTGTTTGGTCTTACTGTCCCCAAAAAGGACATATTGACTGGGTAGAATCTCCGGTTTCAGGTCGTTCTTCTCATTGACAGTGACCAGACGGAAGGGCAATGGTCAGTAGGTCACTCCGTTGAAATGACGAGCACGACACGTATAACGAAAGTTAATATATGCCTTGTCGTCAGTAACAACAAATGGTGGGAAGCTCAATATCAAGAGAGAAGAGCCTGTATCAAAAGGAATAAAATTGGCCTATCTAGCTATGGATACTACAGCCACAGGGACAAACAGATGGTTATATAAGACTAGAGTCACATCATGTATGCGCATGCATCCGGTGGAAAAGGTCCACATCCAAGGAGTGAAACAATGATAAACGATGAAATCTTTGCCTACACAGGGAACGTCCGGGGTCCGAATAGAATTTCGTCGGAACCGGGTTGTTCTGGTATGTCGAAGCCTAGCAGCGCAAAATTATGATTTAGAAGAGCTTGTCGTTGACACCCGATTCCCGAGCCAACCAAATCAGTAGAGGGAACATGCTGACGGTATATATAATTATATATGCGCCTCTAGGGTAAAGAAAACGTGGGCTCTCCACTTTAGCGGCTAGAAGAAACTCATTATTATTGATCCCATCTCTTCGGAGGTTAAACGGGAGGTTAACGGAGAACACGATAGAGCCAAGACCCCCAGGTATCGATACTGTGTAAATTACGATACCGAACGAACATCCGGCATCCGCTCCTGCCAAGACGTGTTCCCTGATCCATAGGTCTCTGAAAACTACAACCTAATTATTCGGCTGGAGAAGATCCCGAATAAGGCCCTTCCCTACGCTGCAAGATCAACCGCGGTGACTCCGCTCCAGGACAAAGTTCCAGAACACTATGCCCCACGACAAATCTTTGGGGCCATTCCCCGTCGTTTCTCATTCCACCTTTTCTTAACATCACCCCATAGTCAATACTTTATCGAGTCACAAATAACTCGAGTAATGAGCCGCATTGACGAGGAAATCTGAGCTTATTAACGAGTATCTCAAGATCCCATGTCCGGGATATTTTCTCAGGCAGACATGGGGGCTACGAAGAAGGACCCTACAAGGCTGAAAGTGCGCGACCCGACTCGGGTGGGAGAAAACTTGACTGACCACGTCAAGGTGTGTGAGACATGCCGTCGCAAGAAACAGGAACGCGAATTCAACACAAAGTCCAGATGCTCTATGTGTAGGGAGCGTCGCCCCTCCGGCACGCGCATTGAGGAGAGACACAGAGCCGATATGAGAAGGTACTGTTGCTCTGCCATTGTCATTATTATTAGACCATACGGAGCAGGATTCTTATATGCTGAGTGAAGGCGTGTGATGATTAACCGACTGGAAACCAACATCGAACGAATGGAGTCACGATTACACGATATCGGGCTTAACCTGATCGAGAGTAGGGCACCGGCTGCTCAAGTATTTCGGTGCTCAAATGTCCCTCTATCAAGATGTCCCGAGTATGAAACAAGTCATCCGGATTTTACAAGCTGCCACCCTAGCGGAGGGCCAGACCCCATAAGCACTACCACAAATGCCGATGCTAATCCAGCCATAGTATTTTCATGCAAACACGTAGAGGGTTGGCCGCCGTCTCTAGCATCATTTGTCATTCCAGGATCTATGGTTGATGTACCACTTGCAGGAGGTCAGATTTCCAGATACTCAATAAACCCGTTCAGACGTGTGAACTACGAACTAATATTGTCTCAGGCTTTTCAGCTATTTCTAAGAAAGGGATGGAGTGGATTTCTCAGAAAGCCGGAAACATATCGTTGAAGCATCTATCGTCATTATTATCGGTGGAAGATCATGACGAATCTACAGCCAACTGTCCGCTTAGCAGTGCATTCACTAGCCGAGTGTTCTGTTCTCTGCCGACGAGAGAGGAGATTGTCTCCCTAGTACACGATTACATTGAAAACTTCAATGTTCTGTTTCCAGTTTTCCAACGATCCGAGCTGTTAGCACTCTTCAACCAAGAGAGCCTCGATATGAGCGTTCAAACACCAAGCCAATGGGCCTGCATAAATGCCGTACTAGCAACGGCGCATATGCTGCGCCCCGATGATGGAAGGTCTGGAAATGACGATCATCAGAAGAGCTGGCTGTTCATCCAAAATGCCCTGGAAGTTGTGAATGAGATTTGTCTGGGCCCACCGGACCTATTGGCTCTCCAGGCACTTGTGATGGTGGTATGGATGTGCTCGCCGGTTTATCAAAGCGTATCACTAGAGCTAACTACCGATATAGGCTACCTTCATTCTAGGGACATCTACTGTTCATCCCTGCGGTTTTCTGGTCTCCGCTGCTATTCGCATTTGTCACGAACTTGGCTTGGGAAAGACAGAAGATGGCTCACCTTTGTGCCCGGAAGAAACGCAGCACAGGCAGACAGTATTCTGGATAGCTTATTGGCTAGATCGAGAGTATGAAGATTTTGAATATAGCCCCACTCCAATGATTTACAACTAAATATAGGTAGATTGTCCCTTCGGTTTGGCGAACCACCGGCGCAAAGCGATGAAGACTTTAGTGCGACCCTACCGATGGAGGCACCAATTGATAGCAATTACACCATGCAGACTAGCGATCGATCTGAGAGCTTCAATGCATTCAGGTCAACTTGCCAACTTGCCATCATCAAGGGTCAGCTTTATAGGGATCTTTACTCGCCCGGCGCAGAGGATAGGCCATTGAGCCAGGTCATCGCTTCGGTCGGAATCCTCGACGAGAAGCTCCAGGAGTGGAAACGAAGTATTCCGCTCGAGTATCAGCCAGAAAAAGCGATAACTAATTTCCGCCGTGCAAAGATGTCTCCTGTGTTACTCTTACTACATTATTCGTACTTCCACTGCATGATTGCCATCCACCGTCGTGTTGCCACGCGGGACCTAATGACCGGAATGGATTTCGGGAAGAATGACTTTACGAGCTCGCCCGCCTCTGTATTGAATCCAAGAGTACTGATCTCTACATCACTATGCACCAAGGCCGCTAGGGCGTCGATCAGCCTGACAAACTACTTGTCACAAGAGAGTATACCTTTCTTCGGGTACGTGTCGCTCAGCGCTTCGCTTTACCTAGCTAATGTTCCGATCAGATCTTTGCTCTACTATCCAGTCGTTTCATCCATGACACTTTCCTGGAGTATCATTCGCGACCCTCAAGATGCTTATCGAGGATACAATTTGAAACTCATCGAGCAGACGGCGGAGTTTCTGTCCTCGCAAGCTTTCTGCAAATCCTTCGAGGGCATCCGGCGCCTTGTGAAGAAGTGTGCTGAATATCGTTCCATTGCGGAAGCCGTGGTGAAGACAGCACTGTCAGCGCGATCTGATACAGATACCTGAGCGGGCTTAGTTGAAATGGCGAGAGATGGCTGTCATCGAATCTGCAAGGCATTCGCTATCTTTCAAGGCGTCCAAATATGATTCTCTCGGTATGGGCTGCTATCCACAGTCGGCAGTAAGGACGTAGGATGTCGGCCGAGCAGCAAGGCATAAGACAAACTCCATGGGATACGTATCCATGCAGGTGCGCCAATCGCTGCAAGAGCTGTTCGCCAGGGAGGCCTTGGTGGTAAAATGAGGAGCATGGGTTGCTTTCAATATTCCTCAACCAGCCGCGGTCGTCTTTGAGTATAAGAGTTAGCTTGAGGTGAACCTGCAGAGTCCCTCTTTTCTCATGAGAATCTCGTCAGGAGCCCGGTTTCCGACTCCTTGCTGACTTCGGGCACGTGCCGTTGCTGTGTAAGGATGGCCCCTTTTATCCAACTCCTCTATTTTGACGGAAACTACATCACTACACCCAGTACTAGAGATTAATCACTGATACATGTGTGAATTGAAATCGAATACCCCGCAAGATATGCTCGCGATTCCACTTCTTCATAATGGTAGTAGCGCCTTAGATCCCTAAAAATAAAAAAGGAGCTCGAGACATTGGCGACGTCGGAAACGTTTTCTTTCCCCACAAAAGCACGAGTAATACCAATTCAAGTACGGTTGAAATAATAGATTAATCAATTTAGATTAATTAGAGTGGCACAGTTCTTCGTACATACTCTTTGCAATGTATGGGGCTGATACGTTCAGAGACACAAAAAGACGAGTACTGGTCATCTGATGGAAATATATAGAGTAAGATAGCATAGAGCAAATAGCTTCTCAGAGGCTAGGTTACACAAGAGTGGCACAAACTTTTAGATGTATTGAGAACAAATGGTACTACTTAATAGTTCAGGTAGAGACCTGATCATATAACTAACCAATGTATGATATTTCACAGGAGCGAGCATTCCCATCGTTATAAAATAAACACGAATATCAGTGTTATGAATCTATACGAGACACGTGATCACCTAGCGGCTTGGCCGGATCACCAACTCTTCTCTACCTGAAGGCTTTACCTATTAGAAGTTGTGAGATATGAAGAAGCGATCAAGATAGTTGATATAGTCATCCATAGAATTGAGATCTATCCGAATGGCATCCGGTCCTCAGTAGGCTACGTACGTGTAGCTGATACAGCATCATTCTGCCCATCTTTCCCTGAGATCACAACAATCAGAGAAGGCGAACCCTCTCACGTGGGCGGTAAGAGTTCAGTTCAGCTCAGATGTTTTTGTATTAGGCGAGGGAAGAGCGCGTCATAGGGAGGAAAGAATGAAGATTTTTAGATTCATTTTTTAATTTTTTTTTCCACACTCAACCTCTGACGACAGTAAAGAAAGGCAAATAATCATTTGCTACCCCTCCTTCCCAAAAACGACCCCTCTTCCTCTCTTTCTCTTCCCTTTCCCTTTTTCTCCAATTTCAATTCGCCCGCCGAGAGCTGTGGGCACCGTCAAAACGTCTCCCATCCAATCCCCCTCCGTGTTTCTTTTCTTTTCTTTCCCCCTCCGTTTAGATCGAACCGCAGCTGGTCCTGCTTTGGCCTCGCGCCTCCAATCCTCTTGTTACCGTCCCCGCGTCACCCCTCCGTCCGCTTTTCCTTTCTTCTCCTACCGGAGTTACTCCAGCAAAAAGAAGAAATCTAACAAGAAGATGCCTCCCAAGAAGGCCGTTGTACAAGAGAAGGTCCTTCTGGGCCGTCCAGGAAATAACCTGAAGAGCGGTATCGTATGTGAGCATTGACCCCACCGGCTAAAATTTTTTTTCCTTTTCTTTTCTGCCCACTTTCCCAGCCATCCCTATTTTCTTAACCCTATCCCTATTTAAGCACACTATCTTCACATCCCCTGAATTTTTTTTTCCTTTTCTTCCCTCGCTCTCATCCTTCTTCCATATCAACACCATGTAGTCCAGTCCTGGAAAAAAGATGTTCGTCATTAACAACATTCCATAGGTTGGTCTGGCCAACGTCGGTAAATCGACGCTCTTCCAAGCCATCACCAAGTCCAACTTGGGTAACCCGGCAAACTTCCCCTATGCCACCATTGACCCCGAGGAGGCGCGTGTCATCGTCCCCGATGAGCGTTTCGACTGGTTGTGCGAGCACTACAAGCCCAAGTCCCAGGTTCCGGCCAACTTGACCATCTATGATATCGCCGGTCTGACTCGCGGTGCCTCTACCGGTGCTGGTCTCGGTAACGCCTTCTTGTCGCACATTCGTGCCGTCGATGCTATCTTCCAGGTCGTGCGTTGCTTCGATGATGCCGAGATTATCCACGTCGAGGGTGATGTCAATGCCCCCCGTGATCTGGACATCATCAGCGAGGAGCTCCGCGTCAAGGACATTGAGTTCGTTGAGAAGGCTCTCGAGGGCTTGCAGAAGCAGACGAAGCGGGGTGGTCAGTCCCTGGAGATGAAGAAACTGCGCGAGGAGGAGGCCACCGTTGCCAAGGTCCTTGAGCACCTCAAGGCCGGCAACGATGTCCGCAAGGCCGATTGGAGTCCTAAGGAGGTATGTGAAATAATTTTCCTTTTCCCGATTCAACACCCAACATTCATATGATGAATAAGAGCTTTGCTCGATAAAACCCAGCTCGTCGAAGGGCCTCATTTAATACTCACGCGAGGTCCACATGAGATTCCATCCTGTCTGATATCACTTCTGTATTCCCGTTCTTGTCGCAGTCCATATCTATTTTGTGCTTGGCACTAATGACTCCTCTAGGTTGAGGTCATCAACCCCCTCCAGCTCCTCACTGCCAAGCCCGTTGTCTACCTCGCCAACTTGAGCGAGAGAGATTACGTCCGCCAAAAGAACAAGCACCTCCCCAAGGTCGCCGAATGGATCAAGGCAAACTCCCCCGGTGATCCTTTGATTCCATTCTCCGCCGGTTTCGAGGAGCGCCTGACCCGCTTCGAGACTGAGCAGGAGGCCCTTGAGGAGTGCAAGAACCTGGGCACCAAGTCTGCACTGCCCAAGGTGATCACCACCATGCGTACATCCCTGAACCTGGCTAGTTTCTTCACCACTGGTGCCGATGAAGTTCGTCAGTGGACCATCCGGAAGGGTATCAAGGCCCCTGCTGCTGCCGGTGTCATCCACTCCGATTTCGAGAAGACCTTCATCCAAGTTATTGTCTATAACTACTCTACTCTGCGGGAGTACGGTGACGAAGCCGCCGTTAAGGCTGCCGGTAAAGTCATGACCAAGGGCAAGGACTATGTCGTTGAGGACGGTGATGTTCTCTTGATCAAGGCCGGTGCCGCTCGTGGTTAAATCTTATTTTTAAATTGTAGACGATATGAATGAAATTTAAGATTATACCGCTTGCATTTTCCACTTTTTATAAATCAAGCTCTTCATGTAACAAAGTAAGACATTTTTTTCAAAACCCCCCCCAATGAATGAATACGTGAATCCATCCACACGTGACGCCCTAAGCCCTTCCCCGCGTCAACCTCGCCCCGCCAAGCGCGCAGTTTGACCTCATCGCAAGACACCAACATCTACAAAAAGAACCATCCTCAAAATGTTCAAGAAAGAGTGAGTAAAGAACTACTGAGTAGAAAACGAAACTCTCCGGATTACCAAGATATCATTTGTTTCTATCCCGAAACCCCCAAACCCCCAAACCCAGACAGATCATGCACAAGCAAACAGAACCTGACCTCCGATCTGCCCATGACCTCACCACCAAAAACACCCAAGAATACAACACCCATACAAACCTACCACCCCTTTTTCATAAGCGTATACTAACGAAAGATAAAAAAACAATTAGTATCCCTCCGAGCACACGCTCAAAAGTCAAATCCTCCGTGCAGCGCGGCCTCCGCCAACGCTTCGTGGAAGCATACCCCGGCTTTGAACCATACATCGATGAAATCCTCCCCAAGAAAGCCCAGCTCGATGCTATAAAACTGTACATCGCTCACTTCCTATCTTTCTAAGCGCCCGCCATTTAAGTGGAATATATATATATATACATACATCCACAATGCAACGAGGATACCATCTCACCACTTAACAAAAACAACCAGCTAACGAGAGATAAAATCTAGGCCCGAAAAATGCACCCTCTACAGCATCGAATCAACCCCTCTCTTCTACCAACCGCAGGACGGGCCCCCGATCCCCCACCTTAAACTCCTCCATGCCTATCCTACCGCCCTGCCAACGGTGCAGATTGACCGCGGCGCGATCCGATTCGTGCTCTCCGGTGCGACGTTGATGGCGCCCGGATTGACGAGTCCCGGGGGCCGGCTACCGGAGAAGGAGAATGCGTTGGAGGCGGGTCAGGTGGTTGCTGTTATGGCGGAGGGGAAGGAGACAGCTTGTCTGGTTGGGACGTTGAAGGTGGGGACGGAGGAGATGAAGGCGAAGGGAAAGGGGGTTGTGATGGATGAGGGGCATTACCTTGGGGATGGGTTGTGGAGGATGCATCTTGATTAGGTTACCGGGGGGGAGGTGTTGGGGGGGTTTTTTTTTGTGTTTGCTCGGTATGGTGATATGCATATGCATGGAATGAAGAAATGATGATCATAGACATGTATGTATTGTATGGTTTATCCATTGGTTGGTTCAATCTAAATGATTATGTATGGTTGGGTTGGATACTATGCTATGCTATGCTATGCTATGTACAGATGCCGTGATATATCCCTACACTTCGTCTAAGCTGTCCATTCTATCCGGTGTTCGAGATGTATTGCTCTCTCGGCGAGAGAGGCTTTGACTCGGTGAGGCTGATGATGCGGCGGAGAGTGACGACCAGGAGTGTGTCGTTGCGAGGCCCAATCCTTTGACGCTCGTGCCGGATCCATTTAGTCCGGCGCCGGGTAGGCCTCCGTTCCGTAGTCCCGTCCGGTCAACAGCCCGTCGAAGCATTTCGCCTGATCCATCAAGTGCGATGAGAAATCTGGCCAGCTCACCGCAGAGCTCCCAGTCGCTTCTTTGTGATGCCAGCACGAGTAGCCGGACAACATAGTCTTCAATGGGAGCCTCGTGGCCATCATCGTCCTCAAATGCCTGCAATACCAAAAGGTAGCCGACGGCTGTCTTTAGAGAGTTGAGTCTGAGGGCCTGCTCAAACAGGTCTCTCGGAGGGGGCAGGTAGGTGAAGAGTGTGCGCCAAGAACGAAGTTCGGTCTTTCGCGTGCATTGAACGACGATGTCCAGATACACTCTCGCGGGAAGCGAGGCCTGAAGAAAGGAGATGACCGATGGAAGCAGAGGATTGTACTTTTGCGAGGGATCCCCCACTTTGCTATCTCGACTTTCGTTGTCGACCTCTTCGTCTAGAACGTGATGAAGAAGGATTTCAAGAGCATGCGGGAAGTATGACAGGTGAGAGAAATGTTGGCACAGGGACAGCGCGGCGGGCATGTCTCCATGAACCAAACAGTATTGTAGGAAATACGGAAGGAAGAGGTGTGTCTACTGTCGTCAGTCACAGTGCCATTACAATGGTCAGGTGAACTCACTCGTATGGCAAACTTCAGCACGGCAAAGTTGGCATCGCGTCGTTGCATCATTTCCGATTCCACTCCCAAAACAATGCCCTTGTTCAGCAAAACAGATAATGGATAAAAGTCCAGGGGTATCTCAATGGCTTTTGGTACATCTTCTCGTCGTAGAACATCCTGTACGTCACCCCAGGCAAGGAGGTCTTTACCGCAAAAGGTCCAGAGAGAGTCTCTCAGTGATAGGTTATGGTGGTGCATGTTCAACGCCATCTCGGCGGAGGGGCTTGGTGGAAGAGATTCGTCCATGGGCGGAACAAAATTGAATGACAATTGGTCACGCATCAAAATGTAATATTCGACATCATGCGATACTGCCCGCATGTCGTACTTTAATTCCCCTGTAGGTGCGAAGGACGGCTGTAACAAAACCAGATTGCCATCGACCAAAAGAAGAACAGATGCTACTTTCACATCATGGGATGGGTCGCCATCACCTGTTGCTGTCAGATATGCAACATGCCACGATAGAACTAGATGCACTTACGCAATTGATCTTCCGGCAAGACCCAGCTAATTGCCCGGACTCGCGTGGGCGCCCGCACAATACCGTTAAATGCAATCTGACCAACTGGAACAAGCGTAATGCGGGAGTGCATAGAGTTGATGATAAAATGGTATAGGATGTTATCATAGGTATAAACGAGTATAGAATCCTCGCCCGAGGGGCCGATGAAGACCACGGGTGAAGGGAGGTATTCAATGTGCAAGATTGATTGATTATTCAGTGGCAGCTCTCGAGAGTATAAACGCAGCTATATCGGTTAGTCTTAGCTAGTAATTCTTTGTGTAATACAACACGCACCTCGTATGATCCATCGCTTTCAATGGCGGCTATCAGGATATGTCCGTACCAGCACATACCACCCCGGACCGCAAAGGAATCCTCTACCTTAGAGTCTTCAAAGACTTTCCAGCGCCCACTGTTTACACTATAGTGTGCTAAGCCTCTTCTGCCCGCGATCGCTACGTATCTCCCATCCTGGGAGACAACACTGGAACGAATTGGCCACTGCGACTGAAGGTAGGTCGGAGGATATTGCGCGTGATGCCAGAGAGAGTCCTTGCCTGAAATAGTGGTAAGGTCAGGTAAGTCGTGCCCTCGATACAGAATGATCTCTGTTCCAGTCTGCAGTAAACCTCTAGCCAAATTCGCAGATGAAAAGCAGCCGGTCAGGGCACTCCGTGCCGTCTCCAAAACCCATAGGCGACGGTCGTTTTGCCCGGTCAAGATAATATCTGAGCCTCCACCTATCCAACAACCATATGAGATCCCCGTCAGCCAATCCTCAGCATTGGTCTTGGCAAGAGACCTGTCCGTCGAAAAGCTATTCCCTCCCGGCTTGCCGAACACGCTCCATGTTGTCCAACCACGGTCGTAGCCTGCGAAGAGACAGTAGCCATCAGGAGAATAGGACATGAAGCTTAAGCTGCCTGTTGTAGAAGGCGACGCTGGTAGCTGGAGTTTATGAGATAATGGAACGTTCCCGAGGTAGTCTTTGGCGGTATATACAAAGATGTCACCATTTGCGCAGTTCACAGTAAGGAGAGAAAACCGGGCATTGACGGCGACCTTGAGTGCTGTTTCGCCATCATTTTTCGGGGTGTGGAAGCAGTGGCCGTGGAAGAGCTTCTTTGGATTTTCCGGATCACGCGAGCCCTCTGATAGTCGCTGGACTGCGTATGCCTGGCCTTCATTCGTGACCCAAACTAGAAGGTTGATAGCACGATCGTACACCATGTCTGTAATGGACGTACGCTTAGACACTCCTAGTATGCGGCTTAGCAATTCGGAAGTCGTTTGGGAGCCGTGCGAATCCGGTGTCCATCGAATGCATTGAATTGCCGCGGGTTTCACGGTAGCAACGACAAGCTCGTTATCCAGCGCTAGAGCTTTCACAATTCCAGATTCTATCTTGATAGCCATCCTGAACCGAATGCTGGCATCCCGGACACCATTCGCATCTTCTTCGCGAGCGAGCTGCTGGCGGCGGGTTTGGGCGGAAGAGTGGTTGAAATGCTGTTGATAGACATAACCATGCGGATCAGTAGCAACTGTATAGGTGAGAAGGTATCCATTGAGCGTCTGGACCACGATAATCGTCGAGTCGGGGTGCATCAGCAGAGCTACATTTGGGCCATAGGTATTGAGCGAGGCAATGGATCGGGCGACAGCAGCGATGACAGCGGTAGGCTAGCGATCGGTCAATAAATATAATTGTCAAAGTAGATGACACTCAACCGTAGCATACTCTTGTTTGCCAAACAGCAATTGACGTCGCCGTCATGGTCGCAAACACATGACCACTGCGAGAGACGCAGAGGCCATCGATGGCCTCGTCAGCCCAGGTCACCTCCGTCCTTGACGGTTCCTTGGGTCCATTGTCGTTCAACGATAGTCTTTGTTCCACAGAGTTCTCCAAATCTAATGATTCGTCGTCGTCGGACAGCACGGGGGAAATCGCAGGGCCATTGACCGCATAGACCCGAGGTACTCCATTGGGCCAGTACATGGCTCGTCACAGGTGCGAGAGTATGGGTAAAAAGTAAGCTCAAATCGAGTCATCTTCATCGGACGTAGATGAGTTAGTCTGTCGGACTCGGGACAGACTCAATCCCAGAACAACCGACCATAGCTATCCAATACCTTTTGCGACTGAGATGTATAGGAATGCATGTTGTATATCGGATGTCGAGACGGCAGCACGGGTCTATCACGTGCAGGGGGAAGCTGACAGGGCAAACGTGTCAAACAGTACAGCTTACGGTAAGTTAACTGCTTTAGTCCCCGCAATCCAAAATCCCCCGCGACGGTGATCTTTCTCCAGACAAGAAAAGCTCTTTCAAGTTTTTTACAGCGATACCCTGGCTAATTCTATATAATGGTATTTAGTCTTCCTGTTGTGCAGCGTCCGGTCGCTTTTCGTGCTAATAGACATCCATTTCTAGGCTCCTACCGAGTCTAAGAAGCGCTTGGCGCTTGCAATTATCGACTTCCTGGGCTCCAGCCTCAAGGATGGAACCCTCACCGCTGATGACGCTGAATCGATCGAAATCGCCCAGTCATGCATCGCGGATACCTTCAAGGTTGACCCTTCTGATGAGGCTGCGGTGAAGGATGCTGTTGGCGGCCAGTCGCTTGCGAACATCTATAGTGTCTATGAGAAGCTTCGCAATAAGGGAGACTCTGCGGGTGCTGGAGCACAGGCTAGCTCAAGCCAGCAAACCCAGGCCGGTGCCCCTACAGCCGAGTCTGACAAGCTTAAGTCGGAAGGTAACGGCGCCATGGCGCGCAAGGACTACAACGCTGCCATCGACCTGTACACCAAGGCTTTGGCAATTGCCCCTTCAAACCCTATCTATCTCTCTAACCGTGCTGCTGCCTATTCTGCTTCCGGTCAACACGAGAAGGCCGCGGAGGATGCCGAGCTCGCCACAGCTGTCGACCCCAAGTATTCCAAGGCATGGAGCCGCCTGGGTCTTGCCCGATTTGACCTGGCCGATTTCCACGGAGCCAAGGAGGCCTACGAGAAGGGTATCGAGGCCGAAGGCAACGGTGGTAGCGATGCCATGAAGAGAGGTCTCGAGACTTCGAAGAGAAAGATCGCGGAAGCCAGCCGCGGCGCCGAACCTCCTGCGGATGCTGTTGACGATGCTGCTGGAGCAACCCGTGGTGCTGGCGGCATGCCGGATCTCTCTTCTCTTGCTGGCATGTTTGGTGGTGGCCGCGGTGGCGGTGCTGGTGGTATGCCCGATCTTAGCTCCATCATGAGTAACCCTATGTTCGCCAGCATGGCTCAGAATCTGATGAGCAACCCGGACATGCTCAATAACCTCATGAGCAACCCTCAATTGAGGCAAATGGCAGAGAACTTCGGTGCTGGAGGTGCTGGCGGCGGAATGCCCGATATGTCAAGCTTGATGAGCGACCCTAACATTGCTGATATGTAAGTCATGCTGCAGTGTAGAATGGTAGTGGCCCTGAAACTGACCAAGTTTTTGCCCAGGGCTCGGAATCTAATGGGTGGTGGTGCTGGCGGTGCCGGTGGTGCTGGACGCGGTCAATAAATGTGAAGGTGCTCCTGTTGTTTGATACATTCGCTGTGACATTTTAATTATTTTAACGGATCCCCTATATGGAACTTTTTGCCAATTCCTGGACCTGAACCCCTCGGACAATTCTGGCCCTAATGGCTTGGAATGAATAGAAAAAATGATTACGCTCACGATTACAGTCAATTAGTACCAGAGACGACTTCCTGCCTTTGCCTCTCCTGTTGAAAATGCCTCTTGGTACAGGTAGTGGCTTTTGAACGGGAACACATTCCCATGCATAGCTTGAAATATATATATATGACTTCTCATGACTAAAGGACTAAAAAATATGATGGCAAACAAGCTGGACGAAAATCCAGATGCAAGTGATGAGAGTGGAGCGTTGACCTTGCAGCAAGTAGTAGCAAACGCCGAATACGCCAGGAAAAGAACCATTAAACCAACACATGTATGGAAATGGACACTGTTCCCTTGTGCGCTTGGATATCGTCGTCTAGTCGTTGTGTCTGCACTAGAGAGTCCGAATGCCACACCAAGGCACCAGCTGTCCAAGAAATGTACACAAAAAGTAAAAGGAAAGGGAAGAAAAAACGAGAATATCCAGCGAGATTAGTAATGGCTACTATCACACATAACATGAAGCGCCGATTCCACCTAGCCTCTATGAGTTTTGGAAAGTCCATATTGTACAGTTGATGATATCAAAACAATGGAGAAGAGAAATATTCGAGGAAATTCATCAAAAATCGCCCGATAATCAAGACATGGTTGGTTGGTTATAATATGGTCGTTGAATGAGGAACAAGGAGATGCTGAAGAGAGAGATTAATCCGTAGCCGTCTAGATGTAGTCACGAGCAGCCTTCTGCAACTCGATCAATCTCCATCCTCTGGTCTCTGGGTTGTTGACATCTTCAGGTATCCGTGTCATACCGATGGCGTAAGTAACCAGCTGGACCTTATCCTCCATACCAGCGGCAAGCTCGCCGGTCTTGACATTCTTGTACACATGGACTTCCTGCGAACGGCAGGTCACCACGAACACGGGGATCTCACCAGGGTCCAACATGCGCGCATGGGTGACCTCGACACCGCGGACATCAAGAATACGCCCATCTGATTTGAGGCCGGCAGTCGTGTATTGTTGAGCAAGGGCAGCATAGACGTGGAACTGGGCGTCTGAGAGCCAAAGCTTGAGAGTCTCAACATCACCCTTGACGTAAGCATCCAGCACTTCAGGAAGGATGTATTCACGCATCTCCCGTAAGAAAGCTTCCATCTGGAAGTTGGGATCCATCTCCCGGAATTTCTTGATGACCTGGGCGGTCTCATTCTCAGCGAAAAACCCAGCCACACGGTCGGAAATGCTGCGAGCGGTGCTGATCAGAGGATTCTCAGACTCGTTGTAGGTTTCCTTCAGATTGAAGAGTTTCTGCATCATCGGGTTAGAGTCCTTGAATTCACGCCAAGACTCTTTCCAAGCAGAATCCTTGTGAAGTGTAATGTTGGTACCGGCCCTAGGGAGAGAGGTCAGTCACGGAAGAATCAATCGCGTCTTAGGCGAGTAACATACTCAGGATCTTCCACCATTGGCTCGATACGCTTTCCGGCCTTCATTTCCATTTCTTCACGCTGTTTCCTGAGCCTACGGCGCTCCTCCTTCTCAATCCAACCACCATAACGAGAGCTGCTGCCATCATCAATAGCATCCTTGACATTCTTATAAGCTTCAGTCTCTCTCACAGGCCGAGTTGCCTTTTCGATCCCAGAACCAGTCGCGTTAACACCCTTTCTGATACCCTTAACAACGGAAGTGTTCCACGTCCATGAAGCTCCTTTACCGAGGGCTTTACCAGTGGTCTTCAACGCAGCTCCGGTCTTGGACGTGGCGGCTCCATGAGCCGCTTCGTAAGCGGCACGAGCCTTCTTGATGTTCTCATTCTCGGAAAACTGATGTGCTGATGAGGCAAGAGCCTTTGTGGACTCGTTCCACTCTTTAGAGGCCTTGAACTCTGATTGCAGAGTTTCCCGGAAGACCTGCCAGGGAGACTTGTCTCCGTGAGGGGGAGGAGGCGCATCCTTCTTATCTTCCTCAGACTTGTCTTCATCCTTTTCCTCTTTCTTTTCTTCTTCGGATTCTTTCTCCTTCTTTTGTTCTTGTTGTTGCCAGCGAGGGGTGCCAGCATGGAAGGATCGGGTGAGTGGGAGAGCTGCGTATGGGGAAAGCAGTTGAGAGAGAGGGCGGGTTGCGCGTTCGCTAATAGATGAAAAGGGGAGTCTAGCTGTTGGAGATGTCGAGTAGGAGAAAGCCTGAACTGATGACCGTTGAGAAGCAACTGTTCTCAAACTCGACACCTGAGACCGCAAGGTGGCCGCCCGCGCGGTGGCCGACATTCTAGTAGCCGAAATCATGCTATGTATGATATGGACAAAATGCCAGAAGGGTCAAAAAGAGATAGAAATCAAGTCGGCAACGCCCCTAAGGTGAAGGGGGGAGAGGAAATTGAAGGAGTCGGGTGTGGAGGCGAAGAGGAAGCGATTTCGGCCGCGGAGTCAATAGAGAAGGGAAAGAAAAAGTTGAGGATGCAAATGCCAAGACTCGAAAATTCGGGCCCTTTTCCGCCGCCTTCTGCCCCGAACCATTCAATCCAATCTGCCCCGAGGTATCTTTGCGACTAGATCAACCCATTAGTTTAGGATTGCTGTTCAACGTCGTCGCTGCTTGTGTGACGCCCTCCTAAGTATCCTTGCGTTGGGTCGGCCTCTCCGCCACCGACAATCTTCTCCGCATATCCCCGGCACCTACAACATCATAACAAAATATGAACACCACGTTTGCGAGATCCCTGCTGAAGGCCTTGCCTTCAGTTGGCCGGTCATGCCAACTTCGTACCTCCTCTGCCCGGCTCATCAGGCCCTTCTCCTCAACCTCCGGGGTCGCGTCAGATGCCAAAGACAAGTCCCGTGCCATCGAGAGGCAGATTCTGAATGCGCAGCCCGAGGCAACTGCTGACGAGAACTCTGCCCTGTCCGCGATCACCAAAATGATGCAGGGAGAAAGGACTCGCACAAATCATGCCGTGAGCCGTGATTACTCTAAGATGGCGGAGAGCCTGGAAGCAGAAATGATTAAGCAACCATACGCCGACCGTGTTCCTCCCCATCATTTACACGTCTATTCACATAAGCACAACACCATTTTGACCTTGACACGGCCCAATGGCAATCCGCTTCTGTCCATGGGCTGCGGTAACCTGGGCTTCCGCAAAGGCCATCGTTCGGGGTACGACCCGGCATATCAATTGACGTCCCATGTGTTCGGTCAGATGCAGGAACGGGGCTACCTGCTTGATATCAATCGCCTGGAGGTCGTACTCCGTGGGTTTGGCCCGGGCCGTGAGGCATTTACCAAGGTGTTACTGGGTGGTGAAGGAAAGAACATTCGTGGGCTGGTCAGCCGAGTAACAGACGGCACTCGTATAAAGTTCGGTGGTACCAGGAGCAGAAAGGTCCGGAGATTGGGTTAAAATCATACACATCACTGTTATCTGGCTATCTTCTCTGGTGTTATATTCGTCCTAGGGGTGCTAGGGTTGAAGCCGTAAGGGCCGGCGATAGTGTTTTCGACCTACAGGTATCATGGGCGGCGTGGGGATATTCTTCTGGATTGCCATGCGAGGTGCTTTCCAGTGTCGATCCACGAAACACATTATCTATGGATTTTGTCAGAGACGAACGGAAGAGAAGACTTTTTTGAAATGGGTTGTTCTGTTACTTATATCTGTATATTAGCCATTATGTATCGGAGATACTCGGGATATCTTTATTCTTATTTTTGTTTTTATATTTCTTTTCATTTATATAAGGATCGTTTATCTCCATGATATGAAAGTCTAGATCATTGCAAGGAAATCGAATTTCGATAAAGAGGGACGACCTAAAGCGGTATAGCGCGAGAAGCTCTCGCGGCCTCCGCGAAAGCTGTTGAATTGAACCAACTGCTCCTCCTTGTCCTAAGACCTTCAATATTCACGGAATTTATATGTTTTGTTTCATTTTCCTTCCCCTCATAATTGCTCCTGTAATTAGCCTAGATTGTGTTATTTGCTAGCACGCTGAGCTTGTGTTTATATTTCCCCGCAAGCGCATGCGCCGGAGCTCCTCCCCTGTGGCGACCGAGGAGCGCAAATCCCCCCTCGACTTTGAAATAAACGACTTGATGAAGACCGGAGCTCCTTCGTTGGGCCGTCCAAAGCCGTTTGGATGCACCCTCTAAACCCTTTCCTGCGTGCCTTCTTCCGAAGCACCGTTCCGGGGCAGTGTATACCAACTGAGAATCATGTATGTCTAGCAGAAGAACTATGCGGGGCTACGCAGTTACTCACGGCGCTCTTTAGGTTCTCCTCGTTCCTGTGACCGAATCGCTGATCGGCTCCCGTGATAGAGAATCGGCTCTCTACTATTCCGACCTCGTCGGCTCCGAAGAATTTCTAGGCAGCCACGCGCTTCGAATTCCCGTCGCCAATGGAACGGCCGGAACAAAGGATGATTCAAACGTCCGTGACAGTAGGGGAAAGGCAAAGCAGGTGACGACTGTCAATGGCCGGACCGTGATAATAAAGGAGAACTCGGTTTATAGCAATAAAGGTGGGGACAGGATGTCTTATAATTTCTTTGCATGTACTGAACGGTACCTTTAGGCTTCAAGTCTTTGACCCAAGCCCAGCTGCTGTCCGACGCCCTCTACTATACACCAAGCAATGGTTCTCAGCCATGGCTCATCTACTACATCTCGCGCCCATTGATTGGCTCGTTTGACCCCGGAAAAATCATATCGGCCGTGGTGCCAGGAACTCTGCCAAAAAGGAGCATTTCGAGCAGCAGTACCAAGTCTGGGGAGTCGGTCGCCGCGCCCCCAAAGAAGGAGATCAAGAGCTTTGCGGAATTATTAGCCCACTTCCCGATGATCGCAAGGCAGATGCAGCCTGGGCTGGAGAGATTGTTCCGGGAATTTGGAAAAGAATTGGGTAAACCGTTACCTCCGCCTCCATCGCGCTCTCCTGTTTTGTCTGAGGAGCTTAACTGGAAAAGTGATCGTGATGATGCCCCTATCGATGAAACCGCTTCCCTGCGCAGTTCATCATCACGCTTTAGAAATGGGCTTCCCTTCAACTCGGAAGAGTACTTCGAAGACGATGAGGACCTCATGCGTCGCAGCCTCGAGACAGCTATTACGGCAGCCATTGATCTCTTCCGGTTAGTGGATAAACAGCAGCTGTCATTCCTCGGCGCCACAACTGACCTGACTGGACCACTTGTCGAGAGATTAATCGAACGCTACGTCGCTGAGCAGGTGCACGAATCCCTTCTTTTCCCTCGCCTATGTAGCTTTCGCCAGCCCGAAGACACGGAGTTGGATACCAGGATCCGCCAGATGGAGAATATAGACGTCTCTCAAGTGGGCATAGTCGTTGAGAATGGACGAGAGGGAAAGCGGGAGTTGCTGCAGCGCCTAGGTAGGGCAGTGGAGGAGTTCCGCAAGATGCTGGATGCTAAATGTCCTCACGATATGTTGAACATTTTGCTGGAAACAGTGAAGATTTTGTCGTACCCTGGCAACTATGACAAAGCCAATCCACAAGCATCAGAGAAGCAGAGTGCCCCCGTAACAGTGAATGCTGATGTTTTGGTCTCATTATTGCTTGTCGTGGTCATTAGATCTCAAACCAAGCATTTGCAAGCCCGACTGTTGTATATGCAGCACTTCATCTATGTTGATGATGTCGACAGTGGAGAAATGGGTTACGCTTTGAGCACTTTTGAAGCTGTTCTTACTTATCTGGTGACTGATTCGGCAGGCCTTCGCAGGTCAAGCATCCGAAATAGGCGTTTATGGAATGCTACCAAAAGCGGACGTATTGCCGATATGAGGGCTATCCTGGAACCAGATGGTAGCCCCGAATCTATAGACGATTATGCCTGCGAGCCTGAAGCGAGAGGCGTTCTATTCAGAACAGATGAGGGCAATGAACAAGATCGACCACAAGTGTCCCTGCCAATCCTTGGTGGCCGCAATGAAAGCAATGGGGAGAGAGCAGTCCTTGATAGCCCGACAGACACTCCCCCTTTAGCACATGTATTTCCTTTTCAGACATGGGCAAGCAGCCCTCCCCCTCAAGAGATCCGACGCCCTATTAAGAAAGTGTCTATGGATGTCCGCAGCCTATCTGAGTCTTCGGCCATTTCATTCGCTTCACGTACGACTACGATGGGGTCTATGACGAGTACGATCGAGGGAGACAGCTCGATTGAGACATTGACCAAGACCCAGGATGCTGCGGGCCATTCAATTCCAATGATGGCGGTGGAAAATCGGCAGCCAGATGCCTTGAAATACCTGCTTAGTCTGGAGGAATACTATCCATTAGAAGACGTCCTCGAGGATACGAACACGGATGGAACAACGTTACTTAGCGCGGCTGTCCAGCTCGCGCATACCGAGATGGTAGACATCCTATTAAATTACCTCTCCAGCACAACAGATGAGCAAACTATTTCCTCATACTTGAGGAAGTCAGATATACATGGACGGACAGTCGCTCACTACCTCTTCAGCACGCCATCAGTGATGCATAAGTTGGAGCGGCTACTTCCTTGGCGCCAGCGTGATAAGCATGGGCAGACGCCGCTGTTCGCTCTTTGCAGATCTTATGACCATCCTGATTATAAGTCAATGGTGAATGAAGGGTTGACGGCAGCTCAAAAGTCTCAAGGAGATGACAAGCCACTGCGTCTTGATGATCATGTCGATGCGAAAAGCAATACCTTGCTACACATCGTCAGTGATCCCGATATCACCATCCGGATTCTCCAAGAATGCGACTGCGACCCAAATGCGACGAATGATAAGAGGTTCACCCCTTTGATGATGGCTAGTAAGTACGGCCGCATCGATCAAGTTCGGATTCTCTTCCTGGACCCTAGGGTGGACGTGCATCTTAAAGAAGCCCGTGGACTCACAGCTGTTGAGCTCGCAAAAGATGATGAAGTGCGCAACCGCATCGATGATCTGATTCTTATCTCCAATCCGCCTTCAGCAGCGGACGATCCCTCCGGTCGTGTTACTACTGTGGTCCGCTCATTTTTTGTCGAGGATGCGACTGTACGCTTTGTGCTTAAATCTGGGGCGCCAAATTCCGGAGAATCCCGATTCGCACCTACCACCACCTACACCGTCACAACATGCAAGCGTACTTTTTCAGACTTCGAAAATCTCGCTAAATGGCTGGCTATCGAACACCCGGCGTCATACATGCCTTCACTCTCCGACTTCCGCTCTCCCTTTCAGGTCCACTCAAAACCATCTCGATCGGTTCTTCACGACATGCAGGAGAAACTTAACAGATTTCTTAAAGTCTTACTTTCTCACCCCACATTCTCAACCCATGAAATGCTTTGGGAGTTCTTTCTCGTCCCAGAACTCCAGCCAGAGATGATGGCAGATCGGTCTCGTCGGAAAGCGCAGGTGCTCTACGAGTCAATTGCAGACGACTACGAACCCGTCACCCAGGAAGGTATGCGGGAGACCGAGCAGTTCGTCACACACGCCCAGGAAATGGTGCGCGCCGTTCATGCGAACACGCGCAGTCTAATACGCCGTGGTTATGCTTTACAGAACTCCGCTTCTGACATTGCTGATGCCCTGATTCTGTGCTCCTCTGCCGTCTCAACCCTCAAGAAACCTACCAACGCTCTCCCCCAGACCCATGTCGACGCATTCCACCGTTATGCCACCTACCTCTCAACCTCATCGTCTGATTCATCTCCGCTCCTCCAGTTCCTCAGCACCGTCACCTCCATCGACAACACTACATCCGCCATTCTAGACTCCCTCGCCCGTCCCATCAACCTCATATCTACCCTCTCATCCGCCTCGCGCTCCCTCTCCCGAGCCCGCTCCTCCCTAGCCTCCACCACCCTACCCCGGAAGTTCAACCTCAACTTCCCCGGTCTCGAAGAATCCCGCCAAAAGTCCGCCCGCGACTTAGAGACCAAGATCCAAGAATCCGAAACCCAAATCGCCCACCTCTCCCGCGAGATAACCTGGAACAAAGACGTGGTCGTCAGCGAATTGGCGGGCTGGACAACATGGAGAGAGAAAGTAGGCCGAGACGCGATCCGCGCTTTCGTGAAGGCCACTCTCGTCCAGGAGAAGGAACGTGGAAAGAGACTCGAGCGGTGTTTGAGGAGTGTGCGGCAATCGGATGATCGTGTAGTATAATAATAGACTTGCCTTTTCCCCCTTTCCTTTGCTGTTCGTTTCGCTGTAGAATTAGGATCTTGATTTTATTATTGTGCGTTCTTTGCGAGGAGATGTTCTCTTTTTTTTTTTTTTTTTTTTTTTCCTTATAAGATGAGCATTATAATGATGATATGAACAACTGTATAAGACTTTGCTTCTGCCTTCTATGCTTCTTTTTCGTTAGGGGCTTTGTAGGCTACGAATCTCTTACTGTACCCCTCGGAAATAATGGGAGGGAAAAGGGGCCCATCTCGTTCTGCGCAGGCGGTAATCGGTTCATTACTTATATAGAATAAATGATTCGGCAGTCTCATGGATTGGAACGAATAAGACATGCCGCTGGTAGTAAGATTATCAGCTGATTTAGCGCCCAACGAGCGAAAATAAACAAAGGGTATTCAAAAGGGAAAGCAGGCACATGGCCATATGTACCAACTAACAATCCATATAAGCTATACCCAAAAGAGTGAGAAGTTCAAACCAAGTGAAAGGACACGATGAGCCCTACATGCCGTGTCCTTAGACAATTCTATCGATTAGGAGTGGGATGGAGTCATTCCGGACGGCGATAACCCCGTTCGACATCCTAGAACTGAAGTGCAATTGTATAGTATCATCTTCGTCAAGCAGGAAGAGCGCAATGCCCATCAAAAACTAAACAAAGGAGATGTGGATTTCTTGATAGAAGGTAAACGAAACAGTGAGTTAACATTCGAAATTCTACCCACCGGTTCGGCATCATTTTGAGAAGCAGGGGACATGGATGACTGCTCCGAGTCGGACGTATTAGAGCCAGTCGGCGGCATAACGGGGGTAGCTTTCAGCGAGGAAACATGCTTTAATGGGGACGGTACCACTACTATTGGTTTCGGGATGGAACCAGCACGTCCTTTGCCAGAAGGGGTACTAGAATCAGCCCTCCCTCCGAGCACACCCTTCTTCTTGCGCGTCGGACTCACTTTCCCGGGGGAAGCACCGATAGTATCGAAAGTCTGTGCAGAGACATTATTGCCTTCGCGAAACACGCGCGTCACAGACCCTCCCGTTTGCTCGACAACATAACCCACCGACGGCGAATTGTCGTGATCATACATCATCGACGCCCGGCTTGACTTGCTTTCGGTTATAAAGCAGACATTTGAGTCTCGGTCGTCGTTGCTCATGTCCCTGCGGTGCTCGAACGCGGTATAGTCTCGCATCTCTAGCTTGTGGCGCTTCCAACTTCGTCGGATCTTGCGGATAGAGAGGATGGCAAGGAAAATGAGGCCTATTACGGCAATGGCGCTGAATATGCACGCTGCTGCGATGGAGCTCTTTTCGTAGCTCCAGTGAGGAATTAGATTGTTGCTGGCATTCGTTGGACTGGCGGGCTCTTTGGCCGTGCGCTTGAGGAGACTATCGAATCTTGGATGAGCTGTCTTCACGGTCTTTGTTGGTTTATCGGTGGTGGTTAAGGCTGGCATGCGCTTTGTTATTATAGAAAAACCTTGTGGCTGTGGCTCCAGTTCAATTCGGTCTCCCCTTGTTCGTTCATTTGATATCATCCTCTGCCTCAGGGTAGTTCTAAATTCCGACACTTCTATCCAGCCCGATCGAAATCCCATCTGTGTATACGGCATGATAAATCGATAAGGGCACAAGGAAAGAGGGGAAAGGGAGTTCCGGGTATTGCTGAACGACTTAGCAGATGTGAAGTAATAAATGTGCTTCAATCCCATCACTAGCAGGCAGGATTCCAGCGGCAGTAAGGATGAAGGATGTACATCTCAGTAAAGACTGTCAAGAAGCTCCTGCAAACACACAGATCATCGAACGAGAACCTCTAGAGCAGGGAAAGAGTGAATGGACTTGAACGAAGGCGAAAGTTGCATCTTAGGAATGAGACGCGTATAAAGAATTGATGCTGAAGTATACTTAAGAGGCCAGCCAATGTGGCAGGTGCAACCCTATCTGGGCGTCGGCGCGCCTTCCTTTTGGCATCTTCGGGATATAGAGCAATAGAGTCGTCAACACAACACAGTGTTTGAGAAGCGTATTTGATGATAAAGCCCGAGGATAGGAGAACCAAGCCCTATAGTATTCGAAGAACTTTGTCGTGTGTAGATGCTTAATCCATGAAGTCAAGGCATTATCACTTCCCACAACCAATCCTGAGAAGCATTAACTTTGCATACGGGATCATGATATATGTGGTCCAAAATGTCGCAATATTTATAACTTTAGGTCAACTTATATGGCTGACCAGGATCGTCACCATATAATATATTATTCACGCAAAGCCACGAATACGATAACTATAGAGCCGGAATTAGCGTAAATCACCAAAACGAATGACGGAACCTACTCTGAGCTCATTACTTGAGATATCAAAGAGTTAATAAAGTAGAAAGAAAGCAGGACGGACAATAAAGCTCAAATGAGTCCAACAATTGACACAAAACATACGTTAAGTACAATATACGACGTGAACCCTACAGACCGGCCCGGCATATTTAGTTCACCCGATGAACATACTAACCCAAAGGGGTAAGGCCACACCAACCCTATCGGTGACATCATCACCAGGATGTATATAAAAAGATGTCCTGTCAGCTCAGGCACCTAAACCTCCCTCCTGGAATTTCAACCCAATCTCACTATCCTATGCGGACACTCCAACAACTACAGAAACTACAAACTAAACAACATATATTATTCTCAGTCCATAGAAACCTCCATTCTACAATGCCTCTAGTCGTCCCCGACATGAACAGCGGCGATAAGAACGAATGGCTCAGTAAGCTGGCCGGAAAGACGATCACAGAATCTACGAGCGATGTTACTGTGTGTGCCCCCTTATTTTTGTTTCCCCTAGTATTTGTTCACGCTAACGTTGGACGTTGGTAGTCATTCGCGAAGAAGGATTTACCGCACCCTCATCGGATCCTTAGACCTGGCGATATGAAGACGATGGATCATAACTCTGAACGGTACGTGGTGATTTTTCCATTGGTTAATTCAAGTATCTAGAGTGTGCGGCTGATATGGGCTGCATCTAAGGTTGAACGTGCATTTGGATGAGAATGACACAGTTCATGATGTCAGTTTCGGTTGAGGCCATGACGTTACACGATAATGTATAGTATAGTACGACTGTGAACGATGAATGAGATATGTGTACTGTATATGGGGGATGTGTTACTGTTACGTATGGGGGATAATGAGAATAGAAATGGCATAAACGTGATGGATCCTAGTCTATCAAGGTGATTTCTATAATAATGCAGGCAAGCCCGGTGTCTACCAGAGACACTTAAGCCTTCCATCTCAGAAGGGTAAGAGAATGTTTTGGGAACACATAGGGGCCCCGTCCATTCCAGGTGCTCTCGACTACGACAACCTCTTCCTTGCCCCTCATGTTGGTCGCTGCGACAGTGTCGGCAGTGACAGTGAACACTGTAACCTCTCCCGCGGGTCCATCAATCTCGGTCTCAATAGCTTTCTCATCATGGATGTTGACTACAGCAACATTGACATAGCCATCCTCACCCAGAACCGCACTGACGTCCAACCAAGGGGTCTCCTTAACACCGCGAACCCACTTTGGAGAGGTTTCGCCCTCGTAGGTCGCGCTGGCGAGATGTGCGCTGATGGTCCATCCCCGCATGTACTTTGAGAACAGGTAGAGAGGCCACCAGGTAGTCTGCTTGGTGATGCCCTCTTCAGTCGTCATGAGCGGCGAGATGACATTGACAGTCTGTGCAATGCATGCCATGCCCAGGTCCTTGCTCTTACGGACAAAGACATTGAGCCAAACAGCCACGGCCAACGCATCGGAAAGTGTGTAGGATTCCTCTGCACCCTTGCTGCCCTCGGCACGGATGGGATCCCAAACGTTCCACTCATCAAAGCAAATAGTGGGCCGGAGTTGATCAGAAGGAACTCCGTTTTCGATTCTGGCGAGATCGATCAGGGAAGATGTAATCTCAATTGCACGCTCAGCAGCCAGAGGAGCGGTGACATTCGGCAGATGAGATGATGACGAGGTGTACAGATGAATACTATGCATATCAATGAGGGGAACGGCACTGGTAGATAGGGGAGAATGGGCAGGAAGTAGGCAGTGCTTCAGAGTATAGTAGTCCCATGACGCCGTGCCGTCTTGTCCACAGAGAATCAGAATCAGACTGGGATCAAGGAGCTTAAGAGCTATGAGGAGTTATTAGCACGTTTGATCATGAATCACAATGCACGAACGATGCTTACCCTTGGCCCATTGAAAGGCCTTATGAGAATACGCCTCCTTCGTCATCTGCTCTACCTGCCATGGACCCCACGTTTCATTTCCGAGCGCCCAATATTTAACCTGTAGTGAAATTAGTGTAAGTAGTTTACTAAAGGAGAGAAAGGGCATACGTTGTATGGCTCTTCCCGTCCATTCTTCCGTCGGAGATTTGCATAGTAAGTATCTTTAGTGCCGTTGCAATACTCAACCCAGGCCAGTGCTACAGAAGGCCGATTAGTTTAAAATAGCTTCATACATCTGAGGTAGAAGCCGATACATACCCTCATCAAGAGTTCCTGCAGTAAGATCGTCAGCATTAATTGTTACCAATAGAAATACGAGATCACAGTACCTGTTCCAAAATTCAAGCAGAAGTATGGTTCCGTTCCAAGGACCTCACACCACTTAAGGAACTCATCGGTTCCGAACTGGTTCGTCTCAGTTCCCAGCCAAGCAAGCTCGGGCCTTTTCCAGAGTACCATAGTCAGAATCTGCATCCATAATTCATTTTTCGTGGCAAAGCCATTGATGAAAAGCCAGTAGTACTCAAAGGCACCACAGCAGAAAGGGACAATTAGAGCCCTCTCAGCCTAGAACATACCGAGCAGGACGCTGATCTTTAGGACCGACACCGTCGATCCAGTGATACGTAGCCATAAAGTTGCCACCTGGATAGCGCACAACTGGAATGTTGAGCGTCTTCAGAGCTTCGAGAACGTCTTTCCTGAAGCCATTCTCATCTGACAGGGGATTACCCGGGTCATAGATGCCCCCATAGATGCATCGACCCATGTGCCTGCAGTCATGCGTGAGCTTAATTCCTGGCGGGGTCTCAGTACCAAAAGGGAGAGGCGAATCCAATCTTACTCGGTGAACCCCGCATAGATATTGGGATTGATCTTGGAGATACGCCGGCTTGGGTGAATGGAAATACTCGGCGTATCATGGTTGCTAAGCTTTGTGAAGGTAGTCATTATTGCGGCCGTTAAAAATCATCAAATTTATACAGTAAAAGAGTAAAATGAGTTGTTCAAGTGATTGATTGGTAGGAAAGAGAGAGAGAAGATGGTGCTAGACTAAGTACTCTTCCAACTTCCGTGGCAGAAGCAGCTGGACAGCGCGAACTAATTAATGTTGGTAGAACAGGCATTGTAGCTCCCACTATGGAATGGGTAAATCTCCTGCGGGGTTGATCCAGACTATGAAGGAAATCGACCTGAATCATGCGTAGGAAGAGTAGGCGATGCTTGGGGATTGCGCCGTCGTCTTGGGTTTGAAGCCGAGGCGACGCCACGAGATCTTCCATCAATCAGGGCTCGCGCTTGCACGAGTGTCTCTCGATCCCGAAAGCCACGTCGCGACTACTCGCCGCAAACGGTTAAGCTTCATTTAATTCCTTCCCAGTGAATCGGAGACATTGATTCGTTGTGAAATCCTAGCTACTATATGGTATGAATCTTCTGGAGGCGTTATGGGTGTTGATCTCGGGAAATGTCAACACGAGATCGCGCCTTTACCATGCTTTTAGGAAAGCCCTCCGGAGTTCAACCACGAAAGGCCATGGGCCACAATCCCTTGGAGTCGTCAAAAAGGCCCGGGATCTTGGTCTTACCTGTGGACATCTATTCCCCAGAAGTTCTTAAAGACCTGCGGAACCCCATACCCCAGGGAAAATCCCCGCATCTGGTCCACCGGCGTTCCCATTGAGTTTGCCGTCAGGGTACTGTGGGAAGTTAAGATTGTTTGAGATTTTATAAAGTGATCATCATGCGTCTCTCTCCAGCATGGTACCAGGTGAGCACCAAACGCTGGTGAAGCAATAGCTTTCCTGTTTGCTGATCAGTTGCGAAGTTTCTGGTGGGCGTTTTCGCCTCGCTAGGATCGTTCCTTTATGGATGTGAGTGTTAGAGCACGAATAGGCTACAAGGCTCTGGCTGACTGTCATCGCCATAGATGATCTGGGTGTTATTGCGGAGGTTATTGCCTGCAAATCGTTCGAAAGCAAGTTTGCAGCAGATGACACGCAAACGTAAGTTCCCATGAACGCTAGTATTGTATAAGCTCATTGACAGAATGGCAGCGGGCTGGTCGTATCCTTGTTCACAGCAGGTGCCTTCTTTGGCGCAGCATTTGGAGGTCCTAGCGGTGATATTCTCGGCAGAAGAAAGACCATCGCACTCGGTTGTCTAATCTTTTGTCTCGGTGGGGGCCTCCAGACCGGAGCACAGACAGTCGCATATCTATACAGCGGAAGATTCCTGGCCGGGCTTGGGTAAGGCTTTAGAGACATTAACGCGTGGAACAAGCTCTAATTGCTGCATAGCGTCGGATTCCTAACTATGATCATCCCTCTATACCAAGCCGAAATCTGTCATCCTGACATTCGAGGCCGAGTGACCGGTTTACAGCAATTTATGCTAGGTGTTGGTTCGCTATGCGCTGCGTCTATTTCCTATGGCACGTACGTTGGATTTGAACCAACAAACAATGCTCAGTGGCAGGTCCCACTTGGACTACAAGTGGCTCCCGCCGTGTTTTTGGGCGTCTTGATTATGTTCTTCCCAGAGGTGAGATTAAATCGTGTATCTTGATAGTTACCACAGCTAATCTGGGGCAGTCCCCACGTTGGCTTATTGATCACGGCCATCACGAATTAGGTCTGAAGACACTGGCCAAGCTTCACGCGCATGGAGACGAGAATGACGCATGGGTTCGTGCTGAGTACAACCAAATCCAGGAAAGCATAACATTCGATCATGAAAACGAAGCCAAATCATACTTGGACCTATTCACATCTCGGTCATCGTTCCGCCGCCTCTTTCTTTGCTGTGCATTGCAAGCTTCAGTGCAGATGACGGGAGTGTCAGCCATTCAGTAAGAGCCAATCGAGTGAGAAAATAATGTGTGTACTTGGATCTAAACCACTGACCTTCACCTTCACTAGGTACTATTCTGTGACTATCTATGGGCAAATTGGAATCAAAGGAGACGAAACGCTGCGTTACCAGACAATCAATTCCGTCATTGCTTTAATAGCTCAGTTCCTCTGTATGATGTTCATTGATCGTTTCGGTAGACGGCGGAGTCTGATCTTTGGCAATCTGGGTAACTGCCTCACTTTCATCATTGCATGCATCCTCCTGGCAAGGTTTCCCCCAGAGGACAATAACACGGGGGCCCATTGGGGCTTTATTATTATGACATGGTTGTACAATTTCTGTTTCTCTTGCACCTGCGGTCCCCTATCGTGGATCATTCCGGCGGAGGTTTTCGATACCAAAACTCGTTCGAAGGGTGTCTCAATCGCTACCATGACCTCCTATGCATTCAACACCATGATTGGCCAAGTGACACCAATTGCAATGGAGAATATTCGTTACCGATATTACTTTCTCTTCATCATCTGTAACTTCACCAACGCAGTTTTCTTCTGGTTGTTGCTGCCTGAGACGAAGAAATTGCCGCTCGAGGAGATGAACTATCTTTTCTCCAATTCTCCATGGATTGTGGTAGGAACCAAAAAGGACGACTACATTCCCCATGACTTGGAACGCAAAGTTGAGGAGCAAGAAGTGAAGCAGGAGGCTTTTGCAACGCACAAGGAGTGAAGCTTTTAATGGCTCCACGAGAATAGAGGGAAGATGAAGACGAATTAACGAAAGATAGGGTGAGAGGGAGCAGGACAATGGCCGTGGGCGGGGAGTATATAAGCATTGGATTGTTGCGTTTTGGTCTTTGATGATATAATCTTCTATCTTTGCATACACTGGAGATATGATAATGACGTTGGTTCTTCAAGGACATTAGACAATCATATATAGTAAATAGGATTGAAGTCATCGACTATTGTGTGAGTTAGTTCTTTCGTTCCATTTGAAGCAACATAAACACGGAGCCTGCGGATTGGCAATTCCTACACTGTGCCGGCAGTGTTCCTCGACACTTTAACGTAGCCTTCGTTCTAGAGTACCCGTGATAAACTGACCAGGCATTTCGAAACTCCGATTAACCCATCAGCACTGTATCATGACTCACAGATCGCGAGTGACCAGGGATCATAGCGTATCAAGTGATTGGAATAGGCGAGTGCAACAGAATCACGAATGCAGTTACTCGGAGTCCGAACTATAGCCAGCCAGGCCGAGTGATACAGGAGCTGGCTTGGCCGCTTGCCTCTCTTCAGACTGTTCTGAACCTTCCGCTTTTGCGTCATTGCCTGGCACGGGGTTCGTGGAACTAGCTGTCTTCATAGGCGACTGTGACTCCCTAGCCCTAGTATTAGCAGGAGCCGGAACGGACTCCTTATCGCCTTTCCCGGATTCTTTGGCCTCCTGATCTGCCTTTTGCTCGCCAGTTGACGAAGTCCCACTAGCACCCTCAGCGGTAGACTTTCGCTTCTTGCCAGGCAGCAACAGATCCTTCTTATCCCTCCTCCTCTTGCGCGCAGGGATCTTCCAATCCTCTCCCTCAGCCGGCGCCGCAACATCGGCAGATCCTTCCTCAAGCGCAACCTTCTCCGCCTCCTCGCGCTGTCGCCGGAAAATCTCAAGCTGCTCAGCCGTCTCTTTCTTAACAGCCGCCTCCTGCGCGCGCGTCGACTCCATAATTGAATCCAAGAACTCGACCTCATCCTCGTCAAGCGACCGGAACTGATTTTTCAATTTAATTTTCTCCTCAAAAGCTTCTTGTTTGGCCACTTTTCATCACGTAGGAACGATCACCCCTAACATGTCAATCCACACGAAAAATCCGTGATCCCGCGCAAGCTGTCGCACAGGATACTGGAGACTCACTTTTGTTCTGCTGTAGTACTTCGTATAGACTCTTGCCGCCATCCTGCTTGCCTAACTCTGCTTTGCGCCGGCGCTCCTCCTCCAGCTCCTGTTGAACTCGGAGCCACTCATCGTCGCGTTCTACCGGTTCTTGGTCTGTTCCGGCGGATACAAATCCGGAGGACATTTTGGCAGGAAGGGTGAAAGGAAGTTTGCGATTGTTCGGTTGTGAGAGGTCGGGTTGCGGAGTCGAGAAGTTTGTGTGTTTATGGGCGTTATCGGGTATTAAGCGCACCCTTGAAAGTCCGCCACAACGATTAATTGGAGCGATTAGTTAGTTGATTGCAAGCAGTATTGAAAAAGGGTTGCAGGATCGGGATCGGCGTGATGTTCTACACTGAATAGATGCGCTCCCGCGGCAGAATTAGGCGGTGGAGTCGGTGTTTTGTCTGTCAATTTAACATCCAATTTAACCTGGACTCTCTGTATACTCTTACTGTTAGACGAGCAAAGCGTGGTCTACTCTGCCCCCATATCCCTCAATTGAAAACTAAGCGATATATAGAATGACTATGTTTACCATAGATAGAAACCAACACAGACCACCTCCTACGCTTTCCGAAACTAGAATCGTGGTTCAAGGTGCGACTTAAACAAGTGCAAGAATCATCAACCAGGGAAGGGGAATCTCAGGCAGTATTGTGACCTGAAAAGTGTACACTTTGGAATGCACATATATTCTTGTAATGATTTCAGCAGAACAATATACTTTTGGACGCCGCGGATATGTGTATATACCACCAGACCCATACCCATATAAAGGAGGTTGTTAATAGCAGACGTTCTAAAGCCAGTATTCAAGCATCTGCCGGCTATTTCATTATATAATGAGCTAGTTCGCTTAGGGGCATCAAGCTCCCGATGATGTCTTCCCCTCTGCAGCCCCTTCCTACTTGTTGAAATTGACGCTCTTCCATTCTGTTCCGAAGGCATCAACAATGGTCAAGCAGCATAAGATGATACGCACCAGGAAGCATTCGCAAAGTCCCGTGTTGTATGCCTCGAGAACCATCCTTGTAGTCTCCGAACCACATTCTTCCATGACTACATCCTTCATCCGGACAGCACCGTGTGCAACGACGGCTTCAGCGCTGACTTCCAGGGCTTTCATCTTCAACTCTTCCAGTAGTTTGCTTTGAAAGAAAACCTGTTCCGTCGCAAGGGAGATAGCACCACCAAATGTCGGCGCAAGGATGAACAGGGATGTGCCAAGGGGCTGAAGTACTGTCTGTACAGCCAAAAAGGCCATCTGCATACCGAGTCCGGCCCCCAAACCGAACATCGCCAGCATGGCGGCCTTTGTTGGCAAGCGCCAGTAAATCCTATCAGCTAAGGCAAGAGCTTAGAGAAATACTAGTAGGGGGTTGATGTTTCGACGTTGTACCTGATTATCAGCCCTAATTTGGGGCTGTTTAAAGAGTGCCCAGTTGCTCATTAATACATTCCTTTGCTCCCAGCCGAGGCTTATCCGCCACTCCCATTCGTCTCGCTGCTTCATCTAGCTGTAGACATAATAAAAGGATGCCAGGCTGCTCTGTATGTATGATCCTGACTAGGGTTTGGATACCGCGAGGACAGTCTTTCACTATCAAGATACTGTACGTTTTAGCTGTTGAGTGGGCGCTTCGAGGCACGTGGAAAGCCCGCCGTCGCTTGGTTTGTAAGGTAAGAAACAATCCCAGAAAAGATAGAAGTTTCCCTGCTGTATGTAAAACGAGAACTCATGCCATTCTTCAGATTCGAGTTCAAAACTTATACGACATTTTTCGTACCTTTGGCATCCTTCAGACGGCCTGACCTGTGCAAGTGAAGAACCCATTGAATCCATCTTCATCTAATACCTCTCGTTTGACGTTCAGCTTCTCCCTAATGAACCCTCCTCGAGCCTTCCCCTCCAACAAAGCTGGGTCTGATGGGAATATTCTCCATGTGCCTATAGAAAGGGTATTAGATGGTTAATGAACCTGCACAGAAGTAGATGTAAAAAACAGGTCCTCGGAGATGGAAAGCACACGTACCATCTGGTTTGAGAGGTGAGAGATCCCTCAGCTTAAGAACTCCCATGTTAGGCCATATGGGTTTCCCCTATAAGTTTGGGTCAGAAGGCCACAGGATGTCGTTATTGTGTGTTAATCAATGAAAACAAGCTGGTCAGAATATATTTGCCGTTTAAAAGAGGCCTGCCATTCCACGACATATCAGACATATCACAGTATAGGGAGCCTAGGGTTCTTTACCAATGTAAGAGATTATGAATTGCACGAGCTCAAGAGGGAGTCTCTGCGCAGACATCTTGTCTCTCCACGCGAATGGAGAGTTTGATGTTGGAGGAAAGGATGGGTGTAGCTGAGTAGTCGTTGCCTTTGAAGGCTTAGAGGAAAGAAACCCAAGGTTCAATATGTGTTAGTCCGTAAAGGATACTATTCACTATGTGAAACACTAGCAAAGTTGAGCCTAAACATACGATTCAAGTACAACCAAACGGAGCAAACAAGCTTGCGTCTTAATACGGGAGACCTCGATTCATACTGTGTACAAATAACCTAGTATATCATTACATAAGCTTACTTTGTCTCCGACTTGGTTTCCTCAGCAAGATTCTCAGCTTGCTTCACTTTCTCAGATAACACGCCCTGAATGTCATCGATAGTTTCCTTGAGGAGCTTCTCAGCTTCCGGACCCTTCTTCTCTGCAGCATTCTGAAGTGACTGTAACTGTGTCAGGATGTTGGAACCACCTGGAACCATGTTGGACAGTTTATCCAAGCTGCCGAACCCGCTGCTCCTCGCTTGATTAGCGGTCTCCTTGATGTACTTCTCCAAGTCTTCAGTGTTTCCAGAAGACGAGCTCTCCTTGATCAAGCTCCATATCTTCGAGAAGTTGCCATTCTTTAAGGCCACCGTGTTTCTCTCAACTAATTCCTTGAGCTTTGGATTCTTCTCTAGGTATGGCTGAACTTCGACTAAACCTTGTCGCCACGCCTCGTCCCCAAGCTTCCGCAGTTTTTCTTCCTTCTCTCGGGCAATCTTTTGAACCTTCTCTACTGTATCAGAGTTGATCCCTCCAGAGACAATGTCTTTCAGTTGCTTCCAAGCCTTATCCACCTCCTCCTGAGCCTGAGGACCGTAGGCACTGCCCATCTCCTTCAGCCGGTCAAAGCTACCCCCTACCTTCGTCCTAAGCTCAGGATGGTTATCCAGGATGTCTCCAGCAGAGTCACCGGCGAGTTCATACAACCGCTTAACATGCTTCTCTAGCACATCTCGCACCTTGAACGCAGTATCAACATCAAAGCCTCCTTTCTTCGAGACATCGCGCAACTCGTTATACAGATCACGAATAATCTCATCAAACTCCTTCCCCTGATTCCGTCGGATATGCTCCAGGTCATCAAATGCCGTGTCAACATAGCCCTTGGCACCGGGAATAAACGATGCATAGCTCTTGGCCGTATCTCTCAACCACCCGAACGCCTCATTTGGCTCAGGGGTCTTCTGCGCGACCGTCTTCTTGGCTTCCTTGAAGTACGCCTCGGTTTGATTCGCCGTCTGGACGAGCTTCTTCGCCCCGGAGAAGTGGTACCAGGTGTACCCGGCGACGAATGTAACAGCGCCTCCCGCGATACCACCGATTATGGCGGGGTTGCTTCCTGATGGGGCGGCTTCTGTGGAGGTGGAGTAGCGTGCGCGTGCATTGCGGAGGGGAGCTCTTGCTTGGCGGGTGAGTTGCTGTTTTGTGCAGCTTGTCGCGAATCTTGAGCTTCGGGTAAACATTTTGGAGGGTGGTGATAAGGAGGGAGGACTTGGGAAGGGTTAATTGAGGAAGAGGAGATGAGTAGGGTGTATGAAGTCAATTGATAGTAAAAGAAGTTATATTAATAACCATATTGAAAGGAGACATGAGTACTAATTATTTATGGATAATCCAAGAACCTCGGGTTTGTATACAAAGCCTATGGCGTCATGGTGGCGGGTCAAGTTGGTCCTTGGTTCTTCAAGAGAAGGTTGCGTTGATCAGGTTGAAGGTATTCCCATGAACCATCAATCCAAGAGATCAATGACTTAATTGGTACACTCCTCGTTCTCACCCCCTGTGGATCTGCAGAAATGTTGAAAAGATGGTCATATGACGTCATGTGCCTGGACCCAAAGATAATCTGGAGGAGTTTATGGGGCGGTCCACTATGTGACTATTCCAACAATAACAACGATCAAATAATGTATGTCCCTATGAAATATTGGCATGCGTATCACAGATACTCATGCGTCTGAAAATAAAACTAAACCACGTACTAAATACCCGACATGATATGTGGTACAATCTGTGTCCAGAGTGAAAAAGCGCAAAACCAAAATATCAACAATCTAAGATACAAAACATTCTAGTATCTCACCCCAGGTAAGCCCATGAACCTGAAACCCCATTCATGCCCTCAGTAGGGCAGCCGAGGAACGGGCTTAGCCCGACCATTGACAGACCCAAGGACCCTCGTGGCGGCGGCTTCACCACAAAACTCGGTAATCTCAAGCACTAGATCGGGGTAATCTGTCAGCTCAGGACTCTTATTTTTCACGAGCGTCGCCGTCGTGAGATACTTACTGAGGGACCTGCCCTCCTCATTAGCCTGGCGGATTCGAGCCCCAATTTCACCACGGGGGACTCTGATGTCTTCTCTGCGCCCGTGTTGGTCATTGTAAAGGTTCATACGTCCGCTGCGATCACACGAGTTCTACAATATGTCATGTTAGTACACCATTGCGTTTTAGAAGATTTTCCGGCCACAGGGGGTAAATACTTACGAAGATGTATTTCTCCTGGTGGACACGAGGGACAAACACGCTTTCGTGCACAGGGAAGATGTCCTGTCGCATTTCACCGGTGAGGAGATTGGTGCCGACGATCTGAACTGCCGACCGGTGGCTCGTGGTGTAGGACAGCTTATTGATTCTGCAAGGGCAACCCTGAAGCAAGACATTTCCACCTTCTCGCAGGGAGGAACACGGTGTCGGATAGGCGAGTTGCTCCGATGTTTGGGGGTAGAAGTCGAGGGCATGGAGTCTGTCTTCATCTTCCCTTTCGAACTGGTAAGATCCGTAAGAGAGGGACATGGTGGCTGTATGGAGAGAGATGAATGATAGGAAATGCGAAAAGAAACAAGATTGACTTGAATGAAGGATCACAGAGAACCGTGTCAAGGCGACCCTTTTTATAGTAACTTTCCTTAGAGAAGTATATACTTTTGTAGCTAACAGAGAACAATGCTGGTAAGCCTTGGGCTGTGCGCTTCTCAGACACCATGGCATCCGCTCCAATCCATTGGGGGGGTAATGGAGACGGTGGGCGACTTGATTGAATGTGTGCAATGTTTTTCTTGCCGATGTCCTTCAGCCTAACTACCATTGATTCGCTCTTGAACTTGCCACGCCCGTGAATGAGGAATGTAATGGATGTTAGGGCTCCAACACTGTCAGGCTCGTAATAGATCTACTACTACACGTGTATCATGGGGCATGTCAAAGAGTGGCTGGCAGGCAATCATCATTCAAAACAAAAGAACCCATTAGGAATCTCTTACACCGCTGACACGTGTACCATAAGCTGTTTTACATTTTCTCTTCTCTCAGTCTAGACTGGAGCCACAGTGGGTTATGTGGATTTCTCAATTGCGGGAAGACTACTATTGCAAGCCCTATACAGATTTGCCGCCGCTATCATTGGCTGCAATGACAACGCCTCGGGAAAAAAGAACTTGACACATCATTTGCCCAGGCGGGACACTTCATAGCAAGAAAGGCCACTACCAGTACGATACTGCCCAATATCGTAATGGAAAGAGCTAGTGGGCCTACATAAGGCACGTTGTACCTGTCCCTAAATTCGCCTTCCAATGTAGGTGGATTTTCCGCCCGATACATCCCTCTCCCCGCCTTGCTATGCTCGTCGATTGCATCGTTGGAACATAGATTAAGAGAAAAGAAAAGAAAAGTCAATAAAAAATGATAATTATATCAAAAAGTAAATTGAAAGAAAGAAAACGAAGCAATAATAGGAAAGAGACAAAACATAGAGTGGTTTCTATTCTTCCATTCCGTAAAGAGGCAAAAATAGAGCCTCGAGTGAATTCCACAGCAGTATTAGCAGCTTTCTTACAACTATATGTCTCCTGGAATGCCGTGTTTACTTGATATGGCAAATGAAGATTAGCGATCGCCTTTACCTTCTATGTAAAGCGCTGTAGTCCAACCACCTCAACGGAAATTCCTAGCCCTAAGCTAACCCACGTGGCAGATATTCCTTTCAGAATGCAAGGGTTCACTGCAGGAAACACGGTCTTGAATGAAACATTCATCGCTATATGATATGATAACCTCGTCAAACCCCACTGGCATCACCAGTTCTACAACTGGTCGGTGCCTACCAGCTTGACTTAAGTCCAGCCGGTCTTTCCCGTCAGCGAACGCGTGCAAGTACTCCCTATCCTCAAAAATAATACAACAACCTTTCTATATGCCCTACGATCCGCAAGCAATCCAGACTTCGTACCTGTCCCAACTGCTTGATATTGTGTAGTTTCAATGGTTCGCCTGGTTTCCTGCACGCAGTATATTGCTGGTCGCTCTGGATCCTTTTGGTGAAAGAGAACCTTTTCTATGCCGCTACATCCAAGACCACCAACTCCAGAATATTGATACGGCAGGTATCCATTAGGGCCTCGGAAAGCCTCTGCATGGCACTCTCATTCGGAAAGTGGTCGAGCGGCCTCGTGTCAAATGTAACGCTCAACCGTCAGATATGCCTACTTCGTTGAGAACTGATATCGTGCAGCCACTCGGTAACTGTTATGATGGTCCCGCATATACTGAAGAAAGCCTCGGGGAAAAATGATGGCATCACTTCTTCATAGACTGCCTTACAGGTCGCTAGGATGGCAATACACTTCGAGCGCGTAATCCAGTGGGGAGCTGAAGTAAAGGAAACGGTATGATGGTTTGTGAGTTCGAGGATGAATGTTGAGTTATAAAAAACTATAATATATTCACGGAATCGGGGGGGGTGGGTGGTTATGGTTATAAGGAACGATGATGATGTTCTTTAATTGTGTTACATTTCGTTGTTTCTGGGAATCGACTCAGCCTTCTGCAGGCAGCGCTTTCATTGTTAGTATTCGTATATGTTGTTTACAGTCCTCAGGTATCTAGAAATAGGGTCTAGACCAAGAAGGTAAACTAGATTGACTGAGCCGATCAAAGACGTAGGACCTGCTACCCAAAATAACCCTAGTTGAGTTTTTCGTTTTACACGCAAAGATAGACTGAAGCCAAATGGATATCAATAACTATACACATCAACAATTGTCGCTCAGAAAACGGTATAAACATCTTCCCACCCAAGACTGCGACCGTCGCGAATCCTATGTCAAGCATTATGTCGTCAAAACTCTCCCGTATACACACGCATGTCGCCTGTTATCCTCAACACCACCTTCTATAACCAAAGGGTCGATCAACGCTGATTCCCTCCATGTCATTCGTTCATCATCGTCATTTTATGCCGCATCATCAAACGAAGTTCACATTATGGTGCAGATGCAGCAGTCGCACTCCTCATCGCCGCAGTCACAGCCGAAGCATGGTTTTTGGACGGATTTGATGGGTTTCTTGATCGAGGATCCGGAACTGGTGGACGGGAGCATAAAGTTCAGGGGAGAAGAGATAGAGGAGGCGCCCATTTTGACTGTGGGTGTATGTTGCTTGGAACGGTGGATGTGATATGGGTCGTTAGGTGTATATAGAACAAGATGAGGGGATTGACAATACGCAGAAAGCTTCCGAGGATCAGCAGAGAGTACACTGGTAAGCACAATATTGAGGAAGAATGAAAAGTTGGTGAGAAGCCACTGACAGCTTTTATATAGTGTCGGTCTGAAACGAGCGACGTCAGCGGTTCAGGCAGCCAAGTTTTAAGCCACATGGCAAAGGATCCACTTCACCAGGCCTTCGCCCGTTGGAGGAAAACTTCACCCAAACCCCAGGATTAATCCTGCTGTGCTCTCTTGTTGTGTACCTGAGAATAATGCCATTTGAACGCCATTAGATCGTGTATCCTAGAATGACCATAATGACCATAATGACCAAACTATGAGCTTCATGACTTTACAATTCCCACAGTGCAGCGCTTGCGAATCCTTGCTGCAGATATTCATGGAATTAGCCCTAGCGAAAAGCTTGACTAATTCGGGTCAATGAGTTCTGAACTTCTATTCGACCATGTATTGAAACTGCCGCCGTTTTATTGGACCCCTAGGAGCGCTAGAGCTTCGTCTAGCTTTCTGGCCTTAGCGCTGTGGCGCATGCTCTTCCCGTTCTATGTTCCATCGGTATGCAGCATATATATTCATCATGTCTCAGCACTGCAGCCCGGACAATCGATATTTGCATGGAAAAGCGACACACAACTTACACGTATTTACGTACTTAACATTAGATCAGGAGTTTGCAGCAGAAGCTCCACAATATCGCCAACGAACCTGAATGGAGATTTGACGACAGGATGTTATGATATGTGAGGGTGCCGGCATCCCGATATCCGTCCATATCGTCTCCTAACCCTAATTGAGTTTGCTTTGCTGAGAAGGTTTGAGTACTGCCCAATGCCTTCATTTTACGGTTCACCGACGAGGAATGATGAGTCGAGTCAGGGATAAGCTCCCAGGGTGCTCCACTCATTCTCCTCCCATGCCATTGGATTTTTACAGACACGATGACGTTCCTTCTCCAGGTCGAGAGCTAGATACCTCACTGTTCGAAAAAGCTGAACACAGCTCTTTGCATGCCCTTATGTCATCAGTCACGTACCAAGACCCCAGTTTGGTGGGCGGATATCGGGAGTACTACTAGTACTCTTGGATCACTCCCACCCGTACCAACCACCAACACCGGCCGGTCTTTCCCTCTTTCCTCCCTGAGGCCAACCACATCAGCCTCAGGCCCATCAGACGGCCTCAGGCCTACCATCTTCGTTCTATAAATTCCAGGTTCAAGTCTTCCCAGCTCCCAGTGAAACCGGATGGTCGAGTGGCCATCTCGGGCTTCAGCTCACCCTCGGGACGCCCAGAGAGACTTAAGAGGCCAATTGGCACAGTTAAATTCTGCGACCTTAGTGTCACTCGTTCGAATCTCGCCCGAGATATCGAGGCTCTTCGAGGAAGCCCTCAATGTGTATGACCTTGACCCTCGCGCAGGGAGAGGGGAAAACCCCGGGCCCCTCGCGTAGCACGAAGACCATGTGGCCTGGAGGGAAAGTAACTCTGATATCCCCGGGCCCGCCTCTCTTTTTTTTTTTTTTTTTTTTTTTTTTGGCCTCTAGCTTGCCTTGTACGTCGCGAAGGTGAAGCTATACAAGTCCAGAGAATTCGTATATTCCTCCTGCGGCTTGGTGTGTAGCAGACAATCTAAGGGAGGGCAAGAAGGAGCTCTGGGTACATGATCCTCGTCTTTCCTCTTCCAAGTAAATTTTACTGCTAGATACCAAAACTTGCTGAATCTTGAGAAGCTATACTTATACATGGTCCATCTGGCGTTTCCCGTTTCTTCCCAGGTTGAAGCCACAACACTCCTTGTAAACCCATTCACTGCCGTAGACGGTCTCTGCATCTTCTTCCTAAAATGGGAGCTTCTAGTCTACAACTCGACGCCCTTTGGGGAGCTGGTGAAGTTATCTACACTCCCCGTGCATTTGGTGTCCCTGATTTCCGACAGCTTCCCTGTTATATAATCACCGCCCCATCAAATCACACCCTACCGCCCTTCATCGTTTCTGAAGCTATACAGACTCCGCCCATTTCTCTCTCCTCCACAGCAATTTCATTCTACCACCCTCAATGTAGTGCTTTTAGCGTGTAATTCACCAGTACGATCTGATCAAACAATTGACTAATTTTTTGGTTTTACCTGAGAACAGAATTACTTGTTGGATCTAAGACATCTAGTATCACCATTGAGTGTTACTAAAATGTCAGATCACCTTCTTTACCCTTTTGTTGTGGCCGATGAAGGCCTGGCGAGCATCATGACTTGAAAATAGTAGCTATTTTCTAGCCCCCTCCAATCGTATTCTCGCTATGCTGTCTTCTGTTTTGTTGTTTGCTTGCAGTTGTTCCTCTCATTGCAACTGCCTTGACTGAAAGGATAATGATAACATACCATCTCTCCGACTGCTTGGGCCGATACAGCTGTGCCTCCAGGATATAAGGCGCCTTCATTTGGAGCAGATTCCTTGAATCTAATGTCTCCCTCGTTTCCTTGATGGGGTTTTACTCGGTGCCCCCAAAGGCCGGCTCCTTGAAATGATCCAGGGGTTATCTGAGGGGGTTCTACAGTTGTGTCAAGGTGCTCTTTGGACTATTATATGAGATTTGTTGTGCAACCGGAGATATACTCCGAGATATGCTCTAGATATAAGCTAACCACTACACAGTACAACCGTGCCAAGCTCCATCACACTCCACCCACGGACCCACCTGATACTTAGATAGACTCTCACGTTTGGCGCTTCGATATACGGTGACTCAGTTGAATTTCTGAATGCGTATTGCCAGTTGTCCCTGGCGTTAGACGAATAGTGGAACGTATAAATATGAGGAGAGCCCTCCCGCTCCGTCCTGTTGATTGTCGGCCGCGTACAAATACTTGAAAATGGATCAGTGGATTTTGATCTCCATGACGAAAACAAAATGATGCCGAGTTATGCATAAACAACTAAGGAGAAGTTAATTTTGCATTAGATACAAAGACAGAAAGTTGGTCCTTTTTTCTTTTTGGAACAACTTGCTTCCGAGCACTTCATATTCTCTATGGTAGTAAGTCATCCTCATGCCCGCTATCTTGCTCCCACTCATAGCGGGCACCGATTTCCATAACGTTAGACCCGTACTGCTCCATATTGCCAAAGTTCAGTGATGCCCCAGGGGTCGAGTAGCACCTTGGGTGGTCCCATAAGTCTGCTAATACGGCCCCAATAGTCTCCATTGTGCTTGAAGGTATCCCAGTTGGTATGGATGACTAGGGCATGGCATCCGTCACGGGCGGCTTCAATACTGGAAACAACGATTCTGGACGCCATGGGGCCTATAACGCTCTCGATCTGTGAATATTGCAAGTGCGGCTCATACAAACGGGGCTCTGCACCATGTTGGATAAGGCCTTGGATTAAACCGATTGCAGTGGAGTTCCGAGTGTCGAGAGTGTTCTTCTTGAATGTCAGTCCTAGGATGGCCACTGCCCGTCGGCCTTGCAGCCCTAGACCACGGGTGAGATGCGACGTTGGACGGGTTAGGATTCGACGGTTTTGCCAATCATTCAAATGGATCACAGCCCTCCAGTAATCGGCAACTTCCAATAACCCCGACCCCAGGGATCACATCTGAAACAGCATGAACATTCGCTCCGGCCGATTCGCACAATGTACTCAAAGAGTTGATGCTGCTAATTCGCTGCCCAATAAACGCATTACTCGCGATCTTTGCGAGCTCCGATGACCACGCATCCATAATGATAATACGTTCCGCCGATACCCATTCATATAGAGTCTTGAGCGCTCCAACCGCTTCCGCCGACCTGGGGATGTGGCCGATAACCAACCGATTCGGAAGGAGGAGGTCCCGGATGGTGGAGCCTTGCGCAAGGAATTCTGGACAGGATAGAATATCTAAAGATGCAGCTGGGGTGGCCTCGGATTCAAACTACAAAGTCGCACATACGTAAGTGCAAACAGACCATGCGTTGTCATACACACTACTTTCTCAATTTCCCCCACGGTGCCGCATGGCACTGTGCTTTTTAGCACCACGATTTGGCAGCCGGTGGACAATTCCGCAATCCTTCGAATGGCCGCCTTAACATTCTTGTGGTTCAAGCCTACAGCTCCGCTACTGGGATCCAAAGTCTCCTATGATAGCATCTTATTATCACCCCGGTCCCCAAGGTTGCGGAGAGAACGTACACTCAAAGGGGTGTCAACGCAGACAAAAATGATATCCGCTGCTGCTATCCATTTGTCCATCGCTGTCGAAAATCGAATATTCTGAAGCCTTCTGCGTTGCGGCGCTTCGCTAGTTTGTCGTTCATGATGAACCCCATCGACGAATAATACATCTTCCAGTCCTGGCTCGAAGATCGGCAGCTGATCCGAGTCCCAGGCTGCAATTAAGCCGTCGTCCTTATTAACAACAGTGAAGCATCTGTTCGGGTTTTTGGAGGCGAGCACGATCGCTGTCAGCGCGCCTATATTGGCGTCACTTGGGTGGAACCCGGAAGAGAAACATAAAGCAATTACTTACCCACATATCCCGCACCTATGAAGCAAACCTCACATATGGTACCAGGCTCTGTCACCTTACTGTCGGACTGTAGATCATCATTGTGTATGCTTTCATGGACTTTTCCTGTGGTAGCTAATCTCAAACGTTTAGAATGTGTCCTGTTGCACTGCCACCAGCCAAGTGTGAAGTCCACGCCTGCTAGCACTATTGACCGTGCTATCCAGATCATGTTAATCACACTTTGAAATGAATAATGAGGAGACATTACAGTCTGGGAAGCACATCCAGGGGCCTGTTTAAATTCGCTAACTTTTCGAAGTTCATGAACACTGCCGGCTAAAATGTGTCATCTACCCCTGCCGTATTAAATCGCTAACATTGGTTGGTCATCCCACGATATGCAGTTAAATGTCGATCAGCATGGACCCAGCGCCATTGTTGCCCTCACTATCTCCTTAACCTGTCTCCACAATTATGTTCAATGGATAACAGATGCCCTGAATGGATATGAATGGCAAATATCCGCGTCTCTGCCCTGTTAGTGGGCATTGGACTAAGAATAGTCCGCGCTGTGCGATAGGATATCGGATCCATCTGATCCACTCAAGGACCTTAGATTCGTTATTGACTCCGGTTAGATCCTAGAACCAATCAATAATAGAGACTGGGTTGGTGCGATGCCTGCCGACTAACTGTATAGATCATCACATCTACCGTGTCCGTGCGTTGTTAAGGAGCCAAGGTCTCTTATGAGACCTGTTATTTCCATCTCTAATCGGGAGCGCTACTGTCAGCCAGCGCAAAGTGTTTTACTAAAGACGATTAGTAGACTAATATTCCCCTTTTCATGATTTGGTATGAACGGAATTATGGAAGAAATCGGGGAGGGGAAACGATACATATGACCTAATTAACCCTAGTGCGCGAACAACCCCTCGTCTTCATGCATTATTTCGCTGTTGCTCATTGACCTGAGGAATCATTTGCAATCGTATATTATTCTGGCCTCGTATTGTCCTAGTTCATCATATAGATTTACTTTCCTCTGGGCAAGAATTGGCCTAAGAACGACCATGTTCCTCCTACTACTGGGGCTGGGTCTTCAATTTGCTTGCAAAGTCAATGTGTATGTAACCCATTCCATTAGTCTAATCCTTCCTTTAACCTCTATAATCCAGCACTCTCCGTTATATTCGGTTCCTCTGGATCATCGTAACATATTATGGATTCTATCGCCACCGATCTGCCTCTCAATCAACGCAGGCTAAACCAACGAATGCTTTATTTTCACCGTCCGATGTCACAATAATCTGCCCAATTGTCGACCCAGACGACGACTACGTTCTTGCCCTGAAGTCTTGGCTCCGCGCTGATCCACACGAGATCATTGCAGTCACCACATTTCCTTGGCTAGACCGTGTCAAGGAATTCACTCAAAGGGCCAACGACCCTCGGGTCTCGGTCTATGCGATCGAGAAGAAGGGCAAGCGCCACGGCCTTCTGGAAGGGATTCGACGCACCACGACGTCGGTCGTCGTCCTTTTGGATGACGACGTCATCTGGCTCCCGAAGACCCTCACCGGCCTTCTCCACGCGTTATCCGGTCCCCAAGTCGGCGGTGTTGTGCCTATCAAAGCAAATCCAAGGAAGGTGCTACAGGCTCAGCATCACCCAGACACGACTATATTCGAGGCAATGGGTGCAGCCCGATTGGACAGGCGTACTCTCACGAACGCCTCCATGGCGTACTTTTGCGACGGGCAAGTCGTTGTCCTATCCGGGCGGACGTCGGCATACCGTACTGAGGTCTTTCAAATCCCTGGCTTTGAGAAACAGCTCATTGAGGAATACTGGGAGAACAAATACCTCATGACTAGTGGAGACGATCGAGCCGTGACTCGCTGGCTGTACAGTCACGGCTGGAAGACGGCCCTTCTGTCTTCGGATGATAGCGCCGTCGTGTCTCGGCCCAAAAGAAGCCGGGTTTATCTTCTGCAGTTGTTGCGATGGTCGCGCAGTGAGCTGAGGCAAGTACTGAGAGACTTATCCCTTATTATGCCTTGGAGTGCAGCACGACAGAAGCGGCTGTGGCTAAACTCCATGGCGTATCCGGTTATGATGGACGATCATTTGGTGATCCTGGACTTTGCTATCACAATTACCATTGTGACCGCGAGAGTGGCCTTCCGTGATAGCATGGTGTCTGTAACTGAAAGAGTAATTCCTGGAAATCTTCGCCTGGTGTTGCAATACTTCGAAACGAGTGCCTGGCATGAGCTACTCTTTAACCTATGGCATTTGATGAATTATCCCGAGCATTTGACACATATCCTCGTGTTTGCCTTTTGGGGTCACATACGCGCAATGGTAACCGCCTACGCATATTGGACCACTAACCAGGTGAGTGGGCCAACATGGCCACTTTTGGAGGGTGTGTAAGGCAGGCTGACTTTGAGATTTGCACTTAGACATCCTGGATGACTCGACGAGGTGCAGACTGAAACTCGAATACGACTCTCAGTTGGACAGATGGTTGGGTTGGGGCATTCTTTACGGAACCCCAACAATTCGGTCTCAAAAGCTTTTATGATTAGGTAGTTATCATTCCACGTTTGATTGTACGACGCTCAGTACTTCTCAATCTTCATCAGGTCAGCTTGTTGAGACCATGTTGCATTCCATAAATCATATAAATTCTAGCACTTCCCACTCAAATCAATAAACTCAAGTCAAAATACCGTACTATATACTGGAACCACCACAATGGCCAAACCTCAAGTAACCCTCTATTTCGACCTCCTCAGCCCGTTCAGCTATATCGCATTCCACATCCTCAAAGTGCGTCGCCCAACCCATCACCATCACATCAGCACTACTGACACACAAGCTAGACCTCCCCCATTTTCAGGACCTGTACAATAAGGTACACCCCAGTCCTCCTTCGCGATCTCTTCCAACAATGCCAGAACACACCCCCACTCGCCGTCAAAAGTATAACCCTCCCCCTTCTCCCTCAACCAACATGTTTCTCAAGATAAATCAAGAGCCTAACAAAGGAGGAAAAGATAAATCCGCCTGGCTCAACAATCAACGCCTCTACTGGTCCCGCCGTCTTAACCTCCCCATGTGCAAAACCACGCCCCAGGGTTTCCCTTTCCCGACTGTCGAAATACAACCCGTTCTCTGCGTGATCAGCGAACGGTTCCCTTAGCACCTCCCGTCAATCATAGAGAAGATGTATCATACTCTCTGGGCAGACGGGAATCCAGCGATTGCGCAAGAAGAGGGATTTATGCCCCTTCTTGTGAATGGATTGGGGGCCGACATTGCAAAGGAAGTTTTGGATGCTGTGAGTTTTAGTTTTCCTTCATTTCCCCATTGATAAGGTAATAATATATGCTTATGGGTTTTATAGTCTAGACAGTCGGAGATCAAAGAGCGGTTGGCGGGGAACATGCAGAAGGCGTTTGATAGGGGAGCATTTGGATTGCCTTGGTTTGAGTGTGTGAATGTTTCTGGGGAGAAGGAGGGCTTCTGGGGTGTTGATCATATCGGGAGGGTCATGGAATTTTTGGGGTTGGAGAGATGTGCTGATGTAGCCTTTTAGGGCTTTGGCTTTGCTAGGAGGCATCGCCTCTCTTTCTTTCTAAGTCGTTTCCACTCAAATATACATACCCATATAAAATAGTCATAGACCCTACGGTAGAGTGCTGCTCGCGTTACATTTCTGGAGCGACAGTTCATACCTCAGCCAGCCACATCGATGATCATCTGCTGGGTGACGTCTGGAATGCAAGAATAAGACATTCAGCTTTTGAGTTGCCGCCGTTTGCTCCGAACCATTCAGTTTGCCAATACGTTGCAGCTTGGTAGGATCATGAGCAAAGTCTGCATACTCTAATGAAAATCTACATCTGTGGAACAGCGCAGCACATGCGGTGTGGCTCCAGATGATCGATAGATCCCCGAGAGCTTGGAGTATAAAATAGAGAGAGAATATCCCCCTTGCTCACCCTAGTGCAACTCCAAAACCCCCTTGTCCTTCACTTCGTCTCTAGTCTCCCTATTCTCTCTCCACCTCTGTCTCTCTTGTTCATCATGAGTACATGGAAATTTGGTGGTCGGAAACCCTCAGATGGGGAAATTAGGGAGAAGGACATACTCCAAGGCCTAATTTATCACGCACGCAACAGCGCACAGGCACTAGTGTTCCACCCTTCCTTCCTTCGTAGTAAAGTACAAGAGTGGGATTAAATCAGGCTACCAGCCAGGCGAAGGTGAAGGCCGTCTTCTTTCAGGTCTCAATGCGGAATATCATGGCTTCTTGACATGGATCGAGAGGGAATAATTAAAGGAGAAACGAGCGGTACGACACGTTGCTCTTCCCTGGCGTGACAACGATTCTTGAGCTTGTTTGTATTCAAGACTGCGATACCGGTGTAAACATGCATATTCTGGAACAAATCGAACGCCCGGCCAGACGCCTTGTCGTCTATCGTAGACGCTTATCAACAGCGCCCCATGTCGGTGCACGATACCCTCAACCTCCACGGGAGATGTCTCCCTTTGGCATCATGGCGGAAAGGTGAGCAAAGATTCCCCCTCCTTTTCAATGCCATATCGAGATAGGAAGAAGCATTAACACCCAGCCGTCTCTGGTCCAGGAACTTGCAACGCAGGATAGACACACTTTCAAGCGGAGACTACAAAGCTCTCCTCTCACCTACCTGGATATACTAGACGGTCTCATCGACGAAACGTTCCGGGTCCGTTACCCGGCCCCGTCGGATATCCAGCGGGTCACACGCCGCCTGAAGGCATGTTTATAGGACAGGCATGCATCCCAGGGAATGTGATCGCTCATATCCCTTTACACACGGCGCATCGAGGCATGTATGTGTAAGGATTTTGCCATGACCAACAGCAGCCAGTCCCTGAGCTTCCAATCTATATATAAAGCACGGAACTACGCAATTGGTTTCTGACGTACGGCATCATAAACTCATCGTCTAGACCTACGATCCTTTGCCTGACCCGACGAATTCCTGCCGGAAAGATGGACAACCCATCGTGAGCGGATTCGGGATAGATCCGTCTGTATTCCTTACAACGGAGGTAAGGCCCGTCGTGGTTTATATAACATAGGTAGTAAGTGCTAGTACATACTCGTGGGGGGGGAAGGTAAACGGGTCCATATGCTTGTATCGGGAAATAGCTCGGCCATGGAGTTACGATTCGTCGTGGCAGAGATTTTACGCCTGTATGAAAGCGAAGAGGGGTTTTGGGACCAGCAGAAGGATCATTAGACCTTCGCTCCGTCCCCTTTGTGGGTCGTGTTTGGACAAAGTAGTTGGTTGGGTCCAACCAAGGTCATATTATGCACTTACAAGACTACGAAGGAAGGATTTCCAATTAGATGAATCCATGTGCGGCATAAACATCGAAGTATTTACAACATTCTAAATTCATAAATCATTGCGTAAACGAATACATGACTTTTCTATCCGTCTTCGTCACATCATCACGCATGTACAGGGCCGATCCTGATGCGCTCCGGAGGGGTATCTTCTATCAGTCAACCAAAAAACCTTTTGAGGAAACCAGTCTATCCATTAAAAATAAGTGTTTGAGTCGTCAAGCCGTCATAACTGGTGGGAATTTAGAGCTGTTCAGCCCAAGGGGCAGCGCCGGGCTGCATCTGGTTCAGCCACTTGACGAGCTCAATGAGCTCAGCGCGGCGCTCTTCCTCAAGCTGATCCTCATCACCGCAGAGGACAGACTGGAAGATTGGCAGGAATTGAGGGGTCAGCTCCCGAATGGTAGGGTCTTCCCACTTGTCTGCTGGACGTTAGAAGAGGGTTCGTACGAGGGGAAGGTCAGAAGAATACATACACAGCTGGCAAATCATGCGGAACAAGGGGTCGTTCTCCTCGTAATCGTTCTTCAAGGGGAGGAGCTTGACAAGGGCAGGCAGGACATCCTTGAGAGGGACGCTGTCACGGTGCTTGAGGATCATACGGCTAAGGCAACCGGTGGCATTGTCCTGGAGACGAGAGACGTCCATGTGCAAGCAAGCCTCAAGGCGGCTGAGGATAGTGGGGAACTCCTTCACAACCTCAGCGGTAGCATTCGAGTGCTCGACAAGACGGCCAACGGCGTAAGCAGCGTTGGAACGAGTCTGGGGATCCTCATCACCAAGGCGGTGAACGAGCAGCTTCATGAAGGCAGAAGTGAACTGAGTGACAGCAGGGCCCATGCCGTTGATGCACTCAGCGAGAACACCGACAGCGGTAGCACGCTCGAGGGACTCGGTGCTGCCAGCGTAACGGAGGATGGTCTTCTCGAAGACCTTCCAGAGCTCAGCAAAGCTCTCACCAAGGGCGGCGGCAAGACCAGAGACAACATCGAGACCGGTGTCAACAACGACCCAGTCGAACTCCGAAGTCTCCTCGCCGGCGTCGAGGGACTCGTCATCGGGTCCAAACTCGAGCTGGCAGGGGTGCTTCTTGGTAATGATATCAGTAATCATCGTGATAACATTGTGAAGCATGGTCTCATTGGCAATGAGAGCAGGGCCGCAGTAGCGAAGGTTCTCAGCCATGTTGCGGTTGATGTCGGCGACGGTAGCCCTAGGCAATACCACGTTAGTATGGCAGCACAAAAAGGAATGATCATGCGAGCAAAAAATAGGATCGAGGATAGTTCAGATGTGAGATAATCGCCTTTTACATCAATCACGCATTTTTGCGTGTCTGAGTGAGCTGGGTAAACGAATGTGTTCATCATTGTAATTGACCGGCACTGAATAGGCCGGGCCAGAAAAGAAGCGGAGGAAGAAAAGGAGAAAATATACATACCGATCATCTTCCTCAGTCCACATTCTAACGGTGCAGGTCATCAGGATTTCACCGAACTTCTTGACCTCCTTGGCAGGCTCGACCTGCAGAGGGAGGCCGGGCTTCCACTTAGCCATCTGACCATTCTCTTCCGCGATGGCGAAAAGCATTGCGTACGAACGGTGGAGAGTGCTGATAGTGCTCTTGCGAACACCCTCATAGGGATGTTCCGCCAGAGGAAGGACCGTCTCGATGGTCTTCTCAAAGTAGGGCAGGTAGGCGGACTTAGTATGGGTGACAAGATCACCAATGACTTCGACGGCAATCTCTTTCTCCAGAGACAAGGGGGTGGTGGCAGTGATATCATCCCAGCCATCTTCGTCGTCAACGTCAACGTCTTCGATCTCACCGTCCTCACCAACAGGTTCATCATCATCAGCACTGGCAACCTTGACCTTGCGGCCGCCAACGGTCACCTCCTGGCCAATCAAATCCTTGGCAGCCTCGCCGAAAGAGACCTCGAGATCGGTCTCATCCTGATCGATGCAAGCGAAGAGGCCCTTGACAACACCGTCAAGGAAGGGAGAGAAGTGCTCGGCGTACACCTTGGACATAGCACCCCAGAAGATATAGGTGCTCTCCTTGAGACGGGAGTGACCGAGGTGCAGAGCCTCCTCGGTGGCGCGCATGAGGGGCTCCACGTAGGGCTGGTACCGCTCAGGACCGGCGGAGGCGGCCATCTCGCCCATTGCATCAGTCACGCTGGCCCGCAAGTCGAGTTCCTCTTCACTGTCCTTGACGGTGGCGAACTCCTGGAGCAGGTGCATGGACTCATCGAAGAATTGCAGGAAGGAGTCACCGGCCGAAGAGGCAAGGGAGCCAAGAGCGCCAGCAGCTAGGCCCTTGATTCTGAAATCGGGATGCTTGAACAGCTTGTGCAGGATGGGAACCAATTCAGTCTGGTAGGGAGCGACATCCTTCTCATCGAGGCCGTCCACCACGGCGTCGATGGCACTGATTCCGGCCTTCATGATATCGATGGTGGGACCATCCTCCTCTCCCTTGTACTCCTGCATGGCACTGGCTAGGTTCTGGAACAGCAGGGGCATGAGTCTTTCATGTTCCTGGCTTAGATCCTCGGCAAGGTCATCAGCCAGACGGGCGACGGCGTGCAACGAGGCCTGACGAACCTTGGGCTCGGGGTCACCCAGTAGCTGCAGGACCATGGGGAAGATCTCCTTCATCTGGGTGCTGATAAAGTCGGGGGCGCCTTCAACACACATGCCCAAAGCCATGATACCGGCACGACGGTAGTCAGGGTTGCTGTTGTTGAAATACTGTCCAAGAGAGTGCAAGAGAGGAACAACAACTTGGCTAGGAGGCAAGCTCTGAGCCAGCATATCAAGCAGACCAAGTGCGGACCGCGCAGGCGTAATATCATCATCAAGAGCGGAGGTATCTCCAAGCTCGGTGACGATATGCAGGGCAGTACGAGTAAGCTGCTCACCGACCCGCATAGCCTGAACCTTAAGCTTACGGTACTGGACGCACTGCATCAAGAAGCTGATGGCCTGAGTACGGGTGTCTTCGTCAACCTCGGTGTTGGCGGAGATTTCGTTCATGAAGACGACGAGGTCCTTAAGGTGAACAGTTAAGAGAGCCGGATCGCAGCCCAAGAGAGTCTGGAAGACTTCGAAGGCTTGCATGACACGATCCTCCTGCTTCTGATCGATCGAGTCCTTGAGCACGGCGACCATGGCGGGGATGAGACCCTGGAAAGCCTTCACAGGACCCACATCCTCCTCAGAGTCAAGATGCATAGCAAGTCGGCCGAGCGCGAGGAGGGTGTTGGTACGGACCTCCTCACTCTCCGGGTCAGCGATAGTCTTGCCGAATAGGTTGAACAGATCCTGGAACTTCTCCTCGAATCCCTCACCCAGTGTTTCCAGGATCGTGAACAGGATGTAGATCGCAACGGAACGCTCATCCTTGTTTCCGGTGCTGCCGGCCTGGATCAAGAAATTCGGGAGCTCAGCCCACTCGCCATCGTTCAGGTCAACCTTAGCAATAGCCGAGATGACACGAGCGATCGAGTGACGGACGAGGGAAGAGCCTTCGCCGAGTGTGGCACGCAGTAATTGCTCACGGATCTGGGGCTTCTGGCCGGCCTGCACGGTGACCCAGTGCTTGTTCACCAAGGAGCGAGCCTCCACAGCGGCCAGTTGCCTCAGGTTGGAATCCTCATGGCCGGTGGCAATCTGGATGAGAAGGACGAGCGAGTCCGGCTTGTTATAGAATTCGCGCTGGAGGATCCCCGTTGCTTCCTTAACATTTCCCTGGGCGGCTGGAAAATTCTGATCAGCTTCATTCCTTGCGGTTGGTCTCGAGACATGGCCACTTACGGTTTAGCACGATCTGCAGCTGCTGCAGGAATCTCTGCTGATCCATGTTGGATAAATGTACACACAACTTTTCTATAGGAAAAAAAAAAACAACGAAATATTTGTCCCAAACCCTCGACGATCGAGGCTCCTTTTCACAGGGACTAAATGAGAGCTGTCTGCACAAAGACAGGCAGCTCACCAGGGTATCACAAGAAAAGAACAAAAAGGAAAAAGGTCAACACAAGACACAAAAGGAAAAGATGGGGTGATGGAAAGGAAAGAGAAAAGAGAGAGAGAGAGAGAGAGAGAAAGAAGAGGGAATTAAAATACAAAAGGAGGGAGGGGAAGAAAAAAAAAAATTAAAATCAAAAAATCCATAAAAGTGGAAACCAAAGAAAATTATTGACTTTTTGCCGGTCCACTTGTCCTGTTACGGCTAGCAGTGCGTGGACTCACGTGTCGCTACCCAACTCAGCAAAATCAAAAACAGGAACATCAATAGAATAAATAACAAGACTTCAATATATATTATGATCTCTATGCATAACCGTGTACTTCGATCAGAGTGGCATCGAATAAAGTCTCGCTATCCGCAAAGAGCCCAAAGAATGACAAGATAACTGAACTATCCAATTCCCAACACCATTCCCATCCCAATAACTCCATCTCTCCCTGTCACAGTTAAGCGCGAGCAATAATGGTAGAACTGAACGGTACTCCTGGACTCGCATTCCGTAAAGTCATCAAGCAATCAGTGTATCAGAGTATCGTATGCACTGCATCTCTAATAACCATCCGAGTCGTAATCTTCGTCAACCAGCAAAGATCGGTAGCCACGGGAGGCAAGGTTCTCTTCGAGTCCTCCATCCGATCCAGGATCGGCATATCCTGCGCAGGTTATCAGCTATAATAAGGGGAAAGGTGTGTTGGGGAGAAGAAACTTACCTTCACCGCCAAAATAACTAAGAGCAACCGGTAAGAAAATGAGCGCATGGGTCGCCGCGAACAGAATCAGCGCCAACCAGACGCGGAAATAGTAAATCTCGAAAATCTTGCTCCGGGTAAAGGCTAAGACACAGACCCCGAGTAATTTCGTCACTGTGATGCCGCTGAAAACACTGCCGCCGACATTGACCAACGCGGTCCAAGCCCGCGCATCTTTGCCCCGGAACTTGGTGGGCACCCTGTCCAAGATAACCCGGGAGGGGAACATGAACGCGCGGGCGATATGGGCGCAGAACTCCACCCCGATGCCAACACAAATGATCAAGTTCACCAGGGACACGGCATTCAGGGACACCCCGGAGATGGCCATCGATCCGATAATATCCACCACAGTCATCACAACTGTAGCAGTCACCACGGCCCCTGTGGCAACGGAGCCTAGGATGGTGGAGGTCAGGAGGAAGATGATGCCAACCGCAGATCCGAGGAGGATACCAGTGAGCTGAACGATGGAGATGTACTGATCAAAGAAAATGTACGTCTTCGAGTAGGGGAACACATCGATGCCATGCTCTTCGGAGATACCCCGTGCAATGCGACGAGCCGCTTTGTATGAGTTGATGAAGTCATCCTGTGTCCGGAGAGGAGTATGTGTCGTTCTAAAATGGCTGGCGTTGGTCATGATTCGCTTCGAGTCGATGACAAGAGCATGGCTATACGGGGCCTTACCCCCAAGTGGACAAGATGCGTCTGTGGGGGCTTGGATCCATTTCTCAGCGTAGCGAATGAATTCATCGCCTTCCGGCATGCCATAGAGGGAAATATTCCACGGTGGGTTTCTGTTTTCAAAGCAAAGCTGGCCATTCTCCTTGCAGCAATCCTGCTGGGGATTGAGCCAGTAGAAGAAGTCATCAATCCAACTCGCAGTAGAACCGGCTATATAAGAGACCTCGGGTCGTTTAGACTCCTGTTCTAAGACGAACGGCAGCGAGAACTCTTCACAAGTCGTAAACCGCCCACAGAGCTGTTGCTGATGGCTACGCGCAGTCACGTTCACGTTGCGGGTCACGAAATATACTGGAGGCCCGCTTGCAAAATACGCGTTCAAATCATCGAAATATTGGATCAAGTAAGAGTCACTGGGCAGCGCGATACGCTGGTCCAAGCCAAGGGACACCTCGGGAATGAGCGCCAAACCAGCGGTGAAAATGCCAAGGAACACAATTATAACAACAACCTTGACCTTGCGTGTGAGAAGGAAGCTTGCGTATACTTTGCGAATAATCTTTTGCAGAAAGCTCTCCCCATCTTGATCGTCAAATACCTGATCTTCAGCCATCCCAGAGTGCGCTTTACGAACCGTGATGCAAGGGAAGCAATCCGCCCGAAGGCTTTCCACACGTCTCTGATTCAGCGCAAGCACGGATATGAACATGGTAATTTGCAAAACGGCATTGATGAAGACAGCCCCTGCGGCGTAGACGGCGAAATTCTTAACGGCAGGCATTCCAACGAAAGCACCCAGCGCGAATGCAACCGTTTCTGTAAGGGAAGACAAGAAAATACTAGGGCCAATTCGGCCCGCAGCCCGAGCAATTCGCTCATCGATCTCTTCGTCCGGGTGGCTGACGTTGATCCGTTCGAATTCATGAACAATCAAAAAGATGTTGTCCACGCCGACAGCGAGAACAAGGAAAGGGATGACCTCCGCGATGATTAAGGTCGCCTTAACACCTGTCGCAGAGAATAACCCCACAGAAGCGGAAACCGACATCAAGACGATGGCGATTCCCACAATGCCCAGAGTGAACTTCGATTGAACGAGGGCGTTCGCAGGATTCGTAAGCAATGATTTCCACGTCACAGTGACCGAGCCCAGAGCTAGAGATGCGTAAATGAACATGATAATGTAGCTGATGACAACGATCTTGGCGTCTGTGTTACTGGATTTATTCAATTCTTGCTCAACGCTGATTTCGGCGTTGAAGGACACACGCAAACCACGTTCCTTAGCCTCCTCTTGTACAACCTCTAGAATGCGTTTGAAGCTGCCTTCCCAGTCTATCGCGTTGGCTTCACCTTCAGTCCCTTGGGCGTAGTTGTTGACCACCCATGTAGCGATCAGCGCTTGAGCGTCAAACACATCCCCCGAATCTTCGTACCCGCCCAGAATCATTTCCGGCTTCAGGGGTTGCCCGAACTCAGGAAGACAGCTCACATCACCTGGGGATTCGGTACAATGTCTCAGACGTTCTTCCCAGGTGTCCGGGTCAAGGTTGTATATGGAACCACCAAAGTAACCAGTTACAGACTCCACCACACAGGCGTCACCCGTGGGTTTGAAGCAAATGTCGTCCAGAATCAGCCCACGATCTAGCGATATCATCCGGCGGACTCGGGACTCAACATCAAACCACCAACTCAAGGTATCGTAGGTAAGCACCGGGCCATTGTCATTGACAAGGAAAGCCTGTTCCGCCCGGTAAAAAGGGCCAAAGTTGGCGTCGAAGTATTGCTTCTCCTGGAAGGCTGCCGAGGTAGGGCTCACCCACAATCGCACCGGGTCGGTCTCCACAGCGAACCTCAGCCAACCCAGACTCAACAGCCCCACTACTAGGATACTCGACACGATGGTGATGGCGGGGAACCGAGCGCATGCGCCCCCAATCCGATTAAATATACGGTCCAGCGCTGAGTTCAGTTTATATATACCATTGGGTTGCTCCAGATAGCCCCCAGCACGAACAATATCCCCTTCGTCTTCATCGTCGCTCGGGGTCGGGTCCTGCAGAAGTCGGACTCGTTCCGGTTTCCGGTGGCGACGTTCTTTATACGTGAAGTAGCTAGAAAGGGCCACAATGAACAGCAGAAACACGGAGTAAATAATGATGACGGCGAACGACAGACAAGGCAGAAGGCCCACATGGCATTGCTTGTCCGTTTCCACGGCAGGCAATTGTGGGCATACATCCGGGCAGTCCACACAGGAGCAACGGAAGACTTCGTCCGAATCGTTGCATGCCTTGGGTCTGATGGGCAGAGGCTGCATGCCCCGCGGGTCCGGACCAGCAGGCTCGGTTTTGAAGTTAATCTGAAAGGGGCTACCCAGAAGCTTCTTGTCTCCCAGAAACTTCAAAAACTGCGGGTAATCCTTCGCACCGCCGCCGATAAAGTCCATGGCTTTGCCGCCTGATGCTCCATTCTTCACATTCTTGCAGCTGTCGTAAAAGCCACTTTGATACTCCTCCGACCAGATGTTGTCTAGTTCGGTCACCAGGGACTTTCCAGAGCTGCTGGCTTCGACCTGCGTGACATTGATGAAGAGAGATTGGTCAGGAGAACAGGTAAAAGTACAGAAGATATTAAAGAAGTTCTCTTTACACGCAGGGCAAGACGCGATGATACCCTCGGCAAGCTTTAGATTTCTAGAGAGCGCATCGATCTAATGACGGGATCGTTAGAATGCAGTCTAGGGTGTAGATCCAGCCGTGACCCATATCACGGATGCATACTCACCTGTTCATCTTTACAGCACACCGGACCTTCTTCCCACTTGCTACCACATAAGTCCACGAGCTTCTTCCTCACCGCTGTTTCCGGTTCCTCTGCGACACCGTTATCCGGGCAGGGTAGGTCTCCACCAAAGATTGACTTCTTCCCACAGTGGCCCCGAATAGCACAACGCCCCTTCTCATGAACTGTAGTCTCAGCCTGAGCTAACGACTGTGGTACGAGGAAAGAGCCAAGGCTAGCGAAGACGGGGATTAAGCGGAGCCCCCGCATGGTTGGAGACAGGATCGGCAAGTCGAGGTGGATGGGAAGTGTCTGATTGAGGGTTGCTCGGAATCATACAAGGCAAGTAATTGACGAGGTAGAAAATCCTAGAGTTCCGGTCGGGGTATAAGCTTGAAAGCGATGAGGGTTGCCACGTACGGCAGGGGTGCTGCGAAGCGAGAACGCGTGATGTGATGTCACTGGATGTCCGCTGGGAATCGTAGATTTCCGGGAAAGTTGGAAAGGAACTAGGTCGAGCAGAATTAGTTATACATGAGTGACTGGATGAACCCAGCTCATGCAACCAACCATGCAAAGCAATGGTCAGTAAGGTGGAAGGAGGATGGTTGAGCTGAATTAAATTGAATTGAGTTGGAGTTGAGTTGGATGATCGGATGGAAGAGGAAAGCGGAGAGAAACTACGTAAGCGGAGGAACGAAACGTTGATTCAACTTATGCCTCAGGACCCGACCCTTCCGGACACTAACGTCAGGCACCCTTTTTGCGGGATCATCAGGCACATCTTGTTAACGGCACATAGATAACCTAGATAAATCATTTCAAGTTATATTGTGTCAGAGCCTATAGGGAGCCTAAGGCAGCAACCACGTGACCTGACCACAACACCAAGGAATCTCTGTATGATAGACTTAGACCTTGACAAACAGTCCGACACACGTGAGCTACACCAGCTCTATCATATTCTATTCGACGTATGAGTCTTAATCTTAAATTTTTATAATTCGTATGAAATTCTCTCTGGTTCTTTAGCAGGCCTTCGGTAAACCCTACGTCCTCTTAAACAGTCGAATGTATATATTCACAAAACCCTAAGAAAAATCAATCACTATTACACGGTCTCTCTACCATAGTTCTTCAAATAACTACTACATCATTTTCTCCCCCTTTACAACGTCTGATGAATAATTTGTATTATCTATGGACAATATAACATTATTTTCTTAGATTAAGGGAACTTCGTGAATAAACAATGTTTCATCGATGACGCGCTACGTGTTCATAAACAATCCATCAAGATGGCCAAGACGTTTTTATACAGACTGTTATTCTTTTACAAAGGGATCCGGTTTCAAGACAACATTCTAGGCATTATTTTACACAGCATGGTTATGATGTATACACCACAAGGGCCGAGATACCACAAGTTTCTTGTTTCGGTGACATGATTATCACAAGGCATTCATTGAGCACGGATGCGCCAGGGCGAATTCAGCATCAAAGAAACTAGAATGAGCCACTTGGTAAACGCCAAGTAGCACCTTTCTAAACGGGCTAACTCTCGAGCCCTGCAAGACGCTACGTGAATAGCTTATGGCCATATCTGTCGACTGGTTCATTCCCTCCATACGTCTCATATTCTTCATATTCTTCATGCCTCCCATGTCTTTTGTCATCACGTTTCTTCGGCTTGTCCGTCTCGCGCATCACATAGCCTATGGCGTTGCCCCCCCTGCTGGGACCGCTTCACAGGAGCATCGTCATCTGTGGACTTGGCTTTACTGGGATGGGATATTTTCCCGACCTATGTTATTGACATGGGCATATCCACGTTGATGGCTTCGTTGTCACCGCGGGTCTGTATTCACCATTACTACACTAGTTCCGATATCAGACATTTGGGCTTACCTGGAGGGTGGGAGCACAGCCGCCATGGCGAGAGATAGTGCGGAGCTTAGGACGGAAATCTTCATCTTGAGATTGTGCAGAGTCGTGAATTTAGAGTTGACTTGAGGACAATGATCTGCTCAATTTGAGTCATGGCTAAGCATTTGATCTGTCGGGTACGGAGCTTTTAAACCTCGAGTTATCTGGTAGACTAGAATAGACTCGACTGCCACTGACTTCCTATCTCAGCCCCTTACGTGAGGTAGAGATTTGCGAGAATAAAGTGCCCGTCACATTATCATAGAGGGTTATCATAAATCCCGATGGAATGTAGATCCATGATGGAATATAGAATAGAGAAATCATATTGCATTCGTTTGAGAATACAAATATAATGTGCATATGTTGTTCATATATTTCCCTAATTTGATTTGTTCTCTTTGCCTTTGATTGTAGTTTATTAGGACTATGGCACTAAGCCAAAACGGATTCGCTTTAAGTGACGCCTGTGACTCGTTGCATACTAGACAGCAGTTTTCTGGATGCTACATACGATGTACGTGTAGAAATTACTGCCGCTAGGCCTGCAGACGAGCGGGAAAGGATGCTTGGGCCCGGTATCTCAAAGAAGGGGAAGAAAATAAGGTTATGTTGTCCGCCTCAGACAAGACAAATCTACCTGTACGATACAAACATACGAGACATCTACTAAGTCCCCAGGAGGGTGGATTGAGAGGCTTAAAGGAAGTACTACGAGCGTATACCTTGCGGGAGAATCGAACAGGAAATGCTGGGCAGCGACTTGGCATGACGAGTGTCTCGCGACCTACAAGTGTTCCCTAACTGGAGGAACACTTGTATTGACTATTCATGAAGGGCCATTCCATTGGTGGCACAAGAAAGAGCAGCTTCGGAATACGATGCAGTTTATGGCTCAAAATCAACGCACTTAGCTAATCGGTGCCTTCCGCCTGGACAATGAGAGACTAGAACCCAGTGTTATTGGGTGCAACCCCTAAGGGGCCAGACAAGCTATCATGGATATTGTAGATTGGGGTCAAGTGTCTTGAGTGGATATTACTGAAATGGATTGATAAATTTAAGTACTGAAGAGGACAAGTCATGGGAACCATTCGGGGAACAGCGTGGCTGGGGTCGGAGGACCTTCTTGCGAGCTTTTACTTTTTCGCATAACAATAGTTTGAATGCGATTGATTGATTTCTCAAGTGCATCTGTAATCCGCATCATCTTAGTATGTAGACTATATATAGTATAGCATAGTATGGCAGACACAGTATGGATGTGATTATCGATCTCCAAATGAGGACTAGCTCCAGGACCGGTAACGTGACCGGGGCCGATTGACCAGCAGGGAAGACTGATTTGCTGACAATCTAGTCGTTTCTTACCATACATACTACATGACTAGAGGTATCACTCCCCGCGAGACTCAAGCTCTGACCCAACCCAGCCCTATCAGGTATGAGTGAAAGAGCCCCAGAAATAATATTCAGATCGGGAAATATACCCGTCCGGTTCTTCAAAGCCTGCCGATGGTGTAGAAAGCAGAAGATGCGCTGTGATGCGCGCACTCAGGTTCCCTGCTTCCGCTGCCGTTCGGCTGGTCGGGATTGCATCTTGGACCCTATGGAGGATGGGAGGCGGCGCAGTGAGCGTCGGAAGAAGACCGGAGCCCCGTCAACACGGTACGCGATTGGTCGGTCGTCTACTCTTGATCCTAGGCTTATATAATTTATACAATCTTATATAGAGGCCATGGGGCCACTTCTCCATGGGGCCACAGCAGGGCGCTGAACACTCCCGAATCAAGAGAGCGCGAATATTCTCCTGACTCAGCAAGGGACACTACCTACCACGATGCCCAGATAGATTCCTTGCCAGGGTCTACAGCCCTAGAGGATCTACGAGCATCCCAGGTTACCGATCAGAATGGTCCCGAGTCTCAGCAACTAAGCCCCAATGATATGATCGCACCGGTAGGAGCTATGCACTCCATGTCTGTCAACTTACTAGGGTCTAACAATGTGAGTCTAAATAGCCTGCCAATGAGCCCCATGCATTGCCTAAACCTTAGTAGATATTCATGGAAAACCCAGCCAACGGTGACACGAAAGGCGACATTGTAACCCGCGGCATTGTCAGTGAGGAGCGTGCCCGCGTTATGTATGAACGGTATGGTTCGCTATGTCCACGGCCAAGGAACAAGGATGGGCCTAACATCTCTTCTCCAGTTTCATGGGCGGAAGTAAGAATTTCCTGCCACTGTTCGACCCGATTCGAGACACCTTTGACTCCATCCGGTCGCGTTCTGTGTTTTGTTTCACGGTTATTATTTACTTAGCTAGTCGGGCTGTTATTGACTTGCGTAGCGACACACACTTGCAGCGAGTACTCCAAGATGAAGCACAACGACTGGCCGAGGATGGCTTCTTTGAACGCCCTACAAAGCTTGAGGCGGTTCAAGGCATGATACTATTAGCGGCATACTCTGAGAAAACATGGTTCTCCACAGCACTCATTCTGCGAACCGCTCTGGACTCGGGCTTAGAAAAGTCGCTGGATACGTTGCTGTCTCAAGATAACGTCCCCCGGAGTTCCTTAACTGCCTCCATGGCAGACCGTCAGTTGGTGTGGCAGACCAGAACCTGGCTGATCAGTTTCACTTTGGAATTGGATGTAGCTTCGGGCACTGGCCGGAAGTCACGTATTGCTGAGGTGGATATCCTCAAGTTGCGTAAATTCCTCGAGTATCCACTTTCTCTGCCTTGTGATATGCGCACAGTGTGCATCATTGAACTTCACCAACTTCGGGGTTTGGCAAAACTTTAGATTGTTATGTTGGTATATGAACTTACTTTGCCCTAGGTCAATCGCGGATAATCATTGAAAACTCGTCGACGATTTATCATATCGTCTCAGCAGAACTGCCAACTATTATGGCAAGATTGCATAATTGGTGGACAACGTGGGACGAGATTCACAACAGTACGTTTTCATGCTTTACGTATAGGGCCACTAGGTAGGACAATACTGACCCTGGTCTGCATTAAGATAATGGATTCCATGCAGGAGCCTTCCAACGTTGCAGTCTTAGGCTCATGCTCAATTATGCCAGAATATTCGTTCTCTGTGTTTCGTTAGCACGTATCCAAAAACTACAGTCGACAGCCTCCGATTCCGAGCCAGACACCATGGACCAGAATGTTCTGAACCTATGGCAATCGCTGGTTTTCACGATCATGGACCAGTTGGCGTTTCTTATCACAGAGCCTGCCTACCGTTGTCAATTGGAATGGGCCCCGACATATCCAGCGCTGACGATTGCCTTTGTCAGTAAGTCACACCAGATTCTGCCGGTCTCTCATAACAGCACAGCTCGAAAAATGGGCTAACAAATTAGCGACATTTGCATTACGCATTGCACGATGGCGCCCAACGCTAATTGACCGGGACTTGCTGCTAGATAGAGTACACCATATCTGCGAATTTCTCAAACAGCCGCCGTATCCGGATATCCACCGCACAGTCTCTATCTTCGTGAACTACGCTCGCGCCCTAATTGTGAGCCAGCGCCCACACAGTGTTGATAGTGCAGATGCACCTAATATGCCCGAGCATGGAGACGTGCAGGAGCCTCTGAGCGGGCGGTCTGATGCCCCAATAGATAGCACCGCTCCATCAGGACTGGCTCCACTAGATGATGCTAGCTATAAAACCGGGGTCTCCTTCCCAGGTGATAAGGATGCCAATGCGGTATCGATGCCAAGCAGTGACAAAGCTGCAATATCTAGACCGCCTCTTTCGAGATTTCCAGGAAATATGGAAGCGCCCAATTGGACAATGTCGAACCCTATTGCGGATTCGTTTGGGCTCTTTGAAGAAGGCCAGAATGATTTATTCGACTTCTTGCCCGTGATGCCTTCTATGCCACAATGACCGTCGGGTGTACTGCTCTATCTATCCAACTCTCTTCTAAGAATTGTGAATTCGATTTGAATATCTCTTCTGGAAGTATCCAGGTTTTCCATATGGGCCAGTGGGTCAGAGCTCTTGAATCGTGCTGGCGGAGAGCAAATCATCTTGTTGGGCCGGAATCCACACTGTCTTTGCGTCTTAGTCTACGTGGAACCACAGTCGCACTAGTTACAAACAGAAAAAGTATCCGAAACCGTAGGAGCGCGTGAGACTTCATAACCAACGACAACGGGTCCTGATCGGCGCCGACTTGTGGATTCTTCTGAGCGCCGGCCCCGGTCCGGCCCCGGTTCCGAAGTAGAAGTATAGAGGCCATTCATTGGTACGTTGATAGTAAAAGAAGAAAAACCTGATGGCTTTTGTGAAATATCGCCTACAGATAATAGTAATGGTCTAGCCACTATGACCCAATATTCTGAGCATTTCTTTTTCCGTCGGTAAAGCCTGAGCAGCGGCAATGGCCTCATATATAGTCTCGACTTCGGAAGCCATTAGAAACGATCATCATAACAAACTTGACTGGCATCCAACGTCGCATATCCCTGGTCTCTTTTTTCAGCTCAGACAGGATGACAAAAGAATCAGAATATCCAGTTATGATCAACACCGCTAATTCTATCCCCGCAGGTACGTTTCCTTTGCTATGTACTGATCTTCTACTCAGCCCTAACAGCTGATAGAGAAAGATGATGACCCAGCCAGAGAATCAACTCCTTCAACAGCGCCCAGGTTGGGTAGATGTTTGGCAGATGAGCGGTACAAAATACACGAGCTAGCGCAACGTAAGATACTTGTTGAATTTAGCGAGGGATCGTCAGCAAATCCAAACAATTGGAACTTTGTACGTCTTTGGCGACCAGCACTTACATTATAACTATCAGCAGAGCTAACAAAAATCTACTCCCTTTAGAATAAGAAGGTGTACAACGTCCTCATAGCACTGTTTGTTGTGCTCAACAGTGGTGTATCGTCCTCTCTACCCAGCAATGCGGTCCCCGCCATCATGGAAGATTTTCACCAGCGTGGTGATGGGCAAAAGGTCTTGCCAACAGCTGTGTTTCTTATAGGATACATTGTCGGTCCTTTAGCGTTCAGCCCTCTGAGTGAGGTTATTGGCCGAAAACCGGTCCTGACTTGGACCTTCACTGTCTTTGTCCTAGCAACACTCGCCTGTGCCTTTGCACCAAATTGGCCCTCTTTCCTAGTTTTCCGGGTCGTCTGCGGGACTATGGGCGCAGCACCGCAGACTGTGGTCGGGGGGGTATATGCGGACATGTTTTCGGACTTGAGGAACCGAGGACGGGTGATGGCTTTCTATATGTCGGTACGTTAGTATAAGGCTTGCCTACGCTTTAAAGCATAGATGTTCTCTAACACAACTCACAGGCTGCAAGCTTTGGACCAATTCTTGGGCCGATAATCTCTGGTTGCTCAGTTCAGTATGGCTGGCGATGGACGTTTCGCATCGATCTGATATTCGCCGGCATCTCTTGGATAGGGCTTATGTTTATGTCAGGTACAATTATCCCTGTTGCAAGTCTCAATCAAACTTCCCCAGCGCCGTTTCAGGCTCAATGCTGATATGTGTTTGAGGACAGAAACATTTGCGCCCGTCATTTTAAAAAGTCAGGCCGCTAGACTGAGGAACGAGTCGGCATGTAATTCTTATTTGACTCGGGAAGAGCTGCAAACTGGAGGCTTTCAATACAGCACGACTCAGATCGTCACCCGCCCAATCACCATGCTCTTCTTTGAGCCCATCATTTCTTTTACGGCCCTCTATATCTCTCTGGCATACAGTCTCGTCTTCTTCTATTTCCAAGCGTATCCCATCATTTTTAAAGGTACAGTTTACCCCTCGCCCGTGCAATTGAACGTCCAGCCAATAGGTCCTACCCCTAGAACAGTCTTTACTGATTTGATATCCTAGGAACCTACAATTTTGACGTCCAAACCACCTCTCTCGTCTACATCCCCAGTGAGCCTCCAGCCACCCCCCCTCCCCACACAATGTTCACTCATAGACTAACCCGAACGCCACAAAAAAGTTGGCATCGGCGCCGCCTCCTCAGGCCTCATCTCTCTCTACTATGACACAATCTACGAGAAAGCCAAAAAGCAAGGCAAAGCCTGGACCACGAGCCCAGAGTTCCACCGCCTTCCCGTATGCTGCATCGCAGGCCCCTGCCTCACAATTAGTCTCTTCTGGCTGGGCTGGGCCGCAAGCCGCGCAATCCACTGGATAGCCCCAGTCCTATCCGGCCTCCTCTTCGGCGTCGGATACCAAATGATCTTCATCTCGCTGCTCACATACGTGACGGATGCATACAAGATCTACTCAGCCAGTGCCCTCGCTGCATCGGTGATTCTGCGGAGTATCGTCGGCGCCCTTTTCCCACTTGCTGCGGACCCCTTGTATTCCACTTTGGGTGTGGGGTGGGCCACCTCTGTGCTGGGGTTTGCTAGTTTGGCGTTTATTCCTATCCCTTTTGCGCTGCTTTATGTAGGGCCTTGGATTCGGGCGAGGAGTCCCTTTAGTCAGCGGTTGTTGCAGGAGGATCTTTTAAAGGAGACCAGGGAGGTGAGGACGGGGGAAAGTGCATAGGATGGGACTGGAAGGTATTGTGGTATTGACGATGATACGCGTTATGAAATCGTCCGTGTCTCTGGCTCCGAGTGTTTTGCTCAGGTGGTGTTCGCTTATCGAAAAAATTGATATCGTGAGGGGGGCACGTCAAGTAATTTCTAATATGTGATAGAATTGATTTGATAACTCTTTCTGCAATATAAAATCAAAAAAAAACAGTCTATTTAACAAATCCTCGATGGTCTAACGGTCATGATTTCCGCTTGTCATCTTTGTTCGAGAACAAGCGCGGGAGACCTGGGTTCGACTCCCAGTCGGGGAGATTCTTTTTTTCTGCCTTTCATTCTTTTCTTGTCCCCTGTATTTCCTTTGTTTTGCTTTTTATGAGCCTATCATTTTTGTTAAACATTTCCTATGCAATCAAGATACCGATTAATGAATTGGCAATAGCAAGAGCCACTCAACGAACATATCTCCGAAATGTAAAGTGAGATGTTCATACTGGCCATATGCACGGTTGCTATTGTCTTTCTTGAAGTAAGAAGAGGAAGTGAGACTACAATGGATATCCTATGGCGTTATACCTCACCATATCCTCATGCTTCGCCTGAACTCGGTCTCGCTCAAAAGTAGATCACCAGAAACCGATTGACTTTCCGTATATAGCACAAAGTATCATTGACTCAATAGTCTTTCATATTGACAACAAACTTCCTCAGAACCAAGAAACCATTAACGCCCCATTTGACAATTTAGTAGACCCACACGCGACGATTCTGAACCACCTCTTCTCTCTTGCTAACCTCGTCAGGTGCATACGATTCCTCCATAAAAATATTGACACAGGCCTCGAAATGACCCAGGAACTCGTCCTTGGCTTTTGTAAACGCTGCATCGGGGCCTTTCAAGACGTGTTTCAACTTCCCACCATATAATTTTGCGAGTATAGGAATCTTCCCCTCAAGCCCTGTAGTCAAGTCGAACATTTCCATCCACGCAATGGCGATCGACCTCCTTGGGTTGAAGGGACTCTGCAAGCATCAGACCGCGTTCTCGCCAAGGTTCAATCCCTCGTAGATTTTGCCCAGTCGATGTTTTCTGGCCCCATGACAGGTGTAGGGAGACTTCAAAAATCCAATGTGGGTTTCGGAAAGGTCAGCGCCCATACCTCTCTGCTCAGCGTGACACGATAGACTCATTAGGGTTGGGCTCTTGCTTATAAATTCGCGCCACATGTGCGAACGGAGGGCTCTGGATTCTTGACCTTTATCGCAACTTTCTTGACCCCTGAGTAAAGGCCTACACAGTCAGCATATCTACCAGGAAGGAAAGATTCCGCACGTATGGACCACTTGTTACCTGACAAGATCACTTCAACAAAGAAATGAAGATGTAGCATAGCTTTCTAACATGCGCTGAACATGCGTGCCGCATCAAAACCCTGCTGTCAATGGAGGACGGCACTAGGGCATTTGTCGGGTCTCGGTTTGTCTTCGCGATAGCCCTAGAGAAAGTCTTCAGATCCTACAATGCGCGCAGTTGCGAATCGAAACCCATGAGCGAGGCGAACTTTATAAAGGATTGCCTGGAGCAGTGGGGCAGCTCTTGACAGATGCTTGCGAGCCTGTAACGACTTGCATTCAATTTTGTGCTTGTCCCAGCCATTCCTTTGACACTCTGTACTGCAGTAGAATGTGGGCGGAGGGGTGTTATGGTCCTAGGCTCGAGCTCCAACACATCCACTGAATCTCTTTGTACAGCTTCTTGCAGGGTTGGCTTTACGTGGTTTACAATCTTCGACTCTTTCTCGGCGCCACTCCCACAACCTAATCTACAATAGGCTTAGCCACGTATCAGCGTAATGTACGATTCGGAGAAAACGTGAAGACACAAATTCTGACCAGGAGGGTTCTGTTAGACTCCCAGGCAGCTATAGCCCGGCTACAAGACAATAGAACTGGCCCAGAGCAAAGCTGGGCAATCCAGGCCCAAGATACAGCCCGAAGGCTTGAGAATCAAGGACACCAAACCACGATCCAATGGGTCTCAGGCCATCAAGGCATACTAGGGAATGAAAAGGCCCCCAGAAATATAGACAGGTGCCTCAGTCTAACGTTTCTACGCAGAACATGCACTGAGACAAACCAGTCCCAGAGACAACGATGGCTTGTACAGGCCCTGGGGAAACGATCCTACAGAGCCCAACAGCACTATCAACCACAGGAAGGATGGAAACTAGATCTGGTAGCGGGAGCAGCACCAAAATAGATCACTCGCCGATACTGTCAGCTAAAGGTTGGGCATGCAGCAATGCCAACCTACCTCAGTCAGGTAGGGATCCAAGACTCTCCTAGATGTCTGAGCCGCCAGGCTCCACAGGGAACAAGAGGCCATCTACTAGTTGAATGTAGGCAATGGCGCCCCCAGAGACGGGCCTTGTGCAGGGCCCTAGCCAAGGCAGGAGTGTCACAACCTAGACAGGGAGAAAAAGCTCCAGAATGCCGTCTCTTTGAGGATCAGAGGGCCGTGAAGGCCCTAATGACCTTCCTTGAAATAACAAATATCGGCTGCTTCCCAGGGGAAGCAGTTAGAGAGATAAATAGAGCCTCTAGGGATAACCTTTGGGGCCTAGAGCTGGTAGAAGAAGCAGAAAGTGGAGGGAATGGTAGTAGAAAGGGAAATCTAAGCACGCCTAGATGACGCCCAGCAAGTAATGAACACCGAGGACTAGAATGAGCTCACAAATGATAAAAGGGGCCGATAGAGCCCCTAGGGACTATCTAGAGGCAGTGGCCTAGGCCACTGCCTAGGGACATGTGTCTGTCATAGCCAATGGCTCAATATGGACGTTAAACTTGATTAATAATAATAATAATAATAATATTGACCAGGATACCACAAACAGTGGATCCTTGTGGTGGCTATTCACAGATTCACAGCATAATCTGGATACATGAACAAAACGCGATGTGAGAAATACAACTGGCTAACAGTATCCCCACAATCATTGTAGCTTCGATATGAGCTGGGATGAAGTCTTAAATCTACTCGAGCTAATTCGCTTTGGGTAGTTAATTTGATAATGAAGGATGGCAGTTTCAAGGGCTATCAGTGTATTTTCTTTTCGCATGCTAGGATACCTCTCGTACATATGCTTTGTTTGATAGAAGATTGAGACTGAGATTGAACTACTTCTATAAGGTCAATTTCTCTGTTGTCCAGCTTTATCGTGCAGGATATGGCGGCGTCAAATTAATCAACTCCTTGTGCGTCTTGATCTCCCGGGATGAATGAGCGTGCTCTGGACTGGATTACAAGGGGGTGACCTCTAAGGTAGAGTTTTGCAGCTGCTTGTCCATAGGTGTGAGATGGGCCGATGTACTTTTCACAGGCAAACTGAGGGATCGCCACAACTGCTATAGACCCTACTGAACATTCTTGTAGATGTTGCAGAAATTCTATTTGAGTGGGTGGTGCTGGAGACGTTTTGGTTCGGTAATGAACTGTACTTGTCTATCCAGTCGCGGAGAGTACAAGAGGAGGATCTGGTATCCGGGTGATCAGGACCTAGTACTTTGCTGCGTAGCTCAGAACAGATTTGCAATAGAGTCAAGGCATCTTGAAGCTTGCCTTGGGCTTCCCAGGTATAGGCGAGGCTAATCATGTTGGTCAGGGTATCGGGATGTTCGGCTCCCAGCACCGTCTTCCTTGTCTCCATCACTTGTGCTTCCAGTTTCTCAGCTTCGCTCCATCGTCCCTGATTTTGGTAGATTGATGTTTAGATTCGCTATGCTGGTCAGAGTAGAGGGATATTCAGAACCCAGAACTGACTTTCTTGTCTCCACCCCTTGCACTTCCAGTTTCTCAGCTTCCCCCCACCGTCCCTGATTGCCATAGGTTGAAGCTAGATTATTCATGCTGATCAGAGTGTGGGGATGTTCTGCCCCCAGCACTGTCTTTCTTGTCTCCATCACCTGCACATTCAGCTTCTCAGCTTCATTCATTCGTCCCTGATTCCGGTAGGCTGATGCCAGTCTCGCCATGCTGGCTAGAGTGGAGGGATGTTCCAGACCATTTTCCTTCTGCGTAATCTTCATCAGCTCGCTATATAGAACCTCAGCTTCGTCGAATCGTCCATCACTAGCGAGGTAATCTGTAATCTACTCAGTCAAAACAATTTACTGTTCCCGTTGTACTATGAACTCATTTTCGTGTATAAGCGCCAAGGCATGAGGGAGGTATTCGTGCCAAAGTCCTTGATTGGTATATTTATTGTCTGGGGAAACCTTTTGTATCTGATCAGCCACCCTTCAGATCCAATGGCTAAATAATATGCTCTTTCTTAGCTAGTTCCGAGTGGTAATATAGATAAGTCTGTGTATATTAAGATTTCTATCTTGCCTGTTGATGAATGAATACGCACTCAGAAGGCCTAAAGCGTCAACTCCGCGTTTCCTGGAAGTTGGTAGTGGAAGAAGAGACTCAGGAATATTGCGTGGATTAATACAAGCCATAAAAGATCGATAGTCGGTTGCTAATTGATCCTGGCGCTGAATCTGTTTAAAAGATATTAACCAGGTGGTAGCTACTGGGTTCTGGACCTCCTTATAGTGTCCTGTATCTTTGAAGTCTTCACTTAACAGGCCCACTACTTCCGTCTCCTGCTCATGTAAAAGAGCCAGGTAGGTGGACAGACTTAAGCTATTTTTATTAATGTATGCTGCTGCTTGCGTGATTGCCAGGGGAAAGAATACCAGTTGGTCCAGGAGGACAATAACTGCTGTGTGGTCCTTGAGAATATCCTCTTTCACTAGTGACTTTTCTGGAGTTCCATATGCAACTTCTTATCCCCGTCAGGAATATAGATAATATTGGACGATGTTAGCTCTACGGCAAGCTTCCGGTTCCGTGTGGTAAATAAAATGCGGCCTTGCTCACTCTAAGAGAGGAAGTCCATGAGAACGGGGCCTGCATTATCACCCAATAGCCATAAGTCCATATCATCTGCATTATCGAATATTAGAAGCCACTTTCCATCACGCTCAGAGCTAAGATATATTTTGATTTGCTCTTTGGCCTCTCCTTGTTCCACGTCATGAAGTCGAAGTGTCTGTGCAACACTCATGTATGTCTGTTCGATTATCCCATAGCTAGTACATGGGACCCAGAAAACCGAGCAATGCTTATCCCGGTCCTGTAAGCGGTAAGCTAGCTCTAGTATCACTTGGGACTTTCTAATCCCTCCTAACCCTGTAATTGCAACCTGCCCGGGCCCATCTTTCATCATAATTATTTCTTCCAGTTTGGCCATTTCATTCTGACGACCAACAAATCGCGGATTTCTTGCCCATGGAACCATCCACTGATGAACTTTATTCTCTTTGTTCATTGACCTCCAATCCGTTCGGGAAACAGGCACAGCTGACAATAACCACTTTGTATACGCCGCTGCTGTCAAAGCCGCGTAGCCCTGCCACTCTTTCTGCTTATGGGAGTCGCAATAGTCGCATATTCCCCAGATCACTAGCGCTGGAAGCCCATCCATCAGACCTGCTGCCTCCATCTCAAAGCAGAGAATACCATACTGTTGAGCTAGACGGTCTCGTGTTTCCGAGTCCTTCATCACCTGGTCTCCAGATGCAATCAACCCATAGTGGATCACAGGTGCCCTGGTATTACAAGGCTGGCGGTAGACCAACTGCTCTTTATCACACTGTTCACAGCCAGTATGAGGCGACTTGGAAATGCTCGAGCTCCGCCAAAACAGTAGACAAGCCAGACGTGCACTCGGCATCTAGCTGATCCGCCATCTCTTTGTCCTCCCAGTCATTCCGTCCTAGTATGAGCAATCTATACTGGACCTGGGTTAGGGAGGAGTAGGGGCCACCGTGGTAAGAGCTAAGATAGCTAGCTATAGTTGGAAGGCAAGGCCGGTGTTCTGTGGAAATTCCCCGGAGTGGGGGCATCCCACTGTGGAGTGTGCCATACAGAGATTCGTCCCAGAGGAGGGAAGGATTGCTCATGGTGGCCTGCAAGCCACGGTTTCCATGGGCCTTATCGTATTAGCATCTCCATAGTTTGCGAGTGGCACCAGAAGCCGATTACGTTAGGATAATTGCCCGCTAGGCACAAGGTCTCCGTGGTTATATAGGATGTGCCTCCTGTACAACGCAACATACAGCCAGTGGCATACGCTAGACAAGGCTGTCGTACTCGTTAAGGCAGCTATTCCTTTTTGAATGAATGCGTTAAAATCAATACACTCTGTTCTAAAGATATAGCTGTATAGGTATTTAGGCATCGCATCTCTTCGAAATGCGATTAAAAAGACAAGCAGATAACATCTGGCCAGTTTATCCAGATAACCCTTTCTTGATGGTTTGACTGGTTTACAGCAACTCTTCTGCAAACTTCAACGTATTGACAGAACAACCAAGTCCAGCGGATTCAGTATACTAAGATCAAGTACTAAACTTAATGAAGGATTAGCCTACTGAAGTGGCGCTGAGAAAGGGTTGAAGAGTGTATTTCATGTAATGCCACACCTGCAAGGTGCTGTAGTTGTTCCTGACAGTGGGCGCAGTTTCCTGCGGCTGGATCAGAAGGACGCACCATTCCTTGAGCGCTGTAGGTGATATGCCTGCAATCTGAGGGAGATGGCGTGAATGTCAGGATTTAGGAAGGACTACTTTTGAGGATCGCTGTTGTGATCTTGGTTGTGTTGGAGATACTCGCCTGCTCTACTCACTGTTTGTTTACTTTCCTGTCATTGAATGTGGGATATGCGTCATTCTCTGGTACGTTTTACCAGTGCTTGCCTGACCTTTATTTCCAGTCCTCGCAGGGACTTATTGCTAGCTTTCCTGTATCCACAAGACCTAATGTGAACATGTGGAGTTTTGTCCGTTTACGCTTCCTCCTTGCTGCTCTGGCGACATCGCTGGATTGTCGTTGCTATTGTGAGAGAATGCCCCATGTCATCTAGTCTATCGGCATCCACCTTGGCTTCTCGTAGCCTATTTTGTCGCACGAAAGGTATATCATCTGGTCTATGACCGTCAAGTTTCATATTTGGGGTTTGTGAGATACACATCATGTAAACATCCGACTTATCTTCACTTATCTTGAAATAAAGAAGTAGCCTCAAGTCGAACTAGAAGCGATGCCCATGGCTTTCAGGCTATAGCTACCTCCTGCTACACCCGGAGAATAGAACAAGTTTCCTTCTTGCCCATTTGGCAACATGATGTGGAGTGGCATTAGTTTTAGGTAAATGGCAGGGCTATACTACCACCTGTGGCTGTAGATGATAAAAGTTCTATCGTGGAATGATATTTGGGTCTATAGTCTAGCAGCGCTCTTTCTTCCTTACAGGTGAGGCTATAGCTTGCTGGTTGCCCCGACCTTATCGTCTTGAACACCATCGCTAGCGTTGCCTTCATGCACCTTGAGAATACGAGTGAACGCCTCCCATGACTTGTTTGACACGATCGGTGCCGTACAGTATCGGTCCGCTCCAGTCGAGTCCAGCAACTGCTCAAGTCTGGGCAGTATTGTATTCATCGCACGTAACTCCATGTCCAGCTGTGATTCACTGTCCAGTGCCGTATTCTCGGCAAACCAGCCAGAATGGCGGAGTACGACGCCGGCCTCATATAGAGCAAGTAGGTCTGGCGATACCGCGGCATCTAACGCGGCCTCATAGGCCATTCGGTGACCAATAGCTTCAACGAGCGTTTGGCATCGAGGCAATATGCGCGTATTAAACTCCTCTGTTCTGTGACCCCCACCGAAAGACCGTAATATATTGCGCGTATGCTGGAATAATTGAGTCTCGTATATTGCCAGAAGGTAAGATGGATATTTGGCAGGGGGCATGTTATATCGCCCTAGAAGCAACTCGGAGGCGAGCTCTGAAAAAAAAAAAAATAACAATGTTAGCTACTATCCAGAGTGAGATTTTCTTTTTCTTTTCTTTTTTTCTTTTTTTCATATTCTGGGTGCAGACTTATGCTAAGGACCAAAGTATCTCCTTCAGCGATGGAGCTGCCCCGGACCTCCAACTGGTTATCAATAATGTTGTTGTATCCAAATAAACCCTGGGCACCGCATCGTTCGGCAAGAGCAAAGAGGCTCTCTTGGCTGGCCTGAGAGAGAACGGCCTTAAAAGCAGCTGCGACTCCTTGCCGCATACTATAGGGAATCGTCGAATCTGTGTATTGCCTAATACTTTCCTGTGCGTAAGGCTCGAAAACGGCAATCTGAGCTAGAGTATGGAGGACTGGACGCTGCTGCGTCCGGAACGATATGATCGGTCTAGGGTTGTTGTTGGGATCCCGTATATGTCGCCGTAGGCTGTATTTCCCCGCCACGAAAACAGATCGTTTCAACGTGGGGATAAGAACCGTCGTAAGAGATAGCGTGCCAATATGGACGCGCCAGATGGTGGACTGAAAGTTCTTTCGTAAATCTGCAGGTTTATCCACGTCCCCGAGAAGGGCCGATCGCGCGAGTCGGACATGGTTAAAGGTCGTAATGCAATGATCGAGCGGTTTGGATCCTGCTCTCTCGGGGAGAACTCTGTAGTGATGCGTATAAGCTTACATGTTATCGAACGTCATTGTCCTCGGAAGAACCTCACTTTGCAGATACCCCTTTACACATTCTCCAACCATCGTTGAGCCAGACAATGAATGGTCTAACGCCTCGATCTTCGCCGTCAACTAGGAGCCTTGCGATTACAATCCCAACACGGGGAAAGCCTGGGATTGGGGAGGTGGGTGGCATATATCTGAACCAGTGGTCAAAGGATATCTCCAGGGATTAGGAGAGTCTCTCACTTGGCCGCATCAGGGTGCGGAGTATGAAGATCAAAATCACCTCCTGGAAGCAATACAGCTACGGTCTCCAGAGCGTGAGCGTCCAAGCCATGTCCCACCTCTGTTAGAAGGAATTGGCCTCTGTGTTATGTCAGATTTATGGAGCTGAATGACATAGGATACATACGAAACTTCAAAGCTGAGCAGTTTCTCCATCAGCGACCGGAGATCCGCCCTTCCTTTAAGAAAGGGAGCCAGGGTTCCTGCACAGAGATTGTACTGTATAGCCAGCAAGGTGAACGCAGCCGAATCGCGTGTATGGATGAGGTCTTGATGGAATTCCCAGAACTTGCCAGTCAGGCGGAGCACATCATCCGTATTGAATGCTGGATATTGTGTTAGCTGACAATACAGGATATATACCAAGACATACCATATGCCCTTGCTATAGCACGCGCTCGATGATATGAAAGGGAGATCCTCTCATCCCGAGTTGCATTATCGGCCTGGACGTTGAAGAGGTCTGAATCGAGCAGCGACACAGAATTAACGGGCATGCTGAATTAAGAGAATTCTCTGTTATGAAAATGGCTGGAATCACTGGTCACATCTGCAACTACAGAATAGTCTTTTACTACATATAAGTACTGTATGGGGTGGTATAATGGTCTCAAATATAGATAGACCTACCGATAGATACCTTCAGTAGCCACGCCACTGTGGCTCTTTATGGTGCTACGTGGACACAGTTGTGGCCTAGTCCATAAACGACGATAATACCGCTTTTATAGGTCGTATCGACCAGGAATATACATGAACTACACATTAATTCCGTCTCACCCAGAAATCCTCGAAGGATCACATGCCGCTATTGCTGGATCCACCGTTCAGCTTGTGTGGGCCTGAAGAACTTGCCTTAACTTTGCCACAAAAAGCCTCGGGCGCTTGAACGCCATGGCCTAGATTTAGAGATAGTAGGTAGCCCAACTCTGGAAGTTTTCCGATCTGCATATGACACCTCATCATGGCAGCGTCACCGTGTCTGCTGCAACGCCTCAAAACAGGACTTCACAACGATCATTAGATCTGAAGAATATCTCATTCTCCACGGGGTGTCCACTTCCTTGCGCCCGAGGCGAAAGGCTGGCTGATAAATGTCAGTGAGCTGAGGGTGCTGAAAATCATAGCGAATGGCGGCGATCATCTACCATTGTAAGCCGCGAAAGAGCCCGGGATATCTGTCGAAAGAGAGACAACTTTCACAGTTCCTATCCCTCAATACCTGGCTTTATGTGGCTAGCAACACGGGATTATGCTCTGTCAGTTGAGCCATTTGACTGCTGTTTGAAGTTTGTCGATCTGGTTCGCTAAGAATGCAGTCGGCCATCATTGCGGATCCTCGTTCAAGATTGTTGCTCTAGCTATCTGGTTTATAGGCTGATGTGCGCTATGGCGTTCATAGCTAAGGGATAGCAATCTTTAAGGGGCTAGGCGCACTTAGATACCCAAATGGATGCCCGACAGCGAAAACTTCCACCGAAGAGAACAGCCCCCACTGGCCCTTTTTGGCGTCATATAGGACCTGGTCCTTATTTAGCGCCGCCGAGGCCTGAGCTGCTTCCGGCGTCTGTGGTGCCGTGGGATTGTCTAACGTCTATCGGTGATAATGAAAGGACAGCGAGCCCCTTCTGATCTCTCAAGGGGGAAATGCTCTATCAAAGATGGAAATTGCGCTGTATGATGTAGAAGAGGCATCCGCAAGTGCTGATGATAGCCAAATGTAGTCTTGAGTTTGATTTAAACTACGCTATATCCTCTGTCACATAGCTATAAGTAACAATGGAAAGCCTCTCTGCCTGGTGCAGGTGATTACAGCTTGACACCGTCTCACAGCCGTATCTTCGTCCTCACCGCATCGAAAAATCTATCCGGCCGTTTGTATCTGATCCGAACTATCCAGCATGGCGGCAACCAGCTCATCATCACAACCATAGGAATCCGAATCACTGATATCTTCAAGAGTACAAGCTGGGGATGCGAAAGTATGCCTTTGTTTAGTTGGTGTTACCGGTGCCTCCACAGCATTCCAGTGTTTCCTGCCACCGGCAGTTGGTGGGGTGAAAAGCCCTGAGCTCAATGTCGCGGCCCGCTGAGGAGTGCTTGGATTTGAGATCTGATCAGGCGGAGTTCTAAATCGTCGAAGAGGCCGAATCTGAATGCTATCCGTGCTATTCTGTTGTTCTTCAAAGGGCGCACGAGGCGTGGGAGTCACTTCGAAATCTCTCAGATGTCTTTGCCTCCTTCGAGTTGGAGAGTTCAGAATATCCAAGGCCAATTCTAGCATCAAGTCAGCAGTTGGTCTTCTCCGAACTACGGAATAATAGAGTAGTAGTCACCACTATCATCAATATCATCTCCAGGAGGCTCATCAAGAGTCCCAGGATCTATGTTTACCCGTTTCCTCTTCAAAGACCCCGACTTCGGCGGCGTTGGATGTCCAAATTCCCTAATATCTGTCTGTTTCTTTGGCGTCTGAGGAGTTGCAGGGCGAGGAACGAGCCGTTTCACTCGAGTAGTTTCGTCGAACCATATCCAGCTCTTACATCGGTCTTGGTCGGTTGAGTGTCGTCTACATGCCCAGTCTTGTAACCATCAGTGTCTTGTAATAAATCCAGTTGGGAGAACTATAATAGAGCAGGATATGGTACACTGATTTCCGCGATATGGGCTTTTCACATCCTGGACCGTGAAATCTTTCATCGAATAGCCACATTTGCAGAGGAAGTCCCCTTCCGAGTTGATTGTTACTCCAGTGTATGTTGAGCGGAGGCTGGAGGACATTTTGTTGGGTTGGCTGACTTGTAAGTTTTGGGTGAAATGAATTGGGAGCCATATAAGGAGGGAGCGTGCAAACTTCTCGATTTGTGAGATATAATCGCCCTGGATACTATTGAATGATAATTAGGTGAGGTGCGTTCTTCAGTGTTGTTTTCTGTGCTAAGCGCCAGTGTGGGGTCGGTTGTTGGACTGGAGTAATTTCCATTGGTTACGACACTATGCAGGTTCTACAAATGATCACTTGATAAATATCCGATCCGCCATTATATGGCATGGGTGATTTCTCCTTTATGGGAGACTGGGAGGTGACTATATTCAATGCCTTGTTAGGGCAGGCACTTATTCTTGATTCACAAAGTTGCTGAGTCACTGATCTGTGCATAATTTCAAGACCTAACTCATTCCGGTTAGGTTGTAATCCCCGGCTTTTGGAAAGAGGAATAGAAGTCACGTTAGGACAGAAAAAAAATGAACAACTATTACAACTTACAATACTCTCATTATAACCAGTTCATGAATGATGACACAAACCTTGGTATACATTGGAAGTTAATGGAATGGCACTTTTGACTTGAAAGCCATTCGCTATCCAAGGGGAAACGCACATCCTGGGCGAAGTATAGAATCCTTGATTTATACTACCTAATACTTATCCATTCACTGAATGGAGAAGACACCGCAGTTGGCGGGACATGAAATCCCCAGCCGATGTCAGAAAAGCCAACAGCGGATCTCTAACCCCAAAGACCGAGCCAAGTCCGATCTGACACCCAGTGAATGAGACAGCTTCTTAACTCCGCGCAAAATCCGTATCTGACGTCTCAAAAGCAGAATATAAAAAACACCCTACCTCATATGTATTTCCCCAGTACCATTCTATTCACTATCCAACCTACTTCCAAATCATTGCCTGCACTGACTAACCACGGCACACAATGTCCACCCCCAAGAAGGTCTTCATTACAGGCGCCACAGGTTATATCGGCCGCGTCGTAACCGAACAGGCCGTCCAAGCCGGCCACACCGTCCGCGCCCTCTCGCGCCGTGAAACAGGCGACGAGCTCCTGAAAGGCTTAGGCGCTACACCTGTGAGAGGCACTCTCACCGACTTCCCTGTGCTCGTCCGCGAATCCCAAGCGGCCGATATAATCCTGCACCTGGCCTTCGACCACGACTGGAGCAAGCCCTATGAGCAGCATCTCAAGCTTGAAAAAGATGCAATTGACGCGCTCGCCGGTGCGCTGATCGGAACGGACAAGCCCCTCGTCACCACTAGTGGCACGGCCATCGTCGCCCCTGACCCCGCTGGCGGGGAAACTGATGAAACATCGCCTCTACCGGAGAAGCCTATTATCCCGCGACATCTAGCCGAAGAGCATACTTTGGCCTATGCCAAACAGGGGGTGCGGGTTACTGTTATCCGGCTTCCCCAGTATGTCTATGGACGGCAGACGACGCATGGCTTTGCAGCGGAGTTAATTAAGCTTGCTGCTAAGTCTGAGGAGAGCCTGTATGTCGGCGATGGGGAGTACTGTGCCTCGAATATTTACGTGGATGATGCTGCGAGCTTGTACCTGCTGGTTGCGGAGCACGGGAAAGCCGGTGAAGTTTTCAATGGGACCGGAAATACGGATACCACTTATAAGGCTCTGGCGGGGGCAATTGGGAAGGTGTTGGCCGTCCCTGTCAAGTCTATCTCGGAGGAGGTGGCGCAAGCCAAATGGGGTTCATTTTTGTCGGCTTTCGTGACAGTGAGGAATCGGGCTTCGAATCGGAAGGCTATTGAGAGACTGGGATGGAAGCCTGTTGGGCCGAGTCTTTTGGAGGAGTTGGAGTCCGGAAGCTATGTACCGGTTGCGGAGAAGTTTAAGAAGGAGGCTGCGATTGGGAATCTGTAGGTATTTGAGGGTTTAGCTAAGTGGATTTACTGGGCTATGAATGAGCTGGTCAGGCATGAGGGTTTTAACAAGTAATAGTAACTGCGAAAAAATGAAAATACTTAACTTTCCTATGCTATAACAATGTCTTAGCCATAATACAGGGTACTTTTGTATACCCATTGCCATAAGCCTGAGATTTTCAACGCAGATCGTAAAGTCGTCTTAATTAAAAGATGGGCAAAAAGAAAAAAGAGAAAGAAAAAAGGAAAAGAACAAAGGAAAGAAAAGGAAGCAGGGTATCACATAAGAAGCCGAAAAGGACCACACCAAAGTGAAGAACGAAAATAATAAACCCAAAAGCCAAGTCCCCAATCAACGCATAGCCATACTAGCAATAATTACGGAGCTCATATGGCTTCCTGTAGCTGTATACCCACTGCATCGCACGAAAATCTCCTCATTGGACATCCTCGGCTCTAATTGAAGACTGCGATCATACATATCGCTCACGTCCTTTGCTGCCCGGAGATTCCGAATCAAGAAGTCCTGGATCTCGGGTACCGCTTGGAGGCTATAGGGTATGCTTTGGTATTGTTGGATATCTTGAAGGACATCCGCCACCTTTAAGCGCTTGGCGAAGTTTATCATGCCTGAAGTGGTGAGGTCGGGGATACCGTCGTCGATAAATGTTAGGTCTGTGAGGTAAATTCCTACTTCAAATCAGTGGGAGAGGGCTTCACCGTTAGGCCACGAAAGGACATACCCAGAAAAGGAACGCAAGGTGGGTTAGATTGCCTCAAAGCGTCGCGGTACTTGACCCAATTCTTCTCACTTGACATCAGATCCCTTAGTTGTTCAAGGAGGTCCCGGATGCGTGGGTTGACAAGACCCCAAGTTTGTCGGAGTCGAAAAACGGGGGATTGCCCCAGACCAGAGATGATTGACATCAAACTGGCATAGTTGTTCAGGGAACGACAAACCTAACTTCTTGTCAGACCCAACCCAAAACATGAATATAATCAGGTCAACGCATACATCGGCAGCCTGGACGAGCAATTTGATCATTGCTACCCTCTTTTTAAACTCATCCTGGGCTAGAACCAGCTCGCCCACGAAATTGGCTAACCGATTTGAATGAAGGATCATGGCATTGACGCCCGTTGATGGCTCCACACTATTAGATCTTCTCTTTTTCCATTTCTGGCTGAGGCATTCCCTGGGCTTGATCCTGGCATGGTGGTTGAATTCGATGATGGTGAGCTGGCGGGCTAGCTCTGTGGGGTCGATATCTAGAACCTTCAACTTCTTCATATTCTTTGGTGTGATAGGCTTTGGGATAGAAGAGTTCGGTGGTGTAGCAAGACGTTTTGCGATTTCTTTTCCTTGAATTCGCTGATCGATGACGCTTAATACCTGCGAAGCAGTCGGGGTATTCATAATGGCTGGCGAGTTCTTAATCTGGGCGTATATGTGCCGGAGAAGATCGATCGTTGTATCTTCATGGAGTTCCATCCAGAATTGCTCCAGCCATGTTTTCAGAATATTGACAACTCGAAGACGTATTGCTTTCTGTTTATGTTGGATCCATAGCTGCCTCTCAGTCTGGGTCAATTGTTCGGGAGGGTCGACGTAAAATCGCTGAAGAAGCGCTTCAAAGAGATCCGAGGCCGATACGAAAGTCGGATAGGTGATGAGAAAGGCCTCATTGAAAGAAAGATCCAACCGGTCATGGCGCGTCAATTGTTCCACGAGTCCGTCAAATGAGCCGCTCTTCAACAAGCGCCGGTCTGATTCGTATACCACCTCGTCCTCACGGTCCAACTTCAGGAGCCAATGAGTTTCACTGGGTATCGACTGTGTCTTAGATCGCATAGGTAGATCTCGCCTAGCCTCATCCATGGTCCTCAAAGGATATAGTGGTGGCTCTGAAGATGCGCCGTTGGATTCATTAGCAGCGTTGTTAGTATGATTCCACGGTAGTAATTCCGCTAATTAAAGTAGAAAAAGATCCACCATCAATCTGAGGAAAGAAAAAGGAACTGTAGTGGCATGTCATCGACGGAAAGAACAAGTTCCGTCTTTGCCCTAACTTATCAATCTTATCGCCGAGACGATCAAAAGGTCTCCACTCCTCTTTAAGTTATTCTTTTTTGCACGGACAACATCTGACATCGACTTTTCTGCCTTGTCTGACTCCATCGTCTGGTGGGCATTCCTGTCCTGCTCCACCATTCATCGTATTCGCCAAGCCACCTGTGACGCGTTTAACAATCCTAGTTTGGACAAGCCATATAGTCCTGCCAATTCGGTACTTCCGATGATGGACATGGAGGGGTTCCACTTCGTCTATAACTACACGGACGAACCTCTCGGTGAGCTGTACTTGGATCTACGGACAAATCGAGACTTTGAGGAGTGACTACAGTCGTGAATTTCCTAGACATATCTTACTACATGGTGTGACCACAACGGCTCGAGAGCCTACATATCTGCCCACATGATCAAATTTTCAAATAGAAAAGAAATAAGTGAAAGGGCTTAACAAAAAAAACAAAAATGGCATAGGTTTCGGGGTACACAGGAACAGATCATAAAATGAAACAACGCCCATCACATCATTTCGCCCTTATTCTGCTTCTTGTCCACCCTGTAGTTCCTCCACATGGCGATCGCCGGAAGCCCGACGGCCATAACGGCCACCGCTGTGATGCAGCCGTACTTCATATAAGCCCCATAGGCCTGATTGATAGCGTCTCGAATGTCCGACCCAGCAGGGTAGTGAAGCTGTTTCAGGTACCCTCCCAGATAGATGTCCATGTATTGGGACTTGCTCTCAGCAGGCAGAGCATCCCGGAGTGCGGCAGGAAACGTATTCGAAAAAATAGCCGCTGATGCGGCATTACCGATCGCACCTCCCAAACTGGAGAACAGTCCGATCATCGATAGCATCATCGGGACGCCTTCACGGTCGGAGGCGGCCATGACCGCCATGTCTTGACCGATGACTAGCGTTCCACCACCGAAAGAGATGAAAATCTGGCACATAACAATGTATCCAATATTTCCGCCAGCGGATCGAAAGTGAATCATCAGCCCAGCGCCCAGCATCACTAGTGGTAGCCCAAAGCCTAAGCAGCTGTACTTGAACTGTTTCGTAACGTAGACCAGAATGCCAAAGACCGCTGACCAGAAGCAGGACCCTACATTATAGATCTGCCCGACATATCCCGCCACACTGACGCTGAGCCCGTAGACCACCATACAGAAGTTATAGAAATAGAGCTCCCATGCATAGTAACTGAAGAACAGGCTGGCCGACACGACACAGGCACCCAGAACAGTACGTTCCTTGAATAGTTCGAACTGAATGAAAGGTGTCGCGGTCCCATATCGCTCCCAGGAGGCAAAGACAGGGAAGAGAAGAACACCGATCACGAGCATGGCGATGAACATCGGACTATTATACTCGGCTTGGCCGTAGGATTGCAAGCTAAAGGGAAGAAGGACTAATAGGAAGGCAGCGGTGAGGAGGATGGTACCGATCACTGTAGTACACGGCTGTAATCAGCAAGGGGCTATCAGCTGCAGTGATTCAGACGTACCGTCAAATTCATTGACCCAGAAGACCACGGATTGCTGCCATGTGCGACCGCTTGGTTCCCGCACGAAGATGAACATTTTCTCGGCCTTGCGCTGATAGAACTTGAATACTGCGACCAACGGAAGGAAAACAAAAGCCTGAGCAATGGCAAAGGACCCGTAGGCCCAACGCCATCCCGTGTGATTCACAAATGATTGCGCCGCGATGGGACCCGTAAATGCGGTACAGATGAACGGGGTGCTGGCGAAACCAAATGCAAATGCTCGGTTGCGCAGTCCAGATGTATCGGCCATAAAGACATCGAGAATGAGAAAAATAGCGTCATATCCGACCCAATATAGGACATAACCGACGGCAAAGGAGGCTGGGCTGTTGCAGGAGGCTAGGATGATTAACCCGAGTAGGTAAATCGCGACAAACAGAAGAAGGCCCTCTGGACGGCCCCATATATTCAGGAGCTTTGCAGCAGGCAGCCGGACGACTCCGCTGACCACGCTCGCCACAATACTCGATGTACTGACCGCGGGCGCTTCTTCGAAGTGGGCGAATGCGTTGTGGATAACATTGGTACTGACGGCGGACTGTAGGGCTAGCATAAAGAAGCCAAGCCAGACCCTTAGGGGAGCCGTTAGAACGACGATGTCGGAACCAAAACGACTGGGGACCTCAAGATTCCACCTACAATGCATAGGCCAAATAAGCTGTCTTCTTACTCCAGGCGAGAGCGGCTGCTTCGGCCTTCCGAATTCCCAATTGTGCCCCTTGGGTAACCTCCTCGGACGGTCTCCGAACGGGCTGTTTCTGAGGGCTTTCAAGACTAAGCACACCCGGGTTATGGCTGTGATTTGCCGATGATACACTGACCTCGTACTTAAGGTCCCGAAAATCTGAGCCGACGATACTCTGGGCCAACTGCGTGTCATTCCGGCCACGTGCAACGTTGGGGCCCGGCATATTGTAATACTGGTATGTATTCTGAGTTGTGCGACAGATGCAGGAGGCTGGCTGGCAACAAGAAGAAAAGCCGAACACTGGAGGGTTAGTCTGTCTTTCCTACATCATGGATCTACACCATACACGACCTGCCCACTCGGTAGACAAACAAGCAAGATTGTCTGTTCATCAGTATTTTTTCCCCTGCAAGGCGCGCTTCCCGATGGAGCTCAAAGTTTTGGCGACCTTAGGGTTGAACTCCAGTTTGATCAGATAACTGAATTAATAGGCTTAGGTTTTCAGATCAGATAAATTCCTCTCTTTCATTTGTGGGGTATGTCTTACGCGCCGTCTCTCCTAGTAAGATGATGATCGACGCACCCCGTGCCAGTTAAAGTAGCCCTGTTCTTGGAGTTCTTTTCACCACAGCTGAGGTCTAAATTGACTAACAGAATCCACTCACCGAGTGCTTGTCTCCATCCGACTTCGCCTTTTCTGTAGCCTATCCCACGCGACTGCAGGTAAAGAAGAGCCTGGTTTGGAGAACACAGGGTTATTGAAGGGGCTAACCCAGCAGTGTCGGCATATCTTCCTAAGTACGGAAATCAACGGCGGAAGCCGTCGGGGGTAGGGAGATTGAGGGAAGTATGAAACGAAAAGAAAACAGCGGATTGTATCTGAGCGTTTGTGTCGATCTCACTTTCTGAGGTCTGTCACAGGGATCTCACATTTGATGCGATCCATCCCACTCCCAACTGCCCATTCTCTTTTGCTAGAGTTTCTACCTCGTGCGTGCCATTAGTGTGCGAAAGTTTCTTTGAAAAGCCCGATCCTACAGACTACACGGCGTGGAGTCCGGAGAAAACCATGTATTCTTCCAGGCTGCCGACCCATGGTCATCATGCCAATAGGGAGAAAATTCCATTTCGAACAAAGTGAGACAGGCTGATGTTTATATTGATCGAATCTGTATATTTTGTTCTACCAATGATAAGTAGAATCCCTAACCAATGGTTCCTATTATACCTCTCCACAACGGCTATCATTAACTATGGGTTAGTCTGGAAGTGCTTCGCCTGACCAGATGTCTACTGTTGAATAAAACTCGGAGCTCTTTTAGTCCTCGTCTATGTATCAATATCAATGTAGATACGTTCAAAGCTAACTACCCAAGTTTTAATTGTTTCGCTCCGTGAGATAAGCTGCATAATCAGCTAGGTCTATCTGCATGTATAATTTCCTTAAAATCCCTCAACCACTGCGGACATAATAATGTGTGAATAACAGAACCGACCCGCCTTTTTCGCTACACAATCGTATATCCCACTAACGAAGCTCATTATCCTCGTTCAGCCCTGCTGATCCGCTGCCAGGTGTGACCCAGATTTGGTAATGCTCGATCGTGATGCGTTTACACTAGGATGCTATCGGCACTTCTATTACCCATCCATCAAAGCTGGGAACCGTCCCTGACTCAGTTTTTAACGGTTACAGAATCGGGGGTGGCTTGTCGCACCGTTACCAGAAACAAGCCTATGGAACTGTCAAAGCAAGGTAAACTATGGTACAATTTCCAAGAGTGAGATAAAAAGGACTAGCAGTCTGCAAAGGCCTGAAACCTATCTAGTGTCTTCTCGTAGTTCAGAGTCGTCCACGAGGATAAAACGTGCCTTAATGACAACCCAGGATTTGGGACTGAAGGCTAGAAAATGAAGATAGTACGCAATGAAGATAGTACGCGCTAGCCTTTCTGAATATGCATCAAGTTGTTTCGAGCCATTGAGAGCACCAGGAATATAAGGGGTGTATAAGGAATAACGTGCGCTAGTAATAGTCTAGGTTAATGGTTGTATATTAAGGATGCAGCGTGAGCAGACCTAAATGATTAGTTCGTGCTCTTCTAGCCTCCCTCAAAAAATTCACTCACCAGGATCCGCTCAATGCTTTCGGGATATTAAGTCATCAGTATCCAGCTAACCTCTTGAGCAAAGCCTTTTAGGTCCCATGCTTGCTTCACGGACACCACCGATGCATCCACAACATAAGTCGCACTGCTAATGGGCGTCCACGAGTTTAGTCGGTCACTCATAACCGAGCAAATGGGCAGCACGAAATGAGTTAGACTATCGTAAAACACTGTCGCCCGTTGAGTCATGTTCGGACCTTTCGTGGACCCAGGATCCCGGTCCGTGGAACAGGATATGCTTCGTGTCTCCCTCCAATGTGCCATCGCGTCTTGGTTATAGTAAGCCATATCTACCATCAGAATCAGCAACCCACGTTTGCCTCGGCGACTAGTCCAAATGAGGATACTGCAGTAGTTTGGGTCAGGAGACAGGCAGGGCATGATAATGGGACTAACTTACAAATTTGCCCGTTTCTTCGAAGGCTTGCACCCGGATAGGTCTCATACACTTGGACGACTTGTTGTTCCTCGCGAAATTTGACATTGGTTTGGAGCCGCTGAAGGTCCCTATGAGGGTTCGAGTTGAGTGCTGAGGTTGTTGGTGAATCGACTCCGGGTTTGAGTGAGCTCCTTGGCCTACCAGATGTATCATGATGATCACGACTAGAACCCTGGAAGAGGCAAAGAAATGTACTATTATTTCCTCATGCTTTTTAGACATCACATTCAAGAGAATAGTCAAACAGCGATCCAGTATGTATTCCGATACGTAACATATCTAGATTCGCCAATGCACCCTATCCATTATTTCTTCCCTTTATTTCCTCTGCAATGAATCACGCTCAAAGTTCTAAATCTCAACCACAGGCCCAGTATAAATTCCCCTTGCTCTCACAACATAGTATCCTAAACTAAGAATGATAGTTCCTGCCGTTCCGACTATACTATAATTCATTGACTGAGAATTAACGTCATTGATCGGTGGCCAGAAGCTGAAAAATATCACAATAAACATATAGCACAGGGAGAAGATATTGATCCCAATGCCCCAGAGACCGGGGATGTGAAATGGTCCCCATATGAGTCTGGCACCTGCTGTATTGACCATTGTTTGATCGGAACTTGCTTTCGAGTGGCTGATTTCGCCTGTGCAACGACGGTAAAGAAGCAGGCCTGCGGCGATCATGTAGGAGAGGTAAAGGCCAGACGTTGACATGGAGACAAGACTGTTAAACGCGACGTCGGAGCCGATGTTGATAAGATTGAGAAGACAGCCAATTGTTGATGTGAGGAGGACGGTGTAGGTTGGAATTGCGGTGCGGCGGGTAACCTAGACGGGAGTTGTTATATTAGTCGAGCGGATGGATGGGCTTATAGATGATGAGAGAGGATGCTCCTACCTTGCTCCACATGCGCCATCCGGGAATTCCTCGGTCCCGAGAGAATGACCAGAACTGACGCGACGCCGATGCTAACATGCCGACTGTTGTGCAACAGCACATTGCCTGGATGACGGAGCCTGCTGCTGCGGTGCCAGCCACTGACTCTGTGGCTTGATAGAAAATAGATAGGAATGGGACGCCGGTTGCAGACTTCAGAGACGTTTCAATGTCTCCCAGGCAGAAGTATAACGCAATCAACATGCTGAATCCCAGTGTCCCGTTGATGAGAACTGTAAGCATCAGGGACCAGGGCACAGCCACGGTAGCATTGGTCATCTCCTCAACCATCTATAAAAATTGTATGTTAGCAACCAAGGTCATGGTGAACACGATTGAAAGGCTCCACGAACATGGACTGCAGCATCACCACCAGCAAATGCAAAAACAGGGCCAATGAGGCCAATGAAAAAAGAGAGACCCTGTGAGGGCCAATGGCCCTCGTTTATAAAATAAGTGAATACTTCCTTAGCTGGTTTATGCTCTGCCATGTGCGTCAATGGAATCAAAACGGCAAAGAAGCCAAGAATATGCAGAATAAGGATTGTTCCTTCAAACCGAGGCAGCAGCTTGCCCCCAATGATATTCATACTGGCTGCAAATACTGCAGTTGCCCAGGAGTATAGAGTCTTCCGCCACGGTGCAGGGGTATAATCAGGATTAGTGAGAATAATAAGCGCCTCGATGAAGTTACCATTCAAGTACAAGCCGGTGGCATAGGTGGCCTGCCACCCAATAACCGTGAGCCAGCCTTAAACAGTCAGATGAGCACGAATTGTCGCCAGTTTAACATGGTCCAACTTACCTGTGATGTAACTAAGAACTTTCATAGCAGATTTGGGTGCCATCATTGAGCACCAGTGGTATTGTCCACCGGATGTGGGCGCCCTATGCCGCTGTTAGTCACAAGGACGCTTACAGTTGTACGATGGGGTAAGATATGTATACATGGACACCAGCTCAGACACCACGACAAACGTTGCCGTAACACCGATCCAAACGAAGATGTAGCCGTACACTGAACCAGCCGGACCACCACTAAAGGACAATCAGTATCCGTCAAGATTTGGAAGGGGTAAATAAAGTCTTTCATACTTTTGAAAGGATTGTAGGAATAATCTGTAAATGATGTGTCATTTAGCCAAAGCAATTCCACGCCAGGATATATCTCATAGTTTATTTCATAACCTACGTCGTTACGGCTTCCCAGGTGATGAGTATAGTACAGCTAAAGCCGACCATGGACATCAAACCGAAGTTTCTCTATGAGACTATGAATCCTCAATGGACCACTGACGATTGACAGGGACGCAAGCACATGGACCTACCTGTAAGACCGGGCGCTTTCCAAGGCGGGCCAGATACGCATCGTCCTTGTTCTGACGGGAGGGCTGTCCCTCGACCTCATGCAACGTAGGAGGTGCCATTTGTTTAAGCTCGGAGGATGCCATGACGCACGTACTTTGCTGAGGGATACGCTGGCCACCAATATGAGTGTTAAGGTCGTCGAATAACCCGGTGGAGAAGACTTGACATAGAACAAGTATAGATCGAGTCAAGGAACATAAAGAAGCAACATGAAACAAATACCCAGAAGAGAGGAGGAGCATTAGATGTAAAATTCCTCAGGCCCCTGCAGGGATAGCTACCTAGAACGATAAGGATAAAATCCTGTTCGGTACGCTTCCCCTCCTATATCCCGACCGGTACAAATTTATGTAGTCTATTCTCGCCTGTTATGTAAAACATTGGCAGGATTTCGCATGTCGGACTTAAGGTCCTTACCAGCCGAGGGAATGCGACGGTGCAACGCAGCAGGGATATAAAGCAGCTAAAGAACCTAGCTTCTTGTCCGCTGTTTAGCGCATCGTAATCTGGACTTGAGTACGTCGAAAACCTTGTGGATCTAACGTGGGGACTGCTGTGTGGAATAGTTTCCGACAGGGTAGTGGAGTGTTAGGGTTACAATGACACTTCATTAGCGCCCCATAATGACAGGGTTAAGTCTAATAGTATAATCCACTAGATATGCGCAAAGGTCCGAAAGGGGTCAATGGGGTCTAAAATAAAGAAAACGAAAAGGAAAATATAGGAGAATGTCGGCTGAAACTAGCAGCATCTTAAAATTATACAACCATCAGCTGGCCTACAGTGAGTATTATCAAAAGGATGGGACAGCAGCCCTTTGGCTCCCTATTACCAGGATTCCTTTGATGAGTTACGTGGAGATGCGGTCACAGCCCATGTGCGAACTTCGCGGATTATGTGGGCCTGACTAGAGTCGCTCTCTGCATCTGAATCCGGCTTGGCTGTAATCGTCGTCGTTGTACGGTGGTCGTTCTTGGTAGGAATGATAGGAGTCAACTCATGCCCCTCGGCTACAGGTTGGTTCTGGTTGCGTATTTGGGACGGGAAATGCGAGGAAGAATGATGATATTCTCCACGAGAGGTGTCGTAGCGAGTAATCCCGTCTACACGCAAGCCCATAGAGCGCAGGCTATCCATGAATGGTTTGAATTGGGGTGAGCAGGCAGTAATGACGCTCAAGCACTGGGTGAGCTGCGTACATATTGCGAGAGGCCAAGTGTCAGAGGTCGGATCGGATGAATTGATAGTTTTCTTGCTGTATACCAGCTGGGCTATGATGGCCCCAATCACGCTTCCACGGTTCATTAGAAATGCATTGGAAAAACGGCTAGTAGGTATTCCTGGCCGCTACTCACAATATGCGAAGCCCAAATACTGTAGCCAAGGTGGCCTTCTTCTTCCACCGCGCCTGGATGCGCGTAATTATCAGGATGGCGTAAGCTACAATAGCACCGTCGGTGAAAATATTCGTCACTCCCAAATAATACCACCAGGCCTCAATGTTGAAGCATTGCCCATTGAGATAATCCCATGTCCGTGGAGGGTTGCATTGAAAGGCAAACGTGAGGACACCGGTCGTCCCCCACAGTATAATAAAGATCTCCAGCCAAGCAGCGATGTGGCGGTCGGAGGCAGCTGGGGTGACACTCCGGACAAACTGGACGAGGGCTAACTTCGAAAAGCACATACAGATGATAAAGAGGATGGTGGCAGCATACTGTGACTATGATATTGTCAGCAAAATGCTTCGAGCCAGACCAGAAGAGAAGGAATCCTACTTTCATAACGTTGTCCATGCTGGTCCCTGATAATGTGCCATAATGGTCGCCATATCCATTAGCCGTGGCCAGTGACACAGCGAGGGACTGTGCTGCGCAGATCACCTAGAGGTTGGTCAACGATCCTCGCCCTCAATTTTTCTCAACTGCGATCTCTGCTCATACCATCGAGACAATACTTAGATAATCATCGGTCGTCCACCGCCGAAAGATCCAATACTTTGTTCCTAGACGAGCAAAGACGCCAAGAATAGCTGTTACCATCAGAAACCAGGTCAAGACATTGACCGCGGGCTTCCACGTGTCCGTGAACCTGCCCATTGCGCATGCACTGTGTGAGGAATAACACACGTGGTAGGTTTGTATCAGTGGCTGACATGCGACTTATTAGGGTAGATCGGGGGCTCCAGGAGCCTGTGAATTATCCCAACTACCAACATGCTGGAGAAGCACCCTTGTCAGCGAACACCCCGTGAACAGGGTGTCACCCTGGCCTTGCTTAGCCAAAGAGTCGACAATTCTAATCCCGGTAGTAACGGCAACAGGGCCGATTGGGCATCTACGGTACCAAGGCTCCAGGCAACATGGCTGTGATTCTTTCGTTTAGTCTCCGGATTCGTTGATCAGATAGGGAGACCGAATCTGTACTCATAGTTCTGGACTGGACCCCTGAGCAGGGATGTTGACACCATGGAATTTGACCCCTGCACGCGCCTTGGAGTCATGTTGCATTGGCCAGATCCAGTCTCTTCAATGATTTCCGGCTCTTCCGCGAAGGCACAGCAACCCTTGACATGATGCTTACGGAGGAAAACACTTGCTCGAATTTTCTAGCTCGACGATGTGTGCTAGGCACATTTCCGCTTGGGGGCGAATCCTCCACGCATCCTTCCCTCGGTATGGATTAGCTATTGCATATGAGCTCGGGGATGGATATAATTAGGACGAACTTATCCTAGCAGCTTCAAGGAAGTAATTGTAGCCTCTGTTGACCCTGTTGATGAGTATTCTCGACATGTTCTTGTCTTTGTTTAGAGAGAATCTCCACATGTGAGCGGGAAAGATCTACATTCCCCTTGCCTAAGTCGAAATCCATTCGGCCCACAGTTTACATAACGGTTGACCCTTGTCCCGGCTTGGCCGTCGGCTGGAGCCGAGCATTTTCACATCCCGCGTAAGGTTGCAGATTAGGGTTGGTCAACTTTCATAGTGCCAGCCCGGAGACTACTAGAAAGTAGGACGGTACGTTACCTCTGGTCTGGTCTTTTCATCTGTTTTTTCTCCTTGAATCCTTAATTTATTTTTCCTTTGCTCTGTGCTAACCATATATATATATATCTTTCAATTTCCTAAAGTAGTACAGCTAAATAGATTCTCTTTTAAACCATAAATAAGCACTACTCGTAAGATACTTCTACCACTCATATAAATCAGTCATAAATTCAAAACCAACGCAGCTCCCTGCAGCCTGATGATCGAATAGACCACATCTCATGCCAGGCGAGATCAAGCGCATAAAAGTGTTTTTAATCTCGCATCAGATCGTGCATGTGTTTTCCTCCAGAAGCGTGAAGTTAGAAGATTCACCAGATCTCTCTATCAGGTTGGGTTCATCGAAATCAGTTCCGAGAGAATCAAGTGAATATTGCCTAGTGACCGTCTCATGTAGCCTGAAAAGAGAACGACTAATACTATTAGACATTTCACCATAACTCGGGATATGTACAGCTATTCTACAAAGCGGCTTGGTCGAGGCGTAGCTGCCGATGGCCTTTGGGATTCTGGTCGCTCCTCTCCATGGCTGTTTGATACAATAGGGGGGTTTTGACCAAACCAGACGCCAGATATATGCTCTCGGGAAGTCCGGCGATGGTGCAGTGGCAGGCTTGGCCCTGGCCACCGAACTCGAGATCGAGACCCAGTAGAACCCCCCCCCCCCCCCAGCAGGGGTTTCGCAGCCCTAGATGTATCCTCCCGGAACATTGGGTGAGCTTTTTGCTATTTGATTCTGTTCCATCTGTTCATGTATTTCACCCTTGGTTGCCTCTATCTGTCCTTATGTGCCGTTGTTTTTCTGGTTAATTTTGGAAGAGAGCTAGGCGAGTTTCTCGCGTTGATGAGTCTTCACAACTCTCCATCCAGACGAAGCCTCAGGCCGTCAACTCATGGCATCAAATCATCAACCACTAACTCCTTTAAGTGGGTCCAGTCAGAGGCAAACTTATGGTTTTCAGATATAATGTACCTTCGTATGTGATTCCTAAATAAGGGTTTAACTGACTTTATACTAAGTACGGAGTATATGATACTACCACTCTATACAGATAATATAGGCTACCTATAGTGGTCCGTGGTACGGAAATCCCCACCTGCCGAACCTCAGCAAATCCCTCTGACTGGCTATTAATGCATTCAAGTGCCTGGTTAAGGGACTTGGCAGTGTGGCTGTGCAGTGAGCTTTATATATGTCGGCTCATCCCTTACTTCAACTGATGTTTCGTAGAAAACACATTCTAATCGTACTTCTGACACTCGGTTCCTATGGTCTACGCGACTGAGGTTTACATTGTATCAACATGAACAGACTAAATGTTTGCCGCGTTCTACAAGGGGTCTACTAAATTGAATACAAACTGTCAAATTGGCAATGGTCATAACTCATGAATGCTGATAAAGCAATCAAACTAACCGCACAGATTGAATTGCAGAGCCTCGCTGTACATCTATCGCATGGCGGCTCGTTGCATCGTTCGATCGGCTGCCAGGACGCGATATACCCGCATCAAATCCTCCATCGAGGCCAGGGTATCTGGATGTTCCTTCCCGAGGACCACCTCTCTGGCGCGGACGGTCTGCTCTGCCACCTTCTCCGCGTCATTCCATCTCCCCTGTGATTGATAGATGGCTCCGAGATTTGCCAAGGTGGTGAGGGTATGGGGGTGGGCCTCACCGAGGGACTTGCGCATCAACTGCAGCACCTGCAGCGTCAGCCGTTCCGCTTGCGGCGACCGACCCTGATGCTGATACGTCAAGGCCATATTCGCCATCGACGTCAGGGTTAACGGATGGTCCTCGCCTAAGTGCCTCCGCATCGTTGTCATGGCCTTGGTCCCCAGACGCGCAGCGTCCGCCAAACGTCCCTGACACCGATATGTGGCCGCAAGGTTATCCGCTGCCATCAGCGTCTGCGGATGATCCTCCCCGAGCACAACCTTACTATTCTCCAAGACCTTCATCTCGAGCTCCTCCGCCTCCTCCCATCGACCGGAGTCCCGGTACGTGGTCGCCAGATTCGCCATCGAGGTAAGCGTTAGAGGATTTCTGCGCCCCAAACGAGCGACTCTAACCTCCAGCACCGACGACTCCAGCCTAACAGCCTCGTCTAACCTCCCCTGCTCGCGAAATGTGACCGCCAAATTGGATTTCCACGTCAAGGTACTCGCGTGTTCGACGCCCAGGATCTCCTCACACCGTTCCACCACGCGTCGCTCCAAGCGCTCGGCATCCTCATACCGCCCCAGACTCGTATATGTGGCAGCCAAATTCCCTATTGAACTCAACGTGGACGGATCCTGCTCGCCCAGCGTCCGTCCCTTGACCTCCAATAATTGCAACTCCAGCGCCTCGGCCTCACTAAATAACCCCTGTTTACTGTACGCCGATGCTAGATTCGACATCGCCGTTAATGTCTGCGGATGTTCCTCGCCCAGTATCCGTCTCCGGGCAGCTGTGACACGTCGGCCCAACTCCGCTGCGTCGGCCCACCGCCCTTGACCCCAGTACGCCGAGGCAAGGTTACTCATGGCTGTTAGCGTCGACTGGTTCTCTGGCCCCAGAAGGGCTATCCGCGCGTCGACGACGAGTTTCCCGATGTCGGCGGCGGCGTTCCATTGCCCGTGTTCGAGGAAGGTGACGACGAGAGCGCCGAAGGTTTGGGCGGCTGTGATGGCGTCATCGGGGGAGATTTTGGCGATGGCGGAGTTGAGGAGATCGGATTCATCGGTTTGACCGCGGGATTCGTAGGAGGTGGAAATGGCGGAGATGGCGGTTAGGAGGGAGCCATTCGAGGTGTCCATCGATTTCTGATATCCCAGCGATAATGGGGGGAGGAAAAGATGGGAAGAATGGATTCGTCTTCAAAATGGGGGAGAATCAATAAACTACGCCAAGACAGTAACTCCCGGTACAGATAGAAAAAAGAAACGCAAACTACTCGTTGGACAGAGATGTTTGTTCGCCCGGTTCTCGGAATGGTTGATAACGTTTGGTAGTAGTTAAAAGGGTATGACACCATCTGTAGTCCCGTAAGGCTAAGTTGAAGGGTATAAGGGTCACCTGCTCACTACCTGGTTCTCAGTCATTTCATTTGTTTTCCTTTCCCTTTTTCCCAGTCACGGCCGTTCGCGGCTCCAGGTAAAAATAGTCCTTCCTTCCCTTCTTCCCCACTGTGTCAGCCCTACTAGGCTATCGCTGTCTCTGGTCATTGGTGAGACCGAAGCCTGGTGGACCTGGCGGTCAGGCAACCATATTCTGACCAATCAGCTGTGAGATAATATGCGGAGGTGACTAAGCAGTGCACGCTTTGTGTTTGGATTATGTCATCATGTATTGTCACGCACTAGTTAGTTATATGGACTATATATATAAGATAAACAATTGAATGTTCAACCAAAAAGAAGTAAATGTAGAAAACACCATCTCGCATATATCCTCATTCATGCTCGAATTCCCAACATCCCCATCGACATCGCTATCCGATCCATCCAGTCCTCATTCCCACTCGGATGAATTTGATACGAATCTCGCAGATACTCCGGATCAAACCGAACCTGCCACTCCTGAGCATTTGCATCCAACCCACTCCATGGATGAGGTGACTGCAGACCGGACGTCTCAACCTCAGACCACAAAGCCTGGCCATACGCCCGTCGCTGGAGGTCCGCACTCAGCAGAGAAATGAGTTGATTGAGTAGCGAAATACCTAATCGCATACCATATAGCGAAGACTGCGCAAACGGATCCACAAAGTCCCAAGGGATGGGGCCAACAAATTGCTGCCAAGCGAGAATAGAAGCCTGGCGTTGATGGACGATCGCGTATTGTAGCTGTGTCTGGAGATGGTGAAGCTGGTCTCGACCGCGGACGATGTGCGACATCAATTCGGCCTTTGCCTCGGTATGCCCATGCTGATCGATAAGCCTATGTGTTTCGACCAGCCAGCCCGGACAGGAGGAGATCTCGATGAAAGCCCGATCAACAATCAACCCCAGCTCGCTCCGCTTCGGACCTCGACTTTCGATATCCGCCAGCTCACCCAGAAAATCCCTCCACAACGGCTCGCCGAGAAAACAGTGCTCCCCGCGAATCAAAGCATCCGCGACTAGGAATGAGCGACAGGATTTCAATAATGTCAATCCAAACCCTGCCCGATGGACCTCGGTTCCCCGCACCTGGATCATGGTCGCCAGACCGCGCGTGTGCGTCAGCCACGACGCCCCCGTGATCCCGTCTACCATCTCGTACATAGTCAACAAAATCCCAGAGGCAAGCGCCTCCTCCGTACCGGCAAATTTGGGATGTCGAACCACCCCAGCCAGGTAATTCAGCGCCCGGCTATACATGTGTCTACTGCAGGTGACCTTGTTCATGTCCCGATACTTGCGACCAATGAAAACAGTGGCCAGGGCGCGGTAAGCCCAGACCAGCGACTGGGGCACGGTGAGGAGCGGGCGCCTTGCATAGTCGATCCAGTTAACCTCGACGCGCTTCCCGCAAGAGGCGAACTGAGCGGGGAAACTGGTGAGCAGGAACGTGCAGAAGACTTCCTTCTGTTGCAGGTCTAGGGCCGCGGCCGCTAGATTCGGCTCCACCCGTTCGTCGATGCTTGTCTGGCGCGCTCGGGCCAGAAGAGCATCCTTGACAGTTTGGGACTGGACGCCGGTGTTTCGCTGGTCCTTTTGGATGGAGCCGGTGGTTTGGTGGAGGAATTTCCAGCGTTTCTCGTAGCCGGGACACTGGAGGTTGCGTCTTGTGCATTGGTTGCAGGATGGTTGCGTGAGGTCGCACTATTGCATTTACTCCCCTCGTTAGATGATATCCATTCTTTACGCATGAAATACAGTCTCTTTTCGGTCCTAGGAATGCAGGGATCCTATTCCCGGTATGCGCGCCAAAACAAGAGGCTTGACACCATCCGACTAGACGTACTAACCTTCACCCGTCTCTGTAGGCACGTCCGACACGCCTTGCTCTTCGGAACTCCGACCATGCTTTTTTAATCTATCCGACACGACGATCCGGATGAAATGTGTGCGGTAGTTGACGTGTTCCTGGATATTAGCTGGAAGCGGAATCATGCTGAGAATACGACAGCGGATGTGGGTCCTTTGACATGATCTTTCCTTTGCCCAGACTCACTCTACCTGATCTAGCATAGATTGACATGTCTCGGTATTAGCATTGGATGAGAATACGAGGTCCACCCTGGCTAGGGTATGGTTGGTTGGACCCTGAGATATAACTGAACAGATACCATGGTAAGCACACGGAGGATTTCTGGAGTTATTAATCGTCGTTGATTTAAGCTCTTGGGTCCGTTTATTTTTTAATTTTTTTTTTCTTTCAGGTTGTTCCCCATGTAATGATACTTAGGTCGCGATCAGATTCAATCTTAAAAGATCCTTTTTCGGGAGTATACCGTAGTCAAAACAGCATGGTCACCTAAGATACATTTATCGCAGGAACACTATCCTCTCCCGGCACGTCAATCTCAATAATAGGCCCGCTATACACGTGCCGACCGTGGACCGTATACCAGGCTAACCGGATGATTAGCTCTCCCCCGAGCATTGCGATCGACCAGTTCATATTCTCTGCTGTGACTAACAGAGAATTAGGGAAGAAAGAAAAGAAGATGGCGATGAGGAGAAAGTCCATGGATGAGAAATTGACCAAGAGGCCGAGGCGACCGCGGCGCCATGGGCCGTATGGGTTCGGGTCTCCCTTGATCTTTTTCGTCACTAGCAGTGTGATGGGGATCATGTAGGATGAGAAGAGACCGGCAGTTGTGAGGGAGACGAAGGCGTTAAAGGTAGTCGTTGAGCCGACGCTAATTACGCAGATGCAGGCGTGATTAGGGCACAGAGGCAGATGGCGCGTAGGGGGAGGGCCGAACCTGGGTTGACCTGCAATAGAGCCATCGTGGTTAGCGTGGTGGTCAGGACATACGGGCAGACATCCGAATTCACAGCATAAATGACCGATATACGTGAGAAAAGAAGTCGGAGAAGGGTAGCGCTCTGTTTCGGGCCAATGCCCATGTCAGGCGCGACGTCGAGGCCAGGAATCCGAAGGACGCGCAGATGGACAGAGCGATGGGCATAGCCGCCATAACTGACGTCCCCGCGTGTGACTAGGTGGCATTGAACAAGACCTTGATGAATCCGTAGCCAGGAGCGCTGCTTAGGGCTGTGTTGTCCATATCACAGAGGCAGAACAAGAACGCAAGCACAATGGCAAACCCGAGAGTACGATTTATGACAGCGCAGATCATAGTCCATGGAACGATGGTGGAGGCATTGACTACCTCTTCAGCTGTATATTTCTCAGCAGGAAGACATCAGCGGTAGTATATCATGGTGCAATACTCACATATATGGCAGGGACCAATCATAGCCTACCGGACGCATCTTAAATTAGTTTTATCCCCTGTGCCTGGAAGGGATAAATGGATATACCAATGAAAGGTAGATTTGTCCCCATCAATCCGATCAGCCAGGTGAGGCCGGCACTGCTCCACCTAGAGCTATTGATAAAGGTCTCAAACACAAACTCGGTGTTTTAGTGTGGTGCTAGGTATACAAGTGGTATCAAGATTGCAAAGAATCCCATCGTACGTAGAATAAAATCAAGCCCCCTACTTTCGGTAGTACTCTTGCGCCGACGGAATTCATCCCCACGCAGACCAATGATGCTGCAAACATCAAGGCTCCGTGCCATTGTTTGTGGTCATAGCTAGGGTAATTCAATACTAACAGACCTTGGGTGACTGTCACGCTGAAGTAGACCCCGACGGGGAGTATTAGCTCACCATCTGATCATATCGACCCATCCTGCGGGATAGTATCTCAGTCTGCGAGCAAGTGGCTCACGTCCGGTTGGTAAATAAGTATACCGGTGATCCAGCTCAAAAAGACAGCGTAACATTTGGGAGCCAGCATGGACACCCAGTGATACTGACTGGCTGAAGTTGGTGCCCTAGACCTATCAGCTCCTGGTTTTACATCCTCGACGACCTACTTCCATGGAGGCCATCTCTGCCAATGAGGCCGCTGTCACCAGAGCGCCAAACCAACAAAAGATATATCCGTACACCAATGTCGCTGGGCCTCCATCAAACATAGCGGTCGGGTTCGCAATGCCAGAACTATTAGCACGGAGCCAGTATATGAATGTAGGCACTTACGTTAATACAGCTTCCCAGGTACGCATCATGGTTGTCATAAAACTTAACTTAGATAGGAAGCCGAAGTTTCTCTAGCCCGGTCAGTTCTAGCTGTTGTTCAATAGTCGACATGATTGACCAACGTGTAGTCGCTGCTTCTTACCATGTCGGGCCATGTCCGCTTCGTCACGGCCTTTGTGACCCATAGCGTCCAGCTCCCCCGACTCCTATACAAGCATCTAGCCATACTTGAACCCCATCTTGAGAGTTATATTCTAGCAACACAATGTTTGCGACACACTGTACCGGATATGTTAATGATCTTGATTGGGGAATCCAAAAACGGGTGATCAGGTCAATCGCAGGATTTGGAGGCGGGTGATGAGCAGAACTTTTCCTAGAGTTGTGGCTAAAATCAATAATATGTATAACGCATACTGCCAGGCGAGCCCGCTCAGTACGAATATAGATTAGTATCATACGAGAGAGGCATTTTAGATGTAAGGATCAGGTAACCGGGGAAAGTTTACCTAGGACCCATTAACTAGAGAGATGAAGTATGTCTAGTGCCTACAGCGACCTACTTTGAGTGTATGGCTCTCGGTTTGCTTGGAGGATTTTTATAGTTAATAACCAAAGGCTACATCGGTTTGCCTCTGTTCATGGTGCTCAAAAACCCGGTGCTTGCTTGGTACGTTGCAATCAAAATCCCAACATGAGCTCAATCGTTGACTTCTCTCGCCATCTTATCTACCCACCAAGCCAGCTGGACAAATCTACAGAGGTACTAGCTCGCCACCTCCTTTCGAAAATCTCACCCCTCAATACTCAATCCATCCTCATAGCTCCTTTCATCCACAGGAAGTCTTTGAAAAGACCGTGGACTCCCAAGCCCGAACGTGGAGGGTACAGCCTTTAGAACAGTTGCCTCTTTGGCACCGTGCTGCGAAGCCTTGGATATACTGTCCATTTCGTTGGGGAAGAGTAAACAAGACCGCACAGCATAGATCAGCCTCCGAAACTGGGATAGTTCCTAAATTTGGTGGCTGGTACGAGCACCTTTTCATATATTAACCTTCTGCCCAGCTCCAATACAACATTAAATACTCACTAATTCGAAAGCGCTCACGTAGGAGCCATGTGGTAAACACTGTGACTACTGGGGAGTCTAAGTATCTTTTAGACATGGGATTTGGCTGCAGTGGACCACACCAGCCAGTTCCTTTGACCCCAAACTATACATTCCACAATCTCGGGGACTACAATGGGTGTCTGGCGCATTCAGGCCCATCTCGCAGCACACTAGTTCAGGCCAATTCCTCTGGAGCTACGAGATTCGTAGTAGGGACGGGCCTTGGATCCCTGATTATTGCTTTACCGAGACAGACTTTCTTGTTCCGGGAATTTGTTTGAGCGCTAGCCAGGATAGTTGCTTCGCCTTCCGTGTATTCTATGTACGGATGCTCATAGATAAGGCAGGACATAGGCTGGTCGGAGTCTTTGACTTGGTTAATATTACCCTCAAACGATGCCTGGCCGCGGCTTCTGATTTGCTGGAAACGTTCGCATCCGATTATGAGCGGGTGGCGACGCTCTATAAGCATTTTAACATTGTTATTCCACAGTTGGACTGAGAGGGAATTTGTCATACAATTGCGGAGATTTTATTAAACGGAATTGGTGGAGTGATACCATCCTTCCTGTGGGGATTTCTGCTTGCTTTCCCAATTATCCATCCGTCTGACCATTTATTTCTTCTACAGTTTGTTGCGCCATTTGCTAGCCGAGGTCCCAGTTTATAAATTCAAAACAGGGGATTCTCTACAGGGGTACTGCTTGTGACTGCACAGGGCCACTATCCATAGACCCGGCCCGGGCTCCGTTTGGAAGGATTTCTCACATTATGTGACTAGCGTGACCGAGCTATTATCAAGTTCAGCCAACTTGTCAAGCCTAGGTTACATTGCATGAAACACGGCGCGCCATAGAGGGCGGTTGCGAATCGTTGGTTTGACCACGGAGCAGTATCCTTGTAAGTGTAGGATAAGAACAGAATTGGCCCCTGTAACAGTATCCACAGTCCAATATAGGACACAGATCTAGGATACATGACCTATCACGCTATATCTAGTATGTCTCTTGACGATCATCCACAGCAGTTTGGAGTGGACATACTGCCCAGGCTGTTAAGCCGGCCACATCTGATTCTTAGCCTCCGTGTCTCTCGACAAGGAATACGGCTCCTGTGTCAGCGGACACTTTCTGGGATAGCTTTACAACCTTGCCAGTTGATACATAACTAGGAATATCTTTGGATTTAGTGCATTCCTGTGGTTTTAATGGCCTTTGATTTGTCCGCGGAGGATCCGGTTGCTGAAGTCAATGCTTTCTCTGACTGACAAGACTATCGATCCCTTGGCCTGTGGTAAGAGTTTGAAAACGCACATCACTCTAGGTTATAGCACTATTCAAGATGCCCTCATGTGCTCTTTGAATTGTTCATCGCATTCTCACAGTTTCGCACAGAAGCCGTTCTCTCGATAAGATTTCAACTGAGCGAAATGAGAAACTATGGTGGGACAACCGCACCCAGTCAGGAAGATGGGATCGCGACCGCAACCCTCTGTATGATGGTGATGATGGTACTAGCTGTGTTAACATGTCTCGCATTTCGTTTTTACGATGGTTGAGCCTTGCAACGGGATGATGGCACAATATTCCATGCTCTTGTATATTCTCTCTTGGGTAACATTTCACGGTGAACTGTTTACAAATATTACAGATCTTGAGTGTGGCCCAATCGATTGTTATCTTAATAGGGACACAGCATGGTCCCGGAAGGCCTGAAGCATCTCTCAACGAACAACAAGTAGTGGTCGCGGAAAAGGTTGGTTTCTAATTAGGATAGTCCCTTCACGGCTACGGTCTTGACCGGTTTATGATCACTAATAGGATTTATATGCACCTGATATCCTCTATGCCTTGTGCATAAGCCTGGCAAAGCTGTCTGTCCTTCAGCTCTTGCGGAGACTCGCAGTTGACAAATGGCACCGACGAGTGGCTCATTGGTCCTTGATCACCGTGATTATGTGGACTATCCCAATGTTTTACAGCCTCGTGTTTCTGGGTGGAGCAAGTTCTCACTGGGATACTAGAAATTCCTCATGTATTAATGTGGTGCGCAGTGATAGTAAATCCTTTTGACCTGAAATTGCTCTGTGTTGAGCTTCAATATCAATACATGATTACATGGCTAACATACGTTACCATAGTTTGTCTTTTGGGTGGCCGTATCCCTGATCGATCTCTTAACTGAAATTGTTATCTGCATTCTTCCTGTCTACATGGCTAAGCCTATTCAACTTTTTTTTTTTTTTTGGAAAGAAAGCCACTGTCGTTGTGGCATTTCTCTTTCGTGCTGTGTGAGCCAAATCCCGTGACTTTTATTACTCCAGGTAATGAAGGTTATGGAATGTCGGATTCGAAACAATAATCGCCACTCCATGTGTGCTATGCAATACTATCATGAGCGCCTGTAGCCCCTGCTTGAAACCCACTTTAGACGCTTTCGATAGTGGCATGTTGAATGTGGCATTGCAACAAACCAGCGGCGCCGATAGCTACAGTGATTCATACGTCTTGGGCGGCTTCCGAAGAGCCACCAAGATATCTACTGGTTGGTCGCGCTATGGCGAGGATTAATCGGTTCTCGGCTCGTCCGCAGCTGCTCTTGCCGTTGGCCCTCCTGGACGGCCATTCGCCAACGACGAGTTTGCTAATCCGTTGATAATTCAAGGAACGGACCAACGGAGCATTAGGGGTTGGGTGTGTTGGTTACAATAGTGGGCTCATTGTGGAAAAGAAACGTGGCGTTAGTATGGCAAGTCAACATCTTCGATAAATCTCACCCAGAAGTTGCTTGTTTGTTCCTTTAGCGCATTGTCATAATTGCTTTATGTGGCATATAATAGACTCTGATACTACCCATCCTCATGCATCCCGAGACTTTTGGCCATTCATTTCATTGACAATATCATTGGCAGTAATCAGAAACACAGCGCACCCATACCATCCAACTCACAGCCTAACCGAAAGCTCTTTCGTAACGGAATTGTAATCCTTCCTTATTATGAAGTTAACGAGTATATCTTCAAGAATCCTCCTTTCCGGTTACCTGAATCTCCTTCCCTCAAGAACATCATCTAAATAATAGATGGCCTCATTTCCCCAGGGAACAGATATGTTTGTATACACGATCACCTGGTCCGGAAGCCCTTGCAGAACGGCGCTGTAAACGTGGGCGCAGAACTCCGCGCTGGTCTGGAAACGGGTTCCTGATACTACTTGTTCGGCGAGGTAGAAACTAGAGTCTGAATCTGAGTCGGCCATCATCTTCAGTGGTCAAGGGGGGTGCAAGACTTGGATAGATTGAGAGAAGCTGGAATAAGGTGCATTTTATAAGTGGCTTGGATCTGGTACATCGGTACATATCAGGGTCATCATGCCACACGAATGATGTCAACCGGCTTCGTTATCCCGTAAATCCTATCTCTAACTTGGGCTAGCTCTCTCTATCACAGACAGATACTCCTGCCTGTAAACTGAAGAAGATGCCCTCCACCCGGCATATTAGATGTTGGTAATCTATGAAGTACTTCTTGATGCCCTTGTCCTAGGGTCCTATTAGGTGATTAAACCGATCTCTATGCTATTGATATCGGCGCATATAGAGGAAGCGACCCGAGGAATGTGACGGCAAAGATTTCTTCGAGCGCCCTTGTGTTAAGCACAATAACAGAAAATATGAGCCCACTCAGATAGTGCAAGGTGCAGAGGCCATTCTCGATATTAATGAGCGTTAAGGTCGCCGTCATCCACATGTGGTTCCCATATAGCACCCTTCAAGTGGATCCTAAGCGGGGTGCAGCCGACAAGGACTCGGAGAGGGGCCAATAATCGAGGCACAATCTTGTCACGCACACTCAATTGACATGGACTGGTCTGGACTCTGCACTTACTGCTGACTGGGGGAAACTAAGCATCCTGCAGCACTGTCTCCCGTGTGGGGTCCGGAAGAGGACGACCGTTTGGGCCTCGCACGCAGGATCAGATATGATATCCTTAAAGATTTTCCCGGACCCAACTTCCATCCTACAGAATACCTACCCACTCGATTTCTAATTCTCAGCCTTCAGAAAGGCATGCCGCTGAAGAGTCTTCACCACATCAATGTCATGCCATGGAACGAGGATCTCTCGTCCAAGCCACTTGATGATTGAACTTTGACGAACGAACGGGACTTGCATAGAGGGGTTTGGGAGGTATTGGGAATGGATACGAGTCAGTTGGCCATTCTAATGGACAGTCAAGGAGTGCTGACCACATTCACCGGTCACTGGAATGTACTGCGATCGCATATCGACTTAAGACCGCGAGGTTCATGTAAGACGGCAGAACCAGGTAGATCATGGCGGGCGATGATAACACACATTCCAGGTTCAAAGCAGCGTTTCCCACAACCTCTTATCGGGTAGGGCATCTTTGGAATGAGCTTCTCCAACTTCAACGTCCCGGACGAGTTCCGGAGCGTTGATCTGAGCCTGTCGGAAAGTTTCTGGCTATACTGGCTTGTGGCAATTTCGCTTGAACCTAACGATGATGATGATATGATTAAGCGTTTCTTTTGCCGATGGACTTGAGCGGGTAGAAGGGCTTAGAGGGGTATTTTTTTTTTTGACAAACCCGTTACTGAGTGGGCCTCGCAGTTTAATGGATGAATTGTTTCTTAGCATGTATGAATGAAGCTTCAAGGTAGCTATCTCTGGGTTGCTAGCGCACTGTATTGGTGAGAATGATTGTGTGAAGAAACAGTTGAACGTCATGTATCAATCGGCCACTTTTGTCGTATGCCGTCATAAGTTGATTAAAATATGTAGAGCAATAGTAGATACTAGCTATATACAGTGTTGAACTGATCGATATGAATGATCATGGACTGCGCATTGCAAGACCACTTTGTAGCTGCCAAGCATGAGCGTTGAATATCTCGTGACGGACGTCGAAAGCATTATATACGCTCCATCATATGGATAGATAATCGTTAATTATTTTCATGAGCCGAAGCCAACAGTCGCAATATACGATGGTAATGCGGATGGATCTCGCTCGGCATATATATGTACCGGCGCTTTGAGGTAAAATGGTGAAGCACCAGGTACAACCAGCCGCAGATCCAGGGAGTAAACACGGGAAACAAGGCAGGTGTGGAAGGATGGGATGAAGTTCAGACGCGGCAAGGTGACTGGTACTATTAGTGGTGCTACATAGCAGTCCTCTTCCTCTTGGGTCCAATCCAAGGAGGCAATTGAGTAGGAAAATGACGGAAATTGTGATTCAGAGTAATTTTTTGGTCGGCCAAAGAAATCCTGCTTTTTCATTGGTGCATCTTCGTGAAATGTGGTAGTATAGAAGGTGGTGGCGACGAGCTGTCCTCGAAAGGACTGGAGCTGAGGCAACTCAACCTGGTCTCCTGTGATTTTGTAGCGTAGGAAAAGCGTGACTGTGATACTGACCAGACTATGCGGATCTCGTAGCGGAAGACGAAAGCTTTTCGGCGGTTGCAGAACCACGCTTAATTGACCTAATTTCTCCTTTGAGCGACTATCGTAAACGACATTATCCGCTTCTAAGGAATAGTCATTCACACTGTTCAATAAGTCTAAAGGTGGAAATTCGTCGATCGCCGGTTTGACTCGTAGCTTGATCTTCTTTACCAGCAGAATATCCCGCTTGTCGATTACGGGAATATTGCGAAAGAGAGCGGCCTGGATTGTATATAGAATTTTGCATGTTGGGGGCGCATAGTCATCCTTTAACTTGCCTCCGAGACCAGCTACGGAGGCGTCTCCAAAGCTTGGAGGAGGGCGTAAATGCGCCTGCCGAATCGCAGGGCTGGTAATTCTGTGGTTGCAGGCTTCTGGCGATAAATGGTCTGGGACCTCGAATTCAAAGGCAAACTCATATTTCTTGCGCTCCTTGAAGAGCTTCCCCGGGGGGAGACATGACTCGTCAATTAAGTACTTGAGATCCTGGAATTGTCGGTAGGCCTTCCCAGTTTGTAACGCTGTACGTTCTTCTCCTATATATAATCATTAGACATGCTGACCAAGCTGTTGGCAGTATAGCATACCTATGAATGCTATTTCGATCCCATCAATTCGTAGATCCAGATGAGCACGGACCGTGGCCACGCCTTGAATTTTATCTCCTGTTAAATGGGAGTAGAGGTAGGACTCATTTGTATTATTTTGTCCGCTCCGGAGAAATATATCCACCGAAAGAACGTCAGTTATGCTCATTCTCGGCTAGAGAAGATGGTATACGTCTGAGGTTTCTTCAAGGAGGAAGTTTCTCCCATTGTAAATTGTAAGTTGCAGATATACGGAAACTGCCAAGATTGTTGACTTCATTGCCTGCAAGAACGAGATAGTGCCCGGTCAGGGGACCTGGTCGGCATCCCGTTCGGGCCTAGCCCCTTTAGTATTGCTGAGTCATACGCTCGTATTCCAGTGACTCATCCAAGCCCAAGAACACAGGTCAGGTGTCCCTTGCCAGAAGCCACGCGCCCCCCCCCCCACTGGTCTTGGCCGACACAACGAGGCGTCTGACCTTTTCAATACTGTTACAGTGAAGTGCAAATCCAGTTTCACCGCCTCACTCTCTCTTCTTTATTCTGGGCCCCACTGCCAAGACGCTAATTAGAAAAATGAGTGCGGTTTAGAGGGCAATCCCAGCATATAGGCTTGGTGAGTCGCTCTACCAATGGGATCCTTAAGGTATAATTCTCTCGTGAAAATTATCCAATTATATGACAACCATACGGCTGGTATGACCAAAGTTTGAGAATACGCCTGACTCAGCAGCTAGCACCGTGGCGGCTATACTGTATGGATTTACCACTGCGATAGAACTAGAACCGAGTAGCACATCCTTGAAAGACATATGTCCAGATAAATTCTGTCCCCATCCCTTCTTTTGTAAAGATACTTGAAAATATACGAAGTCGGAAAACGAACATCAAGTGATATTGATTATTTCCAGAATCCTAAAAAAAGAAATCCGGCCTGACGCATGTCCCAAACCAAGTATTTTGGATTTAGTCGCTGAACAGGAAGGCCTGGCTTCAGGAGGGAGCCATAAGACCTTTTTCCCGTTTGCAGCTATCCATTCACTCTCTACAGATATCTGTGGGCCTATATTGGATGAACTAGGGGTAGGGTTGCCACAGCTGGATTGAATCTTGATCGATCCTAGGTTAGTACGGAGATAGGAGCTATCGTGCGAAAATTCGAGCCCCGTGACAACATCATCAGTGGTTAAGATTTCCTGTAGAGCGCCCGTGGCTGGATCCCAGAACCGTACTGTCTTATCTTCCGAGCCAGACGCCAGCAGCCGGCCATCGGGTGAGAAGGCTATGGACCAAACTGTGTCAGTATGGCCCTCAAGCGTCTGTAGGAGAGCGCCTGTCGCCGGGTCCCAG